ACGGGATCTCTGCGCAAGCGCTTACAGTTACGAAGAGGCTCTTCCATAGGGCTGAGGATAAGGACACCCCCACGTGACAGTCAGATGCTCTTCCGTCTTTCGGGCAATACGGGAATGTTTCCAGAGCCTGACAACTCACGTACACGCTACCATCTCGTCAATATTTCACAAGGTACCTCACTGAATACATCGCATGCGGTTTCCTATTGATTCCCGAAATGTGGGCACAAGCTGCGAGCTGCACGCCATATTGGGCAAGTAACGAAATGCAGAACCGCTGTAGCCCCAAGAAAGCGGGGCTGGGCAGGAGTCCGAAGTCCGATGCAGGTGTTCACTCTGCCCAGCCGCTCGCTCCATCCTTCCACTAGCCTCATTTCTTGCTGGACTAACCTTGCATGCTCCCGACAACCAGCCCGCACAAACCGGTGACAAGTCCAGAATCCCATGTCTCTGCCCAAACTCAGCTAAATCTATCCTCATTGGCAAGGTCTCCTTTAGCACTTGAGTGCGTGGTTTCACTGTAACGAATCAAGATCCCCTGATAAGGTTCCTGTTGCGTGGCGTTCTGGGGGCCGAAACGCATCCAATTGAAGACATTGGTGACTTCTGGCGGTGACGTCTCTGAAGATGCCCGACCGTGCTCGAGCACAACGTGCGGCCTGCGTTGGTGGGCGCCAATTTCGCAGGCGCCGCAATCTGATTCGACATCCTGAAACATAAACTGACACGCCTTATCCTCAACCTCACGATTCAGATTGCGCTGATCTCTGAGCTTCGGTGGTAACTTCCCGGGGCACAGTTGAGCACAGAGCACAAGGAGAACATGAGACGAAAACCGTGCGCAACGTGGTTCGAGTTGAAAACCCTTTCGCTTGTTGTACCCTGCCGCGGTCTCAATCCTTGACTTCGCCAATGTGGTTTTGCTGAAGAGATGAGTCCCGTGGTCGAGACATGATCGCGATTGTCAGCGCCGCCGCAGATACTCTTCACGCCTCAATAACGCAGGGACTAACAGACTCCACATCCAATGCAGGACTCAAAGTCTCGGCTCTACGATGCTGCAGCCCCTGAGCGGCCTTGGACGATGGATTCAGAGGAGTCCCGTGGCTAAACTCATCCCCTGCACGTGTAACACAAAGGTGCAATCTGTGCTACTAAGAACACGACCCGCAATCACAGTGCCACGTTCTCTGTCTCAGTTCCTTATCCATGTCCTGCTCCACTTTGATCGAGCTGCTCCACAACACCATTCTCCAAATCCAGACGACACGGACCGGCCGCAGCCGGGAAAGCCGGTTCCGTATGAGTCCGTATGAACCCGCTGCAGCAAATAGCCGCACCAGCGATCTCAATACCATATCCTTGAGAATAAAGAAGTAGCTGGGCTAACTCAAGGTCTTCCTCCCGATATCATCGGATTCGGAGTCATGGGCTGTCTGACCGGCCGCCGCTGCACGTTCCTCGTGCAACGGCGCGGCAGTGACATGCTTACGAAGGGTAGGGCTGAACACAGTGCAGGTTGATGGATGTTCGATTCGCCGGCACATTGTCTGCTTTCGTATATGTACGCGAGAACATTCGAGACCTATGTCGATATCATGGAGTCTAATACGCGGAGTAAACTGGTAACAGGTGGGAGTACAGCCTTGTGATTAGACAGCTGAGCGATGCAACGCTGGACGGAGGGCTGTTTTCTCTGGTCCAGAATGGCCTTCTCGTAGTGTTACATGCAGCTGAAGCGGAGCGTATATGTGAAGACGGGCCTGGCGTTGGACGCGCCTAGGTGATTGGGCGGATAGTCGTAAGGTCTCAGCCCTACGCGAACGGTACGTCTTACTCCGCTGCATGATGCAGATAAGGTGGTCTTAGGATACCATGTGCTCTGCTGTCTCTGCGGATACGCTGGATAGCCTGAAGTGTCGAATGTTCGAGCGAGCTCATCCGTTCCACTGCCTTCAACACGCCCGTTGGACAATCAGTGGCACTGCAGCACGCCAGAGTTTGGGCACCAGTGCTCGGTCAAGAGAAGCTAACATATCTCGTAATCTTTAAGTTTACGTTCACATCGGTCTTTGGTGGTGGAGCCTTAACTCCACCGAGGGTGTTCAAGAGACCTCAGCCTGTGTTACACATCTTCTAGATGAATGAAATCTAACAGCCCACAGTGCAGCGATTCCGATGGCTTCCATCTGCCCTCTCTGCCACGCGTCTCAGATTGCAACATACCTGTCCAATTTGATCTCATCAGCACTACTGCCACCTTGAATGCCCGGCCCCCAGGCAATGTATACATCTCCCATACCATACGGTCAGATCATTCATGGACTTTATGTCCACCCTGAAAACATGTTTACATTCGATGATTACCAAAATTAACAGTACCGAGGCGCCATTCGCCCGTAATTCTCTCTTTCAAAGTGCATACTCTTTGCCTACGCAGACAATTCGAGATGCCATTGAGTTAAAACCGTACCTGACTCCAAGCGCCGTTCCCCTCCCCTCTTTCTCATTTCTTCCTGCATTATCGTACTTCATTTGCTACAACAGTGCATTCTCTTCCCAGTCATCACTTTTGAGAAATTCCGCCTGCCGCAATGTACTTTTTCCATTTGAGAATGGGTAGCCGGATTAGTCTGCTGATCAGGTCATGTGGGCAAAAATCAGCTTGACTCGTGTACTCGAGGCTTACAAACGGGGTAGGAGAACAAACTTTCAACAAGTCCCTCCCAACACATCAAGTGAGGCGAGGAAGGACAGAATGCTGCAAACGGCAGTAACGAATTGTCGGATGAGGACAGATGCAATACAAACGCAAACACGTGGTACCAAGACCCGAGCAGCCATAATGCTGGAAGAGAAACGGGAAGAGTCTTTAAATTGCTCAGCTGGGTCACTTCGGGTTCTTTTGGAGCTCGTTCCACAGATCCTCCAAAGCCTTGGAGACTTCCGCGCTTGAGCCAGCCTCAGCAACGTCCAATCAGGATCATACTGGTTCAGCTAAGGGAACCACTCATAACAGGTCAGTGGGGAAAATACATGTTTCCATGCTTGAGGTGCATGGCAGTGTACTTGGTGCACAGTGGGTGTCCTGAGACACAAATAGCTTCCATCTGTGCTATTCAAATTTCAGTGCTTTTGCTTCCTCTTACACGCACAGACGATCAAGTCTATGAAGTCCTTTACCACGTTGATTTCAGACCCTGGGAGACCATCCATGATGAAGTGTATGTGATATAGTCAAAGTATACTTCTCCGAGGGTCGTGTGTCATTGTTGAATGACGGTAAAAATCTTGTGGAAGCGCTGACGTCTTCAAGATTCGAGGGCGGCAAGTTTGAGTCCAGAAACAATCAATCCGAGAATACGCTTGAGGTTGCTATACTCATACGAAGTGCGAAAAGCGGGCGTTTACTACAAATCACCAGGTAACAGTATCGTTTGGCAGCTTCTGCGAATATCGCCAGAATAAGGGTGAGTCTGCAAAGAAAAGGGCTCTTAATGTTCAGAGAGCTTATGAGATCCTGAATAGTTAATGTGTCTAGACATATTTTTTTTGTTGTTCATAAGCCTGAAGTGAGCCTTTCTACGGCTCAGTATCCTCATCGTGACGAGCGCGTCGTTGTCCATCCTTCTTCCATGCTCCAATCCTCTTGCAATACCCACCAAGCGCAAGACCTGCTTCTTCTGCCTCGGCCATAAGCCTGGCGTTCAGGCCTACTATAAAGTATTACGAGACGAAGGCGGCTTATTCTACTGTTAGGTGCTTTCGTACAAAGAAATCCAAACACCAACAAAGCGAAATCGCTACACCGTCATTCCCTCCATGATAATATCTATGAGGACTACGGTCCGATTTGTCGCGTAATAGGCTCGAGTAGTTGAAGGACCGCTGAGTGAATGGAACGCTTGTTGATTGACACTTGCTGTGTGTGGTAGGAGGCAGTGCGTCCGCAGACTAAGGTACAAACTGCGGCTTGTGTAAAAGGGCAAGCGATATCTCCTCTGAAGTTCCCAAGCATTCCCAAGCCATTAGTGGAGGTGCATGAAAACTTCTGAAGCGTCATTGATTGTGGGTGAAGTATGCTGTAGTCTTTCCTCGTCTGTTCCGCCGGCTGAGGACCACTTCAGCTGCTCTGATTGTTTCCGAGGTTTACGACTATCAATTAATCAGCGCACTTTGCGGAGTCCAGGAACATTCGGAGAAGCGGGTAGTAATGGTGCAGGCGTGGTCCTCAGCGTCAAAGATATCCCGCACTTTTGGAGCAGCCAACGTCAGGGCCACACTGCAGTGCACTCTAGGACTGTAGGACACTTCAGCAAGCTAGGTTTGGCGTCAAGGTCGTGGATGTTCCGCTTCGTCCTCATCAAAATTCGTCTAGCATAGCTAGATATCCCAGGATACATTTCTTCCGGTGTCCTGGTCGCTGTGTGGGTGGTGAACGGCCAAGCGAAGTTTTTTGGCTGGTGCGGGGCATTCGTCCACATAAACATTCGTTCGACAGCAGTCCAGCAAACCAGGATATCTTTTTTGCGTTTGTGTGTGTGTGTGTGTGTGTGTGTGTCTCGAGGACAACTTTGTGGATCCGCGGTGTCTGCTAGGTTATTGGGTAGCCGCGCGGACGAACCGAGATACGTCAGGGTTGAGAACACCAAATCGTTTTGCTAGTCAGTGATGTCTTCAGCAGAGAAAACTGCACGCGCTGGGAGGAGCATAGGGGTTCAGCGCGAAAGAGAGTGTTCGACAGTCGTTTGGGATCAGCACTGGCCACTGAAGTCGACTTTTACGCGCACTTGTGATAGATTTCCGCTGCGACGGAGAATTTGATGGAAGTATGAAAACAAAACGGAGAAAGCAGAAACTGCTAGGCATCGTTTGAATATCGTCAAATTGGTATGGGGTGGGCGCTTCCTCGGCCCTGGTATCGTCCATGATTCCCTAACGCCGTAAGATGCATACTCTTATACAATGCTTGCTGAACTGCCAATCAACGCGCCGGTCGATTACTCTGTTCTCGGTTTCTTGACAGGCAGCGCAGGGACCTTGAAGCCCGCGGCATCTGTCTTGCCGCCGAGCTGTGTGAACGATCCTCCCTTGAACCAACGGTCTTCTTCAGCCTTACGCTTGCGGTTGGCTTCTTCACGAGCCCGTGGGTCGACCAGCTCGAGGCCTTGCACGGGCGTGAAAGCAACAGAACTCATACCAGAGCCCTGCAGACCAACACCACCAGTCCGCAGACCCTGCGCACGCAAGCTCGTAGCCGTCCCGCCGGTGCCGAAGCCTTTGAGTGAGGAAGCAGCACCGAGCGTTGTGTCGCCGCCCCAACCGGGGGTTTTCTTGGACAGCTTCGCTCTTGTCTTGGGGTCGATTTGCTGTGCGCGTAGTCGACCGGTGTCCGTGGCGCCAATCATGCCCATACCCTTCGTTGAGTCACCATATCCCACTTCCTTCTCTTCCTTGCCAAATGCCATCCTGTTTTGGGCCTTCCTGATCTCTGTCATGGCAGTTGCTTCCTTGGCCTTGCGAGCTCTTCGCCCACCGCGCTTTCGCGCAGGCTTGTCGTCAGGTGCAGGGAGGGCGCGGACACCCTTGTTTGCAGGAATCTCGGTCAGCTTGTCGAGGCGTCGCTCACATTCGTCTTTGAGCTGGCGCCCGGTGGAGCCGTCAGGCGCTGAGTGGACCATGTCGACACGGGCAGCCAGAATGACTTTGGCGGACACGATACGCAGACCTTGCTTCTTGAGATCCGGACGTATGGCTTCAAGGATGGGGCTGTGGTAGAGGAAACCTTGATGCCTGATACCAATGTTGGTTGCTAGACCCAATCCACTTGCTTTATTCGAGCCCAACGGTGCGATGTTACACGCTGGTGTCTTTGCGAGACCAGCGAGACCTCCAGCATAATTGATGAGCTGTGCGGCAGTCAGGGAGCCGATAAGCTCTGTAAGATTTGGTGCAAAGACGCTCATACGTGACTGAACGTAGTCGGTGAGGACGTGCTTAGACTTGTCGAGATTGAGAAGGAGCTTGCATGCCGTCATGATAGCTGCAAGTTCCATATCTTGGAGCTCTTGTCCACCAGCCCTTGTAGCTTCAACAGTAATGACCATGAGTGATGGCGCGTCCAGAATGTTCTTCAGTGGCGCTCCAACAATATTGTCTGTGTCCTGGGCAATCGTCTTGATATCATTTAACGGTCGGTTCCCGAGGATAGCAACGGTCTTCGCGTAGTCAACGGGGTTCTTGACGAGCTCCTCGAGGTATGGGAAGCGTAGCGAGTAATTGTCGCGAATGAACTTGTGGACCGCTTGGATTTCGCCGTCGATTTGAGTCGAAAACTCGTTCGCTTCCTTCAATAACTGATATTCGGGGTTCTCTTCAATCGACTCGCCATTCATCACTTCCTCCATCTTATCCTTGACTTCGTCAATCTGCTGTAAGATTGGTTGCAGATTGGCCATAAGGGTTTGCGCGTTTCTTATATCCGCTGGACCTTTCTCCTTCTTTTTGCCTTCTTTCTCTGCGTACTCTGTCTCCTCATCTACCATATCCTCGTCCTCGCCATTCTCTGGTTCCGGGGAACCAAAGTCTCCGCCCGCGAAGTCGTTCTCCAGATCCACAACATCCTCATCGCCCGAGTCCGCGAAATCTGCGAGCAGCTCCTGCTCAAGTGTCGCCATGGCCGTTGTTGTAGACTGTCAGGTTTGGTGGTAGGCTTGTAAAGTGAGATGGCGCGCATCATAGCTAAGAAATCACCGCGGAAGTGACGCTAGTGTGGGCACGTGCTCCTGATGCCTCTGAATTTCCATGCTCTTCACGACGGCAGCCCTCATCACCAACTTCGGCCAACAGTCATACGTGACGTATTACGCTCCCACCAGCTGGGCAGCGCGATCCGCATTCCGTCTCACACCTTGAGTTCACGTGCACGACCGCAATCATGGAGGCCCGAGGACCACCACGCGTCAAAAATAAGGCGGCCGCGCCCATCCAGATCAGCGCCGAACAGCTGCTACGCGAGGCAGTCGACCGCCAGGATGAGAAGCTCAAGGCGCCCACACAGCGCTTCGCGGATATGGAGGAGCTGCATGAGTTCCAGGGACGCAAGAGGAAAGAGTTCGAGGATTACGTCCGCCGCAACAGGATCAACATGAACAACTGGATGCGCTATGCCTCTTGGGAACTTGAACAGAAAGAATTTAGACGTGCCCGATCCATTTTTGAGCGTGCACTGGACGTTGACAGCACATCGGTGGCATTGTGGCTCCGGTACATCGAGTCTGAAATGAAGCACCGCAACATCAATCATGCCCGTAACGTTCTCGACCGGGCCGTTACCCTCCTCCCACGTGTTGACAAGCTCTGGTACAAATATGTTTACATGGAAGAGACCCTCGGCAACATCGATGGTGCTCGCTCTGTATTCGAGCGCTGGATGCAGTGGGAGCCTGAGGAATCTGCATGGTCGTCGTATATCAAGCTGGAAAAGAGGCACGGGGAATTCGAACGAGCCAGGGCAATCTTCGAGCGCTTCACCGTCGTACATCCTGAACCGAAGAACTGGATCAAGTGGGCCAAGTTCGAGGAAGAAAACGGCACCAGCGATCTGGTACGAGATGTATACGGTACAGCGGTGGAGACACTTGGCGATGAGTTCATGGACGAGAAGCTGTTCATGTCGTACGCCAAGTTTGAGGCCCGATTGAAGGAGACAGAGCGCGCAAGAGCTATCTACAAGTTCGCGCTGGACCGCATGCCGCGCTCGAAATCAGTCAACCTTCACAAGGCTTTCACTACTTTCGAAAAACAGTATGGCGACCGAGATGGTATCGAAGATGTGGTTCTGTCGAAACGAAGAGTGCACTACGAGGAGCAGATCAAAGAGAACTCCAAGAACTACGATGCCTGGATAGATTTTGCACGCCTGGAAGAGACGTCAGGCAACACCGACCGTGTGCGAGATATTTACGAACGAGCGATTGCACAAATACCGCCTACACAAGAGAAGCGACACTGGCGAAGATACATCTATCTTTGGTTGTTCTACGCTGTTTACGAGGAATCAATCACAAAGGATATCGACCGCACACGCCAGATTTATCAGGAGTGCATAAGGTTGATACCACACAAGCGCTTCACTTTCGCCAAGCTGTGGCTGATGTTTGCCCACTTCGAAGTTCGTCAATCTCAGCTCACAGCAGCACGGAAGCTTCTCGGCCAGGCAATCGGCATGTGCCCCAAAGACAAGCTCTTCAAGGGGTACGTTGAGCTGGAAATGAAGCTATTCGAGTTCACACGCTGTCGTCAGCTCTACACAAAGTACATCGAGTTCAACGGGTCGAACACACAAACTTGGATCAAATTCGCAGAACTTGAGCGCGGTCTTGATGACCTCGAGCGCGCACGCGCCATCTTCGAACTTGCTGTTGAAGAGCCACAACTCGACATGCCGGAGCTGCTCTGGAAAGCATACATCGATTTTGAAGAAGGCGAGGGCGAGTATGAGCGCACGCGCGCGCTGTACGAGCGTCTGCTCGAGAAGACAGACCACGTCAAGGTCTGGACATCATGGGCCCAGCTCGAGATCGGTGTTCCCGACCCGGGAGCCGAGGAGAACGACGATGAGGACAAGCCTGTCAGCGACGCAGCGAAGGCGCGTGCTCGCGCTGTGTTCGAACGTGCTCATAAGCGCATGAAGGACAAGGATCTCAAGGAAGACAGAGTGGCTCTGCTCAATGCTTGGAAGAGCTTTGAGGCTATTTATGGTAGCCCCGAGGATCAGGAGAAGATCGATAAGCAGATGCCCCGGAAGGTCAAGAAGAGGAGAAAGCTTGACGACGACAGCTTCGAGGAGTATGTCGACTACATCTTCCCTGCCGACGACGAGAGCGCCGCGAAATTGGCAAGGCTCATGGCCAATGCGGCGAAGTGGAAGGCGGCGAAGGCGGCGAAGGAAGCCGAAAATGGTGCATAGGGAGGTCACTTGTAAAATCTGAATGTATACTACGATGGTCACTATTCGCGCCAGACCGTCTCTGGTCTGTTCCTGTTGCCATGATCACGAGGCGAGAGTCTGTGCATCGAGCAAGGACAGGGCTGTAAGACCCATGGCGACGATCACACACAAGCAGAACTTTGTCACAACGTCGATCTGACCAACCAACGACAAGAGTGCCCGATGTACTGAAACCGAAATGTGGCAGCAGCGGATGGGAAAGGCTGAGTTTGAGAGTTGTAGATCTGGCACTTGTGACGCTTCTGACGTGGCCAGGACCCTGAACCAAAAGTCTATGACCACTTACCATTATCCGGACGATAATTTACACAGCGCAGCTGTTAGGACGTCAAATTACATACGTCCGTTAGTATGCCTGCATGAGCTCTACCTGATCAATTCGTTTGCTTCTCTTCCTGCAGTCGCCCTCTTCGCAGAATCATGAATGGCAGTCAATCATTACGCCTGAAACCTCTCAGGTAACCGACACTGAGCAGCGACAGAAGACATGCAGTAGCTGGCGAACGACCAATCAGATAGAGAGCAGCGTACATGTCACAGCGGTCAAAGAAGGAGAATTGGTACCAAACTTGCATTGATGCTAAACTCTACAGGCAACACCATATCATCTAGAACAAAACGAGCGTGATTAACCGAAAGGAAAAACAAAATGTACCTGCCGTGTACTGATCCATACACCATTGTCACAGGAGTCCAGCGCGTTCGAGCAGCGCGTCCACTACCCCAGCCAAATCTTCCATCGAAGCTCGACAATCGGACGTAGGCGCTTAGTTAGAGCAACCAACGTCGTAAGCCTTGAGCGCGTTCTTCTGAGCAGAGTTGCTGGGCGCAGGGACCTGGGCGGCAGCCACGGCGTAAAGCTTGCAGATGACAGCGTTGTTGACTGTGCCAAAGGTGAAGGACTTGCAGGAGTTGTTGGTCTGGCACTGAGCCTTGCATGCTGCCTCGGAGGTGGCGGAAGGAGTGCTGATGGGCTGGTTGTTGGTTGAGGCCGAGGGCTGAGTGCCGCAGGTCTGGGTACCAGTCGGGGAGGACTGCTTCTGAGCATACTGCGCCTTGGGGTTGGTGGATGACTGCTTCTGTGTGCCATCCTGAGCCCCCTGCTGGGAGGTCTGGGAACTGGGGTTTGAGTTGGTCGGGGTCTGGTTGTCGTTGGTCTGGCTGTCGTTGGTCTGGCTGTCGTTGGTCTGGCTGTCGTTGGTCTGGCTGTCGTTGGTCTGGCTGTCGTTGGTCTGGCTGTCGTTGGTCTGGCTGTCGTCGGCCTTCTTGCCAGTGGGGTTGCTGGAGGTGGGTACGACGCTGGGCACGGCTGTGCAAGCCTTGTCGTAGACTACAAGGTTGGCGCTGGACTGGCTTGGAACAGCCGATGCAGCACAGCTGTAGAGCTTGCACTGGATAGTGTTGTCAATCATGCCGAATGTGAAAGACTGGCAGGAGTTGTCGGCCTCGCACTGAGCCTGGCAAGCAGCAGAGGTCTGGATGCCGGAGGGCTGCGAGATGGGCTGGTTGTTGGCGTTGCTGCCAGCAGGAGTGGTACCGCAGACGTTATCGCGGACCATCAGAGGAGATGCAGAGACATAGGTGGCAGCGAAGGCAGCAATGACGGCGGTGGAGAAGTACATCTTGAGGGTTGGTGAAGGATTGAACGAAAGTGATTCTTAAGCGAGTGTGGTAGAGATGATGGAAGTGTTGGAAGAGATGAGAGAAGCAGTGATGATGGAAGCTGGATGACGAATATTTACCTGAGGAACTGCTCGTGTTATATACCTGTATCCATTACCTTCGGTTCCATCTTGAAGTCCTGCTGGCGCATTGACAATAACGACAGTCCGTATACCTAGTTTCCATCCGGTACGAGCTGACGAAGTCTTCTCCACGCAACAACTGACGATGTGAGGCATCTCGGCCATGTCGTAGTGGGGTCAACGGCGCTGTGGCTTGCACCAATGTTGTCGCGGCTTTGCACGCATTGACATTTTGAGAGAATCAGGGCATGAAATGGGCGCAGCCGTGCTCTCACCGAATTTGGATGTACGATATAGCAGCAGGTACCGTTTTGGTATCCGTGCAGCGATAGTGGGAGGCTTTTTGGCGTGAAACTCTTTTGTATACATAGGTGAGTAATTGTCCACGCGTCCCACGTGACAATCCCGACGAAACTCGCCCGTTTGGGAACCGCGAGGGTGGTTTCCGGGACAGGTCCACGTAAGATCCCGACTTTTTGTGACAGTTATAAGACAAATAGGTATAGCCCAAAGTTGCGGATGTGTCCCTCAGCCACTGTAGCTGCCCTAAATAGTAAAGGCTAAAGGATGTCAAGTGCCGGGACGCGGACAAGCTTTGGGGTACCCCTGCCAGTGATCTTTCGATCAAGATGTTACTTGCATTTGGAAATGCTAAGCTGGAAGGTGCCGAAAACTCCGCTCTCAGTGCTAGACAGGATGCAAGCATCACAAATTGTATCGAAATTCTGCTCAGAGAACAGTTGGGCACAAAGTCAAGAAGCAGGATGGTATGATATGTACAGTCACAAACGCATTCGAAAACGAAATTTATGCTGTGAATTGTGGATTCTTTTTGCGTAGCTTTGGCAAGGAACGCATTTGGAAGAGCTCGGCAAATTTTACTGCAACAATCGAAACTTGAGCAGGAGCAAAGAATCGCCTGATCGGACTCTGCAGCATAGAAACGCACGTGAGTCCTTTGAAGTTGCAACTTTCTAAACAGGGTCAAGGCTTTCGGCATCAGAGGCCTGTGCAAGACACGCAATGTGGCTCATAGCATTGGCTCAGCTCATGCAAACCGATGTCGACATGATCTAAGTGCGTTTTTGAATATGCCCTGGTAAACTGAACGAAGTCTAGGTAGGCTCTAGGTAGAAGTTCAGCTTTGTTCTGCCTTACTAGTGCGTCCGACTCCAATCATAGAGATCCGCCCCCCAAATCAGCGGTGTCACAACCATCACCTGAATCCACATGCGCGATAGACCACTGTTATGAAACGAAATACATCCCAGCTGCTCAATTTTTCAAATATACCCAGCAAACCATCGGAGTCCAGATATGAGAACGATGTTCCGCCGCTCTTGCGAACGCGCGGTCAATCATCAATGTCATTTACCCATACCGTCGACAAGCTTGTTCGATATGTGCTTCGGTAAGAGTGATTACGTCTTCCAGCGACCGTACGATGTCGCCGATGACAAGGATCTCAGAAAGAAGATCAGCCGTGTCGCACAAGGATTGTTTACCACTCTCACCACTGTGGTGAGCTGTTAGCACATCGTGAAGGCTTCATTTCGGGGCGGTGTGAAGTCAAAGGCGATGATGACGCGGGGGGAAAGGGGCGATGATGAACACATACCTACTGCTTCGGTTGCATATCATGCACCGTGTCGCCCAAGAGCCAGACAGGCAAGCAACCCACGTCGTCGTTGTGCGCTTGCCCAACTGCTCCCGGACTCAGCTCTTCTCGCCAGCCATTTTTCAACGAGCTGAAAGCGCGGAGTTGCATGGTCTCGACACTCGCATTACTGTCTTCGCTCCCGATCCGACTCGATTCCTGCAGTCCTTTCGCCCAGCCCCATCCACGTGTCTTGTTGTCGGTCGAACACGAATCGATGCCTATCGGGGATGACGTTAGGTATCTCTGTACGTGCAAAGTGGATCTCCCAGTAAAAGATCGCTGAACCTTCGTCGCGCTTGATGGTGCCATTACGTTTGTTAAACTGACTTGGATCGTTCACATCAGGGCTGCCACTGCTGAGCGGCTATGGTGCGTGGTGGAAACTTACATTGTCCTCAGGAACGACAATATGACCTTGTCACGAACGATGCAAGTCTTCTCTCGAGACAAAGCTAAAGTGTGTGTTCAGGGGCACAAGGTCCCTTGCGCCGAGTTGCAAGTGGATTCTCGACCCACTACCATTGGCACCAAGAATGTTGCACACGTCGCTTATACCGTCCTTGAAGTGCTCTCGCACTTTCTTATTGTCGTCTTGGACGAGGATGGACCGAACAATCGCTTTGTCATACTCTACCCGCTCGCTGCCTCAATCGGATCCATTCGCAAATCTCTCAACAACGCTCGATTGACCCATCGAAATGGGGATGGAAGGTCGTGAGATTCGCGAACAATATCATACTCAGAAAAGAGTTTGACTTGAGCCTTGTCTTCTGAACTTTGGCTAGTCTCTGGGAGAGAGCGTCTTCCTTTGTTTACGCGTTTAAAGCGAAAGGCTGCACTGAAAGGTAAGGGTGCGCTTGCTTCTGGGCCACCAGGCGCGTCAGCTGTTGCACACCCGCATCCTGCCGTTTTTGCGGTCGGTCCACATGTGACCATTAGTACAATACCCCATGCCCAAAAGGTCATATGCGGACCTTCAGGAAGTGTCCGATACCGGGAAGGATTGCCACGAATTAGCCTGTCAATTTGCATGCACAGTCGACGTTACCGGTACCGGTACTAGGCGCATAAAATATGGCGTAATGCGCCTGAAATAAATTTTGCTGCCAGAACATATCGAATGGAAGACTGAAGCGCTCATTTGACCCATGATTGATTCTGAATAAGACGATGGCCGGTTAATGTATGACATTTTGATCGGTAAGAAGGCACTAGGTACTGTCCATTAGTCAGCTCCGGGCTTATGAAGGCATCATGCGGACGCAGGAAGCTAAGCCAGGTGTATAGTACTCGGTATCTCAGGACGAGGAAATCTGAATAGCAGGCCCTTTAATGGCTCGGTGGTGCATGTCAGCTGAGGTTGCTGGGCAGGCTGAAGGTGATCTGGTATTTGCTCGACGACGCTTTGATTGCGCCTTATACGGTAGGGCCAATACGACAGCAACAACGAGATGGGCGGAGCTAGAGACAGGCGCGAAGGTCACAAATCTTGCATATGCAAAGTTATACGCGATGTTTCCACAACTCGGAGTCAAAAAGGAAGTTGCACATCGTCGCCGTTACTTGCCACACAACGTTCTGGCTTCGTGTACAGTTCAAACCAAAGGATATATAACCTTGTATGTTCAGAAAATTTTCAAAGGCGTTCCAACTTTAAGGGTATATCTCGTCAGGGCTCAAAACCGCTTTGAAATCTCTCGCTCGTCTCCCGCCAGCCTGTCGAGATATTTACACCCTCCCCATCTTGCGAACCAACCCTGATCAATGGTGACTTTTGATTTTGGATCCGCTACCGGTACAGGCCTAGGTCTTGCAATCTCAACTGACGTACCCTGTCCTTCAGCATCTCTATTGCATCATCTGCCTCCCTCTGCTTTTTTAGACGTTCCTCGAGCTCCTCGACACCTTTGCCAGAATCGCGTGCGATCCTTTCAAATTCAGGTGATTTGATAAGTAACCTAGTTCTGGGTAGGCACTCCACCTTTCGCGAATGTTCTAGATTTTGTCGAACAGGCGTCTTCTCATCGCTCTTGCCGGCGTTGCTGCCCTCGAAGGTATTCGTCAGCCCCATATTGTAGATCGCTTGTTGCTCATAGCACTGTGCTTCGCGGCGTGCAAGTTCGTCTTTCAGCTGCATGGCCTCTTTCTTCCACGAGAGTGCTTCGTCCTTCACCTGTTTGATCGCTTCCTCGCAGACTGAGACGTGATCTTGAGTTATGATAAACTCTGCCTGGCATTCTCGATGCATAAGCTCCAGGTCTGGTTGGTACATGCGCCTCGCGTCAGCCTTGAAGCTCTTGTACTGCTCTTCGAGCGCTTTAAAACGGCGAAGTTCCTTTTCGTGTAGAACTCGCCAATTGACAGAGTTGTGTTGCGCATCTGTGTCATCGACCGGATTGCCACCGCTTAGTCTCAGTGCTACTTGAGCCCAGTAGGTGGCAGTTCCCCGGTCTTCTTCGCGAAGTCCTCAAGCTTGCTGTTATTGACCTCCAGCGACAAAGCTCGTTGACTTTCAACTCCAGATGTGCAGCAGCCCTGCTGTTTGGATCTACGTCAGTGTTGGTTACGAGGAATGGAAGTTCTTCACTCCTTCGAAATTCACTTCTGCAGCTGCATATGCATTTGACTAGGCACTGCAGAGATAATCCACGTCATTAATTAAGTGGTTTAGCTCTACGCGACAACGGCAACGGTTTGCGTCTACTAGCTGAAGCTCATGGTTCAGATGCTTCTCCCGTTTTAGGGGACCGTCGTATGTTGGCTCACTAGTATCTCCGTAAAGATCTTGCATGTCCCTATCTGTGGGATGTGCGCTTGGGGGAGTGTCACTAAACTTAGGAGACAAGTCGGCACTCTTGGGGCCGAAAGCAACTGCGACACCGCCGCAGTCTGAATGTTCTCTTATCTCAGACAACGTTACATTCTCCGACATTTCATACTCTGAATGCAACAAGGATCTCCTCGAGTATTCAAAATGGCAAATGGGAAGAATCACGCTGCGACTGGGTTTCTCGCTGCTCCGACTGTTTGCCCGACTTGTAGAGACATGACCATCGCTGTGATGCGCACTGCCTAGTCTGGATGCTGATGGAGGACCGGCTGGTCTCCAATGTGAATTGGCAGATGGCGAAATCGTCGGTCTGTCTTCAAGAGACGCTTTCGTAGGGTTGGTGAACCCCGATGCAGATCGGCTAAGCGGTGGGCGCTTAGTTGGAGTGGGTGTGATGGATCTCTCTGGCATAACAGCATGAATATCTCGACTGCTGTCCCGAGTATCATTCTGCATGACGGTATACTCCCCAGAATAATGCTCCATTGACTTTCGACACTTGATCGAGTAAGCATCCGATGCTGGGTCGCCTCGATAGTCGGTGCTAATTGCGGTCGTGAGTCCTAGCACACCACCTCCGTCGCTGTTCCAATGGTTGGCTGCTCGTGACCGAGTTTCGTCTGATCGCACTCTATCTTCTGCGATCATGTCGCTGTCGTCAACAGTACTCACGGTCTTCGGGTACTATTCTGTACAGGGACTTCCGGATGAAGAGCGTGCTGGCAGTGACTGAGGCTGGTCTGTTTGCATCGTATTTTCGTTCATGATGGCTCGATTCAAACATGAGGTTGCAAGGGTGATACCGCGTGTGGCCGGGACTCTGGACTGTGCGGTAGCATTCTTGCGCTCGGTGACCTTGGTACTACTACGCCATTCAGATCGTAGCAACGTCGTCCCACTATTCCCAAATACCGGCGTCCGTTGTTCTTATGTCGCACCATCTGCGTATGAGCCACATCCAACGCCTCTCCGGCAGGACAAAGCCCCTCTCGCCCTCGAAATGCCGAGTACCCGGACAAAGCCTCTCTACGCCCAGACCACCTCTCTATACTCATTGTCCTCCCTTCACATGCTCGCCTTAACCCCCAGGACTGGTTCTTTGTACATATCTTTCATTCACATGCTTCCTGAGGTACTGCTTCGTCGATTGAGGACCAAGACACGTATGTTTGCGTTCATAGCTAATGTTTCAAGGCCTACAATGCTATTCGAGGGACGCAAGCTATGTATATGCGTCGCGAGCAAAAGGACCGATTCTGTTTCAAAGGCATCTGAGATGTTGATGCTTGCGGCCATGTTGTGTACTTCTCGATTAGGCAAATGCTGTGCAATCCTACAGCGTGGGTTGTGCTCTGAGACTAGCTATTTGCGGACTAAAGGAAAGGTGCTGCTTTAGGACGGAAGTATCATTGTTAACGGGCAGGAAGGGGCACCGCATGCCAGGTGGGAGGACAATGGAAATAATAGGACTTCAAGCCACAGTCCCTGCGATTGATCATGGCGTTGTGAGGCTCTGGGGTATGGGGTTGAGGCACTTGAGGTAAGCTTGCAGCGATAACAAAAGAGGTTAGCGGTACGTACGACAGGATGACTCGCAGATGGGCGCGTGTTCTACGCAGAAGCTATCGGGATGTTGTGGAACGATTGCTCGATCTTACGCTGCCGCTCTGTGTAAATAATTCCATTTGCGCTCAATAACGGGTGACAGACCGGGAGGATAGTGTGCCGCGATCTGAAAGCACAACACAGCGATCGGCGAGTGTATCAGCACTGCGCGTTTGCTGTCTACTTCAAGTCCTCAGCTTCGATTCACAGCAGACCTCAAAAGCATACTCTGTGAAAAGTTAATCCTCAATTACCCCACCATCGAGTACATCATGATGGAAGCTCGCAGTCGCTGATCGGTAGCGCGGGTGCGCCTTGCCCAATTTGTCAAGCATTGCGAAGACAGTCACCTGTGACTCGTCGACAGTTTCTCAAATACCACACTGAAGATTGTAAGCCCTAAGCTCAGCTGCCGTACGTACTGTTTGTGAGATCAGCCGTAGTAGTGTTGTGTTAACTAGAACTGTGGTGTCAAGTTGGCACGATCAGCAAATCTGTAGGTACCAAAATTTCTCTGGAACATCAGATCATGCTTGCATTAGTTGTTGAGCCCACTGGTTTGCAGTCTATGGCAATTTTGATTGAAATCGGCGGGAGTATCGCACGGTCCAAGATTGACCGTTGTGCTACTGCGCGCCCACCGAGTAGCGTACCGTACCGCGAAGGCAGCGATGAGGTTGCCCAGATGTCACATGTCGCATGTCGCATGTCGCTGATGAGACTGAATTCGCGGCTGCTAGAACTCATCACGATGCACAATTTCGTACAGAAGTCGAAGGTGTTGACCATGGTTGCTACTCATGACGGTGACGATGCTGGTCTTGTCCCTATGACATCGACACACGGCAAGTCCGAGCCAGGTCGCCGTTCCATGGTCGAAAGAGTCGCCGATGTGGGGTATGTCGTCTAACCGTTCCCTTCCCCCCCCGCAACAGTTCAGAGCTAATATCGAATCCATACGCGTGATGCGCGTGGAGCGGGATGGCGAGCTTCTCGACAAGATCAACTCGCCTATCTTGCTGACCACGCCAAAGATAAGCGTCTGTACGAGGCGTGGACGATTTCGATACCGATGGATGCCAAGATTAACACAGCGAGTCCTCCCCAAATTTTGGTGGGCCAGCTCCTGTGAGGTATCATGGTACTGGGATATTGGTAATCACAATACCGTGCAACCGAGCCAAGGGAGAGCTACGGAGGACCTCCCAGAATCAGCAGTATAGAACTCGGCTCTGTGACTGCAGGGGATGAGAACGTGATATCTTCGATCGCACAGACAGTGACATGTCGTGAATGTTGAACCGCTCTGCGCACATGGATATGGACCACCTGGTCCACTCTTGCAGTGCCCACCGTAGGCTTGCACCGTGCAAGCTACTCTTAGCCCAAGCCTTCCAGGTTGAAGGGAGATCCTGAGGTACCAGAGAGGAGCTGCATGTCAGACGTTTGACCCCAGGCTGAGGCGTCCGGTCAACGTGCTTTCCACGCCAAACGCTACAAACCCTGGAGTCAAAGACTCAGGATAAACAATGCAGGGGATATCATGTCAAAACAGTGCTCGCTTGTTTGATCCAATCGTTCATATTCTTTGAGGAGAGGTTAAACTTGGTTACACAGGGTGGACCTGTGTTTGGTTGTCAACCTCAGCGGGTAATGGCGTGCATTCCACGGCAAGAAGAAACACCACACGCAAGTCGAATCGATCGACCGGCAGCAACCGAACCTCGCTGCATGCGTCGTGTAAAGCATCTGCTCTGACGTCCGTCGGATCCGCGGGCCCGTAGCAAGACATTGCCAGTCTCTAGTCTACCATAACGGGCTTGCCGAAGTCTGACTACTCAGAGCTACAGACACTGACCAGACCCAGAGTTGTGATCGGGGGAAAGTTAGCGAGATTTTCCTCTAATCACAATGACTCAAGAATCGCCACTGAGCTGTAGTGCGTCCCAGCTGCCGGTGACGATGATGGGTCTTTGCGGTGTTTCTGTAGACGTTCTCCATGGAAGCAAAATTGCAAGGTGCGATCGCTCTTTCTAAAACGTGCGCTTATTATTGAGGACTAATTTAAAATCATCGTTTCCTCCTAACGTCAATGATGTTGGTAAGGATCGATCGTGGTCAATCTTGCCGACTTCGTGCAGGTCTCAGGGAACTGACATGCAGGACTGCAAGTACCTGTTGCTGGCTAGCGCGGTTGGGTCATCGTGAACGAATAGTGGTACCCAAATTAACTTCTGATTGAGCCGCGGAGCGAATCTGCTATTAGTGATTTCGAGCAAGGGTGTTATGCCAGCCTCGCGTATGTTCATTGGCGAGGAATATCGTCTTGGATCTGGCGGTGCACATCCCTACCCCAAGGAACCGCAGCAACGGCTGAGGGTACCGAAGAACATGTGGCTTACTACGTGAGCGACAGATGCACATGACTGCTGCAAGCCACTACTAGCCAGCCCTGTCCAGACTAGCAGGGTGAGAGACCTCAGAGGAAGGGCGGCCAAAGTGGGGTTTAGTCCAAGCCATGGCTCCTGCTATCGAAGGGCTGGCAGCCGTTTTCGACTGCAAGCCACCAGCAACAGGTATTTTCGACTTCGAAACGAGTGGGTCTCTGGTCCAAGTGTCACATCCTTATGAACGCTCGATCGCCAGTGATGTTTCCACCCAAAAGCAGCGCAAGGTTCCCAACGTGGCAAGCTCACGACGCCAGCCTCAATCCGGAAGTCCTTTGTCCGTTCTCAGACGACTGGATAGACTCCTCTAAACTCTGAGCATTTGACTTCAAAGCTTAGTAGTCGCTACAAATACCTTCTGGTACCTGATCACTGGACAAAGAATTGCTCATAGTCGACTTGCCTTCACGCGTCCTCAAGCTATCCTTCACCGAAAAAGGACCGAGCCAAAACACCAAACCTTAGACAATCCACTTGTCTACGTGCAACCCAGCATCGCAAAAAGGTCCAAACGACTGTGTGTGCGCGCCCCAAAGTCCTGGCCCGTGACAAGCAGGTATCCGTAAGAGGTGCGTTCCCTGCCGTGTCTGATGCATGGTTGCGCAAGCAAACCGAACATATCAATACAGCCCGTGCCAAAACTAACACAGTCCCAGTACATATCTGATACATCTTCATCCAAGCCGTGTATCTCACAGGCAGTGAACAGCAGCACACCGGCTTGTATTTATTGCCTTAGCCAGTATCTGTCTCATCAAGTCTCACAAGCCTCGAGCTGGATTCACTCCTATTCTACCATTGCAGGCTTGCTTCTTCTTGTGCGCCGCATTGTTGTCGCCATCATTTTCGTTCTGAGTCCAGATATTGCGACTCTTTGATCTTCGAAATTGCAAGTTCCGGCATCCTCTTCAGTCTTGGCTTAGTTGCGCACTGGGACTTCAGCCATGAGGGGCGACACTCTTATTCAGCGACACCCTCCCACTCCACCAACACTTGTGGGAGATTTCCAGTCGGGGCTGCATCGGGTCGCGCAATACAACGCAGATCGCGGGTACCCCTACGAGGAGGTGAGCTATGGCGTTCCTGGAGTGGTCGGTCACGAAGGGATCCCTTCGCGTACGTCACATGTCGGAAGCCACACCGGAGAACGAGTCAGTCTAGGAATGCAATATGTAAGTACAGCTGTACCTCAGTACAGGCAACAATGTTGACCAGATCCAAGGATAGCTATGGTGCTCCGGGGTACTATCACGCCAGCCAAACCGATGGTCGCCCGGTAGGTAAAGTCTTCTGGTACGCTGCATCGATGATTAACGTGTAGTAGGATAGTCAAGGTGTCTTCTCGCCGCCAACTCCAAGGTCAACAAATGACGACGACTATGCGACACGATCTTCTCGCAGTGTACGATCAAAAGCAACCGCGAGTCCGCCTCGGAGACAGGACAGCCCTCAGGCAAAGCTAGCACCAAGAGCCAGGAAGGCAAAGGCAACCAAAGGCGAGAAGGCCAAGACACCCAAGCTGACCGCACCTTTGAGCATGTTGAGCGATGCTCTGCACCAGGTTCCCGTCAAGGATATGGAGGCGTGGGTCAACCGACCAGCAGACGTCAGGCGGAAGGAGGCCGAGAAGAGGAATGGTTACATCACCCGGCCGATGAACTCTTTCATGCTCTATCGATCGGCCTATGCAGAGCGCGCCAAGGCATGGTGCTTGCAGAACAACCACCAAGTCGTGTCGTCGGTGGCAGGAGAGAGCTGGCCACTGGAACCACCGGAGGTTCGCGACCGGTTCAACGACTACGCGAAGATTGAGCGTATCAACCACCAGAACGCCCACCCAACATACAAGTTCTCGCCCAGCAAGACAGTCGCACCTCCGCGGAAGCGAAAGGACGAGTGGTCGGATGAAGAGCCGAGCGACCTTGACGATGCCGAGTGGGCGCGGTCTAGGCAAGCGAAGCGGTTCCAGCGCTCGATCAGCTATCCACCCAACCTCGCACCACCGGAGTACTTGGAGCGTTCGTACGGACCCAATGCCAACGGTATGATGCGGTCCTCCTGGGAGATGACCAACGAAGGACGACCGATGCCAATGCCCATGCACCACGACATGTACAACCAGTACTACCAAACGGCGGTATTTCCCAACATGCATGTGGGTGCGCACTACAGTGAAGACCTTCGCATGCGCCGAGTAGGTGTTCCAGGAGCGGATCCAGCGCCAGCACAGGCTTTGCAGTTCTCATCAAACCAACTGCTTGGCCTGCCTGGTGGCGACGCAAGCGACTTGATGAACCAGCTGCAAGCCCAGGTCACAACACCCTTTGACGAGGGACAAGTTGACCCATTGCTGTTGGCGTACGATGGTGGCCATCACTCAGAAGTAGACCCTGTTGCTCTCCAGCAGGACTACCGCAATGGCTATCCCAACATGATGGATGAGAAGTACGGCCAGCAGGAGATCAACAGGCTATTGGAGATCGAGCACCACCACGACAGCTACAACTCCTCGTGGCAGTCTGATCCAACGATGTCTTCGTTTGATCAAGAGTCCGAGTTCGATAAGTGGGTGGGCGAGCATTGATAGACCGGATGGGAGACGTCGATGATGTTCTCTGACAGATATGACCGCATACGCATGATTGTGAGTTGCACGATGGATACCCCCTGTTGGTTTTCGGTTCAGCACGGCTTTGATGGACCAAACCCAAACATCTTTATATGCATCGGCGGCGCCATTTGTTGTTTTGTATGTTAGCCATAGAATTCGCGTCCTCGTAGAACGATTGCGACCGAATGAAACACGTCACTGATGATTCCTCGCATATCGTTTCGAAGTTGACTGCTATAGAGCTGGGAGTCGGAGAGAGAGAAGACAGGATTGATGACGTTGGCGGCTGTGGTGTAGAGGGTTGCAGCTGCGGCTGAAGGGGCAAGTGCAAGACCCTGCCGTGCCTGCCCCACCTACCGGTACGACTTCGCGTCGCGGACGCGACTGCCTCTCGAGATTCTGGCGGGGTCACGACAACAAACAATCGCTGCCTTGCGTATCTCACAACTTGGACAGCACAGACTTGAAGCAGAAGATCGCAAAGTGTCCATTCAGCCAACATGTATGGCGAAACGGCCAACAAGCTGGTGAGCAGGCCTATTCACTCCCACCCTTGTCGTACTGACACTGCAGGTCCAAAACGCCAAACGCACACTCGCACTGCCACACCTGCCGCCATACCAGTCAGAGCTCATCAGATCTGTGGTGCGCGAGGTACGGGATCTGGACAAAGATGTAGCCTCGCTCCTCGCGCCGTACTCCGGTTCCTTCAACCCAGCCTCCTCGCCAGAGACTGCATGCGCCTTACTCGTCAACCACCTCTGCATGCGCCGCAACAAACGGTGCTTACTGGCGTACCACAAGGTGCGAAGTAACAAGCTGGAAGAGTACTGCTGGAATGGTGTGGATGTACTCGAGCAACAGACCCAGAAAGCCAGTGGCAGTGGTGCTGGAGAAGACGGTGCGGCAGGCGCAGAGAGCAGTCTGTCACCTGAGGAGGAGGAGTATGTGCGACAGTATAGTGATCTCCTGGCTGCCTACAAAGGTCAATGGACAGACATCGATCTGACTGGGAGTCTGGAGCCACCCAAAGACCTGTTCATCGATGTACGAGTGTTGAAGGATGCCGGTGAGATCCAGACAGAATACGGGTAAGTTTGGCATAGTTGCGACAGTCTTCTGACGCATTTTGGCCTTAGGATCTTAAGCTGACCAACCGCAGATCCATTACTTTGACCAAGAACAGCCAATTCTACGTACGCCACGGGGATGTCGAGAGACTGATCCAGCAAGGCTATCTCCAGCGACTGAGCTGAATCATTGCGAAGTGGGTAATGTGGACGACGATCTCACATTTGCACCATCACATTTGCACCATCACATTTCCATCAACAACATCTTACGTCTTGGCAACCCACATCAGGCCACAAGGCACTATTTCTGGCGCTTCTGTATGATCTACGCTCAAGGCAGACTTCAAAGAGTTTCCACGAGGTCCTCCCCAGTTCCTTCAGGATCCGCCTTTCTCGGACACTTTTCGAAGCCTGAGCCAAGATCAAGGGCTTTCCCCTTTGGGCGCCGTGGCAGGGTGCATGCGCTGCTTCCAACTAAGCCTGGTTCAGCTAAAGCAAGCAAGGACACAATAGAACGGAGAAGGTGAACGCAGGTACCCCAGCTTGAAGGACGAAATGCCACCGTCCAGGGCGTATACATGGCCCGATAACTCGGGTGAGAAGCCACGCGCATACTCTCGAGATGACGATACGCACGGATACAGACACTCGGTCCCAAACCACTCGATGAGTTGGCGGACAATCTAATGGCTGTCGCGGTTGTGCCGGCTCACGCCTGTCAGCACAAGAATGACTCGTCCAATCTTCTCTGCTCGGATGACGCGATGTTTCAAGAAATGGTCTGAGCAACACGGCGGTGTGTTGGTGTAGAGCCCACTGCCCACCGGGACGCTGAGCATCGAAGGCCAAACGCCACCATCTCGGTCCGAGAATGGGTCTCGGTATCCCTGGAGGTCTTCCTGGACAGGCAGTGCTGCGAGGGGCCGACACGAGCGTTGATGAGGCGCTCATATCGGGGATGACGATATCCCTGTTGATAGCCGCAAGCGAGCTCAGGCCAGAAACACGTTTGCCGCTTCTTGGCGTGTGTTTGGGCGAAGAGGGATTGTAGTTGGTACGAAGCTGTCAGATTGACGGTGTGCGGTGGGTGAGTGTCTCTAGGTACACGAATCTAGCGTTTCCAGTCTTGCTCTCAGTCTTGTATGCCTGCTTGCTTGCTTCTTGGCAACAAAGACATGCGTTGTTGTCTTTTGCATCTGGTGCTGGGTCTTTTGCATCTGGTGCTGGGTCTTTAAGGTCGGGTCAGGTCAGGTCGGGTCAGGTCAGGTCGGGTCAGATCAGGTCGGGTCAGATCAGGTCGGATCAGGTCGGGTCAGGTCAGGTCGGGTGCAGTCTTGACGTTGGAGAATTATATTGCCGTAGAGAATTGTGCTGCGTACGCCTAGACGCCGGCAAGGCACTGCTTTGCCTGTTGGTATTTGGTACATGAGTAACACGACTCCACCCCCCCTCGACATGCGCCGTCTACGTCTACGTCCACAGCCTTACCGTCCCGTCGGCGCCCGCGCTCACACACCACGGCTCGCGCGGATGCCACTCGACGCCCATGACGCCCAGACGCTGCCTGACCCTGTGCCCCCTGAGCACCTTGAGCGGGACAATGGTCGCGTTCTGCATCAGGTCGCCCACGACGTTGGCGTGGAAAATCTGCAGCGAGCCGTCGTCGCTCGCGTCGGCAAACAGCGGGTAGCCGCCCTGGTGGAAGGCGACGTCGCGAATCGCAGCGCTGTGGAAGCGCAGCGTCTTGTAGGGCTTGGTGGACAGATCGAGGTCGTGCCACAGCAGGCGCTTGTCGTAGGTGCCGACGAGCAGGTTGTCGCCGCCGGGGTGCACGGCGAGCGAGGAGATCCACTTTGCACCGGGCTGCAGGATCTTGACGAGTTCCTGCTTGGCGAGGTCGTAGGAGCGGATCGTGTTGCGGGTTGCGACGAAGAAGATGGCCTTGCTGGGGTGGAAGTGCGCCGTCTGCGCGATGCCTTTGAGGCGCCGGAACGGCAGCTGTGTCAGGTGCTTGCTGACGGTGTGGATGGCGACCGCCGAGGACTGGCCGCGCGGCGAGACGGTGGTCAAATAGTCGCCGCGGCGGTGCCAGGAGAGCGTCTTGACGGCGCTGCGGACCTCGATCTGGACCAGGACGCCTTTGCTCTCGAGCCTGCGCTCGGGCCGCGACCAGACGCCTGGCGGGGTCTTGGGCGCGTCGTCGGCGGGCGTCGGCTGCGACTTGGACGACGCGTAGCCCCACCCTGCGTCCAGCATGTCGCGGCTGTGCTGCTCGACGTCGGGCGAGAGGAGCGAGAAGGGGACGGCGAGGTAGACGTGCTCGCCGGCGGCGGCGGCGAGGATCGAAGCCTCCCTCACGGGCCGCCACGACACGGCGTCGACGGCTTCCTCCGACGACAGGCGCGCGCTCCACAGCTGGCGGCCCGTCAGCACCTCCCACACGCGCACGTAGCCGTCGTCGCCGCCGGACGCGACAAAGACGCCCAGCGGGTCGACCGAGACGGAGCGCACGCGGCCAGGAGGGCCGCGCAGAATGGCCGCGCACGTGGTCGGGAAGGGCTTCAGGTCTTCGGGGTCGGGCAGCTTGGGGAGGAGCGACTCGGGGTCAATGTTCAGCCGGTTGCGCCTGATGCGGGGCGCGAGGTAGAGATCGAGGCTGCGCTCGAAGCGCTCCTTGACGAAGGCGTCGTAGCCGGGCACCTTGCGCAGGGCCTCGTAGTTCTTGGGCAGAAACTCGCGCTCGCGGTCCTCGTCGTCCTGGTCGAGCCAGGCGTCGGCCTCGGCCCTGTCGGGCAGGTACTCGGGCGGCGGGTGGTACGAGGCGTCGTAGCCCGGCGGCGGCAGCTTGGGGGCCGCGAGGTGCATCGAGTGCGCGTCGCGCGGCTTCTCGTCGGCCCACACGTCAAACGTGAACTGGTCCGCCTCGTCCGTCTCCTCGGGCGGCCTGTACGGGGCGATGCGGCCCTCGCGGATCGCCTTGACAATCTTCATGACGCGCTTCGCCTCGTGCTTGGACGGCACGAAGCGGCGCTTGGGCTCCGGGGCGGCGCTGAGCGGCATCACCTCCTGGTTGACGCCGGAGAAGTAGGCAATCATGTCCGGGTACGGGTCGTAGCCGTCCTCGATGACCTCGTTGCGGGCGACCTTGTGCAGCACGCGCAGCTCCTCGTCGGTCAGGTTCAGCGGCTGGCCGGTGGCCGGGTCCGTCAGGCCGGTCCAGCCCTTGGGGATGTCGATGCTGTCCAGCAGGGCGTCGAGGGCGTCGCCCTTGGCCGGACGCATGATGCGCTTGCCGTTGATGTCGTAGCCAATGTGCGGGAACTCGTCGTAGTACTTGAGGTCAATGTTGCCAATGGTGTTGGTCTGCTCGGCGTCCGAGTCGTCCGACTCGTAGACGGGGTCGATTTCGTGGTACATGTAGCGCGTGTTGCCGTTGGCGTCCGTGTGGACAGTGTAGTTTGGCTCGAGGGTTTCGTCGTCGGCGTCCAGCTCGCCATTGTGTGTGTGGTGGCCGTCGGACGTCTTGAGGTTGCGCATCTGCTCGCGGATGTCGTCGTCGTTGTTGCTGTTGTTGTTGTTGCTGTTGTTGCTGTCGTTGTTGCTGCTGTTGTTGCTGTTGTTGTTGCTGTTGTTGTTGCTGTTGTTGTTGCTGTTGCTGTCGTCGTCGTCGTCGTCGTCTTCCTCGTCCTCGTCCGACAGCCCCTCGATGATGCTGCTGGCGTCGGTGCCATCCTCTTCCTCGTCCTCCCCGCTGCCCTCGGAATCGTCCTCGGAATGCGACAGGATGCCGTCGAGCAGCCCGTCGCCCAGCTCGTTCTCCGACTCGCTCTCCGGCGGCGGCGGCGGCGCCTTGGTGACGACCTTTCTCTTGCGCGGATTGACTGACATGTTGGGCGGCGGAACCGTCTGGTCGTGCTGCGCGCTCGCTGTCCAGCACCAGAACTTTTTTGGGTGGGTCCGCTACCGTACCGCGCTACTTGCTGCCACCCCTGCCTAGGGCACGACCGCACGACCGCACGACCCGCAGCTGCCTTTTGATTCCCGAGCTGTCTTTTCGTTCCCCGAGCTGCCTTGTCGTCCCCCGAGCTGCCTTGCCGTCCCCCAAACTGCCTTGTCGTCCCCCAAACTGCTTTTTCGTCCCCCAGACTGCCTTTTCGTCCCCCAGACTGCCTTTCCGCCCCCCGACTGCCTTTTCGCCCCCCCGAGCTTGCTGCACCGACCTGACGCGACGACGCAGCCATTCCGCCCGCCCGCCGCGTCCGCACCCACACCCTCACAGTACCGCGCCGCGAGCCGCCATGGCGACACGAGCTGATTCATCAAGGCACGACCGCGGCCGCTACTCGCCGCCCCGCCGCGACAGAGACCGCTCGCGGGACCGCTACAGCGACCGCTACTCGGGCACCAGCCGCCGCGACGAACGCCCGCGCGACAGAGACCGGGACCGCGACAGAGACCGCGATCGGGGAGGCCGCGACCGCCGCGACCGCCGCCATGACCGCAGAGACGGCCGTCGCTCGCGCTCGCCGGCCGCGCGCCGGAACCGGTCGCGCGACCGAGACCGCGGGGACCGCTACAGACGCGACGACAGGAGCCGCAGCCGCAGCCGCAATCGCCGCTCCCCCGACGACCGACGCCGCCGCTCCACCTCACGCCGGCCGGGCTCCTCGACGGCGACGCCCGCACCCGACAGCAAGCGCGGCGACCGTCTGGGCTCCGTCTCGCGCGCCGACCGCCTGAGCCCCGTCTCGCGCGCCGACAAGAGGGACCCGGAGGAGGAAAAAAAGGCCGCCCGCGCCGCCAAGCTCGCCGAGTGGAAGAAGCTCAACGGGGACCGTCTGGCCAAGGACAGGGGCGCCGACGAGCTCGCGGCCACGGCCCCCTCGACGCCCACCGTCGCGGCCACGCCGACGCGGGAGGGCACCGAGGAGCCCGCCAAGCCCAAGGCCCCGCTGAAGAGCGCCGCTGAGAAGCTCAGGCAGAAGCAGCCCGAGAAGTCGACCTTCAAGCTCGACGAGTCGGCCGCGGCCCGTCCGCTGGCAGCCAAGCCCGCCGGCAGGCCCGTCACGACCAGTGAGTCGAGCAGCCGGCTGTGGCACGACCAGCAGCTGACGCGCGCAGAACCGGCCGTCGCCCACCAGGCCAGAGGCAACGCCAACATGGGCGCCTTTGGCCTCAAGACCAAGAACGCGCCCGACGCAGACGCCACGGCGACCACCAAGAAGGCCTTTCTCGAAGACGACACCGACACGGGCAAGCGCAAGTTCCAGGCGCTCCCCGCCTTTGCCCCCATCGACGACGCCGACACGCTGCCGGACCCCGAGGAAGAGGACGAGACGGCCCTCGACGACATGGGCAGCGACGACGAGGAGAACAACGCCCAGCTGCAGGCCCAGCTCGAGAAGCGCCGCGCCGACATTGCCGGCGCCGGCGACGCCGCCATGGAAGACGCCCCCGCCGCGGCCCCCGCCGGCGCGGCCGACAGGATGGACGTTGACGAGACGGCAGATGCCCAAGAAGACGACGTCGATGCGCTCGATGCCTTCATGGCCGGCCTCACCGAGCCCGCGCCCAGCCGCTCAGCCCCCCAGGGCACCGCCATGTTCAACGACGACCTCGAGCCCGAGCAGACGTCGGTCGAGGCCGAAGACCTTCTCGCCATGAGCGCGCGCAAGAAGGCGAAGAAGGAGGCCCCGGTCATCGACCACAACAAGGTCGAGTACGAGCCGTTCCGCAAGAACTTCTACACGGAGCCCTCTGAAGTCTCCGCCATGACCCCCGAAGAGGTCGCCGACCTGCGGCACGAAATGGACGGCATCAAGGTGAAGCCCGACGACGTGCCGCGGCCCGTCACCAAGTGGGCCCAGATGGGTCTGCTCCAGGCCACCATGGACGTCTTCCAGAAGGTGCGCTACGACAGACCCACGTCGATCCAAGCGCAAGCCATCCCCATTGCCGAGTCGGGTCGTGATCTCATCGGCGTCGCCAAGACAGGTTCTGGCAAGACGCTTGGCTTTGGCATTCCCATGATTCGACACATTCTAGACCAGCGTCCGCTCAAGTCGTCTGACGGCCCCATTGGCCTGATTCTAGCCCCCACCCGCGAGCTGTCTCTGCAGATCAAGAACGAGCTGAAGCCGTTCCTCAAGGCGTCTGGCATCAAGATTGAGTGCGCCTACGGCGGAGAGCCCATCTCCGACCAGATTGCCATGATCAAGCGCGGCGGCATCCACGTTCTCTGCGCCACCCCTGGCCGGCTCATTGACCTGCTGCAAAGCAACTCGGGCCGGGTCCTGAGCTTTCGGCGCATCACCTACGTGATCCTCGACGAGGCCGACCGCATGTTCGACATGGGCTTTGAGCCGCAGGTTATGAAGATTCTTGCAAACGTCCGGCCCGATCGCCAGACGATCCTCTTCTCGGCCACGTTCCCCAAAAACATGGCTGCCTTGGCGCGCAAGGCGCTCAACAAGCCCGCCGAAGTCATCATTGGCGGCCGCAGCAAGGTGGCGCCCGAGATTACCCAAGTCATCTCGCTGGTCCAGCCCTCGTACGAGAAGAAGATCAACAAGCTGCTTCTGCACCTCGGCCAGCTGTTCGCCGAGGACGAGAACGCGCAGGTGCTGATCTTCACGGAGAAGCAGGAGACGGCAGAAGACCTTTTGTCGAAGCTCTTCAAGGCAAAGTACATGTCTGTCAACACCATCCACGGAGCAAAAGACCAGACGGACCGCAACGAGGCCATCAACGACTTCAAGCAGGGCGTCCTCTCCGTGCTCGTCGCCACCTCGGTTGCTGCTCGCGGTCTCGATGTCCCGGGCCTGGCCATGGTCTTCAACTTTGACTGCCCCACTCACCTGGAAGACTACGTCCACCGCTGCGGCCGCACAGGCCGCGCCGGCAACAAGGGCACCGCCATCACGCTCCTCGAGGACCCCGGCCAAGAGCGCTTTGCCGTCCACATTGTCAAGGCCCTCAAAGAAAGCGACACGGCCGTTCCCGACGGAGTCCAGAAGATGGCCGACTCGTTCCTCGAAAGGGCCAAGGCGGGCACCGAAAAGTTCTTTGGCGGCTTTGGAGGAAAGGGCCTCGACCGTCTCGATGCGGCGCGCGCCCTCGAGAAGAAGCGCGAGAAGCGCGCGCACAAGGTCGAGGGCGAAGACGACTCGGACGAAGAGCCCGAGCTCCCCGCGCTCAAGCAACCCGAAGTCGCCGGCCCGGGCATCGTCAAGCCCAACGACGCCGCCGCCGCCGCCGCCGCCGCCGCAAAGAGCGAAGACGACCAGCCGTCCTGGATGAAGCTCCTTAACTCCAAGATTGTCGTCCAGAAGACGGAGCGCCCGGACGCCTCGGCGAGCGGCAAGCCCATGTCGGCCAAAGAACGCGCCCTCGCCGCCGCCAACAAGGTCGACGGCCGCCTCAGCAAAAAGGGCATGATCCACGCCGGCCAGCCCATTGACAACAAGGGCCCGGACGCGGGTCTGTACCACAGCACCATTGAGATCAACGACTTCCCGCAAAAGGCCCGCTGGGCCGTGACCAACCGCACAAACGTCGCCAAGATCCTCGAGAACACGGGCGTCTCCATCACCACAAAGGGCAACTTCTACGCCCCCGGCAAGGAGCCCGGCGAGACGGACCTGCCCAAGCTGTACATCCTCGTCGAGGGCGATACCGAGAACGTCGTCACCCAGGCCATGATGGAACTCACCCGCCTCCTGCGCGAGGGCACCATTGCCGCCGAGGACGCCGTTACTGTGCGCGGGCCCACGGGCCGCTACAACGTCGTCTGAGTCTTGTTGTCCATGGCCTTTTTTTTTTTTTTTTTTTTTTTTTTTACTACGCGAGCATGGGCGTTTGCACAGACGGCGTTTGGCACTGCATGGGCGGCGTTTGGCACTGCGTGGGCGGCATTTGGCACTGCGTGGATGAACGGCGTCGAAGCGTGGACGGCGTTTGGCACTGCGTGGACGAAGGGCGTCGAAGCGTGGACGGCGTTTGGCACTGCATGGATGAAGGGCGTCGAAGCGTGGCATCAGTCTGGAATCAATGCATCCTCGAGACAAGAGACGCGCGTGTAGAAAATCACATGTCGTAAGTCCCGCCCCGATCTCCCCCGCGCGATACCGTTGATCTCGACCGCCCAGTCCCAGATGCGCGTCGTCACGACTCTGCGACAGGCCCATGTGCCTCGTGTTGATGGAACGTGGAGGGGAGTGCGAGTGCGGCAGGGAAATGGTCCAGTAGGTATGTGTAGGTATTTAATCGCGTTAATGAAATCTCGTCTCCACACCGAGCGCGTCCCATCTCACCCTTTCACTCCGCAGCCTCCCCCCGCGCTTCTCTACTCCTCCAGCCCCTCGATAAACCCCACCAGCCGCTTCTTCAGCACCACCCCGACCAGCGCACCCGTGCCCTCGGCCGTCACGCACAGGTACCGCAACCCCAGCTTCGCGAACATCTCGACTGCGACCTCGACCGGCGCCGAGCGGCACAGCGATAGCGGCGCGTGGTCGACGAGCGGGCTGAGGTCGAGCGCATCCGCATCTGCATCCGCATCTGCATCCGCATCGTCGCCCGCCGGCCCGAGGAGTCGCACGGCGCGGTCTGGCTGCGCGCACGCCAGCCCCGCGGCGAGCTCGGGCTGCGCCAGGTAGCCCTGCAGCACGGGGACGGTCGAGGGCGGCCGCGTCTGCACCAGCACCAGGCCTGCGTCCATCAGCCCCCTGCTCCTGAGCGCGGCGAGCTTGCGCTGCAGCAGCGATGCCGCGACGGTGTTGTTGCCCGGCGGGACGAGCACGGTGATGGCTGCCATTGTGCGCGCCGGCGGGATCAGCGATGAAACGCGCAGGTCCGTCTTGCGCACGGCGTGCAGAGCCACGTCGGCGTCGAGGAACGGGTGGCCCAGCACCGTCTGTGCCACGTCGTACACGCTCGCGGCCGAGATGGCGTCCGCGACCCACTTCGCGACCAGTATGGCCACCATGTTCGGCACCGCGTACGCGAGCTCGCCGCTCAGCTCCAGCATGATGACCGCCAGGCTGATGGTCATGCGGCTCACGCCCGCCAGGAACGCGGCGGCGCCCGCCAGCGCGAACATGCCCGGCGACGACACGGCGTTGGGCGCCGCGCACGACACCATGTAGCCGGCCAGCCGGCCGAAGAGGGCGCCCGCGTCCAGCGCGGGGATGATGACGCCCGACGGCACTTTGCAGCCGAACGTGACGATGCTGAGGACAAGCTTGGTCAGCGTCCCGTACGCCAGCCAGCCAACGTAGGCCCAGTTAATCGTCGTCCCCTCGGTGCGCGCTTCATGCACGCAGACGAAGGAATGCTGCGACGCGGGATCCGCGCAGTCGACGAGCACGCTCTTGAGAGCGACGTCGCCGGGCTCGCGCGTCAGCGGATTGGGGAACTGCAGCAGTGCCGTCGCCAGCACCACGAGCGCGACTTCCAACACGGGGTTCTGCTCGATCAGCGCAAGTCGGCGGAAGCGCCTGCTCCAGAGGAAATTCAGCTTGCAGAACAGGCCGCCGAAGATGCCGCCCGCGACCCCGAGGAGCATCAACACCAGGTAGTGCGCGGGCTCGTACTCGGTGCCGTAGCTGGTCTCGAACAGGACGAGTTTGCCCGTGCCCGTGGGGTTGAGCAGCTTGAGCACCATGGCGGCCGTCAGGCTGCAGAGGAACGCGCGCCAGAGGACGCTGCGCGGGAAGTACGTGCTGATCTGCATGCGGTCAGCCATGTGATGTGTTGCTTGCACGGCAGCGTGCGTGGCGGGGGCCTGCCTCTTCGTAGCTGAACAGCACGCCGCCGATGGGCGCGCCAAAGGCGACGCTCAGCCCGCTGGCGCACGCGGCGCTCAGCAGCTCGCGCATCTTGCGCCCGTTGGCGGCGTACTTGGGGAACTGCGAGCCGACTAGATGGCCCACGCACGTCGAGATGTGCACAAAGGGCCCTTCCTTGCCCAGACACATGCCGGTGCTCACGGCGAAGACGGCACCGAACGCTTTGATGACGAGTACCTTGAGGGATAGAAACGACGGGATGCAGAAGCCGCTCAATATGGTCTTGATCTCGGGGATGCTGTGGCGTCGTAAGTAGTCGACTTGGACTGTGTGCTGCTTGTGATGCTCACCCGCTGCCTGCGGCCATGTACATGACCTTTCCGGCTCCTGCACTGGATGATGGCGCCGGCGCACGCACACCAGCCGAGACGTGTGAGCCGCTCAGTCTCGCAACCGGTGGAGAGGCAGGCTGCTCACCGTCCTCGTCGGCGGACGGGAGTCGGGTCCTCGTCAACATGGTTGCGCTCGAGCTGATGGTGCCAAAGATGAGTGCTAGCGCAACGTAGACTGCAAAGCTGCCGGCATAGCCAGTGGACCAGGCGCGCCAGGCACTGCAGCTCGGCTCTACACCCCGCGCATCAGCGAGACGAAGCTGCGAAGGCGACGCACTCGGTGCGTGCGCGCGACAGCAGTTCTCCCGGCTCTTCCACGGGCTGGTGCTGCAATACCCCGTCTTCCAATCTGCTACGGTGGCGACGGCGACGTCGACGAGGAAGGCGACGAGAGCTGTCAGAGCGCCGATTATGACGACGGCGATCCATCCCGAGCAGGCGTCGAAGAGCGCAAGAACCCTGTACCGCAGTCCGGGAAGGGAGTCGATGTGCCGGAATCTGTACGAGTCTTTGACCTGCTTGAGTCAGTGCCACGCCACAAACGACTCCAGGACATTTGTACAAGATCGTGGAGCCAGTCGATCGTCGTGTAATCATTATACGGCAGGCGTTCGCCAACCGCGCTATCGATGCGTTGCTGTTCCTCTTTCAGTGGGCTGGAGGATATCGTCGAAGCCGTCTCTAAGTCCTGATCGTGTTGCAGATGAGACAATCGACGGCCGTGCAGAAGCGGCGTCCGCTCGCTCCCGGCCTCAACATCCGAGGGCATGGCTCGAGGCTGCGAAAGGGCAGCGTGAGGAGTGCTTCAGACATGCTTCTGGGTTATCCGGGTAGATATGGGATCGAGCGTTCGAAGCCACCTCAGGTGCATGCACAGTGACGCTGCCGTATCTTTCAAACCCTCGCTTATCAACCGTCGAGCACGATTGACTGGGATTTGACCTGGGGAAGACGCTCGTGGTCAGGGTCCAGGTATCGAGGCTTGAATGCGGAGAGATAAGGAGCCGTGCAGGCGTGGAGGGCCTCGATGTGATAGGCGCAGATCGTGTACACAGCGCTAGCCGGGTGGGCGCGTTATCGGTCGCATTACGGCTGCGAAGACTATCAGTTGCGGTGCGTAGCTCAGAACATGCAAGCAAAAGGCGCTGGACACAGTCAAAGCAGGGAAAAAACCGTCAGTGCGGACGAGAGGTGCTGAGAACAGTACAGGGAATACAAGCAGAGCTACAGCGCTATATGCTTACATACGTTACGCGAGACAAGAACACGCTCTGATGTCCAGACCAGATGCGCCAGGGGACCTAACCTACGCCGCCATGTAAGAGAAACCGAACCGCGGTCCAGGCCAGAGTACATTGATATTGCCACTTGCGCGCCGGTTCGACCGACTCGAGCACGGATCCACGAGATGTCGAGGAACCAAGGAAATGTCGTGCAAGGAAAAATACAGTCGATGCTGCTTCAGAATCTAAGCTGCCTTCGCGAGTACCGCCGTTTCGCGGGCGTACCTCTGCCTCTCGGCCGCACCTTGGTCTTCGAATCGCTGTCATGTGGGTCAGATGACGTTTTCCAAAGACGTGGAGTAGAACATACCTGCTTCTCACCGGCACTCAGCGCCTTCCATTCAGCGGAGATGAGCCGGGCCCTCTCCGGAACGGCGATGCCGTGGAAGTCTGAGCTTGCCTGGCGTTCGGCGAAGAAGAAAGCCCAGGCAGAGCTCGGGCGCTTCGGCATGCGGTCGTCCTCGATGGGCTGGGTGTGCGCGACTTGCCGCTTGTATTTGCCCGCGAGCTTCTTCCTGAGGAGGTTGCGCGCGTTGTTTGCAAGACGGATCTGCTCGGGCGTGTGGGACTTGACCCAGGCGTTGTACTCGGCAAGCCGGGCCTCGTTGCGCTCAGAGGTCAGATGGTTGTATTTCTGGGTGGATTGTCAGCACGAACATGTGGGGGTATTGGGGTGTAGTGTGTACCTCGCGCTCAGCAGGCGAGATGTCCTTGAAGGACGCTGCGCTCTGGCTCAAAGCTGCCTTTCCGGCGCTCCCTTTGACCTGTTCTGCGATGTAGACGTTGAAGGTGGAGATTCTGTTGCGGGCAACGGGCTCCTTGAGCGCGACCTTCTTCAGTTCCCGGACCACGGCCTTGAGCTTCTCCTCATCTGTGAGCACCTTCTTGGGCTTCTTAGCCGGCTTCTTGACCGGCTTCTTGACCAGCTTCTTGACCGGTTTCTTGGGCGCGGCCTTCTTCTTGGTCGTCTTCGCCTGGCTGCCTGGGGCCTTCTTCGCGACGGCCGTCTTGGTCACCTTCTTGCCCGCTGCCGCCTTCGCCTTGACGGCCTTCTTGACCGGCGCGGCGGGGTCCTTCTGGGCCTTGGTGGTGGCGTACGAGCGCGTCTGGAGCTGAATCACGTGCGCGAGAGAGCGGACGGGCAGCGAGAGGCCGCTGCGGGCCGCCTGGACGAGGGTCGCGAGCTTGGGCAGGTCGTGGGCAGCTTGCTTGGGCACCCCGGCCGCCAAGCGGCAGAGCGCGCCGCGGGCCAGCATCGCGAAGGTGTGTGGTCGCGTTGGCGGGTGTCGTGTCTCACGGAGCGTCTGACGAGCGGCGCCGGTGCGGATGGCGAGCAATTGGGCGAGGGCGGTTGAGGGACGGTGGTGTGGCCGTCCGGATTGGGACGCGAGACAACTGCCAACCTCCCGCCTTGGAAGCTGGGGCCCTTGCATAAGCGACGCGATCGGCGGGACCGTCAACAGCCAAGCCAAGGAGCACAACCCACCCATGCCCACAACAGGCCATTATTGGTGTGACGCCATCGCCTGAGTTTGGGCTTGAGCTTGAGCTGGAGCTTGGCCTTGAGATTGGCCTTGAGCTTGAGATGAATAATCCTTCTCGATTGCATGCAAATGGAATAAATGTAATCAAAACAGTCGCCAGGCTGCAAAATACCGCCGCCCGTCCGCAGCTCTACATGCTGTATACACAAAACAGACGCGTCCATCTTTTGCCGGGTAGTCTAGACCAGAGCAACTTTTGCACAGGGCGCCAGACAGCAGTTCGGATAGTGGTCGCTGTATCGTCTATTTGATCTCGTAGCTGTTGTCGAGTTAGCAAGGCACAATGTCGCGCGCGAGGGATTCATCTTACCTCCAGGGGTGCTCCTCGTCGCCGTACTGGATGGCCTCCATCCACTCCTTCATCTGCTGAGCAATTGGTCCCGCCTCGACATGGTCTTCAAGACCGCAGTTGACGAGGCGGTTCTTCCAGCTGATCTTGCGCACGGGGCTGACAATGGCGGCAGTTCCCGCACCGAAGACCTCCATCATGCGGCCCTCGTCGGCGGCAGCAGCCATGTCCTTCATCGTGAACTTCTGCTCGAGAACCTTCCAGCCCTTGGGCTCCAGGCGCTCCCTCGCAAGACCCAGGATCGAGTCTCGTGTGACACCGGGGAGGATGGTTCCGTCGAGCGGCGCAGTGAGCAGCTCGGGCTGTCCGGTTTCCTTGTTCTTGATCGCAGCGAACAGGTTCATGGTGCCGACCTCGGTGACGTACTCCTCCTCGCCGAACAGCCAGAGGTTCTGGTGGAAGCCGCGGCTAGCAGCCTGCTTCTGGGGGACAATGCAGGGCGCGTAGTTGGCACCCAGCTTCTTGTCACCGACACCTCCGGGCCACGCGCGCACAGCGTAGTCGGTGGCCTCAAGCGATATGGCCGTGAAGCCTGTAGGGTAGTAGGGACCGACAGGTGAGGCGATAACGTAGAGAAGCGCGGAAGCGGGGGGACCGACGCCGAGGGTGCGCTGGGTACCGATCATGGTCGGACGCAGGTAGAGCGAGTATCCGCGTTCGCTGCACCGGCTGTCAGCTTCTGCTTCGTGCAGACATTCGTCATCGCATCTTACTCGGGGATGAAGCGCGCATCCTCCTTTACGAATTTGCCGATGAGGTCGATCAGCGCATCAGGGTCGAAGTTGGGCAGCGCAATGCGTGCCGATGACGTGTTGAAACGGACCATGTTCCTGTCCGGCCTGAACAGTCTGATGGCGCCCTTCTTGTCCTTGTAGGCCTTCATGCCCTCGAAGCACCCGAACGCATAGTGGAACACGCACGTTGCCGGATCGAGGCTCAGGTTCTGGTACGGTGTGATGCGCGCGGGGAGCCATCCTTCCGCTGCTGTCCATTCGATCGAGAGCATGTGATCTGTTGCTTTTCTTAGCCATCTGCCCAGCCGTGACGCAGCTGAGCCATCTACCCGTGAAGTTGCGACCGAAGAGAAGGTCCTTCGGCGCCAAGAGGTCCTTCGGCGAGGTTGTCCTTGTGATGCTGAGCTTTGTCGGATCAATGTCCTGAATCTTGTTGCCAACAGAGGCATCAGCGTGGATGCTGTACGGGCGCTGTGTCCGACATCGCAGCGATGCGCTGAGCGGTGCAGCTTTCGAGCGGAAGGCGCAATTGGAGAGCGAGGAAAGCAGCCTCGAAGATCTCTGCTGCAACATGGCCATGTGAGTTTTGCCGGGCTGTGGAGGGAGAATGGGGCTCAAGTGCGTCGGTCAAACTGACTGTCCTCCAAATGTTGCAGGGTTCATCGGCAGACCGCCTCGGCTCTACGCGCCGCTAACGGCGCTTCAATCATTGGCCCTTGACGGACAAACCGGGCATCTCTCCCATGTCCGCAGAACAATCATGCAGTCATTGAGCAATCGAGTCAGAGTAGATAGTGCTGACGTGGTCAACAGAAGGAGGATGCATTCAGTGTATTCGAGCGATTACAATCACCAATTACTACTAACAAGGTCATCTACAATGTGATATGATATCATTCAAACATGCTCGACGGCCGTTACATACCCCAGACCTTCCTGGTTTCTTGCCTTCCTCCACCCTACCGCTCGTTCGACGACTCCTCTGCCTCCAGTGCAGCGGGCTTCCCAAAGTTCGTCGGCGCATAAGCGCTCCTTTCCCTGATCTTCGCACCACGGAGGTAAAACCACACAGGCACAGGCACCAGCAACGCAGCCAGGATACCAAGCAAAGTGGATGCCCACTGAATGCCCATGCCCTCGAACATCTGGCGTGCAAAGAGAGGGAAGATGGCTCCACACAGACTACGCAGGAACGTGTTGGCGGCGATAGCGGAGGCGGCGAACATGAGGTAGGCGTCGACAAGATAGTTGAGCGCTTGGAGGAAGATGGAGAGGAGACCGAACCCGGTGAGAAGACCTGACAAAGTGGGGACTGGAGGTTGTCAGTAAGAAACCTCGAGTGAGGTTTGAAGGCAATGGAGACCTACCAACCCAGTGAACGTTCGGGTTGTAACCGGTCCATCCAAACCAAAAGAGACCGGCAGAAAAGCATACACCACCAATTATGACCTCTGGTAGACGCCATTCAGGGATGGGGATGTTGTTGTTGGCAGCGAGCTTCTTCTGGTAGCCGGACTGGCGCGCGAAGATGAGAGTTCCGGCAAGAAGCTGACCAGTGATCATGCCAAAGAACGGAAGACCTCCAACACCGAGGTTCATACCATGGACACCCTGGAATACCAGTGGGTAGGCTGTGAGGAAGAGGTAAAGCAGCCCGTAGATGAAGGCCATGTAGATACTGAGCAGCAGCACAATACGCTCGGTGATCAGCATTTTCAGAGGCCTGGAAAAGTTCTTCTGGACCAGTTCTCGGAAGTCGATTTCGATCTCCTCCTGTTTGGCGTGGATGCCCCAGTTCTTCGTCCTACGGCGGAGCTCGGAGGCCTTTGTGATAAGGATCTGTGGCGGATACGACTCCGCGAGAAAGAACAGGTTGCAGGCAAAGCAAAAGAAACCCATGAAGGATACAACGTACTCTGTCCAGCGGTAGCCGAGGTCAGACATGACGATGAAGCCACCGATAAAGGGCCCCATTAAGGGACCGGAGAAGACTGTCATAGAGAAGATGGTGATGGCCATTCCACGGGTGCGGTTGTCGAACATGTCAGAAAAAACAGCGGCGACACAAGTCAGAGGACAAGCACCGAAGAAGCCACTGAAGAATCGACAGATCAGCAGCGTTTGCAGGTCCTTGGAGACAGCTACAGATATGTTGAAGATAGAGAATCCAAACGACGCGATGACAAGCGGCAGTCGTCTACCTTTTAGTTCTGACAAGGGGGCCCTGGGTGGAGTCAGCGTGCATCGTCCCCGATTGTAAGAATCCACTTACCACAGGATAGGACCGGTCGCAAAACCCAGAACGTAAAGCGAGGTTGCCAATGTTGCGACAACAGACCCGACACCGTAGATCTGCGCAATAGCCCCAGTCGCCGAAGAGATGATACTCGAACCAAACGCCGCCGTGAGCGTAGTAAACCCAAGCATAGCAGCGGTGGCAAGCTTCTTCTTCAACGGCCAATTCTGAGCATGCATGGGATCATCATGTCCATCGAATTCCACTACATATGCCTCTCGCTCCGGTAGCGGTGGTGGGTATGGCTTTCCTGCTCCAAAGGCGGGCAACGGCTTCCTACTCGTCCTACTTCGCAAGCTGGCGCCTACTGTTCCTGAGTGTTGGCTCCGCTGGGTGTGGATCCGGCTCAATGCTGACTCGTGACGCTCAAGTCCTATAGCCTCATCATGTTGTGTTGGTATGCGAGACATGGCTGCTTCGCGCTCGATGTCTGATGCCTCAGACGACGATGTGGAGGAGCTTGAAACGGTAGCTGTCCGCGCAATCTGTTCACGACCTTCCTCCTTCTCTGGGTCCACGGCAGGAGGTCCAAAACGGTCGGGGCTGGCATCTCTTTCTGCCCGCTCGATGTACTTGTCAACCTTATTCTCGACCATCTTGACTGTGAAGCGTCGCAATCGGCGCGCTGGAGACGCAAGGGCGCAGCCAGTAATATAACTTCTGACAATCCCGTGAGTCCGACTGACTCCAGGGCTAGCGGGTGTCCGCGCTTGTGATCGGGCACCAGTTAAGTGCGAGGTGGGTCTGTTTAATGTTATAGCCTCCAGGAGCTGATTGCGCGAATTCTCTCAATATTAGATGTGGGGAAGTGGAAGCGATTGAGATCTTGTTAAAACAGTAGAAATGCGCTGTCTGTTTCGACCGTTCTGAGCGAATAGTGCTGTCGGTGTCAAAGAATCGAGGCAATGCGCCTGCAGGGACGTATGGCCAGGTCTCGCTTTTTGACAGAAGGTTGGCCTCTCGCGGGACGCGAAAAGGGGCGAGATCAAAGAATCGCATGCTCCACCAACGTCGGAACATGCGCAATCTCATTTCTTCCTGAGTCTATTGAGTACGAATTGAGTCTTATCGTGCGTCTTGAAGATCTGCAGACGTTGGAACTTGCACCGTGCCATGAACGGCGCTCAAACGGCGCGCTGTCAAACCACATTTCAACGGCGACGTCACACACCAGAATACCGGTGCCCTCTGCGCGAACAGTCGTTTGGCGCCAATTAATGCTGCAGTGAATCATATCAATACCCACAAGACTCAGATCGTGGCGAAGCTCAGGTCTCAGTCAGCAGCGGACTGCATCTCCTACAAGCATTTGCAGAATTGACATTGCACATCTTACACATTTCGCGCCGGGCAGTGCTCGCCACCGAGTAACCTTCTGGAAAGTCGTTATGAACCGATAGAATCTTCGAGCCGGGTTTGAATATTTTGATATTGCAGCAAAGCAAACGTACCGAGTTGCCTGTCCTGGGCAATGGTCCTGGAAGCACCATCATCACAAGATCTCAAATAAAGCACATCACAACAGCGAAGTGGGGTTCTGAACGTTGGGTGTCTCTGCAATGCAGAGAAGACCAACTTGTTTGTCAGTCATGATTCTGTTTTGTCGTCTAGCGATGCTCATTAAGACGTCAATCCGTGACCAGGCCCATCATTAACTTCATAACAGTAAACTTTCGTCTACAACTTCTGCATGGCAATGACATCAGTGGACTGGACGTGGTCCTCGAATTCCTCAATCTGCTGCTGAAGCTCATCGAGAGATACCTTGTCGTCCTCGATCACCAAGTTGATCTGGAGCTTCTTGATACCGAAACCAACAGCGACCAGCTTAGAGCCACCCCAGACCAGACCGTCCTTCTCGATGGAGAGAACGTTGGCCTTGAGCTCATCCATGTCTGTCTCATCATCTGCACGCTGTCAGTGTCTGCAACTTCCACCATTGGCACAGTGACTTACCCCAGGGCTTGACGTCGAGGGTGACGATAGACTTGGCAGCAGGCTTTACCTTGCCGGCCTTCTTCTTGTTGTACTCGGCAAGACGCTCAGCCTTGATGCGCTCAGCCTCCTCATCGACCTCATCATCGGAGCCGAACAGGTCGACCTCGTCGTCGTCGTCCTCAGCCTCCTTCTCGGGGGCGGCGGCGGGGTTAAGTGTGAGCTCGCTGGACTCAGGGCCATAGGCGGTGGCCTCCTTGGTTGGGTCACCCGGGAGAGTCTCGAACTCGCCCTCGAAGGTGAGGATGTGGTTGTACCACCTCCAGGCGTAAGGGAACTTCTCGGGGGCAGGGATCTGCTTGATCTGCTGGAAGACCTTGACGTCGGCCTGCGACGGGGTGTAGCTGGTGATCGTCAGACTATTACTCTGCCAGATACATCGAACAGAAGCAGTAGTAACGAGAGGTAAGTCAGAGTTGCGACAAGCGCTGTGGTTTTGTATTCAGATAGCGGGGTCTTAAGCCGCCTCATTAACACGGACCAAATGTTCTCATCATGGAAAGAAAGAGGGATTGCGGTGGTGTAGCAAAAACACAACACACGAGTATCGTGGTGGGGTAGCAACTTACCCAACGATGTAGCTGCGGGTCTTGACCCAGTTGTTCAGGAGGGTGAGACCTGCGTCGGAAATGAAATCGGTGAAGCCCATATTTGCGATTGTGTAAAACTCTGGGAGAGGGAGTATGGAGTCGCGTTGATGTTGTGGAAGAAGGGGGGCAGCAAGAGATTTTGGCGCAAGACTGGGCGCTAGCGATTTTCCGAAGCCAAGGCCAGGGTGGGGCTGAACGCACGTGCTTTCGTACCTGCCTCCAGCACGTCGGGCGCCCCTGCCAGAGTCAACATCCCCAGTCGACACTGTATCTGGCGCATCGAGCTCTGTGGGCTGTACTGACTGTCCCCTGGTAGCCTGTATCATTTGCGTGCTTGAGTCCTGTCGGGAAGCGTCGCGCGACGTCGTAGAATTTTATCGAACGATCCCGGAGCTTCGAGCTCAAGCTGCGTCCGCGCGCCATCTATCAAGAATATAAACCTGTGTACTTCCTCCGTCTGGATTCCCCGAATTTTCGTACATCTGTATCGTTCATCGCACATCATCATGCTAACAAGTAGAGCGCGTTTCGCCGCGAGGCGCATTGCTGCTGTCCCTCGACCGACCACCCGCCCTTCGCCACTATGGCATCTGCCAACGACGCGGCTGACACAATCTTTCAACCTTATACGCCCCATGCTTGCAGTCAGAAGCTATGCAGATGGTCGATCGCATCCACCAGGAGGAACTCACAAGATGAACATGAGTCCTGAGCCTGAGAAAGCCGCATTGGAAGAGTTCGGTGTCGACCTCACCGAGAGAGCACGCGACGGAAAGCTTGACCCAGTCATTGGGCGGGACGCCGAAATCCAGCGAACGATACAGATCCTCTCAAGACGAACGAAGAATAACCCGGTCGTGATTGGTCAAGCCGGTACAGGCAAGACAGCCATCATGGAGGGCCTAGCTCAGCGCATCGTCAAGGGCGATGTGCCCGAGTCAATCAAAGACAAGCGTGTCATCAGTCTGGACCTTGGCTCCCTCATTGCCGGCGCGAAGTTCCGCGGCGACTTCGAAGAGCGTTTGAAGAGGGTACTAAAGGAGGTCGAAGAGGCGCAGAAAGGCGTCATCCTGTTCGTTGATGAGCTGCACACACTGCTCGGTCTAGGCAAGGCCGAAGGCAGTATTGATGCCAGCAATTTGCTGAAGCCAGCGCTATCCCGGGGCGAGTTGCAGCTCTGTGGCGCTACTACCCTCAACGAGTATCGACAAATCGAGAAAGACGCAGCATTGGCGCGACGATTCCAGCCTATCGTGGTCGGCGAGCCCACCGTACAAGACACCATCTCCATCCTTCGCGGAATCAAAGAGCGGTACGAAGTCCACCACGGAGTGAGAATTACCGATCCAGCACTGGTGGCCGCGGCTACGTACAGCAATCGATACATTACCGATCGATTTTTGCCTGACAAGGCCATCGACTTGGTGGACGAGGCTGCGAGCGCCCTTCGCCTTCAGCAGGAAAGCAAACCAGATGCCATCCAAGAGCTGGACCGTCAGATCATGACCATTCAGATTGAACTCGAGTCTTTGCGCAAGGAGACAGACATCACCAGCAAGGAGCGACGCGAGCGACTCGAGGAGAAATTGAAGCAGAAGCAAGCCGACGTCGAGGTGCTTACTGAGAAGTGGGAGAAAGAACGAGCTGAACTCGGGGCGATCAAAAATGCCCAGGAAAACCTTGAGAAGGCCAAGGTCGAACTTGAGCAAGCCCGCCGTGAGGGCAACTATGCCAAGGCTGGACAGCTCCAGTATAGCACGATTCCTGGACTGGAGTCAAAGCTGCCACAGGATGATGAGGCAGCCGCAGGCAGCCGACCTGACTCGCTGCTGCACGACGCTGTCACCGCTGACGACATCGCCTCAGTCGTATCACGAACCACTGGCATTCCGTTGTCCAAGCTCAACGCTGGCGACATGGAGAAGCTCATTCATATGGAAGACACCCTGCGCCAGTACGTCAAGGGTCAGGACGAGGCGCTCACAGCCGTTGCGAACGCCATCCGTATGCAGAGGGCTGGTTTGTCAGGAGAGAACAGACCAATTGCATCTTTCATGATGCTGGGACCCACCGGTGTGGGTAAGACTGAGGTGTGCAAACGGTTGGCGGAGTATCTGTTCAGCACACCGCAGGCCGTCATTCGGTTCGACATGAGTGAGTTCAGCGAAAAACACACAGTGTCGCGTTTGATCGGTAGCCCTGCTGGCTATGTCGGCTACGATGACGCCGGTCAGCTCACGGAAGCGGTACGACGAAAGCCGTACGCCGTTCTCCTGTTCGACGAATTCGAAAAGGCTCATAAGGACATATCAACACTGCTCCTTCAGGTGCTTGACGAAGGCTTCCTGACTGACGCTCAAGGGCACAAGATCGATTTCCGGAATACCATCATTGTCATGACATCCAACCTTGGCGCAGACATCATTGTCGGTGACGAGATCGTTGAGTCAGCCGGCAAGGACTCGAGCGAGATTCCGCCAGAAGTCCGCGATGCGGTCATGGCAGTGACCCAGTCTCACTACGCGCCAGAGTTTATCAACCGCCTGGACGAGTTTATCATCTTCCGGCGCTTGTCTCGCGAGGCGCTGCGCGGCATCGTCGACATCAGGCTCAAGGAGCTTCAGCAGAGACTCGACGACCGCAGGATTGTGCTCGATTGCTCTGACGAAGTCAAGCAGTGGCTCTGTGACCGAGGCTATGACCCCAAGTTTGGCGCACGCCCTCTGAATAGGTTGATCGCCAAGGAGGTTGGCAACGGCCTCGCGGACAAGATCATCAGGGGAGAGATGCTGAGCGGTAATGTTGCCAAGGTCACTATTCGCGAAGATGACTCTGGCCTCAACGTGGCCGCAGCATCCTGAGATGCAACTTTATTGACGACGACACGACTGTAACATAATGCTTGCTTTGTATCATTTTTGTACACTATATAACATTACTGCGTGCAGGTAGATTTCTTCTCTGTTCAAGATACCAATGTATTCCTCTTTGGACATTGCACGGGTGTTACTTTGCGTGTTCGATTGTAATTATGTATTTGAAATGCTAGCAAGGCAGGAACGCGTCGTCAGGTGCACTCTGTCCAACCTTCCTCTTTCAACTCACCCAGCGCAACTCGCAAAATCAACCAGACGTCTGATATCGAGCTGTATCATTCGGCATGCCGCACAACGCGAAGTTCGAGGGACCTTTGTATCATAGAGGCGGCCGCAGCTCAGCTTCATCACGGACGGGTCGCACAAGCAGCAGCCGCAGCTCGACGGTTTCACGTCGCTCAACCGCGCGCTCGTCATCACTTGCAAGCACACGTCCACCAAGGAGTCACCAGCAAAGTCAGCGGGCTGACTTCGTGCAGAGCGGTTTCCGAATTTTATCTTCAGATGCGCAGCAGAGCGGTGACCTAGTCCCAGAAGACGACGATGCCAACGATGATACACTCAGTGAGGTCATCATGGCCGTCGATATCACACCTCGCAGGACTGTTGGCTGCTGTTACTATGTTGCCAGGGAAGAACGGGTTTACTTCATGGAGGACATACAGATTGGCGATGTTGACATCGTCGACACTTGTGGGTCACCGTCTGGGAAGTAAGCAAGCGCGATGCTAACCTGTGTGAGTGAAAACCTTCATCGACCCCACAGTCATCCTGGTCTCGACGAAGATTGATGATGCAGTGATTGATCGTTTCGATCCTGGAGCCAGAAGCGGCGAGTCGGTCAGTGGCACTGACGATCAGTTTCGCCTACCATTCTTACTGGATGTCCGTCCTCCGAACGAATTCTATTACGATGCAGCCAAGAGCAAGCTCATGACCTTGAAATTAGGTGAAGACGATGGCGCTCGAGTTACTTTCAATGTACCAGGCGAGCATTCAGGTGGCTACGATACAGAAAGCGCGCATGGCCAGCAAGACCAGTTGCTTCGACTTGCTGGCTGGGTCGACATGGAGAGTCGAATCACCGTAAGCCGTATTCGATGGCTATGCCCGGACTTGCTAACGAAGCTCCAGGTTGGATGTGCCGGTGCGCTGCTATCGTACCTACAACGGAGACGTGCTGCAGCCTTTTTGCCGGGCGATGATGCTGCATACTTGTTGTTTCGCATCACAGCGCTCGAGATGTTCAGCTTGCGAGAGACCATGTTCATCAATGCAGAAACGCTACACTCGCTTGGCATCATCGATGCAGAGGCACATCCACACTCTCACAACAGGGGACCAAACGCCAACTCCGGAGAAAAGGAGGGCCTCTCTGTTTACAGGCTATTCCATCATCTAGCAAGAACTCCTCAAGGGAAGTTCTTGTTGCGTCAGTGCTTTAGGCGCCCAAGTCTCAACCTAGATGTCATCAATCAGCGGCTTGACGCTGTGGGCACCTTCTCCCGCCCTGAGAATGATGTAAAACTTGATGCGCTCGTGCAGGATATGAAGAACGTCGGCAACATGCGTGCGATGATGATCAACCTAAGGAAGGGCGTTGGTGGATCCGTACCAGGAAGGAACGGTCTTTTAAGGAGCGTGTGGACCTCCGTGCGAGGGGTGAGGATCATTCGCATGCCAACGTCAGCAGTTGACTGACACTCTTGACACAGTTTGCTTTCCATGCTCTCAAGATCAAAGATGCACTACAAGAGATCTCAGACAGTGACAACCTGACCATAAAGAAGAAGGCGCGTATATCGAAGTTGGCAGAACATCAGCGCTGACATTTTCCAGATCTTTGAGAAATTCGAAAGCTATCATCTAGCCCAAGTTGGAAGGAAGATTAGTGAGACAGTAGATTTCGAGAAGTCTGCAGAAGAACGACGAACGGTAATATTGCCGGGCATTGACGAAGAGTTAGACCAGATGAAGAGGACACTCGATGAACTCGAAGACATCCTCAACCAAGTCGCAAGTAAACTCTCAGAGGGCATGTCTTCCGAACTCAAGGCCTCTCTCAACGTCATCTACTTCCCACAGATCGGGTTTCTCGTCATCGTCCCAATCGATCTGGACACTGGGGCAGCAGTTTACCACGGTAGTCTTGAAAGCCCTTGGGAGATGATGTTCTCCGCCGAGTAAGCTTAGAGTCACCAAATTTGACAAGTTGAGCCTACGCACTGACATTGATTGCAGGGGCCAAGTCTACTTCAAGACTGCCGAAGTGAGAGAAATGGACGATTACTTCGGGGATATATACGGCATGATCTCAGACCGCGAGATAGAGATCAGTCACGAACTCGCGCAGTTTGTGCTGCAGTATGAGGAGTTGTTCGCATCCTGCTCGGATATCTGCGGCGAGCTTGACACGTACAAATCTCGTTTGCGTCTTTGTGAATTGGACTGAATGTATTTGCAGTCTGTTAGCTCTAGCGCAAGGCGCCAAAGACTACAACCTGGTCCGACCACGTATGACTCTTGAAAACACTATTCAAATCGAAAAGGGTCGGTAAGCGTCTACACCCCATCGAACGCACCTTAAAATGACATGCTGACCGCGGATATAGTCACATACTCCAGGAAAGAATCGTTCCATCATTCGTGCCAAACGACACCTTCGTCGTCGGCGGAGTTGGCGCCAACGGATCTGATGCTGACCCGCAACACGGTTCCTCCAGCTGCCTCCAGAGTAGCACTACGAGCCACGAAGGTGGACCCAGCATGCTTGTCCTGACCGGGCCGAACTACTCTGGAAAAAGTGTGTACCTGAAGCAGGTAGCATTGATCGTCTTCATGGCACACATCGGCTGTTTTGTGTCTGCGGAGAGCGCAAGAATCGGGCTGACCGACAAGATTCTTTCCCGGGTCACCACACGAGAGACTGTCTCTCGCACCCAGAGCGCCTTCGTGATCGATTTGCAGCAGATCTCGCTTGCGCTGAACTTGGCAACTCGCCGAAGCTTGCTCGTCATAGATGAGTTTGGGAAAGGAATTGATGCTAGTGATGGAGCCGGATTGGCATGTGCAGTCATGGAGTACCTGCTCAGCCTGGGTAACGAAAATCCGAAGGTGATTGGAGCCACCCACTTCCATGGTAAGCTCAGCGGTCTTTTGCAAGTGTACTACTAAGCCAGTACAGAGATCTTTGAGATGGGTCTGCTAAGGCCTAGGTCTGCGCTCAGCTTTGGGCACCTCGAAGTTAAAGTCGATGCTGATAAGTCGGAAGTCGACGACCAGATAACGTACCTATACAAGTGAGATGTGGAGCCTGACCTGACGCACAACGCTGACCAGACGACAGCTTTTGCGAGGGGCGGAGCACGTCCAGCTTCGGTACTTGGTAAGTCATCCTCAACTAAGGATTACCATGTGCTGACGTGCATCAGCTGTGCAGCCATGAATGGTGTGCCGGAAGAGATTGTCAGACGAGCAGAAGATCTGATTCTCCTGGCAATGAAAGGCGAGGACTTAGTAGCTGCGTGCTGTCAGATACCGGAGGATGAAGCCGCAGAACTTGGAGAAGCAGTAAGAGTGCTGAAGCCGCATATCATACTTGCCTGACAAACACAAATGAACAAATCTCAAGAGACTTCCTCGAGATTGACGTTTACAACGAGCCCAGAGCAAAGCTGTCGGACATTCTGGCAACCTAAACGACGGACTCACGCTCTTCAAGTGGAGCCGGCATCTCCATGATGTTTATTGGCGGACTCGTCGAACGTGAAGCGTGCGGGGATCGTAAGCTGCAGTTGTCAGCACTCTGTCATTGGCTGTGTAGAATTTAAGATCAACAGCGTGTTTCAGGTTCCGAACTTAGATATGTGCATAGCAGCGCAGATGTCTTGCGAAGAATATAATGCTGATGCTCGCTCAGATGCTACTCCAATGTCCTCGTTTCTTCTCTTTGCGTTCTTGTGGCGCTCCCGTTCACAATTGCCGTCGTCCCATCGCAACGTACGTTATGACGTAGACAGCCCGCGACGCATGCCAAATTGAGTGGGTCTTGACAGCGCTCGAGGATTCTGCGAGCCAGTGGATGCGACTCGAAGTGCATATACACCGGTGTAAGTTCCTGATGCTTGCCAGCGACCCGCCATCACACAATCTTCTAGTACCGGTAGTACCCGCAGTGTGTCGTTCTTTGTATGTGTGGCAGTTCTACTAAGCGCAGAAGGATGTGTGGCTGCAGGACGTTGACGAAGGGATGCCCTTTCTATTTGGGACTTTAGCTGATATATGCGACAGGTACCGCTCACCACTACGGCGACCGCACCAGGTTATAAAATCGTGACACTCTTTCCGATCCAGTGTGATGGCTAAGTGGTATTTCGATATCCAAGGCCTCGTCTGGTTCCTCGACGTCCGCCTCATCTTGTCGGTAGATTGGACTCGGGTTGTGCCTATCGGTCGAAAGGTAAAAAACGGGCAAATTCGTTGAGAGGATGTGAACCGAGGATAAATTAGCGGGCTTGAGGTGGAGGGACTCAAGGCTCTGAACAGCAGCGCCTCCTGTCTCAGCGCTATGGCACTGCTCTACGTTTCAGCTCTACACAGCGGCCGCATACGAGTCTACCTTCGGGTTCCTACAGGTCAAGCTCTTCGGGAATACCGTGCTTGGACCCAACATCAGATCGTCCAGATCAAGTGACTACCGTATCCGCAAACCGCAGGGCTAAGGAGCATCCATTCTATCATACGAGAAATAACGACCCGAGAAGACTGGACTACGTGTGTGTGACACGGTATGATATGCACCTGATTAGGATTAAGGGTTGGAGACCACGTGTTGTACTCTAACAGTCCGTGGTCATATTTGACGCTGGAGGAGAGCTAGCCGCGATCGCTCCCGATTCTATGGAAAAGATCAGAGCTATTCAGAACCAAGGACTCGACTACAGCTCATCCAGACATAGCAACAAGTGGCTAAGGCCTTCTGTGCTCGGTCACCGACCCTAAGCAATGCCGTCGTCGTTGGATTCGCTCATCTCTCAACTCAGGAAAGAAGCCTCTCGAGGTCGTTTTGCACCCTTCGTAGGAGCTAGTTCACACTCATGAATGGTCTCTGCCCGAGAAGGACTGTGGGCCTGTATGTCGCATGTTCGTGCAGAGCATGTCCTGCCCTGTCTGATACTGAGATTATCGTCCAGATGGTGTGCGGCACAGAATCTGATTCGAAGTCCGACTTGGGTGACTGTTGTGTCTTGACACAGTAGATTCGCAAGAAGGACGATGTTGTGGAAAGCATCATGATGCTTTTGGAGAGGCTGGGAGCGCCGCACAAACCAAGGTGGTCACGCCATCGACCCATCAATGCAGCGCCCGACACCATTCGGAATTTTAGACTGCGCAAGCATCCAATGCGCAGACGCTCTTGCCGCCGAATTTTGCAGTAGCCCACGCAAAATAGGTATGCGCAAGAACCATTGTTTGAACTCCACTCACGCGTCAAGCGGCGACATTGTTCCTGTATCAACAGCATTAGTTCAACGCCGGACAGCGAAAGACCTCAAAGGCTCGAATGCGTCATGCCGCATGATGCTATTTTCGGCGTCATGTTGTCGCGCGTGGTGGTTAAAATCGAAGAGGTACATACCGCAGGCTAGGGAACGAGGCTGAGCAAGGCCCCACCACGCGCTCTGAGGCCACGACGGTTTCTATTTCGCGACGGAGCGATTACACAACGGTCACAACACCAGCAGCGTATCGACACATCAGCTTTGTAAGGCCTTCTAAGATAATTGCAGGATCGAGTGTACTGGCGACTTATGTGCCGTCGTGCCGACTTCGATCAGATGGCCGTAACGACGTGCACAAAGGAGCACTGATTGAAGGATCATGGCGCAAAGCTGACGCTACCCTCGTACAGTATCCTCCTGGTAACTCTGATGTCAAGGGCCAGCACTATTGCAGTTCCCACGGGAGACTAGCAAAGCGCCGTCTATTCTTGCCTGGGGACTTTCACAAGTCAGCGCTATAAGCCGTTCATACCGCCGGCACTATGGACTCCGCTTGGTCATTGGGTCAGAACCACAAGAATACAATTGTCTACATTGGTTAAGGGCTTACAGAATGATGAGCCTGGCATCGTCCACACTGGAAAATTGTTGCGGTCGAATTAGCCATGTACAACGTGAAGAGGGCAATCAACATCTGCTTGCATACCAGTACGGCGGCGCGAACGGTCGAACTTTAGACTGCGCAGCCTTGCTGATGGTCACGACGATTCTACTACGTTGGTTCCACAGGTATGCCTCGCCGGATTTGGAAGTGTTTCGACGTTCAAGGCTGTCAACCGCGCAAACCTCAATGCCAACAATCGTTCTGAGGCAGCGCTCCGGCAGCGAAGGATCCCTAGGCCTGAAGACGCCAGGTGTGGATCTGTGTAGGCACCATTACACTGGCCCGAGCCTGGTTATCGGCAGGTGCGAGTGCGCTCAGCGTGACCTGCAGAGTCCATGGACTACGCTATGTCTAAAGTGGGACTGAAGGTACTGTACGCTCTCAGCCCCATTTGAGATCCCTGTCGTGATAGCTGCAGCCTACCCTACCCCTGGTTCACCAAGCGTAAGCATTAACGCTCACCCACTCTGCCCCGGCAAATGCAGCCTGCACATGGAATGCATCCTAAGATGGGTTATCACAAATTTCAGGCTAAGCGCAGTTGTACCTTTTCTGATGCCACTCATATATAATATAGCATTCCTCTTGCAGTGGTACCCCATCACCTCAGCCCAACCAGGCAACTGCTCAAGATGTTCCAGGCTATCCCTCAGATCTACACAGTACCTCAATCCTATTCGTCCCCTCCGACTGATAATCTGCTATCTCTTCCTCCGAACACAACAGTCCCTCTCGGTCCCGATGGGAAACCCAAGCCTAGAAAGATGAGGGCCTCTTGCGATGCCTGCTCGCACGCGAAGGTCAAGTGCGACAAGGTCCGGCCTACTTGTCAACGCTGCGGAAACATGAGCCTCTGTTGCAACTACTCTCCGTCGATGAGGTATGCTTTCTCCCAACAGCTTACCAAGACTCCACTCTTCTTACACTCATATACAGACTAGGCAAGCCGCGAAAGAACAGGAACCCTGACGGTAGCATCATTCGCGACATTCGAAGATCCAGTTCCTGTGGACCATTTGGGTCAAGGCCCGATATCGCCCCTCGACTTGCCTCAGACACAGTCGAGAGCTCACCGGAACCTACAGACTCATTCTATCTCCGTCCAGCAACACCAAACTTCCAGTTTCAGGGTCCGCTCACGAACAACTTTGATGGAAATCAGTCCCCGCCATACTCAGAAGCCAGCTGGTCCAATGAGGAAACGATGGCATTTCAGACATCGAGAGATATGATGCTGCCCATGACTCAGTTCGCACCTCTCTCGCCATATAATGGTATCGGACATGTCCGCTCCGCAAGCCTGCAAAGTCAGCCAGACTATCTCGCCCCCATGGACAACGGCATGATCTCGCCACCGGTGGCTAGCCCGCTTCTCTTTGGTCTGCAAGATCAGCAGAGCCTTCCTATATTTGAACCTGAGACGTTTACACTGTCTCCACCTTTGATGGCGGCGCCCCAGCCTAGCCCTGCTTCAGCTGCACCTGTCCCGAGCCACGACTGCACACAGTTCGCGTTCCAGATTCTCAATAGTCTTTACTCGCCGCCATCGTCTCAGCCTACTTTTGAAGATTTCAATGGCGGTGCTGACGGTCTCCCTACTCTTGACTCTGTCCTGTCAGCTAGCAAGGCTGCTGTTGAGAGTCTCCCAGCCCTGCTCGGCTGTCCTTGTTCGGCGAACCCGCACTTCTCCACAACAATCGCCTTCTCTATCACCAAGATCTTATCGTGGTACCAAGCCATTGCTGGTGTCGTCCAAGACATTGTCTCTCCCATCAACACTCGCATGGAGGCGTTCACGCACACCCCGATTCTTCTGGGAGACTTCAAGCTTGAGATCGAGGACGAGGAAACTTTCCGAACACAGATCATCTTGGGAGAGCTGCGCAAGGTCGAGAAGCTAATTGACATGTTCTCCGAGTGCTACTGCAAGGCCTCGAGCGAAAGTGCAGAATCTGGCGTCTACACATCTTTGGAATCCCTGCTCCGCACCCGCGTTAGAGACACCTTCAAAGTGACCATGCGCACTGCACCCCTCGATGTGAAGCGCCAGGTTGCTTCTCGCACCCAAAGCCGTACCTGCGTTAACACTTTGTGAACTCTCTTTTGTCAACCTGCTGCATTTCAGCGCTTCGATACCCTCGCTTGATATGTTCTTCTCTTACTGCATATTCTTTCCTTCACACACGATTGAGCAGTGTCGCTCTCGTTGCATTGTAGATCTGATTTTTGCACGCACTTTCAGAGTAGCTGCTCGGAGGCTTGAAGTTCCCTATACCTTTGTTTTCGATTCATTGTCAATCATGTCCGGCGTCTGGGTACGATTCGATCGACTATGTGTATATACGACCATGAAAGCAAGTTGCGCCACCTCAAAATCTTCGGTAGTTGCCAATGGAACCAAGTCATCGCATTCACGTCTATCTACTGCACACCCGGGAAGATTACTTATCCATGCTACCGTCCAGGCACCCATCAGATCTAGTGTATCTTGAACTACAGCACGATGATGCTAGGACAGAAATATCGACAAGCTAGGTCTGCATGCAATAGCATACGCCACTTGTCTCTGCTCTCAACCTCTTCTTGCTCGGCGGATCGTAGCGCAGTGGCCCCCAACTACATGTTAGGATCAAGGGATGACCAACAGTCCTCGTTTTGCATGACTCCCTGGTACAGTCCAACTAGAACGAGGCAGACTTGACGATCTCGTTCCTGAAGTTTCAGATACTCTTCGAGTGATCCTGCGGGCGGGAGCTTGAAGACAGACCCTAGCCAGATGTTCAACATCTGACCCCACCGAGCCGTGAAGAGTGTGTTGGAACATGAATATGCCCAGTGATCGACGGCCAGCCCAAGGCCAACACATTCATCCTCTTGGAGCAGCAATGATCGAGCCAGTCCTCAAACTTGATCAAACCGCATCACTGCCTCACGTGCAATTTCATCCTCCCCCCTTCATCGCGATCTCAGGCACGCATCCATTCTCCTCCAGCTTACCCGTTCACACCTACGCTCGGCCCACGCGGGTGGCTTGCGCCCCGACACACCCTTGTTACGTTCCTACAAGACTAGCTGGCGTGGGCCATGCATGCGCCCAATCGTAAAATTAGAGGGCCACACCGCGGTGCTACCTAGGCGTGCTGCGCCAGGGCCAATTCGAGCAGCGTGGCTCAGACATTCGATAGGTACGTGCTTACCCGGCAGGACCTCGCAGGAACCTTGCAGAAGCGTGTGCGATACGAAGGTGGACAGTAGGGAGTTGACCGGTTCTGTGCGATGCTGTGCGAGGCGATGCTTACTTAGACGATGGTGATTGTAGATGATAGAAGGGGGGGAGGGGGGGAGGAGGGTGTGAGAGCACACGAACCGAATGCGCGGGGCATAAGGCGGTAAGGGCTGCGGTATTCACGACGATGATTTCGAGAGTTGAATCGATCACTTGATTTTGATCCTTCGAGTCCTTCCTGCTTTCTTCTGCAAGGCCCACAGTTTGACCGCTCCAGCCTCGCCGGGTAACCACCGTAGCCGCTCCTTTCGTCGCGCCCCCACACACTTGCACGTGTCACGGGCCTCAAATGGGAGGCACGCAACAATTGGAACACCTCTGGCCATGTTGAATGCCAAATTACGAACTCCAATTGAGCTTCTAAAACGGCACCACACGTGCAGCTCATGCGCCAAATCAGCGCGCGTGAACGACGACCCCTGCTTTCACCTGCATGCACCCCGGCACCAGCCAGGATTCCCGCCGCTAAGCTTTGCAGTCCAACCTAAAGCAGCAGTCAAGCTGTGAAGGATCGCACTGAGCATTGCCATTGGCTCACATAGATTAAATACTAATGGTACAGCCAGAACCAATACACATTTGCAGACAAGCTAAAGCTCTTGGGTGAGGCAGGGTAGCCTCAGGCTGGATGTGGTGATTTTGCTTTTCTTGGGCACGATTTCGGGACGACTTGAGCTTGATGAGAGGCAATCGAAGGATCGTATGAGTGGGGAACCAATGATCTGTGGGTGTACTGTGCCGTGAGTGCCGCCGGTGTAGTAGAGGGCACTGCTTCGCTTTAAAAGAGTATGCTTTGGGTGTTCGGGAAGTCCCTGACCACGCCGCATGGGGGCTATTTTGCGTGAGAGGCGACAGTGATGTCCAGATCGAGGCAAGAGAATAGTACCAAATCTAGTACCTGTCCGACCAGTGAGAAGACTTGCTCGTGCTGCTTGTAGGCGACGCTCGCACCATTTAGCCACGATACTAGCATTGACCAGTCGTGTAACGATTGTAACAAGTATGAACATTGACGTGAGGTAGTGTGGCGAGAACAGTGCCCTCCAAACGGAAATGATGGAGGGCTTCCTGATCATCCTTACGGCACAATTTGTTGATTCAGGGACATGTCACCCTCTCTAGAATCCATCGTTCTGTGCAGTACATAGACTCAAGTCGAACGGGTTGATGTGTTCGTCAGAGTCATATTCAAAGATCGGTCGACTTCCATCGAACAATGATATGGGAGACGCTGCGTTCGTGAAGGGGCTGACCTCGCCAGACTCTATTACCGGTTCTGATGGGATCATTGCCGTTAGATCTACAGCATAGATATCTAACAGGTGGAGAAATTCGACGTATCTCCCAGGGAACCTGCGCCGTACATTGTCTCGTACAGACATGTGACATGTTTGTGGTACGCCTTTGCTTCTGTCGCCCACGCCTGTAGGTCAGCGCCTTTAGGCAGAAAGCAACCGATTTCATGAGGCCTCAAGTCGGAGGGGTCTGATGACTCGTTGGTATCGGGCACGCTGCTCATCTCAAAAGGTTTCAGCTCCTCGGCGAGATCGAGCCTGAGCTTCCCCAGTAACTGAGTACTACTCAAGCGCCTCAATGTCTTCTTCAGACTTGACTGTGGATCGGATCGAACAACGAGATCCGCAAGTCAAATAAGTGGTATGTCGAAAAAGCTGTAACCAAGCTTACAGTGCATGGTGTACCCCGCTCCTGTGAGCCCACAGACTGAGCCGGTCTCAATGCACTGATTGAGGTTTTAAATATTGCTTACGAAATCCAGCCCTTCTCTGTTTCGTAAGAGGAGTTTCTCGAGAGACAAGTCCATGCCTAGTCGGACTGCGTCCTCACCGATTAAGCCTTGCCGTCGAAGATCGTCAAATGCGAAAATAAAGTACTCCTGAACGCGCGCTTTCTATTGTAGGTCCCTGAGGAGTCCACCAATATTGTTTGATGTGTACTCGGATGAGCCTTTGTGTTGTTTAATATTCCACATGATCACCCAGAAGCGACCATCAATTTCACTGCTAATGAGACTGTTGTCATATGAGGCACCTGTGCGGAGCACCTTTTCCTCGAAAGCTCGTGTAATCCTATTCATTTGACGATCGGACAGTGTCCCTATAACGCGATATTGCCGTTCTGATCTTGTTGGCCTGAGCAGTCGAGGCTCCATATGAAAGTTATTTTCTCCTCGGTGGACTGGTCTAGACGACGTATAGATCTTTCGTCGCACCCTTGGTCGCAGCAAGGTCGACATGGTGGCCTGGGGAAGGCTTGCAACGTTGTGAATGAAGCGGTCTTCAATTGCGACTCCTGAATTAGACACTCGCTTGTGGAGGAGTCCGGAACCTGGTGAGCATTCATCTTGTACTATGTACGGGTATTGAATTGCTGCTGCTGGGGTTCGCAAGTGGCTCGATCCGTGGATCTAGGATCTGGCAGATCAGCGAACAGAACGCTTATGTGACCGTGTTTTAGCAACCGATATAGGTCTGTGTAGAAATGGTCCATGAACAATGTTGTCTCATCTCAAGACCGCAGCCTGACCGCAGCTGAGGCTCCAGTCACTTCGTTGCCATGTCGTGGCTGCTTGCTCCTAATACATATTGAAGTCGGGAGCATTTGGTTGCAGCTTTTCGATATTACAAACTGGTTGATCTTTCAATCAGGTCCCTGAAAAGTGATGGTGCGCATAATCTGGCCTTATTGGCCAAGGCACAACGTAGCGAGGTGCATGAGCTCATTAGAATCCATCCTTTGTCCTGTTGCTTCATCCATCTGTTAGCTCCAGGTATAATCCAGGCGAGACATCTGCTCTCTCAAAGGTATACACCCTCCTCGTCTTCCGCAGTCTGTGCCGAACTGCCATTTGTCCGTTCCTCCGCGGCCTGGGGCGCGTTTGCAGTCGTGTTTGTCCTGTTTTGTGTGGGCGTCGTACCGTTCAGGCCAACATCACCCTCTTCTTTCCTGACCTCGCCCTCATGCTGCGGCCTCCATGGCAGTCCACGGACCTCTTCGACTTCTTTCCTGATCAAGTTCATGCGCTCGTTGAAGTTCCTCATGACCTGTCGATTTTCGAGGAGCGCTTCGTAACAGTCGCGATCATCGTTCTCGCGGGCGAAGTCTTCTAGCTGCTTGTTGCTTGCTTCGAGGTGTGTGATGTTGTTTGTGAGCTCGGCGTGTTTTGCGTACAGAGAGGATATGGGTAGGTCGTTGAGGGCGGTGGCGAAGCGTGCAGCTGTGATCGGCGTTGATTCGGCGGACATGGCAATATTTTTTTGGATATCTCGTAGACTCGCAGAAGGAGAACTGTTGTCGGTGTTGTTGTTGTGGCGTTGAGAGAAAGCTGTGGAAGACGAAGATGACGTGGTGGGGCAGCGCGGAAAGCGCTCCTCATATCTCATGCATTCTTTCGTCACTCTCTCTTGTCAACTTCAGCGCACCGACAAAGGACCTTTCATTCTAGCTCTCAATCGAAAGAGAGACTCACGGGGACAAGGTCTAGTATTTGGCGATCCATTAATCCTCGGTATAGGTGATGTCATCACCAGAAGCCTTGGTAGAATTGGCGTAGGTCCATTGCTGGGTCCACCATCTCGTCCAGTACGACCTTTGCAAACCTCGAAAAAGAAAGCCACTTCGCGGCCACATTTGTCTGCCTCGGTATGACTGACGCCATATGCCTTTGGCTCAAGGAATGCCCTTCAACGCCCAGCTTTGCGTGCTTTAGACACCAAAAAGCATCAACATAGCGTCACCAACTTGTACGGAAATACGTTGATGATATTGCGGGGAAAGCTTAATTCACCTACCAAGGCAGCGTGGGAGATGCCGATTGGTAGGACAACTAGTCGAATCAAGCCAGCAGTGAAATAAACAGGAAGAAGTACCGGTATACCAAAGAGGCTTAGGTCTAGCACTACTCCCTGGATCGACACGCCAAACACGCACTTTACGGACCATGTTGCGGATCTAGGGTAGAATTTGTGGATGGATCTCATGAAAGCCCATTAGCACGTTGTATGCGATGTGGGATGTAGCCAGTATGGGACGGATTCATAAAGGTACAGCTTGGTATGAGGAGCAATCAGGTGTACCTCCTCTTCAACGGCCTCGTATCATCATACAGGCACCATGACTCATTCTTCTGTCAAGTTGCTGTTTACTCTCTTTATCTTCTCTGCCATAAGTCTTGCTGCACCGGCTGCTGTAGAACCAACAGTGACAATCTCTGCTGGCACGATCATAGGCACAGCAACGAAACCCATCAACCAGCCATCACTTTCAGCCTCTGCAAATGCTTACCTTGGAGTGCCATTTGCGAAGTCACCACCAGAAAGGTTCAGTCTGCCAGAAGCAGCATCTCCATGGTCAGCGCCATTGCAGGCTCAGGCCGTCAAGCCAGCGTGCATCCAGCAGTTCTCTGGCTCAAGTCAGACGCAGGCACTAACAAAGCAATTTTTCAACAATCCCAACGGACCGGCTCCGGAAGAAAGTGAGGATTGTCTGTACCTCAATGTCTACACTCCGCCAGGTGTGACGCCTAACAGTAAGAAGGCCGTTATGTTCTGGCTATTCGGTGTAAGCACTCAAGGGCTCCACAGAGAACGCAGGCCCTGAAAATTCTAGGGCAATCTCCAATTCGGGACCGCGGGTCTTGGATTCTACGATGGCAGCTCCCTCGCTATCACTCAGGATGTTGTGGTAGTCACCACCAACTACCGTACCAACAGTACGTCCTCCTCCTTTCCAAATGGACACGGTTGCTTACTGATCTACCACAGTCTTCGGCTTCTCCAATTCGCCAGAGGTCCCATTTGGTTCCCAGAACTCGGGCTTCCTCGACCAGCGCTTTGTATTGCAATGGGTACAACAGAACATTGCTGCCTTCGGAGGCGACCCTACTCGTGTGACCCTCTTCGGCGAATCTGCAGGCGGCGAGTCCGTCAAGCAGCTCCTTGCTAATCCACCGTCCCCACGTCCCTTTTCAGCCGCTATCCTGGAAAGTCAGAACGCTGTCTTCACAGGCAACGGTCTGACAAGCTACAAGCAAGTGCTTGCAAACTTTGGCTGCAAGGACGTCACATGCTTAAGGAAGGTAGACGTAACAGCAATCAAGAGATTTATCGAAGTAAACAGCCTGAATTTCCCGCCCGTGGACGGTGATGGTACATCTATCGACGATGTCAGAACCAGTATCCTGACGAGGAAGTTCGCTAACGTGCCAACATTCTTCGGCTCCAACCTTAACGAAGGCCGTGTCTTCTTCGCCGTACTGGGTCTCAATAATGGTACTGCAGCCGTCGACGGCGCGCTGACCAGTGTTGGCACCACAGACCCGAAGGCCAGGCAGAGTATCTTGGCGGTGTACACAGCACAGGGTATTGAAGATCTTTTCGTGATCGCAGACCGGTATATTATACACTCTACTCCTCAACGGTCTCAGCTCACGTCGGTTATAGCATCGTCACCGACCTGATCTTCACATGCTCCACGAGCACTCTGTCCTCTTTCCTAGCCTTGAACGGCTACACAACCTACCGATACCGATACGATGCATCCTTCCCAACCACATCCGTCTTCGCGCCAACTCAGGTGCCTATCACACATCTGAGATACCTGAGGTCTTTGGTACATACCCAACGAATAGCCAGTTTGGCACTGTCGCGACGCAGCAAATCGACTTGAGCGCATTCATGCAGAAGACTTGGGCGGGCTTTGCAAAGAATCCAGCTGGTGGAGTTGGGTGGGCAAGAGTGGGCAGCGCGCTCGGGAAGGAGTTGGGGTTACTGGGAAGTAATGGCAGTAGCGGGGTGAACGTGGTTAACAACCTTGTGTCTGACTATCCGTGCGTGGTTTATGCGCCGATCGGGGACTTGTTGAAGTTCACCTACAGATAAAACTACAATTCCGATTTACTTGTGAAGACATACCTCAATTGCTCGCCTCAACCACGCATCCCTTACGAAAAAGTTTTCACCGCCACACTCTCCATGATGCCGACCCTCGAATTTAATCTCAACCTTTAGCCTGGAACCTGAAGCTTATGACGCACCATATCTTTGACTGACATGTCTGGGTCGGGGTTATTTCGATCTGAGATATCTGTTGCGGTGCAAGTCGGTCCGACAGGCCTCGATCGTCACCTCAGTTGACTACCTTGGACTAGCACGTCTCAGGGCATGTATATATGGTCGCCTCCTAGCTAGCAATCAACTCAGCGCAGTTTTCCATCGATATACAGCGGCTACGTTTGCCGCAACAATATCAAGCCCTCATTGATGGCCATGAGATGCGCAACGACCGAAGCAGCTACGTCCCCAATCAAAGTACCGAACTCCTCCTCGGTGATAATCCCATGTTCCACCAACGAAGATTCTGTGAGAGAGTAACTGACAATACACCAAGTGTAAATGTTAGTCGGTCTCGGCGTTCATAGCCTCTAGTCCCAAGCTCGCTGGCATGTAGCCGGATGACGTGGTGAGCAACGTCGCGATCGCAGAGATGCTGACTGTCACATAATTGCTTTAGATCGGAATCAGTGTGGTAGACCTAGTCGGTGGATGCAAGCTGCATCGTGCTGTCGCACATCCTTTGCAATCCGGTACTGAACTCCGCGACTGACGGACAGGAGTTTCGCCAGGTGCTGAGAGTGTTAGCAAGTTGGCCAAGACATATGTCGTTACGCTCGTGCCGCGTACGAAGTCTCAAGACGATCTCTGCGATGACCTAGTCCAAACGGAGACGTTATTTCCAATAAGTTGAGTAATGTTCACTCCCTGCGATTTGGACCTGTTCCAGTTCTTTCTTAGACGCCTTGAGGTTATCGGCGAGTCGAGCGATCTGCGTGTACTTTCCAACGATGTCAGCTTGCGCTTGCTTCAACTGCGCTTCGAGTTCGGCGATGTGGTTGTTCTGGGCAGCCAAGGCCTGGTCGATGAGCTTGTGGATGTCCATGATGGCTGTCGAAGTTGGTATGTACGGTTGTTTGGTATTATACAGAGACTGAGGAGCTTCAAGAGTCAGAAGGGAGCAATTGGTATATATAGTGACGTCTGTTGAGTCTCTCGCTATTGCCTACCGAAGATAGGGAGATACGTAAGAGGAGAGGATATCAGGTGGACGGAAGTAAGAGACAGTATGCATTGTTTCAAGATGACCTCGTTGCTTTTGAACTTCGCCTTCTGTAGAGACGAGTACATAGTTCTTTCCTTCCCAACTGATAGCTACGCTCCTTCTTTAAAAGACGCAGTGTCTCACCCACTTATCCATAAATAAACGATCCTAGCTACGAAAACCACCACTTCTCTGCAATGCTCCTGCGGCAGTTTCAGATGATTCCGTGGACGTAGAAGTCGTATCCATGTTCTTGTTCGCTTCGATCAGCTCTTCCCTGAGCTTGATAACCTCGGCGTTCTGTTCGCAAATTCGCTTAACGTCCGATGCGAGTCTGTACTCAAAGCTTCTGAGTGTGTCGTTCTTCTCGGCCAAGGCGGACTGCGTTTGCACCAACTGTGCTTTGGGTTGGGCGATGCGAGCTTTGTCGGACGACATGATGTTGAGATCCGCTTAGCCGTAGTTTCGGTAATACCCAGTGATTGTCTTATAAGTGCAACATATATGGGACTTTCACTATTCATTGTCTTAGCAGCGCTTGCGCTTACCAGCAATCGTCTCTGTCGTCTTTTTGCTTCCGTTGGCCTCTTTGGCATACGAGAAATCTGCAAACAGATCGTGCAGCATGTCAGTGCATGTGTCACGCTTAGAAAATAAGCTGTTGTCACGAATTACATTCAATGCTCGAAGCATGCGTCTAAATTCTGACTATGTGTCCAAAACGCCTAACTCCACCTTGCTCACTGCACCAAGCAAGAGGCAGAGACAGAGCCGACGATTCAATCTAGAGGAGAAGCAAAATAGATAGCCAAACGAGTACTAATGCCAATCTGAACTCCAACGCCTGCAATGCAACTCCCTAACTAAGTCTCGTCCTCGTCATAACCTTTCAACACGCGCACCCTATTGGTAGATACATCTAGTAAGGGGGGATAGCAGAGCGTGCGTTGCGGTGGAGTTCGCGGCGAGTGATCTTGCCGCCAGAGCACTTTGTGCCAGCAGCCACGGGCTAGACAAGGTGTTAGTGTTTGAAGATTGAGGGGGAATAGGAGCTTTAGAAACTTACCTGGTATATGACAGCACCGTTGGAGCAGAGGCCGAACTGGGATTCGCCATTACAGAGGAGGGCGCCGTTTTCGGGACAGGACGAACTGCCAGTAGAAGGAGCCTTGGGCGTAGTGGCTGCGGGAGTTGTAGGCTCTTTGAGGGCTGGAGTAGAGGGAGCGGCGGGAGCTGAGGGCGCCGGGATAGGAGAACCAGAGCCGCCAATACTACCGCTTCCGGAAGCAGCGCCGCCACCAAGCCCTGCAAAAGGACCGTTGCCAAGCTTGACGACAGATTTACCGGGGTTGGCGAAGGTGTAGTCAGAGCCCTCGGTTGTCGAGCATCCATTGCCAATGTTGCACGTGGCCATGTCAGGAAGATTGTCGAAGCCCTTACCAGTGCCGCCAGAGACCTTAATGGGAGCACAGTTCATGTACATCTCACGGTTACCGACGTGGTTGAACCAGGTCCATGCCATGGTCATGGTGCCCTCAGGGAGCTCGGCGGGAACCTCAAAGTCGTATGTACCGACGGTACCACCCTGAGTATCGATGTTGCCTGTGGAATCGGAGGGGCAGCCACCCTCAATAGAGTGGATTACTTTCCACACGGAATTCTTGGTGGGTTTCTCGTCTTTGGTGACCGAGATCTGGCAGGAGCCACCACCGTGAACAGCGGTCTGGTCGTCGGGGAACGAAAGGGTTTGCTTGGAGCCAACAGCCCAGTCGTTCATGGCTGTTATCTGGTAGCCACTACCCTGGCAGGGGAAGTTGGAGCCATCTCCAGCCAGCGGATCCTTTTTAGCACCCTCGAATGGGACCGGGCTCTTCATGAACATGTGAGCGGAGGCAGAGGAAGCCATGGCCAGCAAGGCGGCAAAGAGAGCGGTCTTGTTCATAGTGGAAGACATTGTGGCTAATTCGGTTGTTGAGAATGTAGAGTTCTTGAAAAGAGTGGAAGTGATTGAAAGCTGAATGATGTGCTTGTCAAAAGCGTATTTTGTTGAAATTGAAAGTTGAAGGAGTGTGAATGTTCAGAACCAGCCTGAGTATTGTTGTTGAATGAATGTTATTGCCGTTGTCTTTTTGGAGCTTCGATGGTCTCTATTGGAAGATTATAGAGACAACTTAAGTATTCTCTCGGAGTCGAGAATTCAGAGGCGTTGTGTAGCGATGACGGAGCTCTGCTGACGTTGTGCAGCGGCCTGAAAACTTGCGTAATGCGAAGAAGCTTCACAGTGAGACAATAGCCGGACACCGTGAAGTCAAGGTGAATGGGACTACCCACAGTGCATTGTGGAGACAGCGAATCAGACCGAAGAGCCCAGCAGCGAACGGATTGTGTGGAAGCGGATTTCCGGATCCCATCCACCGCAAGTTACCTGGATAAGCATAGAGCTGTGGCCGTGGATGTTATAGGTCATGTCCGATGTTGCCAGGGGAATGATTAAAACACGTGGTCAAGCAGAGCAGCCTACGGAAAAGAATGGCATTGCCGACTGATAGAGATACAGAGACCTAATGCGACTTGAGATATTGAGTAATGAAACGCTCGTGTGGATGTTCCGCGAGCTTGCTTGCTACTCAGACAGAACGCTAGTCGAAAGTGGAGAGCAACGACTTCTACTAGACGTGAAGGCAAGGCTGCGCTTCGATGCCAATCAGCCGGGGATCAGATCGGGGTTCGTAAACTTCGCCCTGACAGTCATCACCGCACAATAGTCAGTCATGTGGGGCTCTTCGCGGTAAAGCTTGTGAACCTGGAGCGTCGCGGTGAATCTCTGACTTTCTCTACCTATCTGTCACAGTTGAAGCTGGCTGGCGCGAAGTCGGAAGTTGAAGGGTGCAGCTTTGCACTAGCTTCTTCAAGAACTAGCGCATGCTGACTTAGCGAAGTATGCGCAGGTCGCGCCTGCATCATGCTGATCGGAAGGCACGCGAAACAAACCTCAGGAACCGGACCAGCGCATTAGGCAAGGGGAGGAAACACGTGAATCTGATTCTCGGCCTCTTTTCTGACGCTTTTTGCGCACTCAGGCACCATCAATCACGACCCGCAACGTTTGCGACGCGTCTGCCGCTCGCCGGCTCTTCTGAGCTTCAACACCTTTCGCATACATCTCGTCGGGCACCCCAGCAGTCATGTTCACCACAACTGGAAAAACGGCGCCGCCACAGGCGTTCATGTCTAGCTATGCGCCGCGACTCCGATCCCACGGCAATTCGCTCATGTCTCCAATTGTGCCGGCCGCGAACACCCTCCCTGCGCCGCGCGTGACGAAACGTGGAACTGCCGTGCTCAGCTACGCCGAGGACGCCTATGACGATGACGATTTCGAGGACAGCGACCGCCCAAGGCGCGCAACCGGCCTGCGCAGCTTGCAAAGGGACGCTGCCACGAATCTGGACCAGACGGCGCACATAGCAGCGCTCGGCCAGGAGCTCACAGCACCTGTCGAGCTTCAAGGCATCTGGAGAGATTGGATGGGAAGGCCTAAGCGGACTTTGTAAGTGCACATACAGCTAGACAGTTAGAGCCGTCGACTGACTGAGAATGCAGGACGGAGAGGCAAGTACAGGTGCAGTCTGCACTCCCTGTGACCCTTATCCCCATCAGAATCGACATGGACGTCCAGCCGTTTCGACCAGAGGCGCCGCTGCCCACTCCCTCGAATGCGCGCGACTTCGGCATCAACGAGAGCCTGCCAGCATACAAGCAGCCAGACGTCACGCCAGCGTACCGATTGAAAGACTCGTTCTTGTGGAACCTCCACGAGGCTCTGATGACGCCAGATCAATTTGCGAAGCAGTTCGTAGACGAGCTCGATTTGCCTGCAGACCGCAAGCCCCAGATCATCTACAATATTGCAGGTCAGATACGGCAGCAGCTAGAGGAGTATGCTGGAGTGGCACTGCATCCTCTCTTTCACTCGACTGCTGCGCCATCTATTCAGGGTGCTGCGGCGAAGCCAACGCTGCTTCCTGGCACTCGGGACGGGATTTCTACCCCAGCTCTGGCTCCCACCAACGGTGCTTCGACACCCCTGACAAATGGTGCGAATACACCTGCACCTGTAGCCATACCGAACGGCATCTCGGCGTCCGCAACAGCATTGCCATCTGAAGAGCTCCACAACCCAGATGACACCTATCGCTGCATAGTCACACTGAACATCAACCTGATGAACCGCCTGTACACCGATAAATTCGAGTGGTCACTGTTGCATCCCCCAGGTTTCGCTGAGATGTTCGCGCAAGTCACATGTGCTGACCTTGGCCTGTCAGGTGAGTGGGTATCTTCGATGACCCACGCCGTCTATGAGGCTGTATTGAGGCTCAAAAAAGAAGCGTGCGAAAACGGCGGACTTGTCGGCGACGGTGAGATCGACAACGATGCCGTTGAGCCTTCAATAGGTGCGGGTTGGAGGTATGACCACGAGCATCTGTGCGACGAGTGGGAGCCCAAGGTCGAGATGCTGTCGCAGGAAGAGATTGAGAAGCGCGAGGGTGATCGTGAGAGGCAAATTAGGAGACTGCGAAGAGAAACAGCCCGCTTCTCTTCGACAGCAAACATGTCAGGCACGCCACAGAACGAGTTCTTCAGCAACATTGAGCAGCAAGAGAACATGGGTCGTGGCGAGCGAAGCAAGAAGAAGAGAAGGTTCAGGAGCTTGAGTCCTGTTGGGCGAGACACGCCTGGCGCAGGATCCGGCTATGGAGGGGAGGGCGGTGGTCTTCAGGAAGGGTGCGTATTCATCTGCAATACTGACTTCCGCATCAGCTAACATGCGCGTGCAGAGAGCGACAGACATGGCGATGCGCACATTGCTACGTCTGGGGTACCGCCGTTTGGGCTGTACGAGACGGGCCACGAGGCCCACGCACCCTCTGTCACAATTGTGGCTACCTGTACGAACGGGACAAGAAACTCCCGCCGTGGTCAGAAAATCTGTTCTTCAACGACCGCCCGTATCACGAAGCTTCGCAGTACCGGCCGCAACGGTAGAAGTCTTGTCAACCGAGCCATCATTGAAGTTTTGTGTGCATGAGACATGCACCTACCACAGTGTAATCCATCCTAGGCCGGACTTGTGTCTTTTGTCTTTGTAGCATTTACCAGCGCGGCGTCCTGGATGTTTGATAGATTGCGTGTCAGACACCACGACCGGAGGAATGGAACGGAGGACTGCGGGAAGTAGGGACAATGGTTGTTGCAGGATGAAGGACAATCCGAGTGTCTCCATAGGCAGCGATACCTGCACTTCATATGACACTTTGCGCCAGGTTGATCACGGTCGCAAAGCGCTTCCTTGACTGGTCGTCGCGCAGTGCAAAGCCATCTACCACAACAATACCAACAGATTCCGCCATCCGAGTTAATCAACTGCCGCATCTCTTATGTAGCACCACGATTGGCCGGATGATTAATGCATGTCACCACATCAGTCCTGTTGACTCAGTTCGTGACCTGCGAATCATGACCGCAACACGGGCAGTACGGTGCCATCACTTTCCGAGCCCACAATAGCCACGAACAATAGCAAAACCTTACTTTGAATAATCATACCTACCAGCAACTATGGCTCAGTGATATGCATCCGATCAACGACTCCACATTTCGAAAATGCAGCAAGCACTAGACCTGCCTGATTCAAGACCCGGCGAGGCTGGCGCAGACTGCAAGGATCTGATTCTCCGGGCATGTAGCAAAAGAGGCATTGCTTAATTATTGTATGCGATGTGACCCAAGAGAGTGATGGGCAGGATATGCGTCGCACAGCACAAACGCACGATGGCGAAATGATGAGGACTGTCGTGATTACACCGTCGATAACAAGGAACAATAGCAACGTCTAGCGCCTGAGCATTACTTCACACGACTCACAATGCAAGTCATTCGCGCAAAACTTCGGGAGACGATTCCGAACATCAGCGATTCGCGGTGTAGTACACCCATGTATTACGGGTGTGCCGATGGGGCTAGCGCCCGCAGCACTTATTGTCCACAATAGCAAGATATCGGCCCGTATGGCTGCGACCCATGTTGGTATCTATTGTGTCCATGTTTCATGGGCGCGTCAATACCGAGTGGGTGATCGGTGAGTGAGACGCGGGTGTGGCGAGTCTGGTGGAGGGTAGTGGTGTATATGGGGGCGATATCCGCCGATGCGAGAGCAAAGTCTGCTGGTTGTGAATGCTGGTATTGTTGTCTGTTAAAAATTTGTTTTATTGTCTGCTAGGCTGAAGCTTAGGGTCTGAATCGTATTGTGAGTATCGCCGGTGCATATCAGATGTGGTATGCTGATGGTGTGTCCAGACACTTGCACTTCGTCTACCAACTGCCGGCCCAAAACCATGCTCGTTCGACTTTGACACCAGAGCCTGTAAGGCAACCGGATGCGGCCGCCGCCAAAACATCTACGTAAGGAGCCAGTCCACCAGAAGCCAGCTTATTAGGAAGCCGAAAACGTCCCGGTAGAGAATTTTTCCCGTTTTCGTGGTCGCAAAGTTGTGTAACCAGCATGGAGGGAGACAAGCACACCTAAACCCATCATCACGACACACCTTATCATTACGATACCCCACAGCACGCACAGCACCCGATCGACAGCGCAGCCGGCAGCCTTGCGAGGATATATCAGGAAATGGATCCGTGGCGGAGTCCTGCATTGCAGAACGCAAAACTGCGAGCTATCTTATCATCTTACCGAAATCCATCTTCCACGGATCCACGAGAGCATATTGAGGAGAGTGACATGTCAGCACCACCCGCTTACCATATGGTCGTCGATCCCGAAGCACAAACATGCAGCATGTCGTCGTACGAGTCCGAAGCAGAAGAAAGGGAAGATAGCGAAGACGAGACGCCAGAAATCACCATCAACGCTGCGACCCAGATCCGAGGAAATGGGAACATCGTCTCCATCGCGCAAATGGAGAGCGTGCGGATAGCAAACCTCGTCGCGACAATACTTTCCGGCGATACGATCCCGTCAGATCCCACCGCACCGCAAACACCACCAATACCTTCGCCGCCGCAGGGCCCCGTCACAAACCCTTCGATGAGCAGAACCAAGGGGAGGAGAGGCGGTCTGAACGTAAACATCACCGTCAACTGCGGCGCGACCATCATCGGCGACCGCAACATCGTCGGCCCCGGGCTGGGAGATATCGCACGACAGATGCAACTCGCGCAGCGCAACACCGCACTGCAAGTGCACACCCAGCAACAACAAGCTAAGGTCTTCCGGCAGCAGACGCTAGCTCAGGGTCTTGCGCAAATCCAGGCGCAGAAGCAGGAGCAGAAGCAGGCGCAGATGAACCTCCAGCATAGTCTGGAGCGGGGCGAGGGGCTCAAGCAAGGCCATCAGAATCTGTATCAGAGCCAGGCGGGGCTGGTGACTACTGGGGGGATAACAAGGCAGGCCACGCCGCCTATGAGTCGAAGCGAGAGTGAAGGGAGTGACGGGAGCCCGAAGGGAAAGAGGAAGGCGGAGGACGATGCCGGGGAGGGGCTGCTCATGTTGAAGAGGTGTTGAGTTGATGTATTTGGTTCAGGGTTTGGCGTTGAGGCAGTCGATGCATTTGCAGGCGTCCTTTATGAAGTCATGACGGGATAGAGTCACACTGGTGCTGTTGCTCCTCACATACTTGTTAGTTGAGAGGTCCACATCTTCGATAATGATCATGGTATTGTTTCCTCCACACAGTCCATGGTTTCTGCTTTGAAGCTTCGGCAGTTCGACTATGCTTCGCGGATGTCATCATTAGACGTAGCCTGGGTCGTGTAGCGGGTGGCGGGTTCGTGCATCTGTGGCGATCAAACGTCGTTTGACCGTTACGCTGTTACTCGAGCCAGACTTGTATAGCTCCGGCCGGGCCGTCGACGCAGGACACATACCCTCAAGCTCTCCCTCGCCAGCATATACTTGTTGAGAAGGGTCCAATAATAGTCGCTGGTTGAATAACCCCTGAGGTCTGATCAGCGAGCGGTCGACTGGAAAGGGAGATGGCGCCAGGGAAACCAAGGCTTGATCGTTATTTCCTCGAGACATCGTGTAACTTTGGGGTAATTCATTGCAACACTCAATGGCTTGAAAAACTGGTTTGAACGCAGCACAGGGCTGTCATCCTCGTCGTTCTACTTGTTCATTGAGCGCGATACTGACTGGTCAGAAGTGACACGAGTCGAGCGAGCACGGAGATAAAAACGTATCGACCATCGCAAGGTGGCCTCTTCGGAGGTCTCGAGAGGCTCCAACATGGGAAGCAGCTGCACCAGCTGCTACACAGGGGAGGGAGTGAACAATGGCTCCTTTGGATGTGAGACAAATATTCAGAGGCGCATGTGCCTAACCCAAATGCAATATTAAAGTCGCTGAAGCACTGCATCCGTGGTAGACGGCCGAGGGTGACGCCGCTCGTGAACCCTGGCTAATAGCGTTTACCAAACGGGCAAGCACCACACTCAACATCACCTCCGAGCTCCTTCCCTCCACAACATCACCACTCTCTCACACCCTATCGACCTGTCCTTCTTTCGCGACACGTATCTGGACTGCACACGCGATCCAGATTAGTCACGTATCTTAGCTTCCACGCCTGTCATTAGGAAGCATCAGCAGCTTCTTGAAGCAGACGGCCACCTTACCAATCCCTTTCTTGTCGGCCGTGCATCTGTGGGCTGTGCAACTAACGAAGTGCTCGACACACTATCGTCAATCGCGCGCCCCCTCACCGACAGCTCAGGTTCATTACCTTACATAAGGGCTGATTGGCTTTCACCAAGCTTCCCACTCGAACAATTGGACACGTCCGCAACATTGCAACAGCTCTTGGCAGTCGCATCAAGCTATATTCCAGGCTCCCACTTCGCTTCGCCACCGTATCTGCCTGACCGCATCCCCTCGACAAGATGCAGTCGTGGATGAGCTGGGCCACCTTCCTGGCCATTCTGGCCGCCGGCTACTTTTACTACGGCCCGAAGCTCACGGGCGACACTAGAGGCCGCTCTACAGCCAACAAGACAACCACTAGCTCGAAGGCAGTGGACTGGGAAGATTCGGACAGCAAGCCAAAGGCAGTTGCGAAACAGGCGAAGAAGCAGGCCAAGGCCAAGGCTCCTCGCAAGAAGTCAGTTCAGGAAACTGTCCAGGAGGCCGGCGACAAGATCAAGGCCGAGTTCGACGCCGCCACCGCTGGTGCTCCTGCCAGCGACGACTCCTTGTCTGCCTCACCTGTTCGCGCTGCCCCGAAGATCCCCAGTGGCAAGGATGTCTCTGACATGCTCCCCTCTGCCGCCTCCGTCGCCAACGTACTGAACATCAAGACCTCTGACAAGCCCACAAAGACCTCCAAGCCCAGGGCACAGAAGGTCGAGACTCCTCAGGAGACCAAGAAGCAGCGCCAGAACCGCCAGAAGAAGGAGGCAGAGAAGGCTCAGCGTGAGGAGGATGAGAACGCGCGCCAGGTGCTCCTCGAGAAGCAGCGCCGCACCGCTCGTGAAGCTCGTGGAGAGCCCGCAAAGAACGGTGTCTCCGCTAAGCTACCTTCCAACAACCCCTGGGCCGGCCAGTCTTCCGGCGGTGCTGTCCAGGCTCCCGCCGCTTCTACCGGCCAGCTTCTTGACACCTTCGACGGTGCTTCTACTGCTAGCTCCATTGCAACCAATGGAGCCGACAACTCGCCTGACACTGCCAACGGTGGCAACTACAATGGTCTGCCTTCCGAGGAGGAGCAGCTGAGGTTGGCTATGGAGGACGACTCGGCCTGGACCACTATACCCAAGAGTGGCAAGAAGCAGAAGGCAGCCATGGTCAACGAGGAGGCACACACTTCCGGCGCCGCTGCTGTCCAGGCCGTCAAGGTTGCGCAGGCTCCCCAGGTCAAGAAGACTGAGAGCCGCGCTCCCATCTCGAGCTCGCGCTACGGCATCCTCTCTGAGCCTTTCACTACCACTGAGAAGGACTCTGACTGGCCTGTCATGTGAGCGTAAGCTTCACACCAGGCTCTCAGTTCACACTGCACAGTAGGCAAATTGGACGATCGCGCCGTCTTTCAACCTTTCCCCGCGCGGCACTTGGTGCAATCAGAGGTCAACACCTCCATGCAGCCCCAGCTCGACCGGCTTCTGCACTACTACGAGTGCAAGAGTACAGCTGAGGGAAGGTCACGTGTTTTGTAAAGCATTTGTGAGATATCAACAGCGAGGTTTCGCAAAAATTGGCATTGGAATCTTGATCATTTCGATACCTGCAGTGATCAGCTACGCGCTTTACAAATATCATGTGTTCTTTCATCTTGCTCAATCCAGAATCAGCCAATCTACTCCGCGATAGCTTGGCCATCAAAAAACCCAAATTGAAAAATCGGAGCTCACATTTCCGTATGACAGTGCGGCGAACATGATTCTAAAGCACCTGCCCTAGTTATCGCGCTGACATCATAAACGGCGAAATCGAAGCTGCAACTAATGAACTGATTCAGCTAAGTGCTCAATCAGCATTCACCTATGGCTTAATGTGGGCAAATCACATTCTTCGCGTTCTTAAAGGACTTGACATTCCTGGACCTCCAGGTTCGCGGACCTCGGCGAGTCGAAAGGTACCGAACAGCTTCAATCCGCGTTTCAGCAAGAATTACAGCACACGTTTCCAAAACTCGAAACTGCGCATTAGCGCAGAAATACGCAAAAGAGGGACGTGCAGCTACAGAAGGGCTCTAGAATAACACTCTACAGCACAAAGGATTGTCTCACCAAGCTTTCTGGGTGCAGATCTAGGGTGAGAGGTACTAGCCCCTCTTGGCGAGCGACACCTGTCCTCTGACGGAAGAGCTTCACATCATTCATATCTGCCCACGCCGCGCCACTCCTTGCCTCCTCAATCTGTATCTCTCTTTTGCTTTCGACCGCAGCCATGGCGCAAATACGGGGCACAGCGGGTTACCACCTGGGAAATCAGAGCCCCTTCGGCAATGCTGGACGGAACGATGGCACCACGAATGACCCGAGTCCGCTCGATCAGCTCCGGGAGCAGACGAACAAGATTGAGGACTTCTTGGACACGCTGTCGGATCCGATCAAGCCGTGAGTGGCCATGAAGGTCCGGGGGCTCGCGGCGCGGAACTGCGGCGACGACGAGTCCTACGCGTGACAATAGAGCTAATATTGACCTGTATAGATACCTCCCAGCCATCGGCCGGTTCTTGATCGTTGTCACTTTCCTTGAGGATGCGCTGCGCATTCTGACACAATGGAGCGACCAGCTCACATACCTCCACGATTATCGACACAGTACGCTACCTACAAGCCCTGCGGAAACTCACTTGATCAATTGCTGACGTTTCCACCCTTTAGTCTGGAACGGCTTCACTCACGCATTCCTCATCGTCAACGTAGTCGCAATGACAGTATGCTCGATTATGGTCATCGCACGGAAACACTCGGAATACGCTGTAGCTGGTCTCATGAGCGTTGTGGTCATGCAGGGTATCGGATACGGTCTGGTCTTTGACCTGAACTTCTTCCTCCGCAACCTCTCGGTTATGGGCGGTCTGATGATGGTTCTGTCCGACTCCTGGGTTCGCAAGAAGTTCGCCCCCGCCGGCCTTCCCCAGCTTGACGAGAAGGACAAGAAGATGTACTTCCAGCTCGCTGGACGTGTTCTTCTCATCTTCCTCTTTGTTGGCTTCGTTTTTCGCGGCGACTGGGGCTTCTGGAGGATCATGGCTAGCCTGCTCGGTCTGATCGCGTGCGTTATGGTTGTTGTTGGCTTCAAGGCCAAGTTCTCTGCAATCATGCTGGTACTCATTCTCAGCATATTCAACCTTTACGTCAATAACTGGTGGACCCTGCACCCCCACCACCCCCACAAGGACTTCGCAAAGTACGACTTCTTCCAGATCCTGTCGATTGTGTAAGTTTCAGATGCTTAACATGTTTTCTAAGCGCTAATCATTATGTAGTGGTGGATTGCTCCTTCTGGTCAATATGGGCCCTGGTCAGTTCTCCGTCGACGAGAAGAAGAAGGTCTACTAGATCACACGACCTTTGGCATATACGATATCTTCACGTTTCAGCGTTCGGCTGCAGGCCAGGCTATATACTATATCAAGCTTAGTACAACGACGCATATGAAGATGTTCCAGCGCCCAGAGGCCGGGCAATGAAGGGAAGAATACGGTCAAAAGCATTTGAGCGCATGTGAGAGGTCTGCGGGCTACGGAGCACGCGTAGATTATGGAAGCGGCGTTTGTTTAGCAATTGAACGGGCAATCGCGACATTGGATCATCATGCCCAATTTTACAGAGTACTAGCAATGTTAACAACCATCAATGCAATGCATCAGCGGCTCAACAAGAGCAACAGCAGCATTGTTCGCTTTGTGGACACATAGCCCGGGCCCCGGACCCACGTCATGAGCTCCACAAAGCACAATGCGGAGATCGGAACCCTCCGCTCATCCTGCGTTCACCTGCCTTACGGGGTTTGACATCGAGTCAGACCTCCGACCTGTTAGCTAATCGGTTGCCGATAGTAGCCTTCCACGTGCCTCTACATTATCAAGGCCCTGCAGCTTCTCCCCTGTGCAAGTACCACGACGTTCCTTTTTTGATTTTCCAATATAGACGGTAGACAAAATGGCACCCAACAAAGTTATCATAGACACAGACCCTGTGAGTCCAATAGCGGGGTAGCTATAGTGAATCTGGGAAGCTCCTGCTGATAAGTACTCAGGGCGTTGACGATGTCATCGCTATGCTTCTTGCCTTTTCGGCGAAGCCAGATGAGTTGGATATTCTCATGCTGAGTTTGACGTTTGGCAACGTCGATGTTCAAAGGCATGTGCTTGTCCGGCTTTCAGGTCACACCATGTTTCAGGAGGCCGCAGTAGCTTGAGCCGCACAGCACTTGCATGAAACTTCAACCAAGCTGTCGCTGACTGCCTGACAGCTGTCTGAGAAACGTTGTAACGTTGTTCCACTATATTGAAAAAGAGAGAGCATGGCGGGAGAGCCAAGGCAGACCGAAGGGCTTTGAGACCCTGGATATGCGGAAACCAATCGTCGCTGTCGGAGCTACTAAGCCTTTGGCAGAGCATATGATGGTCGCGGACTTCTTCCATGGTATTGACGGGCTCGGAGGTATCCACAACAGCCATCCTCACCTCAGCCCTGCAGAAACATGGAGGTCCCTCTTCAAGCCTATTCCAGAGAATCTGTCCCCTGAGGATGCAGCTGAGCTGCAAGCTGTCAAGGATCAACATTCGCTTTTTGAGCCATCTCTAAAGCCTGCTCATGAGCAAATGCTTGAGCTGCTGCGGGACAATGAGCCGGACACGATCACCATCGTAGCTGTTGGTCCGCTTACGAACCTTGCTCTGGCGGCTGCTAAGGATCCTGAGACTTTCCTGAGGGTAAAGGAAGTCGTTGTCATGGGTGGTGCAATCGATGCACCCGGGAACGTAAGTCTTATTCCAACTTTCTTCGTCCATTTGCTGCAACACGGTCCTGAAGCTACTCTTGCATGGGTAGCCTCCTCCTGTGGAACTGTTGTACATGCCAGAAGCCATGAACATATCCGCTCCACACTTTGGACCTACAAAGCAACCCGACAACACAACGCGCAGAAAGCTGAATGAAATAAACTAGATGACACCTGGTGCCGAGTTCAACACGTACGCAGACAGTGTAGCCAGCGCTCGCGTCTTCGCCTTAACCAATCCCAACCCACAAACGACTATGCCCCCAACCCTAAGCGGTAAGGGCCAGCTCCCGCCATACCCCGAGAAGCTGTCCCGTCCACTGAAGCTGAAGCTATTCCCACTTGGTACCTTCCCTCTTCGTCACATTCTAGTAACAAAGCTAACAGCAACAGACACAACAGAGCAACACATGCTCCCACAATCGCTCTACACTACCCACACGACCCACTCGTCCCTCATTAACTCCCCTCTCACAGACTGGTCCACACTTTTTCTGCTCACTACATTCAAGAAACTCCTCTCCCTGAATCCCAACCAAGACGCCTCCAAGCTCGGTCTCCAACTCCATGACCCGCTGTGCATATGGTACGCCTTGAATACAACCCGCTCGGGATGGGAGTTCAAGACCGAAGATGTGAGGATTGAAACAGCCGGACAGTGGACGAGGGGGTGTTGTATTGTTGATCGGAGGGGCAGGCCGGTGACGGAGCGGACGACTGAATTAGATGACGAGGTGGTGGGAGATGCAGGATGGTGGGGAGACAGTAGGAGGGGAAACAGAGTGAGCTGGTGTACAAATAGTCCAGGAACGGAGGCTTTCGCACACGAGCTACTAGAGAGGGTTTTTGGGAAGATCGAGTAAAGAGTTTGGATGGGAAAGAACGGCACGTAAGGATACGGGAGGCTGCTCTTGCATCGAGAATGGGCCTTTTTTTTTACCCATCAAGGCTCCGTCGAGTGTGAAGATATGCGTCCTTTGCGGGATAAGTAAACCCATATGCGTTGCCATGCGGCAATTTCGAGGCTTCATCCCTAAGATCTAGGATGTAATTGTCAACGGTGTGAGCGACCTGTCTCCAGGTCTGTCTCTGCACGATTTCTCATGGCCCCATCTCGTCGTGCCGCCCTGATCGTAAGAGAGGTACGCAACCAGTCTGGGAGTATATGGCGATGCGGGTATGGGCTTTGAGCGATTTCTTTGTGGGATCGTTCTGTCGTGCGTCCATCTCAGATTTGCAATTACTATAGCAACTAATAAAGAGGCACGCAACCAGTTTGGACATATTATACGCAGTGACTGCAAATGTGAGCGATACTCATCGATAATACCGTGGGGTCTCATCTTGTCACATCGTTCGCTTTTGTATCTCAAGAATTTCGAGTGCACGCGATCTAGCAAGAGCCGGTACAGATGACAATAAGCTCTTTTCAAGACTGCCCACTGCTGCAGTTGGCTTCATCGATGTTTGCATACTTCCCAATTGAGCAGCTTCCCCAGATAATGGGGGGTTTAGTCAGCACGCAGGATTGGAGCAGCTCCACTTCCTCCATCAACACCACGCTAACAAACATCTACTCACCCGCAGTGTTTGCCCGCGCCATCCCACCTTCTTCATTTGCAATTGATGGTCGACTCTCGCGGCAGCGCTATTTGGCATGGCTAAGCATTTTCAGAAATGCCGCCAGACAAGCAGAGAACCACGCACGTGCTCAACGAATAGGCACTGGAAGTCTTGAGACAGGTGGCATGAAACTACCCAATGCGTACCCACCAGCTCAGCCCCTCGAACGCTTGAGCCAGCCTGGTGCTCACAGCGCCCACGCTTTCGTCATGCTCACTCTCATTCGAGGCGCAATCCGATGTGAAACGGGCCAATCACAGCGCTAAGACCCGGCACGCGTGTGCTCGACTTCCTCGACTGCGACAAGTGCCCACGCGACACCTTGCCCGTGATAATGTTACCTTCTGTCCATCCCTTCTATCTCTCTCCCCTCTCCCGTTCGGTTCTTTCCTTTTCACATAAATTGGACGATGGCTAAGGACTGTCCTATGAGTTCTACCAGCACCACAATGCCACGCCCTAACTTCCCGCCAACGCCGCAACCCTCCACTGACATCACCGGCAAGAGCTGCGCAAATGCTCCGCAGCTTGAGGGTGGCTTCACGCTACCTCCAGCAGCTCTGAACGGTAGAGGGAGTGTCGCCAGCTCATCTGGACTATCCGAAACCGCTTCAGACTCGTCATATCGACCACCTTCGCCCGCCTCGCCCCTTACTACCAAGAAACCCAGCCAAAGTCGCAAACGTTCGAGCCCGAACTCCCAACAGGACAGCGTCATCACCAAAGATGACTACTCGCTTCCACCTCCACCAACAAGATCACGCAAGATCATACAAATGAAGCCCAAGGACGCCCAGGAACTACTGAAACCGCAGCCCGAGAAGCACGATGCGAAAGCGCCGGCAGAGAAAGCTGCTGGGGGCAAGAGGAAACATGCCAACACCACAGCTGCAGGGCGCAAGGTTGCACGGAAGACCGCACACAGCTTGATCGAGCGAAGACGAAGGTCGAAAATGAACGAGGAATTCGGAGTTCTTAAGGACATGATCCCCGCGTGTAGGGGTCAGGAGATGCACAAGCTGGCGATCTTGCAGGTGCGTGATTTTGCTTCCTATTCTACATGCCATTTTGCTAATCGTTTGCAGGCTTCGATCGAGTACATGCGCTATCTCGAGCAATGTGTTGCCGACCTGAAAGCGGCCAACCAGGCACGATACGACTCGCCATCGATTACTGCCTCGGATCTTGCGCCGCCTCCTCTTCGAAGGGCGATGGAAGAGCTTGACGAAGACGAAGAAGACGACGAGGACGAGGAGATGCAGGATTTTGTATCGCCCACTACTGACGTGCCCACCTCGATTCCAAAGTCGACCTACCACTTCGCGACAGTCTCACCAGTTATCAATCCTTTTGACAGGGAGAGCGTGTACTCGCACTCCAACACAACTTCTCCTGCTATGCTCCCTCAAGACTGCAACTATTATTCCGCTAACCCTTCGCCGGCACTCCAGCCTTCCGACCCACACCGCTACTCCCTGGCATCTGTAGCGTCTCCTTCTTTGACTGCTTCGCCGGCATTCAGTGCGCAGGCCTCGCAGACTCCTTCGGCTGCGGTGTTCAGCAACCCCTTTCACAATGGACCTCCAAGTACAGGATCTCTTCCAGCTCCGGGCTCAGCACACAGCACGTCAAACTTCTCCCTGACATCACCTGCGTTGAGACCTCAAACAGATCGTGAAGATCAGATCGCCACGGAAGCGTTGATGATGCTGAACTCTGCTGACCGTAGGAGCTGGCCAGGGAAAGGAGCTCGCGGCATGAGTGTTAAGGACCTGCTGAGCGGTTAGGGTACTGTAATGTACAGCGCGTGAATGCGCAGGGCGCCGCATGGCGTTCTGGAATCATAAAACGGGTGGAATTCGCCCAGCATAGAACAGGCTGATTATCGGTTACTCGTAGGTGTCGGCGGCCTTTTGACATGCTCTTTGAAGTCTTTCACATCCTATGCACACCGCAACACGTGTGTAATTCACTTTTGTGAGCAGGAGGGCAATACTATGTAGCAACAAAAGTTTCATCAGTGAACAAATTTAGAAATGACTCACTTCCGGTGTACGTTGCGATGATCGGTGCGATATTGTGAGGACATCTGAGCATGCAGTACTGCGGCGCGGAAGTGCGCGGCAACGAGTGGAGAGCAGCGTGGCCTACAAGTACAATCAAATTCCCTGGTTCTTCCGTATCGACTTATTGCCTCAATGCGCAATCTACACATCTACAGAAGCAGAGTATCAGTTGGGATCCTCTTTGCCTCTCTATCGTGATATGGCAGTGCTGTATCATGATCACGTGCGCCGCAAGAGCAATGGATTCTTCGAAAGGGCAGATGCGGTAGGACCGAATGCTTTTACTGCCCTGCCGCCGTTGAGAACAATCGAAGTCATAATGAGGAAGAGATGAAAAGCAACGAGGACCCCTTCCCAAGGAGATACTCAACAGAATTGGGGCGACACAACACTGTCTGCAGAATCGCACACAACGTCGCACTAAGCCCAAGAAGGTAAAGTTTGAGAGATACGAACAAGTATGCAGAGTCACAATACGATATCTTACTCAGCGAGGTTAGCAAGGCTGATATCGCCGGTGAGACAGGCGAGTCTTCAGGCCGCTTTCCATCATCGCGTCACCCACTGGTACAAGACACTCATCGGTGTGTAGAAGCCTCTACCACGCAACGCATCCATCCATCTTGTTGTCATGCATGCAACGCGAGATGAGCTTCGGTTGCGGACTAAAGGGTAAAAGGCGTGTACGAGACCACATCCCGCGCTCTAGGCCCCTGATCGCACCTTCGCGCTTTCGCGCGTTCGTAGACTCCGACCCCCGAGCTCGGAAGTAAGTCGCAAGCCACATGGCACATTTCGTAGCAAACCCTGCTTCTTGTGTGTCGGAGTTTGTCGGCCATATCGGCACAGCCGCCTGCTGCTGCTGCTCCACCCGTGGACTCCACATGCAATTCTTGGATGCCTTACAGTAATGACTCTGTGTTGCACAATATATGAGCGACCTGGATCCCAAGACAGTAGAGCAACGAACAGCAATACCTCCGGGTTGACTTGATATTCACACCGCCGTCCTTCGAGCAAATACCCCGGCGTCAAGCCTTGCAGGATCAACATGTCCATACGAAATGACAAAGAGCTCCCATCGAGCGCCACCTCACACACGGAACTAGATTTTGAGAAGAGCATAGAAGTCACGGTCGACCACCATGTACACAACCTTCCCTTCCTCAGCCATCAACTCCTAACCCTCCCACAGACTCGCGAAGACCAAGAGCCCGCAAAAGACGACGAAATCGGCACCGACCTGGAGAAGCACCTCACCCGCAAATCGAGCAAAGGGTCCAAAAAAGAAGATTTTGTCGAAAAGTACCCGTTGTCAGATCTTGACGCCGGCCTGGTGGGATGGGACACGCAGGATGATCCTCTGAACCCGCGAAATTTCCCGCGCAAGAGCAAATTGTTCATTTTGTTTCTGGTTTCCGCGATCACGTTCTTGAGTCCGCTTGCATCGAGTATTTTTGCGCCGGGGATCCCATTTGTCAATGCGGACTTTCACAATACTTCTCAGCTCTTGGGATCTTTCGCAGTCTCTGTGTATATTCTCGGTTTTGCGGTAAGTACCCTGTACCAGTGACGGTATGGGGGACATGCATCCGCCTCTATGGCAGTCTTATGCCCTGTTCATCTCTCTGATGGCTATAGTATGCTGATCGCATACTTCAGGTCGGACCACTCTTCCTCTCACCACTCTCCGAGATCTACGGCCGCTGCATCATCATGAACATGAGCAATGCCTTCTTCTGCGCCTTCACACTCGGATGTGCACTTGCACCAAACCTCGGCGGTCTCATCGCTATGCGTTTCTTCGCCGGCGTTGGAGGCAGCGCTTGTCTGACCATCGGCACTGGTGTCATCGCAGATCTCTTTGTTGCGTCGCAGCGTGGAAAAGCTGTTGCGTTGTATTCCATGGGTGTCCTGTTCGGTCCCATCATAGGGCCCATCTGCGGTGGCTTCATCGCGCAACGCGCCGGCTGGCGATGGGATATGTGGGTCGTTCTCATCGTCGCGGTTCTGCTCACCGCTGGACTATTCGTCTTCAACCGCGAGACTAAGTAAGCAGCCTCAATCATTCTCCCATGTGGTCAAAATTGCTAAAACACACAGCCACGGCGTGCTTTTGAACCGCAAGACCATCCGCCTACGAACCGAGCTACAGCGCCCAGAACTCATAAACATAATGAACAACGACAAACCCGCCGCAGCCCTCCAACCAGAAGTCATCTTACTGAACGGCATCACGCGACCTATGAAGATGCTCTTGACCCAGCCCATCGTTCTTCTCTGCTCGCTTTACATGTCGTTCCTCTTCGGCCTGCTCTACCTGCTCTTCACCACGCTCACACCCGTCTTCATCCAGACATACGGCTGGGAAGCAGACATAACGGGCCTAGCCTATCTCGGGATAGGAATTGGCAGTCTCATAGGCATCAGTTTCGTTGCAAAGACGTCCGACGCAACAATCATCAAGCTCGCGAAGCTCAACGGCGGGAAGTATGAGCCGGAGATGCGTTTACCGCTGTGTGTGTTCTTCGGCTTTCTCATCCCTGCAACGTTTTTCTGGTATGGATGGACGGCTCAGTATAAAGTGCACTGGATCGGTAGGTTCACTCTCCCTTCCCCCTTCTTCAACGTGAGGTGAAGAACAGGACTGACATGTCACAGTGCCGATTATCAGTCTCATACCCTTTGGTGTCGGCATAATGGGTATCTTCGCCCCGCTGCAGACATACCTGATCGACTGCTTCCCGCAATACGCCGCGAGCGCAATCGCAGGAATGACATGCTTGCGCTGCCTTTTTGGTGCGCTTCTTCCGCTCGCAGGGCCGTCGGTGTACGACACGCTTGGCCTTGGGTGGGGGAACAGCATTTTGGGATTCATTGCGATTGCATTCATTCCGGTACCGGCGCTGTTGTTCAAGTACGGAATAATTATTAGGGAGAGGTATCCAATCAGGTTTTAGAGTAGATACGGAGGGAGCGGGATGGTGGTGGTGCGATTCATACACAGTAATAGACACGATCTCGGAGCTACAAGATGTAATAACACGGAGAAGTGAGTTCTCGGGACCATAATGTTTAGCACGGTCCTCTCTGAAAAGGCGTCGTTTGCTTTCAACTGGGACAAGGGCCACCAGCTGCTTCGGACATGCATGCACTGTGACGATACGATTATGCATTAAGCTACAGTAGAGCTACCACACTCCAGTACGCGTGAGATCGACTGAACGCCTCCAGCCTGTGAGCTGATACAAAGGAAAGAAAGGGGTATCAAACATTTTCCTGCTCCTCGATGCTGGGCAAAGCCACGGAGCGATCGGCGCCCGAAAACATGTCGATCGCGCGTTGTCTACAATGCCTGCAGATTTCCACCCTCGACGAATTGCCCTGCCTAGTGGAAAGTCTTTTGCACCCTCGGCATAAAACGCGCTATGTCGTAGTGGACTCTCGGAGCGATACAAAGCAGGAGAGGACGTAGTCGTTGTCGTAGCCCCAGCTGTCGTGAGATTCGAGGGTCTCGTGGTCTTGGTACACGCGTCCGCTGTATACGAGTATGAGTTTGTGGTCGTCGCCCAACTGCTTCAATTAGCAAATGCATCGGTCGCCAAAGATCGAGGTCTCTCTTTGGTAGGCCCTGAGAGCTTACGACTATTGGTTTTGCTTTTCGTAGACTTACATTTGCTAGCGCCTTACACTTCTCACGAATGGATGCAACGCTGTCCCGTCTCCGCACTGTTGTCTTAAGATCTTGCGACTGATTGCTAAACCGTACGCGCACGATGAACTCGCGGTTCAGCTCTGCCTCGTCGAATGTAGTGACGACATTGGCTTTATCCTCAGTCGCCAGGACCGCCTCCTCATCCACAATACCAGCAGGCTCGATGGCTAGCCATTCAGGCACCTTGTACTCTGCGCCCCTGTCATCATACACTCTGCTCCAGAGCTGGCCAGTCGGGCAGGTGCATCCCTGAACATCCAACAAGGTCTGGGCAGTTGCAAGATCGCCTTCCTGTAGAGCCTCTGTTGCTGCGCGAAGGCACTGCCACACCTGAGTATTGTTTGTTACGCGTGTGTCCCACCAGTCCCTGCGTTCCTTCTCTAGTCGCGCTCTCGTCCAAGCCTGACCTGACGAGTCTGTCAGCGGCTTAACGCGATTTCTGCTCTTAGCGGTCGTGGGTGAGGCGAGCGTGTTGGGGAGCGTAGAGCGCTGTTCGGCCGGGATTGGGATAAGGGGTTGATTCGGGCGAACATTGGACGCAGATTGGGTGCCAGAACCGGCAGGCGCAGCATTCGAGGGACGTCCGAAAATGGAACCGCGAGAAGAGGGTGCAGACGTGTGTCGAGAGTTTGGCGCGTTGAGGTTGCGCGAAGAGGCGTCGAAATGGGCGACATGGGGTGCATCTTGCGCGCCGTCATTGTTGGCCGCCTCTGCAGCTGGGCGAGAAATGCAGCAACCCTGCAGGGAGATCAGACATGTTCAGAGCCAGTCAAGCTGCTTGTGAGACATGTCGCGTGCTCACTGAGAGTGACATACCATGGTGGACTTGAGCCCTCAACCGTGCCTCGGTTCGATGAGCTCACCAGCGATGTTGAGAACGAACGAATGCTGAAACAACAATAACGACAAAAGATAGATCGAAGTGATGATAGAGCGATTGCATGAGCGCAAGCTGTTCACGGTGACAGGCTTGGTCGTTGAGGTGCGGGGGAGGGAGGCACTCTGCTGTTCTGTGCCTGGCATCGCAATGCGCCTTCCTTGGACATGAAGGCGCCTCACTGTATTAGTACTCGCTGCCGCGCTGGCCTGCCTCCCCGTGATCCGTTATGGGAATTGCATTTCGGGCCTTGCCACAATGCACACAAGGAAACCTAGATCCGTCGTATTATTTGAGATGGTATTCGCGGCAGGGCGGGACAAAGGGATAGGCTAGTTCATCTCCTCGATGTATGCACGTCATGCATAATTGTCGACACGCCCATGTACCAACTTCGTAACAGCACATCCATCACCTCGTGAACTATAGGGCACCTGATAGAGTACTACTTCACATCCTATACTGACAGGCGCGCGTACCCGCACTTTCAGTTTCGAATGGGGGTATGCATGAGCTTTATCGATCGGACTCAACTCCGGCAGCGGATAGCAAACGCATTGGAGGGCACCGAGATGCCCATTTCAGTCGCAGGTGTCATGGTTGGTCTGCATTGCCCATAGCCGTCCGGCGTATTCTGCATGAACTCGCTCGACCTGCGAATCTCAGGTAATGTCACGCCATGTAGAGCACGTTTTGAAGTTCAAATCCATTGTAAACCACGAGCCCATTAGAGATTATTATGCGAGAGGTGCCCGAGTGGCCGCTTGTGTACATCCCTCATAAGGCTGTACGCAGGGTATCAGGGGGTATTGTGCGATAAACCGACAGAAACGACAGCTAAACGACCAAACCCGGACTTGGTATCAAAAACAAGAGAAACAGTGCAGAGTGGTATCAATCTAGACAAAAAGTGCGCATAAACACAGAAAAGGCCAAAAGAGACGTCTCCAACATGCCAATGCCGCACATTTCGTGACCGAGAGGAATGAGCGACGAAGAGTTGGTCCAAATACAGAACAGATTGGTTGCGAAAGGGTATATGTGATCCATATCCTGCGCCTGAATCCATATCGAAGATCCAAACCAGAAAACGGGGGTATCGGTGGCGTGGCCGTGCGGTCAAACAAGGGACCTGCGGTATCTTTGCTTTTCCGTCATTCCATCATGACTGTCATCGAGAAAGGTTGGGTCTTCCCACCACACCTTACACAGTTGTAGCGACAGGTGCGCTGCTTTTCGGAGCCTCACCAACGTTGACGGCCTCGGGAGTAACATCACCGATGGTGGACTGCTGAACGGGGACAACAGGTGTCTCTTCCTTCTTCTCGGCGACAGCAGGGATCTCGACCTGGTTGACGGGTTCAGCGGACTCTTGGACGGTGGCGGGAGCCTCCTTCTTCTCCTTGGGCTCTTTCTTGCCACCAGCCTTTGAGACGGTGCGGGCAAGAGAGCCGAAGATGCTGCTGCGCTTCTCCTTCTTAGGAGCAGGAGTCTCCTCCTTCTTCTTCTCCTCCTCAACTGGAGCGATCGAGGCCTCGGTAACGGGAACAATGGCCTCGACACCGTTGGCAACGACGGGAGCGGGTGTCTCTTCAAGTCTGTGTGCCTCCTCAGTCTTGAGGGTAGGGGTAGTCTCACCAACGGCGGGAGACTTGGCCTTCTCCTTGTTGCCGAAGAACTTGCCGAAAGAAAAGTGCTCCTTCTCCTTGACGGGGGTGACCGGCTTAGCAACCTCGGTCTTGGGGGCATCAAGCTTGGCCTCGACGAGAGGAGCCTCAGTGGTGGTCTCGGCGACGGGAGCAACAGCAGGTGATTCATCGACGGGCTTAGCAGCCTCAGGGAGAACGGCAGACTCCTCCTTCTTCTCGACAGCGGGGACGAGGTCAGCCTCCTTCTTCTCATGCGAGGGGCTCTTGACCTTCTCGAAGAAAGAGCCGAAGATGGAGCCGCGCTTGGTGGGCTTGGGCTTCTCAATGGTCTTGTCTTCCTTCTCGACGGGAGCAGGAGCAACCACAGGAGCAGCGGTCTCGGTCTCAATGGGAGACGGGGCAGTGGCCTCAGCGATAACAGCGGGAGTGGCCTCAGTCTTCAGCTCGTCACCTGTCTTGGGGATGTCAGAGGTGATGACAGGAGCCGTGGTGGAGGTCTCGCCAATCTGGGGAGCGACGGACTCCTCCTTCTTGACCTCAGGCTCAGCAGTTTGCTCCTCAGTCTTATCCTTCTTGCCGAGGAGACCACCGAAGATGCTGGCACGCTTGCGAGATACAGAGCGGCTCTTGCTCTTGGCGGCCTTCTTCTTGTTCTTCTTCTCAGCATCAGACGAAGAGCTGCTAGAAGAAGATCCAGTACGGACGGGACCAGCGGCCTCAGCAGTGGTAGAGGCCTCGGCTTCGGCGGACCTGGTAGCGTCGACGCTCTTCTTCGGGACGGCGGCAGCGGTGGTAGCGCCCGCTAGTGTGGTGGGTTTTCCTACGCGTGATGTCAGCATGCTGCAGTGGGCCTAGCCGTATCACTAAAACAAAAGTGTCCGCAACGCGACGCGTCGGAAAGTGTAGGTTGTTAAAACTTACCAAGCTTGGTCTTCTCCTCCTTGTAAGCCTCGCTGGACTCGATGCCCTCCTTGGCCTCCTTGGCCTCGGCGATGGCTTTCTCGACGGCGACGAACCAGCCATCACGCTCGGTCAGAGTCTGGGCCTCGAAGGTATGCTTGTGGCCGTGGATCTTGAATGCGAAAGCAATGGTTCCATCCTTGACGAGGTCGGTGGCGTAGGCCTGCACTCTGTTAGCTGGTGATTGCAGAGAGCTCGCGAGTCAATGCGCACCAAGTTGAGGGCACCGGCGGGGTTCTCCTTCTTGTCGGCGTGCTTGACGAAGAACAAGAGGCCCTTGCCGGTCTGACTGGACCACGCAGCGGTGGGGTGAGCGACCTCAGGCTTCTCGCCGCGGAGGTACTCAGCAAGGCTGGAAGCAGAGACGGCCTCCTCGCCGAACCAGAAGTACTTCTTAGCGAAACGGAAAGCGCTGCGTCGTGGTTAGTATTTGATCCTGACACCGGACACCTGTGGCACTACGTGCTACTTACTTCTTCAGGCCAGGAGCCTTGTAGCCCAGCGCACCGCTGTAGATGGGCTCGACGACCTTTTCCACGACTTTCTCGTCCTCCTTGGTCTCCTCGACGGGAGCAGCAACAGCAGCCTCGCCCTCGGTTTTGGGCACCTCCTTGGCCTCGGGTGCCTCAGCGGCAGGGGCAATGGTCTTCTCGCCGGCGACGTCCTGGGCAGCAACGGGAGTGAACTCAACGGGCGCAGGGGCGGCCTCGGGGGCAGCAACTGTCGCGGGTGCTGCAGCAGACATCTTGTGTATATTGGGTGTGAGTGTAGGGAGGGTGTGGGTGAGGCGGGTGTGGGAAAAAAAAGATAAGGCAGGGAAGGAACACACTCAGTGTTATGATTACAAGTTTAGTAGAGAAGGAAGGCTTGCTCTGGCAGGTGCGGCGAGAGGCAAAGCAGGCTCGACCTTGTTTGAAAAGTTTGAAGCACAGCGGTGTGAGGAGGGGGAATAAGGAAAAGCTCAACAAATGGCCAAGGGCTGCGAGATTCTTAAGGTGAGGGCGCGTTGCTAGGGGTTGGATTTGATGTGCAGGGATCCCGGCACACGAAATTGGTCTCGCGGCAGCACGCCCACTAGAGGACCCGCCTCGCTCTAGTCGCACCACACCTGGCCGAATAGCACGACTCACCAGCGTTATGCACACCTCACGTCCTGAAACAAAAGCTGTGCATGCCAGCATCAGCCTGGATGTCGAACGACAACCGTGGGCGCGCGAGAGAGCTGCGCGGCGTCATCTTCGAGGCCACGGCAGCGTGCGGCTTTGCCCTGCACGTGTTGTGATAAGCATCTTGCTGGGTGGTGAGATCTTGCGACATTCATCTTGGAACAAAGTCGCATGATCAGAGTGCCCCTCCTTCCCCGACCCTTCCTCGGTGCGATTGATCAACCTCTGGAAGACCTGAACAAGGCAGCCTGGAAAGCCACGGCATTGCTGCCGTCCAGTGCTATGGGTCGAAGACCTGATTGATCCGGTGTGGCCAGCAGCGTCTGCCTCTCACATCGAGGTACAGCTATCACACTGCACATGGCGACGATCGACAATGGTATCTTACAACAGGGAGCTGCAGGCAGAATCAATGCTCTTTCAGCTGCGTCTCAACGTACCTGCCATCTGCGGGCGGCTCAACGGCTGCGAACCTGCATCTCTATGCCCGCCACCTCTTCTTTGTTCGTGTAACAACACCACAGCTTTTGTCCCAACTATCACCAACTCTCGACCTTTGCACAACTCGAGCCTCCACGCCAGCCAAGGTTGTCCGAGCACGCATAGCTAGACAGCGGCTAGCGTCCGCCTCAACGAATCGCGTGCGTCGCTCACCGCCCGAGCGCCGATTCCCGTTGATGCCAAACCCTTGTCCACAAGAATGCTGACACCCAAAACGCCACGCAGCGTCTGTGGTGCTAAAGCATGCTGCTGTTGATTTAGGTGTGGGCGAGAGCATAAATCTCCTTGAGGGTACCTCCGAGGAAGCTTTATGTTCTCGCTGGTGCATCAGACAGCCACATCTCAGTTTATCAAGCCATCGCCGTTGGGCAACTCTGGCGAATTTCCCATGCATGCGTGACACAGGCTGCACGATTACGAAAAGAACAGCCTATTAAATTGACGATCGCGACCGGGCTTTCCCAAATGAGCACTGCGGCAGCGCAGACCCGGATATAAAATCTTGCAGACTACGGAATGACTCTGAAGCAGATCAGCCGAACCAGATGGTGGCTAGGATGGAGCCGGTCTATTATTGAATGGTCAAGGCTCACGTGAAAAGGAGAGTTTATCCTCGTCGACCTCTACGGAACAGCCAACGATGATGCATTTCAGGAGACTATCGCCCGTCCAACAATACCGTTTTGGGTACCGAAGTCACAGGAGCATCGCAAAGCGCAATATTCCAGACGTGAAAAGGATTCCGCGCACGAACATATCCTTTCATCTCAAACGTTTGTTACAGCGTGCACAGAGCATGCCGTGTACGATATCCTCCGTTGATGATCTGCCCGCAATCTCGTCTCCCGTACCCAATCCTCACCCGACTCACCGCCGCACGCTCAAATTTGCGACTTGAGGCGCGTACCGACTTTTTGTGATCGGGCTTGTGCTGTCATACAATTCAACGCAATTTGACAAGCTGCCCGTTCATCTGGTCCAGCAGAGATCCTGGTTTGCAATCAACTTCTCACAGATGCCAGGATGCTCAAGACGGTATGCAAGACATTTTGCGAAACCGTGAAGGAACCCGAGAGATGAAAGGCCACGGATCCTCGTCCAAAATGTTCAAGCCCAGGGGTGTATTGCCAAGCGGCAAGCGGTTCGTTACAAGCCACACTCCACTTCACGAGTCAAAACGATAAACTGTGCGACTGGATTTACGAGGTGAGGCTCTGCGTAGGTCGAGAGGAAACCGAGACAAACGAGACAAGTGCAATGAATCGGTGTCGCGTACCCAGACTGAAGTTTCGAGTCAACCAAACAATCAACCTCTCACCTTCGCCGCGAGATTAACATCCCCACCCAACATGAGCACTCCTGCGGGCTTCCCTGCAGCATCAATGAACAACACATCAACCCCACGCATCACCGAATCTTGACTCGAGAAGTAAACACAATCGTCGAACGAAGCCTGGGAGTTCAAATAAGCTCAAGACACTGGCGTCAACTCCCGCTGCAGGGCCGGCCGGACGCATACAAGACAGCGCGATGCGTGTTGGTGGAGACGCATGAGGGCCTGCCTCTTCTGGACCAGCGCGCGGCTGAGAGACACAACGTCATTTGCATCATCACCAGGGGATGTCAACAACATAGTCCAACATACCTAAAGCTTGCTGCGGCCATGGAGACCGACAGTCAATTTGACCTGTTCCAGACCTGCATTTGAAGTTCGAACATATATCTTCACACAAGAGTCTTCCATTACCGCTACAACGCTGAGCAAACATGAACACTCGAGGAATTCGGAAGATCCACCGCCTAGTAAATCTCAACTCAAACTCGAAGTTCTCGAAAGTCCCGACGCACAGACACTTCTACACCAGCCTCCATCCCAGTCCTACATATCCGGGGTACCCAGGACCACAGCTCTCACTATGTCGTCCCCTGACCCCAACCTTAATATAACTTCCAACTCCAGTCTGCACGCATGAATGACGGGCGTTATGCGGGGAAGTGATCACCGATTACGGGCCTTCATGAGACCGTTAATCCTGGGCCACATACGCAAGCGTGGATACTACCGGAGAGGCGCATGATGGAACATGTCGTCATCGTGATATCGGATTGTACACAGCCTCCGGGGCATGCACACTAGACTCTAACAGCGTATACTTCAGCTTTCACTCACTGTACAACACAGCGGCCACCAGCCTGCTGTGCCTCGATCGCTCTGGCCCTTCCAGTCTCGACAAATTCCGTTTGTAGTCCCGTTACTTCTGACGGACTGAACACCTTTTTGAGTATCCAAGACACGTCTAGGTGGCTTTGAACAAAAGTGTAGTTCAGCTGAGCTCCAGCGTGTATCGATTCCTTGAAACCAGGACAATTTGAGGCTGAGAGATGCGCTTGCTGCGCCAGTCGCGTTGATCAAAATCAAGAACAAGCCCTATATCGTTTCCTTGTTGTAAATGTAGGCTTGCTGGTTCGGATCCGCACACTGAAGAGGCTCGAGTGAGAACTTGATCAAACATCTACCCTTGCTTCTTCTTGGATAGAGTGGTACAGCATGCCGCATAGCTATTGGAGTTATACGGAGCGGACGTAATGCGTAGTCCAGCAGTAGACGGTCTTCCTTGTTGATACTACGCGGGTCCGCAAGCAACTTGGCACGTACATATCCTGTCAGACGGGCTTGCACGACCAGTTCCAGGAAGTTACACGTATCGCGCTCTTCGTTCGTTTCGAGACCTTGGGCTGATCGTAGGTCTCTTGCATCTGTCCAGTGGTTGTTACCGCGACTGCGTCGCACAAATGAGGTGTTGGTCTTGTCGAGTTCGTCGAGGATGGGAAGCAGACAAGGGACGGTAGGGTCACCGAGCCTTCTTCCCAGTTCGTGGGCATAGTAAAGGAGCTCATCAGTCAGCCCAATGATGGTCTTGTAAAAAGTCGGAATCCAGAAAATTTTGATCGCAGGGCCTTTCAGAAGCGCAAGATAGACGCTGCATAAGCTGATCAATGGGTTTAACTCTTCTCTGACGAGTAATGCCGGCTTTTCGCGATAGTTATCGCATAGAAAGTCGCGGACCGTACGGTGGAAGTCGACAGAATGGCTCAGGAATACTTGGTGAGGCAGATCGTCAACGACTAGAAGGTCCCCGCACCTGTTTCGGATCCTCAGGCAGTGTCATCAATTGAACACTGTATTTACCAAGTCCCAGGATATACCATCGGCGAGGCCGTTCTTACCAGGCTTCTTCATTGACGATCACGCCAAGCTCGATATCGATTGAGGGCCTTACAATGGCGGTCACAGCTATCTCAATGCATTGCTCAAGTTCGTGCAACGCGATGCTAAGAACTACCTCACATTGGACGACAAAGATGACGTTGAGCTTGGTCAAGACATGCAAGAAGTCTAAAAATGGCTGAAGACTATCATCCCTTTGTACTTCCACACGTGTCTCGTTGTTAAACGTCTTTACTCTACCATCGCGATATCAATCTTATAAACAATCTCGTCGACTCGAACGGCGATTTAATCAGCATCGTCGACTGGAAACGTGTAGCAGCCGTCCCAGCCTGACAAGCTTGCGATCTGCCCCAGCTACTCCAAGGCCGTCCACACGGTCTGACAAGGATTCCATGGTCCTGGATTATGACGCTGATACGGACAGCGTCGAGGACTCTGAAAAGAAATTGGAGGATTATGAAATGGCTCAGGTCCGTACGTTCTTCCTCAAAGGAATGCAGCGCCATTCGCCGGAGCGGATGGCTACTTTCCGCCGTGGACGTCTTCATCATGGTGTCGTTCTTGCGATCAAAAAAAGCCGGCAATGATACGACTGTCAAGTGGATCAAGGCCTGTTTGAAGGCGCTGTTGCAGGGACAGGTGCCGAAATCGAGCTTGACGGATAGATGTCGCAGTGCAGAGGCACGACGGAGTGTTGATTGGATCTCGGAGTAGAACTGAACCTTCACTGGATTTCATGTCGTAGTTTTGCAATACATACATTGTCTGAAACATATCATGCACTATAGTACAGCGGCCTGTTGGCTGTCTTTATACTGACACAATGTTTAGTGATTTACCTTACTCAGGCTTGTTTACAAACGCCCTCCCATCGTTTGTCTGATACTATGACTGACGTCGAAAATATCTTCTATTTATACTAGTGCGATTGAATCATCTTCTGGGGCAAAATGCTTGCGCTTGTCAGTCAAACGCGAGTAGAAGTCAAGGCTTTGCTAGACGGAATCTGCTCGTCCTGCCAGACTCTTACGATATTCCAAACAAGACGAGCGGTTTATAAGTGGAAAAGGAGATGAGGCAACCAATATTGAGATAAGAAGGGAGTAATAATCACTGCACAGACAGAAGTCCACTTCTGTGAGATAGACCAGCTATTATTTCATCTTTTCCTTGTCCACATACCTGCTGGTCCCCGGAGCAGAGCATCGACTTTTACTCTGATTGTGGCTGTGAATTTCCGTCAAAATTTTCAGCGTCTGCGAACTCACCAATCATGCAGGGATGATGAGCCTCGTGGTGTCTCTTCCAGAGACCTGGTCGTGTCGTTGCACCAGCCCCGGATGTGAGATGCTTGGTTTGAAAGCTTATTATAATCCCAGGGTACCCAAGAGAGGCTATGCAGGTTTTATGATTAATTTCGACGCCTGTCGCCCTTTGACCTAGCTTTGGGTGCTGTTGCAGAGATGAGTCGCTCACATTCGGGAAGCGACGATGTTGCGAAGCAGAGCTCGATCAGTTGAGCCGACTGGTCCTCCTTTCGCTGTCTCGACGGGGTTGATGAGTCGTTCTTTAAGGCCGAAGCGCTGTCGTTGGCTGCATATTTCAGGTGCCTGAACTGTGACATTTTGGGGGCCGTTTCCTATCGTTTCCCTGTCAGAAGGGGCCTTACAACGCCGATCAAGAACGGACAGGATCACTACGGGGGAAAATCTGTTGGGATTGAGAAAAATCGATATCTTGATAGACTGTGAAAATTTGAATGCCTGTGCGTGTAACGTACAGACGAACATGAGTATAATGAGAAAGCAAATATGAGTAGAAAAAGCATAGTAACGAGGAATTCTGAGTACCCTAACCACCATCTTCCCCTCTTCAGTCTGATACTGTTCGTATGGTCTTTGGCACAGGTGTTGTGATATCCGTAGGTATGACCGCATAATAGCGAACACTCGATGTGCTGGTGCTTTGTGGTCGCGATGGCCGTGAGCCTTCTGAGCCCGGGCTTAGCATCATTGTGCCGAGCGTGCTATTGCTGTGCCTGCTCAGCTCACTGATGCCGCTGCCTGCGCTTGCAGTCGGTACGGGTGTGTGCGTGCTGACACGAAGGGGTGCTAGTGGTGTGGGCTTCTGGCTGACGCGCTTGTATGCATTCTCTGTGTTTGCATTGTCCACGTATACTGTGACGCTACTAGCCCTCTCACGGCTGAACATGCTCAACTTGCGCTCGTCGCCCTCCAGAAGACTTTCTTTCGCGGGTATCGACCGATTGATCTTCTTATGTTGTCGGTGTCTGTAAACAAGGAAGGCTATTACAGCAAGAATGATTCCGAGAGCGAGGGCACTGGCTACTGCCGTGAATGCGATGTTTGCAGGCTTCCAGTAGCTCTCGTCGGGCTCCGAGGTAGCCAAAGGTTCGGCAGAGAGATTGTTCACCGGTGTGGGAGCCATAGCGAGGGTTGTCGTTGATGAGGATGGACGGGGAACCGTATTGGTGATGCTTGTGCAGGACTTCGAAGTCTGGGCGGTTGTTATATACCAAGTGTATTGGGAGGCTGCGTGGCTGAATTGACGGAGTACAAGATACAAATTACGCCATGCGGAGCTGAAACGACTTCGAAGTCCGATATGAGGATCAAACTTTCGCTTTCACTTTCGAGTTGTTACTGAAAAGCGAGTTGATGCCTGGACGTCAGGCAAGAGTTATATCTTTTCACAAAATGAGACAAACAGTGTATGGGCCCAGTGCGCCCTGATTGTTGTAATGCACTTTGAGACAGGCGTCCATCTTTACTCAATTTAGCTTCAGGTAACGAGGGCTCAGCCTCAACACCTATGGGGAAATAGGCCTTTCATTTCATAACGCCATAAACGCCATTTGTGCCCCTGCTCTTCTTACAAGTGGGCTTTGAGTAGCCAAGAAAACGCGGACAAATGAGAGGAGACATCGATACAGGATAGCGACGGACTAGATGCAAAAGAGAGAGCCTTAAATATGGCGGTGGCACAGGCCGGTAAGAAGGCTCCAGCAGTGCGTTTGTATCGTCATAACGTGAATGTGCATATCGAAAGACCAGTCACAACGTCTCAAGGCTACGCGTGCTAGCCACAGCTACTGCATTTGCCGAATCCATATGCGCGGCTGAAAGACTTCTCAGCTCGTGGTACTGTGGATGTCAAAACGGCTGCGATTGCGGCGGCCGCTCGTCAGTCGTTGTCATTCTTTAGCAAGAGCAAAGACTAAGCATGTCCATCCGGGGGATGCTTGTCGCAGTTCTGATTCTGCCCGGGCGCATGCAGGATGAATTCACAGTGAACGTGCGCACAGCCACATACGCTAAACGAAATGACAGAAACAGCGTGATTCGATGGTTGCGGCAGTTCGCCTTGCGATGGCGTCTTTGCGCTGTGAATCTGCCTGATGAATTGACTTGTGGTAGGCCTGATAGACGAACTTGGTGCAGTAAGTAGAATCATTCTTGCCAAAAGCACACTGGTGGAGCAAAGACTCGACGAGACGGGTGTCGGAAGGCCAAGTTCTGCAGCCACGTTTCCTCAACACGTCGTAAATGACTTGCCTTGCGATGCTTCCTTCGGCGGCGCTGCGGTCATGGTAATCAATGCAGATTGTGCTGTTCGGTGATGTGAGGGCCGACGAATTAGCATTGGAGTGAGCAAGCCTGGCAGCGTCGAGCCGCCTTCTGTTTGGACCCTGGCTCCTCGCGTCAATCCGCGCCCACTTCCGGTACCTATTTTTGTACCTCCACACCGCAAGCCGCAGTCATTGCCATCACGTAGTCAAGCAACGACGAATCTTCAAGAGCCGTCGAGATGATGTTTTGATGTGAGAAGTCTATTCTGGTAACTTTGACTGGGCTACCAGCCGCCAGGTAGCGGCTCTCTCTTCGTTCTACCTATGATGTTGTGAACGAGGCTGTACACTGTCCACACCTCCGGAATACACTGCCTCCGATCGCCATAGTGCCCAACCTAGAGGGGCTGTATGCCCTCCAACTGTTCAAGGTCTTAGCTGAGCACCAGTCCAGCATGAGACTCAGAGTTGACCCATTGCGTCGCGGAACGCAAGCTGCTTCATCCAAAGCTCAAAGGCGACTATTGCACCGAGCGAGACTATGCTGGACGCAAAAGTCAAAGTCAATCTTCATTGCTTCGGCCTCATGCGCCTCTATCCACTCTAGACAGATGTGATGCAGCTCTTCGAGATAGAAAATACCCACTGCAGTTTCGTTTCTTCGAAGAAGCCTTCTGGAGCCCATGTCAGTCCAGTGCGGTCATCAATCGGCGATGAGGAGTTCGTGATGTCGGGACAATGTGGTATTTTACGATGGGTATTCGTGCAGTTGCTTGGCCGGATTGTAGTGTCGTGTCTCAGATATTTGCTGTTCACAGATTGGAGGTGGTGCAAACATTGGGTTGTCTCGCTACAGTGCGAAATACGAAAGAACCATGCTGCAACCTTTCACCCCAACATTCGAATTCAGCCTTCAATCTTCTTTTACCTGGGAATGCTACCTAAAATGCATCCATAAGCTCTTGGTCATAAGCGGCCAACATCGCCCCAATGCTTGGAGCTGAGCCATGCTCCTCCACCATATCCAGCCATCTACCGATACTATTCGCATTTGACTTATCCCCAAACGCGGCTACGATCTCCCCAAGTGCACCCTTAAATCTACTGTCCTCGTACACCTCCACTTAATCAGGACAGATACGTTGCGTTTCTTCCAGAAAGAAGGCGCGCAGCTGCGTCTTCTCAAATTCTGCCAGATATTCGTAGTATAAGAAATTTATCTCTTCTGTCCCGTCGTCCAAGATTTCCTTCATATACTGATCCGGATCAGGACAGAGATGGCAGTTGAGCTTGGTTTGCGACGAAGATGTTGTTCTCAGCAGGTTGTGGTGGTGCAGTACGAATGTTTCTGGCGCGTCTGTGGGAAAGATCGGGGGCAAAAGGTCAATTGGACGCTGTGCTCGAGCTTTAATCGCCTTGGGAGAATAAAGCGGGCTAGGCTCATCATTTGTGTTGTCTGAATCCTCTTCGTCTTCTGGATCCTCAACGACAGTGACTGGATTATCGGCACCGAGGACGTACAGTTGCAGGACTGTCCGGAGCCGATTTTGGCTACTCTCAAAGGGATCACGGTCGACGTCAAACTTCAGATGATTACCCCAGAAAAACGGGTTTGTCCCTTCTGACGACCTTTGATCTCCCCAGAAGATCCGCGATGAACTCAAGGCTTCGATTACGGGCCACATCCTGATGCGTCCTGGTACCAAGGTGAAGTGAAACCTTTCCTTAATTCTAAGACAGGTTCGGGTGTGAAAAGAGTTAACATCGTAGCGGCACCCACTGGTGTTCACAGTTTTCGATCTTCTTTTGGATCAACATTGTGCCTATTTCCATGGCAATGGCATGGCGGTCAGAAACGCCGAAGTTTGCATGAATACTACACGAATACATCAGTGTTCTTCATTGCGCTAAAAGTTGTAAAATACAGGATCTACATGTTCACGAGCGCTTACCCAGAATATTTCAAGATTATATGTCTTACGCTGAACAACTTGTATTCAGCGTTAGTGAGTGCGATGGAGAAGGGTGAAACGCTCACCAAGTCGTAGACTCATCACAACGTTGCGGGGCCACTCTCCATCATTTGAGTGTCAGTGTATCCGCATAAAGTCCTACAGGTGACTACTTACCCGCGCAGCTCTGCATTGTATCCCAACAGCGTTCCAATCGTCCCACACATAAGCCTCGATCCCGACATCCTGTCTCGTCACAAGCAAGAACACCACAACTCACTAAATATGACACACCCACAAATCACTAGGAAATTACTCCCCACACCCCTCGCAACCACTACCCTGCTATCCAAAAGCCGCACAATGCCAAACCCTGTCACAGCCTACGAACTGCGCTCCTGGATCGACACCATCCCCGCGCCCTGCCTCGAAACGCACGTCTCAACCACGCACCCTATCTACTCCGACGCCAACTGCCGGCTCGTCGTGCATCACATCATCTGCGACGATGCGGGCGCTTCTGCTCAATTCATTTTGCGCGTTGTGATTCAGAATGGGTGAGGAGATGATGTTGCGGGCGATGTTGGAGGAATGTCCGGGGGCGGTGCCGGCGTGGTGTACGGTGCCGGCTGCGAGCGATGGGGCAGGGGTGATGAGTGCGGAGAGGATTCGAATTAGTTTGAAGAAGAGTGTTGAGAGTTAGAATGACTGGTGAGTGATGAGATAGGCGTGCAAGTAAATCTTCTGGATAACGGGGTTCTTTTTAACTAGACTTCAAATGTCAGCACTGTCAGTTGTCGCAGCTTGCTTAGACTCGAGCGTGACATTTCCATTTGACGTGGCGGCGGCTCAGATCATTGCTCTTTCACCTTTTCCGTATGACAAAGAGTCCACCCAAGAGCGTAATGCTATGCTGGGAACGCCGATAGATGCAAGTAATCAATATGTGACAAAGAGATGCAGCAACCCACGTCCCTAGAGTCCCATGCCATATCCAATCCGTCTTTCAAACCACCTCCTTCCCTTGAAACACTTTAGTTTAAGAACAAGTTCTCCTTTTTCCACTGTTCCTGGAACACACTGATGATGCCGGCCGCTTCCTTGCAGCGCTCGGGCGCACGAGCAGGCAAGTCAACAATCGCGCGCCTAAGCACGCCGCGAGCCTGCACGCCATAGAAGCCGAGGAACTTCTTGTAGAAGTCTCTGAGCAAGCCACCAAGGATGGCGAAGTGGCCAGGATACAAATGCTCAGACGGTGTGTTGCAAACGTGTACAACGATGCGCCAGTACTCCGACAGGGGCAGCGCAGGCACCGTCTTGAACGAGCGCAACGACATCGCCGCGAACCCTGCTGACAGCCCGCGGATGCGCTGCATGTAGATCTCGCCGGTCGGGGGCTGCTTGTCGATGGGCATCCAGCCGAGGCGCTTCTGGCCCTGGACAGTGTTCATGTTGCCACGCACGCCGAAAAGGATGGGGCAGATATGGTGCATTTTCGCTAGGAGGACATCGATCAGAGAAATACCTTTCCACATGTACTTCTGGTCGGCGAAGAGACTGGCGGCAATCAGGCCGATCTCCTGGATGATGCGGCCGTCTTCGTTAGAGGCCTCCTTTTCAAATTGCTTAAGCAGGAACTTCTCGAACATTATCCACATATATAAGAGGAAGGCTGGGTATTGCGCTTCCTGCTCGTTGGCGAGAGGCGGCAGTGTTTGGCTGACGAGAAATGGGCGGATGTCAACCGTTGGGCCAGGGGTGGTGAGTGCGACATCGAATGAGTCTGCTCGCAAGCTCTTGATTGCCGCCTGGCTCGTTGCACGTGCGACGTTGATCTGGCCAAGCTTCAGACGCATGTTTCGACGCGCATCGCCGATGGCTGTTTTGAGCGGTTGCCCAGGCTTCTTGTTTGCATTCCAGAAATCCACCCTGAACGCCTTCATGCGCCGGTGGAGTTCCAGATACTGTGTGTGTATGGTCTCGATGGCAGTGTTCGGTGCTTGTGCGGTGCCGGATGCTTTCGAAGTAGCGGTGAGTTGTGGTGCGACGGCTGGTGAAGCTCGTACAGCTGGTGCTGCTGGTTGTTGGGCGGCCTGCTGAGCGGCCTGCTGTGCTCGAGCTTTCTCTGCAGCGTCTGCAGTCTCCTTTGCCCTCCTGTCTGCCTCCTCTTTTGCTTTCCTCTGCCTCTCTGCAGCAGCCTCCTGCACCTTTTGCGCTTTTTGGCGTGCTTCCGCCTCCTGAAGTTGTCTCTGGTGTTCGGCGGCCTGCCTCGCAATTTCTTCCTCTCGCCGCTGCGCTTCGAGCTGCCGTCTTTGTGCTTCTGCCTGTTGCTGTGCCTTTTCCCTCTGCAGCTGCTCGATCGCCCTTTGCTGCTCCTCTTGACTCCGTAGACGCACCTTTTCCTCTTCCAGTGTCAATCTTTGCAGCTCCAATTCTGCGCCTCTTAGCACTTTTGCATGCTCCTCGGCAGCTTGTGCAAGCTGTTCTTCGTGTAGCCTTGCGCGTTCTGCCGCAGCTTCGTCGAGTTGCTCGTTGAAATTCCGATCAGATATGTTGAGTCTCAAATTGAACTCAAGCTGCATCTGCCGGGAAGGGCTTTCGTAGGGATCTCGAGCGACTGATGCGCGGTGGTTGCGGACGCCATTTCGTGTCGGTGATAGCCGTGCTGGAGAACTCTCAAGTATGCTGGACCCAAAAGACGCTCGAGTGTGCATGCTGGACGACGACGTGCCCGATCTGGTGGGCATTGCACGTGTGGGGGCTCGAAGTTTCGAAGAATGGACGTTCGTCACGTAAAAGGCGTGGTTGGTCTCGTGAAAGACGCGCCAAAGAATCCACGAAGCAAAGCTCCGCAGATGTCACATGACGAGGCATACCGGTACCCTTGTCAAAATACCCGCCGCGACAAAGCGGCCCGCCCGCGTCTGCGGTGGACATTCACTCTTCCTGTCCCAGGGTCTGCATTATTGTTGCAAGGCAAGCCTTGTACCACTTCGGGAAGCTGCACATGACTTGTCAAGGCAACTGCGTCTCTGAAGGGCCGTCAAAGCATGCAGCACTAGAGGTCAGCACGCGCCAAGCAAATGCTCTCGGAGTATCGAGGTTCGGGACAACTGGTGAAACGGCCTGCTTCCAAAGATACCTGTTCATGTATAGCTAGAGAGCGTCAGTGCAGATGACTGTCGATATCGAGAACACCAAGGTTGATTCTGCCACAGGCTGCGACGCAGACGAGTCATGGGTAGTAATTCGTTAGCTCCTGGACGCGTGCCGTCGTGATGGTGGTGGGCAGGTTGAAGCGACTGCAAACGCCTGGGCTGTTTCATTGATCCATCCATCGCACCAAACGTGCACAACGCCCTGTTCATGAGGCAACGTTGTCATACCCGGCATCTTCGTTAGACAAGGTTGCCTGGATGCCCTTTCGCAGCTAGGTCGACGTCGAGGCGGCTGCCGTGCTGGTCCAAGCAGCGCGCAGACGAACGTGCTTGCGCCAGAGTTCTCCAGACTCGTGGGCGTGCAACGGTGGCTTGGGTGTTGGTGAGGCCTTCGTCTAGCTGCTTTTGAAACATGTGCATCTGCTTCACATCACCACTCTGCGACGGCAGTCACTACCTGTACATATAGAGTCGCAAAGACCAGGCGTCTCCCGTTGCCGTGTCCTCCTGCTCCCCCTTCATTATTGCATTCGAGCACTGTTCCTCAGCGCTGCTGGACTCTGCGCAGGTGACGTGACGTACGTCCGTGTTAGCACTCGTTTGCGGACTGGATCGCTTCCATTTGGGACTGGCCCCAGCTGTCCGCCATAGCCCTCACCCTCCCGCAGCATCTCACAGCTGCTCTCCCACAACCTCTCTTTCCTCTGCGCCCGATCGCCCCCTCCTTCGAGCATTCACTCCTCCCCATTTCTGTCACTCGTGACAACCGCCCCCGCTCCCAGGGAAACCGCGCTCCTTGAACTAGTCGAAGCCCGCCCCTGCATCTCGATCCTTATCACCAGGCCAGGCTTTTGTCTGCACACTCCACCACCAAACAGTCTCTGTCAATCTCTTGCAGAGCTTAACTGTCCGCCAGCATCGACTACTCGAAGCATTGCATTGCCTGCGCCCGCTGCCTCTGCCCGCACGCATCCCAGCATGTAAGTGTGCTCCCCGCTAGCTCACAAGCACTCGACCCTGCATTTCCACCCAGCAGTCCCCCGCTGAGCATGCGGCCTGCAGCCTCTGCCTCCTGCCTCATCGACAGCGGAATCACTGCTTGGAGCTCTGGCACTAACATGTGCTAGATAACCCCACACATACTTTTCCGAGACCTCTTCGTGTCCTCAACGGCCTCGACTGGCTCGACCGTCACTTCTGTGAACAGTACATACAACCTTCGCAGCCGGCCTTGAGCCGCCTACACAACACTTTTAGCCATGGACCAGCAACAGCAGCAGCAAGGCCAGCAAGGACCAATGGGTCCTGCTGGCCGTCGCCTGCACATTGCTCACCGTCGCAGCCCTTCTGAGCTCACACCGCTAATGAGTTCGTGCTCCCACACGTTTCCTATGGACTTGGCTGACACACCCGCGCAGTGGAACAACTTGCTATCGCACAGCAGATTGAGGTCCTACAGCAGCAGCAGCAGCAGATCGCCGCAACGCACCAGCAGTATGTGAACATGGGCATGATTCAGCCGCAGCAGCAGCTCGGCAACTTCCAGATGCAGCCCGGCCAGATGGCGAACCTGTCACCACAGGTCAACAACTACCAGTTTTCTCAGCAAATGGGTCAGCAACACCTTGGTGCTTCCATGCACGCTCCCGCCCAGCCCTCCGCCCACCGCCGCAACCAGTCTGCCCTCCCTAATGTTGGTATGGGCCCGCCCCCAGCTCCGTCCTCTGGCGCATCTGGCTTTGGCGAGTTTGGTCAGCAGGGTGCCCAAGGCCGCGAGAACGTGAACCCCCGCGGTCGCGGTGGCGGTGCCGCTGGCTCTGGACACACACGAAGACATTCTTTGGCACTTTCTGATGCTAAGAAGGCAGCAGAACTGGCAGAATCGAAGAGAAAGACTTCAGGCTTCCAGTTCCCTCTGCCTTCTACCGGTGGAAGCTCCAACCGTGACGCAAGCCCTGGTGGTGCCAGCTCCGGCGAACAGCCCTCCACTCGCGGCGGTCGCGGCGCCCATGGACGCAGCCAAAGTATGGCTGTTGGACGTGGCGGCGGCAGCGCTGGCCGTGGTGGACCGGCCTTCTCCTTCCCCCAGCAACCCGCTGACTCGAGCGCATCGAGCAACAACAACACTACCCAGACTGGCCAGTCGGACTTCCAGCGTCGTGGCAGCGCAGGCCACGGTCGCAGCGCATCGCGCAACTTTGAGGGCAATTGGAGGCAGCCTCAGAACAGCACTGCCCAGCAGTCTGCCCAGGAGAATCAAGCCCAGAACATGGGCAACTTTAACATGAACCAGACTGCCAATGCCGCTCCTTTCCAGCCCGGACACCGTACCCGCGGTTCAGTCAACCAGTCTGTCGGCTCTCTCGGCAACTTCCAGTACCCAGGCCAGCCTCAGCTGGTCCAGCTACCCCAGGGACAGGTCCTCGTCCCACAACAGATGCTTGGTCAAGGTCTTAACCCTCTGCAAATTGCTCACCTCCAGGCATTGCAGGCACATCAATTGCAGGGTGGAGGCTTCGGCGGCCTTGGTGTCAGCCAGCACGCGCAGCCTCAGATGGGTATGCAGCAACAGCAGCAGCAGCGCAAGACCCTGTTCACTCCTTACCTCCCCCAGGCTACTCTGCCTGCACTGCTTAGCGACGGTCAGCTTGTTGCTGGTATCCTTCGTGTCAACAAGAAGAACCGAAGCGACGCTTATGTCACCACAACCGACTTGGATGCCGATATCTTCATTTGCGGTAGCAAGGACAGGAACCGCGCTTTGGAGGGAGACCTGGTTGCCATTGAGCTTCTCGACGTCGATGAAGTTTGGGGCCAGAAGCGCGAGAAAGAAGAGAAGAAGAAGAGGAAGGACAACGCGGACCCTCGCGGCGGTAGCATTGCCGTGAACGACGCCACGACCCAGCCTGAGACGGCTGGAGAGGGTGGTCTCCGCCGCCGTGGAAGTCTGCGCCAGCGCCCTACTCAAAAGAAGAACGACGATGTCGAGGTTGAGGGTCAGAGCCTGCTCTTGATGGAAGAGGAGGAGATCAACGATGAGCTCAAGCCTCTATATGCCGGTCACGTTGTCGCGGTCATCGAGCGCGTTGCTGGCCAGATGTTCTCTGGTTCTCTCGGACTTCTGCGTCCCAGCAGCCAGGCCACCAAGGAGAAGCAGGAAGCTGAGCGTCAAGCTCGTGAGGGCAGCAATAGCCGTCCTCAGCCCGAGCGCCAGGATAAGCCCAAGATTGTGTGGTTCAAGCCTACCGACAAGCGTGTGCCTTTGATCGCCATCCCTACTGAGCAAGCACCTAGGGACTTTGTTGAGAAGCACCAGGACTATGCCGACCGCATCTTCGTTGCTTGCATCAAGCGATGGCCCATCACTTCGCTGCATCCTTTCGGAACTCTCGTTGAGCAGCTTGGTGTTATGGGTGACCCTAAGGTGGAGACCGACGCCCTGCTGCGCGACAACAACTTTGGTCCGGATGACTTCTCCGACGCTGTCATCAAGAACATCGGTTTTGACGACTGGTCGGTTGCCAACGATGGTGAGGAGATTTTGGAGACACGCCGCGATCTCCGCAACGAGGAGACTTTCACCATCGATCCCAACGGCAGCAAGGAGCTTGACGATGCCATTCACTTCAAGTACCTTGATGATGGCCGTGTTGAGATTGGTGTGCACGTCGCTGATGTCGCACACTTCATCAAGCCCAACTCTCTTGTTGACCGTGAGGCCAAGAAGCGAGGAACGGGTGTCTACCTTATGGACCGCTCCGTCAACATGCTGCCACCGCGCCTCTCAAACGATATCTGCTGTCTGAGTCCCGGCGAGGACCGCTACACTGTCAGTGTCATCTTCAAGGTTGACCCTAAGACTGGTCGCGTATCAGATGATGAGACCTGGGTCGGCAAGTCAATCATCAAGAGCTCCGGCAAGCTGTCGTACGAAGAGGTCGACTCCGTTATTAGCGGACGCGATGGTGACGTTGCAGCGGCTCGTGCTAAGGACATCAAGACGCTCCACCAGATTACCCAGCGATTCCGCCAGACTCGTTTCGGTGACCGCACCGCCGACATCCAGCCTCTGCGTCTGATGTACCAGCTTGATGATGAGAATGTTCCTGTTGAGGCGAATATTTTCGACTCTTCGCCAGCCCATGAGTGCATTGAGGAGCTCAGCCACCTTACGAACAGCTTCATTGCAAAGAAGATTCAGGCTGCTCTACCTGAGAAGGCTCTTCTCCGTCGCCAGGCCCCTCCCAACCCTCGTCGTCTGACTACCATCGCCGAGCGCATGACTGCAATTGGCTACGACATCGACACAGAGAGCAGTGGCACAATCCAGAACAGCCTGTTTCAGGTCAAGGACAGCGATATTCGCAAGGGTATGGAGACACTTGTCATCAAATCCATGCCTCGCGCGAAGTACTTCGTGGCTGGCAAGGTTCCGGAGGACCAGTACGCACACTACGCCCTCAACCTTCCGATGTACACTCACTTCATGAACCCGTCTCGTCGCTACGCCGATATCATTGTGCACCGCCAGCTAGAAGTCGCTCTATCCAACGGCGCTATTGAGTTCACTGAGGATATTGAGGTCTTGACCAAGACCGCCGAGATGTGCAACACCAAGAAGGATTCCGCTCACGCTGCTCAGGAGCAGAGCGTCCACATCGAGGCATGCCGTAAGATGGACAAGCTCAGCCAAGAAATCGGCGGCGACTTGATCGCTGATGGTATCGTCATCTGTGTGTACGAGTCAGCTTTCGATGTCTTGATCCCTGAGTGGGGTTTCGAGAAGCGCGTCCACTGCGACCAGCTCCCGCTCAAGAAGGCCGAGTTCGACAAGAACAAGCGTCTCCTCGAGCTCTACTGGGAGAAGGGTGTACCCTCATCTGCTTTCGTCCCAGAGGACGAGAGGCCGAAGCACGGCTCATTCCGCGCGTCCAATGCGGCCGCTGCTGCACGTCACGCCGAGGCGGCTAAGCAGCGTGCTAAGGAGCAGGAAGAGGCTCAACGCCGCCACATGGACACTGGAACGATGTCGACCAATGAGGTCGATGCCCTTTTTGATGACGACGACGATTCGAGCGATTTGAACTCCACTATGGCCGGTGTGTCACTGAACCCAACCGGCGCCGACCGACCAACCCAGAGCATGCCCCCTTCGCCGACTAGGGGTCTATCTGGTCAAGCACCGCAGCGCACGAACTCGGACTCGAAGCTGTCGAAGAGTGCAGCGCCCGAAGCTAAGCTGTCGAACAAGGAGAAGTACCTCAATTGGTTCACCCTTCGCGAAGAGAATGGCGACTACATCCAGGATGTGCGGGAGATGACGCGCGTGCCGGTCATCCTTAAGACGGATTTGACCAAGAGCCCTCCGTAAGTTGCGACGATCCCACAATCAACGACACGCCTTGCTAACATACCCTCTAGTTGCTTGACCATCCGATCGTTGAACCCCTACGCCTTGTAAGCGTATTGGTCACTACTTGATCGATACAAGAAGGGACATATGTACAGCAGCCTCGTTCGGAAGCACGAACGATACTGTATCGCTTCAAGGTAGCCTCGGGTTGCTGCCAACATTACTCGGGAATTTGCATAGCGTGGATATAGTTAAGTCGTGTTGGCGAAGACGAGATGGATTACGAATCTGTATTGTTCATGTGTATGGGGTGGGTACGCGACCATCACGGGATATATACAGTAGGTCTAATCAACCCGTTAGTAGTGCGTTAATGTGTTTTCGTGGGTCGTCAGTACAATCGAGATTGTTGTTTACTACCTCTCACGCTCGCCCTCCTGCCTGCCACTTGCACACAGTCCACATTTCGATTGCGCAGTTTGACATTTGACGGATCTATCATGATGGCGTTCGGTAGCAGTCCAATGGCCTTACAGAAGTGAAACAACTCGGACGTACTGCAGCCTCCGGCATCTATAGCATCCTGGAGCAAGTGCCACATTCGGCTGCCTCGGATGGCACTCTGCCGGCATCTGCGCCGCACGTTGGTGGTCTTGCGCCAGCTCGAGCTGAAGTGCGACCAGTAGGGACAAGGATCCTTGTAATGTCTACCCGCAAAGCTTGTACTGGCAATCGTTTCTTCCGGCCAATGCCTTGCCTCAGGCATGAAAACCGTTATGACAGTGCTGGTCGTGATGCTTGGCAATCGTCCATGGTGTTCTGCTTGTGCGCGGCGCGCATCACACCCTTCCACGACTCGCCCTCTCCAACCTCTCCTACTTATCCGGCTCAGCAACGGCGCATACAACTCCCATACCTTGCGATACGAGTGCGCATGTTACTGTGCTCGAATCTGTCGAGTGCACGTTTTGAAACGTTTCAAGGGCGCTATCACCGACGCAGCACGAGTCGCGTTTGCCAGCCTGCAAGGTTCAGTGCCTCACGCAGATACTGGTGAGCCACACATGAAGCCCTTCGGATAGACTAGTCACCGCCATCGATGGCTATGCACTGCCAGGGGCACCCAGAATCCGTCATGGGCGGCTTTATCGCCTCCGTGCAGCGAAGTGTGTGACGTTGGTGCTCACACAGTTTCATCGCGAGGATTTCGCGTCGCAGCCCCCAGACCTGCTACACCTCACGCGTCCGACACCAACACCAATACAGCCATCCGGAATAGTTCAGCGGTTGCTACAGTACGAGCAAGCAGTTCCTTAACGATCAATGGGTCGACGAGCCAAGGCTGAAAGCTTGAATGGTCACGGAACTGGTTAGTCGCGCCAGTGCGTGGACGGGATCGCTCTGCCCGCCCCTCCATCACGAGCTCTGCATCCGTCCTCCGAATTTACCATGTCGTCTCAGATTTACCAGGAGCTGCAGTGTCTTGTATAAGGGTCATTCGCTGCCCATCTCTGTTTCTGCCGAACGTTTCTGTTGAACATCAACTGCAGGCTTCCACATCTCCGTACCTAATACTTTACGACATTCCTTACGGTCTTCTTCTACCCCGTCCCTGGCTGGACTTTAAGAGGTATATTTAATATTCGAATTCAAAGCGAGACTTTGCTGGCTGTCGATCCTTACGAATCTATTCTCTCAACAACGACGACCATTTAATTCACCAAAATGCCAAGCGTATCAACAATCATCAAGGGCCTTTTCGTCCTGGCGCCTCTTGCGGCTGCCCTTCCCGCCAACCTTCAAGCTCGCCAGGCGTCTTCGTCTTCCGCAGCTCCTTCGGCACCGTCAGGAACATCGTCTGCACCAAATGCGGCGGCGACTCTGAGCGACGTCGATATCCTCCAGTTGTAAGTACAGTGATCATGTACTACATGAATTCGCGCTCACGATCACAGTGCTTTGACCGCTGAGCACCTCGAGTCGACATTCTACAAGCAGGGTTTCGCCAAGTTCCCCATGAGCGACTTCCAGGCTCTCGGTCTCAATGCGGCTCAGATTAAGTCTCTCATGGGCGTCGGTCAAACTGAGGCAACTCACGTCACCACCCTGATGTCTGCCATCACCGGCGCAGGTGCAAAGCCCGTCCAGCCTTGTGAATACAACTTCGATGCTGCCCTCGCCAGCGCCGACTCCATGGTCAAGACCGCGCGTGTCCTCGAAGCCGTCGGTGTTTCCGCCTACCTCGGTGCCGCGCCCATGGTCAACTCGTCCGCCGTTCTTGCAGCCGCTGCTTCCATCGTCACCGTCGAGGCCCGCCACCAGGCTTTCATCCGTGTCGCGTCCGGTGCAGAGCCCGTCCCCGCTGCGTTCGATACTGCCCTGCAGCCCCGCGCCGTCTTCACCCTCGCCGCTCAATTCATCAAGTCCTGCCCCCAGGGCTCCAACCTGAACATCCAGGCTTTCCCCGCCATTGCCCTGCAGAACGCCCAAGCGGCAACCGTTGGTCAGAACCTGAAGCTCGCTGACCCGGCGAGCCCTGCTGGCGCTTCGTTCTGTGCTTTTGTTGCTCCGTAAGTCATTTCTTCTCTTTTCATGAACCAGTGCTAATTTGCTACAGTGGCGGCAACCAGTTCTCTAAGATCACCAATGGCAACTGCATGGTTCCCCAGAACCTGGCGGGTGAGGTCTACATGATGATCACCAAGACCGAGTCTATCGCCGACGACCAGGTGCTTGCCGGTCCCTCTGTCATCCAGCCCTCGTAGAGCGCTTGGCCGAGCCGCAACATGCCCCCAAACAGACAACCTTGTACGGGGCAAGAGACAGAATGGTGGTGAAGACGAGGCATAAAAGGGCGATACAGTTAAGCCAAGTACGTTGCGAATACAAGTGTTGACCCCACAATTTCCCTTCTGTAGATGGTTTCCGGTACGATATCGTCGAATGTACGGTGCGGAGATAGAAGCTGCAACCATGTCCGCAGATACCCTAGATACGAGTCTATTCGAGCTTGTCTGAGACAGCTCGGTAGCGGTAATTAATGCTGAAAATCCAAACTTGTTCCACAAACTGCCAGACTCAGGGTGACCAGGAGGTGGTGTTGACATCTCTCATCGTCCTGGAGGCAGTGGTACGCAAGTAGCGACACGCAAGCAGTGACGTGAAGCAGAGACTGCGGCGGGATGACGATAGCATTGCGACGCGTCCAGACAGAAAGGGTCGCGAAGTGTAAGCTCATCTGTCCTGTAATGCTAACCGCAGCACGACTGTTTCAGTGCGACAATGACCTATAGCGCTCCGCGTTATAGCTCCTCAACATCACACCATCAACAGGCATAGCTTGCCGATATACGGTACCCATTTTTGAGCTCTGAAGAGGGAAGGGTCGTGATATCGTTTTGGTATACTACACACCCCAAGTCCGCAGCCTACGTCGGATCAACTCAAATGTAGTGAGGCACCTGCGCTTTGTCGCCCTCAGTCCCTTTCGCAATCGCCTTGACGCCGTTGTCGATCTTCTGCCCGGGCCTTAACCTGAAGTGCGGCTTCAGCGGCTCCCAGCTTTCCGCGTTGTAGTCATCCTGCACCTTCTGGCACTTCTTGAGCCCCCAGTCCGTCACCCCAATCATAAGGCACGACTCGAACATGAACGCCATGCTGCCCTCACCTACTTTGTGAGGTGCGAGAGGTGCATTGGACGCCTTCTCGTGCGTGCTCGCATCCGGGCCGTGACCAGACATGACATTGTGCAGAGAGGCTCCGGCCGGCTGGAAGCCACCGCCTGTCTTGGCGTCGTACTGTCCATGGATCAGGCCCATGAACTCGCTCATCGTATTGCGGTGGTACCAAGGCGGGCGGAACGTATCCTCAGCCACCAGCCAGCGCGGCGGGAAGATGACGAAGTCCGCAATCGCAGTGCCCGGGCTGGCACTCTGGCACGTCAGAACCGTGTAGATGCTCGGGTCGGGGTGATCGTAGGACACGCTGCCTACGGTGTTGAAGCGACCGAGGTCATATTTGTACGGGTAGTATAGTCCGTGCCAGGCGACGACGTCGAAGGGCGTGTGGTCCTGCCCCGCGGCGTACAGGTGCCCTGCGAACTTGGCCAGAATGGTCCAGGAGTTAGATGTGTCTTCATCGAAGTCAGCGACGGGGGCTTGGAAGTCGCGCGCGTTGGCGAGGCAGTTGGACCCGATGGGACCTAGCTCGGGCAGCTCAAAGTGGCCCTCGTACAGCTCGAGGATGTAGCCTCGCACTGGTCCTTTAGGGAGTGTGACTCGGTACCGTATGCCTCGCGGGATGACGCAGATTTCGTTTGGCCGTACGACGAGACGGCCGAGTTCGGTCTGGATGTCTAGCACGCCGTGCTGAGGCACGATGAGGAAGTCGCCGTCGGCAGAGTAGAAGGCTTCGTTTGCGGCCATGTCTTTGCCGGCTGCGTAGATGAAGTAGCCCACGCCGGTCTTCATGGTTGGGTCTCCGGCGCCGGCGACGAGGTGCAGCGAGTGCACCCAGTCGACTGTCTCGTCGAGATCGAATGGATCCCATCGTAGCTGGTTGGGAATGAAGTGGATCTTCTCCCATGGCTTGTTCTCGGGGTTTGTATTGAAGGTGCTCGATTCACGGGCTTCGAAGCTGCTGTGGCCGCACGAGGGGAGGATGCGGTACAGCCATGACTGCTGGTTCTTGTGTCGTGGGGCTGTGAAGGCGGTGCCAGAGAGCTTCTCGGCGTAGAGACCTAGTGGGGGCCTCTGCGGTGAGTTGGCAGCAATTGGCAACGCGCCCTCTACTGCTTCTGTCCTGGCATGCTGTGAGTGGTGAGGGTAGGGGTCGGGGACGGTGGAGCTCACTCATGATAGGAAGCGAAGCCGTTCTGGTACCTGTATTTCTCCTTGAAATTGAACTGTGTAACGGGCATGTTGAAGGTGTATGAGGTTAACAACTTGGGTGTGCTGAGCTTCCCAGCTTCAATTCTGCGATACCGCTCAACGAGGTATGCTTTCACAAACTATTGAGATCCGTGTATATATGCAGCAAGCTCCTGGGACGGCTCGGAGGGTTACGGTAGCTGTGGCCGCTTTACAGTCTGCGAGAAGCCCGGTCTTAGACATGGCTGCTTACTGACTGCGGTAATGGGCGGCTTGAAATTCCGTCGTTGCGTTCGGTGCTCAAAGCTGGATCGCAGGCGGGGAGCTCCTGCCGGCCCAAAGAGGCATCGTGCTCGGCTTACCCCACAATCCGCCCCTCCGTCCGCTTTGCTGCGGAATGAAGCCCGCACTCCGTCGTCATCCCCTCCATCGGTAGCCGTCACAGTTCTGCAATCACGACATGGCTGGCAGCGACGCGATCGGAACGCGTTTTCCGAGTCTGCTGATTCTCAGGGCACCTGCTCGGAACTGGAGAGTGCACTGAGCTCTGCAGTCACAACAAAACACCCTCACACCACCTTGTTCTCTCGAGCTGCGAACCCTGCGAGTCTCACCAAGTCCGGCAATTCCAGGCTCGACAGAACCATCAGCGACAGCGTAGGAGCATCGCCCAGCATGACTTCTCTGCGGTCCTGGTTCAACATCCCTCGAGGGTCACACTTCTCGCTCGCGAACGTACCTTTTGGTATCATTTCGACAGCATCATCGAAGACACCGCGGGTCGCCGTTGCTATTGGAGATCATGCGTTGGATCTCGAGGTCTTTGCAGCAAATAATGGCTTCTCAGGGCTATCGATGATCCAGCCACACCAAGCTGTTTTCTCACAGCCATCACTAAATGCTTTCGCGGCGCTCGGACGACCCATCCACTCCGTTGTGCGCAAGTACATCCAGAGCGTTTTCACCGAAAGCACAGAGCTTCCAGACGTCCTGAAGGACAACGAGTCATTACAGAAGCAGGCATTGATACCATTGCAAGATGTGAAAAAGCATCTGCCCTTCAAGATTGGCGACTACACCGATTTCTTTGCCGGCATGAACCACGCCTACAACTGCGGCGTAATCTTCCGTGGCCCTACAAACGCATTGCAGCCCAACTACAAGCATCTCCCTGTTGGCTACCACGGTCGCGCATCGTCAGTCGTACCCTCAGGAACGCCAATCCGCCGACCAAACGGCCAGATTTTGCTAAACCCTACTGCCGAAAAGAAGGAACCGACCTTCTCACCTTGCAAGAAGCTTGACATGGAGCTGGAACTCGGCGCATTCATTTGCGGTTCGAACGAGCAAGGAACACCCATACCGATTGACAAGGCTGCAGACAACATTTTCGGCGTTGTGCTGATGAATGACTGGTCGGCTAGAGACATCCAGGCTTGGGAGTATGTGCCCTTGGGGCCCTTCAATGCAAAGAACTTCGGCACCACAATCAGCACCTGGGTCGTACTCGCGGATGCACTGGAGCCCTTCAAGGTAAAGGGTCTCGAGAATGATGGGAGTGTGTTGCCGTACTTGAAGGAAAGTGATGAAAAGTCCGTGTTTGACATCAATCTTCAAGTAGATGTGAAGAGTACGTTTCCCTTCTTCCAGCTCGCGTCGAGGAGGCTAATTGAGAATAGCCTGCTCGGGCCACAACACTACGATCTCGAAAGTCAACGCCCGAAACCTCCTGTGGTCGTTCCCACAAATGCTCGCACACCACACCATTACTGGCTGCCCGTTCCAGCCCGGCGACCTCCTTGGCTCCGGCACAATAAGTGGTGATTCTCCTGCAGAATACGGAAGTTTCATAGAACAGAGCCAGAATGGAAAGGAGCCCATAAAGCTCAGCGGCGGGGAAATGAGGACCTTCTTAGAGGACGGAGACGAGATCACAATCAGAGGAGTATGTGGGCATGATGAGGAGGCATTGGTAGGGTTCGGTGAGTGTGTGGGTAGGATCGAGCCTGCGCTCGAGCTCAAGTTCGACTGAAGTGCACAATAGAAGCCGAGTTTGAGAGGCCACTGCCGCACCGGTGTCATGACTGTGATGTTTGGGCGAAGCAATCCCGGCAGCATTATACCCACGCCACATTGACTTCATTATCAAGAACACACCAGACAATGGACAAGAAATATATGTAAGTGTGTGTACTCATTTCAGTGCTCCTGTCTACTCGAAACATTTCCACTGACATGTATGTAGACACACTGTTAGCACACAGCTTTGACTATCCTCAAGCCATGTACTCCCAGAACATTTACTGTTCGCACAAGCTCGGTCCATTGTCTACCGTCGCCATGGTGGGTCTGCGTACACGGGAACCCTCGCACACGAGCTCCTGTTACTACGACGAGGAAGTATTCCGCCTTCAAAATGCTACAACCCTGGAGTTCCACAACGCGCGAAGCATGCATTACAACAGCATGCTCACTGTGGAGACCGATATCATCAGCCGTGTTCTCGATATCCGAAATAAATATCCGCCATGCGTGCAAAGCCACCGTGCTCTCGATGCGGCTAGCCAACCCCACAGCGCAGCTCCCCCGCGACCCACTAGTGAACGCACGTCAAGCAACGCCAGCGGTCGAATTCCGCAGACAGCTCTCTCGACGACCACTTCTTCGAAAGCGGACAGGGCGCTAACACTCCGCTTTACTGCGTCCAGCAAGCTGTAGCCATGTCGGATCGCGCGTCCAGTGAAGCGGCGCGGATTCATGCTGAGACGAGCGACCAGGATGTGGATAGGTGCGGATTCTGGGTCTGAACTACGTTGACCGCGATGCGTGGGCCCAGCCGATGAGCGCTGGTATAAGTGCGGCTCCCTGCTATAACGTCTGTTCTACCAAGCCTCACTTCTTCCTGGATCATCAGTCTGAGCAGTCAGCAGCATGTCGATTCCAATCTACGTCGTCGGCGCTGTCATCGTAGGTATCTTCCTGTACAGATTCATGTACGGGACCGACACACCGCACATCAAAGGTCTTCCGGAAGTGCCCGGCCTACCTGTCTTTGGCAGCTTGTATGAACTGGGCACAAGCCACGCAAAGGTCGCACAAGGATGGGCAAAGAAGTACGGCCCAGTATTCCAAGTCCGCATGGGCAACAAGGTGCGCTCCCAATACGCACAGAGAATCGCCAGCTAACAAGCCCGCAGAGAATCGTCTTTGCAAACTCCTTCGACTCCGTCCGCCACCTCTGGATCACAAACCAATCCGCTCTCATCTCCCGTCCTATGCTACACACCTTTCACAAAGTCGTCTCCTCATCCCAGGGCTTCACAATCGGCACTTCTCCTTGGGACGAGTCGTGCAAGAATCGCCGGAAAGCGGCTGCCACGGCGCTCAACCGGCCAGCAGTGCAATCCTACATGCCGCTCATCGACCTCGAATCCACCGTGTCGATCAAGGAACTACTCTCCGACAGCAAAGGCGGCGAGATCGATCTCGACCCGCGGGCGTACTGGCAACGGTACGCGCTCAACACCAGCTTAACGCTGAACTACGGGTATCGAATTGACGGCGACGTGGACGCTCCTCTTCTGAAAGAAATCGTCGATGTAGAACGGGGGGTGGGAAACTTCCGCTCGACAAGCAATAACTGGCAAGACTACGTTCCCTTGCTACGTCTCTTCCCGAGTCAAAGTAACGAGGCGATCAAGTTCAAGAACAGGCGCGATGTGTACATGGACAAGCTGCTCGAGACTCTGGAGGAGAAGATCGCAAAGAGAACAGACAAGCCGTGCATCACAGGGAACATCATCAAAGACCCCGAGGCCAAGCTGAACAGAGGTATACTCCCCTCCCCTCCTCTTCCATGTGTAAAGACACTAACGATCATCTGCAGCGGAGATAAAATCCATATGCTTAACCATGGTATCTGCCGGCCTGGATACCGTCCCCGGCAACCTGATCATGGGTATCGCCTACCTCGCGACGCCCGCTGGCCAAAAGATCCAAGTGCGCGCCCACAAAGAGATAATGGCCGCCTACCCCGCCGGCGACGCCTGGACACAGTGTCTGCACGAAGAGAAGATACCCTACATCACGGCGTTGTACAAAGAGATACTGCGCTACTGGACAGTCATCCCCATCTGCCTCCCCAGAGTGTCTATCAAGCCGATCGAGTGGAACGGCGTCGTCATCCCGTCTGGTACAACTTTCTACATGAACGCATACGCTGCCGACTACGACGCTGAGCATTTCAAGGACCCGGGGACGTTCGATCCGGAGAGGTACATGAACGTGCCGGATGGTGCCGGGACGCCGCACTATGGGTATGGTGCTGGGAGTAGGATGTGTGTTGGCAGTCATCTGGCGAACAGGGAGCTTTTCACTGCGTTCGTAAGACTGATCAGTGCATTCGAATTCACACCACCAAATGACCCGAGAGATGAGGCGATTATGGACTGTCTGGAGGCAAATGACCTACCTACCAGTCTGACCATGGAGCCGAAGTACTTCAAGGTCGGATTCAAGCCGAGGGACCGCAAGAAGCTCGACCAGTGGATCAAGGAGAGTGAGCAGAGGACGAACTATCTGAGGTAGATAGCGTTGCATCGTAGTATATGGGCACTGTTGGCAAGAGCATTCTGGGAAAGCTTACTATCTTCAAAATCTCGATCAATATAAGCTATGTTCGATCCTCGAACTTTTCGAAATGTGATTGACCAGTGTCGCTCCAAATCTAACAGCCTGTGGTAGAGGTCTCTCTCCTTCAGCGTCAGTCAAGATTTCCAAAGCGCCAAAAAGTTGTACTACTCCTCCGAGTCGCTGTCGTTGGACTCCTCAAACTCATCAGGTTCTGCGGCCCAGAGGATGAAAGGACCATTGTAGTCATCCTGGAGAAGATTAGTATGGTCATCAATGTGTGGGAACTGGTTTGCATTTACACGGTAGTTGACTGTCTCAGAAGCAAACCACCAACGACCGACGATGATGCGACCTCCTGGCAGAACGACGCCCTCGTACGCCCAAAGATTGTCTGAATCAACGTCATCGAGGTCCTCGGCAAAGTGCTTCATGAACGTGATACGTTGCCAGCCAGGTATACCGCACTGATCTGGCAGAGCATTGAGCCAGCCAATAGCATGGAAGTCGTCCTCGAGGTCCATGCCGGTACCCGTGAACTGCAAGTTAGCGTTGACCGAATACTTCGCCTTGCTACGGCACTGCGGCATATCAGGCTCAGAAGTCTCGCGCAACGAGTTCAGACGTTGCTCAAAGAGCTTCGGCCACTTCAGTTGGCGTTTGGGCTCGAAGTCAAGCTCAAGAGACTAGGCTTGTCAGCATATCGACGCATCAATCGGTACACTGGCACATACCTGGATCTTGCCCTCGTCTATATTCTTGTCACTGAAGTAGGTGTCGCTGTCATCGTCGTCTGGGAGAGCACGAAGCTTCGTTTGCTCCTTGGGGTCCAGAAAGGAGTATGTACCCTTCCAGTGCTTGCTCAGGGGAAGTGCACCGTTCCTGAGAGGTTCTTGCCAGGCTGTTGGCTTTTGCAACGCAGAAAGATCCTCCATAGCATCGGCAAGGGTGAACGTCTCGCGGTTCATCATATGGTAGCGGAAGAAATCGAGACACTTCATGATCCACTCCATGTTGACATCAGTGAGTTTCAATCCTTCGTAGATGGGAGCCTTGTTCGTTGAGGCGTACGCGGCGCGCTGGAGTTGCTCTATGGCGAAGACATGATGCTTGAGATTGTCATGTTCGAAGAGCAGGGACGAACAGATGATCTTGACGGCGGCAAGCATAGGATTGGTATCCTTTTTTACGGTTTTCTCCGACCGAGTGCGTACATCTGGCGCGCGACGGTCGTTGAGAAGAATCTTGGAGTTCATGATGAACTCAAGGAGACGATCTTGATTCTTGCAACGCGGTCGACCGTACTTGTCGAAGTCAACGGTGCCTTGGAATGAGTCTATATGACGTCAAGTTAGCATGGCATAGCAGTTGGAATCATGATTCTATCATGGCAAAAGCCAGGAGAGACACTCACCGACTATCAGATCTCGGAGCACCTCGATAACGTCTTGTTCCCGCTTCTTGTATCCACGAAAGTAGTCGTAACCAGTGCCTCGTCGAAGCATCTTAGCACGTCGCTGATATGCCCTCTGCAACTCCTTGTTGGATGGACCCTCTTTGAAAGCGTACTTTCTGCGGAATTCATGGCGCCAGAAAGATCCATGGTCGGCGTCGATAGCATCATTGGTGCCCCTGCATATCAAGCGGAATGAGATGATGTCCTTGTCGGTGTCTAGGTAATGAGCGATGGCCTTGTTGAGCTAGACGGTGTCAGAATGTCCCGACGATCATTTTGAGTGAAAAGGACCATACCTCGATGGGTAGCGTATTGAACGCAGTCTGTATGGCGCGTGGCCCAAGAGACATTGTTAAGACTTCCTATGCAAGGACCTCTTGAACCAAGGTCAAGAACTGCACGGGTCGATTTGATTGAGGAAAGTAGTCAAGTTTGTCGGTGGCTGCGGACAGGGAGATATAAGAGGGGGCCCACTCGAGGACGCTATGAGTGAGAGTAGTGGCCTTAGCGCTCAGTACGCGTGAAGGCGATCGATGGTGCGCCGCTATGAGAGATAGAGGTGAAATTGAGCTCCTGTCCTGGACCGTCGCCGAACTTGAGCCCCGGCCGCGCAAGATTCCAATAGGGTCTCCAAAAATATTTGCGAAGTGGAACGAGTGAGAACTGTCAACGGTAAGAGCTCGACTGATCTAACCGATGAAGCTGACTAGAGGTCTTCAAGGAGGACTTCCACGCCTAAATCGCAGCGAATGCGATGTCAAAGAAAAGTTTCTGGTTTTCGAGGTCTGTGTAGCGCGAACGAGCAAGAGTGCGCGCTGAGAAGTGATAGCTTGCTTGCTGAGGCACAAACGGAAAGTACGAACAGCGTGCTGCAGTCACCGTCGATGCGCGCGTTTGCACCTTCCCGTGTAGCTATATGTGGAACTTGCAGATCTGCGAAGCGAATGTGAAGACTGCCATTATGCAATGACATTTACTAGGCCTCCATGCGCGTGTCCTTGCACTAAAGACCCTTATAGAGCCAGTGCAACAGCCACTGCACCGGCCGCCCAGATGCTTGCAACCCTGCAGCTCTGCATGACAGCAGCACTGCTGCTGCTAGTCGGTGAAGGCGCCGAAGTCCCAGTGCCCGAACCACCGCCGCTAGAGGTACCATTCGAGCCCACTTCACTGACGCTGTTCACACCACTTCCATCTTCCCTGGTGATGACATAGATCTCTCCAGTCGCATCGCTGCTGAAGAACAAGCGACCTCGAGTATCCCAAGCCAGACTTGCAGGGCGGAAGCAGTTGTCAGGGCACTCGGAAAGATCTGGGTTCGATACGATGTCGACTGCTGCGGTAGTACTATTTGCAGCAGCGATTGGTGAGCCGTGGCCGTCGAATCGGATGAAGCTGATTTTGTAGCCAATGGGGTCCTCGCGATTCCTGTGTGTTCAGTGATGGGATCTTGTGTCTGGAATTTGAGCTTACCATGACCCGCGGAACGACACCCATGCGCCGGTACCGTTGGTGTTAAACTTGACATCGATTGGAGCCATGTGAGCTTGGAAGGTTAGTCTAGGAGCGATATGTTTATCACGGCAACTCTCGTCATTGACGGTGTCGTTCTGGCTGCCAATGGCAAACTGCGAACCGACAGAGATGTCTTGATTGTCTGGGATCTCAGAGACGTTCCAAGCGGCGTAACATGTCGGATAGCCATAGTTGCCCCCTTGCTGCTCATACTGAGTGCCGTTGAGATATCCATGGAAGTTCATCTCCTCTCCGGGATTATTCTCGTTGATCAATTCAGTATCTCGCTGGAAGTTGTCGACGCTGTTCTCGACGGAGTAGATACCGCCGGTCACTGGCTCCTCGCCTACGCCGACACTATTCCTGAGGCCCCATCCAAGAAGCAAACCATTGTTAATATAGCTGTAGCCTTCTGAAGTGGCGTTTGTCACGTTGAAGGCCTTGATTGTAGAGATGGCTTTCGACCTGTCCAGCGCTCGAAGATCAACATTTGGTCCACTGCCTCGACTCACCAGTAGCATGCCAGGAGCCGCCTGGCTGAAGAGAAGCGTCCTAGTCACATGGCCATCGGTAGTGCCAAAGTCACCTACGATCCGGCGGGATTCAGATGTTGTTAGACCTTGTGAGGGGTCGTAGTCCCAGGCATAGACAGCGCTTGCTGAAGATGCATAGAGCGTTCGACCATTCTCTGAAAGGGCGAGACCATGGTTCAGCTACTAGCCGTCAGTCATCTGCTTCTGAGACTAACTATGATCTAACTAAACGCAGGTCACTCACGCTCGTGTTGTCGGTCACATTCTGAGCTTCTCCATCTTGCCTCACACAAATGCCATCACCACTCAGCCTGATCCTTCTAACACCCTGACTCTGCTCTACCACTAGCAAAGCACCTTCCGAATCGAACTGAATGCTCCGGGGGCGGGTCAGGTTATTAGCGACGACCTCGACACGGAAACCAGGCGCAACCGAAGGAGCCGCATTTTGTGGGGCAATTGTACTCGAACAGGCACTTAATGCAGTAGACTGCGCACTGGCGGAAAAGGCGATCGAAAACAGGGCTGTCAGGCGCCTCAATGACATCTTGCAGAATTGTTGATCGTGTGTAAGGCTGACGTGAGAGACCAAGGATACGAAAGCGAGTAAGCAGGGAAATATGCAGGTCCGGGGACGGATCAGAGCGCGAAAGTCAGCGATTTCGCGAATAAATCAGCTTGAGAATGCCGGTTCGAAACATCGGTCAGATGGCATTTGAAAGGAATGAAGCCGATTTGTACCCCTCAGTGGCAATGTAGTATGAACGAATGTGATCAAGGGCTTCGCCGCGATACATTCCCAAGGTGGTAATGCTTGGGTTCCAAGACTGAGGGACGTCATCATGTGTGGACTCTGTGGAGGTGCCGGCGGAGTGCAGGACTTGCCAGAATACCACAGGTTCAAAAGAACGTCGCACGTTGACTGCGAGGCGAGTCGCTTGTCTGCTGGTCGAGATGACGTGTGTTGACTCTGACAGGTGCGCCTGTCGTTCGGTGATGTGCCGAGTCCGAGGGACGGGAGTTCCGGGACGTCCTACAGCGGACACAATTTCCCATTTCAAGGCTGGAGGAGGACGAAGCTGAAGAGCTAGCCAGCCCCAAGCCTTCCAGACAAGAAAAACGGATTTTGACGGACTTCGAAAGCTAGCGATCAAGGTGTGACATGTAGAAACAGGTATATGCATGTAAATAATGGCTCTGCTGCAGCAAATGGGACCGGCTCTAAGTAGCGTCGGCAATGTGGCTGGGAAAGGACATCTGTTATTGCACAAAACAAACAGTAACCCTGCTCATTAACGTGATGACTTCCGCATTCATATCGCGCAAATTGCTGCAAATGTGATCCATGGATTGCTTTTGCGTGACCAGGATCTTGCGACGAGCTAGAGTCTTACAATCGCTGCCTCTGTGGTACTTTTGTACGCCGGTGCATGCGCTGCCCAGAAAGATGATCTGGTGGCTTTGAGCTAGTGGATCTAGCAGATGCCTTGAGCGCCAGACGGTCCTTAGCAACGCTTTAGCCAGACGGTAAGCGAAAGTACGCGTGAACGGATAAGGCACGCTGATGAGGCCGGCGGAAACCCACAAGAAATTGTTGAACTGGGGAAAGTGGAGACATGGATGGCCTCAGTTTCCGAGGTCCGGGACCCAGATCTGGATGTTGTCGGCGTGAGCTCCACATTTATGCATGAGGAATACTCATGCAGAGGTTATGCGTACTATCGTATGTGCACGGCTATGAGATGAAGATGTGATCAGTCGCAGGACGCTCGTCCGTGCCAGTGCGGAGGCCACCAAGGATCGTCACGATGAAGCCGAGGAATAGCGACTAAGACATATTCAATGTTTTGTATTCGTCTCGCAAGACATATGCCGGCCGTCGAATATCGATACAGATTCCGAGGCATTCACGGTTATTCAAACCAAAACGAGAAGATCGCTACAGCAAAGGCAAAGGAAATCCAGTCCGCTTTTGTACATGATCCATCGTACTCCGTGAAGGTTGTAAGAAAGAAGCTCGCGAACTGCGCGGCGGGAGTTTCCTGGGATCAACCCAGCTGGTGCCCTGAAGAAACGGAAAGATATTATGTTTCCAACACCGACAAGGAAATCCTCTTCAATCGAAATGTCTGCCATGCACCTCCTTCACGAGCTCTTCAACATTCTCTTTCGCGTGTATCCCATGACTTGCTGCACGCTATGCAAAAGAGAAACAGGGAATATGCGGCTCCGCTTCAAATGCAAATGCTGACCGGGTGGTGGTAGCCAATAGTAACATAAAAATTACAGTGATGAGTCGATGATTGACGCAAAATCGCTCGAACGCTCTGATCCAAAGTTGGAAAATATCCGGAAGAAATCTTTTTGCATCCGCTGAACGATCCTTACTGCCGCAAGATCGGCCGGGTCCTGTGTGTACGAAGCGGTGCTGGGTGGGTGACCGGTACGCTGGTAATTCCGTTACATCGTCGAGAACTGTGGCTTTACATAACTGTCATTAGTTTCATGTGCGATGTGAGCTCCGCGTCCACCTGGAATGGACTCATGGCGAATGGAGGCTCTTCGTGCTGCGGGCTGGTGGTCGGACTGTAGTAAAGTCCTTCCGCATCCCTGATGGTAACTTTGACTTTGTGTGTCAAGCCGCTGACATAGGGCACTATACGTCGCAGGGTCGCAGTGTCGAACGGCACCTTCTTTGGCGAAGGTGTCGGTGCTGCAGGCGCAGGAGATTCGAAGATGCTTCTCCTAGTCTGCAGTGCTTCGATGACTGATCGTGCTTTGGCTTCTGAGTCTTTCCGAGGACGCGTAATAGGCCTGGATTCTGGGGTCGCTGGCGCTTCGTATTTCGGCCTTGGTGGTGCGGGAGATTGGGGGCCAAAGATTCGGTCATTTGGCGGTAAGATCGATTTCCTTGGGCGCACGGTTTTGGTGTTGCTAAGATCGTCATTCGGCGACCCCGCCTTGCGCCGTCCGCGACCAACATTAGGACTGCCAGAAACGTCATCAAACGCAGCTTCATCAAACCCTGGCGAAGAGGGAGGAGTTGCTTGAGGAACTTCTTCGTGTTCCGCTTCTTGATCTGCGAGGTCGATCATAGCATCCACCTCTTCCCACATCCCTGATTGTGGCCCATCCATGATGCCAAGGGCGATGGCACGAACCTTGTGTTCTTTGAGCTCCTCGATGAGAAGGCCCCATTCGCGCAAGAGACTGATGTTTGCCAGGACATTGTTCTGTTGCTCTTGAATGCTCTTGGGTACCACCATTGCTGAACCGCTGTCGATGCGCTGTGATCCGGCTACGCTCTTAGGAGTCGGCTCCTCAGCGAGTTCTGAGAAATCGAAGTCGTCGTTCCAATCCTCAGTGACACCTTTGCTACCTATGCCCCATGTTCCAAACTTGTTGGTGACTACTGTGCTACGCTTGCCAACCACATCTGGAACAACAGGCACACTCTGGCTGCGCGTGTGTAACCCGCTCGGAGCACGTCTGCCAACCGACCGACTGTCCCTTCGGTTTGCATCCTTTTTGCCGTGGACTGTTCGGGGACGTGGCGGCGTTCGATTCCCCGAGCTCTGAGCAGCAGGCTGCTGTTCAGACCAATCGAAGATGCTGCTACGTGCATCACGGTCGACGTGGTCAAGTGCAAGATGTTGTGGAGTCGTTGGCTTCGAATTTGGGACTGAAGCAAGCAAGCGCGGGTTCGAGCGCCGCAACGTAATTGGTTTAGCGAGATGGCTGGCTAGTGGACGGTCAACCCAAGGGTCTTCACCTTCCTGTTCGTCAAGTGACCACCTACTGCTGCTATCATCGTCGCCGGCCGTAGAATCCCATTCCAGCGTCCCAAGGGATAGCGGCTTAGACATGCCCGGGGGCGACGACGGTATCAGGCTGGGGAATGCGGTCGTGCTGTTTGCGCGCGAGAAGCTTACAGCTTCTTGGAGGAAGCGCTCTGGTCGTACCGTGCGCACAGGTGTAATGATACTTTCATCGTCCTCGGCAATGCTGTGATCACCGGAAGTATCGTTAGTGAGGTCGTCCGTAAAGGCGCCAGACGGTAGAAGGTCTTGCAGGGCTGTGACCTTGACCTTGGCAGGGGGAGAATCGTCAAATATGGTCTCTATGCGAAGCCCTCGAGCATCAGATACACTCCTTGCGCCGGTGCGCAGCGAATCATAGAGAGTTTCGCCGCGAAAATCGGCGTCGTCTTCGTCGACCGAGCTTACGGCGCGAACATCATGATCAGAAGAGCCGACCAATGTGGATGCTTGTTCTGAGGGAGCGATGGAATGACGCGACGGGCGAACGCCCGCTTGCGCTAGCGTCGAGGGCGATGGTGGGGCTTGATTGGTGGCTGGCGCGGCTGAGGCAATAGCCTCTAGCTGAGGCATTGATGCCAACCGGTTGCCAGGGACTGTCATCGCGCAACGGGGCGGTGGTAGTGTGGACGACGGCGATGTCGAAGAGCCTCCAGGTGCTCCATGATGGTGGCTGATGGACTCGGCGATACCGGTTGATGAAAAAATATCGCGTTTTGGAGGCGCCGGGTCGGTCAAATTGCGTCGTTCTGGCAGCGCGCCTTGTGTAGTGTTGGAGCGCTTGCCCATCGTTGGTATTATGGGATCAGAGCTGATGCGCTGACTCGACCCACAGGTGTGTTTCATGCCGGGTTGTTTGGCGAGGCGCTGTTTCTTGGCGCTGGATCCAGAGGTGGGAAAGAGGTCAGCAATTGAGAAAGAACGCCTGCGCCGCGAGGCATCTTCAGAAACAACGGTGGATGAGAATGCAGTCGGAGGTCGTATGTGCGTGTTCTCGGTGAAGTGTGGAGCCCCAGGTTTGGATGTTGCGACAGCCGCCGTGTAGCTCAGTGGGGTGCCTGGCCTGCTAACGTAAAACACGCTTTCACCTGCTTCACTTGCCGACTCTTCCAGGTCCTCGGCAGTTGCAGTGACTGCTCTTGCCAGGACCAGCGTCGCTCGATGCTTCTCGTCTGGGAAGATGCGCTTGACCCTGGTAATATTGGGACTGAAGCGCCTGGACAGCGTCCTGCCTCGTAACGACTTAGCAGTGAAGAACTGTGTGTACTCAGCTTCACTGTCGGTGCTCGCCGAAGAGGGCTTGACTTCCAGTGATGGCGATTCTCTCGTAACCGGTAGTAAGGAGTGGTAGTTCTGCAGGGTTGCAGACCGTTGATGGCTGGTGGCCGGGCGGCGGAACGAAGGACGAAGGGAGCTGGTACCAGAACCATGGGCAGAGTGAGTGTCACGAGGAGCACGCACTGACGAGGACCGTTTCACGAGCTTGTTTGGCGACAATTGGGAAGGAGTATGTCTGCCCATCATCGGTACAGCGGACCTATCGTGGGAGAAGGCCACAGAACCATTCGGGCAAGACACAGAAGGAGACAATGGCGCAGGGCTATGGCTTCTACTCGAGTGTTGCGAGACTGAGATGGTCGAAAGCCTCTTCATCCACGAGGCTCTCCTCGACACGTGGGTGCCGACGTCCGACTCGTCTGCGCCGTGCTCACTGACTGCAAAGCCATTGACTACAGCACTCGGCGGCCGCATGGGCGCGTCACTGCTGGTCATCCTCCTCACGATCGGCCGTCTCTGGGGACGGCCGTCCTGCATCCGAGTCGCGATGGGGATGCGGGAGGTAGGGACGAACGGTATAGGGGCACTGAAGGGAGCGACCGCGGTCGTTGTCGCAGATGTGGTTTGGGTGGTAGCAGGCATCGGACCGGGTGCCAGCTCTGGTGCTGGCGTGGCTTTCCTCTTGTCTGAGGTCGAGGAGTCGAGGGGAGATCCGCGTCCAAAAGACAGGCCGACCGCAGATGCACCAACGACAGTGGCAGTAGCACAAAGCTGTGTGACGAAGATGCGTCAGTCATTGCCCTCAGTGCGACTATGAGGTGAGGTATAGCGAAGCGAAACAGGCGAGCAGCCGTACTCGGAAGCAGAACAGGCGTTGAGACATCGAAACAAGCAAGGGCCTCGCTGGAGAGCGCATGTAGCCATGCAGACACAGCATTGAAGCCTTGCAGACGGAGGAAAGGCAGGATATTTACCGTTGGAACCGTTTTCATTCTCGTTAGAAACCACACCGCCGGGGAAGACTCGCTCGGCGCAGTAGTTGTGACGACGCAAGCATTCTGGCACGTCAAGCCTCAGTGAACCATGAATCGCAGATGCACGCGAATATACGAGGGGTGAGAGGAATGGAGGGTCAATTAGACGCCAGGAGAGCGAACTGCATCACAGAACAGCACGACGAGAGGGCGGCAAGAGCACCCGGCAGCGGGCTGAAGCAGAGAGGTGGAGCTTCGAGGGAGAGCGGACGGAGGACTGAGGAAATCCGCTGGCTTGCTTGCTTGTTGCTTCTAGGATCGACGAACAGGGTTACCCAGCGCGCTTGGGGATTAGCGAGATGTCGCCGATGATAGCGCCATGTCGAAACACAACACGGAGTCAACACAGACCTCATGCCTCGCTGAGCGCCGGCATGCTGTCATAGCTCTGCCGGCCGCCGTCTGCCTCGAAGCAGCGCCGTTCACGCTGCATGCATCTGAAGTGCACTTGGCCCGTCCCGCCGTTCTACAGGTGCGGGCCAGCTGCAGCACGACGCGGTATCACGACGTTTGAGTGAAGCTGTGCTAGCGATAGCGCCGAGTAACCGTCAACGACGCTTAGGGACCCTGCGCAGAGGCTGGCCATCGTGAGTCCAGCGACCAGCGAGTCCACCAGTCCGTTGGTGAGAACCACCCCTCGCAGCTAAGGCCAACTATTTTGGGACCCACGATATAACATCCCGGATACTCGCAAAGCTGGGAGGTGATTCGCGAGTGCCCCTCTGGGCGTCGACAGCAGTTCCCTGCAAGCGAGTGGAGATTGTTTGCTGATCGTGTCGTCGCCGCGCCCATGTACGTACACATCAGCCGGTTTCTGTAGGCTTGCTGGTAGTGTGGCAATCCGGAAGAGTGTGCCTTAGCAGCCTCCGCCACAGCGCACTAGGCCAGACACGCCGTTCATCTAAGACCATTCCGGCACACAGTGCTTGAATCAGCGTGAGGAGCCATTAGGTGTTACGCTGGAGGCAGCTGAAGGAATGCGGATGGAGAAGTTCAGGGAACGAATGCATGATATCTCGTGGGCATTGCTGTTTCGGCACGTAGTTCGCTCACCAATGACACGCCAAGTCTGGAACCTCTCGGAGGCAGCCTCAGCGGCCAAAACAGAGAGCACGTCAGCCCCAGGACGGGAGACTGGGAGTAAACGGGACAAGACATCAAGGACGACAGGGATTACTGAGGGTGCGGCTAGATCGGAAGCCTCAGCCAGCAAATCTGAGTTCGTAACAGGCTTTCCCATGGCACACGCGGTGATGAAGGCGGCCGCCCGTTGCTCGAAAAGCCATCAAGACAAGTCGATCTCACAGGTGCGCCATGAACGATGCTGTCGACAGGGCATGGGTTGACAGCTAAGGCAAGCCCGTCTGATCAGCAGTGGAGGCGGGCGTTGTGTTAATCATTCTGGGGAAATGGCGACGGCATGTATCATTCTTTCTGTCACCGGGCTTGTTGGGCACACGGCTCAGGGCCTGGATGGGGTTACGCTGTACGATCATTGATGTTCAGCGGAAACACAGAGACGCGGCAGAGACGTGCGCAGCCGGGCAATCCTTGAGGAAATCAATCCAGGTGCAGCTTCGCGCAAAGACGCGCCCGAGCTCGTTTGTCTGGGCCCGCACCGCGCAGGTGATTGGCCACCGAATGTCCGCCACCAAAGGAACAGTTTCGAATTCTCCATCGCGTTGCCTGAGCTCTGGTCCTCTGGACGACCTGCTGTGGCACGAATACCGCGCGCAAAACCATCGTTCCACTCCGCCAATCCACCGGCATCAGACTGAACACGGCGAGACGTGCTCTTGTGTGCCCGCCGACCTCGCTTGCGCCACCATAGGATTTTGAAATCAGACGGCAACCGCCTCTGTGGGACAAGGACTTGTTCTCGTATTTTCTACGCCAGCCAGCAGCCATGGAAGCTGAGATCAGATCCCAGATCCCCAGCATCGACCCTGTCCTGTCAGAGTACTCGGTGGGATACTTGAACCATGCCGCCAATTCCTTCTCTTCCGACTCGGACCCTAATACTCCTTCCCCGCTCGAGGAGGCAGCCGCCACTGTAGCGGCTCTGCTTCTGTCTGCTTCTGGAAACCTGTCAAGAGATAATGAGACAGCCATCACCAGCCTGGTTGAGAAATTCGTCTCGCGTCTCAATGCGGCCAATGGCACTGATGGTGAACGCCGCCAGATGGCCCCTTCGGCCAAGAAGCTCGACCAGGCTGTCCACGTGGGCTCCTCAAAGAATATGTCCGCGACCTTGGGTCTGTCAGGCGGCACCGTCGATCTGGAGTCAGCCAACACTCGTAAGGTAGAGTCCAGGGTCGACCGCAAGAAGCTCGAGAAAGCCGAACGTAAGCTGCGTGCCAAGCAAGACCGCAAGGAGTTCAAGAATGTCGAGTACGAAGCCTCTAAGCTTCTCGAAATTCCCAACGAGACGCAGAGCTATGAAGAGTTCTACATGGCCGTCAATCCTCTGCAGCTGGGCAGCGACTCGTCCAACAAGAGCAAGGACGTCAAGATTGACAGCTTTGACGTATCTATGCCTGGTCTCCGCATCTTGACAGATGCTTCTCTCACCTTGGCCTATGGTCGACGTTACGGTCTCGTTGGTCAGAATGGTATTGGTAAATCCACGTTGCTCCGCGCGCTTGCCCGACGTGAAGTCTCGATTCCTACGCATATTTCTATTCTCCACGTAGAGCAAGAAGTAAGTTCCATCATCCATCTCCCTCTGCATACGTAAGCTTACGTCGATTTAGATCACTGGTGACGATACACCTGCCATCCAGGCTGTTCTGGATGCAGATGTCTGGCGAAAGCATCTTCTCAGGGAACAAGAGAAGATCAGTACAGAACTTAGCGAGTTGGAGGCTGAACGCGCCTCTTTAGCAGACACCTCCGCGGATGCCGAAAGACTCGATAAGCAGCGTGAGGGTCTTGATACTACTCTCAGCGATATTCATGGCAAGCTTGCAGAGATGGAGTCCGACAAGGCAGAATCCAGAGCGGCCAGTATCCTTGCGGGTCTTGGTTTTTCGACCGAGCGTCAACAATATGCCACAAGGACATTCTCTGGAGGATGGAGGATGCGATTAGCTTTGGCACGAGCTTTGTTCTGCGAGCCTGACCTGCTCCTGCTCGACGAGCCGTCCAACATGTTGGACGTCCCATCCATCACCTTCCTGGCCAACTATCTTCAAGATTACCCCAGCACAGTTCTGGTCGTCTCTCACGACAGAGCTTTCCTCAACGAAGTGGCCACCGACATAATTCACCAGCATTCCGAGCGTCTCGACTACTACAAGGGTGGTAACTTCGACTCCTTCTATGCCACCAAGGAAGAGCGACGCAAGACAGCGAAGCGCGAGTACGAGAAGCAGATGGCGGAACGTGCTCACTTGCAAGCTTTTATCGACAAGTTCAGGTACAATGCTGCCAAGTCCTCTGAGGCGCAGTCTAGGATCAAGAAGCTGGAGCGCATGCCCGTCCTGCAAGCACCCGAGGCCGAATATACGGTACACTTCAAGTTCCCAGAAGTGGAGAAGCTGTCACCTCCTATAATACAGATGAGCGGCGTCTCGTTTGGCTACTCTAAAGACAAGATTTTGCTGAGGAACGTCGACCTCGATGTGCAGCTCGACTCGCGTATTGGTATCGTTGGTCCTAACGGTGCTGGTAAGACAACAGCCCTGAAGCTTCTCATTGGCGCACTGCAACCCACATCTGGTCTGATCTCGCAGAATCCTCGACTCCGTGTGGGATTCTTCGCACAGCACCACGTCGATGCGCTGGACCTTAACAACAGTGCCGTAGGATTCATGTCGAAGCAGTACCCCGGTAAACCAGATGAGGAATACCGTCGTCACCTAGGTGCCTTCGGTATCACTGGTATGACAGGTCTCCAGAAGATGGAGCTGCTTTCTGGAGGTCAAAAGTCGCGTGTCGCTTTCGCTTGTCTAGCTTTGACCAACCCACACATTCTCGTTCTGGACGAGCCTTCCAACCACTTGGACATCGAAGCTATGGATGCGCTGTCTGACGCGCTGAACAAGTTTGAGGGTGGTATCCTGATGGTCAGTCACGACGTCACAATGCTACAGAAAGTCTGCACGAGCTTGTGGGTATGTGACGATGGCACGATCGAGCACTTCGACGGTTCGGTGCAGGCGTACAAGCGCCGCATTACAGCACAGGCCAACGAGGCGGGTGTTGTAGCTAAGCACTGAGCGAAGACGGAAAGCTTGTAGCAAGCACAACATGAAACAAACAATTCGTTTGAGCACAGTACTCTGACTTCTGAATGTGACAGGTGCCAATTGTGAAGCTATCATGTGCTGTAACCGCGCACCGTGCCTTCCTGGACAATTAATTAGCAGTCGCGCTAGGCCCAAACCAATGACGCTCTTCCAAGCTTCAAGCCCATTGCCCACCTCACCATACGCGCCTACAGACGACCACCTCCTGTCTGCCTCGAACGGACTGCAATTCTTTCAACTGCTCCCAATTTAATGCGCCCTGCCAGCCGGTGATTTGCACACGCACGCAATCGATTGACTGACTCCGCGGCGGTTAGCGCCCTTGCCCCTTCGAAGCCTCGTTTGCGTCAACAGACACAGCGCACCGGCACCTTGTCGCGTACGCAGGCTTCCAGATCAGACGGCTTGTCCGTATCCACTCTTTTGTCCCCGAACTCCAACGACCGCGACTCGTCCCGTCCACCGTACACAGTCACAGCACCCGTGAGGGACGCCGCAGCGTTGACGACCGCCGCCGAATCACCGTTACCCCCATCCTTCTCGTCTCTCTTCTTCCCGTCTGAGGAACCCGTCGAGGCGCGCAACAAGCCCAACGGGCCCAGACAGCGCGACGCACCGCCTGCATTTGCACCAGCACCTCCTTTCACCGAGTCTGCATCCTCCGCAGCTACTGTTGCCGCGATCAAAGCCGTCCTCCCGCGCGACACCAAAGGCAGCTCCAGCAGCAAGGATATTGACGACGGAGAACCTCCGCCTCCGTACACCGAAGGAACCAGCCCGCTCGACTCGTTTACCTACGTCATGGCATCTGCAGGAGGTCCAGCGAGTATCATTACTCAGGTCTCACAGACCAGCCAGGGTCCCCCAATCAATGCCCTTGGTGGAGGCTCAGATGAGAACATCACTTTGGAATTGAGGTACGTAGCATGAACTTGTCGTGCTGCACATGTGCTGATTATTTTGCAGAGGAACTCGCTTCACGTTGTCACGCGATGAGCTCCTGACGCTGCCTGAATTCGTCCTTCTCTCCTTGTTCCCCAACGGCCTTCTTCCTGATGGCCACATGAACTCGTACCATGATGGCGACGTGTATCCAGTCGACGTGGGTAATCCCGATCCCTCCCCTCCTCACTCCGCCATGGGCACACTAGCCAAGATCATGTACCACCTCTCCACCCCCGCGATATACTTATCTGACAATCTTTATCCTTCACAGTACGACCCGAATTCTCTACAGTACATGCTCGAGTTCTTCCGCCATGTAGCTCAGACCATCCCCGCGTCGCCTCCCTCGCCGACTGCTGCTCCCGATCACGCTGCGGAAGCAGTCCCTATCGAGCCCATGCACGGCTCCGCAAGAGACATGCTGCAAGACCGTGCCGGTATTATTGTTCTTCGCGAGGATTTGGATTTCTACGTTATCCCACCGCACCGCGACGTTGCCCAACCTGAAATGATTGAGATCAAGCGTGCGGCAGGCGAGGCGCTGTTGAGGCAAGAGGGTATCTTCTCGGGTCTGAGGAAGAGCGAGGAGCCCGGAACCACAGAACAGCACCTGATTGAGATGCTGACTGCAGGGTATGTACCATGGTTCGGCATTGAGAGGCGCTTGACTGACGCACGTTTAGCGGCTTCGACCATGACGATCACTGGGGTCACCGCGCTGGAGAGCCCAACAAGGCTGTAATCTGTAGTATTGCTCTTGCACGCCTCAGGACCGACATCAAGGGTAACGACCTTGCTAACAGCAACGCCGTCGGTATGGCTCAGAAACTTTTGCTCTTCTGGAGGAAACCTGCTCGTCGATGCTGGTGGGAAGGCGTTGAGCTTGATAACGTTCGTGGTGTCGAAGGCAAGCTTAAGGTGTGGATAAGAAGGGTCTGGACGCTCGAGATGGTATGTTGACCCTACGTACCCACTCGTGACCCCTGCTAACGATGCACAGAGCGTCATCGGTCTGCGATAATCGACTGCCAACACTGTCTCATTTGTCCTCCTGAACGGCGTTTCCTTTCTCTTGCACCTTTGTTCGACACGTTGCCGCGCCATCTTACCGGAAAAGCACGACTGGCCTTGTGTGTTCCATTCCAGGGGCATAATTAGCGGCTCTGTATCGTCTTTACTGTTCTGATACCTCTCTGCATTGTCTATTGCTACAGATAGGCAGATGTACGTCATCCATAGCGATCGTTGGCATAGGTTCACATATTGCTTGCCGCAAGGTGCAAGTGGCACAGTACATATGCTTGCTTAGCAACTTGCGATCTAAAGTTTACCATGTACTTTTAATCACCCTAATGCACGTCAAAAAGTTGCTACGCCCGCAAGATCACCAGTGTTCCCATCAGTATGAGATGATGTTTAATCCATACGCGCCGGGGAGGACTCCGCCAAGGTTCGGGCTATCCTTCGAGACAGGACTTCGGTCGGCACCGGCCCCTTGATGTTGCATACCCGAGAGTAGTTCCCTGCAACGGCTATCGACAGCCCACCCCACAGTGCATCCACCTTCAACGCTGCAGTAGCTCCACGGCCTCAAACCTTTGACCTTTTCAAATCGCCCCGTCCTGCATGCGTCCACCAGAAGAATCATCGGCCCGGCCTCAGTCTAAGTCTGAAGTCTGGCTGCCTGATCGTCTCGGAACCAGACTTGAGGCCCTGTCGGATTCGGAGTGAGGCTATTGATATGCAGTATCCCTGCCCACTTATGCCATGCCCGCCTCTCTGTGTACCGGCGATTATATGGGACGTCGAAATGGCGAAAGTTTAGGGGACTCCCCGATTGACATCTGCAGATGTGGAAGCCGCGGTGCCTGTGCTTAGCTACTGCTCTGGTGAAGTTACTCCATGCACAGCCGCTTTGACAGCGAACATCTACATCCGTCCAGACGTCGTGAACGTCACTCGACATGGACATATGTCACTCAACGGCGCAACGCATAGTGGCGATCCTGGCTCTCGCAGTTCCTGCTTTCGAGGCGAAGACAAGGAAGATCTGTGGCATGCAGCATAATGGATCGTGAGGCCGCCCGTCATGCAGTGAGATGGATCGGTGAACAAGGCCATTGTCCATGTACCTGGACGCGAAGCAAGGACGGAGCTCATTGCTACGCATTGCTTCGCGTTGCTATGAGCGCAGCCGGTTATCGTGGTACAAGAACGGTGTACAAGGTCCACCCAACCCGACCCTTGAACAAGACGTGAAGATCTTTTAGTTCCCTATGGCCGTTCGGATGCGAAAATCTTCGGTAGAGGGCTGAGATTGAGTAGGTCGAAGCGGCTAAAGTAGTGCGCGAGTGATCGGTGTGAGGAACGGGTGTAGTCGTACCCGTTGCATGACTAGATTTCCACCGGAGATGCTGGGCAAATAATTTTAGCCTTCACTACTTGACAGCTCTCACTCGAATACGCTCGAGTACGGACCGTGTATCTCGAATCTTCCACTCTCTACGTGGCCCCTATCCACTTAATGTTACAACGCCCTACGGCGCTGCAGGTACAAGGTTTCCGTGCTATTTTGATCGCCTGTTACAAAAGACAGCAGCTGCTGTAACCCAGGGATCGGGAAATCACAGCTTTTGTGCGTGGACAGGGACCGGGTCTCCACTTCATCGCGACCCTGACGTTTCAAGTGCGCCCAACCTCGCTCAACATGGACACTGCAAGCTGGTGGCGCCACGCGAAGTGGGCAGCGACGTGCTGCAAATGCTGTGCAAGGTTAGTGAGACCACGGCGAAGAGACGAGAATAGCAATGCAAGGGCATCGTGGCGTGCAGAGCTGAAGACCTCCAGCCTCGCTTTGCTGGGAGGCGGTAATAGGTCGTTGGGGCGTGCGTATGCAAGGCGTTCGAGACAATGGGTTGATGTACTGAGTCTACGGAGCACGGCAGCGGTGTGAAAAGTTTTGCAGCCACGGCAGATGCTGTATGATGCGTTGTATGAACAATGCTACCAATATCGTCCAGGACAGCATCGTGTGCGTCGGTTGGCATGCTGTGTTGAGGAAGTCTGTGATAAGGCTTGCACCAAGACTTCATCAACGTTGATACGTCGTGCAGAAGAGTTCAAGGACTGGTCATCACCAAGGTAAGCTTCGATGTCGATGTCAAGCCGATGAAGGCTGACCAGATGTCTCATTCAGAACAGCGGCAGTGCTGCCGCATCATTATTACATAATGATTGCGTGTGGAGACGCACTGTCTTAATCCATCGCACTCTAACAGTGTATCACCTCTCTGCTTGACCGTGGTTGAAGGGTCAAGAAGATGATATGCAAACAACGCCTTTTGAACGACCAAAGAGTCCCTGACTCTTGAAATGCTATGCCGTTGAAGACAAAGAACTTTTTCCAAGTGGTATCATCCCAGTTCATAACGTCGTGTTGAAACTGCTCAAACTCAAACGAAGCAAAGAAGAAAGAAATCTAGTAGCGGTAGATGTCGCTCTTAAAGGGACCCTCGACAGGGAGGCCAAGGTACTCGGCCTGGACCTCGGAAAGCTTGGAGAGCTCAGCATTGACGTGGGCCAAGTGGAGAAGGGCGACCTGTTCGTCGAGGATCTTGGGGAGGACATAGACACCAACATCCAGCTTGCCAGTCTTGCCAAACTCAATGTACTTGTTGCCGAACTCCTCGTCAGCGGCCTTGTACAGCATGATCTGGGCAAGGACCTGGTTGGTGAAAGAGCAGGACATGACGAACGAAGAGTGGCCAGTGGCACATCCCAAGTTGACAAGACGGCCCTCAGCGAGGAGGATGATGTGACGGCCGCTCTTCATCAGGTAGCGGTCGACCTGGGGCTTGATGCTGGTGACCGACTTGGCGTTCTTCTTGAGCCAGGCAACGTCAATCTCAATATCGAAGTGACCGATGTTGCAGACAATAGCATCGTTGGGCATAGCCTCGAAGTGCTCGCCAGTCAGGATGTCACGGCAGCCAGTGGTGGTGACGAAGATCTGACCCTGAGAAGCAGCCTTCTCCATGGTGGTGACCTGGAAGCCAGAGACGGCAGCCTGGAGAGCGTTGATAGGGTCGATCTCAGTAACGATAACGCGGGCACCCATGGAGTGGAGAGCCTGAGCGCAACCCTTGCCGACATCACCGAAACCGGCCACAACAGCGACCTTGCCAGCGATCATGACATCGGTGGCACGCTTGATACCGTCGACGAGGGACTCACGGCAGCCGTAAAGGTTGTCGAACTTGGACTTGGTGACGGAGTCGTTGACGTTGATGGCAGGGACCATGAGGCCCTTGCCCTTGAGCATGCGGTAGAGGTGGTGGACACCGGTGGTAGTCTCCTCAGAGACACCGTAGCAGTCTTTGAGCATCTCAGGGTACTTCTTGTGAACGAGAGCAGTGAGGTCACCACCGTCGTCGAGGATCAAGTTGAGGGACTTGCCGTCCTTGAAAGCAGTAAGCTGCTGCTCAAGGCACCACTCGTACTCCTCCTCGGTCTCGCCCTTCCAGGCGAAAACGGGCACACCGGCGGCAGCGATGGCAGCGGCAGCGTGGTCCTGTGTGGAGAAGATGTTGCAGGAGGTCCAGGTGAGCTCGGCACCGAGGGATGTGAGGGTCTCGATGAGGACGGCGGTCTGGATGGTCATGTGAAGACAACCAGCAATGCGGGCACCTTTGAGGGGCTGGTCCTCAGCGTACTTGTTGCGGGTCTCCATGAGACCGGGCATCTCATTCTCGGCGAGCTCGATCTCTCTGTCTCGAGGTTAGCAGGGTTCGTCATACATAGGATTAGGGGCGGCGTACCGGCGACCGAAAGCGGCCAGCGAGATGTCGGCGACCTTGAACTTGTGGGCGGGTGCAGACATGGTGAAGTGTGCTTTGAGGATGAATTGAGGGAGGGAGAAAAGGGTGGGAGTGGTGAGATGAGAGCTGCGGGACAATCGAGGTTTTTCTAGCGGAGCGTGGGGCCCTGAAAGTCGCGGGGCAATCCGCGACTTTCTGACACGGCAGTTGTGATTCGTCCAATGAAGCAGACCCTTTCGTGCACGACAATACTAGCATTTCTTACCGATGGGCTCTCCTGATGCCTGCGGGGAGTACATTGCTGTCTTCTCTTAGACCACGTTAATTCTCCCTGCGCTTCAGATTCCACTTAGCTACTGACTTGACCTGCAGAACTTCAGTTCGCGCTCAGTTTCAAAGGACTTCTTGTTGAGCGCGTGAAACTTCATCAATGCGTCATGACATCTCGGTCGTTTCAAGGCGGTCTGGCCGTTGCTCCCGCACCGCCGGGGTTGCAGCTTCAATGCATCTCGCGGGTTTCTAAACACTTGACTGTGTAGTTGCAAATGTACAGCTTCGATATCAAGTAGCGCTTGCAGCCAGCTCTTGACCAATTTCCTGGAAGATCTTCACGCCTTTTCGTCCAAGGGCAGTGCCTACGCCTACTGCCGCCGCACCAACAGCTAGCATCCTTCCATATCCAGCAGCATCCTCGACACCACCCACACCAATGATTTGGATTTGCTCGAGCTCCTTGTGTTGAAAGAGGAGCCCTTTGATGGTATACACATTTCCTAGTGCAAGCGGATGTAGCGGCGCGCCAGCAAGCCCTCCGATACCCGTCCCTGTTGCCGACTCTAGGACACGGTGGTACACTTCGTGTGACTGTCCATCCGATGAGCTCTCAACTTGAGGTGCCAAGAGGAGCGAGGATCCGAGTGTGTTACATGAGGTGATGAAGGTAATTGGGCAAGGTAGGTGCTCAGGTTCTGCGTACGCCGAATCCTTCAAAGCTTTGATGAGGCCATTGTATTGGTCCTGGTATGTGTATGGAGGTGTCTTGATGCCAATTGGTACATGTATATGGCCCGTATGTGGATGCGCAGATGTGCCATCCACGGATATCTGGCGTTCAATCTCGGTCTTCAGTGCAGCGAGATACGTCAACAAAGAGGCGGAGTTGTAAGCTGGCGGAGGTTTGTCGGGGATGTTCGGACATGACAGGTTGATTTCCATTGCAAGTACCATCCGCACATCTCGTTGGCATGATGAGATGAGTTTGTAGCAGCTCACCACTTCTTCCGCTGAGCCTGTCACCGAGATTACCACGGGTTTGAAGTGCTCTCTTTCTCCTTCTGGTCGCGATGGAAGACTTCGGCTTATTGTCTTGATAAAGTCAAGATAGTCTTCTAGAGGAATCGGGCTGTAGCCCAACGTATTCAGGCTGCCTGTGTCGCCAGGCTTGCCTGCTTGATCGATATTTGGAGGCGACGTATCGTGACTTGTAGGATCGTAAAAGGTAAATTGGTGGATCTCCCGGTTGTGTGGAAAGCCATTAAGCAGGGATGTTCGAGTCGTGATGGCTCCAGAGTAGGCACTTTCGTATAACTCTAGAAGCTGCTCCAGCGTGGTGCACCATGGGTTCGCCGAGTTTAGAATTGGTGGTGTGATCTTGAGGGGTGCCATTTTTGGATTCTATCAAACCGCAGGAGCGTTACCCAGAGGAACAGAAGACCGTATTATGCGCTTTGACCGAGAGAATGCAGGTGTCGAAACAGTGTTAGAGAGACCGATTTGTAACCTGATATGCGGTGGGAATACCCCGCGTGGGGCTGATAAGGTGTTGTGCACTTCCACATCGTGAAGACATCGCAAAACCTCATCGACAGCCCGAATCGGGACTGTGCTGACCAAGGTTCTTAATGCACATCCTATCTAATCGCAGATTATGATGTTGGGCCTGTCGCTCAGGATTCGTTTCACACAAGACAATGCATCGTAAGCGGCGCGTCGCCGCCGCCTGACCTCTCCGCTTTGTCACGGTTCGAGCCAAACTACAGTCGACTCATCTTCGCACTGGTCACGAACGCATTATCCTTGTCAACATGGCAGATGCGCAGCCGTCGAAGAAGAAAAGAAGAGGAGGTCCGAGAAGAAAAACAGGTGAGTAGAGTAGAGCAGAGAACGGTTCGTGCACAAGATACTAATTTTGTCAGGATGGTACGCAGAAATCAATGCCAGAGGTACACCCTAGTTGTTGATCATTTCAGTGACACATGTAAACGCCGACACATCCGCTGTGATGAGAAGAACCCTATCTGTGGTAACTGTGCCCGACTCGACCTCTCTTGCGAGCGCAATGACAGCACGTTGAAAGTCGACCGCACAGTTCCTGTGCGAACCAACACTGTTCAGACACCACAAACTCAGCAGCAAGATGAGATCTCAGACTTGACTTTAGAAACACCAAGTTCGACAATTGACATCTTCCGGTCGCACTTAGGTGGCCTTGAACAATTGATGGGTTTCATTGGGGCATCAACAGCAACAACGACTCCACCGACCACGATGTGCAACAGTCTAGTCGAAATAAAAACGATCAGCTCCGAAGGTGCTTTTCTTCTACAGACCTACGTCAAGACCGTAGCAACCTGGATGGACCTATTCGATCGTTCATGTACATACCAGCTCAAAGTCCCTCCACTCGCTCTCGCCTCACCACTTCTCTTCCACTGCGTCTGCGCATTTACTGCAAACCACCTCGCGCTTTCCAACAAGAGCTTGAATGCGTCCTGGAAGCTAGTTGCCGTGCGGCATTACGGACAGGCTGTCCGTCTGCTCATCGACGCACTCGAAGTTCCCTTCTGTGAGACCGCCATGACCGGCGGCATGCTCCTTCTCAGCTACGAAGTTCACGGTGCCATTCAATCCGAGGATTACCGACGCCATTTCCTCGGCCTGACAATGCTGATCAAGTCTCGCAGCATCACAGCGCAGTCGACCGGTACCGACCGCGCCAACTTCTGGATCTACTGTCGACACGAGATAGCTGTGTCATTGGCGAACGAGCGACCGCTCGTTCTGGATCCAGCGGAGTGGGCTGTGTCGTGGAAAGAAGGCGAAGGGCGAGAAGACGAGCTTGGAAACCAGGTGATGTGGATCCTTGCTCGGGTCATCAATCTCGTCTTCGGGATAGATGGTTCTGGAGATACTAGCAAGCGTGCACGAGAAGGCTTCCTGCAGGAGCTAGAAACCTGGCATACAGGGCTGTCTCCTTGCTTCATTGGCATTCCCTATGGCGATGCAGATGACGATGGATTCCGCAATATCTATTTCACGGTCACGGCGGCAGCTGCAGCAGCTTTCTGGTACCATGTTGCCCACATATTGCTCTATGCTGAGCCGGTCCTGCAGGGTGAGAGCTACACACCAATGGTCCAGGATCACGCGATGAGGATCACGAACATCACCATTTCAGATTTCCCGGCAGCCTTGAAAGTATTTTCAACACATGGGCTTTACTATGGCGAGTCCAGCCTTGGTAACAACTCTTTCCAGGTTTGCTAACAAAACTCAGCTGCAAAGCACATCAAAACGATATCGCAGAAAGCGCGAGTATGGAATGTGCTGAAAGACATTGAGATAGATACAGGATATCACACTCGATCCACAGTGAAGAATCTCCAGGCCCAGGTAGACGAATGAATCACTTCGTAATCGATTGCTTCCATATCTTACAGCCCTAAAGCCTACAACTTCGACGACCCCTGCGCTCTCTCCAACGCCTTTGTCTTGTTCTTAAAGTTCTTGACCAATTGCCTCACCCCCAAGTCGAGCATCACATCCTCACTTCCACCGGGAATGCGAATGCCCGGCACTTCGCGGGAGATACGCTCAACCAGCTCGCCCTGTCCGCTCTTCGTGTACCCGTTGCCTCCGAATAGCAACTGCGCCGTCTGCGCGCACTCATTCAGCACGATACCACTTTGCGCCTTGACCATGGCGGTCAACCCGCCCAACTCGATGTCCGCTGTCTCCTTCGACAGCTTCGTCAACTGGTACACGAACTGCTCGACCCACGCCCACTGGCTTTCGAGCAGAATGCCCGCCTTGGCCAGCCTATGCCTTACAACAGGCTGTTCGATGAGCGGCTTCCCAAACGCCTCGCGCTTGATCACATACTCCACCGCCGCACCAAGAGCGACACGAGCTTGGCGGGTGGCGCCAATTGCGATATTGAGCCGCTCGTGATTGAAGTTGGTCATGATGTACTTCATGCCCATGCCCTCTTCGCCAATGAGGTTTTCAACCGGCACCTTGACATCGTCGAGCTCGATGAACGTCGTTCCCGCGGTGATCTGCCCGCCAACTTTCAAGCGACGCATGCTCACGCCTGGGTTCCCTTTCAGCGGAACGACTAGCATGCTGAGCCCTGAGGGGCCGGGCCCGCCAGTGCGTACCGCCATACTGCTGTACTCGCTCCAGATGCCGTTTGTGATCCACTTCTTTGTGCCGTTGACGATGTAGTGTTTCCCGTCTGGCGTCTTGGTCGCCGTGGTCGTGATGTTCGCCACGTCTGACCCGGCTTCAGGCTCAGTGATTGCAATGCAGGTGCGCTTGCGGCCGGTCAGGAGGTCGGGCAGGAAGCGCTCTTGCAGCTGTGCGGAGCCGAATTTGATGATAGGGGGGACGCCGAAGGCCATGCCGGTTGTGAGACTGCCGCCTGGGCCAGCGAGGCCGGAGCGTGCCATCTGGGTATATCAGCTCTGGACATCTGATACACGGAAAGTAAGCATGTGCGTACCTCGTCAGTGTAAATCATTGTGTGTATATAATCCCACTCCTCGACCTTCACCGTGCCCAGGATATCGTGTATGCCCAGCTTCTTCAACCACTCGACCGGCAGCGGCGCGGGGAGCGAAGGCAACAGCATACTATTCTTCGCAAACGTCTCAAAGACATGCGGCGGTACATCCTCTGCTGTGTCCCACTCCAGACCCTTCTCAATCAAGTGCTTGCCGACGAACTCGCGACATGCTTTCTGCCAGCGCAGATGGGTTTCTTGATAGTAAGGGGAGGGCAGGCCGGTGATATATCCGGGCTCAGAGAAGGGGACGTATGCTGTGGACGACATCTTGAAGGTAGTCGAGTGCGCAGTGAGTGACTACATGGCGAAGGAGTTGCGCGTGGCTTTAAAGTAGCCGGGTGTGGAGATCTGGGGAACTTTGGACCGAGGTTTGCCGGGTTGACGAATCGCTGGCGCGTGATCATGTGGAGATCTGACAGCCCTCGAACACCGACAACTTTGCGGCTCTAGTAGTGAGCTACCCCGGATTTTTCTCTTCTTGGGCACTCGACGTTCCGCGAGCGTTGTCTCTACACAAGTATTTGTCCCAACACCAATCCCAAAACCAAACTACTGAGAGATTTGAATCTTTTAAACGCCACCAGTAGGTTTACATAGAATTCAAGATAAATCTTTCCCATTCCTTATTTGTTCCGGGATTACGTCTCTGTGTGCTGCTCGATCACTCCCGGTCATTGACACAGATCAACGTTCCCAATCAAGTGTGTTTGTGATATCGTCATTGAACACATGCGGTCATCTTCGGCGGCCAATTATAGCGTTCCTGCGGAAGAGCAGGATCTCGGAGGAGCGACTCGACTTATCGAGTCATTACACGTGAAGATTCGGCGCCAGGATTGCAATGTCGTAGTGTCAAATGCTGATGGAAATTGTTTACCTGGTACATGAGATCTTCCTCTATCGACCCCTCCTCTCCTCTACACCAGCCATTCACTCATCGTCCTCATCAAACTCCTCACCAACCATGTCCATCAGCTTCAGCAAGTGATCGAACACCTCTGAATCTTGGCGCGCGGCTTTCGTAGCCTTGACAATGAGTGGATGCAAGCGATGCAGATGTTTCCTATGCTTCGATTTGATCCCTGGCGCATCTGGTATCGCTTGAGGCTCGCTCTCTAACTGCTCGAGCTGAATGAGTACTTGCAAGAGTTCCTTGCGCTGCGAGTCGGGAGCGGGCATGTGTCCACGGAGCGGGTGGTCGGCTATGTACATCTTGAGCGGCAAGGCTGCACGCAGGATGAGGTAGGGTGCTGCTGCCTGCGCGAGCTTGACATGTGAAGTTTCATTGTGAATGGTGACGAGGTTGAAGAGCTCAGATATGCATGTGCGACTCATCCGAGTTCGTAGTGTCGGTGTGAGAACGGCGGTCTGACCGAGTCTTGTCTTGTAGAGATCGTCAAGCGGTCGACCGAGGTCAGGCAGCTCGCCCTGGAGAGGTTCATGGACAAGGGAGATGGAGAAGAGGTTGCGCGTGTAGGTCCTGCGGATGCTATCAGGCAGTGAAGAGGAGTTGAGATGCGTGGTGATCAGGCCGCGGAGTTCTGTGAAGGATCGAACATCGAATAATTCGTCTTCATGTAGGGTTGTCGGGGTCTTCTCTGGATCAAGGTACTCAGCCCGTGTGATGTGGTGAGCAATGTCGATGACTGCAGCCCAGATGTCGTTGACAACATTGCCGGTCAGTCCGTGAGCTTGAAGCTGTGGCAGACCTGCCTGTAGTATGGCCAGTGTAGTAGTCGTTGATTTTTGCCAAATCGTAGGCGGCTTGCCTTCTTTTCCCCACGCGTACTTCTGTTTAATCGGACGCGCTAGCTGTGTCAAGGCAGAGTTAAAAGCACCGTCCGTAAAGATCTGTCTGTCTGCAATATGCTTGATGGTAGTCTCCTGAAGCATGGACATGGAGGCCTTCGACAGCGCAACGAACGTCGGTCCTTGCCTGTCAGATTGCTGTGCCACTGGACTGTATGGTAGCACACTGAAACGACTCAGTAATCCAATCATGTATGAGGGGAGATTGGGTTCCGTGGTGTCGATCTTCGACAAGCACTCCAAGACACTCATCTGTAGAGGAGTCATGTTCTCAATGTCTGTCGAGTATGCAATGGCATGGGATTCGACGATGCAGGTTTCTAGATGTGCCAACATGGATGGGAGGTCGGAGTCAATGCTCCGACCGGCCAAGTTGTAGATTGCCTTGAATGCATCGGCGTATGCTACGAATCCTTCTTGGTTATTTCCGGGATCTGTTCCCAGCGTGTTGTGGGGGCCTAGATAGCTCGTCCAGACAACGGCAGTCTTCTGGAGAGACAACTCGCCTAACGCTTGCGCGCTGGGCAGATGTGACAGTACATGAGTGATTGTCGCAAACACATACGAGCCTAGAGCATGTGAGCCGAATGCGAAGTATTGTTGCAGGCGGTCTAAGAGATCTGCCCAAGTCCGTCCAAACGCGGAGACATCGTGAACCTTTTGTAGACGCATCGTGGTGAGGGTGCTGACGCTCTGCAGAACTGTTTTGGTAGTCTCGTTCCAACTCGCAATCTCATCAGTGGTGTTGCGCGAGCCATGTCGGATTGTATTTTGTGATTCGAAGTTGGCCTCAATTGCTTCGAATAAGATCGCACGAAGGCACATCGTCCAGGCTTCGGACGAGAGCTGGTCGGTGTAATTCTCGAAGATACGCTGGATTGTCTGGACAGCCGAATTTCGAACTTCAGCCCGCTGATCTGTGGTGGTGGTGGACAGATTGAGTAACACCTGAAGCCACAAGGCCGATGTGTCGCCACCTTCCGAGCTCGATCTTACTACAGCGCGTACGTCTTTCGACCCTTGGGCTACTCCAATAACGCTTGGGAGTGTGGTGATGTCGCTACGTGATTGGAGGTAGTCTGACATATTCCAGAGGAACGTGATAGCCTGCTCCTGTCAGTTCTTGTCGCCCGGGAAGGCTCGCAGAAGGCCGTACTCACAGTGAGAGACATGTTAAGGTCGTCTTGTTGCCCGCAAAAGTTGAGCAGAAGCTCCAGTAACGCTGAGAGACAGGCGTCGGGAACGGACGCAAGGAAGTCGGAACAGATAAGCTGAACTGTCGCGAATGCAGACCGAGCCAGCGATCTTGAGATCACACGAACGGTCCTTATTTTACGCTCTCCAGCGTCTTCCCCACGCGATTTTTTGCCGTCACTTTCTCGAGGCTTCCCGCTGGGCAAGAAGACGCTCAACAGGCTGTCCAGTACAGAAGCCCAACCCGCAACCAAAGACTCGCCACATTGTTCAATCACATTCTTCAACGCATCGAGAGCTATCTGATGCACTCGGACATCGATGTCGCTGTACTCCCCTTTCGTTTTGATGTCGTTCAGGTGTAGGACCGAGATTTGGCGCTGCAGTGTCGCTAGGATACGGGCTTGTATCTGTTCACATTGCTCGTCATACATTGAGATCTCCGCAATCTCTCGAATAGTCCTCGACAAGATATCAGCTGCGAGCAGTCTCGATGCCGATGCTTTCAGTTCGTCTGCAGAGAACCGAACCAGTTCATGGACGAATGTGTCCCAGCCGCTCTCCGTGGGATTATACTGTGCTAGTCTGGCTTCATTCAGAGTGGCGAGTTCGCCGATCTTGTTCAGCGCAAATGCGGTATCACGGGAGTTGGTTTCGGTATTTAGAGTGAGCCTGGACACACTCCCCAGTCTTCGCGTGTGAAGAACCTGTGGTCGAACCGCTACCGTGGGTGTGATTTGACCACTCTCGGTTGGAGAGGTGTCATTAAGTAAAGCACAGAGCGCCTGCAGAACCTCTGTAAAGGACTCGTTGGGAAAATCTGCGGTACTTTCGAATAGTCTCCGGGCCGCAGCTTGTACTGCTGCTGTCTCTGATTCCATTTTTTCGATTGACCCTTCCGCCCCAGGATGTTGCGCAGAGCCCCGACTGCCACTTTGATTTGGCAGGGAGAGTACGAGATCGGCGACTTGCAGGGTCTCAAACACAATCGACCACGCAGACTGAAGGGTTGGCCCTAACGCAATCGCAAGGTTGAGCAGAGCTCGTAAGCATAATAGATTACGAGGGCCCAATGAGGGCATGTGGATATCGTGAGACGGGCGTCGGCCGTGGTCTGCAGAAGCTCCAGACGACTGGCTCACGAGACTATCGACACTAAGCAGACCTTTGGCATTGTTGAACATGCCAGGCTGCTCCCCTGTCGCTATCTTAGGAGAGGCGACGTTTGTGAGAAGCAAATTTGAGGGCACGGCGGCTTTGCCCATCGTAGTCAGAAATGCGTCGCGAGGTGTTGCCATTCGCAGGAGCCCTGCGACTTGCGTGAACTTTTGGATCGCTCGGACCAAAGCACGATAATAGTCCACGTCCAGCGCGGCGTTGAGAAAAGTTGAGCAGGTTGCTAAGATCGCAGGCCAGCACTCGGTGACAAGCGCCAACGAGGTTTCTATGTATGCGTACGCGGGATGGTCGGTAAGGTCAAGCGGATTGACCGGTATGGTCTTCTTGCGGAAGGACTGTGTTCTCGAAAGCCGGCGTCTGCCCTCATCTGCAGATGCATTTTCTCCCTCCTGAGCAGCAGGATCATCTGATTTTGGTTTTCTCCGGCTCTTGCTGTCATGGTAGACTGTCAAAGGCAGCACGAACTTTGCTAGACTCTCACTGATATTTGTGATGCAAGTCAACACCAGACTATAGATGTACGTCTCAGGCAATGATGGCGGGTCCGACTTGTCCAAATGATCAATACATGGGGTCTTCATAGAACTCCACTGCGTACTGATGCCACATGGGCGGCTGTTGCTGCTGCGATCGCTGATAGGTCCGCCAATATCGCCCGCCATTGCACCTGCTGCCGCCGCTGCCTGGTCAGAGCCCGCGATGCCATCATCAGCATAGCTCGCAGGAGCGGTGGAGTGTTGGCCGAGACCGATCAGTGTCGGTTTCTCCGTTGCCAATCTCACAAAAGACGCTAGGTTGTCGCCAAATATTTTCTTCTTGCCATCTTGAGCATCGAATTGGTGGTAGATGGCTAGTAGAAGCCGTGGGTCGGCGTAGATACCGCGGAAGACCTCGAGACAGAGTGCGCGCTTCCACAGTTGTGATGCTTGTGGATCAAGCATATGGTTGAGTAGACCAAGCGCGATCTCGCATTCAGATGGAAGAATTGTCAAGTGATTACGAATGATGAGATTCAAGATCCGAATGATGCGTACAACAACCGGAAAGGACAGACGATCGGAGAGTGACCGTATGATCAGCGGCATCAGAAGGTTTCGCAGGATATGAACCTGTTCTGGATGCTGAACCATGATCAGATCATAGTTAGATAGCACGGCTTCGATCAGTTCGAGTATTGAAGCAGGCGGAATTGGAGAGAAGCGGATGAATGCTGGCTTCTCGCCTGTTACCAAGAGGTTGAGGTCATTAAACACCTGGATATTGTAAGCGTGAGATTCATCTTCAGGTCATCGTGCGGACCTTGTAGGCATCATTCGCCGCTGGCCTGACAGGAACAAGGCCATCATCCCCCTTGACTTCAGCAACAGTGGGGATTTCGAGAGCTTTGCCTTAGGAGGGTTAATATAGTAGCTCCTCAAGTTGACAATCACATACCATCTTCGACTGTGACCCTGTCAAATATCGCTATGATGAGCTGTTGTAGGGTAGCTGCAGCAGTGTTGCTCACAGCAGGGTTCTTGGTGATTTGCAAGCCTGAGCATATCTGCAGCACTGTGGACAGAAGCTCTCCACGTACTTCAGAGGGATAGTTCTGAAGCAACGATGGCAGCGCCTGTAAGACCTTCAACTGAATATCTAGACCTGGACGTGTCAATACGAGCGCGAATTGAGCGGGCTACAAGGTCATACTTGATGTTGCAGACTGCCTGAAAGCTTCCAAGATCTCGGACAGTCGTTCTCTAGGCAACGCTCGAGAGACACTCAACCGCTGTAAGCAGGAAACAGCTGTGGATGTGAACTTTGCATTTTGAGTCCCACAAGCAATGAGAAATGGGGAGCAGAATTGCGATCGTCTTGAGAGGTCTTTCAAAGTCGTCAGCTCTGGTCATCATTGTTTGACGCTACGAGTGCTTGCCTGCGGAAAGTTGAGCCTCAGACGTGTTGGACAGTGACTTGAGATCCTGGAGCGACTTCTCTGCAGCTGTTCGAAGCTCTGTGTTCTTGCGCTTCGAATCCGAGATCAGATTCCCAAGTTCCGCAGCCAGAATCTGGGCTGTCATGCTGCGCGAAGGACTGACAAGGGCATGTAGACGCCAGCCATGGATATCCGGAGAGCAAAATCGCAAAAAGCCGTCCGTGTCTCAGCCAATGTTAAAGGGTAACTTGTCCTGTCAGGTGAAGCTTGCATTACGGCAGGCGGTCAAAGCACCGGCCGCACGACAGGACCCTGTCGCGCCGCGCGCTCTTTCCGCGTCGTCATAGGCCAAGAGCTTACCAAATCGCAAGCATCGCAGCAGATCTCCAAGTTCTACCCTTACTGTTTGTGCTCAGCCTCAACCTGCCGAAAGAAGACTCACATTATCAGTCCAATCAACCGCACCCACGAATCACCCCTTCACACGCGCGCGAGAGCTACCACGACCGGCCAGCCCAATAGCGGGGCAAACATCCATCCCACTGCCCTACGCCCTCTCCCACACGACCTCACATCAACAAACATGGGTGCCAAAGTACCACGCAACTTCCGCCTGCTAGAGGAGCTCGAGAAGGGCGAGAAAGGCCTAGGTGCTGGTATGGCAGACAACCACAGTTGCTTCAAGGGCGAGTGCTGAGAGTGAACAGAGGCATGCTCGTACGGTCTCGACAATGGCGACGACCTCTTGATGTCAGACTGGAACGGCACCATCCTTGGCCCTCCTCACGTACGCCTTCTGCAGTATACTACGCGACTGCATGCTGACTTGTCGGTACATAGAGCGTCCACGAGAACCGCATCTACAGTGTTTCGCTCCATTGCGGCCCGAACTACCCGGATCAGCCGCCTGAGATCAAGTTCACGTCCAAGATCAACCTACCTTGCGTAAACGCACAAAACGGAAAGGTGCGAGCATCCATACAATGGCGCTACTCAGTTGCTGATACAATGCAGGTCGATGCATCCAAGCTGCCATGTCTGGCGCAGTGGAGGAGGGAGTTTACAATGGAAACGATCCTAATTGAGCTCCGCAGATACATGGCCCTGCCTCAGAACAAGAAGCTTCCTCAGCCGCCTGAGGGGTCTACCTTCTAGAGCTATGGACACATGACAACGAACGATACGAAAGCGGAAGATAGCCCTGGATTCGGTTGACCGACGTGCATGTGTATGGAGTTTTGGCCGCCGAATTAGCTTCGAGGTATTGAGCGGGATCAATAAGAACGAATGAAACACCTCTATCATGACAGTATGCTTGGTTTCAAGAAAACTTGCAACCCGCTCGCTCTGGCACGTGATATTGCGTTTTGACGCGTTCCGAGCAGCTCGGAACTTCCAACAATTTACACCACCAAGCGTCCCATGCATGCCCCGGTTTCTCCAGCCCAAGAAATCGACTGAACATCGTATAGCAGGTACGTAAGCGGCCTGTGCGTGCGAATCAGTCACTGATTAGCTTTCAGCGATCGCTCTATACAGAGCACTGCTTTCAGGATGCTCTTCCGCGGCCCTCCCAGATGACGATCGCACGTTGCTGCGCAATGCAATCCAGAACAAATTTCGCCAGAATAGGAAGATACAAAGCCCATATCAGCTGGGTTTGAGCTTCAAGCTTGGCTATGAGGTATGCGTGTAGCCTCAATGCTTCCATGCCGTCGCTTACGGCAAGTAGACTGTGGACAAGCTCGATGCATCCACCACCAACAACGCTGCCGGCATGAGCACTCTGTCGCGACTCATTGCGACCTTACCACGCGGTTTGACCAATGCCCCACCCACTCGGCGTCCCTTACCATCACCCCCAACGCCGCACCCATCTGGCAAACACCCTCTTGACGTCCTCCCACAAGAGCGCGCTGTCTTGAAGAACCGCCCATATACGCAAGTGACCGGGCAACGACAGGTCCCGCGTATCGCTTCGGCAAACGGCATACCGTTCCTGCGCCTCTCAAAACCGCAGCCCGCCGCGCTATCGCGCGTGCTGCGACAAAAGCTCGATCGTCGCATCGAGCGCTTCCACAGGAGAGTCGAACTGCAAAACTACTGGCTTCCACTAGCGAAACAGGAAGACGAATGGGACGAGCTCGTGTTGCCGCAGCTCAGGAGGCGGGAGGACGAGATCAGGTGGGCAGATGCGATGCATGAGGCAGAAAGGCAGAACGGGGTTATCTATGAAGCTGAGTTGGTGAAGGATGCGGCGCTCATACGGAAGATGCAGAGCATTGTAGATGCAGAGACGGAGTTTGTGTTGAACGAGGGACGGGAGGTCATCAGAGGGCGAAAGAAGGCGCCTATACGAGTCATCAAGCCATGATTCATAACTTCCTTTTGATACCGAAGTGTGACGTGTGAATATGTACACGAGCGCTCCACGCTCTACGCGAATGGGTATACGCTTCTTACTAACCCTCCATCTCTTACGACTCCGCCGCCACCTTCAAGTCCTTCATAGCCTGCACATCGATCCCGTCGTCGTCCTCATCGCCGCCCTTGGCCAAGCCCTGCTGCCACAACTCCTTGCCCGTGAGTTTCCGCTCTTCCTTGGGCACTTTCTTCTTCTTGTCCTCGGCCTCTCTCTCCTCCTCCTCGCGCTTCCGCTTCTCCTCCATCTCCTTGGCGAACCCTTCGCGCCACCGTATGAAACTCTCCCGCGTGACAGCCTCGCCCTGGAACTTCTTGTTCTCTTCCTCTTCGGCCTTGGCGGCTTCCATGTCCGCGAGCGCTTGCTTTGCGTTCTGCCGTTCGCTGATCAGGAGCTCTGCGCTGTCTTTTAGGACGTTGACGAGTGTGAATATCATCGCCATGCCGAGGTTTTCTTCGATCGTCTCGGACAGCGAGTCCAGCAGGCGCTGCTTGTCGTCTTGGATGTCGAGGTAGGGGTGCTTGGGTGCATTGGGCGGTTGGGTTATGTCGAGGCGGGGCGCCTCGTCAGGGTAAGAGGGCGGGTATTGGACGTTGAGGATTATAGTTGCTAGTGATGGTGAGCAGGAGGCTTTTGCAGGTAGGCAATGTATTTTGCGTACGTGCTTGGAGGTCTTTGGGGTCTCCATCGCCGCGCGTGATCTCGAGGGCTATTGAGATTCGGAATTCTGTCTCGGAAACATCTGAGGGCAGTGAGTATGGTGCGGCGCATTCAGATGTAAGTGTGAACAGTACCTGCGATTTCCTCGGGGAAGATCGACTCGAGGACTTCCCTCTCTTCTTGTTGGTCTTCAACGCCCATTGTGGTAGTTGAGCTACGAAGTATATTGCAGAAGCTCACATGGTTACGGTGATGGCGGGGAATGCTAGCGCGAAGACCCTCGTCATTTTTTGAGGGTTAATACTTTTTTCTATAACACAACCTTGATACCCACACAACCCTACACTATGGCGAAAACAAAGCCCTCAAATCGTGCCGGCGATGCGAAGAAGAAATCAAAATCTGGCGACTCGAAAAAGTCAAAAGCCTCGGCAGAAGAGCTCCTCACACAAGCCGCGATTCTTCTACAGACCTCACAGCCAGACGAAGCTCTCGTCGCTGCAAGACGAGCGCTCAACATCCTACAGCCTAGCTCGAAACCAACAACAGCGGCGCTTCCTGCGCTCAACCTTCTCGGCGAGATCAACATCGAACTGGGCGACCCAGACTCCGCGCGCGAAGCTTTCCAGGTCGCTATACTACTTGACCCCGAGGGCGCAAACGATGGCGCAGAGAAGTTTCTCTGGCTAGCACAGTTGAACGAAGAGGGTGGCGCTGAATCAGTAAAGTGGTTCGAAAAGGGAATTGAGGTTCTGAGGCGAGAGATTGAAGAGTTGAACGGCAAGTTGGTCAAGAAGGCAGAGATCAAGGATCTGCTGGAAGAGAAGAACATGAAGATTGCATCTGCGCTGTGTGGAATTGCAGAAGTCTACATGACAGACTTGTCTTGGGAAGCAGATGCGGAGGCGCGATGCGAGGCGGCAGTCACCGAAGCGCTCATGGCTGCGCCAAACAACGCAGAGCCTCTTCAGACATTGGCTAACATAAGGATCTCACAGCTCAGGAAGGACGATGCCCAAGCAGCGCTCAAGAGAAGCATAGAGCTGTGGAAAGACCTGGAGCCGGACGACCCTAAGATCCCCAACTTCCCGACAATGATCAACTTGTCACGCCTGTTAATGGAGGCTGAGATGGAAGAGGAGGCCCTTGAGATTCTCGAACGATTGATCAATGAGAACGACGAGAGTGTGGAGGCGTGGTACTTGGGTGGTTGGTGCCTGCACCTACTGGCTGGCAAGCAGAAAGCAAAGGGTGGGGAGCTCGAGAAGACGGTACCCTCGCTGCTGAAGGCTAGTCGCGAGTGGCTCGATAGGTGCATTCAGTTGTACGGCATATTGGAGTACGAGGACGAGAGGCTGAAGGAGCACGCTGAAGAGCTACTCAAGGAGCTGAACGATGTCCTGGGCCCGGCGGTTGAAGGCGAGGAAGATGAGTGGTCAGACGACGAGGAAGGCGAGGACGACGATGAGGAGATGGAGGGCGTATGAGGTGCCACAATGTCGAAGTCGAGAGGCGCAAAGGCTGGTTCTAGAAGGAAGCCGCGTGGTAGAAGGCCCACCGCTCCTTCCTCCTGCACACAGCCTCTTCGTTGCGGTTTGACGTGCGATGCGCCGACACAGTTCGAGGCAGACCAATTCCAGATTACCTGCAGGTGGTAGCACTCGGGTCGGGCTGTCGTTACCCACCGCCCACAGAACCCCATTCAGCACTATCGCGATAATTTGCCAGAAACAGTCCGTGCCACAGGCTTCGTGGGTGCCCCAATTGGAACAGCGCTTGAGGCTCTGGAGGTTTTCGGAGGACTGGCAGCACGCATCACGGCTCATGCATGCCATCGCCCGCTGTGTAGGCTCGGCACTGGGGTATCCGCTGCCTGTAACTTGTGATCTGCAATTCGTGCGTCGTCGAGGACGAGTCTCCAGACCGTCAATCCAAGTGCTCGGGTCTCTGCTCTTTGCTTTTTCTAGTCAGGTCTGGACCCTGGAGGCTGTGGGCGCAACCGAAGTAGATGGATAGCTTATTAGACGCAGGCTCTCAAACCACTCCATAGGTCCCTCTCGTCGCTGTAACTGCATTGAGATAATCCTGCACCGACTGCTCGCGTAAAGTGATCACCGTTGGCGAACCCGCATTGAGTGTGTAACTCTGTGATGCCAACTACTTGGCGAGCCCTCGAAGCTCAACTGCGCGCCCAAACGCCACGAAAAGATAATGATGCGTGTCGCTACCGCCCTTCGGCCTCCACAAGTCCCGCGGTTTGAGCCACGCCGTCGCCCGCCTGGTGGTGTCTGGGTCTGACTTTGACGTTTAGCGCTGCTGCTCCGCACCTTCCATGGTTCTGGATAGATAGATAGCCGCGCCCCTCTTGTTGCTTGAGCGTGCACGCGTTCCAACCCTTCAGCTGAATAGCTGCGGCCAATTTCCTTTGCAGGGTGGAGCATGTCCGCGTGAGCAGATGATCTGGTATCTCCTCTACCCGCTGCGAGGGTAAGTCACTGAGGCCGTCTGCGCATCCTCCGTACACGCTGCGCTCAAGTTCCCAGAGTCCGTAGAGGCACAAGCTCAACAGCAGCAGGACGACCGAACCGCCCAAACTCTCGCCCTCACATCCGATCCGCCGCGCATTCCAGGCCCACGGCACCGCTACTGCGCAGCATTGGCTGCTGTCGCTCGTTCTGACTATCAGCATCTCGGTGTTGCTCTGCTACCCAGCCGTCTTTCAGACCAACAGCCCGGCCGCTGCGGGATTGCGCAACCTGCCCAAGCATGTCTGGACCTCGACGACGGAAGTTGAAGGCGAGCATCATGCTGACGTTGTAGTGCGCCAGGTCTGGGTGCATGGCGACTACATGAACGCACTCAGCCAGAGCGTGCTACGCAAAGCACTGGACGTCCAACATACGCTCCTGAATGGCGGCTTCGGTGCAGGGGGGCTCAGTCGAACCTCAATGCTCAGTCGCAGCGAATCGGGCTGCATCACACCAGGACCTGGCGAGAAGTGGGGATGGCAGTCACCGTTGATGTACTGGGACTGTTCGAAGGAAGCACTGGCGAGCGACAAGAACATACTGGAAACAATCAACGCCCACAGCAACACTCAGACTCCTATGAATATCACACTACGACCGAGTACCGTCTTCGCCGGCAAGCACTTCACAAACACCAAGCTTCGAGCAGCCGATGCCCTGGTCCTAACGCTGCTGGACCAGACCGAGGACACGGACGTAGGCGAGAAGTGGAATAGGAGAGCAAGAGCGCTCGCGCAAGGGCTGGATACGGACTGGTCCATATTTCCTCAAGATGGGCAGATCGTAGGGAACCGCCTCTACGAGTTTCGCCTGAAGCCAATGTCGAAGCTAGACGACACGTTTCTTGCCGGCTCATACATCATCATGGCCGTTTACGTGATCCTGAGGATGAAGCAATTGCGCGCTGTCAAGAGTTGGTTTGGTCTACTTATCACAATTGGCGCCAAAATGGCCATCTGCATCATCGCTAGTTTCTCCTTGTGTACTTGGCTAGGGGTCGATCTGGCGCGCATACCAAGGCCTTGGTTTCCAGCAGTGGTGTTTTGCTACGGGCTTGGAAACATATTTCGACTGATCAACGCCGTCTTGGAAACACCGCCAGAAATGCCTCCACAGCAGCGCATTGGAAACGCACTTGGAGAAGTTGGCCACTTGTCACTTGCGGTCGCATTTCAGAATCTAGCCATGATCTACCTGTGCTCGCGATTTGTTTCGCCCTGGGTAGCCAACTTTTGCGTCTTCGCGGCAGTCACACTGGTCTTCGATTTCGTCTACCACCTGACCTTCTTTGTTGCCGTTCTGAGCGTCGATGTTCAGCGCATGGAGCTTTCCGACTCGATTGGACAAGCCGACTTGGCCCGTGGCTCGAAGAAACAACCAGAACGTAAGTCTTGGTGTGCTGCTTTGCTAGAAGGCACGACGCCACTAAGTACCCGGTTTGCTGGCACAGTTGCCATATCCTCGGTCATATTGGCTATAAATCTGCATTTTTTCGACGTCGGCGACCAGCACCTATCCTTCGATACAGTCCGGAAGAAGCTTCTATCACGGAAACAAAAGCGGAGTAGTGTACCTCAGTGGTCTTCTCCGCCAATTAACCAAGCAAGAACGCCCGCCGAATGGCTAAAGCTTCAAGACCACAACGCGGCTCAAGAGCTGTTCGCGTTACTCAAGCCTGGCGCCCACAGCTTCATCGCTAGAATCTACGACCCTGTACTTGTCGTGACTAAAGGAGCGCGCGGGAGGGACAAGCCTCAAATGCCCACCACGCTGATGGGTCACCTTCGCCGCTTTGCACAAGGTCACACATTTCCAGCAGCGTTGATGGCAGTGTTCATGATAGCCGGTATTACCCTGTTCATGAATTATCTGCTGTGGACCGGTCTTCCAGAGGCGACAGATGAGGACGAGGAAAAAAAGTCAGCTTTCTCCGTCAAGACATTGCCTACACAGCAGACATTGGATATTGTTCGCATGTCATCATGCTCCAAAGGTCACCTGACGAGTGTCAGCTTGGACAGGACTACTTCCATCTGGCTCAATGGACACACAGCCCACATACCCGCCACACTACAGACAGCCAACATGAAACCTAGATTATGGCCCATTGTGGCAAGTGCCTTGGATGATAGCGGTTCGTTCCTCGCTATGGCCACCGACACTGGACGGATTGGGCTCTGGAGCGTCGCGGCCTCGCGCTTTCTGATGTTTCCGATCGTTAACTTTCGAGGGCAAGTGCCGGCGCTGTACTCTTTCGTCAACATCACCCGCAACGATCACGAGAGACCATACATTATGATTGTTAGTCCAGACGGCTACCTAACCGAACTTGAAGCGCGTACTGGTATTCACCGCACAAAACGCATCAGTGCAAGTGCCATACTGTGCGCTCAGCTCTACGTTGACGCTAAAGGCGAAGCCAACCTCGTTTTTGTATGCAAGCCAGGCATAGTACACATTCTGTCTTTGCAGGATCCCAACAACGCCTTATCCGAGGTTGTTGCTAGCCTTGATCCAGGGCCGCCACCTGACAGCAATCCTGCCAAAGTCAAATGTATACATAGCGTGCCCAGTCTTGGGTTGATCTTTGCACTTCGCGACGAAAGAGCAGAGATCTTCGACTTCAGCAGCAAGGCACTCATACATGCCTTCGCGATTGGACACGTTGAGCCACACTCGTTTCGAGTGATGCACTCTGCGCGGCGTCAATGCCCTTGCGGCGCGTCCGCTGTCCACACCTTGTCTGTCGCATATGCTGAACAAAACAAGGAGCATATGATCCTGCAAAACTTGTCTCCCAAGGACACCTCGATATCACAAGTCTGCCTAGGGAAGCCACTGGACCGCACGAAACACGAGTGTCGGGGCCTCGACAGTGCAACCGAAGCTGTTTACTGCGTCGAGTCGGCCGGCGTCTGGGAGTCAACAGCCGCCTCCAGTATAGTGGGTGTTCGAAGGCGAATCCTGTCTACTCCAGCCTCGTCAATAGCATCGGACGACGAAGATGACGCGCCGGTCCTTATCGCGCCTACATCTGCCGTGAGGCAGCGCGCCAGCAAACCAAACGACGCACTCGTCTCGTCTAGGTTCATCAATGGGTTGGCCAACGGGCGTCAAAACACACATGCACCTATCGATCATACTGATCCATGGGAAGCTTGGACAATGACGTCAACTGGCGAGTTCCGTTCTCGGCCACTGCTACCTGACGACGACAAGATGGAAGACGAAGTCGATGATCTGTTCGTAGTGGCACCTGGGCCCATCGCGAGGTTAGGAAAGCGCAGTGTTGCAGTGGGCTTTGGCAATACGGTGAAGGTCATCACCCTGGGCAAGGAAGTTTATAGTGGCGCAACCGTACCAAATGGTAGCCTCGATATTGGCCTTGGGAGTTATAGGGCACGGCCAAGACGAGGGATGGAAAGGAAGGCTCTCTGAGCTTATTTGTGACATATGACGGCGTTCAGGATACCCCGCAGGGTCTAGGGACGTTTTCCAGCGCGGCGTTGCCTTTTGGTGGACGGCAACCAGATTCAACAGTTCTCGATATCAGACATGATGCCATTTTGTAGAGTACATACACGGTTTCAACTTTAATAGATCTCTGCACGTATCATGTCTGCCTCTCTCCCGTCTGACTATAAGTAGAGATTCGATATGACCTTACAGTGCTGTTTGCTTTGCCGGCAGCATTCACGTGCGCGCCAAGGCTAGCTTCGTGCCTGGAAGCGACGACTCTGATGCACCTTTCGCCGCGCGCGAGCCCCGTAAACAGTTCCCTCACTGACACTTCTAACATTGTCACCGTGTGGAAAAAGCTTCACCGCACGCCAAACCACAAGCTCCAAACCGCAAGCTCCAAACACACTCGCTCAGCGCCCATACCCCGCCTGATTCACGGCCTTGCATCACGACACCGAGCCCCACTGTCCTGCTCCTTGCATTACGCAAGACGCGATAAGACGCTCAACTGCAGACTCGTAGAGTGCGCCAATCTAGGCAAAGCCTCTGCTTGCTCCAGACCCGCGCATTCGCGTGAGACCGACTCACGACCCCACACTTCTCATTTTGACCCCTCGTGGTCCCGGCACTCGCGGAGTGGAATTGCGCCTTGCACCCTAAGTCGCGCATACACAGCAGCGCACGCCTACGCCCAACATGTCGTCGTCGTCGCAAGTCACCGAGTCCTGGGTCGCATCGTTCTGCGGCCTGCTCGGCCACGAGTACTTCGCGGAGGTGTCAGAAGACTTCATCGAGGATGACTTCAACCTGACAGGCCTGCAGTCGCAGGTACCCATGTACAAGGAAGCACTGGAGATGATTCTGGACGTTGAGCCAGAGGACGATGATGAGGACGAGGAGGAAGAGGAGGAGGAAGACGACGAGGACGAGATCCTGGGTGATGAGAGGGGTGCCTACCGGAGGGCAGGTGACAGGAGACACCTGCGGATAGCGTCGGACCTGAGCGTGATAGAAAGCTCCGCCGAGCTCCTCTACGGGCTGATACACCAGCGCTACATCACGTCCAGGCCAGGTATTCAGCAAATGGCGGAGAAGTACGAGCTCCAACACTTTGGCACGTGCCCGCGCGTGAACTGCAACTCGTGCAAGGTGCTCCCCGTCGGCCTGAACGACAGCCCCGGGCACGAGACGGTTAAGCTCTTCTGCCCGTCCTGCCTCGACGTGTACACACCTCCCAACTCGCGCTTCCAGACGGTCGACGGCGCGTTCTTCGGCACGACATTCCCGTCGCTTTTCTTCATGACGTTTACAGACCTCGACATTAGCGGCGGGCTGCGCAGCAGCTCAGGTGCGACAATGGACGTGCTCGCACAGCTGCAGGCTCAGAGCGCCGAGGCAAAGTCGCGCAACAACACGACTCCCGCAAACGTCACGTTGGTCAACGGCATCGCGCCAAACAACCTCGCACCGGGCCTAGGTTTGGGATCGATCTACGAGCCTCGCATCTACGGGTTCCGGGTCAGCGAACGGGCGCGGTCAGGCCCACGCATGAAGTGGTTGCGGATGCGGCCTGCGGACGTGACGGAGCTGGACGAGACACGACGATACTGGGAAGATCGGGCCGAAGACGAGGACCGGCCAGACGAGGACGACATGAACATGGTGGACGTGGCAGAGGGTGGCAGGGCTGGGGTGCCTGCCAATCGCACACGGAAACAGGCGCGCACAAGAAGGCGGCCAGCGAACGGAAGTGGGGCGGCTGAGGGCAGCCCTATGGACACGAATGGGGTTGCTGTCGACGCTGCAGCGGCGGGCTAGACGGGCGTGGGTGCAGTTGGCGCAGCAATGTAATTTCTTCTAGAGCACACGAGGAAGTCTGCAATAGCGATGATGGAGACGGATGGCAGCGGAGACATGTGGCAGCGGAGACACAGAGTACAGCGGAGATATCAATGAAGCACGGAGAAATCAATGAAGTAGCGAGGTTGGCGGAGTCAGTCGCTCACACGTCTTGTGGGTTGGAGTGTTCGCGTGGCTATGGTCAGCGTGTTTGGGCAGGTCCTCTGCGGCGTGGCAGCATGATAAATCATGTCTGCACTGCACGCGTGGGGTAGATGGATGGATTGGGGTGGATGACGAGCATAATCACTTCCCATGTCGATGCTGGCTGAGGTGGTTCACCGTCTGTGCGGACGTGTGGATGTCGGTGATCGGAATCGATGCACAGGCATATTCTGTATTGCAGACGCCACGACTTTGTATTGCAGATGACATGGCTGGGCGACATGCACCAATAACACGGCTGGCATGCACCAATAACACGGCTGGCGAAGGCGGATGGTAGATTTTCCCCGCAAAATGGACGGCGGTCCGATCAGTGGGTCGGCGAGGCCGGCGAGGCCGCATGCGACGACGCACGACGACGCACGACGACGCAGGACGCACGACGCAGGACGCACGACGACGAGGCCCTCGCGCATTGCGACTCTCACAGACCCGGCGGCGGACGGGCGCAGCGACCATGAGCACACGCGACGGCAGCGACACCATGAGCCCGCCGAACGAGGCGACGAAGCGGAAGAGCGACGACGGGGCCGGACAGCCGCGGGCGAAGCGCAACCGGTACATTAGCATCGCGTGCAACGAGTGCAAGCGGCGCAAGATCAAGTGCAACGGACAGACGCCATGCCAGCGGTGCGGCAACCTCAGCCTCGAGTGCCTGTACGCGCCCAACTGCTGCAACAACTTCAAGGAGAGCGACGAGTTCAAGCAGATGACGGCGCATATGGCGCGATTGCAGCAGCAGCTCGACGACATGCTGCAGACGGTGCACAGCCTATGCAGGCAGTCCGACGTCCATCCCGACGGCACGCCCTTGACCGCCCAGCTGCCGCCGCCGCCGCCGTCCACCACTACCACCACCACCACCACCACCAAGCAGCACCCGCGCTGCTCGACGTCCTCTAGCAAGCACCCACGCTCCACGTCTTTCAGCAAGCACCCGCGCTTCCACGGCCCGACGGCCAACGCCTTCAACCTGGGCGTCGCGCGCAGCAGCCTGCAGACCATGGGCATCACCGCCGCCGACGACGGCGACGGCGACGGCGACGGCGAGGAGGTCGCGACGCACGACGCCACCCCGCGCGCCTCGCCGTCGGCGCCCGCCGCGCCGCTGCACGCCGACAAGGACGCCGTCTGGGCCCTCTCCAAGGCCGAGGCGCTGCGGCTGGTGCACGTGTGGTACGAGGAGCAGGGCATCATGTACCCAATCCTGGACCTGGACAAGCTGCTGCGCCACGCCGACATGCTGTTCTCGTTCGTCGAGGCCGCCGCGCGCTCTGGGCTGATGCAGCGCGCCATGCCCGGCGCCGACGCCATCATGGACGACCAGACGAGCGTGCTGAAGCTCGTGCTGGCCATCACCCTGGTCATGGAGGGCGGCGGGACGGATCCGCTGGGCGAGAGGCTGTTTTCGAACGTGCAGGGCGTCGTCGAGCGCATCCTCTCCGAGCCCGTGAGCCTGCAGAGCGTCGGTCTGCTGACTCTGACGGTGAGCCACGCCGAAGCCCGCACACCCACACACTCACACACCCACACACTCACACACCCACACACTCACACACCCACACACTCACACACCCACACACTCACACACTCGCACACCCACACACTCACACACTCACACACCCACACACCCACACACTCGTACACCCATACACTCGCACCCGCACACCTCTACACACTCACACACCCGCACACCCCGCGGCCTCGAATGCTGACTGACCGTCCAGGGCATGTACCACTTCACCCGCGACGACGAGGCCCTCGCCTGGCGCATGATCGGGCTCGCCGCCCGCCACTGTCTCGAGCTGGGCCTGCACCGCCGCGAGACGTACGCCGCGCTGTTCCCGGACCCCGACGAGCAGGCCGCCGCCGTCCGCATCTTCTGGTCCGTCTACGTGCTGGACCGCCGCTGGTCGCTCGGCACCGGCATGCCGTTTGCGCTGCAGGACGCCGACATGGACCACAATCTGCCCAAGCCCGTACGAAGCCGTACCCGACCTGCTGCTCTGCGCCGAGTGCTGGACAAAGCTAACGCTGCACAGGACGTCTCGACGCACACGTCGACGCCCTACCTCAACGCCATGATCTCCTACAGCGCCATCGGCTCCAAGGTCTGGAAGTCCGTCGCCGCGTCCTCCTCGGACACATCGCCCGGCTCGGACCTCCAGATGTCAAAGGAAGACATCTCCTTTCTCGACTTCCAGGTCCTCAACTGGCACCGCTCGATCCCGGAGCTGCTGAGGTTCAAACACCCGGACGCCGGGCAGTCGCACTCGTCGCCGCCCGCGCGCGTCCTGCACCGGCTGCAGATCCTGCTGTACCTGCGGGCGAACCAGATGCGGATCCTGATCTACCGGCCGGTGCTGCACACGGCGACGACGATCCTGTCGCACCTCGACTTTGCGCACACGGTCGTCAAGGTCGCCAAGGACACGATCCGCATCCTGACCTTTATCAACGGCTCGACCGACATCTACCGCTGCCAGCAGACCATGTTCAACTACTTCCTCATCAGCGCCCTGGCCGTCCTGTTCCTCGCCGTCGCCCACGCGCCCGCAGAGTTCTCCGCTGACTGCAGGGAGGAGTGGTACATGGCCCTCCACCTCGTGCGCGGCCTGAGCAGCGAGAGCCGCGTCAGCAAGCGCCTGTGGCGCACCATCCGCACCCTCAACGAAGTCGGCCCGCGCCTGGGGCTCGTCAGCGAGTACCAGCAGCAGCAGCAGCAGCAGCAGCACGAGCAGCAGCAGCACGAGCAGAGCGATGCCGCCGTCGCCATGGCGGGGCTCGCGGGGCACGAGATGCCGCACTTTCTGCGCCGCCACGGTGCGCTGGATCCCGCGCTGGACCCTGCGCTGGGCGACACGCCGCACGGCATCGCGCTGCACCTGACCAGTCTGTTTGAGGCGGCCGGCAGCGCGTACGGCATCAACAACCCGTTTGACGGCATGAGCGGCCTGTCGAGCGCGGGCGGGTACGAGGGCATGCCGGCGTATGGGACCGAGAACGATGAGCTGGCGCGCATCATGCGAGATTTGTTCTAGCTGTCATGCATCAGAGCAGTGGTTGGTGCTCATTGCTTCCTCCACTCCCCATCCTCCACTCCCCATCCTACACTCCCCATCCTACACTCCCCGTCCTCCACTCCCCGTCCTCCACTCCTCCTCCTCTCCTCACCCTCCACCACCAGCGAGAAATCCATCTGCGGATCACCTCCTACACCTCCTACACCTCCTCCTCCTCCTCCTCCTCCACAGCAACAACCCCCGCCACCTCCCGCACATCCACCACCCCGCCCGTCCCCAGATCAACCACCCGCACACACTCGACCGCCAGCGCGCCGGCTGCCAGCGCAACAAACCCCACCTCGGCGGTGTAACACGCGCCCGGCGCCAGCGGCCCGAGCCGCAGCTCGGTCGTCAGACACACGAGCTGGGCTGGCTCGGCGCGCGCGCTCTTCTGCCGCGCGTACACGGCGTTCGAGTCCTGCACGGCGGGCGCGAGCAGCGCCGTCGATGCGCCGTGCGATGCGGGCACGGCGGCCGAGGACGAGGGGCGGTGCGTGGGCGTGTGCTTGCGCTTGGGCAGGACGATGATGCCGAGGCGCTGCGCCGAGGCGCTGCGGTTCAGGATGAACAGGGACCAGTGGAACGGCGTGCCGACCTTGACGCGGCACGGCCCCGTCATGGTCAGCGTCACGTTGGCTGCGGCGCTGGGCGCGCCTCGTTCCTGCGTGTCGTGCTCCGGCGCAAAGTCGACGGGCGTCCTCCATGTGATGGCCACGCGCGGCGTGCACAAGGGCCCGACGTGGACGTCGGCCAGGATGCGGACGGTGAGCGTGTGGCCTTTGCTGCCCAGCGCGGGCGTGCCGTCGGGACCGAGGTCAGGCGTTGCCTTGTACAGATAGCTCAGCTGGTCGCCGGGGCTGCAGGGCGTGGCGGCGCCCACGGCGGCCAGGGGTTCCATGTCCCCCCCGAGCATGGAGAGGTCCACTGACTGGATGCTCACGGCGTACGACGTGTACGATGCTACTTCGACGTCCAGGGACGCCAGCAGCGAGCGATCAGCGACCGGCGTGTGCAGCGCAGCGAAGCGCGTCCGCCACATCAGCGGAGGCACGACGCGGAACAGCGGTCGCTGGCCCGTCTTGATCGGGCGCACCAGCTCGCGCGCAAGAGGCGCCGAGGGAGCGATTTTGCTGATTCGCATCGCCGAGAGCCGCGGGTGGATGCCCACGAGCGCCGGGTCGTGCTCGAACGACTGCAGGAGATTGAGCGCCGGGGGCACCCGGCTGGGCAGATAGTCGTCGTGGGATACTGGCTTGCGCGCTGTGACGTCTGGCTTGAGCGAGGCCATGGGCTGGAAGTAGATGGCTGGCTTGTGGAATCTGCCCTGCGGTCGCGCTGCGTCCTCTTAGAATGCATCTCTTTACGCTTCCCCAGGAGCTTACCTATGGCGACCTCCATCCTCCACAAGACGTACGCATGCTTGCCGTGATCGCTCTCGTGGAGCACCATGGTGGGCTCGCTGGCGTCTTTGGTGGTCGCGCTGTGGATCAGTTCCTTGGGCAGGGCTTTCGTCTCTTGATCTGAACCGGGCGCTGTGCCCAAGGCGAAGACCTGCAGGCTGACAGCCAGCCGGTCGAGATATGACTTCAGTGCTTCCTCTTCGACCAACGGCGTTCGGAAGACGACGTAGACCGGCAGCAGCTCATCTAGCCTGTGCATGAGTAAGAGCGCTGTCTCGCTGATTGGGATCGCTGCACATACCGAACAGCAGCACCTGTCTTTGCTTCACAAACGGCAGGATCGAAGTGCCCGCATCTTCGACAGTGCCGTCCCACGAGTTGAACGCCTCCTCCATGTCCACATTCGAGGCCGCTGGTGCGATGGCCTCCAAGACGGAGCTGTCGGCAAAGTCGACGCTGGCGCGAGGTTCCTCTTCCGAGCCCATGTTACTTCTCGACGCTCGTCGGACGAGGGGCGGCAGCGTGAGGGCGGACTCACGTGCGGTGCGGCTGGTCAAGGTCGAGCTAGCCGCCCCATGCAGGGATCATCTGGCCCGTGCGCGGTTCACGGCGGCCGTTGCCAAAACTTGCATGTCGCGAGGCTGCGTTGGTGCATTGCGACTCGACGCCCACGCTAACCACTCGTCGCGATGAACAGCTATCCGCCCCCCGTGGGCATGGCGCCGCCTGCATGGCGGGCTGTCAAGACGGCCGACGGCAAGGAATACTACCACAACGCCGCGACGAATGCGACGACGTGGGAGAAGCCGGACGAGCTCAAGGACGAGGTCGAGGTCAGTTGCGGCATGGCGCGCACGACAGCGGGCAGTACTAACGACGGCAGCGCGCGATCGAGGGCTCGGGCTGGGCGCGGCAGACGTCGCCCGAGGGCAAGACGTACTACTACCACAAGGAGTCGCGCCAGACGACGTGGAATGTCCCCGACGACGTCCGCAAGAAGATGGAACAGGCCCAGGCGAATATGCCCCCGCAGCGCCCGCCCGCCGGCCCTGCCGCATGGGCTGCGGGCCCCGCGCAGCTGCCGGCGGCCAGCGACTTCCGACGGCCCGAGCGCGACGAGTACCGCCCCGAGCGCGACGAGTACCGCGGCGACCGGCCCGAGCGCGGCGACCGCCGCGAGCGCGACGCGGGCTTCGGCGGCGACCGGCCGCGCGTCGAGTTCGCGACGGGCAGCGAGCTCCAGTTCTCCAGCGCGCAGGAAGCCGAGGCGGCCTTTGCAAAGGTGCTCCGGCAGATGAAGGTCCAGCCCGACTGGACGTGGGCGCAGGCCGTGCGTGTCGGCGTCAGGGACCCCAACTGGCGCGCCATCGCCGAGCCGGAGAAGCGCGAGGAGGCCTTTAAGCGATACTGCGAGGACCTGCGCGCCCAGGAGAAGCACCGCGAGCAGGACCGCCGCGCCAAGCTGCGCGCAGACTTCACGGCCATGCTCCGCTCGCACCCGGAAATCAAGTACTACACCCGCTGGCGGACCGCGCTGCCGATTGTCGAGGGCGAGACGGTCTTCCGCTCCGCCAAGGACGACGCCGAGCGTCGGCAGCTGTTCGACGAGTACATTGTCGCGCTGAAGAAGGCCCACGAGGCCGACGAGGCGGCGAGCCGGACGGCGGCGCTCGACGACGTGCTCGACGTGCTGCGGGCGCTCGACCTCGAGCCCTTTACGCGCTGGCAGACGGCCGAGGCCAAGCTGGAGCAGAGCGACGACTTCACCGGCGGCAAGTTCCGCTCGCTGACCCGCATGGACGTCCTCAACCAGTTCGAGAAGCACATCCGCCAGCTCCAGCGCGACCACAACGACCGCGTCCAGGCCGAGCGCCGCGTCAAGCACCGCATCGAGCGCAGGAACCGCGACGGCTTCACGAAGCTCCTGAACGAGCTCAGGGCCAGCGGCAGGCTCAGATACGGCACAAAGTGGAAGGACGTCCACCCTCTCATCGAGAGCGACCCGCGCTACACTGCCATGCTTGGCCAGAGCGGCTCGTCGCCCGTCGACCTGTTCTGGGACGCTCTCGAGGAGGAGACGGGCAAGTTCCGCACGCTGCGGCGCTACGCCCTCGACGTGCTGGAGCACCAGCGCTTCGAAGTCACCACGGCGACCCCGGTCGAAGACTTTCTGGGTGTCATGCGCAAAGACGCCCGCACCTCTAGCATTGACGAGCAGTCGATGCACGACATCTACGCGTACATTCTCGAAAAGGTCAAGAAGCGCGAGGACGACGAGCGCAAGATGGAGGAGTCGGACGAGCGCCACGCAATCGACCGTCTCCGCTCTGTCATCAAGCGCCTCGAACCTCCTGTCGACGTTGGAGATTTGTGGGAAGCGGTCCGTCCCCGTGTTGAGAAGACAGACGAGTACCGCGCGCTGAAGTCGGATGCTCTCCGCGAGAGCGCATTCGACAAACACATGCAGCGCCTAAAGGACAAGGAGAACGAGCGCCGCGACCGCAGGCGTGACGACCGCCCGCGGAGCAGAGACCGACGCGACCGCGGCGACCGCGGCGACCGCGGCGACCGAGACCGTGAGTACCGCAACGGAGACTCTCACCGCCGTGATGGCCATCGCACGCGCACCCGCTCACCCGAACACGACCCGTACGCCGCCGAGCGCAGGCGCGCACAGCAGGACCGCGAAGCGAGATACAGGGACACGGAGCGCACAGGTCTCTCGCCCCCGCGCCGCGCCCGCGACTTCCGCGACGACGAGCGCTACGAACGCCGCCGCAGCCCCGCAGGAGACCACTACAGCCGCGAGCGCCGGGACCGCGAAGTCGAGCGCGAGCGAACCTACCGCGCCGACCCGCTCAGCCGCGCCGATCCGCGCGAGGGCAGCGTGAGCCTCGACTACGGCGACGGCACGGGACGCGCAGCGAGCTCCAGGCGCAGGCGCGAGAGCGACGCGAGCACCACCCGCCGCGACGTCAAGGCACGTCTCCAGCACCCATCTACCCCCTTCCTTTGACGCGCCTACTGACCAGCACCCATCTACCCCCTTCCCTTGACGCGCCTACTGACCAGCACCAGCGCCCCCGCTACTCCCCGCGCCCCGACCCGCGCCCCGACCCGCGGCCCAAGTCCAAGACGCCCGTCCCCGAGCCCGTCAAGGAAGACGACCGCGCGCTCCGGTCCGGCAGCGAGGAGGGCGAGATTGAGGAGGATTAGGTGTAGTGTTTGGTGGGAGACGCGCTTTGCTGAGCGACGCCATCGCTGCCGGACCCGCTATGAAATACATGTCACCATCAATGTAGACGCTAGCTTTGGCCATCAATGTAGACGCTAGCTTTGGCCATCAATGCAGACGCTAGCTTTCGCCATCAATGCAGACGCTAGCTTTGGCCATCAATGCAGACGCTAGCTTTGGCCATCAATGTAGACGCTAGCTTTGGCCATCAATGCAGACGCTAGCTTTCGCCATCAATGTAGACGCTAGCTTTGGCCATCAATGCAGACGCTAGCTTTCGCCATCAATGCAGAGCTTTGAAATGGTACTCGTCTGGTGCTGGTCACGTCGACTGAGATTGAGGGCTGGTATGCAGCATACGAGATACAGGCCATTCACGCCGACACCCTCCAGGCTCGACTGTTTGCAACCTCAATCTCGCCCTTATCGACAGTCTTCCTTTTTGCACATCTCTCCCCACGCCGGCCACGCACTCGCACATCACTGTCATGTTGCCGCGAAATGCATCTCCTTTGGCGGTGTGCACCGTCGAGCTTCATGTTCGTTCAACAGCAAGAGTGGTGCTGCACCAATGAACAGGGCCACAAAGCTGAAGCAGCTCAGGTTCCAAACAGGCTCGGCGTGGATCGACGCAGAGCCTCACGGCCCTCACCCGCTTGGTCCAGACCTTGTCGCTCACCGGTGCTGAGCTGAAAAGTTAAAACTGCAAAGAACGGCCTCTCGGCCGCGGGAGTGGTGTTTGGGCCAAGCTACTCGCCGGTTTCGTAGCAATCTCAGAGAGCCCCTCACTAGGCTAGTGGGGGTGATGAGCTCAGAGGGGCCATGGCGCTCAACAACAAATACTCGGCCTGAGCCTGCGCATGGAATCCTTTACACTCTACCTGTCAAAAGTAAGCAACGCTCCCTTCTTGAACTGTTCAAGCTGTTGTGCATCTCGAACTGTTCAAGCTGTTGTGCATCTCGAACTGTTCAAGCTGTTGTGCATCTCGAACCGTTCAAGCTGTTGTGCATCTTGAAGCTACAGAATTGCTCCGCTAACCCCGCTGCCACTACAGACTCAACCACAGCCATGTCTCTCTCCAACAAGCTCTCCATCGGCGATGTCGACCTCAAGGGCAAGCGCGTCTTGATCCGCGTAAGTCGGAGACTGCCAGACGAGTCAATGCTTGGCCAGCCGCTAACGGCCGACTCTACAGGTCGACTTCAACGTCCCCCTCGACTCCGACAAGAACATCACCAACAACCAGCGCATCGTCGGTGCTCTGCCCACGATCAAGTATGCCACCCAAAACGGCGCCAAGGCCGTCATCCTCATGTCCCACCTCGGCCGCCCGGATGGCAAGCCCAACCAGAAGTACAGCCTCAAGCCGGTTGTGTCGGAGCTCGAGAAGCTCCTCGGCACAAGCGTCACTTTCACAGACGACTGCGTCGGCAAGCAGGTCGAGGAGACTGTCAACAGCGCCAAGGACGGACAGGTCGTTCTCCTCGAGAACCTCCGCTTCCACGCTGAGGAGGAGGGCAGCTACAAGGACGACGAGGGCAAGAAGCAGAAGGTTGACAAGGCCAAGGTTGACGAGTTCCGCAAGGGACTCACTGCTCTTGGTGATGTCTACATCAGTGAGTGCTGGCGCAGTCAATCGCATGGCGCTCTTGCTGACTATATCTAGACGACGCTTTCGGCACTGCCCACCGTGCCCACAGCTCCATGGTCGGCGTCGATCTGCCCCAGAAGGCATCCGGTTTCCTCGTCAAGAAGGAGCTCGACTACTTCGCCAAGGCGCTCGAGGAGCCCAAGAGGCCCTTCCTTGCCATCCTCGGTGGTGCCAAGGTCTCCGACAAGATCCAGCTCATCGACAACCTGCTCGGCAAGGTCGACAGCTTGATCATCTGCGGCGGCATGTCTTTTACATTCAAGAAGACCCTCGAGGGCGTCAGCATTGGTGACTCGCTCTTCGACGAGGCTGGCAGCAAGACCGTCAAGGATCTCGTCGAGAAGGCAAAGAAGAACAACGTCAAGATTGTTCTGCCTGTCGACTACATCACGGCCGACAAGTTCGACAAGGACGCCAACACGGGGTACGCAGAGGACAAGGACGGTATCCCCGACGGCTGGATGGGTCTTGACTGCGGAGAGAAGTCGATCAAGCTCTACAAGGAGGCCATCGGCGAGGCCCAGACCATCCTCTGGAACGGCCCCGCTGGTGTCTTTGAGTTTGAGAAGTTCGCTACCGGCACAAAGGCTACACTCGACGCGGCCGTCGATGCCGCACAGAGCGGCAAGATCGTCATCATCGGTGGTGGTGATACAGCCACAGTCGCCGCCAAGTACGGCGTAGAGGACAAGCTGTCTCACGTTTCGACCGGTGGCGGTGCGTCGCTCGAGCTGCTCGAGGGCAAGGACCTGCCTGGTGTGTCTGCCCTGTCGAGTAAGTAAACCACTTGCTGCGAGGAAACCAAGGCTCAAAATCGGAAGGTATATCTCCGAAGTTATGATCTGACGTAGTTTATTTTATTTCCATCCCAGACAGCTCCTTGTCTGTCATTGACTCCGATCGTGCAGTACGATATGAACCAGTCGTGATTAACGCAAATGCCTTCTGTTTATCCTGTACGGTAGCCTCGAATCGGCCGCGCGCACTCAAACCGCCCCAAGGCGGTATGTCGTTCGTGTCATCGTCTAGGTCGTGTATCTCATTTGCCCAGCTTCTTGAGCTCATCCCTGTCACAAATCAGCATCTGGCTCTCGCTCTTCTAGATTCCTCAACCTGTCTGCGCGTACCTCAGCTGGTTCGCAAAGTCCTCAGTCGTGTCATCGTCGTCCCAGCTCTCCTCCCACAGATGTGTCTTGTCGCCGTGAGTCTGCGTCTCCTCCTCGCCCCAGTCTGCACTTCGAGTCAGTTCCGGCTTCTCTCGCTTCGCTCACACAAGGCACGACGTACCCTCGACAGGGAAGTCCTCAAACTCGTCATCCTCCTCAAGCTGAGGCGCGGGCTTTGCGGAGGCGGCGGCCGGTTGTCCGTTCGTTGCCTCGTTGGCGACGGCTTTTGTGGTGGATGCTCCTCCCTGTGCGGCGCCAGACATCTTGACGGTATGTGTGAGTTGTGACGTGTGATTTGGTGCAGTTGGCGGGCGAGATTGTGTGCAGCGGTTGTCGGTGCTTGGGAGATGGCGATGCGTTTCACAAGCTATCGATGCGGCTCCAACCCGTCAAACCACCGCAACAGCAGTCACGTGCGCGTGGGGTACACCCCGACCCTGCACTTCCGCGCAGAAGGTCTACAAGCATTGTTCAGAGCTTGGCCTTGATGTGTGTATTTTGTCTCATTACCGTTCAAACTCTGTTCGCAGTGCGCACTTGTGCTCGCACGCTCGCTTTCGCTCGAATCTAAGGCCATCGATGACGTCTGTGAGCTTCGTCCGTCAACTCTCCGGGGCCATTCCTCCATAATCCGCGCATTATCTAGTCCCGCTCCGACCTGCCCGGAGTTTTGAATATACTCGATTGCTCTTACCTCCGCTTCCCTTTCTTCCCCTCTCCTTCGTTTTCCTTTTGGTGTCTCACTCCCATACAGCTCCTCTGTTCAATCGCTAGGTTCATCATGGTCTTAGGGTGGCTTGGTGGCAAGGGCAAGGCCCCCACCCATACCAGAAGCTTGACGGCTATTGATGAGCTTGCTCAAAGTATGTACACTGGGATTGCATGAAAGTAAGACACTGACATGAGACAGTTCAAAATGCCATGAGCGGTACGATAGCCGCAATCTGAGACTCCAGACCCATACTGATGGCACGCGAGCAGCTGTCACCCATATTATGGCCGATGATATCGACAGCGCCGAGGAGAATCTTCGAAAGGGCCATTCACCATTCCACCAGGTGCGCGCCATCCGCAGAATACCACCTGTCAGCCAACACTGGAACTCACGATTGTCTAGTTGGGAGTCGGTGTATGCATGTTCATGCGAGCAACTTTAGGATTCGAGCAAGATGTCATGCGCGAAGGTCTGCCACAAGGTCGAGAGATAGTACGAGGCCCAGTACTGATATTTGGTAGCCAACGACATGCTTTATACCGCAGAGAACGGCGCCTACGAAAGTCAGCGCAGAGTCGCAAAGGACGCGAACTCTTTTCGCTCGAACATCTACCCCCCGGGAACCGAATACGCAGTATGCCAAGCAGAGGCTCAGCTGATGAGCGCTGTCGTTGGCGTGTTGAACGAGAGCTTGACTGAAGCCCTCAAAAGTTTCTACAAGCTGCGCAAGGCGTACATCACCCTGGAATCAGTTATGGAGGCCGAAAGGACATTTTTGCGGACAAAGAGCTCAAGCAGTCTGAACACCGCCACATCTTCGAAGCCAGCATCGGTTCGATCTACGGGCGGGAGCACCCTCAAGAAGTCACCTTCAAAGACGCCGTCGCTTCGCAAGTCTGCAAATCCATCGACCACAAGCCTGAAGCAGACTGGAACCACAACACAACCCTCGGTCGCTGATGCAAAGCCCAAGAACGGCGATAGTGACGATGACTTCGACTTTGTAGATGCTGAGCAGGAGCGAGGTGCTCAGACGCCTTTGGAGCACGGAGGTCATTTGAATCTGCCAGTTCAAGAAGGGGCGATTGCATTGGACAACGAGAAGAAGCAAATCGATACAAATGCCAGCTCCGCGCCAGGCCTGCCCACTGGAAACCCACAAGACACTGCCGTACCAGACCCGATTGCCGATTTCGAGAAGCTTGTCTTGAGGGACGACAATGGACAAGCAAGTGTATCGGAATTTACCGACCACCCTATAGACGAGTTCATCATTTCCGGGGCCAGTTTCTGCTTCGGCATCCTCCTCGTAATCGTGTCGATGGTCCCGCCGGCTTTCGCTTCTGTGCTCAAGGTCATTGGTTTCAAGGGAGACAAAGATCGCGGTCTCCGGATGCTTTGGCAAGCAACAAAATTCAACAACATCCACGGCGCCATGGCCGGTGTCATCCTGATGGGGTACTTCAACGGATTCGTTGGCTTCTGCGACATCATTCCAGAAACCGGCGAGGGTGCATACCCTGAGAGAAGATGCAAGGCTTTGATGGCGGAAATGAGGAGGCGATACCCGAAAAGTCATTTGTGGCTGCTTGAAGAGGCTCGTATGCTGTCCAGGGAGAAGCATCTGGAGGCATCTGTCAAGTACCTGGAAGACATTGGCGAATCTCCGTTCAAGCAGCTGGAGGCCCTGAGCTGGTTCGAACGCTCCTTGGATCTGATGTACATACACGACTACGCCAAGACCAGTACCGCATTCCAGACTTGTATCACACTCAACAACTGGAGCCACGGACTGTATCACTACATCTGCGGAGCTTCCTACGTTGAGCTGTATCGACGAGCAAAGGTCTCAGACCCGAAAGCGGCACAAGCCTATGCAGACCAGGCGAACGAATATTTCAAGCAGGTTATCCCCAATATCGGCAAGAAGAAGTTCATGGGCCGCCAGCTACCGTTTGACACATTCGTCAATCGCAAAATCTCGAGATGGGAGTCGCGCGCAAAGGAATGGAACTGCTCCTTCATTGATGCCATCGGTGTCTCGCCAGTTGAGGAGATGATCTATTTTTGGAACGGCTACAAGCGCATGCGTCCTGAGCATCTGCAGCACTCGCTAGAGAATCTTGCCTGGAGCGAGTCGGCTGCGAACCCTCATTGGGCGAAAGAGGACTTGACCGAGAAGGCCATACTTTCCACCCTTCGTGCTGTGTGCTTACGTACTCTTGGCCAGACAGCCGAGGCTGAGGAGATCCTGCAAAAGGAAGTCATCGCCCACGATGCGACAGCATTTGCGGGCGCTCTGAAGGATGACTGGATGCCACCTGTTGCGCGGTACGAGATGGCGGCGTGCAAGTGGCAGGAAGCTGTTGCCGACGGCAACCCACAGGCTCATCCGGATACTTTGAACCAGTGCAAGACATGGCTTGAGGCCTCGGGTAGCTGGGCTGGATACGTTCTGGATGCCAGGTTAGTCTGCCCTTATCAAACAACTGGCGTAAACTAATTATACTATAGGGTTGGTATGAAAATAACGACTGGCAAGGGCACATTGAGAAGATTCGGCGTCGCTATTTAGGCATGCTGGAAATACGATACGGCAATTGGGCGGATACAGGTTCTGGTACATTGATCTATGACCATCGAGTTACCCGTTCATAAACCCATAGAAGAACGAAATGGGCCGACAGTATGGAACCAGAAGAGAAGACCAAAATACAAAGTTCCGCCTGCAGAACCTTCGCTCGACGCCCGTCTTGAAAACGCGTGATGGGAAGTAATATAGTGTGGACCTGGTTCCAGAGCCACGCGTGGGCAGCTCATGCAGCCATGGCTACATCCAACGTCCAACCCACGCCCGACTAGACAAACGAGATCGCAACAGCGGTGACCGACTCATTCCACGTACGCTCTGCACACTTTTCGCTGCGCTTCTTCTCCGCAGCGATCGTCTTCTGCGCAGCCTCCCTGATCCTCTCCACCATCTCCTTCTCCGCCCACAACCGCCGATTCAAATCCCTGACATTCCTCCTCGGAGAAATCCACTCCGGGACAATCCTCAGCCCCAAGTCCTTCCTGGGCGGCGGCTTGGGCACGAAGCCTAATGGCACTGTCTGACCGAGACACATGGGGTTCGTCGCCTCGAATTGTGCGTTGCTGGGTTGCGCCGTCTTGGAGTAGTGCGCGGGCGTGTAGTCTGTGATGTTTGGCTTGGGGATCTGGGAGATGCTGGGCGCTGCGTCGCCGTTTTGCAGAATGTGGGGGGTTGGCTTGTTTGCTTCTTTGTCGGGGTATTGGATGGAGATTGGCAAGGATTTGGAGTGTGGGGAGCTGGTTGGGTCCTGGCTCGAGGATGTGGAAGACATCGTGTAGTGTTTGGGTGTTTTGGAGAGTTGTTTGGTGGGTTTTTTTGGTGGCTGTCTGACCTTGAGGGCTGTGGGGGTTCTGTGATGTGTGAGAATATCAGGACTGAAGGACCTGCGAAAACTTATTGCACACTGCAACAATTCACAACAATTTCTGAATGCGAACCACACATAGAGAACCATACTTGTGAGGTATCAGCAATCTTGATTGGAGTACCAGAGTTTGATAGACAGGGTCGTGCGACTCATCTGTCAGCCAGGGACAGCTTCAGCCGTGTAATTAACGACAACTAACCATGAATCCGTTATTACGTCTTCTAAACATCCCTTCGCTCAACGTTCTTATGCTCGGGGTCAATAGCAAACTCCTCATGGTCAACGTGCTTCTTCTCGAGCTCGGCGCCGCCCTCGATGTGGTTCGCTCCACCAAACATGGTGTCCATATCCTCAAGGCCGACCTGCTTGGTCTCGGGAACGAAGAACCAAACGAAAGCAGCCAACAGGATGTTGATACCTGCAAACATGTAGAAGGCGTAGAAGCCCTCGTTCTGGAGAAACAGAGGGAAAAACTGCTGGACGATCGAGTTGGCGACGTTCTGGGTCTGCGAGCACATGCCGACGGCTTGGGCGCGGACGTTCATCGAGAAAATCTCGGCGGTGTAGATCCAGACGGTGGCACCCCATGAAGGCTTGTCTATTGACACGTTAGTAGGACTCAGAAGTGCAATGGATCAGGGGACGGCTTACAGAAGAAAGCGAACAAGAACATGAGGAAGACGATCGCGATACCGACAGGCTGCGACTTGGCGCCGTCAAAGCTTGGGGTCTGGGTTTCGACTGAAGCAGCGATGACCATGCAGATACCCATACCGATGCCACCGACGATGAACAAGAACTTGCGGCCAAAGCGATCGACAGTCCAGGTAGCGTTGAGTGTGAACAGAATACCGAATGTAGCGTTGAGGGCGTTGATGAGAGCAATAGTGTCGGCAGCCTTGAAGACCTTCTTGTAGATGATGGTGGAGTAAGAGTTGAGGGTACCCTGTCCTGTGATCTGCTGACCAGCGTTGATGATCATCGCAATGTACATGCGCTTGCGGATAGACTTGTCCTTCCAGAGCGCGGAGTATCCGCTGGAGATGGCCTCAGCCTCAAACTCGATAGCCTCGCGGATGATGGTGATTTCGTCATCAACCTCTTGCTCAGTGTCGCGGACACGGGTCAAAGCCTTCTTGGCGGCATCGTAGTTCTTGTTCTTCTGGATGTGCCAGCGGGGCGACTCAGGGATGAAGAAGACCTGGGAGAGAATGACGATGGGCATCAAGATCTGGAATATGACTACCATCTTCCAGTCCCACTCGCCAAGCTTCTGGGGGTGCTTGGAGCAGGCGAAGTTGACCCAGTATGCGATGAAGGAACCGACCGAGTAGAACATCTGCCAGAAGGACATAATCTTGCCACGGATCTCAGGAGGTGCGAGCTCGCCGATGTAGATGGGACCAGCAGCTGACGGTGCGTTAGTCACAACTTTCAATCAAAGACCCTGCCGCCGAACTTACTAAGTGCGAGACCTTGACCCAAACCAATAATAACACGACCAGCAATGAAAACACCAATGTTTCCACGGGGCGCAAACGTTTGCATGAAGGTAGCGATGATGACGAGAACGGAACCAGTGGCCATGCCAACGCGGCGGCCAGCGTAATCAGCAAGAGGACCACCCATGAAGAAACCAGCTACGACAGCTCCGACGGTGTATGCAGTGTTGATAGCTCCGATGGTGTTCGCATTGGGGTGGTTGAAGTAGGCAACCCAGTGCTTCGAGCCTTGGACGGCGTTGAAGACTGAGGCATCATATCCGTAGAGCACCATGCAAGATGCTGCAACGAGGGACACGTACCTGGTGGATGTTAGTCTCGATCACTTCGAAGGTAGTGTCTGTGGCCTACCAATTGTACGCTCTCTTAGCGGTCACCATGTTTGCGGTTGGTGTCCGGGTCTGTGTGTGATAAACGTGTTGACTCTTGTCAAGGCTGTCAAGGCTGCTGTCGACTAGAACTCCGCAAAGGTCACAGCGAGAGTTTGTGGTTTTTCAGGGAAGGGGTCGATCTCTTTACAATATATACAACACTGCAGCACGGCGCACGCACCGTTCCAGTGTCGACCCCATGGAGTCGGTACACTTTCACACTGTGCTAGAATCCGTCAACCGACACCTTCAGCATTGTACCACGAATCAAAGTGCTAATGCAGCCGCAAAAACTTGCTCTAGAGCAAAGTGGATCCCCAGGACCCCATACCAACTGAATTAATCTGGGGTCCCGTCCCACACTCATCTTATCAGTCGATACTCCACAGTACGGATGGAAATCCAGCGTTTTGTTCTTCCACGAATGAGATCTAAGGTCTGGCGCTGAGATTCGGGGATCTCCTGCGCAGGCATGACTTGGAAGCGACGCCCATCATCCCAACTAGGCGAAACATGGCTAGAGAGAGCGCCGGACTGCGCCAGATAGGGAAGCATTTCCCCACCGCGATTTCCACACAAGCCTTGCCAGGACACGAGTGCGGCGGAGGAAAGCTTTTGGCGGGTGTCTGGGCTCCTTATTTCCAGGATTTGACATTAAGGGGCGTTCTGTCGTCGCTAATATTAATGGATGTTTAACCGTGTGTTTTTCGCAGCACGCGACAACCTCAAGTCGTCGACAATCGAGTCTGAAAGTGCGGTCTCGAATTCAATGTTGGTGCGCTGCAAAAGTGGAGACGTCCCGGTATGCTGGGGTGTCGAGCTGTGAACTTGCGAAGGGTAGCATCGTGCGCCATTCCCCCAAGGTGATAGACCAGCCGGGGACCGGCACCTGATCAGCACACGCTGATGCACTCGAGATGAGTATTCTGGACTTCACCATCCTATGAGACTGACAATATCAAGTGCAAACCGCACGCCTGACGACATGCAGCAGATACCAGACTTGGCGGGAGTGCCGAAACCCGGGATGAGCGGTGCTGAGGAGACAAACTGCACCACCCATACTCCCTGCAAGTAAAGATTGATGAACTCTATTATGGCTGCGGTGACATTTGACCATTTCATGCAAACCAAGGACAATTATCTAGAAGTCTCATTTGCTTCGATTGATCACGTGAGAATGTCAGCAAGTGTCATTCCCGCTGGCCGGCTTTTCTTCGCCTCTGCCTTCGAGGCTCGAGGACCCCACTTCACCGCCCGCCACTAGCCTCTGCGCCTCCAGCAAAATCATCACAACTTTCCAAATCGATAACAGGCCTACGCGCTCTACCAGATAGTCAAGATGCCTTCAGGAGCGGGAGGTCGGTACTCCGTCGTCGACACGTGTTGTCGTTGCTGCGTCAGCGCAACCCCGTTGAACAATGGCTGATCGTAAGCAGCGGGTACAAACCCCATCCACAACAAGAAGCCTAAGAAGAAGCCTGCCGGTGAGCTCGACGAAGAGGACGTCGCCTTCAAGGCCAAGCAGCAAGCCGGTGCGTACTCATCATGGTCTTCCTCGCACCCATACCCCGCTTCGACCTCCCCGCCGCCCAGCCTTGTCCCACGACTCCGACTTAAATCCCTCATACAAAGATATACCTTCCAGGTATTTAGTCCGCATACTGACGACTCTACAGACAAGAAGGCTCGCGAGGAGATGGCCGGCAAGGCCAAGGGCAAAGGGCCCATGAACACCGGGCAGCAGGGCATCAAGAAGTCCGGCAAGAAATAAGCTACTCGTCCACTCACTTCGAACGAGATTGCGGAACGATAAAAAGATACCACAGGATTGATTTGGAAGGCGTCCAAGCAGAGCGTATAGACAGTCACGAATGCACGGGCAATGACACCACGTCACAAGGCTTTCAATAAGGAGTACGTGATGCACTACTGATGATACCGAGGAATCGTCCAACAGTACAGATACACCGAAGACGGGCGGCCTCGATGCCACTCGCACGTACCACCACGCCACGCTGTGCCACGCCCGTCTCATATGTATTGTCATCTCGCTCTGGGGAACATCCGAGGCATCACGTATGCCAGAAAGTATGACGCACAGATCCTAAGCGGCAAGACAGCACTGATAGACTAAGGATATCGTCCCAGCAGGAGAGGGGAACCGTGAGGAGTCTAAACCACAAGAGCCACATCAGCCACTAAGCGAACATCACATGCTGCCCAGGCTGCGCGGCAACCTTGGTGTTCACGCCGTATGGGCCTTGCACGGGGCTGGACAGCTTGAACAACTGCTCTGCGTTCCTCCATGCCAGCCTCTCCCACTCTTCATCTGTGAGGAACCCACTCTCCTTCAACTCTGTTATGACTTCCCTCCCTCGCTCTTCCAGTGGGTAGTTGCTTGCGTATAGCACGCGGTCCATTGGTATCTGCTCGAGTAACGTCCGCATGCTTGACAGATCAAGGATGTCGGCAGTGGTCAGGTAGAAGTTGTGCTGCCAGACGTCGAGGAAACTGCGCTTAGGTTTGGCGGCAGGGGAAATGCTATCAAGGACTGCGTCGATTCGCGGGAGCAGTGAAGGGAGTGATCCCGGATGCGCGATGATAAGGCGCAAGTTGGGGTACCGATCAAAGATTCCGTTGAGGAAAAGGCGCAGTATCAGTAGCGGAGAAGCAACATGTGCGTTGTGCAGGTGTGTGACCAACGCTGCGACCACAGCGTCGGGCAGGTTTTCCGTATACTCTGCGATCTGCGCCTGTCAACACTCTATCACAGATTTACACCCTCTCTCCAGCACTGGACAGCGACGAACCTGATCACCACTCGGCCATCCCTCCCTCAACACCACTGGCACCCTCAGCCTCTGCGCCACCCCCCACACCTCCTCAAAACCCCCATCCTCGATTCCCCGCCCGGCTGCAACGACACCACCCACAAACTTCAATTTCGTAACACATCTCTGCAGCTCCCTCGCCGCTCCGCTGCCCTCGCCCGGCACACTGGGAAGCAGCGCCAGCGCCACCATCCTGTCATTCTGCATCCGTATCCCCGCGTCCAGCGCATCATTGAGCTTCATGCATATCTGCGGCGTTGCGGCGAAGGGTATGTGCGAGATAATCTGGACGGTATGGCCAAGAGCGCGTGCGTCGCGGATACGTGGGTGGCCGAGGTTTCGTAGTTTGGAGAGTGTTGGGGGCGTGAGAAGTTGCAACGCGGGTAAGGAGGGAGAGGCGAGGATATTGAGGGTTGGTGAGAGGAAGGATTCGAGACAGGCGATTACTGGAGATGGTGTGCTTGCTGAGGGTACTTGGCTCATTTCGGTCGTGAATGCAGCTGTAGGTATTGATAGGACAAGCGGAGTGAGACAGTAAGTTTAAGCGCGACGCAGGCTGCGGAAGATGTGCAGGAATGAAGTATGAAGAGCATCGCCTGAGGATCCCATCATCTAGCCAGGCGAGACTGAGGCAGAGAGAAGGTGCAGGCTGAATGAGGTGAGTATGAGGAAGGCACGTTGGTCATCAGGAGCGCCTGCTTGGATGTGTTGTGAGGGATTGAATCTTACACTATGTGGCTATGTCATAAGAGCCGATATGATCCGCACTCTGCATCCCATTACTTCGAATTGCCGCCCAATTCTGCACACAGAAACAGATGTAAAGCGCCCCAACTCCTCCTCTTCGTATCGGGACGTGCCGTCGCCGTGTTTATTCGGCGCGGCAGCAGAATTGTACCGCATGCCAACAGCAACTTCAACGGGCCCTTAAAGATCCGAGTAATAATATGCAAACCTCTTCCAACGCTTGGTCGAGTCCCCGCAGATCAAAGTCGCATGCTGGCGAATCGTGTCGTAACATCATGAAAGTCGTAAAATTTGTGGCGCAGTTGATGCGCCCCAATGAGCGCTTCTTCAACTGGCCTGGCGAACCCTCTTGCTTCCAAGAGTGAATGCGCGCCGCCTGATGGAGCCTAGGTGACTCTCATGGTGCGCAGAGCTTGTTGGAGACTGTGCGGTCTCGCTGCTGGATCGCCCGTTGCTGTTGGACTCTGATGATTGCGACGAGGATCTCGTGCGACCTTCCTCGGCGAGAATGTCGTCTAGGCTGACGTTGAGGTGGGGGTGGGTGATCGGGACCTCTTCGAGATTTTCGACGAACTTGGATGCCATTGTTGGGAGTTGATAGCTTAACCTTGGCAAATTGATGGTGATAAAATATAGCGTGGAGTCGCAAAACGGGGGTTGATGGCTCAGAGGATATAGTCAAGTCAACAAGCAAGGGACTTGAAGTATTTGAACTATGTCACTGTAGCGGTGTCGAACGATACTCTAGGAGGCCGATGTAGTGCAGTGGTCCAGACTCGTAGGGCGGCTTGGTAGTAATTTGACGGGAGTAGCACAAAACGATGAAGTCTGCAACGATATGCGGTGGCACTTGAAGTTCGAGCGAGCTAGTACTTGAGCGAGCTGATGTAGCTTTATTGAAAACGACGCAATGGGAGCCTCGAATGACCGGGGCGGCGCAGACTATTTAAGTCTACATTGCAGGCGGCATCTTAGTCGACGAGCATGCGGACGCAATGTGTAAGGACCTAAACAGGTCGCTAGGCTGCTGATCGCTCAGGTCTCGACGCCTAACGGTTGTAACTAGTAAGGGCAGGGATGATCCTTCGACATGCCTAGAAGACCTGTGGACAGCAGACCCTGCCGGAGCTGCGCCGTTAAGTGCCCCGAAATAGCTGCACCCTTTGTTTTGTTCCAAACGCAGCGCAACTCGTAACGAAGGCTTGGGCGATTAACAGGATCGCCCGAGCGGTTGTCCACGGCTTGGATGAATTACAAAGCACACGCAAGCCTCTCGCCACAGTCTGGTGAGTCAATCTCAGGGCAGCGTGGCAAGCATGCGCAAGATCAGCGCGATCAACACCTCTTCCGCAACAACACCAATATTCGTCTATCTTTGCTGTATGAGATTGTGTTCCACACCCTTCTCCGCACTCACACATGCTGTGTCATTTGTTGTTGTTGGCCGTTGGCGTCGCGCACGAGGACAAACCCGCGTGCAAAGCCAATGACGTATGGAAGGCGACCACCACCACAAAGCCTCCACAGCCCTTGGCTTTCAATATTGGCTGTTCCGGTCTACAGATTGCGGTCTGCCAGCCGCGACTGCCACTGAGTGCAGCCACGCCTAATCTGCGACGAATAATGGCCGAGCCCGGCCATGTAGTTGCGTGTTCCACGTCGTGCAGCATCGCGTCCGGCATGCCGAGAACGACATCATCGAGCAGGGTCTTCATCCTTCGCGCAGACCCTGAACCCACAATAATATGAGAAAGTTCGGAAACGAACGCCCAACAGCGCCTTCCGTCATGTCAAGATGCAGAGGAACGATAGGACTCGAGGTGTGGAGTCGCTAACGGCCACTAGCCACGTACGCTGCGCAAGGCTTCAGTATGTCCGTCTCAGATTTAGGCGCAGATGTTGTCGCAAAGGGATACGTAACCGCGTGTGAGATGTGAACTGGTCGATACCTATTGAGAGTCGTCACCAGCGCCCGCGGCCGCGTCCTCTTCCACCACCGTGACCTCTTCCGCGACCACCGCCGCGACCACCGCCACGATGACCTCTGTGACCGCCTCTGCTTCCGCCCCTTCCGCCTCTACCAGATCGCTGTTCCTCTGGTCTGGGACCGGCCTGCATGCGCTTTGCTCGTTCCTCGTCTGACGCGTGGAAAACATTAGGGATCTGCAGCAAGTCGCAGAAAGCTTGCGTATGCGGGTTGTCGTACTCTTGCGGCTCTTTTTGAACGTGGATGCCTTGAGACGGATCATAGACAGGCGCGGTCTGTACAAAGTCATGCGGTATAGTCATCCTCCCGCCTTTGACGATATTCTCTTCGACCCAAGTGATCTGCTCCTCGACGAGGGGCCTGTAGTAGGCATCACCCTTGTCGGTAGGTACTTGCGCGTCCGGATCACCAATTTGCAAATCACCAGCGAAGACACGTGTAATGGCGAGCCATTCGGTGTCGTATTCCAACCGTAGTGGCCTTTGCAGATCGCTGGGCGAGTGAGGTGTGATCTCGAGCAGTTGGAGGAAATGCCGTTTTGGCAAGCACTTGTCGAGAGCAAGAAACTTGGTCGTTTGGTTGGCAATGTCTGCAGGGAACGGCAATGTCTCCGGCTTCTCAAAGTTTGAGCGTGCAAAGGAGGCCGGCAGTAGATCTCGCACTTCATCGGGGACCACTGCTTGACCATTGATTTTCTCTGGCTCCTCAGGCTTCGTGGTTGTAGCAACCGGTGCCGGAGCTGCATCATCATCATCATCATCCATGTCAAGATCGATCTCGGCATCGTTCTTTGGCGTTTCTGTTGGTGCATCTTCCTCGAGATCAAGGTTGATCTCACCGTCGTTCATCACAACAGCAGAAGGCTCGTCGGCCGTTACAATAGGTGCTGCTGGCTCTGACCCACCTCCGTGCTGCCAGATACCGCTGAATTTGCAATGCATGTGCGCACTGAACCAGTATGGTGGTCGCAGGCGCTCAAGAACTGTTGTAGCTGCGACGCTTCCAAGTGTACCATCTTTCGCTTCCTGCTCGAAGTCTGGCTTCCACTTGAAGAGCTGTCGGTAGTTGCCCCTCCACTCCATACTGCGCGGCCAGTCGTGACTTAAGCCAACATCGACCTGTGTCCTGATCTGCAGGAGCTTGCGCACGTCTAGTTCGCGAACATGGTATATGCTCCTCACATCGTCACTGTTGTATGGCAGACGCTCGTAGTGCGGCTTCTTATAGTTGTAGCCTTTCCATATGCCAGATAAACCAGCAATACGTAGTGGTCCCAATCTGACGACGTTTGCAGCACCCATGTAGTAGATCTTGGGGGCAGCCCAGCCACCGTAGTATAGCTCCCACGAGTAGTTGCTGGCTTCGTGATTCCCTCCGATGAATATAGTCAAGAAGGGCGCGGTGCGTGCACCTGCGTAGTACTCGTGGAAGTCGTGCATGGCATAGTACTTCGAAGGCATGGAAACAGCTTTAAGATCGGAGGCATTGCGGACGGCCTACATTGTCAGCTCAATTGCATTTACAGTGCAAGAGCACCCACCTGAAAGTCACCTCCAATAATAAGGAGATCAACACCTGACCACCCTTTGAGTTCGCATGACTTTGCGACCGAAGCATATATCTCATGTAACACTCCGTGGCCGCAGCCCTCTACGGCTATGCGCAAGCCCTGCTGCTCGATGAGGGTCGGCGCAGCCATTGTGATGCTGGATGCGGCTGCCAATTGACGGCAAGTATTAGCAGATCGACCACAACGCCCCCAGAATTGCGCGTCACTAGCGCAGAAGTTGCGACTGGAGATGGAGAAGGCGCAAACAGTGAGCGAAAGCTCAAGGGACCACTAGCGCCGGGGGTCTTTCTCGAAGTCCGCACGCGAGACCTTGATGGTCCACAGCTGCTCGCGTCAAGCTCGTCTCGAACAACATCACGCACAAATGGACGCGACAGAGCTCGTGGAGCGTAGGTCGAATTACCTTCGAAAGGCCGCACATATCCTGGCAGTCTCATCACCAACTGCCGCAGCTTTCCTTGGTTCAGCACAGGACCGTCTGCTCGAAGATGCTGAGATAGAATTGCAGCAAAAGGAAGTCGATGCACTGCGAAGAAGTTTTTGTGGCGCCTGCGGCAGTCCCATGATAGCAGGATGGTCTTGCAAAGTTACCCACCAGGCCGATCGTAAGAGGGTGCGAAAGGGTAGGAAACTACTCAAAAGCACGACACAGCCCAGCAAGCAAGTAATCTACATCTGCTTGAGGTGTGAACGACAAACAATCCAATCACTGCAGGCCAGACCCGCGAAACACCTCAGAAAGTCGACAGCTACAAAAACCCCGCAGCCATTGCCAGAGCCCAAGCAGCAGGCTCAAGAGGCCAGTAAGGTGGTAAAATCGGTCAACGCGAGCAGCAAAGAGCGAAAGAAGGCTCGGAAGGGCGGTCTTGCAGCGATGCTAGAGAAGAGCAAGTCTCAGAACACGAGTTCAGGCGGTTTAGACTTGATGGACTTTGGCATGTGAGCAGCAATCTCGTAGGGCTGCAGAGCCGACAGGGTCCCAGCAGAAGGTTCCAGGTACCCCGCCACAGCGGCGCCAGGATTTTGAAGGCCGAAAAAACGTCACACTACTGGCCCCCGCGCCAAATCTTGCCTGACTACTAAGATTTTACAACAACCACCTTCACTTCATACAAAATCACGTACGACAAGATGGCCGAACACAAGAGTCTCGCGAAGGATCTCTTCGAGGATATGGGCCGCAAGGTCGACGAGGCCAGTGGACAGCAGGATGAGGACGACTCTAGGGTTGTTGACGAAATCGAGAGCTTGTGCATGAACTGCCACGAGAATGTAAGTGTTTCCCCTCCATCTGGGTATCGCAAGGCTGACTGTCTCCAGGGCACCACTCGCCTTCTCTTGACGAGAATCCCTTTCTTCCGCGAAATTGTCATCATGTCTTTCGAGTGCCCGCACTGCCACTTCCGAAACTCTGAGATCCAGCCCGCTGGTGAGATTCAGCAGCAAGGTGTCAAGTTTACGGTCCGAGTCGACTCCGCGGACGACCTGAGCAAGCAAGTCGTCAAGAGCGATACCGCTGTTTTCAGGGTTGAGGAGATTGATCTGGAAATTCCTCCTGGTCGCGGACAGCTCACCAACATTGAAGGTATTTTGTCCATGGTCGCGCAGGACCTGGAGCAGAAGCAGGACGAGCGAAGAGAGAAGATGCCTGAGGTTGCGCCCCAGATTCAGAAGGTCATTGATACACTGAAGGGGATGGCAAGCGGCGAGAAGCTGCCCTTCAAGGTCACAATCGACGATCCGGCCGGTAACTCCTCGATCGAACCGCCCAATGTGCTCGCTGCTGGCAAGTACTCTCGCCAGCAGTACAACCGCACAGCCGCACAGAACGAAGCGCTCGGTCTTGGTGATAGCAGTGGGCAAGAGCAGGAGACACCTCTCAACGTGGAGGCGCCGGCCACCGAGATCCGTCCCGAGTACAAGGCTCGCGAGATGTACCCGGAGATGCCTTCTGCGCACCAGCCCATGGTGAACAACGTCGACGATATCATCGAGAACCAGGTGTACTCATTCCCGTCCACCTGTCCAGGATGCACTCTGTCGTGCGCGACAAACATGAAGATGGTCAACATTCCCCATTTCAAGCAGGTGGTTCTCATGTCCACCGTCTGCGAGCACTGTGGATACCGAAGCAATGAGGTCAAGACCGGAGGCGAGGTACCGGCGAAGGGTCGTCGCATCACAATCAGTATTCAGAACAAGGAGGACATGTCCCGAGACATTCTCAAGTCTGAGTCTTGTGCCATGTCTTGCCCCGAGCTGAACCTTAGCGTTGAGCCTGGAACACTGGGCGGTCGATTCACCACCGTCGAGGGTCTCCTGACACAAGTCCGCGACGATCTTCGCTCGTCCATTTTCGACGTGGGCGATGGAGGTGACTCGATGGACTTGGCATCTAAGAGCAAGTGGAACACGTTCTTCGACCAGTTGGGCTCTGCCATCGATGGCAAGGAGAAGTTCACAGTCATTCTGGAGGACCCCCTTGCCAGCAGTTACATCCAGAGCTTCACTGCGCCTGAACCAGACCCACAGATCAAGGTGGATGAGTACGACCGCACAGAGGAGGAGGAGGAAGAGCTCGGTCTGAAGGACATGAAGACCGAGGGCTATGAGGAGGAGCATGCCGCAGAGCAGGCCGCAGAGCAGGCCGCAGAGCAGGCTGCCGCTAACGGCGCATGAGCTGTCGCATAAAAAAGTCGTAAATGTTTGCTTTCCTGCGTTTGGGTTTGGGCATAGATACCAGGGCTTCGCCAGCCACAATGAAGCATATGACCGCATCTTCTTCCAACATTTACTTCCATCTGTTCTTCTGTCATTGCGTCGTGACCCGGCGTTTCCGTGCTATGCGCTCTTTACTGCCCATGCTCCTTGAGGTTTTTTTCCCTGTGACTCTGACTGCACTCCTGATGCCACCTCACCCGGCCAAAGGATTCGCGTGGATGGTAACCTTCTCGATAACGACCTTCTCCTGCGGCCGCGACTTCTTGTCGACCGGCACCTTCTCAATATCATCGAGCACTTCCTGCCCCTCTAGCACTTTCCCAAATACAGTGTTCTTGCCGTCCAGGTGCGGCGCAGGCGCAAACGTGATGAAGAACTGGCTGCCGTTCATATTCGGACCCTTGTTCGCCATGCTCAGGATTCCTCTGGCGTTGTGCCGCAGCGCAGGCGAGAACTCGTCCTCGAAAAGCCCGCCGTCATTGAAGATGGATGCACTGGCCTTGGACTTTGGGTCAGACGCAGGTGCGCCGCCCTGGACCATGAAGGTCGGGATCAGGCGATGGAAGGGCGAGCCATTGTAGAAGGACGAGGCGCACAGGGCGAGGAAGTTCTCGGCGGTCTTTGGGGTGGCCTCGCAGAAGAGCTCGAGCTTGATGTCGCCCTTGGAGGTGTGCAGCTACAGATGTGTTAGTCAGCTTGCATGTAGATGCATGACGACAACGACGGCGACGACGACGACAACGACGACGACAACGTTGGGCCAGATGCGCCTGTCAGACGGGCATGAGGGTGTGGGCACACTCACCGTGACGGACATGGTGATGGAGCGCCGGATGAGCTGATCTATCGGGCAAGCGTAGACTCGCTACTCGCTCAGCTCCAGGCCCCACCGGTGCTTGTCTCACTGCTTGGTGCTCGGTGCACGACTGCAAGTCCGGCGCCAGTAGCCCAGGCTGTGGGGACCCTGGCAGCAGCCCTGCCGTCACCGGCGGCCCTGGCTCGACACGACCGCGCATCGCCCGTCCAGCATCCCCACCACCGCGCTCGCTGCCTGGTAGCGACTGCAGCAATCGCCGACTCGCCCGCCGCTCCTTCGCCCGCCCGCCCTGCGCGACCGCACGTCTCGCCCATCGCATCCCCACGTCAGCGCGCGGAAGGCTGCCTGCCTCACTGCCCACAGCCCGTCCGCTTGGCGCTCACCCTCGCCCTCGAGCGCAGTCTCCGCCGACTGCAGCACACGGCGCCCGCCCATGCGGCGCCTGTCCACGCCCCAGGCCTGCGCTGCTTCATGCTAGAGAAGGCGACATGGCGGCTTTTGTCCGGGTGTCGGGCCCGCCCAATTCCAACTTCCTGGTCGGCTACCCAGGCATATCAGCCACCCTGCCGCGCATAGAGGGCCGCGTCGAGATCCGCCCGCTGGTGGGTGTCTCTGCGCCCGTCAACGTCTCGCTCGTCACCATTGCCCTGCACCGCCGCGAGACCATCCACCCGTCCGCCGACAGCGTCACCAAGAAGCACCTCGCCGCCCCGCGCAAGGACATCACCGACCTGGTCGGCAAGGAGATGCTGCTGTTCCGCTGCTCTTCCGGCCGCGAGCACGAGAGCATCCTGTCCATGGACCTGCCCTTCGTCATCTTCATACCCTACGGCCGCGGCGGCGAGGAGGTGGCGCGCCGCGTCCCGCCTGCCAGCCTGCAGCTGCCCTCGCGCACCGCAGAGACCTTCTACGAACTCGTCGTCACTGTCCAGCAGGGCCACCAGGAGCAGAAGAAGTACGCCTTCCCCGTCCCCATCCAGCGCTACGACACACTGTCCACCTTTGGCATGTACAATCGCCCCGAGAGCGCCGAGCGCGTCACAGACCATCTCGTCACGCTTGGCATAAGTCTCCCGCGGTGGAGCTACGGGCCGCTCGACCCAGTCTCGGTCTACATTAAGCTTTCGCCGAACCCAGACTGGCTATCAAAAGCAAAAAAGGTCACGATAAAACAAATCACAGTGGGCATAGACGAAGAGATCATATTCAACCACGAGGGCGACGAGCCAACACGAAAAGTCAAGACGTTGGCCAAGACTGCACAAGCAGTCGGCGTCAAGATGCCGGAGGCAGGCTACTTTACGAATCTGGGGCTGGTGTTTCCTGCGAAGGATTTGAGGGACAACGACGGCATAATACCAAGAGGCAGGAAGGAGTTTCCCATGTACGCGGTCAATGGCTTCACAACGACGGGGACGCTCTATAAGATTGAGTACTACCTCACAGTCAAGGCAAGTCTTGCTCTATGCGACGCAATGGTTCCGCTAACATGTGTCAGGCCCAGATGAGCTCCGCGCGAGACATTCTACTACGGCAACCCATCGTGGTGTGTCCTTTCGACCACGCCGGATGCAAAGAGGAGATGGAAGCCATTGAACAGGCAGCGAAAGACGCTGCACACGTGGCGCCAGATAACCCAATGTTACCAGCGAGTCACATTGTCAGGGCGAATGATCCCAACGGGCTGGCCGCGCTAGGAATTGCGATTGTTGGTGGTGTACGGAAGCCCCTGATCGAATGAGCGGCCCTTACAGACTTGTTGTTTGCACCAACAAGGACACCTTGACCACCTGTACCACAGGCAGGTTGTCCAATTAGGACCATCGACAACGTCGATACGGTCGCCAGCAGGCCCGAGCAGCGCAGAGCTTTATTCACGAGCAACAAAGGCACCTCAGGCACGAACCTTGAGATGAGCACACGACGATTACCGCACTCGAAAGCAGGGTAGCGAAGACCCTCCAAGGACCAAAGCCTCGAGGCCAGACCTTTGGGTTCGATGATTCCCACGTTATTCGGAGGCCCACATGCATCAGGCGTTAAGGAGCTGGGTGAACATCGTCCTAATTCCTCGCTCCGTGTTCGCACACGATATGATACCTCTGCATCGCCCTTTCACTTTGTAGCATACATGGTCCCTAGACACTACTGGCACGGCTTGGTCCATGAGATGGCCGGATCAGAAGACGCGAGATTCCAGGGGGGGAGAGTGGGAGGCAGAACGCGTCCACAGGGACCAGGGCAAGACGCCCGAATGTAAAGCAATCCAAAATAATACTGTGCGCGTCCCTTTTGGTACTCTGCGTTCGGTGACTTGCACGTTGTGGCCCTGACTGGTCTGCGTGTCGATTGACTCGATGGCATGTGCGTTGGGCTATGGGGTCTGAGATCAGTAGTTCTGCTGCCGCACTTTCCCCGCCCAGAGTCGGATCTCTAGCTATCACACCACCGCATGAGAAGGATTTGTAATATGCAGAACGCAGACGGCGCGCTGGAGACGTGGTTGCCCCGAACAAACGGGAGCGTAGACCGTGTAGATCTGTCATGTCGAGGAGAATCGCAGCCGGTGAAGGAACACTGCTACCTCAGGCAGGAACGAGTGTGCTTTCGATCTTCGAGCACACGTTCGCACGTCTTGCATCCGATGGTACTCGAACCACACGTATCGAGGGGTCCAGCATGACGCACCGAGAGAGGCAGAGTTACTGCATCGGGCAAGGGAAGAAAGAGGTGTTGATCACGGTCGGGAATAGCGGCTGGAGAAGCATTTGAGAATAGAGAGCAGCCAACTCGTCAACGGCAAGATTCCCCCAACCTTGTGTAGCATTTATCCGGGTTCCGTGGTCCAGTCCAGACTTTGAGTACACGGCATACGCAAACTGCTCTATTTCCATGCAGGGTCCGTATCGGGTCCCGGACTTCCATCACTCGAGCGTATGTAGTTTGGTAGACTTACGACTACGCCCGAATCCCTGCATTATCTTGAACTGCGAGGGACGATACAGCCTTCCGCGGCTTTGGGCAGAAGTCGGTAAGATATTGTGATAGACTAATGTGGCAGTCTTGTTGTTGTGCCGATTAGAAAACAGAAACCATCGATCGTCGAGATCCAGTTGACCCTGATATCTCATAGCTAGCTCAGATTCATCGTTGAGGCACATTCCTAGCTAAACTATCGCACTCCAAGCTCTTTCGAAGATACAACGCATCAGTCCAATCTGCTGTGATCTTTCCGATATGTCACGTTGATTGATGTATATTATATCGATTCATACGGTCCTCTCTTGCGTAGCGTGCTGCGAATAGAGTAGAGCATCACATAAGCTCACCGTCACCTTGACGGACATTCCGGAAAAATGGATGGAAACGTCGCGTATGTCCGATCCCCAAACGTAAGACAGTACTTCATAGTGAGGGCTATCAGCACTCGTCTGGCTATCCAGATAAGCAACGCAGAGTTCGCAGCGAAAAAGCGCGGCATGTTGTGGGGCTCGTTCGACAAGGAGCAGTCTGATCTCTCATTTTTCGTCCAATATATGGTGTAGTTATCGGACGTAGTATCTTCATTACGACCATACCGAGACACGTCGCGTGCTTTCTTGAGGTACAGGCTGGAGTCGTGGCCGTGTGTGAGTGTGCGAAACCTGACTGGTATACATACTGGTCCTGGATTGCCCCACCGAGAATTGACTGTTATCTCGTGGAGTCTGATGGGTAGTCACACTCTTAGCAAGCCAATGACTTCTTGCACAAGCTTTGTATCTAGATCGTACCAATGAGGGACCGACCGGGAAGCTATTGTCTTACGCCTCAGTATCACGCCGAGAAAGAGTCCTTCACTTGGAGATCCGATAAGCAAATATCTCCCCTTCATCTGATTACTGGCAAGATCTGGCGATAAGACATTGCTGGTATTAAAAATTGTGAAGCGGTGGCTGTGTAAGTCAGCAGACTATCCTACACACCTCTCCATATGGCAATATTAAACCCATCACCTTGTGGCATCAGGTCTCAGCAAAATGTGCAGAAATACTATGATGACAGGGCGTTCGAGCCGAGGAGACTCGTGCCTTTCGACGGTACTGGGTATAAGATTGTGAGCTTGGTCAAGCATAGTGGGAACAGTCTCTGAAGTTGAAGTGTTGTTATTAAACGTTCTATAAAAGTCTGTTGTAGTAAGATACCCTCTGATGAAGTAGGCATGATATGCGCGACGTCTAGCGCCTTGATGAACATGTTGAAACGCCCGCTTACTCCCAACGCCCGTGGAATCAATGCACCCAACTCTTCTATGCACATCTCCTCTACTCGTCCTTGGCCCAGATCTGCTCTCGCAGGGGCATTGGTTCTCCTGATTTCTCTCGCTCGCCACTGCATTCTCGCTTCCACGCGAAGTACTCGCCAAGCCTGATCTCTGCATAGCCTGCATAGTCGAAGTCGATAAGCGAGATTTGTGCCTGAATCAGCGCCCATATGCCCCAGTAGAAGCCGGGTACACCCCGAAATCTGTCGACTTGATTGAACAGCTCCTCTACGTCCGACTCGCTGTGTGTTCTATTGAGATGTATGCTGGTGCTGCGGAGGTACTCGCGGAGGAAAGAGCGACGCACGCGACGCGTGGGCAGGACGTTGTAGTCGCAGTCGAAACCGCCCCACTCTGCAAAGTGGTTCGCAATATCGAATGCGGCGGGCGCTGGTGTAGAGTACTCGTAATCGATGAAAGATACAGATGCCGCTGCCGTCTCTGGCTCCTCAGACCCGTTGGACGAACTAGAACGACGTGAGTTCGAAGCGGACGACGGTGAAAGCTCGATGATCACGTTTCCACAAAGGAGATCGCAATGAGCAAAGATAAACGGGTTCGAACCGCCAACGCCAGGCGTGTCACCCAGTAGTCTTGTCAGGGAAGCGAGTTCGGTAGCAAGGTGCTCTCGGCGTGTCGTTTGCGCGGTGGTGCTTGTTGGGAGCGCATCGATCCATTTTTGCATAGTTGTCCACACATTCGGGACTGGCTTTCCGGGCGTGAGCTGGGACATAGCCACCAAAGAAGCACGCTTGTTGTTGGCCTCAAGTTGAGATGGAGCAGGACATGTGCTGCTGATACTCGATATTGGTAACGTGGCATGCCATTCTCCCAATCTTTGAGCTACTCCGCGCCATACATCTGGTCGTCGCAGGTCAGCAGGTGAGCACACGCTGCCTGGAACGAATTTGTAAAGGAGACCGTTCTCAAACCGGGCGTAGAGGAAGGGTGCGAGGCCATGGCGAGCAAGGAGGCAGTGTGACCGTGTCTCTTCTATACGACTGTCAGTGTCTACTATGAGCTAGTATTGGAGTAGAAGACGTACTCTCCCGGTCAATGAGCACATCGGTGCCCTTGCCATATGCGCGCAGCAGAATTGCATCCTCATCTACCTCTGCTGTCGACAGGCCTGGCAGCTTGTTCACTGCCTTCAACAGCGTGTTTGTGATGCCATCTGTAAAGCGCACAAACTCGATTGTGTCCTTGGTCACTCGCCAGTCCGGCCGCAGTGTCAGTATAAGGTGAAGGGCCGAGTCTTCCGAGTTTGAATTGTCGTAGTGCTCAGAGATGTGCGGTAGTGAGTCGTACGGAGATTGTGACTTATTCATTGTGCTGTCCCAGGCCGTCAGTGTGTATTTTCTAATGTGGCGGTGTAATTTGAGAGGCGCAGAATCGTGGGAAATTGACGTCTTGTGGCATGTGACATCCGAAGTGCAGGTACATCGCGGTGAGAGATACGAGGTTCCAATTGGGGTACTCACAGGACGAGTTTACGAGCGCAGGGTATCTCGAATCAGGCACAAAGCATCGAGGAGGAAGACAAGAGTGTAGCGTAAAGCAGGAATGAACATCACCGCCCTGTCGCGTGGGCGCGGCCCTTCGCGCCTTCCCCTTATGCTAAGAGCAAGCCCCGCACACGAGCCACACTTCTGCGCACAGACGGACCCTGATCCACTCACTCTGTACGCACGACTGCCACACAGCGTTTCCCCTCTCTTCTGGCGTTCTCCTCCCCACGGTCCTGTTTCTTTGTGCATACTTTTTGTGCGACATGATATCCATATCCTTATTTGCTCGACCGGCAAGGCCGGCTCTGCCACTGCTGTGGCTTGTCATGCGCAAGCACACGACATGCAAAGCGTCGTCACCGCTCTCCCAAGCTTCGATTCATGCACGCCTCTTCTGCCGATTGGCTCGCCAGCCGCCTTTGACGGCAAAGCAGCACGTGATGTTGAACAGCAAGGTACGCAATGACAGCGTGGCTTTTCTGGTGCAAGAAGTTCAGTCACCGCAAACACCACATTGTTGCTGCACAAGCACAATCACTAGGGTGGTTGTCCAGCCTGGAGTTGCACCTAAAGCGTGAACGGTTGAGGAGCCATTGATTCAGTCATCCACACATATACTACATTACGCAAAGACAGGTACGCTCAGAAGGCCTTCAGAAGAAGTCTAGAAAGAGAAGAATAAGTGGTATAGAGCTCAGAAACGCTGGAATAGGAATGAAGACCCAGCCTGGGATGCAGCTTATCACGCGCGATGCGCCCAGTCAGCAAGCTGGTTTGCAGAGTCCACCGAACCCTGATTCTTCTCGTGGTGACTGGTGATGGCCATGCCGGCGCTATTGTGGTGCAGCGAGTGCATTGACATGCCCTCGTCGACATCGTCGTCAGGCACCTTCAGCTCGCGAGTGAGCTCAACGTAATCGTAGGCAAATTCGCCGATCTCGACATCGTCGATACCGAGAGCCTCTTCTTCCTCGGTAGCGCGCAGGCGGAAAGCAGGCAAGAACTTGCCGATGAAGTCGAGTGTAGCGAGGATCAGGCATGTGCCAACGAAGGAGTATGCGCCTCCAGCGAGAGAGTCGGCAAGCTGGTAGCCGAGCTGTATCCAGTTGTGGTTCAACCAGCCGCCGGAGATGACCGTGTAGCCGTCGAGATGGGCAATGTAGTCACTAGACGTTGTTAGTTGGACGTTATCTGGTAAATTGATGGATCACTCACGCAGCAAAGAATGCAGTAAGGATGTTGCCAATGAAGCCACCGACACCGTGAACGGCGAAGATGTCAAGAGCGTCATCACAGCGAAGAAAGTACTTCAGCTTGGTCGCGTAGTTACAAGCAACGCCACCGACAGCACCAAAGATGACGGCAGCCCAGGCAGGCACGTATCCGGATCCAGGGGTGATAGCGACCAGACCGGCAATAACGCCAGAACAGAATCCGACTGTTGACCACTTGCGCTCCAGACGGTAGTCGACGAGGCACCACGTAATGCCACCAACACAGGCTGCAAGGTTTGTGCATACAGCCGCCATGATAGCGCGCAAGTTCGCAGCAAGCGCCGAACCGGCGTTGAAACCGAACCATCCAACCCACAGGAAGACAGTGCCGATGACAATATGGGTAACGTTGTGGGGTCGGTAGTTCAGCTCCTGGGTACCGTGACCGCTGCGCTTGCCCAGCATGTACGAGTAAGCCAGAGCGGCAGTTCCAGAGGCAATATGTACAGGTGTGCCACCGGCAAAATCGAGGCCACCAAGTTGGAAAACCCATCCAGATGAGTTCCAGGTCCAGCAGGCGATGGGATCGTAGATGAGTGTGGACCAGATGAACATGTAGATGACGCAGGGCAGCATGCGGCCGCGCTCTGCGACAGCTCCAACGGCAAGGGCAACGGTGATGGCAGCGAACATGCCCTGGTATAAACAGAACATCAAGTCTGGGATCCTCGAACTTCCAACTGATGGAGCGCCGAGTACATTCTTGAGTCCGAAGTTATCAAGGTTACCGATGTACTTTCCAGCGGTGTGCGAGAAAGCCAACGAGTAACCCCAGAAGAACCACTGGAAGCTGATGACAGCCGTGGCCATGACACTCAGCCATAGCAGCGACAACGCAGACTTTCTCCTCGCAAGTCCAGAGTAGAAGAAACTACATTCTCATTAGCCTGACCATCTTCGAATTCGTGATCGTGATACATACCCAACTCCCGGAATCATGAGCAGCACGAGCGCGGTACTCGTAATCATCCAAGCGATATCGCCCGCCTATCCGGATTAGCCCCGCGGATTGGCCCAACATCTCCGTGACCAACTCACATCATAGAAAACATTGAGGTTGTACAACTTGCTGTCGCCTCCCGTCGCAATAGTAGCATTGTTAAACGCTTCAAGCGGCGTGGTCGGGTCCGCGCCAGAAGTAACAGGGTCCATGGCTGCCGATGGTCAAGGATCGTGACTCTCTGAGGCTCAACGGGGAGTCCGCTCCTGGGTTAAATGACAAGGTGTCGAAATAGCGTGTGGGTGGAAAGTGGTATGGGGTATATACAATATGCACAGATTAGGAGCGTCGAAAGGAAGAAACGAAGTGGGTAGACTGGAGCGTGTCCGTCGGCGATCTCCAGTTGCTGGGATCTCGGAGTGGAAAGTCGCTTGGCGGCCGTACAGATAAAAGCAAACAGCACGCTTCGAATCCGAAGATCGCACAAGGCTTTGTGAGGCGTCGCTCAGCCTGCGTCAGTCAAAGAACAGGGAAAGGGTCGATGGGTATGTGTGCATATGTGTGCGTGAATTGCTAACGACAAAGCGCACCCAGTACGTTGGAGGGGCGTGACAACTATAAACGTTTATAGCGCAGAGGCCTTCCTATCATTCGACTCTAGGCTCGGGCTTTCGTCCAAGCATCAACCCCAGAAGGATCCCAGGAAGCCACTCGCTGGGGTGTCAGATACGTGAAGGAGAAGTGAGCCAATGTGCGTTAGCGACGGGGGACTGATATCACGCAGGGCTTTGCGCTAGACCGCGTGCGTGGGATGCAGCTGCGCAGATTCGGAATATTGCTGTGGACTGATACCGGTCGAACACGTTCCAGCATGAAGGTTCCAAGATTGCGGGATTCAGGGCTGCATTGCGCACGCGCAGATGCAGACGCGATATGGCGGGCGTCAACAGCCAATGAGACACGAGATTCCTTATCTTTGCACAAAGACGCTAAGTTGTGAGGACGGAACATCGGCCTCTGGGCGCGCCTCATTTGGACAACGATCGAAACAGTCTCTGTGTGTGTTTAGAAGAAGTATTTGAGCCCAGGACACCCTTCCCTAATATAAGCAAAGATCAGGAGTTGTGCAGAGGCTTGGACATACAAACACCATGGTAAGTACCGAGAAGATGCACAGGAAGATGGCCGATGAAGCCTTATCAGTAGGTACCCTCGAGATGTTTCAAAGTCAACATCCCGATCCAACTGCCAACTCCAAGTCATCCCGCGGACGGACCGCAGCTCCAACGGGCGAGCTTACAGACCCTACCCGTTTCGTTCTCCTATGCCTTTGTCTGGGATGATGCTCCTGCTGCAGGACCTGCAGGAGTCGAGCACGGTGGCGATGGCTATTAGAAACATTAAAGCATGTTTACTTCTTTGGATTGACTCCAACATTGTCGAATCTCGCGTGCTGATGGCCCCAACAGCGGCTTCAGGGGCCTGTCGTGATGTAAGATACCTTGCCGTGTCTACATCTTCTGGCGACCATACAGACACTTTGCCATTCGTGCACTTCGGTTTCGATTTTTCGATTCTGGGTGTTTGGAGTATCTATTGTGCCGTGATATGTCCGTGGTATGAAGCATCTGGGCCCGTCCGGAGCTGCTGCTAACAGAGCCATGAACGTGCATGGAAAATTCCGCCACACCGACTCTGATGAGAGTAGCTTATTTACTACATACCTCTCAGCCAGATTTCCATTAGGTCAGTAGAGTATGTAAGAACCTTACTCGCATGCATGAGAATCTGTAAATTGGTATTGATATAGGTGGGTACTCTGGGCCTATGCTCCCGTACGCCAACCAAGTTCTCTGCAATCATTAGACTTGAAACGAAGCTACAAGCTCGCATTATGAAAATTCTGACAACATAATCACGGCGGCACTGTAACGTTCACCGTTCGCCTAATGCGATTGATGTCAGGCTTTTCCCGCGGAGCAGCATCATGCTACTTTGCTCGTATACCACGGAGGACTCTGTCACCTTGTGCGTGATGCACTCGCTCACTTCTAGGTGAATGTGCAAAAGCGCACACATACCCTTCTCGACGTATTCCGTACGTGGTCCTTGAAAGGCAATTATACTTGCTAGGATGCCAAGGCATCTCCTCTTAATGACAGGACGAACAACCTTTGTGTTAGCAGTGTAGTCACGTCGAGCGCGAATGATTCGCGAAGGTTTCGATTTGTATGATCAGGGATGCATGGGTGTGCCTGATCCCGCGGGTGTGTTGCCGCCTGGAGTGGCAGTGTCGGTTCCTGCCTTTCTCTTCTTTTTCTTCTTCTTCGGTATGAGAGCAGGAGGATTGGTCAGAGCAGCGCGCAATGACAGGTAAGACCCACAAGTGAGACACAGGTTGTCTGGCAGATTAGGTTCGCAAAAGACTGGGGCCGGTCAGTGATCGGTCAACACGAGAGTGCAAAAGCACTTACTACTCAGGCATACGCTGCAAACATAGCCAATATCTACTACCTTTCTGTGACAGAAACAGGCTGCACGGAAGTCGACACCTCCTGCACTTGGTATAACCAGGCTCGCACGCGCTGTGGCGTCTGGTAAAAAAGCCATCATTAGGTACAGCAACAATCCTTCAGGGCGCTCTGGCTTCATGTATACACCGCCGGTCGCGTCACTCGCTTGCTGCAACAGCACAGTATCGCCAGCCAGCTTGAGGATGTCGATGGGAATCTTTTTCCTTTGTGCGGCGAAGATCGAGTTCATGACCGGGATGTATTGATTGGCCAGATCTCCAGAGACCGAAACGATTAGGATGCGTGATGTGAGCGCGACACGATCAACGTGAGCATTCTCGGCGTCAGCAAGCGCTGCCATGGAGTTTTCAGTGCCAGAGGCGACAGGCGCATGTTGTATAGTCGACTTTGAGATGTACGTCAAAGCGAGTGATAAGGCGCCGCCAATCAATGTTGTTGGTGTTGCTGCAAGATGACTTTCGTTTGTCTCATTCAAGAGCTTCGCAAAGTTCTGCAGAATAGTACTTTCCACGACGGCAAAGGGCCGGTACTTGTTGGGGCTCTCTTGATGTGACCTTCCCGCCCCGCTGCCGTTCATCTCGATATCACCGTTTGAATCGCCATTGTGCATGGGTTGTGAGGGCTTCTTGGTAGGATACAGGTAGCTTGTCTTATGCGAGTGCGAGGCTATGACTGCGACTTCGTTTGCGTTTCCGGATGCCAGGTGCGCATTGATGAAGATGAGGATGTTGGCCAGGGCGGCAGAGAGAGAGAGCGTTGACGAGAGATGTGCCCAGGCGTGAGGATTTGTATCAATCACGATGGTAAGCAGAGACGGCGGTGGTGCTAAGTAGAGTCAGTCATCAGCTTGAAAAGTATATCAGTGCAACTTGACCTTCTTCCGTCTTCAGATGACGATCTGAACCATCAATATTGTTCATGGTGGCGCGCTGTTGTTGGCCTGCTCTAATCCTTCAGTACTGAACAGCTACAGAATACCCCACAGTATGACGATTGGTAACAACTTGCGCAGGTGAGAGAAGCGTTGACGTTGGAAGCTGAGTTGTTGCTGATGCCTGTCTCGGTCAATGGTGATGTCGCGCCTGCAATTTTTGGCCGTGCGCTGCGGCGTCATGTCGCGCCTGCACGTTATCTCGCGTCAAAAGCATCTGGGCGTTCAGCCTCATCGGCAGTTGGCAGCCGAATTGGAACGTAGCCTCATATAACAGTCTTCCCCTCGAAGAGAGCACAGACAAAGCACAATCATCGCTACTCCTTCCATACTGCGCAACTAAATGCCGCCTGAACGGCCCATAACAGTAGGGCAACAGCTGAACTTTCATGCGCCGACAGCAAACGAACGTTTCTGACTGCCCAAGCGTGTTCTGATTGGTCACTAAGATACCTTCCAAATGAGATTCGACGATGCTTGACAATGTTCTGTACTTCCGGATGGCTGCGCTGTCTACCTACGGTTTCGCATGGATGGCCCAAGATGTACCAGGATCCTTCAATATCTCGCAGCGGAAGAGCATAAGAGGCACATGTCAAACGCCGATAAGATTCTCGGGCCAAGACATCCGAGTTCCAGAATGCCCGTTCGAGTCGACCGAGTCGGGGAACCGAGGCATGTGCCTCACTTCTCCGCACGCATCATTCGTACTCCGTGATCTGAGCAGCTACAGACATAAGCAGTCTGACGCTTCATAGACGCCTGATCTTTGTAGAGGGAAGCAGTCAGACGTACCTCGCAGCATACATCCTTTCACGCGGTAGTTGGAACACACGACCTGGGCTCTCAACCCAAAGATCAAGACCTCCAAATTATTTGTTCATACGAAAATTGTCGTCCCTGACGTAACACCAATATGATCTCAGAAACCATTCGCCGGGTGAATGGCTACGAGCACGATGCGTACACCTACTATCCTGTCGTCATAGTCGGCGCTGGGGCTTCTGGTATCGCCATGGCTTGTCAGCTGAAGCAGCAGCTTGGATTTGACCAATTCCGCATATTCGAAAGACAAGCTGGTATCGGAGGGACGTGGTGGATCAACAGATACCCTGGTGTTGCTTGGTAGGCGCCAACTCTTTGCATGCATGAGTCAGCACAATCAGCAAGCGCACTCAAACTTTGAGACAGCATTGCTTAGTGTCTTGAACATAATTGTATCACGAAGATTGAACATAGCTAACTTTGGGTAGCGATGTCCCTGCAGTCTTCTACTCCTTTTCGTTCGCACAAAACCCCGAATGGAGCTCGTTCCACCCTCCTGGCCGCGAGATCGTCAAGTACTACCACGAAGTATGTCAGAACTACCGGATAACGGATAAGATCGAATGCAACACAGATGTCGAGGGGTGCAGATGGCTAGACAACGAACAGCTGTGGGAAGTTACAATACGTCGCATGGCAGCGGGCATGGGAGACTTGTCGTCAAAGGACCGCGCGAAGGTTGTCGAAGAGAAGGGAGAGCACGCAGTGTACTCCGAGACTGAGATCGTCAAGGCGAAGGTTGTCATCAGTTGTGTGGGCGGCTTGGTCGAACCCCGAGGCTGGCCTGATGAGATTCCTGGTCTCGAGAAATTCAAGGGCAAGGTCTTCCACTCTGCTCGGTGGGACGAGACGGTCGACTTTCAGGACAAGAATGTGGTCGTCGTTGGTACGGGATGCAGCTCTGCGCAGATCGTCCCACGACTGCCCAATGCTCCGTACAACGCAAGGTCGGTCACTCAGCTTATGCGATCTCCACCATGGGTCGTACCTGCAGTGAGCACTCCAGGAGGTGACGAGTGGTGGGAGAAGAATAGCCCAAAGATCATGAAAGCCATTCCTGGGCTGAAGGAGCTCCTTCGGTTCGCGGTCTTCATCGGTGCTGAAGGAGAATTTCTGAAGCTGTTCCCCAACACTCCATATGCAGAGAAGCACCGCAAGCTCTACGAAGAGAGGATCTTGGCGTGGGTAAAGAAGACAGCACCTGAGAAGTACCTGGAGATCCTAACGCCGGACTATGGAGTCGGCTGCAAGAGAAGGATCTTCGACAAGCGCTGGCTCAAGAGCTTGAACGACCCAAAGATCGAACTTACCACCATGCCACTTACGAGACTGACAGAAAGCGGTGTTGTTCTCGGGCCAGGGGCTACATATCCACAGAACGCAAAAGAGGAGGACTACCCTGAACGAGAGGTCCCTGCAGATATCATCGTCCTGGCAAACGGGTTCGACACCACACGTTGGCTTCATCCTTTGAAGGTGATGGGCAAGGAAGGCAAGGATTTGGTTGAGCTCATGGAAGAGCGAGGAGGAGCTCAGGCGTACCAGGGCACTGCTATGGACGGCTTCCCCAACATGTTCCTGATTTTTGGACCCAACACCGCGACAGGCCATTCATCAGTCGTCATGGCTAGCGAAAACATGGTCAACTATAGTTTGAAATTCATCAAGCTCGTACTCAACGGCGAAGCGAGTACTGTGGATGTCAAGAAGGAAGCTGAGATTGCGTACACCAATGAGATGCAGGAGGCTCTCAAGAACACTGTCTGGCGAAGTGGATGCTCGTCTTGGTACTACACCAAAGACGGGTGGAATTCGACTGTCTACCCGTACACTCAGGTCGACTTCTGGCGTCGATGTGCGTTTCCCAAGTACAACGACTGGAACATCGCATACACAAGAAAGGGCATATGGAAGAGCAGAAGGACAAGAGCACTGCGGATGCTGAGTGTCACTCTGGCCATCATTGGTGTCTACCGTTGGCGTAAGAGTGGGCTGGGTCTGAGGAATTTGAGAGAAATGCTACAGGGGGTTCTCCAGGCCGTGCTGGCTACAGCGGTGCAGGCTTGTACAGTACTGAAGAGCCAGGCACACCTTTGAATAGATGTATCATGTAGCGAGGGAGTGATGTAGCATGTTTTCCTTATGAAAGATCTCCTGAACTACCGATCTCCTGAACTACCAAACTCTGATATTGAATCGAGGTAGATGGCCCTCGGCGACACGTGTTTCGAGAAGACACATCTTTGCGTGATGCCGAAACGACCAGATCGGCGTGCTCGGACATCATTCGCGGGGATTGGCGCGGACCGCATTAGCTGGCACCTCCGCATGGGAGGCGAAGGCCTTCATTCACGAGGCCAGGTTTCCCCACCTCGCCGCATTACAGCAGCACGCATCTGCAGGACCCTGAATTTGGCACCAGACTGCACGCACCGAGACATCGCATCCAGCATCACCGCGACGTCTGCCCTCGCCCATTGCCCGCCGTGCCAAAAGCCACGATTGCCAGGCTGTGGTGGATCACTGGACCCACCCGGAAGCGATAGCCGTGCGCCTCAAGGACGTCATTCGAAAAGGGAATTACCTAGCAGCAGCGCAGCACGACCACAATTATGCCTGAAGCCACACGCCGACTGCTCTACCAACTGAACCGCCGCTGGCTCTTTGGGAAAGTGGTGAGTAAAGACCTGGCTCTTATCGTTGCAATGCTTAGCTGCCGTCACGCGCACGGCTTTGTGCAATCTTGCCCTTATCGATCGCCATCGTCGCCGACTGCTAACATATGTTTCTGCAGCCGCTCCTGCACACGACCGTCTTCCTCCTCCAGATCATGGCCGTCTCGCTCATTGCCCGAAAATACAATGGCTACTATGCCAAGCGTCCGGTCCTTACCACCATGATCACCAACGCGGTATGTCTCCTCGTCGCACGAACGCTGGTCACGCCTGGCAGTGCGCACGCTTCGTTGCACGTCCCACAGGCGACATTGGAAATTGACTGATAATATGGCAGATTCTTGGTGGAATCGCAGATACAGTGGCTCAGACCCTCACCGCCGTGCGTGAGCGCGCAAACCGCAAAGGTGGCGCCGGCAAAGACGACTTCCTTGCCATCGAGATCCACGAGCTCGACCGCCGCAACCCGTGGCCGGACCACGACATCATCCCCGACTCGAAGAAGCTGCCGCCTCCCTTCGACTTCGAGCGCACAATCCGCTTCATGTCCTACGGTTTCCTCATGTCGCCCATTCAGCACCGCTGGTTCGGTTTCCTCTCCAGTACCTTCCCCATTACAAAGATCGGCAGCCCCTGGATACCGGCCCTCAAGCGTGTTGCTTTCGATCAGTTCTTGTTTGCGCCCGCTGGTCTTGCGGCCTTCTTCACATACATGACCATTGCCGAGGGCGGTGGGAAGCGCGCCGTCCAGCGCAAGTTCCAGGACGTCTACATCCCGGCGCTGAAGGCCAACTTTTTGATTTGGCCGACTGTGCAAATCATCAACTTCAGGGTCATGCCTATCCAGTTCCAGATTGTACGTTACTCTTCTCTTCTGCACGGCCTTCTACTAATCATTAATCCAGCCTTTTGTCTCCACTGTCGGTATTGCCTGGACCGCTTACCTCTCCCTGACCAACTCCGCCGAGGAGGCGTAAACGTCTCCTGATCCGAACGACTTCCCTTGTATATGTACCCTTGGTTCGCATATGGTCGGGTCATCGTCATCGTCGCGGCATCGTCGGATGCCTCTGAACTTCTGCTCTGAGCGCTTCTGCATAGAACTGGGTTGTAAAATAATCTGGCGTTTTGGCATCTCTGAGTCATTTTACCTGTCTGCTCTTCGGAGTGCTTACGCGCGCCTCCTAGGTCTTTCCTTCTAGATCGCAATCACAATCATCCTTTCTCGAGACATCAACGCGGCAATAAGGACATGCCGACTCATCACACAAGCACACGAACTGCTGATGAAGACAAGCAGTACATCTGTATAGACGCTAGCTTCGACATATGTACAGCTTTCTTGCGAGCAGAGTCTGTGCGAAAGGGTTTGGCCTCCCACTTGCGTCAAGCGATATCAACTGGAATTCGGCAATGACAAACGACCAAGAGCAAGCTCTAAAAACATTCGTAACGATGTCCTTTCCGATTCCACTCTGCCAATTCTTTCAGACCTATGCCTCGAAGTCCACAACAGTGTCATAAATGCGCCTCATGTACCCTTCAGAGAAGGATGTCAAAAGCTTCGACAGTTGGAGAATCTGTGGTTGATGGTTGTCATGAGAGTTGGGGCGCATTGGCCCAGGAAGGGGAACACAGTTGTGACGGGGGGTGAACGGACGTGAAGAAGGCGGTGTGAGGCCGGGTGGTAGGATTCTGGTAGTCCGCGGCCCATCATGGCCTGGTCATATCGCTTGACTTCGTCGTTTGTCCTTCGTGGCCGTTGCCTTGCTATGCACCGGTTTTCTTCACTTGCTTCTTACTTCTCCACTAACACCAATCGATCAAGACATATCAACCAACGCTCGCATCCACCAACCAAGACAAAGTTGAAGCCGAAGCGCTGATAGAGAAGGTTGCGAGTCGCACGTCCATGTTTGAAGCAGTGATTAACAAAGTCAGATCAAAGTGGAACAGGCACAGTCGGCGGAGTATATAGGCATATATTCACTCGGCAATGCTAAAGGCGGCCATTTCCATTTCCATGCCTACAAAGACGTCGTCAAGTTCATCACTGACGTTAAAAATTACAGTAAGGACGGCGAAGCCATCGAGCTCTTCCAACGCACAGAGAGCTTGGAAGGCCACCTTGATGCTTTGCGAGAGACGTGCGAGCGGGTGAAGAGCAACTAGAAGGGGTCGAAACAAGATTGATAGAATGTTGTCAAACACTGTCTGAGCTTTGGGCACAGAGGTGGGAGGACGTCCATAGCAGGTGCAAGAATCGTTGCTGTCTCGCTTGCTATTTGGTGCGGCGTGCGACACTGTCTTTGAGTTCGTTGTCACTGGCAATTGTTGTTGTTCAAGATAAAGACGGTAAACATCATTTTCCTCTTGTTCCCTCATTTCCACCAACACAGTCATGGCATCAATCGATGAGTACGACTGCGAAGCTGCAATTCTAGAAGAGCATATAGTAAGTGGCGTTCTGGAGCTGAGACGCACAAATAAGTGACAAGTTTAGATCAAGATACGAACGGAGGAGACGAAAAAAATCGTATACCTGTGGGGTAGCAGCCATTTCAAGATTAACACTTTTAGAGAAGACGGCGTCGGCAAATTTGAAGTCGAGCTTGTTTATTATGTTGCTAATGGCAATGAGCTTGCATGATTCGATGGAGCAGAAAGTACAGACAGTCATCTTGATGCCACGCGAAGGTTATTAGATCGTGTCAGCCGTAGCACGGAAGAAGAGCATCGAAGTTACCAAGACAGTGTGGGGGCCAGAGCTCTGATAAAGCAGATAGTAAGTTACCTCCATAGCCTCGTACAGTTCTGACAAGCAAGCTAGGTCTCAAGACAACAATAAAAGGAAGAAGCATACTTTCACTACAGCTTGTGGGACGACGGCAAGTATGAGGTGAAGCTTTCGAAGGAGGACGAAAATTTCGTCTCTGAGCTCGATTACTGCAACCGCAAGGGCAAAACGGTAGTTTGGATCAATCGGGAAGAAGTAGAGCGAGTCACCTTTCTACGTTGGAGCAGTTATTCGCATCAGAAAACGAACTCTTCAATCGCAGGGTTTGGAAAAGGCCACGTGCTGAAGGCCCGTCTCTTTGTGCACCAAGCTAGTTATGGCGTACTCTGAGCTAGATTGCACACATGTGTGGTTTTATATTTGCGAGTTAATGAATTCTCAACGTGACAGGGTCCGTAATTTGTCAGTTCCACTTTTAATTTGCTGTGTCTCAGAGTTTTTACGTTAGTAGCTTGATCCGAGCTGCTTGTTCACAGTTTTGATGCGTAGGAGACCGTATATCCACTTGCGATCTGCTGAGTAGCAGTCCTGGGAACCGCTATCACCTTACTTGCAGTTTGCTTTGGTATTCGATGACAACTATTTGTCTGCCAGGCTTGTTCTCAAAGGAATCACGTACCTTTTAATGCGTATATAATGCCTGCCCGTCTAGTGGTGCAGCATACCTTCATAGCACCGCAACCATGGCGTCTAACTACAAGGACGACATGAGCGTTCAAATTCTTATAGAGGAAATAGTGAGTTCGGTCAATGTACTAGAATATAACTGACACCAAAGCTAGATCAGGATTCAGAAGAATAAGAAAGAAGCGTACTTCGACTACAGCTCCTGAGATAGCGGCAGTACGATGTGGATTTCTACCACACAGGTGGCAGATACGTGACTTGTATCAGCTACTTCGATAAAAAGGGCAAGGCCAGGAAGTATCATCATCACGGCGAAAGTGAAGAAAGCTATACTGATGCTCTGCGAGACTTGATGCGAAAGCAGAGGCAAAATCCCAAGCGGCTGCCCACGGATCTTTGTTGCGCACGAAGTTGAGTTTTGTCAGAATGAGTCCTAGCCAGAGAGCTGGTCAAATTCGTCATAATCAATCGCGGCGTTTGTAACTTCTACTTTCACTTTGCTGTGTTTCGCAGTGACCTTTTGTCCAAGCCCCACTGTGACCATTACTTCATACTCGCCACACCACAACCATGATATACACTACAACAGAGGGTCTTCCACCGTGCCAAGTCGCTATAGCCGAACATTAAAGAGACCTGATCGTAAGTGAATTGAGCACCTCCAAGGCTGCCGAACTAACACTTACGAAGGCAAGGTGCAATACAAGAGAAGGTAGGCGGATGAACAGAGTAAGCACTGGACAGCTCCTTAGTCTCGGAAGTTCTGCTGAAATACGTGGATCGTACTACTGTGCTCCGTGTAGATCGGTGAATGTGGCGGAGGAGATAATGTAAATGCATAAGTCCAGTGAAAGTCGGTTCTCCTTTCTGTGTGGCGCGTTTATTTGATGCCTGCATTTGTGGCAGTTGCTACTTGATTCTTTCCGCGACCACACAACGCATCTTCTCTATACAAAGCCGTCGCATTTCCCTGAAGTCTCAATGACAACTTCTGCAACTTCATTGTCCGCGACAACAATGAGATACAGCCTTATGAATAGACCACCCGACGACAGAGTCGCGAAAGCCGAAGAAGTCAAGATCCGGATTGTACGTACTCTTTGACTTATAGCTCACGTTGACTGACAGCCTCAGATCGAGTACATGCAAAAGCAAGTCGCCGAGCAGATTGGCGCAGGCGTGAACCATCCCTACGCGTCTGGAAAATTCGACATCGCGTACTCAAAGGGAGGACCTACATATATTGCTCAACTCAACTTCTATCCCAAACTGAAGGACTCGGATGGGTTTGCCGATAAGCCCGAGGTCGTCGATAGGGGAAAGAGTGAGATCGATGCCTTAGACTCGATGTGTGCGCTGCTGCACTTTGTGGATCCGACGAGGATAGAGTATAGGAACAAAAAGTGGTGATTGCAATGAATGCGGTGTATCACATGTGAGGCGGAGCGCTTAGCAAGCATGGGAATGAATGAGAGGTCAAAGCACTCAATGGGTGATGAGATATGTTAGAAGTGTTCGACTACAGTCGCTATCAATACGTGAGTCTGTTTGCACTACAATGTTTGGCGCGGAAGAGTCCCTAGTCCCGCCTCGACGGATCGCATGGGTCATGCTGGTCGGGCTTCAAACCCAACCTTTCTGCAGTGCAATCTTTGACGTGAAAGAGCAGAAAAACGCTCAGCCTTGTTCTGCATGAATATGCTCTTGGCGGGGCGGCCGCTTTGGACTGCAATCTCCAGCGCGGAATAGCAGACAGCAGCCCAGCTATGCAGGACCAAATCTGGAAAAACCGAAAAACGGAACGTTGAGGCTTTTCGGCTGAACCAAGTAGCACTGCAATCTCTCGTGCAGAGGAACGAGCCCTGGTAAGACTTGCAATTTCCCACCAATTGGCCAGCCTTTCGTATACCGTAGAACGTCTTGCCTCATCTTGGCAAATCACACTGATACAGGTAACTCTCTACCGAAAGCCGCCAGTATCAAAGAAGGTTTGATAGGCTGCTGTAGCCTTGGATGCCTCTACAGTGCACCATAACCTGTAGCGCCGAAGCACAAATGCAGTCTCAGCCGCCCAACTGTTCATCATCAGTCGCACTGCACGTTGATCAGAGCCAGCCAAATCAAGAGCCCAAGGAGGGTTGACAATCAGCCGCAGATCTTGCGAGTAGCTCGATATAAAACGAGCCTGCGTGTGTTGGTGATTGGTAGTTATATGAGGGCTGCTCTACTGAGCATTGCATGCCGTTACTGAAGGCCAGGGTCGCGTGCGACTCGACAGATGACGATGCGGAGATTCGCATCAGTGTTGAAAAAGGGGCTGTGGTGCACCGTAGCTTTCAGTCGATGATTTTGCAGAGCTTCTCTCCTGAGCGGTGTTTGTGCAGAAGTCTACTCGAGCATCCAATGTAGACTAGGGCTGATGGCGATGTAAGACAACGGGTCAAGGGTCTGGAGTTCGGTGTAAGGCGGCAGTACGCGTACCAGTGTTCAACAGGAGTGCTGAACTTTCCCTTTCGGGCACCAGTAGTCTCGGTGTTGCAGACCAGGGTCTGTGGTGAGCCAAGAGCGGTGTGGTATAGAGAGTATAGCGTGGCGCTAAATCCTACCATATTAGATGGATATGCAAGATTCCTATTTGGGAGATGTTGGAGGCGAGATGAGTTTGCGAAGGACACAGGTGTCTTTGTGCTTGGTAATTGGGGAGTGTTTCATTTTTGCGTTCGTATGGTCCTTTGGAAACGGCTGCTGAGGTGTCAGTTGCTTGTTTGGAGTGCGGACCAGACTATGGTGTATCAGCAGTCAAGAGTTGCACAGGAATCATCCTTTGAGTATCGGATGTTGCCGGTGCTGATCGCATGCTTCACTATCAACGTGGATGAAGGTCCTAGGTAAGTTTCTGTAGCGCGACGCTACTCGCACATATATTCGACAGGAACGCTTCAAACTTCCCCTTTTAGCTTTTCTATTCTTCAGACTGCGTCTACCTAGAACTGAAACTGAAACTGAAACTGCTTCGATTCAGGGCTGTCAGAGCTAAAAGAGGGTATCAGTGTGGATGGTGCGTTTCCATAGCGCGGCGCTACTCGCACCTATGTTCGACAGGAGTGCTCAAACTTCCCCTTTTGGCTTCTTTTTTCTTAGACTGCGTCTGGGTACCAACTTTGGAACTGCTTCGATGTAGGGCCGTCAGGGCTACTGAGAGGATGCGTAGAAAAGGGTCCAGTAAGTTAGCGTGGCGTCTCATCTGCAGTCGACAACTGTTGGGAGATCTTCGACCGAGCAGTCCACGCAATTTCTCATTGCTCAGGGTCAGATCAGGGCTTGTAGTAGAAGGAAAGGCAAACATTGTTTTTGGTCCACGGTAGGGAAACGCACATGCACTTCGCCCAGCTGAGAGAGTGACCGGGGCCTTTTGTGGATGCGTGAGCTGTATGCTGCAAGACCTCATAAGATCAGTCATCGACAGCAGGTTCCACCATTTCTTCGTCGAGCCTCATCGCGCACTTCCAAAGCGCAGGGTCGTGATCACGAAGAACAGTAGAGAGTCCAGAGAGTTCGACGTCATTATAGCGCGTCGCTAAGCCCCAACATAATCAACATCCATGTGCCAAAAATTTCCATTCGAGCACTGCAAAAGTGCACATCGGGTCCGCCGTGAGCGCCGACAGCGCGTGTAACTATGGACAAGGGTTGCGGGGTGCATCAGGGTCCTTGCGCCTTCTTTCTATGGTTGCGACTCCTTTTTGCCCGTTGTGGCAGTTTGAAAGATGAAGGGTCCTCAGGGTCTGCATAAGTGTGCACTGGTCGCACGTTCTGCGAAAGGGGTCCAGGGCAAGAACACGCAGTCAGGTACACCCGACGGGATGATCGCCGTGCGCTAGGGGATGTTCCAGACAGCTTTCGGCATTGATCCTTTGATTCCTGGATATGGAAAGTATCGTGAACTCGTCGAGCGCTGCGACCGGGTGCAACCATGGTTGTGGGACTCGCTGGGGAACGTGCAGAGAGCAAGCGAGCATTCCGATAAAGATCACATCACAACATGACTAAATCCCACCGCGCTAACGGTGAAAAGAGATGAATCATGTTCTGGTCTATGTCATTCATTCAGTCGTTATTGTCGTTAAACCCCGCCGTCATCGTCCACTCATTATCAATGATGTAGAAGCGCCGAAACAAAGAAAGAAAAGCCAGTCCTCAGACTAGCCAAGGTATAAAACCATACAATCGTCTGCCATAACAATAGCCTCCAAAACTCATGTTCGAGAAAAAAAAAGCATCAGTACCGCGCGCCCATAGGCGGCGGCGGCATGCTGCCGTAGGGATTCGCATCCGCATAGCTGGTCGTAGGATACGGCTGCGCAGCTACAGGGTACGCATACATATTAGCGCCATTCATCTGTGGGTTCTGCATGCCATAGAGGGTGGTTTCGCGGGCCTCTCGTTCACGGCGCTCTCTCTGCTTTCTCCTCTTTCGTCGGCGGCTCTCCAGCTCTTTGACGCTGTGTCTTTGCTCATTCATCTCCTTCCACTCGCTGTACGCAGACTTGATACCGAGGGCGGCGATACCGACAGCTGCCGCGTCCTGGAGCATGTTCTTTGATTTGCGTTTTCGTGCTTCTTCTGGCGACATTTCTCCTTCGCCAACAAGCTTGCGCCGTTTCTCAGAAGCGACCATGGACGAGTAGACACCGTGTGCTGCGTGGATGGTGGCTACGGTCGCGAGGCCCGCGGTCAGGAGTTCCTTACCTCGTAGCTTTTTGCGCTGCTCCTCCATATCCGTCGTGCTAGACGAATCGCTGGACGCATCTCTGCCACCGCCGCGCTGAGAAGCCACACTTCTGTTTGCTCCCTGAGTGGCGAGCGCACCAGCGCCTGCACCTGCGCCTGCTGCCGCTAATCTGCGATCTGGGTTAGCCCGTGAAGGGTCATTCTGCTGGTAGCCATTATCCATACTGCGGCCGCGGCTGTACGAGCGATTGCGCCTACGAGAAGGCACGTAGCTGTCTGCACTGGAGGAACGCGAACGGTCACGCCTGTTGCGCGAGCGAGATCGAGAGCGGTCGCGTCCGCCACGAGACTTGGAGCGCACACGATCGTAGAGAGCCTTTCCTGCTGCGAGCACAGCGCCGGTGCCAGCAATTTTCGCGATGGGGTTGCCCTCCCTGTCCCTAGTAGGCGAGCCGGATCGAGAGCGTCCACGAGAGCGCGAGCGGCTGAAGATGGACCTGGAGCGAGAGCGGGAGCGACCATCTGGAGATTCGCCGCGACGGGCACGGGAGCGGGAGCGGGAGCCGTTGACAGCGCGGTTGGCAAGCAGACCGCCGAGAGCGGACTCGGCGACATGGCGCTTCTCGTGCTTGTCAGGGTCGCGGTCGATCAGGCCGTCGATACCAGCAGCACCAATGGCGGCTGTTGCAACGCGCTGACCTTTGGCACCCGTCCAGGCACCAGGAACTTTGCGGCTGCGGAAGGCTTCGACGGCTCCGGCTACTATGGCGGCCTTGGCGGCCTGCTCCCACTTCTCGGACTTGCGGCCGCCACGGCTGCGGCTGCGCGACCTCGAGCCGTATCGGCTGCTGCGACGGTCATCGTAGTGGCGGTCACTATCGTAGCCACGGTCGTCGCGACGGCGGTGCTTCTCGCGAGAGCGCGAGCGTGAGCGACCAGTGACTGCAGCAATGACGCCGCCTAGACCTGCCGCCTCGCCGAAGTCCTTGGCTCGGTCGACAATGGACTTGCGGCGCTGAGGCTTGGGGCGGTCGCCAGCGTATGAGCCAGCGTACGAGTCGCGGTCATCGTAGCGGTCGCGGCGTCTGCGGTCATCGTAGTAGTCATCGCGGTCGTCGTGGCCACGGTTCACAGAGCGGGTGCGACGCGGGGCGTATTCCTCGCGGTACTTAGTCTGACGGTACTCGGTGCCCGGGGGAGGGAAGTCGCGCGGGATGTCTTCGATGCTGTCCTCGCGCGCAGGGCGGTAGACGAGTGCCCCGCTTCCGCGTCCGCCGCGCTCAATGTACGTCGTCTCGGTGACATACTCAGGCTCGCGGTGACGCCGCGGCGCGTAGCTGTACTCGCTCATCGCAGGTGGTCTTCAGGGGCCTCAAGGTCCGCTGGGTAGTGTGCTTGGGTGGGCTAGGCAAAGCTTGAGGTCAGCGGATAGGGCGGAAGAGAAGGGACTGGAAGCATCGCGTACCGGAGCGCGTGGTGCGCAGTCCGTGCTCAGAGGCAGTCGCAATCAAGAATACAAGGGGCCGGCGAAGGACGGGACAAGGTGAGAGGGGGAGATGATCAGAGATCAGGTCGAGTGCGGCGGGGCTGGGCTCCTCGCCGTATTTATCAAGAATGCGGGCGGCGGCACACCGGGGAAGGTCCAAGGCGTAGATGACTGTGTGTGATGAACCCAAATGGGCCGGTCCTCTTGGCTTCAAGGTGTTCTCAGGGTTAACGTTGTGTGAACAGAGGCTACGAGTGGCGCGAGTACCGAAGCATTACTTCACTTGCCTGCAGCGGGTGGAGCGACGGGCAGTAGGCAGTAGTTTGGCAGCCATGCGCTACGTCATCGCCTGCAAGTTGCGCAGCAAGGCCGAAGCTGCGCCCAAAACCACACATCAAGGCTGCGCCTTCGAGGTGGCCAGGGTCTGCGAACCACTGTCAGCTGCTGGTGCATCGGTGTGAGAGGCCGGTCAAGATGCAAAGCCAGGTCAGCTGCGAACCGTTTTCCATCACCGAAGGCCTCTCCTGCGCTAAACAGTGTCGCTGACCTCGGCGGCTGCCGCTGACCGGTCCCATACTTGCACTCTGACACGATGCTTGACCTTCGCTTGACTATTCAGCTCGCAGAGCCTCATCGAGGGGTTCAAAGCCAACGGCCGGTGCACCCGGAACATGTTCGCAGCGTTGGGCTTCACTTTCGTGTTGCTGCCAGCTTAGCGACTCGATGACGATGCCAGTGCAACCTGACAGGGAAGGAGTGAGACCGCGTGCTGAGCTCGTGCGATTGGTCATGAGACTTTACAGGCCCCATCCTCGAAGTCTGACGTTTTTGTCAGGCACAAGTCTCGTGGCCGATCTGTCGACGTGCCCAACACCGGCCCTTCTTGACCCTGCAGGGAAGACTTCTTTGTTATGAAGAGGGTTGGCAGGTACTAGAATGATGATGTCGAAGAAATTACTTTTATCAAAATTTTGAGTCCTTCATACATCATTTGAGTGTAGAGGTATCGCCTATCATCATGCAACCGTCCAGAACGCCTGGCCAACATGCAGATACAAGACACTGTACATATCATGAAACGCTCATACCTTGCTCTCCACCTTTACGGATGAAGCGCCCTCAACCTCCTGCCACCCTCTCTCAGCTCTGCGAATCAGCTCCTCGTACAGCGTCCACGCAAGCGCACTGCTGACTGCTTTCCTCGCAATTCTGATGCCCAGTCCGTCGAATAGACTCCGCGGTCCTTCTTCAGCCAGCATCTTCTTGCCCGCCTGCAGCAGGTTCGTGTATGTGTCCGGCATCAGCTGGATCCTGGTCTTGATCGCATCAAACGGATTCGTGATGGTCGTGCCGAGTCCAGCGGCTGCAACGCCCGAGATGAAGTTGATACCCGCGCTCGTGCTGTTAGAGAGCTTTGCGCTTGCGGAGGGGTCGGCTGATTCGATCTTGGTCGCGAGGGCTGAGAGACGACGCTTCGATTGCTCGTAGAAAAGGACATAGAGACCTGCGTAGGGCGCATCCCGCACTGCTGTTGCGCCGAAACCTGCAAAGAAGCCCTTGAGGCCTGTCGTGCGGTAGATGTCCCTTGTTGCGCTCGCCATGCTCGTGTATGCGTACAAAGTGCTCTCATACCGCACTTTCAGCACGGTGATTGGCATCATGATGAAGCCTGCCCAGGTTCGCGCCGCCGCCCCAGTGGCTAGATTTGCAGTATTGCTCAGCTTTGGAAGAGAGGACGAGTGGTCGCCCGTCACGATGGCTGCATCAGCGCGGCCAGCTGCCAGCAAGGCTGCGCGGCGCCTGAGCGCATTGAGTGAGGAGAAGTATATCGCCGAACCGCATCCTGTACGTAGTGTTGAGGGGAGTGTACCGCGCCAGAACTGTCGTATAGGGTTGGGCCCGCTGGCAATAGACCGGATCGTACCGAGCAGCGTGCTCGAGCGTGACTGCTGGACGCGGGTCTTGAGTAGGTCGGCTGGCTGGAGAAGTACGGCTGAGAGAACGCCGGAGCTCAGGCCGGCGAGGAAATGAACTGTAGATCGTGTCAGAGATTACTTTTGCTCGCGAGTGGTGTTGAAGAGCTGAAGGAAGAGCTGCAAGCTCAATGCGGAAAGCTTACATGAAGACGACGAGCGCGACTTCCCTCCATCTGACATTGCCGCGCTGTCGATGTGTTTATAATGCTAGCGTATTTTTCGATGCTATGTGAAGCATCATGAGGATGTATGAGCAATGCGGAACGGTGTAAGTGGGTGTTGCAATCGTGCACAAGAGGATTTGGCTTTGAATTCATGACGTTTTCGACGATACCGCATGTGCCCGAGAGCAGCGGCGATCGGCAAGCCGCGGTACAAATCACCGACAAATGAAGGTCAACTGCTTGTAACTCCCACGTCCAACTTTAATTCTTGAAGTGCACGTTTTCTAAGCGGTCGACCTCCTTGCCGCCATTGTATCTCTGGCATATTTGCAATGTCCTTCGTCACACTGGTCTGGAGAACGCAGCGACTGAGATGAACTCAACAAGTGCAAGGTAGCATGACAGGACCCGTCGCGGTGAAGATGTATCGGATGTACGAAGGGAGGAGTAAACATCATCCACAGACTAATTGTGTGCCCAAAAGTAAAAGCGTAGAGGACTCTGTGCGTATATACAAACATCACAGCAACCGCCTTCATTTCCGTACTCATACTGGTATCGTTGTTGCACTCGCGGTCCTGATGCTGGTTCTCGGCTGGCAGACTGTGGGACCTTGTTACGCAAGAGAGCGGCAACTTGTCTGCGGGACTTGGAGCTTCAGCAAAGCGGGCATCAAGATTCGAGCGAGTATATTCGGGCTGAGTGCATTTCTTGCTGAGTCTCTCACGATGCAAGTTGCGTGACTTCTGACAATTAGTCCAGACTGATAGAGTGGGAAGACTATGTGTACTGCTGCTGCACGGTGAATGATCGCTCTTGCCTTCGTGGCACCGCAGCGTGGTTGCGGTCCCACAAGACACCCGCATCGAGTCCATAAGGCTCTGTGAATACTTATCGTCTATTAGGCCTATAAACACAGCGCAGTCCCTGTTGTCCTGAAGGGAGCCTAGACCCACATCGACTTCCAAAACTGATGGCTGCTCACAGAATCCGATCTCCAGCTTACATCGCCTACTGAAATCGTCCTGCTCCAGTAGCTTCTTCACTGCTATGGCAAGCATCGAACCAATCTAAGTCAACAAAATCGCTGCAGTGATCATCCTTTGAATAATATCGAATCAGCCACATCGTTTCGATGCGCGCCCGGTCCCGTCGAGGCGAGATGGACATCGTCAAAGTGACTCTCCATCAGACTCGGTTGTAATATTTGAGACCCGAGACGATGCGATAAGTACTTTTTAATGTTTGGACCGTTATCACAGGCTATCATGCGGATTAGTGCGTGATAGTACACATCTCCATACCAATCAAGTCAAAACTCCCGTCTCCCGAACGTCAACGCCAGCAACATATCTATGATACGACCCGCGCTTAGGCCCAATTCAATCCTGAAGTGGAACGAGTGGTGAACAATCCATGCATGGATTATACTCACCAGTCCTCTACTGCATCGATTGAATTTGGAGTCTACAATAACTGCTCCTACTAACGGACCGGGCGAATAACGGCCAATACAAAGAATTAGTTTCCGACCGACAAGACCCGAATACCAGTTCCAGCAGCGGTATGACAGCTGAGTAGCTCTACATCTACAGCTATGGCCAATCGAAGGTAAACAGACTTCATTTATGGCGGAGCAAAGGCCAGGGTGACGATTCTTGATATGGAAATGTTCCAAAAAGTTGATAGCATGCTGATAATGAATTTACTGCAAAATAGAGGGTTCTCTTCTCTTCAGTAGTTGCTTGCCAAGTGTTCTCTAGGTAATTTGTTCGCTAGGAGGCGATCAGACTTGCGTACTCTTCGGAGCTGTCGTGATGTAAGTTGGCGGAAATTGCGCCTTACTGCGCCTGGTGCGTAGTATTCGGTCCATCGATGATTGGCTTTGGTCCTGCAGCCTGCATTCATGGTCTTGCTCTCGATCGATTTAGCAAGTTGGTTTCTGGATAGCCTAGGGAGCTTGATGCAACAGAAGGCTGTCAAACTGTCTCGTGGATTCCACAAGAAAAAGGTGGTGCAAGGTATCGAGGATCAGAGCTGTCCCTTGATGGTCGAAATGATCATGGCAAATGATGCAAGGTGTTTTCCGCCTGGCAAAATTTGCTCTCATTGGCCACAGTCAAAGACTTTTTTATGTAGTTCTGAACTGCAGGCGGTTGGCGTGCGACACCTGCTACACATGCGCGAGAATGGCTCAAGGGACATACAATTAGGCGAGTATTCCGTCGTGGAAACAACTGAATTGCTGTAGGACTTGATATCCTCCACTGGCGCTCGAATGGTTGTTGCTCAGTCGCGTGAGGGGCGCTGTCAAGCACAGGTGCACTGCCAACCGATAGATACATCGTAGACTTGCATCCTGGGTGCTCGTGTTGCGTATTGACAATTCGATGAAGATTAAATGTGGCTAGACTCTTGTGCCTGCATGAGCTGCTGCAAGCCTAGTGTGCGATAGTGCATTGTGAAGTAGTTCTGTGCACGCTTGTAATCTGTAGTCCGTCTGATGTGTCAGATCTTTGCTGCGGCCGCTTGACACGAACTGAACGTTGCACCGAGCCTTAAAAGTCCAGATTGAAGGCAACGGGCATGTTCCTGCTATGCAAAGGATACGGCCTCTGAGTCGATCTCAAAGCGGTACTAGGCCTTGCTCGCGGGAGTCCTGCGTTGGCCGTAGTCAGCTCATCCTTCCGTAGAGCTCATGCGATCGTAATTGGCCCATTCTGCAGTGCATATTACTGAATGCCTAATGACATGACTTGAACAAGCAGTAGCCTTCGAACTATCTTTCGTGCCGAATTCCGGCTTCCATACACTCGAACTGTGTGTAAGGAAGGAAATTAGACGTGGGAAGTTTCCGTGCATACAAGCCGGCGCCGGCGCAGCGTGGCCAGGCTGACTTTGGCATCTCACAGACATCGACAATCAAGGCTCCAGTATCTCGTACGCCAACGCTCGTTACCTTCGGGCAAAGAAAGCAGACGCGGCAACAAACTTTTGAAACCGCGCCAACAAAGAGTCCTCCCCTGCAACAGACTGGTGCAGGGGTGATGCTGCCACGTCGATGGCATGGATTAGGATCTGCATAGGCAACAGTGTCGACTCCTGATCTACGCGACTTACTTTCTCATGTAATTAGCTCTAGTAATCTCCAGCTGGACGGCATGAGCGTGATTGAGCCGCATGGCGTTTGGGACTGAATTGCTCAACACAACAGCAAGCTACGGCATGTGCACGCGGTGACGTTATGGAGGTCAACTGTCACGTTCACTCACATCTAGCAACTGCTGCCGGACTGAGTTCTGTGGATGGTTGCTTATGCTGTCGCTGTTTCTATCATTCAGGTCATCTGAGGTCGGCAGCGACAGCGTGACGTGATCGAGATACTTTGTACGGGACCGTACCTACCGAACGGGCCGAGCCGACAGGTTTGACATAAGATAGCATGGTCGCTGAACTCTGAGTCAAAGTTCGAGAATACAGTCGTGATTCCTGCAGAAGGTATCCCAGCTGCCTGGTCCGACAGAGTGTACACTCGCTCTTAGGTACCAGCATCCATGCCAGTGGGTACATCTGCGGCCTAACGGATAATCTCGAATCTTGTAACCGTCTCTGGCTCTTGGGCAGGATCCCGCCTACAGTCTTGGATTAAATGTACATACAAGTAACAGAGTTCGTGTTCGATGCGGAAGTTAGCGCCGGACCTATCCTGGAATCCAATATTGTGGCTGAGCAGTGCGCACGAATGCAGATGCTCAAACCCGCGACACAGCTGCGAACTATCTCGACGATATGGGTTCTGATGGTGTTGCGGACTTCAATCACGATGCGCGAGACGCGAATGACTTTGACAGTGTATTGACAAAGGCTCAACCAGAAAGCCTCGCGGCGTACTGTAATGGTCGGACAGACCCATCTGAACATTTGACATTGCAGCACGAGGCTGGCAATGATCTCCATTCGACCCCTCCACAGACGCAGGCTAAGAAATGAGCGTGGTCCGTCTCTGCATAGAGGGCGCATTCCTCACAGATGCGAACGCAGTACCTCATCTAAGGCGCATGAGCGAGAAGAGCCGTCATCTTCGCCGAGAAGCCCGTGTTTGATTCCTGCAGTGTTCGAGGAACCGAGGATGTCGACGGCCAATTCATGGGCTTATGATACTTGCAGTGTGCGTAACAAGCAGTCTGATTGAACTTTGCCGAACCGCTTGAAGTAAAGTCGTGGATGTGCAGTGGCACCATCTATGGTCGCGCTGACGGGCGCTTCGGTGGAGGCGCTCGTTTGCGGACAAGGAGCCGCGTAATGCACAAAAAGACCCCTTGATATCGGAGTGATCTGGCTTGACAGTTCGTGCGTTAAGAGCGACTTGGTCTTATACAAATGTATTTCCGCTCTTTTTCGCATTCCCCGCACATTCGACCGCTTTCGAGCGTCATTCGACTCTGGCCTGTCGGCTTCACCTCAGATTGAACCTTATATCATATCCACCACTGCAACGGCGTGCCTCACAGCGAGTGGACCAGCTTGTATGCATGTACGCGGAGCTCCAAGCACTGCTCACAACTGTCCCCCGCTCATCGCCATCGCTGCCGAGTCGCCCGCAGTCAGCCTTACTGTCCTGATACCGCGGGCGGAGGTGTCAGCCGTGGCTATAAGCTAAGCCTTTCCGCTATGACGAGGTATATCAAACAAATGGAGAAAGAAGGCTTGCAGTTGGAGCTACTGGAGGACGGCACCCGCATATACTTGCGCCTGCGTAGGAAAGAAAGGGCAATGTCCCCAAAGGTCCAAGGTCGATGTCGAAGTAGACTGGGAATGCAGCTCTTCCATCCTTGCCCGGGTGGGTAAGCTCATCAGTCTGGGTCGGAAGCTCACAGGCCGACTGCTGGCATCCTTGTGTCGCCTAAGGAGTTACTACACCGCCAGATCCAAGCATTCACAGCCGGCCACGGGGGTGATGTTGCTTTTCCAAGCTCGTATTGCAATGAGAAGAGCCTGCTGTGGCTTTGCCGGCTCCACCATGAACGTTTCAACGGGAGTACATGAACGAGTCAACTTCAACCAAGTCCCAGCAAGTTGCGCCGGGGCTCGACGCGCAAACCTTAACGCAAGACACCAGAGCGTCAGTCGTTCAGGTGCGCGCGGCTGTGCTGCCGATTCAGGTTGGTTGCCGAATCTTCGTGTGCAAACACCAGTAGTGCTAATGCGTTAGCCAAAGTACCTTTCACCGGGACTAGAGTTCCGGCTCATCTTGCAGACCGCTGCCACATGTCGATAGAAGAGCTCGGCTCCTGTCGAGCTTTGACAGACACACACATCCTTTCGTCGAGTCTTGGCGTGGGCAGTCCTGCTGCACGCCGCGTAGTGTCCTTCGTGTCCCAACCTGGCTCACGACCTTCCGCGCTCCCCCAGGTCGTCACGACGCACAACCACGCACCGTCATTCTCGTACTTCCGTCTCTTTCGGTCAACGACGACTCGCCCTTTCGATAGAACCTCAACTCAGTTTTTTCTTGACAGCATTCGGGGTCCACAACACTTTTCCGTCTTCTTTTGAGCCTGTCGTTGGCGAGCCTTTGACTCACCGCTTCCATCCTCAAAGCTAAGGTCCACGGCATCTACGCAGTTGGACCAGTCGCATTAGGACTGGACATCGGAAAGATGTACTGTCCATCCACCCAACCGCTTGATCCTGCACGATTTCTTGAAGCTTCAGCGCAAGCTCAAGCTCACCCCGGAAGCATGTCTGAATATCTTGTCGACACTGCAGATGATGGGGAGCAATGCAGCGATGACTCCAGCAACCCCCAAGACCAGCCGTGGATGACTGCAAGCATTCTCGATGACACTCCTTCCCCCGCGTCCAATGCCCATGAATCGATAGGAGCTTTCCGGCAATTGTGGGGCCAGGACCAGACGTCTCTGCTCACGGAAATCCAGCAGAATAACAATCTTCAATACCATGTTGCTCACTCAAGCAACAGTACGGCCGAAGATCGCCGGCCCCCTGAATGCATCGACCCCTCCGCTCTCACGATGCCGGATCCACACTATGGCTCCTCGCCGGGCTTCGTCGGATATGATGACCGCTACCCTCGCGCGTTAGCTGAAGACTGGAATGAAGGGGGCTCAACGATATGTTTCGGCGCCCCTGGGAACCCCAGCGACGATGACGCAGCTAAAGCCTGTGCTCGAACTGCGTTAGAGTATCCTTCCGCGATACCCGTGCCATTCGACAATCAAGATGAAAACTACGGAGGGCCAGACAGCAACTTCATTCCTGGGGTCCTTGGCCGACAGATCGGACACCGAGAAGCGCTGGGTGTCGATACCGCACGATTGATGACTCGTCTATGTGTGCGTAACGACGATGGCGGACACGCGCCTCTGCCTCCCAACGTAGGCTACGACAACGTGGCTGTGGATAGCAGTCAAGAAACGGTCTTACCGCCTCAATGCTTCGGCAACGTCCAGACCCAACAGAGCTTGGTTGAATATCAACAGCTGCCTGGGGTGATATTGAATGATTTCCAGTATGTCGTGTGGGAGGGCACTCCAGTGGACGTCGATCTGAACGTGACCGGCTCCATGTCGACGTAAGTATAGAGAATCTGGCCCGCCTATGAGCGCAGTATAGTGTATTGACGTGGTACAGGCGCAAATCAAGCGGCTGGCCTCATCCTGAAGTCGTCTCTCAGCACTCTGGTGATGCACCTTCGCCACCAAGTACGGCAGCAAATACGGACGGACTGGATTGCCCTAGGTGTGAATGCATGTTCACCGGCAAATGGCAAAAGCCTAACCTTAACAGGCACCTTCGCCTCAAGCATGGTGAAACCATCGTACAATATCCGTGCGAAGACGATTATTGCACACGACGGTTCAACAGGAAGGACGCTAGACTGAAGCATTACCGCAAGGCGCATCCACACTTGAGCCCAGGACCACCTGTGTTACGGGGCTCGCCATCGTTGCCCGAGAGTGACTAGGCGGACCTACATCGCATCCGAGGGGGTTATAATCGTGTCATTCCCTCTGAGCACTAAGGCATCGATGACGGTGTGATGTTCAACCTTGAGGATGCTGAAGGTGCCCATGGCTGTCAAGCATAAGTGTCGTTTCGAGATCGTCCACAGCCAGGCTGGTACCGATTAGGTCACCATTACGCTGCCCGTCACCGCTCAACGCTTAGCTCTTTACCCGCCCTTCTTTATTCATCTTTCTCGTCGTTCTCGAATACAACGGTTCAGGGTTAGAATCTTGATTGCGATTGCTTCCGGAGGACAGTAAAATCATCTGCCAATGCCATGAATCTTTTCCGTTCACGCCCGCTCTTATACTTCTTTAGTTGTCCCGTGCCATCCGAACCCCATGTCGTCGTTGGAATCGTCTTAGTAGATGTAACAATTCTTTTGGTGTAGTTCCAGACGTTCGGCTGCGTCGGAGAGCAAGGCTGCTGTTGACGTTGAGTGTTCGTGCTACCGATAGAGATGCTAAGAGTAATCAGGCTGACAAGAGGCAGGATGTTGCGATGCATGCCGTTAGAATAGAACCATACGCAGGCATACGGTCGTGTTTGCAAAGGCCCAAAAGGAAGAGGAAGACATGCTTCTGGTCTCAGGATGGCTGTGGGGAGACCCGGTGGAGCGTCGATGGCAGACCGGATCTGCGGAAGGGGTGTAGCGGATGTTATGAAGGGAGCCGACCGAGCATTCAAAGCTCAATAATGGACTAGAGCTATCTCCGCCCTTGACCCAAGATCGAGGCAGGCCTGTAGTCCATCGTCGGTGAAGGGAGTGGCGGGATTGTGAGTGTTAATGTATCTGTAAAGAACAGGCAGCGAAGCTTCGGTGTTGCCTCACAGAAACCGAGGGGACGGGTGACATAATGAGGCGTCCTCATACCATGTCGTAAAGCAGCGCCATTATTGGTGTCAGAGTGGTCGATGGTTTCGAAATTTGGAGTGGAGTTGGTCGTGCTGAGTGGTCTTGGCGCAGGTCAAGGCGTTGGGCAATCAAACCGGCACAAATAAGGCTCGACGTCGCCTGTCTATGCTTCCCTAGAGGGTTTGAAGCAGCAGCCTCCTCCCGCCTTGAATCTTTTTCTTTTTCGTCTGGGCAGTGTGCGTAAGGACGGATCCTTGTCTAGCATTTTCTGTTAACGCTAGACGCTGCGGGGCGGGAGGGAGGTAAATCGTCGCCTCCACTGAGTCCACTTTGTTCGACCCACAAACTCCAATGATTAGTACGAAGTACATACATGTAAATACTTACCCGACTGTTACAGGCTGTGTAACGCCTTCTCCGCTAGCTCTGACCGCTTCGCCGTTGCGTATCGATGTGACTCGCAGCTTCTTGACAATTCCTGCAGGAATCGGACCTCCAGTCCTGGCTTCCACAACACCCCTCATGCCACGACGACAGTAGTATTACATACAATCGACAGGTCTTTCGGATGTCACTTGTGCCTAACACGATGAAGCAATGTCAGCACTGCAATGCTGTTGGACGGCAGCGTCACAGTAAGCCTTAGCATCCATCCTCAATAACCTTTTGCACTGTCCCTCGTTCCGTTTGTCGTTGGACATGACCATGATAACTACGAGCGCAGTGATCCGTCAGTGACGCATAACACGCGATTCTGATGGCTCCCGTATGGGGACCATAGTCCAATAGGAATTTGTTATCCGGAAACCTTGGCCGTTCCTGCAGACGCCTCTTTGCAAGGACCTACACGGACCTTCACCGGGTCTCATTCCATTGAATCAGTTCAGCATTGTCTGTTCGAATTAGCAGGTGTTATCTGCGTGGCAAAGCTCAGCCTCAACTCGCCGCCGTCAGCTAGGAGGCCGAATAGCTTCGGAACGCCCGAACACACCCACCTTCAGTCAAACATCCGGGAATTTTGAAACCCCGAATTTTACTTACTTCCCGCACCAGGTTCAAGATCGCGAACTAACGGCGTCGCTGTCTTGACCTGCAGCAAGGTTTGCGCATAAAGCTTGCAGAAGCGAACTTGATGCACCTCGTCACTTTGCCTGGACCTATCAATCTGGTAACATGCCGTCGCCCTGCAACTACACTACCCCACGACAATTGATTGAGCCCTCCTTTCGTGCAGTCATGCGCACGATGCATTTGTTCAAGCAGTCTTTGGGCGTTTTCAACCCATCTTGAAGGCCCGATGCTGCTTCCCGAGCGGCTCTTCCAGGGTTATCTGTGCTGGGATGACTTTGCTCATGATGTAAGGATGCCCAAAAGACTTGAATGCCACGCACGCAAACGAACGATATCAGGGCGCGACTTCACATCTGAAAGTATGGCTGCTTGACGCTTTCTCGTTGCTGCAAGAACGGGGATCTTTGCGATAAACATCGGTCTTTCACCGATGCCGTGCGACCAACACAATCTTTACATAAGTCTAACTCTCGAAGATCACGCTCGATAATGTACTTACGGATGGAAACGGTACGTAGGGCAAATGTATGCTGTCGGGGTCTTTGCACCAATCCCTTTGACGAAGACATCATAATCATCACCCTAACTTCATTCACAAACCATCGTGATCAGAATGAAAGATACCGAAACTGGGTTTGAAAGCCTTTACACACGAAAATGATTCTACCTTCTGACCAGAAGCTTGCTGTACGATACCTGGCGTATCTTAAGTGACTGATCCGTTTCCACCGCTTGAGGCCTGGCATGCACAGCGAACGCAGGGACGTTTCGTAAAGGATGGAGATAGACACACGTACATCGAGCGCCAAAAATAATATTGTGATCAATATGCGCTGCAATAACAGTCTGCCTTACAGCGCATCTTCCGTATCTGTCGTTGTCATCACTAGCTCACGCTTTGAACGGAGAGTAATGTATATTGTGTGTCAAAATAAGGTTATTGTGTCAGCTGATGTCGCTACTTGGCCCAAATCCGGCGCCTTAGGTTGTTGATGTTGGCCCTAGGCAGTCGGACGTGTATGGTTACACAGCCGGATTTCCGTGCCCTGTTAGCGCGCTGAGCGCCCTGTCATGTACTGGCGCCCTACGACTGCCGCTTACTGCCCATGTATGCCGCACGTTTCTTGCCCAGTGTGTTCCTTCAGGCCTGGCTCTTTACCTCTGCAATGGACCGCCAGTCCTTCTCAATGCCTTGGGCATGCCTAGCACAGAGTTTCCGAAGCCTCTTTTCACGCTGTGACTTCCCATGTTTTGTCCATGCAGCATGGGCGATTCCTGATATGACGGCCCAACGTTCATATTGTTTGCCGGAGTTTGACGCGACCCACCCATGACTGGAAGACGGCTTTGTCCTGGCGTGCCGACGGATGCAGATTCTACGGCATCATTAGTGATGTTTCGACCCAGAACCAGAATGACGAAAGAGCAAGGACTTACGACCAGTGTGAGCTCGACCACTCAAACCGCGCCCTTGCAACTGTTGAGCATAATTGGGAGTGGGGCCAGGGCCAGGGCCAAACCCGCCTAGCTGCTGCCCACCGCTACCAGAGCTCCCACTGCACCGCCTGTTGTGGAGACGGCTTCCTACAGGCTGCTGGATTGTACCCCCAGGGTAACTGTATGCGCCAGTGCCAGTCCTTGCGCCCGGTATACTGTCAATGAAGCGGTTGTTGGCTCGAGCGGTCTGGAGTGTCACTTCTGCCTCATCGCCTGCAGCGACAGCGACTTGAGACGCCATGACTTGTCCTTTCAGCGAGTCGTACAACTTCTTCTGGCGTGCTAGTGCTCTAGCCTTTCCCAGGAATGCAGTGCTGAGATCGTTATTCTTCACTTCAAGAGCTTTACACTCTGCCTGCTGTGCTGTTCGAGTGTCAGCCACTAATCTTGCTATCTTCCGCACATCAGCGCTCACCTTGCACCTTATCCTGTAGCACCTTAATCTGGGAGTTGGCATCATGCATGAGCTGGTCCATCTGCTGGTTGAGCACATTGTATTTCTCGGTGAGTCCTTTGGCCAGATGCTCCTGATAGATAATCTCCTGTGACGTCTGGTAGCTGTGGAAAGCCAGACTACGGCTTGCACACTCCATGACGATAGCCGGACTGAGGCCGCTCAGCACACTTGTCTTGTAGTCCTCCGAGGGGTTGAGGCCGGCGACGACCACGTCGTCCGGGTTGTGCAGTTCAGCACCGCATGCTGGACAGCTCCTGTGCGCGTTCTGGGACCTTGACAGGCCGGTCGTGTTGGCGCATTGCGTACAGAAAACATGACTTCCAGTTCTCAGTCAAAGGTGAGCACTTTAGAGGTGAAAGACGTACCTGCAAGTAGTGACGACGGCTCGATCGTGCAGCTGCGTCCGACACTTGAGGTCGTTGCAGCGGAGCACAAACTCCATCTGGGGGAGCCTAACGTGAGAGGAGATATGCTCCACGAACTGCAGGAAAGTGCAACTCACGCTAAAGACGCGTCAACACGGGGGCTGCTTCGGTGAGGCAGGAACGACTGCAATACAGGCGAGACTGGTGTTGACTGTAACAATGCATTCCATATCTTGGTATCGTGGTATATCGCTGCGTAATGCAAAATTGTAAATATGGCGCGGCAGGTGCTGCGAGTCAATCTGCAGCAGTCGCTGACTGAGAAGGCATATACTGGCACACTTTCTCGCAATTTCTGACCAAGCCTATCGATCGTCCTTATCAGGCTTCCGTCTCTGTCTTGTGCTCTTCTTCCCTGTGTTTGCTGTCTCGTCCTCCTCTTCGTCTCGGCCCTTGGTCAGGTTGTGGTCTAGGTTCCACTCCTCATTATCATACCAGTCTTCACCATCACTCATCTCACCGATGTGCGCTTCAGCCTTACACCATTTGAACACGTCCTGCCGCATGCGGTCTGCGTGCATCAACCCTTGGTACAGGTCTGAGGTTGCTCGAGCAATCTCTTCTTGCTTCTGTACGTACGCCATGAGCAGCATGCGCGTCTCTTCGGCTTCGTTCGGTGGTAGACCAAAGTCGCGGTCGGGGAGTGAGTCGGTGGAGAAGAGAAAGAGCGGGTGCACTTGGCCTGCAAGACTTGAGGGCGAGTGTGGCGGCGAGGGAGTCGATACTGCTTGAGCTCGGGCGCGCGTAGTCATACGGTGCGCGGCTTGAGACGTGTCGTCAGAGGCGTCGTCGCCAGCTGGAGACGGTGGACCTTCGCCGTTTTCGCGCGTATGATCCATCTCATGCGCTGTGCCGTTGATCGTTGGCTCTGTGCCGTTGACATTCTCTGTGGTCTCTGCGCCATTGTGTTCGTCCCCCAGGGTGCCGTTAGGCTGTCCAGCATCTTCCATTCCGAGATCTTGAGCATCATCCAATGTTTGAGTCACGTCGTTGCGCGATACTGGTTGCGAGTGTCCGTTCACGGCGCGCTGAATTGTACCGTTGGCCGCTGAGCTGCCGAGTGGCGCATCTGCCATAGCCGCCAGAGCTGCTGGCGCAAAGGTTGAATCGCCTTGTAGCTTGACGAAAAGCTGTTTTGTCCTGGCGATTGTGATCTGCTCCCTTCGCCATAGCTCGCCAGCTTCGTCCGCTAAGCTTGTCAAGTGTTTGGATGTGTATGGAACACTCAGAGATCGATGGTTTGGCAGGTCAGCGGCAGAAGTCAGTGGTCTGAGCAGTCCTGAATATTTCGTCAGCCTTCCATATTACGCTTCCAAGAGCAAGCCTACGTACGTTCCAGCCGTATGTCTGCGTATGGATTCTCCTCCACTGCCTCGAGGTCGTCGTCATCTTCGTATTCGTCTGAAGGTTCGACGATGTCGCCATCTGGGTCGTATCGCGCGGGGTTGCGCTGTAGGATGTACCTGCGATAGCCGGCGTGTTCAATGCGCTGTGGGTATCATGGTCAGTCTGTGCCAAGGCAGCACACAGGCGTGGAGGACGGACCTTCTTGTAGGGACGTGGGTCCGCGAGGAAATCTGGGTCACTGGCACGCGCATATTGCGACTTGCGCTTCAGATCTTGTCTGTAGTCTGCGAATGGCGAGTCTGCTTCTTCAAGATCCGCTGGCAATATTTAGTACACGAAGCCATGACCGGCGCGGGCTAGTACGTACAGTCATTCCCTCGTAGCAGTTTTCTCTTCATAGAAAAGATCGTGTCTATAATCTGCTGCTGCTGGCCTGCCATTGCGACAACGGCCTCCTGGCAAGCTCGAACGAGGAATCGGTGGTTTCGTGGAAGAGGTAGAGGACTGGCGTGTCTGAGCTCGGGGAAAGGGCTGCGCTCTAACAGCCAAGAAGCGCGGCGACGCGGAAATAGTAGCGATCGTGTTCGGTGCTCCAGAAGCTATGCGCAGGTCTGGAAAGTGTGTGTTGAGCGCATGGAGGGCGTGGAGAGCCCTGGATTGCCGGCTAGCGCGTCGGCGTCGGCGATAGATCGATGAATACCGTGGGCGATGTCATCACACCAATCCACAAAGCACGCCCATGTGCACTAGCAAGCTGCAGCAGCAAACGAACAGCCCACAACAACACCTGGAGCGCACCATCGTCAGACCATCCCGCCGAGCTTCCAGCGCAGAGTCCTACCACAGACGAGCACGTTCGATACCGGAGGTCTCGCTGCTGCCCGCATCACAATCCACGACACCACTCTTCATGGACAGGTAGCGCTCGACATTTCCAATGGAGGCATACCCGCCCGCCTACGTGCAGCACAACCTTCCATTCATCGTATTGTCTGGCCTGGGGTCTCAGGCAGAGCCTCAGCCGCCACTATCTATCCACAATGTGCTTCCAGGGAGAACTTCTATCCGGACTAGCTCAGAGATACCTGCAGTGACCGGCGAGCGCGCAGATCAGCTATTGCATGAGTTTTTAAGCGCCGACGGTACCAATGCGCCATGGAATGCCCGTGGTGCAAGTGGACGAGACTTAGCGCATAGCTTCAGGATACGGGCTGTGGGGAGGGTAGGTAGGCGCCTTGTGCAGAGCAGATAGCTGCATCATCTGCTGATGATGGCATATAGGACTTCGTGCTGCCACCAAAGAAGGCTGATGCGCCTACGACTTCAGAAACTACCCCGCCTAGTAGTCCGACCATCGCAGCGACGACCTCGTGGATTCTTCACTCGCCCATATCTCCCTTGTCACCAGCAGCCTCGATCTTTCCAGATGGTGTCATTGCGCCTTCCTGGGTCTCGAAACACCAAGATTACTTGCCCTCTGTCTTCATATCCTTCTTTGACTTCACGACCGACCCTGTCACAAACAGCCTACACGACAACCAGCTGAAGACGGAGATCAACAAGATCAAGGGCCAGATACAAAAGTCAGAGTACCGCACGCGGTACGTCGTTGTACTTTTGAGCAACAAGACAATACTAGAGGCTCCAGATATTGAAGACCGATTGGCTGTCATTCGGCGTGCTACTGGCCTCGATCCCAAGAATTCACTGTTCTTCCTCCCACCGAACACTTCCCAAGTGGAACTGCGAGCGTTCGCAACGTCCGTTCTCACAACCTTGCAACCTGTTTGCGTAGAGTACTATCGAGATCTCACGAAACATGCACGGAGGAAGAAGGGCAGGGGCACGATTCCTCCTCCTACCGCACCACCAACTCGTGGCACATCCCAGACCCTATCTTACCCTGGATGGGGCATCCGCTACGACTTCAAGCTCGGTGTCTTTGCAGAGTTCAGACAGGAGATGGATGCAGCGCAAAGACATTACAGTGCTGCGCTCGATGCTCTGTTCGGCTCCGAAGGCCTTTTCGAGACAACGGCAAGCTGGTCACCTAGGTGGGACGAGATCCGCCTGCTGGCTGATACTATAGCCTTTCGCCATATCCGTTGTCAGCTTTGGAATTACCAGTTGACTTCTGCAGCCCAGACATGGCTGAGGTACAAAGCCAGACTGCAAGATGTGCTCGACCGTCGCAGCAAGGGTACCTCGAACTATGGGTGGCAAGCATGGGAGTCGAGGTGGGCTCATCTCATGGCTGATTTCATTCAGCGAACAGAGCTACCAGTCTTCCGAGCAGATGGTGACGGCGCGGATGAAGAGACGGGCTTGATCTATGCACCCCCTGAGAAACAATTCCTTATGGGCGAAAGATTGCCGCCTTGGGAGCTACTTCACCACCCAGGCTACTGGCACAAGCTGTCCGCAGATTATGCAAAGAGGCGATATGTCTTAGCCTGCGAAATGCCCGAGGAGGACCGCACGCCTCCTGGCATGTCTCCTGCGACGAAAGTATCCAACCGAAACCAGGTGTATGACCACTACCTGGTTCCACAGCCGCATGAAGAGCTGCCTCTTCCAGACAGTGGTGGCGGGGGTTTTCAACATTGGTATGACATCTCCACCAAACTAAATGCCGCCGTGACAGAGTTCAAGGCGCATGGACAGAATCGAAAAGTGGAACAGCTGCGTTTGGAGGTTGCCAGGACTCTGCTACATGTGAAGAAGTTTGATGAAGCGTTCAAGGTTCTGCGACCCTTGTGGGTTTCAATGTCTTGGAGGAAAGAAGGCTGGTGGAGCCTCGCTTCTGAAGTGTTATGGGCTCTCCATGAGTGCGCATTGCGCGTTCGGGATCGAGAGACCTACATCGCTACTGAGTGGGAGCTCCATAGTCAAGGTCAGTACGCTCATTCTTCGAACTCCGCCAGATCACTGACGATGAGAAGCCGTGACTGGCAAGACTCGATACAAGTACGATCTCTTGTCATGTTTGGACGTGTTCCCAGAAGACGTTGCATCGGAGAAGGTCAACGTCAGTCTCAATACCAAAGACTATCTCTCCTGCTGTAAGTAGGCTCCGTCATGCAGCTCATTCCTGGCTTACCTTGTAGTGTCTATTCATCTTGCTCTTCTTGGCAGCGAGGGTAACGTAGGCGAACCACTTAGATCGCAGATAGTCGTCACTTCGACAGCACGGCCTGGATCAACTCCCATCACATTGTCGTCTCTATACGTGCAGTTCAAGGGTGGCTTGAATCAGGTACGCCTGACTCACGATGCCATTGACGATGTTTCGTCCAGCTTCTTTGACTGTGCATTGCAAGAGAGCAGTACGCCGCCGGAGAAGCCAACTTGGACTGGCACATCGGATTTGACATTGCGCCCCGGTCAAACTAAAGTGTACAATTTTCCAATTGTCTTCCGAGAAGCCGGCGACGTTGAGGCGGCAGCCTATGTGTTTGAGATTGATACGGAGGGTTTCAGTCTGATTTTCTCGAATACCGACCTCCAAACGGAACCCCACTCGACATGGTGGATGAAAGCCGAGTCCGGCGTCAAGCCACGGAAGGTGAAACGCTTGTCAGGCATCACCACACACATCTTGCCGAAGCCACCAAAGATGGAGATCACGTTACCAGATGTACGCGAGCAGTACTTTACAGACGAACCTGTTACGCTGGCGATAGAGATCTCGAACCAAGAAGACGAAGAAACCGAGGCTGTGCTCGAAGTCCGTCTGCTGGGTCGCTCGAAAGACACACTCGCTTACACCTGGGTCGATCGGCCTGCATCATCGCCAATGAGAGAGATCCCACCGGCTCTCGATGGCTCCACAGACATCGGTCTTCCTGGCCACATAGTTGGCAGACTTCTACATGGCGCCAAAACAACAGAACAGATACGCTTCGCTGCGCCTGCAGACCCAGTAGACTACGCATTAGAAGTCAAGGTCCTCTATCATCTACTCAGCGACCGCGAAACACCCATATCAAAGATAATGATCGCTGACCTTGTCTTCAACTCTCCATTCGAAGCCAGCTATGATCTCAACGCTCGCGTCCATCCCGACCCGTGGCCTAGTTATTTCGAACTACAGGAAGCTGAGAGTAACAGTAATGCAGACTCGGCAGACGCCTTTGGCATCGCTCAAAAGTGGGGATTGCGCGCCAAAGTAGGCTCTTTCGCGGACGAGCAGCTCATTATCAAAGACCTGGCCATCCAAGTTCATAGCATCCACGGTGGCGCAACGTGCGAGGCAACAAAGGAGTTTTCCCCTGCTAACACAGCTATGAATCCGCAGGAGCTGTACGACTGGTCCTTCAGCCTTGACATTCGCAAGAACAATCTTGAGGAGCGCCGCTCCACCGCGCTCGACACCACGCTCGACATCACGTGGCACCGCACGTCGGCCGCAGATTCAGACCCTATAGTTTCCTCCCTCCCCATCCCTCGGATACAAATACCCTCCAGCGAGCCCCGCGTTCTTGCGTCCGCCCTCTCTTCAACAACAGTCCCAGACCTCTTGCATCTTGACTACACACTCGAGAACCCAACGATGCACTTCCTCACCTTCGAGTTCAACATGGAAGCCAGCGAAGAGTTCGGATTCAGTGGGCCGAAATTGAAAGTAGTACATCTTCTGCCGATGAGCAGGCAGACGGTACGCTACAATGTGTCACCAGTGCAGAGAGGGGTATGGATCAGTCCAGGTCTGAAGGTCGTGGATCGTTACTTCAACAAGACGCTAAAAGTGCAGGCCACAGAGGGACTGAGGTCGGAGAAAGGCAGGGTGGAGGTTTGGGTCCCTGGAGAGGCCAAGGCGGGATAGGGGTGGACTCGATAGAGTGACAATGCAGGGGCCAAATGTTTTCAGCGATGAGTCCGCAGTGATTTCAAGGGTCGGGAGGTATTGAACCAACGAAGAGCGATCGCGTGTCTGTATCCCATTGAAATGCATCGTGGCGGATGTTGTGCGACTTAATGCATGGTCGACATTGGTCTTGCGGACGACGAGAACTAAATTCTGTCCCTTGTTTCCAATGTGCGGGTCGGCGACATGGACGTGGCTTGTCTGTTGGCAGTCCATATGTTCACGATATCACTAAGGGCGCGGGATAGGCCGTATTACATGCAAAGAGGGGCAGAGAGAGCCTACGGCCTTGTAAGTGAGGCTATACAGTTGGGTGGTACGCATATAGCGCTTAGGCATGTTGCTCGCACATTGCATCTGTCTAGATGCCGCTATCGTAGGCCACTGCACGTGAAGACGTCGAATTGCGATGCTAACAGCATGGGCGCATGATCAAGCTGCATGGACTAGAATAGCATGCCAATCATGCGAGATGTTCGACTTGGAATGACTGGTGGTGCCTTAAACTTTGGCCATGGGAGCTGCTAAATCTCCTAGCAAACCTCGAATTTCCTTGACAAAGCCGCGTGTGTCCTAGAGATGCTTTGGATGCGCTTCGTCACATCCTGATTTGGCGAAACCGTCAGTATACGCTCGAACGAATGGTTCGTCGTGGGCTGGTTGACGTGCATGAGGGGTTCCCGTACCGGTATCGGCTGCATTGTAGCCTTGGCCTATAAAATCATTGCTTTCGGACGACTATCGCTACGCTCCACTCAACAAGATGAGATGCATGGAAACAGCTCTCTGATATCATCGTGTAATTGCACTCGATGGGGCAAATGGCTATCGTCGCTCAGGTCCGAAAGCATTGCTAAGCTGATCTGCAGTAGTGTGGCTGAGCTGCATGTTGCCTCCACCGAAGCAGTCTTGATCTCGACATACCGAGTGGCTACTGGAGATTCTGACTCTGAAAGACTCTAGTAGATTCCATTCAATGCCCTGTCGCCAATCGCAATGTGGCATAGCTGACTACTATAATCCTCCAGTTGCTTCTTCAGGTGTAACTCGAAGGACTGGGGCTGAATGTGCACACGCCATTCCTAGCCTGCGATCATGCAATCACTCTTGCATCTGTGCCCGAGCAACAGTTCGCTCGGACCGGCCGTATTCATTTTCTCCCGATGAGTGTGCTGACATTTGACGGACCGACCGGGAAGGTGGGTGTGGAAACGCGTCGCATCGAGCATGACCGTAGGCCGCGCATCCGTCACTATCTGGATCGTCCTGCCGAGAGACTCTGTTGCTTTGTTAGATTCCCGTCGACCAGTCACACGAGGCGTAGGCGCCCAGGCATGTGTCATTGACAGGGTGGATTCTAGACAGGAGAGGGTGGCGCAAATGTCCACGTCGTCTACACCATCATGGCACTCCTAGCTTAAACTCGCTTGGAGTGAGTCAAAAGCACTGCTGTCTTGCTGGCACTTGACAGAAGGAAGGACCGACGACACTAGTGTGAGTCTACCTTCCCCAGTGAACTTCAGAAGCCGTCGATAGAGCAGGATTAGAGAGCGACACAGCTTAGCTTTTACCATAGCGACCAACACCAGTGACGGCGAGAAGACACGTTTTTTCCCCAAGGGACGACCCTGTTGCGGGTAGTCGTCTCGCTTCACTCTTATTGATCGACAAGCCATACGCTAAGCTGCCGACCTGCTGTGTCTCAAGTGCGAACTCTGTGCAAACTCTCAGACCAACGCCTTGCTCTTGCGGCATCACAACCGCGAATCACAAAAGTCGGTCACCCCTCCTCTGTGTTGCTCCCCACGTTCGCGGACCTCTCCGGATTCATCAGTGCTCGCGCTCCTTACATTCCGAGTACGGCCAGGCTCCTTGGGACCGAACACAATCTCGAGCTAGGCCAGGATGCTCACCGACGCGCGTCGAAAGGCTGCGGTGAAGGACGGGGTAAGACAACGCTAGGCAGACAATGACAGCTGAACGCACATGGTGAGGCGTGGGACGGAGGCTAAGGGCATGTCGTCCGTGCAACAAGGGAATCTTGGTTGGCTTTAGATTAGGTAACTAATCTCGTTCCGCTATAATTAGTTAGTCCATCGACCCGAGCCTTGTTCAGACGTCCTTGCTTCGACCTCACTTCAACCTTCTTCAACCCGGCTTCTTCCAATCGACCCAACAGATACAACACAGGCTCAAAGACTGATGATGCGAACACATTGCGCACCCTCTCCTTCTCGCCTCTCGGCTGGCAGTCGCGCCCTGCCACGAGCACCCCACGCCAACTACGCCCCGTGAAGGAACAAAACATACAAAGAAGCAACGCTCCTGGATAAAAGTGTGCCAAACGGCATACGCCACATTATTCGTCATTCTTAAAACACCTCGATACGCCGCTACATGCTGCAGCTCCTGCCAGCACCATTCGAACAAAAGAGACACAGAAAAGAATCAACGAGGACAAGCGCTTGAGCGGTCTGTCATTCTTGATTGATGCCGCTGTACGGATGAGGTCTCGCGGTTCAAGGTCCAGTGCGCCGAGGATTCACCTACACCAATGCAGCATGCCGACTTTTAGGATTTTGGAGCCCTTGAGAGAAGCCCTGCCTGCAAAGAGCATTTTACAGCCACCCATACTCCATGATCTTTACAAAGACCAAGCATTCTGTATTTTCCGTGTGCGATCCTCCACGTCAGTCATTCGTTTATTCCAAGCCGGAGCCTACCCTGGACAGCGCAAAATCTTGATCATCACTATGAAGTCTCGGCACAAAGTCAGAAGCCAGCTTAGGATGGTGCTTCCTGTAGTGTTTCAGTCGAGCGTCCGTGCGTTTGAAGACTCTGTCACAGCCGGGCGAGACACAAAAGATCGCGACAGGCCCCCTGTGCCGGCTCTTTTGATGTCTAGCGTGATTGCCTCGACGGTACTTTCCGCGAAACTCAGCACTGCAATCTGGCTCCCGACAGTGTATGATACTCGGCACTGAGCGGCGAGAACTCGTGGAGGTCGCAATGGAATGCCCGCCGGGGGACGATAGAAAGAGAAGGTTGTTATTACGTGCAGAAAGCCTATGTTCGTTAGCGGGACAGGTCGCAAGGAACTGTTCGCTCTTACAAGGGGTACAGGCTGGCAAGATCAAGGACGATCTGGGCACCGGAGGCCTCCTGCTGGGCTATCATTGGAGCCATGCCATGCAGGTCGGTGTAAACGACCAAGTCTTCGTTGTTTAGCGGCTGTGGGTGTTGCTGGCGTAACGTTGCTGCACTGTCTGCCATATTTCCTTCCGTTTGCACGGGAAAGGAGGAAGCTGACGACGTCTCGTCAACCATCACGTAACTGGACGCAGCATCCTGACTTGTGTCCGTCATCTCTTCCGTCTTCAGCACCTCGATACGGCCAGAAAATCGATCCACGTCTGTGTACAGGCTCGCGTTACCCAACGCCGTCCACGGCGACCATGGCTGGTTTGTGTCAAAGATACCTGGATAGCCATATGACACTGACGGCGCGTTATCCCGGGATGCAGTCTGGATCTCCGCCAGGTCTTGCTCTAAGTCTATCGATGCCTCTGACATCATGTCATTGTCTCGGGCAGGAGCTTCGACGACTTGCTCGTACTGCGGGCCACCAGAGACTTGTGGTCTGGTTTCGGTGTCACCGCAGCTGTAGCCCATCTTCATCTGCTCATTCAGGCCCAGAAGCTTCGTGGACTCACTAGCTTGTGGTATGAAAGGATGCCATCTGAAAAGAGACTTTTGGTCCGACCCGGCATATCCATTTTGTTGACGTCCATATGACCAAGTCGAGCCTCCAACAGGCGTGCTCTGATCCCAGGTACCGTCGTACGTCGCCTCAGTACATCGAGGCTGGAAGGGCCCGAAATTGTTTCCGAGATGGTCGGCTTGCTGATATCCCAAGGCCATTGTTTTACCAGAGGGAGGAGGTTGATCACTGTCGCCGGACTGACAGTCGTTGACAAGGGCCTGGTTGCCGTATTCATGGTTGCCGCAACTGCAAGTCTCTTCGACACCGTCCTCTTGGGCTCGGGCCGTACCTCCCAAATTATTCTCTACAAGACACCATGGATCATCTTTGCGCTCGTACATGTGACGCGAGCCTTCTTGTGCGTACTGTTGGTACGGGCTCCTGAATTGCAGACCTGAAGAATCTAAGCAAGCTTGATTGTTCAGGGACGCCATCTGATTATGCTCGTGCCCATCCGGAGCATGTCCAAGACTATACGAGTTGGCCATGATGTTGTTCCTCGAAGCGTCACCGTTCCAAAGAATCTGGGACGACACCGAGCTTGTCGACGGAGAGGTGTGTGAGGGACACAGGGTCGGACGGCCGTGCTTGGTGTCAGCAGCAATGCCGGGGACACTGGTGAAGTTGGTGGTGCTCACACGAGGCCAAACAAGGATGTGAAGGAAGCAGACTGGTCTCCCGCGCCGCTGTTGCTCGTTTGGGTGATGGTATGGGTGGAGCTGACGCGGTGTGTAGCTTGCTCTGGGTTACCTTGAGCCGTCGCGAAGCAAGCCAATCAGACCACACCTCAGCAGCGTTCTACTTTGGAGTAGAGACTGAAGTGTAGGGGTGCAGACACTGAGGTTGGTACCGAGCGAGTGAGCTTGAACAGACGATATCGTCGGACAGCAACGGCCGCGTTGGTCCTGCGTCTGAAGACGCTGTCTGGGAAAACTTGAGCTGCTGATCACCCACGACCGGAAGTAGTGAGGGAGACACCTACAGTCCTGGACGCTGTTGTGCGTCTGTGCTGACTCGAATTGGGAGCGCGGTGACCTCCGCCTCACTTTTGATGATCGTGAGTCTAACGTCTAAGATCTACCGAAGGTGGAGGGAATTGAAAGGAGAGAAAGAAGTGAGATGGCAAGCAACAACAGCGTGTAGGTGGCGAAGTCTATGGAGCCTGTTATTTCCAAGTCGAGGGGAGGGGATGTAAGAATGGAGAGATTCAGAGGGGCAGCAGCCGTGGCGTTTTGGTCGCGGTTCGGAGGACCACGCACGCTAACCCATCATCAACTTGAGCTGTGGCTATACAACAACACGACAAACCGGTCTGCCTCACTTGCTTGATTAACAAAACATTGTCCAACGTGTCACGTCCAAGCTTGGTACGCCTGGACATCGCAAGTATGATATCATGCATCTGCATACCTCCAGGTTGGACACATAGCATTTGCTCGACGAGCCACCGGAGTACTCGGTCACGCAAACCCACACTAACCCATTATGCCAGTACGGTTGGCAGATGTCTTCTGTACTAGAAGCATATCCTATGCGCCTACAGTCCACCGAACAGGATTGAATATCGGCGGAGGTATCGACGACGACGTAGAGGCATAACCTCTTGTGGCTGTGCCCGGCAGGCATCCATTCGACAATGTCAGCGAGGCTCAAGCACCACCAAGCCGGCATTCGAGTGTGTCTTGATCCATCGACGACACATGGCATGTTGCGCTATGAGGGCTCGGGTAAGGCGAGGCGGAATCGCAAAGCTCAGGGGGAGGTAAGGAAGGAGTGCAAAGCAGAAATTGATTGAAAGCAGACGGGCACTCCAACAATTTGAACTCTGGTCTGGATCAACAAAGGTCCTGTGGGGTCCAGAGGCCATTGTATAATGGGTATCACACACTACTGAGGTCCAGCGGTCATCTGCAAGGGATAATTGGGAATCCTGCAGTTTGGGCGCCACGCGCACCCGTTGCTCGGCTTTGGCCCACAGCCAGAGTGTGTAGCGACAAGCCACCTATGGACTCTTTGGACTAGGTTCATGCGCCATGATCAAATTGAAACGAGTCTTAATCCCAAGCTATGCGGTATATTGCGGTAGTCAAATCTACGATGTGGTCATCGCTGTCTCGATGCGATCATCGGCTCCGTAGTTGGACGAAAAGCGCTCTCAGATTGAACAAAATCCGTTCCTTTCGTCAAGGCCTGTTATTCAAAGTACAGGGAATTACGGAATTTGCTGCGACCGTCCGTGTTCGCATGAATGTGGTTGCATCCTCCTTCGACAATAGCGAATCACGGTGGTGGGCGAACGCCATGAATCGCCGCGATGCATCTGTGGAGAACCCAGCAACATGCGCAATAACGCCATCTATATCGCAACTCCAAGCTCAGCTGAGTGCTGGAGCTGAAACTGAAGCACAGAATTGCGCGACTGAGGCGGGAAGCGCCATGTTGAATGAACCCCACGGTGTTGATGTTTGTCTCAATCTGGGGTGAATGGAGGGGCAGAGGTTTTTATCAACACCGACTCAACTCCAACATCGGCTCAATGGTACCGGAACGCGATCAGTCTAACATGCCGCGTATTGCACGGAGCTGCAATCGCTGATCTAGCAGAACGCCTCAATACACAAAATGTGCATGCATAAATCCTGGCGGATCGACCAGCCTGCTCACCCGCTCTGGCCCCCCACAGACAAGAAAGGAGCGAGTCAGTTAGATGCAGCGAAATCTGCTACCCCACGAAACTTCTCTACAAGGGCATAGTCTCCTTGGCTTTTGCAGCTGGGTTTGAGCGTATTGTACAGGGAACAATTGTACTGTACTTTTGGCTGTATTGAGTGAATATCAGTAGTGATCTCCTTCACTAGCGTGAACTAGCCATCGTAACGTGGCCCGGTCCGGAGATTCGATGATGTCCACTGAACCAAGGTGTGGAATCTTCCGGTGCTATGGCGCACTTCACAAGGATTTACCTTCTAAGGTAGCTCGAGCTGGTCGAAGCTTGCCTGAGCGACATGGCGTTGACGTTTGCAATTGTTTCGCTACGACTTGCGTTCAGGAAGCACTTTCCGACGCATAATCAGCAGTCATTCCACCTGTTGCTTCACGCACCAAAGCCGTCTCCGTCACAGATCATTCATCAACTGCTAGCAGCTGCCCATAGACACGCCAATCCTTCGTACCGGCGTAGACCCGTGGTAGAATTCATCAAGAGATAAGATCATACGAGCCGACGGAGCCGTGCCCCTTGCGTCATTTCATCTCGGCCCGCACTTCTCCAAGCAACCAGATCCAGCCACGAACTTCGACTTGAGGATGCGCGCGGACATGAAGTGAAAGATTTGTGATTTGGTTTCGCCAGGAACGGCCCGGGGCCGGAGAGTCTTGCTTTACTAGGTAGAAATTAATCGTTTAGGACCAGTGGTGGATTGGACATCGTTAACCTCCAACGTTCCAACACATTCAACGGGATCCTGCAGCTCCTTTTTCCTCGACGATTAAAACAACTAGGAGAGGTATCAAACCGGAACTCTTAACGTGGACACATCTTTTCCGTGGTTAGACTCAAGATGGTTGTCACATACCGCTGTAGCCTGTAGGGTCACAAAACCTACAGCTTCTACCACCCTAGGATTTGCAACCATTTCTTTAGGTCATCGCATCGTCCCGAAGCTTCTTGGAAATTTTTGGGACCAAGCCATGAAACAACCATCGCCACAAGGATCACGCGTTTTCCATCACGCATAGAACGCGGAATAAGACACCACAAAGGGCGATTGCCTATAGCAAGCCGGTGATGCAAGGCAGCCGGTCTCTACGTCGAAATTCAGACTACATTTGGAGTAACTGTTATAAATCTCTGCATCAGAAGAGCCTGGGTGTGCGAGAAGTTTACATGGTGCGAAGGTGGCTTGAAAGAAAAGTGTTGACGGCCTGGTGAATAAGACCAGAATCTGCACTACAAGATATGGAGAGAACTATGTCGGACGTAGAAAGAGCCTCTAAAGCACTGGAGTGTCATATTCGAGGAAATATGGGGATTTCCAGGTTAAGCTGACGATGGGTACAGTCGACCTTACAGACAGTATGCGGCCACTTCAAGACCTTGGGTAGCACCGCAGTTGAACATCGTCCCTGACTGCATACTCACTAAGCTATCAGTACCTAACGTACGTGTCAGAACTCAGAAATCTTTGACATTCTGATATTAAGTGGAATCAAAGGTCACAAGAGTCATAGTCCTACTGAGAATGACATCAAGCACAGTCTGTCGATTGGTTGTTCTGAATTTTTTCAAACAGCCGACCAGAATTTTGATAGGATCTCGGAAGCGCGCAGTAACGGTAGGTACGCCTCGCCACGTGCATCAGGGCAGACTTTAGCCTAATTCTCTCACAACTGACAACGAGCCTTAGAGAACATGTCGTGAATGCCGGGGTAACGTTGCTTGACTTTGCGCTCGATATGAAAAAACGGTGGCAATAATTTCCTCGGGGTTGCCGATGCTTTACAAAAATGTCTAACAGCTCGCGAGTTCCAATGTGGCTGTGCAGGGAACTTATTCCAGATTATCATAATCGTCTGCAGTAGATGAGAGTGTGTGCGGATCATATCGGATTATGACGAATGACTTTCACAAGCCGAGACATCAATATCCAGGGATTCTGAGGTTCTGACGTTCCGTGGGACAGCAGATCATACTTAGGGCGACGCTGCCTGATGAGGCTAAGCAAAATGATGATCACCTAGATGCCGATGCCTTGATTGGTATATATGTGAGGTTCTTCTACTCTCAACACTGCCCAGTTGGGCTGTGCCACTTGTGTGCGTCAAGACCTACGAGTCTAGTCTCGCTCATACAATTGCCAAGAACTTCGAGAGCAGGAGAGAGCAGGCTGAGAAAAGCACGCAAGCTTGCAGTTGTGACACGCTCTTCCTGTGGGCCCCAGTCGTTAGCTCTGTAGTAGCTGGCATGTGGCTGACCTTTTAGAAGGCCGAGAAGGCAAATGTTAAATGGTCAGAAGGCTGAAAGCGTGTATGTAGGACCAGTGAGGATCAAGGCTCGAACATATTAACAGCAGGCGCCAGCGCCACGCTGACGTGGAGGATTTCCTGTGCCGACTTATACAAGGCGACCCTTCAACCTCGAATCTTTTTCTCTCCCGGGACTGTCCACACTTCTCGACCTGGATTCGCACGACCCGTACTAGCCCCTGATGACATAGATTATCAGCAAGCTTGCAAACAGCGATAGGCGTACGAATGGATCCCCAGGATGAGACACATCTGTGCACGAGTGGACGCCCATCGTTCGCCATTTACAGACTCTACCTACGAATTAATCCGGACTGCCGCAGCTACCATAGTCTCGTATCGTGCATGCGGTCACTATCAGCAATAGCGGTTGTCGCTAGCGATGTTTCAAAGTCTGAGGCACAATGTATCGGAGCGATCAATCACTCATTAGTCTGATGGAACCTATCATGAGGACGGCATGAGGAGTGAACAGCTTCGCTTCGGCCCCTATTTGGTGTTAACTGCTCATCGTTGGCTTGTTGCCGTTGGTTGTAAAAGTCAGACTGCCGATATCAATTGTCAAAGGGAAGCTGGGGTCATCAACATTGTTGTTGGTATTGGTAAAGTAAAGTCTATTTGCTTACACTCAACGATCGAATAGGGGATGTGTCGTTGCTATGGTTATATTTGTCATCGTCGTCTGGCAGGTGATGTGTCTGCGGAGCGGTGCTCGGGCCGCTGGCACTACAGTAGGCAGGCACTGATAAGTTACCAAGACGTTAGAAGGTCTCCGAAGATATTCGTCGCCATATTTTCCGGCTCATCAGTAAATGCTAAGCTCCTACGCGAGCCTCATACTGCACCCCACTGAAATACTCGAGATTCGAAACCGCAACGGCCACGAGACCGTCCGGACCTGGCGAACGATCCGAGAAGCCAGACCTCAGCGCATATAGATGCTTGCTCCTATTACGGCCTTCCCTATCGCGCAAGAACATGGAAACGTGTGAAATACCGAGGCCCTAGCTATGACAGAAGATGTACAAAGGGAAAGAGAATGAATATCGCATGGACGGGGACACGGATATCGAATTAGTTGAAACGCGATTGTGGTATCGAGAAAGAGAGCCAAAACAGGAAAGGGAATGAATATGTCCAGAGTGTGAGAATGTAGAAATGAGCATGTAAAGACAGCAAGAGCAGGAGTATCAGTGGAGAGACAGCAGAATGTGGCTCGACATACGAAGCTCTTGAATATGTTGAAGGTGAGGGACCTAGAGCTCTGCGCAAGCCCGGGACTGCATTGAACAGTTCCGCCACGGGAATTGAACCTGTCCGGCTGCGCACCTTCGTCGCTCGACAGGATTGGAAGCATTTTGACATCTGGAGTGCGGCACAGCCAGACCTTAGGGCCTTCGATGCTTCTTATCGAAGTGCTTCTTGAGTGCGTCCTGCCTCCTGAAGACTTTATCGCAAAATTCCACTGCGCAGCGGTATTCTCTTCGTTTATGCACGAGTCTAATGTGGCGAGCGAAATTACTCCGTCGAAACTTGCCACTGAACAGTACTCGGCAATTACCGACGTCGCATACCAGCGTTGGCCGTACGATGGAAGGAGTAACACTGAACTCGGAAGGCGTTGGCGATGTCGGGATATTCCCATGGTCAGGTGCGAGGAAACTACTCGATAATCTGTGCGGAGCATGTCAGCCTATGCCAGTCCGGCATCATGCTGATACGTACCTCATAATAGGAACAGGCCCTGAGCTGTTACTCAATTCAAACCCATTGAATAAGGGACTGGTGGAGGGACCTACAGGAAATGGATTCCTCACCAGACTACCTTGCTGGATCCCACGACTAGCCTTTTGAGTCGTAGCCTGGTCCATGGCGGAGTGGGAAGAACTCGAAGCCGTGGTGTCGAAGCTAAGCATCGCCGGATCCAAATTCCAAGAAATGTCTGTATTTCCTGTGCCACCCACATCCGACATCCATGAATGGCTGTTCGTATGAGTTCCGGATGACGTTACAACGCCCATTAGAGGCCTCTGCTGGCACCTGTCAAAGGTGTCCCCGGTGTGAGCTACGCCTGGTCTGTTCTGCTCAGGTGACCAAGGGAGGTTTGAGTGCTGCCTTTCCCGTGCGTATGGCACATGTCCCAGCTCGGTGAGCATGTGGATAGGTGTGGGATAGGAGTTCATTCCAGGGTAATTCAGGCTGAGACTACCAGGCAAAGCCATTGTCTGTCGTCGAATGTCCACTTGGAGCCCGTCATAATCTTCGACGTTCAACAGCAGTAATTGGGGATTCATGCAACCTTCCGACGCAAGAGGCAGGCCATGTGAGTCAAAGCCTAGTTCAACACTTCGGGTCTGACTTGCCGGATACGGTTGACCAGTCGTCGTGTATGCATGACCCCCTGTACCGAAGGTCATGGAGGATACCTGGTCTGCGAGACCATTGAATTCAGGCTGAAGGGCTATGCTTGACAATATATGAGTGCTTGAGCTCGTTTGTTGGATGTCCCAAGATAGTGGCAAAGACTGCTCATCAACTTGATCGGTTCCATCCATGCCAGCTAATACCGCTAAGCGATTTTGAACATCTCTCCGCTCGTGTTCGATGCCATAAACAGGGGCACGGTTCCGCAAGTCATTGAACGCCAAGTCGTCTGCGTGGTAGTTTGGCGAACGGTTACGTGCGTTTCGATTCCTCATAGTTGATTCACACCCCAGATCAATAGCAGGTTCGGCTTGTATACTGACTCAAAGCCCCTCTAGGTGTGTGGTCAGGATGGCAATTGTGCGAAAGAATGAGCCAATAAAGAAGTTTTGCGGACAGAAGTTGCAGCGATGGTGTGATACCAAAGAGAGTGGCGCTTTCGGAGTACGATGGATGGAGATGAGTATTACTGTTTCTACGATGGGTAATAGTGTTTGTGCCGCTCTATTTCTGATAGAGACAGGAAGTTCTTCTCAGAGACTTCTTGAGCTGAGGAAGATGAGGCCGAACCTGCACAGAACGAAAGCCAGTGCAGGTGTTCTTATCCGAAGAGACTATACGAGCGCGACGCTGAGCGTTACTCGAAGATGAAGGCGCTGCTGATGCCTGTCGGAGTTTAGCCGTCTGCAGCCACAACGTTCGGGGGGTGGGGGTGAGCTTACACGAGGCTGGATGTCAAGACTGCGTCTGGTCAGGAAAGCGGGCCACAAAAAATTCAAACTATGTAGAGAGTCGATTGTGTTAGATAATTAACAGAGAGGGAGGCGCGTTGGATCATTTTCAAATTCCAAGAGGAGGACTGGCAAGACCCACAGAGTCCTCCATCATGGACCATTCAGATCCCCAGACTTCGGAACCTAAGCTGCCCACAACCCACGTCTTGTATCGGAACATTGTCACACCTGTGAATGACAAGGACACAAGAACTTTCGCGATCCGCGCTGACAGCCATGACTACCGGTAATCCACTGCGTGCGCGCACACGTAGCAGCTGGGCAGCACAACCAGATCCGCCTCTGGGTACTTCTCATTGCAGCCATCACCATTTCTGTTTTTTTCATCAAGAAGCTTCGCCTGATCGGCGACGCTGTGCGCTAGGAAGGGGGGCGCAGTGCCGAAAACTTCGACCGTGTTTGAGGCCGCACACGACGGGCTGTGCTTGTTGGATCGTTTCCGAACATTACGAAGTACCTACGTCGATTTCAGGGCAGGGTCCGAAGCTGCTCGAAGATGTTGCAAATGGAAGGGGCGATTGTCAGAGCTGCAACGGCAAGAGCAGCAGCAGCGCTTCTGGACACTTGACGTGTGGCGCTCATCAATTAGCTCATCAATATACGCATACCATCAGCGAATACACGACTTCCTGGACAAATTTGCCTCCATGTGCGCCTTTATGCCAGTGGATCACGTTGGAGCCTAATCATGCATGGCACCTGCACGTGGACGGCGTTCACGATAGGTACTGGTAGGTACTGTACCGTGTCCGTGCACCCACCGATCGGAGTCAACCAGCGATCGTTCTGAGCCTTTACAGCTATCACCAAATTGAAGCTGTAGAGCCACCTACAATAACGTATTCAACCACTGAGCCGTCCAACCCACCGAGCCGGCCACTTTTCCTTGGCACGACCAACTCAACAACTTCAAACCTTAACATTATCGCTATTAAATAGTGAAACTGCGTATGTTGTGCTTGCATTGGATTTAGAAGATGTTTCAATATCCTTTTTGCATGTTCGCACGTTGTGCCTAGTCCTGCCACAGTTCCTACAGCGTCGGACAGCTGGTTGAGCTTGTCAAGCCTCAGCTCCGGCCACTGAGACAAGCAAACCAAAAGGTAACATGGCTCACACTGATGGTGAGCCTGCGCCGGAACAGTACTGATATCGTAAGACACAGGTCAGAGGTAGCTTTTGCTACATGCCTTGTCATGGGTCAGAGGTGGCTTCGCCATATGCCCAGCCTGACAGAGCTCTTTCTTGACCACAACCACTACACGTCTTCTTTAACCCCTTAGCAGCTACAGACGCCTTAGCAGCCACCTGTGTAGCTGCCTCGCCATACTCAACAGTCCCACTGTGCTGTTGGCGCTTGCGTTTACGCGCTTTTCCCTTAGTCATAACTGCTAATTGCTCTTTAAGCTCTGTATTTTGAGCTGCTAGAAGCGCGTTTTGGTGTAGCATCAACTCAGCTCCCTTTACAAGCTCGCAAGATTCTCGTACGTGTTTAATGCATCAACGTGCAGATGCGCTGCAACAGTGACCACAGAAACGAAGGAAAGTGACTGTGCGATGCATTTCGAAAGGGCGGAATCAACGCATCTCAATCGACCTCCTGCATCTGTCAAGGTCTTGCAGGGTATCAAAATCGAGATGTAGACGGGCAGACCTGCAGGTCTCCGCAGCAGATGGCTTGATTCTCCAGCAAATGTGTTCCACTCATAGCACTCGCAGGTGATACTGTCGCGTGAACTGCAAGGTAAACTACGAAGTACATACACAACATTCGCTGCGATGCCATGGGTTACTTTGAAGCGAAAGCCTTGCTTCAGCCATAACTCTTGGACGAGTCCGAACCTCGGGGGTTAGTCTCTTTTTGGTGATCTGTTCGGCCTGGACAGTGAACGACATTCTGGTAGACCTTTCACCATCGGTACACTCGTGACAACCCAAAGCGCCTCCGATCGATGGCCAGCATATCAACCGGGCTAGTCTGAACTACTGTAATAGGTGTATAAGCCGATGGAAATGCAGCCGTTCCAAATTCCTTACTCACAGACTCTAATATTTTTGTGCAATTCCGGCTAAGGTGGCTCCCTACCTCATACAACCCGAATCTTGACGCCTCTAAAGGTTCTCTTTATCTACGTATGACTGACGGCTATCTTTGAAGAGCACACAGTCAGCCGGTAATAATTCCCACGACCTATACTCATCTGATCTGCAGACCCTCGAAGAAGTGACTGGTCGACCAGGTTGGGCAACATCGGCTGAAAGTGCTGATAGACCGATATGCAGCAGAGCCGCATGCTAGCCACTTTCTTCACATATTCATGTCAGCCAAGTTGAATAAGAGCAGGGATACTAATACCAGTTCATAATCGGTACGTTCTCTCTCAGCTACATGTGGTCTGTCAGTTGACCAGAAGTCGTTGACCTCGCAACGGGATTAGACGGGGGGCAGCTGGCGCTAGAATCTGTCACATCTCGACAGGCAAGATGCATATGTACAGCAGTCAGGCCCCCTCCGGTCAAACCCAGTACACTCTTACGTGCATCTCAGGTGACAGCTCATATTCGTACATGCAACAGAGCCTCGAAAATGACCAGGAAGACCTTCAAACATGGAGACCGTGACTTCATGTGACCCACTACGCCTCACTTCAGCCCCCGGATTGACCATGCATCTGACGCTCGCCCTTAGGCCCCTGCAATGTGGGGCCACAAGGCTTCATATCAAATCTATCACTGGGCAGAAGTACATATCCGACGCCCTGCTGCACGACGGCGGATTACAACCAGCAGAAACTCTCCCCATTATTGGTAGGCATATCACATCCGCTAACGGCTCGTAACTGCTACCACGTGGGCGCCAACAGCAGCCACAACCCGAGGGGTGATTTTGGAAGTGGGGCTTGTCCGTTACCCCTTGAAGAAGTAGTGACACAAGGCTAGGAGCGTTTGACCGCCAGTTCGTCAGGGCACTAGAAAACAAGAGCATGCAGATATCTATTGGCAGGTCCAAGACAACAGTCCAATTGTCACTGGTGCACTGTTGTGTCCATCATCAGTCAACGTGGTGACAAATTTGGCAACTGCATTTAGTGCTACTCAGACATTCTGGTGTTTTTTTTTCTTTTCAAAAAGAGATGTTTTATATCCATCACAGATCTGAGGCGACATGGCTGGGTATTATAATGCTACTTTACAGTCCACGCGAAACGGAAACAGATGCGAAACATAACTACCTCTTTATGACCTTCGCCGCTTGTTCGGCCTTGAGTCTTCATCTCGATGCTTCTTCCAACTGTGTTTCCTCAACGCATCGGCACGGTTGTACGCCTTCATACAAAACCTGCACGGATGTATCGCTCCGCCCATGAGTGACTCATGGATCTGCCGCATGTGCCTCGTCAAGTTACCTTTCCCATATTTGCCTGTGAAAATCTTGTTGCAGTGCTCGCAGATAGCTGATGAATACTGAGCAGGGCTCGCAGCTAGTGGACTGTAGGCAGGTGGCGGCACTCCTTCGATCGTGTGACAAAAACTGGCGGTTGTGTCGTGCATGTGAATGGCTGGTAGGAATTGCGACTCGTTGTATGCTGGCGATTGCTTCCTGCCTTGGATCTCGCGAGGCGGTGGAACATATTGCGGTGATAAATGCGTGTTTCTTTCTGATGACAGAGCCTGAGTTTGGTGACCTGTATGCAAATCATGGTGGCAGCATTGAGCGTTCGTCGCCCAAGTACATGGTTGGTAGCTCGGTGCGGAATGCGTGTTCGATTCGTGATTGATTGGCTGGTATCGCTGTGGAAAAGCTGTTCGCAGATACTCGGGTCCAGGCTGCGGCCATGCACCGAATGTTGCAGAGGCTGACTGCGGTTGAGCAGACAGAGTTGCAGAATTGGAGGAATTGGTAGAACTGGGAGTCAAAGGCGACTCAAAGCTACGCTGCATCTGGTAATGCTGAGGCTGAGGGTGATACCACGGTAACGTACTTGCTGTATCGCAAGGGGAGACTAGTGGCGGACCAGACTGCAAAATCCAGTGTGGCTGGGTCCTATTGCCGAAGCGACCCAGTGGTGTATTTGGAGATATCGTAGATGCAGAGTGTGGAGATTGATCATATGTCATGGCGGGTACGTTTTGCATCGATCCAGGTACTGCGAGGCGCGGAAGACTTTTGGGGGTCGCGACTTGGAGAGGAGCTTGGTACATAGTAAGATCGCCAGCGAACTCTTGCTTGCCGCAGCCCTGACGAGAGCTGAGCAGACACTCGTTGTAGGGCTCGATCATCGCGCAGAACTGACCTGTCGAAGTGTATGGTTGCGGTTGTTCCAGCTCAAACGTCTCTCCGTCGATAAGTGAGGACTGGGGAAACGAAGCCGGCATCTCTTCTAATGGGGCTGAGCCTGTGATGGGAGTTCCCCCAGCAGGCAATTCTGAGGCGTCTACCCTATATCGATACTCGAATATTTCCTGCGAAGGTGCTGATGGTGCTCGTCTAAAATGTACGAACAGCCGGCTGAGACGCTTTCGTATGCTTTCACGACGTGAAAGAGCAAAATGACAGTCAGTCTCAATCTTCTGCTCACTGGCGTTCGGTACTGCAACTGAAGAAATTATAGAGCCCTTGCTGTTAGATGAGCGAGTGGTTGACCCCGTTTCAGAAATGGGCGAAGCGAGTGTATTCTGTATAGATTCTCGATGTGGTATTGAACAGTCGAGTGTATGGTGCTTGGTCGAAGTGAGTCTGCGCATATTAACCACTGGTCTCGCAAGTGAGTAACAGCTTGAAGGTATACGAACTCACTCAAAGCTCCAGCGGTTATTTGATTGAATCAATAGTCGCATATTGTCACTTGCTAGGAATCGGTTCGAAGATATCCGGTCTGAGTGGAAAGCGCCATGGCAGGACTTTTATGGTCGCAAATCCACGATAGCACAGAACGCGCGTCTCGATGGGGTCCGCTTGGTGTGTCCCCGAGGACTTTTGCGGGACAAAGTGCGTACCTGCAACTTGAAACTGCTGGGCAGCGCCCTTGAGGGCGCTGTGGATAGGTGCATGCGGTGGGTACCGCCCGGGAAGGAGCGATGGTGCTTCCGACTGCATGAGCAATGCCTGCAAGCAAAAGGCAAATCGCCATTCCGTAAGGTAATTGGTCCACAATCGCTCGACTCACTGCGGGACATATCGATGGTTCGTTGTGTCTCTGGTGGAAGGTCTTGTTGCCTTCCCTGACACCTTCAACATCAATTGCTTAGCGTCGCTCACTCCAATATTGCTGATTCATTGGTGGGGATTCTCCATGTTTGTTTCTGCCCCAGGCCAGTTTGATCACTGGTCCTATTAGCAAATGCGAAGGGCTGTGAGTAGAAAGGTAAGGCGCACCTCAGGCTTCAGCTGGGTAAGCATCAATTGCCTAGGCCGAATCGGGCACGACCGAGGCTGGTTTTTCACCGGTGTTAATATCAGGTAGCTCTGTGCTACCATTGCGTCCGTGGAGACCTGAGTTGGTGAACGACAACAGATGAACCTGAAGGCCGAGTGCTGAGGGCGCGATGCATAGCTCGGTAGGCTTTGCATGCTGGCATTGACGTGAGCAGCCGGAGTGCCTAGGTAGATGCGCGAAGAGTTGCGTTGCAGAAAATCGAAAGGAGTGCTGTTCTGGAGGACAGGCTGTGCTGTAGTCGAGTACTAACCATGTGGAGGAAATGACATGGGCGGACGATCAGTGGTCGACGAATCGAACAGGCCCCGTCTGGGTTGAAGTAGCACTGCGATTGACCTGCTGCAGTGACAACAGGTCTTTCGAAAGTTCTCGCTCACATTGACGGAGGCATTGATACTTCATATCCCACGATGGATGTCTATTTTCAGCTCCCGATGGTCCTGACATGAGCCCCTACAATGATCCTCAGTTTGAGAATCTATTTTCGAGGCTCTAGCTGTGCTATGATTACACCGAACGGTGGGGGCCGAATCAGAGTTGAGAGCCAACTTGCGATCCTGTCAGATTCGGTGTCAACGTTACAAGCCATGATCGTATGCAGATGAACTAGAGACGGGTCAGATAGACTGACGGGTCGGCGTGCCCGAAGCTCAGCATCGCTGATTCTTCCCGATAAAGTCAATACACATGAAGCGTCATGAATGAGAACGAAGGAATCGAGGGACTCGACCGGTGAGGTCAACCTGGCATGGCGTCCTGGAGGACTCTGCTCTAGCGCGCCGGCGCCGGTGATCGAGAGGAGAAGGCAATATCTTATTGACGGCCGCTGGGTGGAGAACAAGCGGTATACCATTGAAATCGGCTAACAATACACGAATCTCGCAAAGGATACTGTGATGAGGTTTCGCTCAATCACTTCTACCGGTACCGGTACCGGTAGGTAGCGACCCCACCTCGGTTCGGGAACACCCGACGATCTCGCATCACCAGTGCAGCTCCATGCACCCATCTCATCACATCTTCGAAGGCTGAATGACACAAAACTTGTGAGCTTCTGATGGAAATCAGTGAGGTAATCTTGAAACCAAGTCGCTAGCAAAATTGCAAGCCCGACATGCCGGGGCCGTCTCTACAACCGGGCTATCTTTCGACTTTCGTCGTCACACGAGCGCACTTTCCGTGGCTAGAATGAGATGAGGAGCAACACTTACAAAATACTAACAAATGCTATTGTCGACGTTAAGAGCCATGGAGTCCTCCATACAATGACTGGCTATCATTATCGCAACTGCTACAACAAGCGAGATTGAATATATGGATTCAGTCCTCCAGCGTACGCGCCCAGGAGCTTGGCTGAGGCAAAGTGATGATCACCGGTGAGGGAGCTGCGTAAGCACGCAGAGCCGCATCATTTCAGTTTCCGAGATCTTGTCATGCCCTCGACTTTTCGGTCGTGACTACTCTGCTTCTTCACAGATTTACCAAAAGCATGTCTAGTGATGTGACAGCAATTTAGGCAAGATCAGGGATCATAGGTGCCATCATTTTGTAGAACTAACAACAAACAATGATCGCCCAGGAACATACCATCCGTCCAGATAAATTGTGAAAAGCCTTGACCATCTTCAAACGGTAGAAGGAAGCCGTGAGAATAAACCGTAAATGTCATCCTCAGCCTTGTCAAAGGCTCAAGTATGTGTGATGCAATGTGGGACGCTCCGAGCGCTTACTATATGTCTGCACCTTCACACGCTGCTGTACCACCATCGCCACATTCACAGCTTTTCCTCTAGCGCCCTCAATTCGGCCCTCATTAAGATTCTTCACTCTTATTGAATACTTGTTCAGTGACCGGAACTTGTGAAGAGTACTCTAGGTTTATATACGTCCCTTGCTGCTGCTTGAATGCTTTCTGCTCTTCTTTTATGTGATTCACGTTGATCTCTTCTTGCGTCTCTGGCTCGGAACATCATAGTCAGACTTGTGCGGAACTCCTGCGATGCCATGGAAAGGCTTGTCCCGTTCCTTCTCGTACTGCGATCTCGCCATACCACTCGTCGGTAGATGTGGTAGATGTTGCTGAGTATTGTATCGAGGGTGAGAAGAGCCATTGTCATCACCTCCGCTAAGAGCAGGGTTGTTCAGGATACGGTGCACGTCGTTGTTGATGGTGACTCGGTCTCTCAAAACCTCGTAATCGTACTGATATGGTGGGGACGGCCCCCTTTGCTGGCTAAAGGGGACTGGCTGACCAATTTCCGCTCCGATCTCCTCTGGACTAGGATAGCCGTAGGTATAGGGATCATAATGATTTGATTGATGCGAATGCGTGACGTTGTCTGCGATGTTTTGATAATACGTGGACTAAATCAATCAGAACGAGCTGTGCTTGAATGATGAAGTTGGGAGTACCTGAATATTTAAGTTTGCGGCGTCGGAGTGGCCATGCGTGTTCTGGGTGCTTTGATAATGATGTGGATGATGAGACGGGGAATTCATCCTGCCTAGAGTGCCAGGTGCGTGGGGGGTTGGAAACACGGTGACCTGTGGCTTATGACAGAAACTCCACTCGCAGTCAAGCAAACATGACGGTGAAAGTGACAGCTGGAAGCACAATGGAACAAGAAGGAGCTGGCTGAGGTTGGCGCTTCGATGCATATGATCAAGGATAGTAGCAGACTCGCTTGCGTGAGAGTCATTCAATGAAGTACTGTGGCAGAGAGCGGGACTGAACGGAAATGAAAAGCGTAATATCATCAGACGAAGGCGTGGCGACGACTTGATTCAAGGAACTGAGGGACTCGACAAACCATGTTTGCGATGCCGCAGGTCGTACTTGCACAATCACTTTGCCCTTCAGCGCTTCGTTGGCACTGCTGTACCTCCGCAGGGCAAGAAGGACTTAGATTCGGTATACGGGTGGCAGTAGATCTCTTCCCATATGCGTCTGAACGGATGTGAAAGAACGAAGTACGGGCCGTTCGGCATGCCTATATTGCGGAATCAACGTGCACGACGAGTGGCGAAGTTGCAAATGGCACGACGAGTCGTCTAGAACTCGAAACCGCTCACAGAGAACCATCGAAAGGGCAAGCAAAGAGGGGTGCATTTGATAGAGGGGTACCCAGGCCGCCGAAGGGCACACCAGACTATGCTCATGTGCTCTTAGAAGGGGCAAATCCAGAATTTTTCGATGTAGGGAGAAGTTGCGGAAATTAAATTCGTTCAGGTTGTCCAGTAAGATGCAGGGGCAGTTGATCAGGCGCAGAGCCTCAGGACAACACGCAAGTCCAGCAAAGATGCTGGGGGATGATGCGGGGTTGCGCACAGCAAATGCCTTCAAATTCGGCAGTATTGTCATGACGCTGTATTATAGGCTTAATCCTGTGCCGGGTGTGAAAAGACAACAAGTTCTGCATGTCACACGGTTTGTGATGAAGTGCATCGATGTCGCGCGCGGATCGATGTTGTCCTTTCTAGTGGCCGTCGGAGGGAAGGCGACGCGGCTCGCACCGAGCAGCCGCAACCTGAAAGCTCGTGTAGCCCTGTGAACATCTACCAAAAATAGTATACTCGCCTGTCGATACGCGAAGTCGGCGAAGTTGTATTCGTTGATGCCCTCTAGTGGTACTTTGTCACTTGTACTTACCCCTATGGTCTCTGAAGCCTTTTTGACTACGCACCTGCGGCCTCTGTATAGCTCTTACTTCCACTTGATGAAGAAAAAGATCTAAATTTCCGGTTCATTTGTATGAGCCCCGCAGCCTTAATTTTGCGATCACATATTCAGTGGTCAAAATGCCCTCCTTTCGTAGAAAACAACTGCACAGCATCGAGTGAAGACACAACAGCAAGTGATTCATGGGCTAAACTTCGCAGATTCCCGTACATGTGTCTTCAATGTCGTTGCTTAGCCACCCGACTGTAGCAATGGGTGGGAGTCTGACCGAGCGTCTAACTGTTCAGAGCTGTAGTTGCTATCCATTATACCGAATGCTGCGGATTGCAAGTGAAAAACGAGTCATTTTCATGAGTCGTATCTTGTGTCTGTTGGTCGATTCCGTAGCTCGTAGACTGACTTCTTCGACGGGTTACTTTCGACCTATATTCATTAGCATACAAACTCAAGCCACCAGGGCTTCTGCACTTACAAATCTTCGCTCGTCGTCTTTAGCCACTTCCAGATGGCCTTCATACTTCCAGAAGTCTCTCTCCCAGGTGGTCAGGGATGCATAGTTGAGGTAAGACAATCCCCTCTCGTTCCCACGGTCCAACACGAACTGGCGAATCTGAGAGCCATACACAACTTCATCGACAATATCAGCCCATAAACCGTCAAGAAGACTGCATTTACTGAACTTTACATTCGTAAGAGTCTTCTTGTGTCGCTTGATCATGTCAGACAGATCTTTCTCATTTGCGAAGATGCCCTTCAGACTCAATGTCTGCAACTTCGGCCAAGTCGTCTGAAGGCCGAGCCGAGCGAAGACAGGCTGAGCACCTACTTCTGACTTCCAATGCGTAGGGTGGAGGTGGAGGTGTTGCAGACATGTGGAACTGCGCAGCAGTGTAGCGAATTTGTCAGTGACTTCACCGAACGTGGCCTTATCCGAAACCTTCAACGCCATGTTCAGTACAAGCTTCTCAAGGCCCTGAAACAAAAATTCAGCGGCCACCATCTCGCTTTCGTCCAGGTTGAAGATGCCAATAGCAAACTCAGTGCCAGGGTTAGCAATGCTCTCGCCAACATAGTCTGCCCTGAGCTCGCGGATGCCAGCGAATTGAGACAAATACAACGCCGCAATAAGTTGACGAAAAGGGTGTTTGGAGGATGTATAATCAGATTTGGGTGAATCCGAAAGGCTTCTCTGAACCAGGCCCTTCATATCTTTGGCTTCAGTCGGGAGATGATGGGGGTGTGGTGAGTACGTAATGCAAGAAACATTTGGCATCCAATCAAGGGCTCTTGAAAGGGTGTGCACAAGAATACCGTCGGTCTTCATCTCTTCTTGTTCTTTGTAGAGCTGGACATATCGCTGCCATCTGTGCAGGTGTTAATGGTACCAGACCCTTTGGAGCTGGCAATACTTACCGAGTGCGCTTCTGCCACTGGAAGCCCTTCTCAAGGTTGGGAATCCTGGCAGCAAGGCTGTGATATGATCGTTCACGCCTTGCAAGAAGCTTGTCATATTGTGACCCGTCGAAGACTATCTCCCGGACATGTTTCTGAAACACTGGGAATAACGAGATCTTCTGCAAAGCACCCAGTGCTTGATATCGTGCTGCCGCAGTAACGCATTGGAACAATGTGGGCTCAGCATTATCTCTGAATGCACGGCAGACCGCACGCACAGCCTTGAGGTGTAAACCTTTGAGATAGCTGAATATCTCGATTTGTAATTCGGAAGGTAGCAAATCAAAAGACATCACGACTGAACGGGCCAAAAACCAAATATCCGCGAGGCGTTGTGGTGGAAGCAGGAAGTCGAGCAGGCAGCTGCCAGTTGTTTGCCTGCTACGGATGTGGGGAAGCCACGCTAACCGGAACGACCGCGCTAAACGACGATCGTTACAGTGCAAGCAAAGGGAGTGAGGGTGGGTGACCGAGACAGTTTGAAGACTTAAACAACAGCCTGCAAAAAGCATATGTGTGATAAACTCATTATTGTTTTCTCAACTTACTCAAAGCTGCCATAACACCCTCACTGGCATCTTCTTCGGCCTGTTTGCGCTTCGCAGGCCTGGATACAGCATGCTGAGGTGCATGATCAAGTTCCTTCAGCGCTTCTTCGTCGTCCTCGAACTCGTCCAAGACTTCAGCAGGACGATGATCAGGCCGCCTGTCTGCGTCCGCGGTCATACCTGAAGTTGTAGAAACTTGCTGCACTCCAAGAGGCATTGGTGCAGCATCAATTAGTCTCTGACGCGCCATGGCCTGGAGAACAGGCTCTCCAGGCGCCTCACGTTCATCTTCTGCCATAGAGGTATCTCTCTCTCGACCTGCTTGAGTGTTCTCCCGGGTAGGTCCTAGGCTACGTTTTGCAGCCTTCTTGACTCTGAACGGCTCTTTCATCGCGTTACACCAACGCTGAACCTTCTTATCTCCCCATCCGGCGATCAGGCCAATCTCTTCTGGTCCGGCGTTGATGGCAGTCCGTATGCTGCCGAAGTTCGACACCAGGCCTACAGCGTCGGTCTTGTTGATGCTGCGCGGCACTGTGATGAACTCGACCATGTTCTCTGAGTAGGTAGAAGACTGCTTGGCACGAATGCTGGTGGGTGCAGCATGTTCGAACGTCTTGAAGAGCTCCAGGTAGCGCCCAGCTTCCTGTGCGCTCCAACACAGCATGACGGTGACGTTGTTGACCAATGACGTCTTCGACAGCTCTCGCAACGAATCCTCGTGATTCTCAACGTCGACCATCGTCAATACAATGCGCAGATCATACTGACCCTTCAGGTCGCGTATGCGATTGTAGATGTACTCCGGGTGCAGACGGTGATACTTGAGCGACAGGAACAGCGCGCAAGTCGTGGCACCAAGGACGTAATCCGCAGGGATGTCTGAATACTCCCAAGCGGTCAACTTGACGTTGTTTAGAATTGGGTTTCCCTTTTGGCGCGGCGAAACAAGGATCGAGCTGGGGCCTGAGCGCGAGGGCAAGGCCTGTGGTTTAGGCTGCTGCACTTTCGGCGCATTGGGGTTTGCGGTGGTTGAGGGCGTAGGACGCGTAGGTTGACCAGATGTGCTGGCAGAGTGGGCGGCTTCGCCAGCGCGAGAGGTCCTGTCATCCATACTGGCCGGGCAATGCAGTCATTGGGCGAGCATGCACGTTGATCCAAGATTGGCGGAGTGCCGGCGAATGTTTGAGCTTGCCAGGTGAAACCGTTTCGTTAGCTGGATGATTTCCAGGGTCGCGCCTTCCAAGACTGCGCGCCAGCACGTGACCAGCTGGGAAGGAGCGGACTGAGCCGAGTTCCCTCGCATTCACGCCGTCACCTCTGTCACCCAGCCCACTCCCACCGCCCAAATCGCCCACGCCCCGCAAATCCCTCGGAACCACCGCAAACTCACCGTCCGACGACACTCTTCGAATGCGCACCGTCTAGAGCGCCGCGCACACTCTCTTTTAGCGTGAAGCGCCAAGCCCATTACGAGCAGCGCTCACCTACAGCCTCACGCCCACCGCCTACGAGCCCTTCACTGCCGCTCTACCACCAACCTCGCGGTATTCATGTCGGGTCACAGCGCGAAACGCCAACGCCTGGACAACTCTGGAAGATACTCGCCGGCCTCCCCACCCTTCGACGTCGCTGCCAAGGCGAGCGGCCAAACGACAAAGCCTTTTGTACCGCGTACTCCGACCTCTCCTCCTTGTCACTCGATGAATTCGCAGTCCAATGGCCGCTCTGCCATGACTGCGACTTCCACGTCTCCGGGCAAGACGCCGCCATCCTCAGCCAACATGTACCAGTCTGTGTCTCAACCGGCGACATCGGCCTCGGCCCAGCACCCGTTTCCCACGTCAGCGAGCACTACAGGGCATTCTTACTCGACGAACATTGATAGCGACGGTGATGCGATGATGGAAGACGGCTCAGAAGAGACTGCGCAGGGCCTCGGCATAGACACACATTCCAATCACGACCGGCAAGGGCAAGCACTCTTTTCTGAAAAGGGAGGGCTGAGAGCTGCAGAGGGAATTTGTGGGAGTCTGCTCTTCTTGAGTGGCGACGAAACTTTCAAGCAGTCGGAACCGCATAGCACGCAAAATCTTTTCAGGTTGTACGGCCTGGAGAGACTAGCGAAGTCTGTGGCGCGAGTGGATCCGGTGACCGGCGAGAAGATCAACAAATTGCGAAAGTCTTACGAAGGCCACATCAAAACCCTGCAGATCGCAGGCAAGCCAAAGGCGGTGAAGATGGACGATGTGTTTAGCGGCCCAATGAGTCTGCCAGATGATCATTGGGGGGCGATCAACGCTGGGAAAGAGCCTTGGAGACAACTGAATCGCGAGGAAACCGCTCTGGTACCGGACTTCAGCAGTCTACTCGACAGTGCATTAGGCGGCATGGGGCCTGGCGCATTGCCACCTTCAGAGGCGTCAAAGTACAAGGCATACATTGGCACAGACGACAACCTCCGCGCGAAGCCTGTTGCCGATACCCAAGCTCGCACACCACTTCCTTCCTCGGCGCCGACACAGAGCAGGCATGCACTGCAGCGAAGACCAGAGAGATCAGGCTCGAAACGACAGTACAACGAGGACTCTTACCAAGGCTACAGCGAGGGCTACGGCGACGACTTTGCAACCGACTCGACAGGCGAAGACGGCGCACGAGGAAGTTTCAAGAGGCGGAAAACACAGTTTGAGCGGACCCCGCACTCAGTCGAAGTTGGCGGTGCTCGGCGGTGAAACAACACTTGATTTGATATTTTCGCACATTCGACATTATAGAGCACTGGGCTTTGGATTTTCAATAGGCGTTACATGGCGCATTCGAAACTATCCTCCACGTTCACAAGAAAACGGTCACGAGAACGACGGACCTTACACGCTGGGCAGGCAACCAGACGACGGCCAACATGATCACCTAGACGACGCCCGATCACACGCCCCGACGCCCACGCATTGTACACCACTTCTTTTCACACTCTAATGCGCAGCGATGCAGGTATGAATCATTCCTACAACACATATGGGGTATATCCGGCGCCGGCGGATCGAATTTCGTCACAATATTGCCTTTTTTCTCAGCCTTCAGATCGACCGTTTCTAGCTTGCAGCTTCAGCTTTGGCAACTTTCAGCACGCGCCTCGGTCAGTCTGGTTACAGTCAGCTGCCTTGAGACGAGCGGTGCTTTGTGCATATTCGGGATAATGTCCCTCATGATACCCGTGGATTTCGACACGATACGAGTCCAGATATAAAATGAATCAAAACGTAAAATTACTATACATTTGTGCCACATCTACTACAGTGCTTCGTTACTGCAAGCTCAATCCGCTTAACCCAACACAATGGTACACATATTTGTACACAGCAGGCGTCTCACAATTGCTCCAATAACCCCTCAACCTCCCCTTTCAGCTCATCAAGCTTAACGTCCGTCTTCACCCCCAGCCTCCGACACTGCACCTCCACCTCCCTCCTCTCCTTCCACCCGCGCCCCAGCACGACGACCACCGGATACCCAATCAAATCCGCATCCTTCAACTTCCACCCCAGACTCTTGATCGGCCGATCGTCCAGCACCGCATCAACCTCGCTACCCTTCTCCGTAATCGCATCATACACCTCAACAGCCTCGGCAGCCTCAGCTTGTGGGCCGGGAAGGATGGCGACTTCAAACGGCGCAACAACGCGCGGCCAATTCAAGCCTGATGGAGTGGAGAGGACCGATGCAATGGCGGCGATCAAGCGACTGACGCCGATACCATGGCAGCCCATCTGCATGGGCACCCACTTTGTGTCCTTGCTCTCCGATGGCACAGATACGAAGGCGTTGAGTGGCTCCGAGTACCGCGTCCCGAGGTGGAATGTGTGGCCTACTTCGATGGCTTTCTGGACGCGCAATTCCCCCGTCTCACAGCGCGGACAACTATCGCCCTCTTTCACGGCTGTCAGGTCCAGGGATCCGGGCATGCTGGGGTGCTCGCAATCCATGGGTGTAGGCACGCTGCGGTCGAGGATGATGTTTGTGTATTTTGTTTCCGTGAGGAGTTTCTCCAACGCAGAGGTTTCGATGCCTGTGTCGAGGTCGAGATTCGGATCGGGGAGCATCTGGACCATGTTTTTGAGGGCGTGGAAGTTGAGGTATTTGGAGATTTCGGACCATGGGGGTTGGTAGTCGGGCGCGACGTTGGAGGGGCGGGGAAGGCGGATTTGGATCTTGCTTTCACGGTTGACGCTTATGCCGGTAAAGACAAGGGGGTTGAGTTCGGGGTGAGAGACTAGCTTGCCGACTTCGTAGGGACCGCTGTTCTTTTCGACTAGTTCTTCATTGGCGACGTATGGGCAGGTGTTGCAGGACCACACGTTATCCTCGCCCTTTGGGGAGACGAAGTGGTACTCGTGGCTTAGCTTGCCGCCCATGTTGCCCGAGTCGGCATCTGCGACTAGATAGGGTAGTTTGAGCTGCTCGAAGAGGTTCTTATAGGCCTGGCGGACGGACTTGTATGTCTCCAGTCCAGCTTCGACGGTGGAGTCGAATGTGTACAGGTCCTTCATCATGAACTCTTTAGCGCGCAGAAGACCTTGTCTTGGTCGCTTTTCATCGCGGTACTTGCGGCCAGTTTGGTACAGTCTGAGGGGAAGATCTTTGTAGGAATGGACCATCGAGGCTACCAACGAAGTAATTTCTTCTTCGTGAGTGGGTGATAGTAAGAAGCCGGAGTCTTTGCGGTCCTTCAAACGTAAAAGCTCTGAGTTGGCTGAGTAGCGCCCAGACTGTTTCCAAAGCTCTTCTGTGGTGATCGAGGACAGTGATGTCTTAGATGCGCCTATAGATTCCATGTGCTTGTCGATGAGGGCCTCTAGCTTATTCTGCACTCTCAGCCCCAACGGCAGAAGATGGAAAACACCAGAGTGAGCCTGTCGAAGATAGCCCCCTCGAACGAGAAGTGCATGTGATTCATCTTGTTCTCCCTCTTGTTGGTTTTGGCCGGCTGTTGGTGTCCAAAACTTGGACAGTCGATTCCTTCGTTCAGTCTAACGTAAGTCAGCTGTGCTCGATTCGCTCACTAGATGGAGTGTCAATTTGATGTTTAAGGCTTACCGAAATGCATCTTGCACCTCCGCTACTCCACGTTAATGGACTTAGCACGCGCGCTCGGGATGCAGTCCTTAGTACCTGCAGCACCATTGCTCAACCGCAAGATGAAAGAACCAGTAGCTGTATGGATTGACTGCTTAAGACACAAAGGACTGGACAGAATACAAATTCGAAAAGAGAGAATATGCAGCTGATGGTCCTCGGGGGTGCTACCGGACATGGGAGATGGTGCAGAGTGCACGGGCCACTATCTCGAACGCGCTTCTCTAGGAAATCTTTCGATAGATGGAAGTCGGAGGCTTATCAATTGCGCCGCACCCACATAGCATCCAGCATGCCACCAAGGATACACATCAGACCGCGGGCCCTCCGTCTTAGAACTCCCGCCCCCGTCTCGCGAATCGCAACCGCCGGCTATGCCTCGGTAGCACACGTCAAGCCGACTCCTGCGCCTGCGTTCGAGCGCGGCGACAGGCCAGCAGCGCCCATTGTGCTCTACCCTGCCACACAGCCTCCCTCACACAAGCGCCCCGAGGAGCGCAAGACCCAATTGCACAGGCAGTACCAGTCGCTGCTGAAGTCATCACCGTTGATGCTCATCTTCCAACACAACAATGTCAAGGCCGTAGAATGGATGAGTATAAGAAGGGAACTGGCCATTGCTCTGCGTAAGATTGACGCCGAGCTTGTGGCAGCCGGCCAGGAACCCATCGCCGACCAGATCAGGATTCAGGTCATCCAGACCAACATCTTCGCCAGTGCCCTGAAAGTCGTCGAGTTCTTCACGCCGTCTGAAGTCCCGACCGATCACCCGACCGATCCTCGCACACCAACAAGCGCACGAGTACCTTTGACCGGCAACAAGGTCGACGACGAGCGCTTCACACACGGTCTATCGAGGCACGCATATGAGGTCGCCAACGACAGGAAGCTCAAGCACGACCTCGAGCCCCTCCTCTCCGGCCCTCTCGCCGTCGTAGCATTCCCCCAGGTATCACCGCAATATCTCAAGACCGTTCTCCAAATCCTCTCGCCGTCAGCGCCCGCTTTCCCCGCGCCGAAGCGCAAAGCGAACCCCGACTACTACGAGCCCGCTGTACAATCCGGTCTGCAGAAGCTGATGCTGCTTGGCGCGCGAGTAGAGGGCAAGGTCTTCGATCTCGAGGGCACCAAGTGGGTGGGCAGCATACCCGGTGGTATTGATGGCCTGCGTGCATCGCTCGTACAGATGCTGCAGGGCATTGGTGGCAGTCTCACAAGCGCGCTCGAGGGCGCGAGCAGGAGTCTGTACTTTACAGTTGAGAGCCGGAGAATGGATATGGAAGAGAAGGAGAATCCCAAGGAGGAAGAGGAGAAGAAGGAGTAGGTGCTCTGGGGTACGCGTGGAGCCCCCTGCAGAATTCTGCATGTGTGTAAATATACTGTAACAAAGCGTGCTAATTCACGTTCTTAGCGGTCACACAATGACTGCGCTCCGGTAAATCTTGCCCGTTGCTGTTTGGGCTAACGCTTTCTCTCGACATTCGCAGCATTTCTCCTGGAAGCACTTGGGACAACATGTGTAAAGAGCTGTGAGCAAAGGACCGTCACGACATTCGTGCTGATTGCACGAGCGAAGGTTCTTTTGACACTAAGGTCTGACTGACACCAAATCTATGGGTAGACCCCCCATGTTGTCGTACATGCCCTAGTGGGAGCCATGGTACGCTACTCTGGCGCTCTGTCTGGTGACTCTTTCTGCGTTGTATGGTAAGAAAGCAATCTCCGTTTGGTCATTCGGCGGAGATTCTGGCGCGGCATGTGACCTGCCATCGCGGATGTGCGAGGTCCGTTGTCGTGGAGAGAGCTTGTTAGCCGGTCACTGGTTTGTTTACATGGTGCGGGTGAGAGTAGAGGCAGGCGCTGAGCACGCAGCGCAACCGCCTCAACCTTGGTGAGCGGATGTGCCTTCTTACCTTCTCAGCAACCACAAACAACGCGTCTTCCGCATCACTACCACTCCTCATCCCGTCATTCGTTCTCCAGCCGCCGCACGATGCCAGAATCAAGTGACCCGAGTTAGGCGGTCGCCAGCCTGACAGTGGGAAACTTGAACAACCTGCGTCAGGCGGTCCTCACTCTGACTGAAGCGAACAAAGAGAAGGCTTCCAGGATCGCACAGCTTGAGGATGCTGTGAGGGGGAGGAACTACGAGCTTGTTAGAGAGAAACAGAAGCGAGCCACCTATGCTAAGACTGCGGTTACAATGATTGGAGACGTCGATAAAGCGGTAGTCAAGATCATGGTCCACCTTGAGAAGCGAAACAAACTCGACGCATTTTGTCTCGCTAATCTCGCTATTCTACTCTCACGCTTCGGCCGCAATCAGAGTGTTCCTGCCGAGCTCGCGGATGATATCTCTGAAGCCAAGAAGAATGTTCTAAGACTGGCCGACAGATCCCAACTCATGTCCATCGATCGAGCCGCCTTGAATCTATGCAATGCAATAAAGCTACACGCCCACCTAGTCGCCCACCTAGTCCTCGTTGAACATGTCGACAGGGGATTCAGCGAGTACACGCTCATCCAAGCCATCGAAGAGGGGCTTACGGTCGTCAATAAACAACGCACGCTGATCGAAAACGCCATCAACATACCCTACCATGAAAAATGGCGACTGATCGAAAAACTGGAGGGTAGCCTTTGTGAGCAACTAAAGAACAATCGCAATTTTCCCTTCGTCACTTGTATCGTTCCTTGCACTGACGTCGACTTGATGCATGTCTTGCGTACCCACGGAAGAAAAGATCTATACAGTCTGGTGTGGGCGAAGCCTTACTTAGCAGGTACAGGCCGTGCAGAAGGAATGGGCAATGGAACCCGGAATCGCTAAGGGCATGTAAACTGTCCGCTTCGTAGAACTCAAAATTGATTGCATGGACGGTTTAAAGGTATCCGATGCTAGCGTGCTAAACTTTTATGTGGGCCATTGACCGATTGCCAGACGATGATATCCCGGTTAAAAGTCTGCAACAAACACAGCATGGTCTCGACAACTGATGATTGTCTCCTTTGGCATAGCTCAGATCTATGAAGCCGAGCCAGCGCGTCCCCTATTCGAGTCTGGCTAGGCCCCAAACACAACGCGCTGTCTTCACTTGGAACAACCGAGAGCGATGTATCGAACAGTACGAATCGTGGAGTCGGCATGCAAATGCACCGTTCCATGATTCTAGGGTCACGCGTATCGGAACGAAATCTGGAGATTCGAAGCGAACCCGTTCGGTAGAATCTATGTCATACGAGTCAACCGACACTCCACGCCCGATGAGCAGATTCGCAAGCCCCTCGGAGCATGCGGTGGGCTGGTCTTTTTTCTTCATGCGCGGTCGTGCGGACGTCGGGTGCCATGGCAGAGCCTGCAGGTGAAAGGGATATGGTGGTGTCGTGACCTGGGAACTTGCCACTTGTTGTGAACATGTCGCTCAACCGGGATGAATTGCACTTTTCAGACGGTCATCGTGTTGGCCAGGGTCGATTCTGAGTATGTTGATGCTCCTCTGAGTCTGGAGTGGCCGGTAGGTGCATTCATTTAACCTCCCTTTGCTTTTGACAGCTGGGTGATTGTCGAAGCAGACCCGCTCAAGCGAAGCTGATCTCTCAAGGTAGGATTCCTTCAATCAATTGCGGTCCCTCTCCACATACCCCAAAGTTTCGATTTGGTAACCGCATTGCGAGCTTCGTTCCGTTCCGTCTCTTGCACAGAGCCTCCCTATCCGATTCTTTGCTTTCGTCTCACCCAGACTTCTTCTTCACCCGAGGTGCTCTTTCTCAACTGCGTCTCCCAGATTGCTAACTTGTAGCTCCCCCTGTCGCTCTTCCCAGTATGCAGATCAAAGCTCCAGTCATGCTTCGGGCACGTGATACCAGCGCTGAGCTTGACACCGAAATCCTCAATATCAAAGGGCGTGCCATTCGACAGTGGATACGAGGCATGCGGGCATTCCTACCGCCACTTAGCTTCCATTACAAGCACTGTTTGTTCACGTAGTCGACATACATGGTTCACAGCCACGACGCTCCCGCTGTACCGAAACACCATGACCTGGTCCTTCGTATCCGTCTCCCCATCCTTCCAATCGTCTATCGCAACGGGCGTGGCGCTTGTGGCGTCTTCCCTCGGCACATGAAAGACCTTACACCCTGGTGCAAAGGCATCGTGGCATTTGCGCTGCTGCCCCAGTGGCCCCGGATCGGTCTCGATGTCTGGGAACGACGACACGGGGCCGGCGTTGAACCATGCAGCGCTGCCGCGAGGGGCGCGGGAGAAAGGGCTGAACATCGGCGATGACGAGGGGTGGTGCGAGGTGTGCGAGGTGAAGTTTGGGAGACTAGTGTTATCGATATGCGCCGCACTAAGGACGTGCTGTGGAGCATTTCAACGTTGAAGGTCCTTGAGACTCGGGCAGGATAGTACGCTAGACATTTATAATTCGTAGCTATGTTCGTCCATCGGAATCGCCATGAGGCGCCAAGAAAAGTACTCGCTGCCATAAAACGCCAATCATGCATTCGCTCCTCGCACGGCCAAAGCCACGCTCACACCGTTTTCGTTCAAGTATCGACATGGAAGAACCGTGAGCCATTATCATTCCACCTCTTCTCGTTTCATAGCAGCTGGCCGGCAACGCCCAGGGCAACGCCCACGGCCCCAATGTATCCTCCACACCGCGTGGGCGCTGCGTTTCCACTCCCATCGAACGCCCGGCACGCATCGACCTGCAGCCCATAGCACGCCTCCTGGCTCAGACTCGAGCAGATGGAGCTCGCACTCTGTGCCCCTATGCTCGGCACCGCGGTGATGGTCGCGCCTCCATTTGGCGCGCTGATGGTGACACCCTGCGCGCCTCCAATCAGAGCATTTGTACAGCTCGCAGCATCGCTTTGGCAGCGCGTATAAGCGCTGGAGCAGGCAGCTGCATTGGTGTAAGTCGTCGCGATGTAGGGAAAAGGGTAGAAAGCGTTGGATACCGTTGATGCGCCCGAGGCGGTCGTCGTCTGCTGCACGAAGGGCGAGGTGGTGGAGGCGGTGACGAAGGGCGAGGTGGTCGATGCCGAGACGGCGCCGGTTGCTGAGGTGCCGAGTGTGCCGGTGCAGGCGGCGCCTTGCGGGCAGCAGCCTACGACGTTGTTGCTGTCGGCGGAGCAGATGGCGGTGCGCGGGCAGCACAGGCTGGCGGCGTTGCTGCACTGGTACTGACTGTTGCCGCAGACATTTTGGCGCTTGAGAAGCTCCACGATGCCGTCGACGGGCGTGGTGTCGTTGTTCGAGGTGGTGAGCTGATCGAGGGTCGCAAGCGCGGGCTCGAAGGCGGCAAGCTTGTCGGGCGCAGCGAGGGCCAGCGGCGCAAGGAGGAGAGGTACCAGAGCGGTCCGCATGGTGGAGACGCGTCTCAATTGAGACTCAACAACGTGGACGAGGAATGTGGATGCGCCCGTGGAATACTCAGCTGGTACCGGGCGGTGGGCACGGTGAAGGTGTGGGGTAAACAATCACCAGCGACGACGATATGTGAGACACTGATGAGATTGGACTGATATGGATTGATATCGCACCAATTGCTCGAGGCAGCGACAGCGTCTCGGACTCAAAGTAATTAGTGTCGTCAATCACCAGCCGCTCGTGCGTTGGCAGGGCAATGACGTCGTCCGATTGGCCAGTGCTCGTTCCCAGCCACCACGCCAACACGTGAACATGGGTTCCTCGTCACGCCCGACTGCGAATCAAGCACTCAGCACTGCAGGGGGTGTCTATGTCACTGACCAAACGTCCCCATCTCAAATAAGCACGACGTTTCTTGTCTCGGTCACCAGAGATCGCTCTCGCCCAAATTGAAACTCCAGCCAACCTATTCTGCGATATGTGTTTTTGTCCTCTTCGACCGGAGATACTACAAGAGCACCTACTGATGCAGGCGAATTAGGCCACTTACTCCAGCGTATCCACGAGATGTACTCAAAGGCCCCGTCGCCTTGAACAGGCCCATCCTCGAGAATGTCTTGTATGAACAACCCGTGCTTTCTATCCACATCCAATTCGTCCAATTCGTCCCGAGGATGCGCTCTGATCAGGTGGGGATCATCTGCATCGAAACTGAAAATGAAAGCTCGGTCATCTAGGGGTGTCAACCGGAGTCGACCCAGCTGACCACGGACTTGGATCTGGCCGTTGCTGATGGACACTGTAGCTAGGGCGCTACACGTGATTTCGCTCTGACGAGGTTGGAAGCCCACCGCCTGCGTCGTCGATGCCCACGACCAAGAAGGCACGCTCGAGATTCTAGACCCTTCAGGATCACTCACTGCATGCCACGCCAACTCTCGTACTACGTTGTTGGTCCACAAGCCCATTTCGTACTTCTGATCCGTCAGGTCTGAAAGCGTTCTGCCCAGGCCCAACACGGCCGACAGTCTATCTGTAGCTACTGTGAGTGCCTTTCGAGAGTACTCTTCCACAAGTCGAGCCCAAGCATTTCTCTGCCACAGAGAGCTGCGACCTTGGATGCTGGCAGCCAGTTCCAGTAGTGTTGGAAACTCATCCAGGTCCAGTTCGATAGGCCCGTATTCGGACGCTCGCAGCTCCCCACATTCCCAGAAGAGGCCGTCTGCGGTCCAGAACAGCTTCCGAGATGCGAGCATGCGCTCCTGCAGCGCCCAACCACGTCTTGCAAGCGCAGACCGCTCCACAGCCGCGGTCCATTTCGGCAGCGATGCCTCCAGCACTATGTCGTTTCTCCGGGTCAACTGCGGAACTTGATGCTGGGTCAGGATGTGGTTTCTGGCCGGCCAGCTGGCTACTGGCGTTCTGTGAAAGCAGCCTTTGCTGCTATCAGCCGCTCCGCTCGCGGCGATAGTGAGTACCGAAGTGCCATAGATCTTGCCCATGTTAGCTGACTCGCGCTGCCAATCTTCGTTGTCGCCTTGGTCGACCTGAATGATACACAGCGCGTCAACCCACAGATATCTCACGTCCAGAGCACGCGTGATCGCAACCGCGTCTCGGATGGTTTCGGGCAGCGACGCAAGACGGATCGTGTGCAGTCGCTCGGCCAAGTTCTCAACCGTGGTGTGTGCAGCGCGATTCGCTCTTCCCCAGCAATAGCTCAACGTGACGTACTCGTACTGCTCTTCTGCGAGGAGGTCCTCACAAAGCACGAGGCGTATCTCTTGCTGTCCAGCCTCTCCCACATCGAGGAGGCGGGTGGGCAGGAACGGCCCGGTATCGACAGCCCGGCGTCCGCACTCTTGATGGTCGTAGAGACAGTCCACCAACCACCGGAGCGAAAGACCCAGGAGCTCTTGCGCATCTGGGCCCGCTACTCGTAGATTGCGGTCTGCGATCTCGTGGGCGGGCCAACTGATGGATCCCCATCCATGATGCAGCCATTTCGCGCGCAGCTTCATTTCGCAAGGCGCGTCGTCATCATCGACACTCCAGGTCAAAGCTGCGGGAAAGCCTCCGAGGAGCTTCACCTTAAACGCGGTGGCGCTCTGGCTGTCGAAGGCAGAGTCGATGGCCCCACTGTGCGGAGAGTAGTACAGCTCCCGTGCAAAGTACATGCAGAGGGCACAGGAGGACTCTGCGCAGGCAAAGAGTTCTGCGTAGTCCTTGTGGAGGGTGATGAATTCTTCCGCGGCTCCATGTGTAGGCATGTTCTCAGTTGGCGCGCCGTATCGCGACGGCGGCCACTGCGCTCGCCTCTCACCCTGGGACACGCGCATCTTGAGACTCTGGCAGGATTCACAGAGCCTCATGTCTGGGTCCTGTCGAAGAAGAACAATGCCAAGGGTGCGTTGTTCGTACTACACGTGGTACTGTACGCTGCGGCCAACGGGCAGGTGTATTGAAGTCAGACGAGTTCACCACAGCAGGTGCACCGTTCGGTAGAACCCACGAGGGAATAGATATGTATCAGCGCGTTGGCGACGTGGAAAGTTGTTCACGTGCGAGCACCAACTTCAGACGTAGTCGCGCACGAGCTAGAAGCGCTTGATTTGCCGCTGTTCAGGCTTCCAGTCCAGCACTGAGCCCCTTGCGAAGCCTTGTCATGTGCCGCTGACGCCATCGTGCGTCGAATGAGAGAGAAAACAGTTTGCATTGTCGGGAGGGAATTTCGAAATGCCACCAGAAATCGTGAGATCGGACGTTGTTCGATCGAGTATTGGTACAGCAATTCCAAGCTTGCACTGAACATGTTACCATATATGCTATGTAGACGCCTCAATGCGCCGATCCCCTAGTATACAAAAGCCAACAGTACCCAAGACCTAACGACCACGTATGCTGTTCGTTCATGATGCATGAAAAGAACCGAAAGACCATCATCCCTCAATACCGCAGCAACGCAGCCAGGCACACAACTGTTCTACAGTACGACGTGTATTTCCCTGAGCTAGCACCGGGCTGCTAAGCCTTCAGCCTTCTCTCCTCGCACTTAACACACACGGGGTCCTGACTCTCGCCGCGCAAGAAATACCGCCCGTCATCGAACGGGCCCTTACACTCCTGCGTCATGGTCAGCAACAGATTCCACGCCAAAGTGACAGGTGAACTTACAACGCAAACAAAGCAGCCCGTATGCCACTCCGCGCCCAGCGCCTTGACAACCGTATCCGTAACCGGCTTGCGACAGCCCTTGCACTTTGCGCTGTACCGGTTCGTATGACAATTCACACACCACGCATACCCATCCTTCTCGACAAACGGCGTGCTGGAGTCAAACGGATCGCCGCACTGCGCGCAAAAGAAGTGTCCCGGATGCCACTCGGCGCCGCACGCGACCACGACCTCGCCCTCGATCGGCGTCGTGCAACTCTTGCAGCGGGGCGAAAAGCACTCGTGGAAGTCCAGATGGCAGTAGAACCTCGGGCTCTCATCGGTGCCGTCCTGCTCCTCAAGCATGGCCATTTTCTCCGCGCTGTCCCAGCCGGGCAGGAACCCAATGTCCTCGCCGCGCTGGCGCGCGCGCATGCGCTCCACGCGCGCGGCGTGCTTGGCGCTGGGCTCGGGGTAGAAGGCGACGCATTCCAGCTTCTCGCCGCACTGGTAGCAGCTGAAGCATTCAGGGTGGAAGCGGCAGCCGCCCGCGCTGACGATGCGGCCGCTGATCGGGAGCGCACAGTGCGTGCATTGCGCGCCGGTGCGGACCGATGTCGGCGTCCAGTGGGTGCGGGCTGAGGATGGTAAAGGCCGGGAGGAGGTCGAAGGTCGGGAGGCGGCGTTGATGGGTGGCGCGGAACGTTTGTTGTAGTTCCGGGGATCGGGGAGGGGGCGGGTTGAGGGGATGGGGTCGTTGATGGCGATGGATGGGACTGAGGGGGTGACTGAGCTTGACGGCGCGTTAATTGTTGGCACAGGTCTCGATGCTGGAGACTTGTTGACGGCGATGGTTGGTACATCACTGGGCAGATTGATGACCGGGGCGTTGAAGCTGTGGCCTCGGGTCATAGCAGGAGGCTCATTGACAGATATGCTGGGAACAGCTTGTATTGTCGACACGCGGTTGAAGCGCCCTCGCGGAGGTGCGGTAGTAGGAGCTGGAGAGTCGCTCACAGAGATGGTCGGAATCGGCGGCGTGACGCCAATAGAAGGGATGCTACCAGTACGGCTATGGCCTGTGGATGGTGTCTCGCTGACAGAAATGGTGGGGATGTTCGACACCGATTGAGGTCTGCCGAACCGACTTCTGCTGGCTGGACGAGACTCACTGACTGAAATGCTCGGGATAGGTGGTTGAGGCCGAGATGACGTCGATGGAAGCGCGTAGGGGTCGGCTAGTAGTGGTGGTGTCGAGGATGCCGTGGGCAGTGCGTATGGATCCGCAGGGACTGTACTTGCTGCAGGTGTTGAAGGCATGCTTGAGGCGGTGTTGACTCTGCTCAGTGGACTGCGGTTGGCGAAAGGTCCCTTGGGTGTTCCTGGACGTCCGCTACCCAATGGCGCAGGTGAGCTGGATGGGCCGAACTCCTTCAATGGTGCTGATGATGCTGCCCCAGACCGGCTCGCGGGTCTGTCGAAAGGACTAGCGGACCTACTGGCAGGCCTTTCGAACGGACTAGGTGATGCTCCAGACCTGCTCGTCGGCCTTTCGAACGGACTAGGTGCTGCCCCAGACCTACTCATCGGCCTCTCGAAGAGACTAGGTGCCGCTCCAGATTTGCTTGTCGGCCTCTCAAAGAGACTCTTCCGGGTGGGTACGATAGGCTCCGTTGCTGACTTCTCCAATGGCTTTGGAGCTGGTTCTGGCACGGCCGCCGGAGCAGCAGCGGGCGCAGGCTTTGGATCCGCAGGCAACATGGACTTCTCCTCCTTCAGCTCCACAACACCGTAGTCTTTCTGAAACGACACAATGGGTCTACCTGGAGCATCAGAAACCATGGTCGGCGTGGGCAACTTCGGACTGCGGTTCCTCAGGCTGAACCCGGTCGCAGCGCGCAACTCATCGCTCCGAACCTCCTTGCCGTCCTTCTTCTTGGCCTCGGGCTCGTTCTCTGCATCCGCCTTGCTGACGTCACTCAGCTTCGACTTGTTGTTGTTGAGCGTATACCCGGCGTTCCTCGACTGGGTCGGCTCGTTCCTGTGGATCTCGTAACGATCAAAGCGCCGCATGCTGACGACGGGATCCGTGTTGCTCCTCACCATTCCGTTGCCTTTGATTGACTGAAAGCGAGTGAAGGGGTTCCGGCGCATGCCCAGGGGTAAAGGAGCAGGCTTCGGAGGCTCGGCTGCCATAGGGGTCGGTGCGGGAGCAGGGGGTGCTTCCTCCTCGGGCTCCTCGTAGATGTGGTCGTTGGGATTTTGGAAGAGACTGCCGCTTGGTTTGCGACGGGAGCCGCTGGTTTTGCGCTGCTGGGGCAGGTCGGAGGATGCCTTGGCGATCTTGAGGTCGAATGCATTTTTGGAGGGTGAGCCGCTGAAGAGCGGACTCGGGGTGGGAGATGTGTCTGAGCCCGCTGCACCGACGTCCTGCATGCTGCTGCTCCTGCTGCCCGTGGAGCTGCCAATCGAGTGTCTTTTCCGCGTCTTCGAGTGTGCGTGCTGCAGATGCTGCTCTGCGTCCTCACTCGGCCCCACGCTACGACTCCGCGTCCGCTGCAGCTTCGGCCGCTGCAGAGCATTGCGCCCCGGTCCAGGGTACGCGTACGGCGCATCAGGGTTGTTCTCAGGCGCATTCGGGTTGCGGTGCTTCCAGACGATGTCGGCCGCCTCGTCGCGCGCCGCCTCGTACAGCTTCTCTTCGTCCTTGAGGTCCATCTTGTCCATGGCGGCGCGGATCTCGCCCGACTCTCTGCGCTCCGCCTTCCGCCGTGCGTCTTCGCGGTACTGCACGCTCGACGTGCGCTCGTGGGAAGGCGTGGCCGACTCGCGCCCACGTGGCGGCTGCACGAGGGCCTTGCCTGCGCCCTCGACAGCCCTCGCCAAGTCTTCTCGGCGCCGCAGTGGTCCTGATGCTGGTGAGGCCGGTATTGCGGCGGCTGGTGTTGCGGCGGCTGGTGCTGGGGCGGCCGGTGCTGGTGCTTCTGCCGTCGCCTCGGTGTCCGTGGCAGCCTGCAGCGAGGCAAGCGTCGGCATGTCCTGCATCCGCGAGGTCTCCCTGTTTGACCATGTCTTGAAGTGTGCAGGCGGCGGACGGGAGCCCGTGGGACGGGCAGGGCGGTTGGTGCGAAGGTCCTGGAGATAGCTCTCTGAAGCAGCATCAGCATATTGCATCCACTCGGCTGGCCTTCACCATACTCATCTGTTGCGGCGTGTAATACGCCCCCGGACCCGGCGTACTCGCACCTTCCGCAACCCATTGCGTGGGCTGCATCGCACCTGGCGCGACTGTTGGCCGCTGCAGCGCTCTGTTTACTCCTCCAGCAGCTGCGACGGTGAGATGCAAGCGAATCCAAGACCCCAATGAAAAATAAATGAAGGTATCAAGTAGCACACAGACTCGCTCTGGAGCACACCGCAGCGGCTTCAGCTTGCATGGTGGCTGTCTGTATCGTCGTCGAGGATCAACGAAACGGAGCCGCCGTTGCCCAGCGCAACCGCCTGTGACGTCCACACGGCCAGACCGCCTTCACCGAGCGCGGAGCGCGCGCATCCCTGCCGTGTCTGCATCCCTGAAGACAATCCCCAGAAGTGCGCAGATGGAGATCAGGATATCCTGAGCAGCGTATCGATAGCCGGCCGTCCGCGTTTGAATCGCTCAGCGTCTGTGCAGGGTCATGCTGCCAGGCTTGGCTCGTGGAGTCGGTAATTATAGATGTTAATTACGTCCTGCGAGTTCTGGTTGGGTGGCCGGTGCGCGCGAGGCTGTCCGAGGCTGGCGAGCATCGCCAACTTGGCCACGTCAGATTGAACATGTCTTTGAACGATCAAAGTAGGGCGTTGCAAGCCAGAGATTGTGAGTGAAGCAGACCGATATGCTCGCTGTACAAGCGGGCTGCTATGCTCATTGTCTACGCAGATGATGTGTTCATTGTATACGCAGGTGATGTGTTCATTGTATACGCAGGTGATGTGTTCATTGTATACGCAGATGATGTGTTCATTGTATACGCAGGTGATGTGTTCATTGTATACGCAGGTGATGTGTTCATTGTATACGCAGGTGATGTGTTCATTGTATACGCAGATGATGTGCTCATCGTATACGCAGGTAATGTGTTCATTGTATACGCAGATGATGTGCTCATCGTATACGCAGGTAATGTGCTCATCGTATACGCAGGTAATGTGTTCATTGTATACGCAGGTGATGTGCTCATCGTACCAGAGTGGCGAGTCTACCGCACCCAAAACGCCAACTCCCAACCATCCATACTACAATGCGAGCGCCAAAAGCGAGTGGGTATCCAAACAAACACCTTCCAACCAAACACTCCAAACGCAATCACAACGTATTATCAACCCCGCCCATTCCCTGCAGCATCGACGTTCGCCCCGTGCGGCGTCCCCAACACGTCCCACCCCATCGGCACACTCTCCATCACGCTTTCCAGCATGCTATTCCACGTCCCCGGCGTCATCCCTGCGTCCACGTCCTGTCCCATGCCCATCTCGCCGCCCATCTCGCCGCCCATCGCGCTCAGCTCCCAATCGAAGCTGTTGTCGTACGCGCCGTTGTGGATGGCGTCTGAGGGATACGCGTTCATGGGGAGATCGCGGTTGGCGTCGTTCGTCTGGTACAAGGGAGCGAGCGGTGCCGAGCCAGTGCTCTGGGACGGGAGCTGCTGCGACATGGGCATCTGGCTGCTCGTGAAGCGTGGAGAGGCGCGGTAGGGGAGGTGGTGTTCTGTCTGCTGGCCGGGCGAGTACGACGAGTGCGATGTCGAGCCGCCCCGGGACTGCGAGCTCATGGTGGCAGGACTGAGCTGGTCGCCGGATAGGTCCATGTCGTTGCCACTGTTCTCGTTGAAGATGAACGTTGCCGCGCCTGGCACAGCGCCTCCATGGGCTGAAAAGCCTTGGTTCACTTCTTGTGTGTTTCGTATAGGTAGGAATGGAGCAGGCTGAGGAGCGATTTCGATGCCGCTGCCGCCTGTCGTGCCGGGTGCGGATTTCTGGTCCATGTTGTTTCCCTTGTTTTCGTTGAAGACGAATGTTGCAGTGGTAGGCACACCGCTCCTGTCTGCTGAGAGGTTCTGCCCGAGATCTTGCAAGTTCCGCAGCGTACCGGGCGTCATTCGATCCCAACCGACATCGATGCCATTGTTGCTCGACTGGCCGAGTTCGGGATGCGTTTGGCTGCCGAAGCGGTTCGGTTGCGGAGTGGGGTTTGACGAGCCCGCTCTGGTTTCTGCCCACTGGTTGATAGGTGCGCTTTGAGCTTGGGTCTCGCGGATCTCGTAGATCGAGCTGCAGCCAACTGGATCGGAGTTGACGGGTATGACAGCGTTCTTCTTCTTGACTGGCGTGTACGGCTTCTGAATGCCAGCGCCTTCGAGATCGAGGTCTAGCTGAACCAGAAACGATTCAGTCAAGGGATTTTTGCGGCGCAAAGCTTGCATTGCCTGGAGTAGGAATTGCAGTGAAGAGTTCATCTGCTGATCATTGGGCCGTGTCTTTAGATATTGAACGAATACTCTCGCGGCTACGTAGACGCAGAAAGAGATGAAGGGGTTCGTCTGTGCATATCAGCCTTCGGTTGTTCGTAGGTTCGTTATGCGACACTTACTGCTGAAAGATCCATGTGGCTGATCGTGCGCATTATGGACGCGATCTCTGCGGCTGCAGTCACGCACCGGATCTTGCTTTCATTGCCAACGCTCACCGGCAACTGGTGCTTGTCGGCTTTAAAAATTGCTGCTTGGTGTAGGCAGATCGCAGAAGTCTGGATGCACATGTTCGCGAATACCACGTTGGGGTTGTCGCGTCCGCTAGGTAAGCGCAAATGATCCGGCATACGAAGCGAGGTCTGGAGCAGGATCTGCTCGAGGTGACGATGTCGGGTCCAGAAGCCACCGTTAAGGTCGCTGTCGTTGTCATCTGGAGTTGGCCGATGCAAATGCAGCAGGTTGCGACCGAACATTGCCGCTGTGAGGACAATGGCACCAAGCGACTCCAATTTCGCTGCACCCATAGGGCCCAGAGCTTGCTCGAGGGATCCTGTGGACATGGCCTTGCTCCTTTCGAACGCTTCTTCGCTCGCAGGGAAGTTTGTCATTATCTAGTTGAGGTCAGTCAAGGTCGGCTTCGACATGCATAGCACGACTCACGTCTTTCTCATCGATGATCATCGGCCAGCCGGTGCCAATGCTTGCATAGCGGTCCATAGCGAAGCACACCCAGAACGTCCGCCGGCGCTCCTCCCTCTCGGTCCAATCCTTCGGCGGTGGCAGGCACTGCTTGACATCCAGTCCAACACCGTCCAGGCGGTGGAGCTGCATCATCTGGGCCAGTCTGACAGCGCGACCAGCAGACAACCATGCTCGCGGAAAGTACATGTTCTTGAACTCGTATGTGCACATCAGACCCCACGCTTGACAGTGGGCGAGCGTGATCGTCGACTCCCCATGTCCCCGCATCTCGTCCAGTTGCGCGTACTTCCTTGCTCGGTGGTAGAAGTGTGCCTGAAGTGCATCATATCTATCCGCCACTGAAGCCGCCATTGTCCACATCGCATATCGCAGACATACTGGCGGTCTCATGTGAGGTGCGAGGTCTAGCGCAGCCAGGAATCGTGGGCGGTGGACGAGCGGTAGCGATGGATGTACCTTCGTGAAGTAGATCTGGTATCTGGATGGCCTGTTAGAATCGCGTCTGTTCCAGAAAGTACACTCGGCACTTACAGCTCCTCCATAACATCCTCAGGAGGCAGCGGTTCTTCTAGACCCAGGCTGATCATCTCCCATCGGTTAGACTCCGACTCTGCGCCATTTGTGTTGGCCGTATCATTCTGGTATGGGGGGACCGAAGCTTTCCTCGCATCGAGGACGTTCTCTAGCGACTTATCGAAAGGGTTCGAGGACTGGGTTCGCGTGGCAGACGTGCCTTGTACCGTGTTCGCGGCGTAGGCGGTGGCGGTGGCCGTGCCTTGACCTTTGTTCGATTCGGTCGAGTTCTGGCTCTGGAGTAACGTCTCGACTTGCTCTAAAGGCCATATGTTAGCACATTGACCCCACAGTCAGCAGCGCATCAGCTTACGCAGTCGTTGCTCGAGCAACTTCACATAGCCTCTCTTCGGTCCGCTCTTCTTGCGCACCTCGTCGTACGCGCAGTCATGCGACAGCCGTTTGCATGTCCCGCACGTCGGCCGATCACCATCACATCGCAGCTTCCTCTTGCGACACAGAACACAGGCTATCCTCTTTTGCTTCGCCGCGTTGTCGTTCTGCGCATCTTGGCTGTTGTTTCGTGTCGGCGATTGCCCGTCGGTGTTGGTCTTGGGGAGCTGCTGGGTCAGATCGTTGAAGTAGCTCTCGTCTGGCGACTCAGAATCTGGCGAAGGCATCTTTGCGCCTTGGAGATGGAAGTGTTTGCGTGATGCTTGAAATGCTTCGTATGCGCTGCTGCCCCTCGTAAGCAGCACGGGACAGAAAGTCGAGAGAGGTGATTCAGGCAACTCGAAGACAGCAGGTAAACACTGAAGATGCTGGAGAATTATACGGGGTAAGCCTGGGTCGATCAAAGGGCGCTATGAGGTCTGACAGCGAGATAGCCCCTTCACCGCAGAGTGTTCAGGCATCACCGTTCCGTCCAGACGGTACGAGGGCGCGCAAGCTAGCGACGAGGATTAACAGAGAGGCAATCGATGCTGTGAGCGTCAGTGGGCAGTCAGCAAGTCATAGCTAAAGCTGCGCGCCGTTGGCGGTTCACTGCAGCCGCATCTGCGAGGCATCCACTTTCGCGCGTGTCATCGAAGCCAACCTGGACAAATAATCGCGGACACCCTTTGCGGTCGCGCAGAGCACAGCTCCCGGCGCTCAGGCCACATTAGTATAGTGGCAAGCATCTGCTCTCCGTTGATACACATGTCAGCCCCGGTCGAGCTGAATTATCTCCTCATTCACTGCATTTTGTGTCTGCTCGTCTTGACCTCCGACCTCTGATGTTGCGATTGCTGGCGCGGGGTGGTCTAGGCCATTTCCAGGAATAGCTAGCCATGCGACGTGAATGCTGACAGGGGTCTTGCACGCGGTCCCAGACTGAAGTTCATCACCATCATGAATCCATAAGCCAGGTGTTATTTCTCGCATTGTATCACGACATGAAATGTTTGTGATTATGATCGCAGGTTTGACAAGTTCGACAAAGCCACATCTTCTGCATCGAGTGCTTCTCCTGGATTGGCAGTCAATTTTGACAAAGGTCACATTGGAGAAGATTGGGTGTTCATTGTTGTATTTGGGGCAGCTTGTGGGGCAGCCATGCAATATATGATACAGGTTCGATAGACAGGTAATTGTACACGACAAGGCCACAAGGCTTATCTCGGCCTGCGCTTGCCCTGGTTTCGTGGTCGATCCTGGACCAACCATGTGTGCTTGTTCCTCTTGTATCGTGTCTTGTAACCTCCCTTGGCGGGTGTGCCCCAAGGCGAGACTGGGTGCACTCTACCCTTCGATTTGCCACGACCACCTCCATGGGGGTGATCAGCTGGGTCATGTTAGCACTTGACACTTCCGGAAATAATTCCGAGCACTGACCTGCGTTCATGGCAACACCGCGAACCTCTGGTCGCCTTCCGAGCCATCGAGAACGTCCAGCTTTACCGAGCGATTCAAAGTGCTTCTGGATGTTGCTGGCTACACCGATCGTGCAGCACGCGTTGGGGTCGACCTTGCGGATCTCGCCGCTCTGCAGACGGATGATGACACTCTTCGTCTCCATGCCTTTCGTCTTCTCCACCTCTTCCTTGTTCACAATGATGGCGTATGTGCCGGCACTGCGGCAGAAGACGCCTCCGCCCTTCTCCTTGGAACCAACATTGAACACTTGCGAACCGAGAGGCACCATGTGGATGGGCAGGCAGTTGCCTCGCGATGCTGTCTTCGCGGCAAGCATACCAGGATCGATGGTTCCACCCATGCTGGCAATCAAGTCCTTGGGGATACCGGTCCTGTAACTCTCCACCTCATCTCCCGCGCGCATGCCATCTGCAGCAACGATGTACGACTTCTCGCCCGTCTCAACGCGCGTTACGAGGGCGAGATGTGCGCTTCGGTTGGGATCGTACTCTATCCGGTCAACGATGTGCTTGCCGGGCAGATAGCGCTTGTAGTCGACAATACGTATGCGCCTCTTGTGTCCTCCTCCCCTGTGGCGGACTGTGACCCGTCCAGTGTTGTTCCTTCCTCCCAGATGCTGTCCCTTCCGTGCAATGGTGAGCTTCAGGAACGGCCGCCCCTTCCACAGGTGGTCGTTGACGGCGCGCTTGAGATGACGTAGACCGGGTGTGCGAGGCTTGTATGTGCGCAGTGGTGTGAATTTCTCTTTACGGGGCCCCTCAGCGGTCAGCACGCTGCCCTGGACGGATGCAGTGGGAGCAAAGGACGCGGGCTTGATGAGCTGCTCGAAGCCCTGCGAATAGTTGCGGGCGCCCAGCAGCGACTTCCCCAATCGCGAGGGCTGGAACCGACATATCCGGGGCTGCAGCATATTGTCGCGTTGTGCCCAGGGGCAGAACAATGGGATGGGCGGTGCAGAGGGCTGCAATGGCTGCACTGGCTGCAATGGCCTACGGCGATGGCGTGTCGTCGCAGAAGCAAGAAAATCGAGCTGCGCCGGATGCGCTCTAGCTGGTCTAGCGTTGCCAGGCCAGGGCTTGGGGGCCAGTCGCGACGGCCGTGACGTTCCCTCTTGAAACCGCAGCACGAGTGCACCTGCAATCGCGCTGCTACTTCTGCTGCAGCACTTCTCGACTCGCTCTGCACCTCTCCAGCTCGCTCTCCTCAGCACCCGGCATCTCTTACGCGTTGGTTTCGGGCCACTCCGCAGGTAAGACGCTCTTCCATTATTGCCCTTGTACGCGCTGCTGGTGTTCGCGTGGGTCCCGCACGGGCGCTCGAAACCAGCCTCAGCGTTCACGTCGCCCGCGCGTTGTTGGCGCAAAATTGAACACGTGACTTACCGCACACCAAAACAAACCAGCCGCTACATCAACTTCCATCAACACACACCTTGGTGCAGCCCCGACTCTCGACCTCACCACCTTCGCCCCGCAAAGCACCGCCGTACCCGTGCACTCTGGAGCTGGACTTCGTTCGCGTCCGTCTTCACCACAGGCTGCCATAAAGGGTTCGTCGCGCTCCGTCTCGCCCGTCACCTCATCGCTGCCGCCCGCCATATCCCGTGTTTGGTCTGCCAGTACTCGCGAGCACCAGCGTACACTGCGTCTGCAGGCCCTCTTACACGTTCCCCAGCGTGCTTGGTGCCGTGCAGTACTGTCAGCCCTCACGGTGGACGCGTCTGTCTGCATTGTCTCACCTGGTCACGATGCTAATGCGCCCAAACAGTGCATCATAACACGACCTTTACTCGACATCCGCCCTACGACACCCGCAGTCTTCTTCGATAGCACTCTAGCCTTGATCAGCATATCTAGTATTGATCGCAATGCCTCCCGCAGTACGTTGTCCTCGGCCTTCACCTGGACGCTCTATCCCAAAACGTCATAGCGGGGAACCACGACTCGCGTCTTGAAGCTTACTGACACGTCCCATCAGGTCAGAGCAACACGGCAGCGTGCTGTCACCAATGAGAACGATGAGAACGCCGGTCCTACGCGTATGACGCGTGCAAAGGCCGCCGGCCTGGGCGCGACCGAGCACGCCGGTGACGTGCCCAAGAAGACCCTAGCCACCAAGAAGTCCACAGCTGCGTTGAACGGCGCTTCACGGACACGAACAACGCGTGCCGCTCTCGGCGATGTCAGCAACACCATCAAGGTTGAGGGACTGGGTGCCGCCGCCAAGGATGGCAAGAAGCCTGCTGCCACCAAGGGTGCCGTCGCCAAGGCAGCGCGTCCCACCGGCATCACCAAGGCCTCTACAGCTGCAAAGGCCCCCCTGGCGAGCAAGCCTACCAACAAGCGCCTTGCTCCTGCCGCCGATGCTAACAAGGCAACCGCAAAGAAGGCGAAGCCAGTGGCTCCCGTTGAGCAGGACACCGAGGAAGAGGAGGAGAATGCTGTACCCAAGGAAGAGGAGAAGCCCACCAAGCTGAAGAAGGAGCTCAAGGCTGAGCCTCTTGAGGATGCACCCAAGACCAAGGAGCAAGATATTGTCGAGGTCTTTGACGACTTTGTTGACCTGGACAAGGAGGACGTTGATGACCCATTGATGGTTTCTGAATACGTTGTTGAGATCTTTGAGTACCTGAAGGAGCTCGAGATTTCTACCATGGCCAACCCCGACTACATGGAGAGCCAGACCGAGCTTGAGTGGAAGATGCGCGGCATCCTTGTCGACTGGCTTCTTGAAGTCCACACCCGTTTCCGTCTCCTGCCCGAGACCCTTTTCCTCGCTGTCAACATCATCGACCGTTTCCTGTCATCCAAGATTGTCCAGCTCGACCGCCTCCAACTGGTCGGTGTCACCGCCATGTTCATCGCCTCCAAGTACGAGGAGGTCCTCTCGCCCCATGTCCAGAACTTCCGTCACGTCGCCGATGATGGTTTCACCGAAGAGGAGATCCTCAGTGCCGAGCGCTTCGTCCTCACCGCCTTGAACTACGACTTGAGCTACCCCAACCCCATGAACTTCCTCCGCAGGATATCGAAGGCCGACAACTACGACATCCAGACCCGCACACTTGGCAAGTACTTGCTTGAGATCGGTTGCCTTGACCACCGCTTCCTCGCCCACCCTCCCAGTCAGGTTGCTGCTGCTGCCATGTACCTCGCTCGTCTGGTACTTGAGCGCGGCCCATGGGACTCTACCCTCGCACACTACTCTGGTTACAGCGAGGAGGAGATCCAGCCCGTTCTGTACCTGATGATTGACTATCTGTCCGGCCCGGTCCTCCACGAGGCTTTCTTTAAGAAGTATGCCAGCAAGAAATTCTTGAAGGGTAAGTCTTTCATCATTGCTTCTTCTGACATCGTTGCTAATGCCTCTCAGCATCTATTGTCCTTCGCAAGTGGGCCAAGGAATATGTTGTCGAATATGGTAATGCCCTGCAAGAAGAGTCCTCGCAGCCCCGTAGTAGCAAGCGCTAAGATCTTTTTCTTAACAGGCAACCCTGGTTGTGTCCCCAGCATCTACAGCTTCTACCCACGGTGTCGTCACAACCGATACCTTTGAAGCCTGGATGTTGAGGTCACTACCAGCAGGCCATCTTGTTGCATCGACTACTTCTTCATGTTTGCATCTCGGCTTCGGGCCCTCCCATCTTTTGGTCGGCGTTAATAAAAGGCGTGCAATTGGTTACATCACCATCTGTTCTTGGCTTCATCTTGCGGCGGAGTCCACGGCGTCATTTCATTTGCGGCGGCGTTTTCAGTTTCAGCACTTTTATCATCATTTCTCTGATAGCGACTCTGGATACTCGCTCATAGTACTAGCGACTGGTATACCATGATGGTGAGATACGAAGGCTATTCCTTGATGGATACTTGCGGCGTGTGGGTCATTGGTGGAGGGAACATGAGATATCACACGCGGCTGTATGACTAGCGCTTCCTGCTTCGCAGGCGCAATTGAGGTTTTCAAAGTTCAGTGACTGTCCCAACATGTGCATTCATTTGTAACGTGTGATTTGATACTGGAGACTGAGCGTCAAAACAAGGTCAATGCGCTGAGACAGCAGCCTTGCAGTCGCGTCACGCCTCGCGCGCGCTCTCGCTGTACGTCAGACGTGCATCGCGTCATCGAGTCGCGACTCCACGATCGCGATTTGACTGACTGGTGACGGGCGCGACTCGAAAGCACAGGGCTTGTTTTCATGCAGCTCGGCGCGCTCACGGTCCAGCCCAGCCATCTGCATCGCTGAATCGCTGATCCATCCCCAAGCGCGTCTGGATCCTTGACCTCGGCAACTTTGACAGCTCCCGAGCTCCAAGCTAACCCTTTCCATGCACGACTATCGACCGCTCGACACCGCCCATCGTCTGCACGCTGTCGAATCCTACCGATTTCCATCAAGCAGCCAGAAAGAGGCGGACAGAACATGTGATTGAGATCCAGCAGGGAAAAGATGCAGGAAACAGACCTCCATTACCCAGCCGATGCGTGTCCGTTCTGCGGCATCGCTGCTGCGTATCCGGTAAAGGACTCGGGATTGTGGAATAAGAAGGAGGAGCTGCAAGATGCGGTGCCGGATGAGCAGGAGTGTGGTGTTGAGAAGACGAGTCCGAGCAGCTTTCTTGTGATGCGAACTAGGGATGTTGTGGCTTTTTTGGATATTCTGCCTATGACTGGCGGTAAGTGAGGTTTTCGCTTGGTTCGGAGGATGCTGGAGAGGCGTGGGAATTCGATGAAGAAGAATAGTGGTACGAGGAGAAGAGAGATGAAGCAGGTGGACGGTGGAGGTCCGGGACGAGGCGCTATCGATGTGGTCAAGGCGATTCTGCCTGACGACGGACTGGCCAAGTCACAACACCTTGAAAGATTAAAGTGCTAAAGACTCTCGCGCAGGACATCTACTCGTCACGACACGAAACCACAAAGTCAAAGTTGCAGATATGGAGGCGCAAGAAAGTCGCGAAATTGGTGAGTTGACCAACGTAAGAAGTTGCGGCGCATAGGCTAACTGGTACAGGCTTCTGGCTACCACTCCTCGCTCGTACCGTAGCGAAGGTTACGGGCGTAAGCGACTATAACATCGTACAAAACAACGGAGCGCGCGCCGCGCAGGTTGTACCACATGTGCATTTCCACATCATCCCCAGGCCAGCAACGAAGCCAGAGATCAAGAACAAGAGCTGGACGATGTTCGGGAGAGGTCAGCGCGATGATCTGGACGACGAGGAAGGCGCGCGGATCGCGGGCCAGATGCGGCAGGTATTGAGGAAAGAGATTGAGAAGCTGGGTAAGAGCAGTCCAAAGTTATGAAGCTTGGTTTGAAACAGATAAACTCACATCACTTCCGTTCGACCTGCTGTCTGATCCTATATTGAAAGCAACTAACATGCAGGTATGGTTTGTGGCGTCACTTTTGACCACCAACGTGCCGCTTCTCATCGCACGCGGAGCTGATGCCACCCTAGCCTTGCGACATCTTTAACGACCTTCAGACTCAGATTATGCTATCGTCGTTCTTTCTGCTAACGCCGCTCGCTGTGCCCATGATCCACTGAGAGGACATTTGTACGACGTTGATCTCCATACAACGCGCCAAGAGGTTGATCCAGATGTGGGCACTTTCGCAGACTATATGCCTGAGATGGAGCCTTGCGATGCCCTCTCCTACGTTCGGGGTGATATGAAGTTCAGCGGTACGCTGGTTGCATGGAGGGGAAGATCGCAATCACCCCAAAACTCGACGTAGCTCTCCGGCATGTTCGACTCAAAACATCTGCCTGTTTTGTCTGGGCTGACGGCGTATGCATCAATCAGAAAAATCTGCACGACAGCGGCCATCAGGTCAAGATAATAGGTATCGTCTATGCAAGAGCAAGGAAGGTATTGGTTTGGCTCGGACTCGATCCGCACAGAAAGGCAACTCAGGCCTTTTCTGCTCTGAATTCGTATTCGGGCGTGGTTCGAGCTCTGATCTCCACAGTGACGATGCCGATGAATGAAACAAGTGTGGTTCACGCGTATCTGGGTCATGCAAGAACTACTTCTACCTAGAAGAGATTATCTCTTATGGGGCAATGAGTCTTACCAGTACGACTCGGACTTTCGGGACTGCTATGACTGCATACATGGGGCGGAAAATATTCTCTGGTCAGCATTGGATCATGAGACCCGAATCGAGGCCGCTATCTCGCATCAGGCTGGAGTCAATGATGTACAAAAAACGACCCGATGTCAGAATCCACAATCGAAATCGTCCTAACGGTGTAAAGAAATATACCACAAGTAGTAACATGGACAGATGGGAGTCGGAATGGAAATCTTGGGACCTGTGTCTACGGTCCGGATTTCGAGTCGAGCAAATGCGCTGTGACCGGAACGTGGCTTTGTAGCTAGACCACTGTAGACGTCGGTACTGATCGACATGAAACGAAAAGCATGACGATCTCACACGATCTTACCCTGTCTCGCGGTATCTCGCACCCCCAGAAAAGGCCGTTGAAACTGGACTTTCGGAGGTCCCAAGTTCGTCCGCACCCAAGACAGACTTTCAGGTTCTTGTTTGTAAGAAACGGATGAACATTGTGCAGTCTTGATCCGCCTCAATTTCCGTTACAAGCCTACAAATCTCTAGAGCTCTATAATCATCCGTCCCTTCAGCCACATCAACTCTCTTGAGTGCGCTGGATAGATATACTTCTCGTCGGTAACCTTGCCGACTTGTCGCATCCTAGAAACGTGTCAAGACATTGACCACGACAAAAGCACATAAAATCAAGATACAACTTACGCGGTATTCTGCATTCTCCACAACAACTCGACAAACGTCTCCTGCGTGATTCGGTTCGGGGGCCTGTTTTCTCTGGCAGGTGTGCTGAAATTGTTTCACAAATTGCAATCTCGGGGGGCGCGATTGGTCCTGGTGAGATGTGCTCAACGTCCCGTATGTGAAGAGTTCTCCTGATGCAGGTTAAGGGTCGCCAGCTTGCCGTTGCGAAAAGTCCGGCAGCTGTCGGTATCGATATGGTGTGAAGTTAATACGGCGAGGGTCGGGGGATCATTGAGGAAGTAGGACTGACAACCACATCACTGATGGCCTCGGGATATAGCTAGAAGGCAAGTGCGGGTAGGAAGAGTGGGAGGCGGTTACAGCAAGTCTTTGTCTGTCATGCATTATACTAGATATCGTAAATCCATCCTCCTCTTCCGGGTTCTCAGTACTCAAAGTCATCGTCAGCACTCGGCCCCTTATTCTTCCCCACACTTTCCTGCCTCTGATACATCTCTGCGATCAGCTTCGCCGTGGACGCCTGATCCGGCTTCTTATCATCCCTCTCCTTGATGAACCGCGGGAATCTGAGTGAAATACCCTTTCCACCGCCACCAACCTCCGAAGCAGCCGCCTTGTACCTCGGGCTAAGCGTGAGATCAGCAGTCTTGACCTCCCACACGTACCGAGGTTCGAACCACACATCAGGCTGGTCTTTGTTGCCGGCGCTGTGTGTGTAGAAGGGCTTGGGGCGGTCGATGACGATGTCTGAGAGTTGCTTGTGGAATTGCTCGAGGATGACTTCTGAGAAGCCGGTGCCGATGTTGCACACCGTCTCGTATTTCTCGGTGCTCGGGTTGTAGCAAGCAAGCAGGAAGGCGCCGTACCAGCTTGTTCGCTTGCCCTTGCCGTAGTATGCACCGAGCACGACGAGATCGAGAGAATCGCCGACGCCAGCCAGGTAGTCCTTCTTGACTTTGAGCCAGTTCTGCGAGCGTTTCGAGGGCTCGTAGTATGACTCAGGGCCGTCAAGCATCTTGATCATGAGGCCTTCACACCCCTCCTTGACAGAGTCTTCGAGGAGCGTCTGGATCTCTTCGAGTTCGTTGGTGTTGCCGAACTTCGCGAGGGCGAATTCACCTTCAACAGGGATGAAGGCGTCGACAAGTGCCTCACGGCGCTCACGGAAGGACTTGGTCACAAGCGCCTGGATGTGTTAGCGGGCGCAAAGATAGCTTGATGTGAGAGAGTTTACCTCGCCATTCAGGTAGAGGATATCGAAGGCGAAGACGCAGACCTTGACCTTCACATCCTCGACCTTCACGTCCTTCCTCTTTCTGGTCATGAGCTGCTGGAAAGGCAATACCTTCTTCTCGACCATGTCCCAGGCAACAGTCTCACAATCGAGGACGAAGCTCTTTGTCCCTTCCTTAACCCATGTCGGCAGCTTCGCAAGGATATCTGGGTACTTCTTCGATAAATCTTCTGAATTTCGGGAGAAGATGTTGGATACGCCGCGATCACTCTTGCCAGCTGCGGGAGCTGCCGTCGCCATCTCCTCCGTAGAGTCGTGCGCAACGTAATGAATCTGAGCTCGCTCACCGTCGTACTTGTACTCGCACGTGAAATCCTTGCCCTCAAATCGATCGAGGACTTCGGTGATTGATTTTGTCGGTTTCGCCAACATGGGCTTCAACGGTACGCCAGGCTGTAGCCTACAGTTATCCCGCAGGTTAGAAAGACCGTGTTCGAGCATCGCCGGAACAATAACCTCGTAGCTAGGAAGCTCGCTGTAGACAGTCTTCAACGTTGCCTCGGCCTTAGCCAGGTCATCTGTTGACGGAGTATTGCCCTTTTGTGACAGCTCGTGGAACTTGACAGCCTGTGCGAGTGCAACTACGACGGTCTTCTCTGCAAGCCCCAGACGTAGCTTGCCCTCCAGCGTCCGGACGATGAATTTCGCCTCGCTGGCACCGCCCTTGTTCTCCTCAATGTCGATCGCCTTTCCAGCGTTGTGTGCATCGGCTGACGAGAGCAGCTTCTTGATACCGTCGACCTTCCTCCCTTGAGCACCTTGGCCTTCGGTAGTGGTCGCAATGGCCATCAGACCTTTGTGAACACCGGCTATGGTCAACGGCTTCGGCTTGAACATCGTGGGCTGCTTCGATCGACTCTTCGCTGCGACTAGACCAAGATCCCCAATCTCTTGCTGATCACTTTTGATGTGTTGCAGAGTCCTCCCAGTGCTTTCAGAGATAGCTTTCATAATCAACGACTCTCCGATGCCAAGCTCGATGCCGGCGTAGTCGGCTGCCAGTTTGTTGATCATGAGCATTACTGTTGGAAGGAGATCTGCAGGGGTCAATCGCATGACTTGTCGCAGGAATAGTGAAGAGTGAGCGAGAATCTCAAGTCGTTTTGTAGTCATCTCGATCTTGGAGAATGTTGTACAGAGCGCAGCGTACGGCACTGGCTCGCCAGCCTTCCAATCTGGGTACAAATCCTTGGTTGTGGAGGTAAGCGTAGCTTGGACCTTCTTGCGTGCCTCTTTCTTGACCTCCTCTGGTTCTTCACCTGAGCTCAGAATGTCATCCTCTTGCGCATCTGATGCAGCATCTGATGTAGCATCGTTCTCTGCGACTGGTGTCGGTGACTTTTGTGCCTCTTTCTTGCCCTCTGTAGACTTATTCGGCTTCGGCGCCTCCTTTTCACCTTCCTCTCCGTCTTCCTTCACCGCCTTTGATTTCGCAGCTGGCTTCTTTGGTGTCGCAGCTTGCTTCTCAGCTTTCTTCGGTGCTGGTTTAGCTTTCTTTGACTCGGTCTCCTTCGCCGGTTTCCGTCGCTGTCGCTTTGTGGGAGGCTCGTCCTCGGAGTCTTCTTCCTCCTCCTTGACCTGTCTCTTCTTGCCAGCTTCCGCGGGAGGGCTATCCACGTCCATTGCCTCGCCATTGGCTTCTTCTTTGACCTTTGTATTCGACTCTGCTGTGGCAGTAGGCTCCGATTTCACTTCTGCTGACGAAGACTCGGGCTCTTCTTTCGGTTCTGCATCCTTCTTCTCGGTCTTGCTCTTCGTGGAGAATGATAACTTCGACTGTTGCTTCACTGCTGGCGCGCCATTCTTGCCAAAGAGTTTCCTGCAATCGTACATCAGTATGTTGACTTTCAATTGCCATGCAATGAGAGTTTTCGTCGCACCCAAGTGTAGTCTGAGAAGGCTTGACATGCCCCAGAGTAGCCTGTTTCGGCGGCATGATCGTCAATGTGGAGAGCTGTGCACTCCCAAGCTGCTGGCGGCGAGGAGCAATCGAGGAAAGCAATTGCGGGCGAATTGGCTGGAGGGTGCGACAAGTCAAGCGAAGTGGAAGACTTGTACAGTTGGTAGCGCTGAAGCGTACGGGCATGCTCTTTCTTTACAAAGCGCACAATATTAGGCTGCGACACGAGGGGAGACGCGTTGCGACGCGACTGCCTCGCGAACTAGGAACGTGCGCAGGCAGCGCGGAAAGTGCTGACATCACCGAGGCCATATCAGCTGCGGCGCATTATCGCAACACCCTTTGCATACCACAGATATATTGGAACATAGTGATTCTGGCGCAATACTTCTGGAAATTGTCTCCTCCCACCTCTCCGCCTTCCCCATCTCCGCCAATAATGTCGCAGCCCTCGCCAGCGCCCGGTCTCACGCCACAATTCTGCTTCAACCAGACTGCTCTGCGAGGTGAGCCACCATTGCTGCCTCCAAACTTACACTAACTAATACAAGTCCCCTGAGCAGACTTCCTACGGATATCACGATCTACAATAGACGACTCGATTACGCAGAACTTGAACGCCCTCCTCACACCAGCCCAACGCGGCTTCGATCCCAACTCGACTTCGGCACGCCAGCTTAGCGGGCCTGAACGCTCCATTCCGCCGGCGCATTGCGATGAGTTCAAGCAGCGCGTGCTGTTCCCCAGCTGGGCGGTGCGGTCAGATGTGTTGGACTATTGCGCGGGCGTGGCGACGAGCCCGGACCCAGACGACCCGGATAGTGTGCTGAGGCAGATCGAGGATAGCAAGGCGAGGGAGCGGGTCGTGGACGAGAGACTAGACCCTTACTCGGGGCGGTACTTCGCCCGGGAGGCGAGGACGGACAGTCTGGCTATGCTAATGCGGAATGAGAGGGCGGTGGAGAAGATCATCAGGATGAGGACGTGGGGATTGATTGCAGAGAGGTGTGGGGGCGAGCATGCTGAAGCGGACCAGGCGTTCGAAGCGTGGAGGAAGACGCAGTGAAGACTGCGTTGGTTTACGACTTCATCTTGAGCGCATGCATGCGGGCGTTGCACGAGTGTGACATCTGATACGACTTGAGTATCTCAACCTGTACATAAGTAGCAAATAGACTCGACTCTGAATATTTTACCTGCTGTTTTGCATCTGCTTACTAGTAACTGTCGTGCGTGCAACTGTGCTGCCGAGTGAACGCAGACAGGAGCAAGGCTTTACTTGCAATCATGCAGAGAACCTACTGCAGGCAGGTTCATAGTCCCTGTGCAGCTCAACGCAAGAACGAAGAGACGCGTTGCGCTCAACTTCTGTTCAACCTCGATACGTGCAGCTTAAGGACCCTACAGCTGTCAACCTCAAAAACCATCTTCAAGCGCAGCACCAGTGCCACTACTCAATGATAGCCCACGCCAATGATATGCGCAGCCAGACGGAAGCGACATGCTCCAGTCGAAGAAAACCACACCTCACCAACTTCTGCAGAGAGACGTCGGTATGTCCCACACCATCCCACAACTCCAGTCCATCTTTTCACGGACGACAATTGGTAGGAAGACGGTCGGAATCACTCTACGGGGCCGGGAACGGAGGACTATCCACAGAAGAATAGGGATAACCCTCAGCAAGCCGCTTGCGCGGAGCCACGGTATAAGTAACTTAGGAAGTTACCTACTGATGTAGGAAGAACTACGAGGGGGACGGGGGACGGCGCGGTTTTATACGTGGGCGAGGCGCTTGGGCCATGAGGCTTGGCGAAGAAATTTTGGGTGGGGCGCGCCTGGCGGTAGAATTGTGCAGGAAGGGTCTACGGCGCACGGGGAATGATGGATAGGTTTTGGAAACGACACTAGGGTAGCAAGATACGGTGCGGGCAGTTTGGCATAGAGTCCGAGTGGTGGCATGACATCACGTTCTGGTCAAGTCACAGATGCGCAGCGAATATTAAGACAAGTGTTTGAGGCGACAGGGTTCACATATGCCATCGAAAGCTACATTACTGCCCATCCTCCTTCATTCGAGATCGTGATTCCGTTAGATCATGACCGCAGCAGCCCTCTTTACAGTAAGTCTTTCGACAACCGTCATCAACAGCCGCCACAGCATACCGTGACGAAAGCAGCAATCCACACTCCGATGCTCTAGTAGAGGCGCTTGGGGGGGCTCATGGTGGCCTTGATGGTCAGGGAGCCCACGTTCTGCCAGCCCTTCTTCAGGAGGGAGACGAGGTAGTTGATGGACAACATGATGTTACCGATGAGCTCGTCCTCGGTCATGCCGACGTTGCCGACAGCGACACCCATGCAGAGGACCTTCTTCAGCTGGAACTTGATGGTGGACTTGACCTCAGTCATCTTGTTGGCGAGGTCCTCAGCGTGAGAGACGGGAGTGGGGAACTTTCCGGCCTTGGACAGACCAGGACCCAAGAGACGGGGGATCTGCTTGATCAAGGCGTCGGAAGCCATGAAAGCATCGTACTTGCGCGCGAGCTTCTTAATGAGCTTCTTGTTCTTGTTGAGCTTCTTCAAGTCCTCGGTGGACATGGCATCGACGCCGTGGTGCTTGGCGCGGTCGATGTCGTGCTGGTCACCAATGACGCAAATGGCCATGCCTACGACTGTCAGCGACCGCTCGTCTCGAGTTTCCATGCGCGCATAACCTACGGGGACGGGGGACGGTGGGGAGCTTGACAGTTCCGGAGAAACGCTTGTCACGCTGGGGGTCGTAGTTCTTGAGGCCGATCTGGAGCTCGACGGTCTCGAGGAAGTTCCTCTTCTTGGTCTCGTTGGAGTACTCGAGGAGCTCCTTGACGTTCGAACGAACGCCGGCGACAGAGATTTTCGACATGTTGGCTGATTGTCTCCCAAGGGATGTTTCCTTTGGTGGCTCTGGCGGGGTGGTTGAAGAAGAAGAGCAGACGCGACTGCAGGCCGAAATCGTGGTGGCGCCAAGACGCAAACTTTCGCTTAGAACGCAATCGCCGCTGATTGGTCAGACAGTTGCTCGATGAGTGCCCTCGAATGAAGGTTTCGCGTTCAGCGTGTTTTAAAGTCGACGCACGTTTCAGCAAGAGCAACAGTGAAGGGAAATCATGCCCTAAATTTCCGGCTAGCCAGCTGTCCAAATATTATACATATCGCTTTTATCCGAAGCCAAACCACGCACTATGAATCCACGCCGTGCAATGCCCATAACTCCTCGCCATGAGAGTCGTCCAGTAAAGATGATAAGATGCTGTAGGAACATGTCATGAACATCGTTCCCACGGGTATCGCATCGGAAAGACCCCAACGCCAGAACCGTACAATATCCAGACCAAGGTTATGTACCCGGACTGTCCCCTATGCATGCCGCCACGCTGAATAAAGGCAAAGGCCGAAGCCTATAAAGTACACGGAAATCAAAGTGAGGGCATCCTGCTGAACAGAAGATGCGGAACGCATCCCGCCCCTTCCCTTGAAGTTTTTCAGTGCATCAGCTGCTGGTTGTTGGCCGCATCAACGACGTTGTCGGAAAGGTTGATCAACAGCTGTGCAAGACAACGCTTGGTGGCTGCATCATCTCGAAGTACAGAAGAGAAAGTCGCATCCCTGAGGGGCTCGGGAAGGCACTGACGCAGAGCCTCGCGAGCGCGAGCATTATCGCTCAGGCTGGATATGTTAGCTATTAAATGTAGATGAGGGAGGACAGAACATACCGAAGGAAGCATCGAACGACGTGCTTGAGAAGACGGACTGTCTGCTGCTCGACAAGCTGGTTGACCATGTTGCTAAGCACAGTTCCAACTGCGTAGAAGCGCTCGTAGGTCTGGCAGATGTACGCAAGGCCGATGTCATCAAGCAAGATCTTCTGAACGATGAAGATAGCAACCGTCTTGCTGAGCTCTGACCCTGTCTCCATAATACGAAGGCAGAGAGGAATGATCTCTGTTGTGAGGAGGAAGTTGATGACCTCAGAAGAGTCGTTCTTGACAAGGGCGCCGATCACACCGAGGGAAGTCAGACGGAGGTACTCGAACGGGCGCGACTTCGAAGTGGTGTTCAGGAATGGGTAGAGAAAGAGTGGGATATGCGCTGCGTCTGTGTCAGGCATGCTCTCGATACAACAGTGTCGCACTTACCACTCAGAAAGAGGCCACGAGTCTCGGTATGGGACGCCACGCATTGGAGGAGCGCGAGCGCATTACAGACGCGGTTACTAGCAGCGGCCGTCAACTGCGACGGGTTGAGCAGGGGGTAGACGGAGATGATCTCTTGGAGAAGGGAGGCCATAACACCTGCGTTTCTTAGCTTTTGCATACTTGCAACGGAAATTCTGTCATACCGAATGAATGCCAGAGAATCAGAGCAAGCTCTGGTACTTGCTCACGCTTCTTGCTCAGCTCGAGCAGGGCGGACTCGCGTGTTGCTGGCTTCATGAGCTGCGCAATCCAGTCGAGCACACGCCTGTTCTCCTCCGTCATGCCAATCTCAGTGTTGGCCTGGAGATCGTTCGCGGGACCCCGAGGCACGATGCCATTGCCAGAGACAGCTGTCCCATTGTTGCCCGCGATCCGTTGGTAGTGTTGCTGTTGGGCCTGCGCGGCGGCAGCCGCGGCAGCGGCAGCCTGTGCTTGAGCTTGCGCCTGGGCAGCCTGCGCCTGCGCCTGGAGTTGACCGTGCTGAGCTACATGGTGGTTGGGGTGCTGGTGATGGCCCTGCGACCACTCGCCCGGGTAGTGCTGCTGCTGCTGCGTGAAGAGGTGTTGCATTTGCTGCATCTGTCGCGCGTTCGTGGGTTCGGTTTGGGTATTCGTTGTGAGAATAGACGCGACCGATGGATATAAGTAATAGCTTGTCGAAGCAGCTCGTGCCTGCGGTTGTGGGTAGAAGAGCGGTGAATGGCGCGGATGTAGGTACGTTTGGTCAGTACCTGAGAGGGTGAGGTTCCAACACGATCTCCCCCACTGTCTTGGCGGCAAGTGCGGGAGGCTGAGGCTGGCGCTTTGACGCTTTGACGCTTTGACGGAGATCGCTGCCGCCCAGATCAAGTGAGTCCATCCATAGGCGAGGCCCTGCAGTAAAGGCGCCAGGCACCAGGCATCCTCGACCTCACGGCATAATTATATGCACATGTGCACTTTGCAAGCCGTTGTCTGCACAACGGCAACGAAAGTAGGTTCACAATCATACTCAAGATCGACAAACTTCGACATATTACTTTGAATTACGCTATTCGCTCTCCTCCCATGAAAAATGATAACATGCTCCGCCCCGAACACAGTGTTCAGAGCCTGTCATTTATAGCCGCAAGTTCTCCAGGATATGCTGGGCCATGCTCTTGTACTGCCAGGTGCCTCCATCGACTTTCTTGAACTGCAGACCGTGTAGTTGCAGAAGTGGTACTTTGACAATGAGAACTTCGAAAACGAGAGGTGCCAGCGCGCCTAGATCGCTCTGCACATGTGTGGTCGTTTCACCAGCAGCCAGTGCACGCCCTGCACGTGGTCTGCGCTCATCTCTCTCATCGCTGTCATCAGACTCGTCGGTATTAGTGAAGCTGTGATCCGCAGGGGATGGTCGAGATCGCGACTTCGGCGTGTTGGGCGCGCGGCTTGATTCCCTAAACTCTTCCCGCTCCCTGTCACGGTCGCCTCCAATCAACCCTCCGAAACTGATCTTCCTCCTATGGCTGCCGCTTGGAGGGGAAGTTGGCATATTGGGAGTTCCGTGGTCGATGCTCGGAGCGTGTCGGCACTTGAAGCCGCCTTTGATAGGTTGGAAGGTGACGCCCAATTCGTGTAAGACCCTAATCAGATCGTTTTGAATGAAGGAGATCGGTTTACTGCTCGTTGTCGAAACGCTGAAGAGGCCCTTTAAGAAGACGGGCTTCACAGCACCTGGGCTTCTGGCCTCCTCAGCCGCGGACTCCGCCAACTCTGCGTCGGTCTCCTCAGGCACGTTCGATTCTCTGGCCTGCTCTCGCTTTGCCCGCCGTGCCTGAATGCTCTCTCTGCGTGCGTGGCCCAAAGACTTTGCACGAGACGCCTGATTCCTGCGGGGGCTAGAAGTGATGTCATCGGCGCCAGGATCATAACTTGGTCGAGGTTGCTGCGTGCTGAGATCTGACCTGTCTGAGCCACTTGTTTGTGGAGGCTCGCGCTCACCTGTGTTCTCTGTCGATCTGCCACGTCGGCTCAGGCGCCGACGGAAGTCAGCAGAGTTGACGCTGGTCGACCGTCCAAGTGCTTTGAGCTTTCGTGCAGCGCTGTTAGAGCTGCCGGGTGGGGACAGTAGCTCTGGCTGGTTTGCGGTACTCGTGGGTAGCTGAGACGAAGACCCAGTGTCCCTATCACGGGGTCTGCGAATACTGAAACTTTTTCTAGGGACAGTTGCTGGTGCTTGAGGTAAAGGAGGAACTGGTTCTGAAGGGCTCGAGATTGCGACTGCTGGTGTGGGTGGTGTGGGTGGTACATCAGGCTGACTTCTTTCGTGTCGGTACTTGCGCGTGCTGAACCTGCGCAACAGACCTCCCACAGGGCCTTCCCTTTTGGGTTGTTCGACTGGCGGCGATAGTATAGCTGGCGAGGCGGCGCCAGGAGGCTTGTTGAGATCGACTCTCTTCAAGCTATCCGTCACTTCATCTTCACCGTGAGTCCTGGCTCTTGGTCGCGATCGGCCACCGGTAGGCTTCTCGCCGGCCATCTCGTAAGTGGCAGCATTTGTATACGCCGGTGGTGGTGCAGGAAGATCAGGCATCTTCAGGGGCTTCTCTCCAGGGCTTTGAGGCATGGCTACAGCGCCTGGGTTCTCCTCAGCTCGCTCGCGATCCCTCTTCTCCCTGACAAGGTAGTAGACCGAGATGAGAGGACTATAAGCATTGACTGGGTCAAGACCCCTTGATACCTCCTCTGAAGAAGAAGCAGTCAACTGCTCTCGGCTCGATATCGAGTTTCGTCGCTTATAGAATTCGAACATGCCGCGTTTCCTCTCGGTCTCTGGTGTTTGTGCTGTAGTCCTGCGTGCAGCAAGGCGCACAGTGCGCTGGTACTCCTCAGATTGTATGACTTTGGTCAACTCGGCAGTGATGTACTCTGGAGTTCCGAAATCAAAGCCTGTCATCTTCTCCACAATCTCAAAGTCCAGAGGCAGCTGGAGGGGTTCACGGTGGGGTAGGTAGTTCTCTGGCGGGCTGTTGAATCCCTTGGTCAACCATGGATGGTTCATAATCTCAGAAAGCGTCATGCGCTGGGAAGGGTCCGTCTGCAGCATGCGGTGGATCAGACCTCGACATTCTACAGCCAGTCAGCAAGCAGCCATCTCTGATGTCCTCCAATCTTACCTGCTGATAACCACGGAGGGTAGTCGACAACTCCCTTCTTGATCTTCGCGTGCAGTTGCGGCATGCTTTGATCATCGAAAGGTACCTTGCCGCAGACTAAGACGTAAAGGACAATGCCAAAACTCCACACATCGACCTCGGGACCGGTGTATTGCTTGGCTTGCAGCAGCTCAGGAGCAGCGAAGTACAGACTGCCACAGAACGTCTTCAGTTGACCTCGGGGCGAGAAAAGGTTGCTCAGCCCAAAGTCAATGATCTTGATATCGCCAGTCTTGCTAATGAGGATGTTCTCGATTTTCAGGTCCCGATGAACGATACTGTTCCTGTGGCAGTAGTCCAGAGCACTGGCAATCTGACGTGCAAACTTGCGGGCCTGCTTCTCCTTAAGACGGCCGTGCGAAATGATATAGTCGAGCATCTGCCCTCCGTTGACAAACTCGCAGAGCATGTACCAGTGGTAGTTGGTCCGCACGACGTCGCGCATGCCGCATATGTAAGGATGGTTCAAGAGACTAACAATGGCAGCCTCACGTGCGGTGCGGACCTCCTTAGAATGATCGGCTCTTTCGCGGTCGGCGGCGCTCTGGTGCTGGTCCTGCGACTGTCGAGGCACTATCTTGACGGCCACCTGGATTGTGTTAGCCAATGCCACTGCCCCTCGCATGAACCAGCCGTGTAGTGGCGGCACATACCTGTTCACCAGTCTCGTTGTGTTTTGCCAGCTTCACCTTGCCCATGCTGCCTGCACCAATAGTTTTGCCGAGCGCCCATGTTCCTGTGCTGGGGGCCGTGATGGTCGTTCTGCGCTTTGGCTGCTGCACCGGCTGTCCTGTTCTCGCACCGTCCGCAGCTACGCCGTTGGTGGGCATCGCGCTGGCTGTCGAGGCGTCTGAAGCATACCGCGAATGGCGCCTGCTCGATTCGGTGCGCTGGGGGGGAGCTTCGCGTGATTCGCTGTGTCGCGACGGGGAATACGCAGCCACGTTGCTTTGCTCGTAGTCGCGACGAGAGACGTCTTTCAGGTGCTGCGCAGGTCCGCTGGGGCGGGTGGTGGTGCTCTGCGAGCGAGTTGGGCGGTCGCTTTGCGGTGGCCGTCGAACAACGGCTGGCGACGCTGGGGCTGGGGCCGACATGTTCGCGGCGGCGCAAGGGCAGCGAGCGCCCTGAGACGGTCGACAGCGAGCGTGGCGAGCGTCGGTGGGGACCAGTGGACCGCTGGCGATTCGCAGCAGGCTTCAGAGAGTAAATGCAGCGCCCGCACGTGGTGATGGGGAAAGTGGGCGCAGAGGCCTCAGATTAGGGGCCGCTGTTGATCGTGATTGTGCTGCGGGCTAAACTTGGCAGGGTCGAAGACGAAAGCGTGCTGGCTGCGACCTTGCATCACCGAGGGCTGGGATGCGCAGCGGGAGGGCACAAAGAGCACAGTCACGGTCGCCGCAGGGCGGAAAGGCACAGTAGGCAGCGAGGAGCAAGGTGCGCGATATCCCATGCTTTGGGCTCGTGTTTGGAGGCTGGCGCGATAGCTCCCAGCGGCCAACCTGCAACTAGCAGCTCCACCAATGCGGATTGACGCACGACGCTATTGGGCTGCGTCGTGGGGTAGTAACACATCAGCGCAGTTTGCGTCAAATGTCTCACAGGGCATTTGACGCTCAGCTGTCTGGTCTTTGCTGATGCACATGGTTAATTATAATCCGTACATCTATTTCCTACACGAAGCTATTGGGAGCCGGTAATTGCGGCGATCCAGGGTCCTCCAAAAGAGCAGCCGACTCCAGCGATGGCGGCTTCGCTGAACGGCCTACATCATAGGTCCCACTACTGGCTACGCGCTAAGATGCAACAGGAACAGAGCATGCAAGACGATTTTCAGGAACGGCATGTCCAAGTCCAGACTGCCCGTTACCGAAATGATTCGTATCGATGTTTACGTATCTTCATATGCGACATGCGCAGTACTGTGGAGACTTCATTCTGATCTCGGGTTGCATTGCTTCTGCGTGTAATAATAGCTGCCGACGTTTCCGTCGTTGCTTAGTCACCCGTGAAATTGCAACTGTCTAGCAGGCATCACCGCACGTCGCTACAGCTTTTACCAAAACGCACAACATGGCGTACAAGCGCCCGCGCGACACGTCGCCCTCGAACTCGTCAAAGCGCCCTCGCGGAGGCTTGAGCTATGTCTCTCTTGGCACTGAGCTGCCAGACGACAAAGACGATGGAGAGTTCGTGCCTGTGTGGAAGCAGACGGTGACGGACGAAAGAGGGCGCAGGAGGCTGCACGGCGCATTCACTGGAGGCTTCAGTGCAGGGTAAGTTTTGGAGCCATCTTTGGCCGAACGCAAGACTTCTTGACTATGCTAAGATACTTCAATTCAGTTGGATCTAAAGAAGGATGGACACCCAAGACATTCGTTTCCTCGCGGTCGAATCGCAATAAAGACCAAGCTGCTGCGCCAGCACAGCGCGCCGAAGACTTCATGGATGAGGAGGACCTGGCCGAGGCAGCAGAAACGCGGCAACTCGAGACAGCGCAAAGCTTCGCGGGCATTGGAGGTGCAGACGATGCAGCCAACAATGGCTTATTTGGTCTCTTCATGAATCAGGAAGAGACAATGGGTGTCAAACTGGCGCAAAAGATGGGCTGGAGACGTGATCAGGGTGTAGGCCGAAAGATCAGTCGTGCTGCTCGCATCGAGGACAGCAGCGCTGCAAGCAAAGATGCAGCCAGCTACACGTTCGCCCCGGATGACACTAGAGCCATGCCGATTCCTCGAGAAGAGGTGCGTCGCAAAGGTCTGGGCTACCAGTCAGAAGCGCGGCTGGGTGTTGTGGAAGAGAAGCCGGCAGATCAAGGGATGGACTTACGCTTCACCGAAAGTCTGAGGAAGCCTCTCATCGCCAAGAGACCACCAGCCAAAAAGTCGTCCTTCGGTGTGGGCGTACTGAATGACACTGGCTCAGACGATGAAGACCCGTATGAGCTTGGTCCCAAGATATCCTTCAACAAGACGATCGGCAAGGATAAGAAAGCAAAGAAGCCGAGCAAGTTTGTAAAGGCTGGCGTTAGTGAAGGTCCTGTGTTTGTCTCGAAGAAGGCATCTTCGAAGGCATTAAGCTTATTGAACCGAGCATCTATGGATGGGAGACCGCCTCTCGTAGGATTCGTTCTGGCCGCTGATATCGCCGAGCTGGGAAGCAAACCCGGGTACCCTCCGCCTAAAATCCCTCCGGGTTGGAAGTCTTCAAAGTCAGCTGCTTCAAATGCAAACACGGAAGATTATCGATCTGTCGCAGATGCCGCAAAAGCGTCCACGTTGGACGCGAAAGGTCGATCTGCGCTATTGGGCGAGAAACAATTGCCTGGGAAATCTATATTCGATTTCATCTCGAGAGGTGCGCGCGACCGTCTCGCGAATCTGTCTGGCAGGGCCGATCTACCCCAGGGTCGAGGAGAGTCCGGACCCGAAGGACATCTGCCTGCAGCCAAGGCACAGTCGAAAGACCTTTGGAGTCTTGTGCCTACCTTGGACAAGAGCACGGCGGCAGCGGCGCTGGCAAAAGGTGCTACAGGGTGGATGCCATATGCCGAGGATTTGCAGAAGCGCGCGAGATACGTTGGTTTCCTCGAGTTACGGGCAGGACTGAGAGAAGACTTGCCCGAGCGGAGTGGCAGGGTCTCGACGTCAGACTGGGTCAAGGAACTACAAGAGTTCGCCCACGCCGCGCAAGTCTTCAAACCTACGACTGGCATCATGGCATCGCGTTTCACTTCATCATCCTCATCAACCTTAGGTGGAAACACAGCTGCCAGCACGGACGAAAACCTCATACGACAGGCAGCGAAGATACCCGAGGACCCCGCGGAACAGGCAGCGAAGATGGGCATGTACGGTGCCATGACCCGGACCAGCTTCCCCTTCCACCCATCCCGATTGCTATGTAAGCGCTTCAACGTGAGGTCTCCTCCAGACATGCCTCACGGTACCGAGGCTGAGGGCGACAATGGGTTCAAAGCGAAGACGGAAGAGGCGGTATCCAAGTCAGCCATGGACAAGATGCTACATGAAGTCTTGACCAACGGGCCGGCTCTGCAACGACCAGCATGGATGGGTCCAGCGCCTCTGGACACCGCACCGGCTACCGCTGCACTGCAAGCTCATGGTCATGCAACGGTAGACGTTGAGAAGAATGAGGCTCTTGCGAATGCCCGGGCGCCCGAAGATGTGTTTAAATCCATCTTCGGAGACGACGACGACGATGATGATTGACGAGGTATCGCTCACGGGGACGGATCGTTCGAATAGCAGAATAGCACATGTTCGATATTTCTTAATACTTTTTCTCCGACGACTCGGTCCACGCACAACATAATCGCATGACCAGCACATGGAGGAGGCAAGTCTTCATTCTCTGATTTGCTCGACGAGGCTTAAGCCTTCTTTATTCATTCATCTCATCATCATACCTTGATCAGAAACCGCATACTTGACATGTCCAAGTCGGTCTCGAATCGATAATCAGACCTCTCATCACCGAGCACTTTACTGACTAACTTGGTCACTTCCGCGTTTGGAAGCGTCACCTGGTTCGATGTCGTGCGAAACACCCTGGGGCGCTGAGTGCTCCTCTTGACATCCCTCCTTGTCCATCCACATCACGAGTGTCACAACCGTCAGAGGTACTGTGACCACCCAGTATATCCACATCTTCGCAAAACTGTCAGCGAGTGAGGGTCGCCATTGTCCTCGTCGCCCCAGTCGAACATGTCGCTGCTGAACAAAGTGGCCATGAACGTGCCGGGATGGAACACGATACCGAGTATCGCGATGGTTTTCATAGCAGTGCTGTCGCGGCTGCCGTCTACTGCGATAGTGGCGGTGTATTCAAAATCGCTTTGCGTGATGGTGTTGAGCATCTACCCCCCACTGTCAGTCGCTGCATATGCATCAGGTTGGGGAAGAACCACTTACAAATACCGTCTGGCTCTACACCCTGTCTCTCATCTGTTGAATCTGCGACAACAGCATCGCAGCCCGGCGTCGCATGTACTCCACGTCCTGAGCGACTATCGGGCGCACCTGCTTCATGCTCGGCACGTACTGGCTGTCTTGTGGGAATTGCCCGTCCAGCACCGGTTCGTTCAATGTTTTGACAAGCTACTCTCCACACTCGAGACAGCATCTCGCCACATGACTGATGATAGCAAGATCGGTCTGACAGTAGCTCAGTTGCTGGATGATATTCTTCGGATCCTCAAGCGCAGGGGACTCGTCCATGCTAAGCATCTAGGTCGCAATCCTTTTACGGTACATTGGGAACAAAGTCTCTAGGTAGTCCTCGAGCGCCACTCTGGCTTGCTGCACCTACTCAGCATCAAGATCACGGTGCTTAAGGCGCGCTCATCGAAACTCGCCAGCTGCTACCGTCCCCAGGGACTAGTGCCATGAAACCTGCATTCGAAGTCGCAGTTGATGCTCAGGTGTGATTCCTGCTTTGGATGACCGCGTCGGTCGTGCTTGGAGCAGAAACAGGGGCATGATAACCCGGAGAGCGTTTAATATGCCTCGGTCATGAACCTGCATGTGCCGAAGTCTTTAGTATCTAGTTGATCGAACTTTAGATCGGGAACTTGAAATTATTGAAGTTGAAGGAGGGCAAGGGTCACAGGATTCTTCCAGGGCATTGCGATTGAGGCAAGTGGGGCTTTACTCGAAGCGAAGTTCATGTAATTATCTGTAAGTCCTCGTCATTCAGCTGAGGATTTGCATTGAGCAAACCCAAAGCTCGTCCATTCTGGAGAGTAAAACTAGGGAATATTGTTGACCGGTCTGAATAGGCGACAGTATAGAAGAAAAAGGACAGCCATGACCCCGCTGATCAATTTCCCTGTCCCTTGAACAGAAGATACCGACCGCCGTGGATGGGTCGCCTATGATCATGGAGGTAGCAGAAACATGCTTTGGTTCGAGGAAGCTTAAGGTCCGACTCTGGCCTGCGCGATTCGTTTTCACTGTGACAAGAATCTCAGCCAAGCGATCAAGAACTTTGTTGCGCATGGAAGCAAGATCCTGTTGATTGCCTGATCCTTTCGCATCATGTACGACTTCGAACATGTCCTCTTCTTCCTTCTTCATTTCAATCTCCACGATTGCATCCGTCACCGGTGATTGGTGAATGGTGATCCTCAGCTGAGCTTGCATCAATGTCAATATGAGGACTTCCGAGTTCTGATGCGATCTTGTCTGGCTCTTTTGGACGTTCCGTAGTCAAAGCAAGCAAGCAAATTGCATCTTGCAGATCGCCATTCTGTGAGCATAACATGCCAGCGACACTGCGGAGCCACTAGCAATTGACGCGTGTTGGTAGAGACATTGGTGTGAACATGCAAGCTTCTTCGATGCAGCCAGATGGAAGTGGGCTTGGCGATGAGCGGCTTGAGTCGAGCCCGTGGGATTGTGTAGACATGATGAGGGGTCGCGGATCACGGCCAGGCTGACTGTGGAGCCAGCCATCGTCCACAAGAAGAAAGCGCAAAAGCGGGAGCGGCACGTGCGCCTAAACAACACACCAGCTCACCGACCTTGACAACGATAACTCCACCGCAGCATCGATAATTTTGCTAATTTCCTGTCGGAGATTTTCTTTATGGGACGCGACTTGTTTTTGAGCGGGCGTTGACCGCTTCCAACATACCGAGTAAGACATGCCCTGCAGCGCAACTTTTTCCAGCCCCGTCGGAGCGTAGCGAGTACTTGGAGTTGAAAGGACAAGTGAAATGGCAGATCCAAGAACCGCCGTTTGTCACTTGCGAGATACCCGAGACAGTATGAATCTGGGTTGGAATACACAATCTGGATGAAACAACGTCCTTTCACAACATCTCCTCGGCCACGTTGTCGCGGACTGGTCATTGGTCCATAAATCTACTCCACGACGGCCATCAAAGACCTATCCGTATCGTTGAAATCGTATATTTTCCTGGCCAAGAGTAACTGCCAACGTCAGCTCGGTCGGTCGACCTCTATTCCCAACACTAACGCAACCAGAATGGATCCGTTCCGTTACCGCAAAGCTTATGCGGCGATGCTGCAGGCGACACAGCTCATAGAAAAGCGGCTTCAACAAGGCACTGAACTGGAAGATGAGCACCCTAAGCAACTTGATGTAGGAAGCGCTGCATTCCAAGACCAAGACCCAGATAGCATGGATTGGACTCCCACCGGGAGCAGGACGCCAACTGCAGCTGCGGAGTGTGGACCTCCACCATCATTGTCTGAAAAGCTGCGGCCGCTTCTGCCCGCTGGTGGAGATGGTGATATCCAAGCTCTAGATCGAAGGGAAAACGCGCTGCTTCTGCGCAAGCTGAAGGAGGGTAAGCTGGTAGATGCATGTATCGATAAGCTTGTCCAAGACTTGCCCGACGCACTCAGCTACAACAACTCTGCGTCTTTCACTCCTTCTACGATAGAAGTCCCTAAAGATTTTGGGTTGCAGCTATCGATCTCGATCAATCATCATATGGCACAGATAGCAGACCGGAAAGCGCTTGAGAAGTACCGACGGCTGCTGGGTCATCGCAAAGATACGGCGAAGCGAAAACCTGTCAAGCTCGGGTTCGACCCGGTCGAGCTGATCAAAAAGCAAGCCGTCTCCCTTCCTGAGAATGTCGTGTCTCCGACATGCTCGCTGATCAACGACATTCATCCAATTCTTCGTCCTGAGAACTGGCATGGCTGCCCAGATAATATCTACGAGGTGCTAAAGCCGGGTATGCAGCTTGCGACTTTGTTCCTGACATCTCGCGCTACTGCACACTACTGGCATACGCTCTGCTTCGGCGAGCGGAAACAGTGTGCCACAACCTCAGAAGCATACGGCCAGCCGTGTCGTCGCATTCGAGAAGACGTTTCTTGGTCAGAAGAGCGACATGTTGCCTTCAACAACTTTTTGAGCAATCAGTTGGATACGATCTACTTCTGCTTCCACAACAACCCGCTTCCACCAGAGACTGTGTACGCTTCCATGGGCCTGGTGAGAGATTACAAGAACGGCCTGATACGCAAGATGAACGACAAGTGCCATACTTCTCGCATCTGCCTGCACTCGGACTTTTACACTACCGCGAAGAAATTGAGTCTTTTGCGCTACAGAGAGCCAGCCATGGTCTTGCGGTTCAACTTGTTCCTCGCGATCTGCCTCGCCCATGAGATCGCACACTTCTGCGAGGTGTCAGGCCCTCATCACGATCATGAACTACTTTCGGAACCCGAAGTCTTCTGGGGCGACAACATGTGGACTGAGAGCGGCATTGCATTCGAGACCAAGGTGTTTGGCGGTCGTATACACCCGCTTTCGAGTCGCATCGACTGCAGTCTTGGATTGGCATGCCTCGACTACCCGCTCAAAGAGCTCTACGATAAGGATGACAATGTTCTCTACGCTCTTCCAATGGACTACGTCCTCAAGCTGCAACAGAGCGAGACATGGCAACAAGACTTCAGCAAAGCCGGGACCGACGTGTTCTTTGTCCCAAGAAACGGTAGCAAGTCGGTAGAGATCAACGGCGCTAACCTGATGATTTGGGAGGACGAGAACGATGCCGACATCTCAGACCACATCGACGGAAAAGAGACGGAATGGAAACGCATGGATGATGGATCTATTGCCAGGAACCCAAGCTCGAACAACCGCAGGCCTCAGCGGCCCCCTATTTTTCAACGATGGAGTCCGTATGGCCACAAGAGGAAGAACACTGCCGACGACGTGGCCTGCGTATCGACAGAAGTGGTGGAAAACAAGGGGGATGCGGGACCAGGGGCGACAGAGCCGGAGCTGAAAGCCCAGAACAAAGATAGTGAGGACCCAAAGAGAGCCTCAGACCAGGTTATGGCTTGATGTAGACATAGGGAAGGACCACGCCGAGGATAGTCTATCAGACAGCTACTTGTTGCTTGTGCATAAGCATCCGCGTTCGGATACTTTGGCATTTTTTGGTCTGCATAGCGATCGCATTACTACCAGCGTCACTACTAGCATAGCGAATACTGTATTGAAGCTCAGGTGGACTTCTTCGATGTACCTTGGATATCTCCAGATAACCTTGCCTGTCGGGTGAAATGACTGCCTCATTCAGTCAAATCGCTAGCGCGGTAGTTGCGCACAGTAACTCTTGGCACTCGCACCTGCTCAATTCTCTCGCGCCGTCAACAACGCCCAACGCCGCAGCCCAGCCCCTACCCACGTCACGGTCTCACACTCAAAACCGACAATATGGCGGATTTCACAAAAGAAGTGACCTTTAAGGCGGTCCAAGTCGACGCCCTCGTACGTGCGACCTCTTTCAACGCGAAAACCCCGCCGGCCGCCCCGCTATTGTTCTTTCCGCGACGAAATATCGAAATGCAGCTACATGAGTAGGAGGCTGACAGTGGTATGCAGGTGGCTATCAAGCTCGCTACTGCCAGCGGAAAGTTGTTTCCCAGCGTAGCTACAGGTGCCCTGGTGGGCATGGAAAAGAACGGAATCCTCGAAATCACCAACTCATTCCCTTTCCCTGAGGCAGCCGCCGCCGCCAACGATGGCCAGAGCGACAACTCCAGCAACCTTGCTGCTTCAGCCCCCCGCGCTAAGCAGAACATCGCATACGGAAACGAGATGATCAAGTTCCTACGCGAGGTCAACGTGGACGCGAACAATGTCGGCTGGTACACGAGCACAAGCATGGGCAACTTTGTCAACCTCCAGACCATCGAGAACCAGTACTTCTACCAGAATGCCCCCAACGAGAAGACCGTCGCGCTCGTCTACGATGTCAGCAGGAGCTCTGAGGGCGCCATGAATCTCCGCGCATACAGGCTGTCCCCTGCTTTCATGACTGCCTACAAGGAGAGCAAGTTCACAACTGAGAGGTAGGAACGAATCCCTCATAGCGGAAAGACAGGAAGCTAACAAGCGCAGCCTCCAGAAGAGCGGCCTCAGGTACTCGGACATCCTCATCGAGCTCCCCGTCACCATTCGCAACTCGCACCTTCTCACCTCCCTCCTCCACCAGCTGCCTACACAGGCCCCCAAGGAGGAGCTCGCTTTCCCGCCCAACCTTGCTGCCCTGCTCCAGGACAAGAACACCCCCCAGCCTCCTCTGTACCCCAACTACGACTCGCTTGATCTCTCGATTGACCCCTTCCTCGAGAAGACTTGCGACCTGCTTCTTGAGAGCATCGAGAACCATCACACCGAGCTCAACAACTACCAGTACTATCAGCGCTCGCTCGCCCGTGAGCAGACCAAGATCACTGCGTGGCAGCAGAAGCGCAAGGCGGAGAACTCTGCGCGATCAGCATCGAAGCAGCCATTGCTCCCAGAGGACGAGTGGCAGAGGCTGTTCAAGCTACCCCAGGAGCCCAGCAGATTGGAGACGCTTCTTAACTCTAGGCAGGTCGAGCAGTACTCGAGGCAGGTCGATGGCTTCACTGCCGGCGTCACATCGAAGATGTTCGCAGTCAAGTCGAACCTCCTGCCAGGGGATGCTTGAGTCGTTGAGCGCTTGAGGGTCTGTATGTTTCATGATAATGCTTCTCTTGGTCAGGGCATGGCACGGCGTTAGGTACAAGCAAGCAGCTCCAGTTGGAGAAAGCTGCGGAATGTCTTTCTGCGATAGTGTTGCGTAGAGAGCTAAAACGAGGGTCTCGTTAGCAGCGGGCGACGGATTCAGCATCGCCACTTAAAGCGCGGTGCTGAATCAGACAAAGAAAGTAAAGTTAACCACATGCGTCTATCCGTTCCGTCTTCATCCTGCCTACGACATTGCTGGTGTCGAGGGCGTCCCGCCGCTGTAATAATGTGCTCCTTGTCGCCGCCCCGCATTTGCTTTTCTGGAACAGATCCACTGATGCATCGTCTCTCGGCCTGCCTGTGGCTCCTCAGCTAGCGTCATGCAGCAGCCAACAGACCAACTGCACCGACAGGCAACGGTGCAGCCCCGGCGCCTTACGAACCTGCAGCAGGGCCCGGATGGGATCTTTTATGATGCGCAAGGGCTGCCCTTACATCCTGACCTGCAGCAGAGCCTCCACGCGAACGAGCTCTTCCACCAACAGCAGCAGCAGCAGCAATACCCCCCGCAGCAGCCCCCACTGTCGCAACAGTTCGCACCGCTGCCACCACATGCGCTACACTACGAGCAGCAGTTTGCGCCGCAGCAGTCGTATGCGCCGCAGCCCTACCAACAGGTCCAGCAGGTGCACCATCCTCAACACCATGCGCATGCGACCAGCCCGCCCTATGGGTTGACGCCTGGCCCGGTGCCCGACCCCGCGCACCAGATCCACACGCCGCACGCCCACACGCCCCTCCACACCACACCGCGTATCGCGCAGCGACCGGTGCAGATAGCGCAGCAGCCCATATCACAGTCGCCGCAGCAACAGCAGTACAGTTCGCCTCTAGAAAGCGTGGTAGGTCCCAGCGACGAGAACACGCTCGTCAACCATGGCCAGTTCAAGGGCCTCAAGCTCATTCCTAATCCGCCGGATCTGGAAGAGTGGAGGCAGCGACTGTTCGACGTCGACGACATCATCACCTTGACTCAAGAGCAATTCCAAACTTACTTCCCGCACATCGACAATGTCTATTCGCACCGCTCGACGCAGCGACACAAGCGCAAGAGCTTTGTGTCCCACTACTGGGACTGTCGACTAAAAGGTCGGCCGCCCGGCACCAAGAAGTCCACAGATCCAGACAAAAAGAAGCGGAAGCGAGTTGCACGCGAGCGAGACCTCTGTGATGTTAAGATCAAGATCACCGAGTTCTTCGACCAGAAAGAGTACGAGGAGCAGATGGGCCATCCACCGCCTGCAACAGAAGAAGACGACCCTATGTCCATGAGCTCGACTCAGCTTGGACCATCAAGCGCGGCACCAGACCACAGCATGTTTTTCGGCCAACAGATGACGCCGCAACAGACAATGACGCCGTGGGTGATGCAACCGAACATACTGCAGCCCGGAATGAGCATGTTCGCGCCTCCACCGCCGCCGTTACCTGGACCGCCGTTACGTGGGCCTCCGCCAAAGAAATTCTATACCTTCCAGAGAGTAAATGGTAATGGAGGGAATGGGAAAGGAGACGGTGTTGCTGGGCCGCACAAACACACGCTCGAAGAGAGCGATCGAGTCAAGAAGAACATCGTCGTGAGGACGTTCGCGAAGAACGAGAAGGACGTCAAGAAAGTGCAGGTAAGCTCACCTCAATAACACCTGTGCGCTACTTACTGCGACTGTTCCGCTTTGTTCTTCCGCGCGTTCGTTTTGTATGCACGAAGTCGAGCTATGACATCATTTCGATGGTTCTACCGAGGGGTGCAGCAACTCCACTTCGCATATCAGCCACCGTGCATCTCCACCATCCTTCGTGTATTCACTTCCCAGCATATCACGATCTGCCTCCGTCCGTTTCATAAGCTCGCTGCAAGCTTCGAGTTCAATCGCATCGCGTCCTCATCTCTTTACATCTTCTTGCTTCACTACACCATCGAAATCTCACGTATCCCTGTTCGCTTTGCATCATCGTCGTCCACAATGACCGACACCAACCAGGGCGGAGATTCTTCCAAGAAGACATACCATAAAAAAGCCACTGGCAATGCCCTGACAACAGTCAAAAACCACGCGAAAGAAGAAGACCTCAAACTGTACGGAAGTTGCTTCTGGTATGTCATCTTTTACACTTACTACGCAGCTTTTGTCAGTCGTGCTGACATCCACGAGTCCCTTCGTCCAGCGTGTCTGGATCTCACTCGAACACAAGAAGATCCCCTACCAGTACATTGAAGTCGACCCCTATAAGAAACCCCAATCCTTGCTAGATGTCAATCCCCGCGGCCTCGTTCCCGCCATCCGCCACGGTCCAACATGGAGCACACACGAATCCACCGTAATCATGGAGTATCTCGAGGACCTAAACGCTGGTGAGCACCTCCTCCCTTCCGACCCTCAAACCCGCGCAACTAGCCGTCTCTGGTCCGACCACGTCAATCGTCACGTGATTCCCATGTTTTACAAACTCCTGCAAGCGCAGAACCAGTCCGACCAAATTACGCACGCGCAAGAACTCCGCGATCAGATCAGCAAACTCGTCTCCGCCGCCGATAAAACTGGTCCTTTCTTCCTCGGCCCGCAGATCTCCTTCGTCGATGTGCAGGTCGCGCCGTGGGTGCTCCGGCTTCGACGCGTGCTGGGTCCGTATCGAGGCTGGCCCGAGCCAGAGGAGGGAAGCAGATGGAAGGTGTGGGTTGATGCTATTTATAACGAGCCGAGCGTGATGGCGACGACGAGCACGGATGAGTTGTATTTGGATAGCTATGAGCGGTATGCGGAGAACCGACCGGGGACAAGTCAGTTGGCTGACGCGGTCAATTCGGGGAGGGGGCTCCCGTGAAGAGGTCGACTCAGATGAAACGTAATTGGAGAAAGACGTGAAGTGATCTTACGCGCATATATTATCCACGAGCGCTGGTGAACAGGGAAACCCCGCCCAACGAGCACACTACCTTTGTCGTTTCTGCTCGCACATGCCGATTTTAGGCGAAATCCCGCCTGATCACTTCGTCGGTATTTTGTGCGTTTCAATACTTTCATCTTGAGCTCGAGCTTGAATTTGGGTATGGACATGGTGAGGTTGTTGGGATGCGGCTGGCGTGTTCGATGCGTTGGTTATGGTTTCCGAGTGGTCTGGTAATCCAAGATGTACCTGCAGAGGGGTAAAATCTCACTTCCAGGGCCAACTTTTTGATTCCGTGATAATGGGTGACGAGGGGGCAGTGCGAGTGAGGGTCCAATTGCCCACGTCACTGATAGCTTCCAGGGTCAACTCGACCAAGCGTTGATCTCGACAGAACATTTTTCCAAGCCTTTTCAATGATGCTCCAACATCTTGTTCGCATCTCACATGTAAATATATCACGGTCAAGACAACCGATGCTTCTGCTGTGTCTTCAAACAAACACGAGAGTGACAGAGGCTCAGAAGTTGTTCAAACCACAAACCACTCGACATACCACCATCCCACCCTTGCTTTCAATGTCACGTATCCTTTTCCAAGGCTTACGATCACACGTAAACAGCATGCCGAGTATGTCTTCCCAGGTTGCCCAGGTCGCCCAGCCTGACCAGGCCATGTGCCTACAATCTGCCGACCAAAAGCACGCAACAACGATGATCACGAACCAAGAGCCAAAGGGGGACGTCGTCGAGTTATCAAATGAAAACACCATTTTGACATCGACAGGCTCTTCAACCCAGGGACCCGAGAGGGCTCATCGTGTGCGCGTAGACGCCTTTCGCATCGTAGCAGCAATGGCCTCTCATTGCGCTGGGCCCTTCCTTCCCCTTGCACGATCAAGATGAGGTGAAGCCAGTCGAGGAAATCGGAGCGGAGCTGAGGGCCATGTACGACAGACAGAATCGCGAATTAGACTGTGCGATGAGCGCTGTTTGGGGTTTCAAGACGCGACATGAAAACGACCCGCAGTCACCGGAGATCCGCATTCAAATCCTGCTTTGAGCTGAGTGAAGAGAAGATCCTAGAGGGCTAAAGTCGGGCGCAAAATCTCATCTACATTGTACGAAATTCTGTTGTACTGCTAGACGTTGTTCCAGAACATTTCTGTGCTGTTCCTGTACGCTGCATCGGCGACTTCTTCAACACTGACACCCTTCAGCCCCGCGACAATCAATGCGATACCTTCCATCTTGCAGCTCTCATTTCTCTCCTTGACCATCTCACCCATAACAAATTTATCCTTCTTCTTCGCAGCATAAGGCAGCTTCGTCGTATTCTTCAGATACGCTTTCGATATGTCACTCGTAGCCTGGATCTCACCCCACGGCGCATCGGTCTCGATCTGCAACTTATTCAGAGGAGTGGCGCGCACCATCTCTAGGCTCTCACGTGCGCGGAAGCTGAAGCCGTTGACACTGACTTCCAGACCGAGGTCGATGAGAGTCTGCATTTGCGAGGCCGTACCGACGAAGGAGTGTACTAGTCCGCACCGCAAGGGCAGGCGATCGAGATAGGGAGTTAGGATGGAAACAAAGTCGTTAAAAGCTGCTCGGCAGTGCAGAAATAGTGGGAGTCGCCATCCTTCGGCTACGATCATGTCGAGCTGTGTTTTGAAGACGCGGATTTGGGCTTCTTTTGATGCAGCGGCTAGGTGGTCGTAGTCGAGTCCCAGCTCTCCAAACGCGCCCAGCAGCCGAGGTTCCTCTTTCAGCGTGGAGGTAACTGCTTGTGCAATGTCTTGGTAATACGGATCCCCTCCCTCATCTGCTTCGGCGGCGTGGTACGGATGCACACCAATTGTAATTTTGCATTGCTCTTTCCTCCTCTTCGCGATGTCAAGGTTGGTGGGAACGTCTGCCAGGTACATGCCAGTAAGCATCACCTTATCGATCCCTACCGCCGCTGCGCGGTCCAGAACAGCATCAAAGTCGGGTTCATGATATTGCTTTCCGCGATAGAAGCCTGCAAAATCTTTGGCAGTTGCTGTGACGGCGACCTGAGTTCAATGACTCAGCTGGGAAGGATGGTGCAGGAAAGGGCGGGTTCCTACATCTGCGAACTGAAGCCTTCGTATCGGAGCTGCAGGTGCTGTGGTCGGAAAATCACTGAGCAGTGATGCGGCCATTGTTGAAAGTGAATGTAGATTGATACTCTTTGCGAGGCTGTCAATGGTGCGGTCGGTCGAAGCTCGCTCACTAACAATGACCGAGCTCCGACTTCGGCCTCGTGGAGCCCTTCTTCTGCTTGATATTACCATTTTCCCACAAGCACATACGCACTACATCTGTTCGCTGCAAGCATCCTAGATCTGGTATATCTGCTCTCAATCTATCTCAAATAGCATCTGAAGATTCAGGCAGTTGCTCGTCCAGCAAGCATGCCTATGGTAACATTCTGCGGAACACCGCCGCCAACAACACTGCCAGCCAAAAGCTCCCTTCGACAACTGTAGATGCTTCCCCCTGAAGCGAGGGTGACCAAAACCACAACACCTAGTTTCAAGTTCAAAATGCTCCTGTCAACAGCAGATGCAACTGGCCCATTGATATGCAAGCACCGATACCGCACAACACCCAAGCATCGGGGGCCCTAAGGCTTCAGCCTTCAGCTAGAAAGACAACCCTAGCAAGAGCTTTAGTCTCTATACTTGAGTAAGCCTTTTCCCCCGTGTCTTCCCCAATGCGTCATGGTATCTCCTCTCCGCATAAAAGAGCAGATTACGGTATCAAAGGACCATCTCTTTCCTGCTTCCCACTACTTCTACTTTGCTGCGTCCCTGTCGCTACCCCTTAATGCAGTGCGCCTTTCGTTTTCGCCGCCGTGAACTGGTCATCGCACTGACCCCAATTATATAACCTTTGGTAGTTGGTGTTCTCCATAGCTGAGCAGAGATGCTTTGAGATGGCCTCTGGATCATCAATATCGCGCTTCGAGTGCCTTCATCGGCAGGCGTCGGCCCTGAAACTTATCTGTGGAACGTCCGAGAACGCAAAATTCCATGCGCTTAGGTCCACGTTCTCCTGCTGCTTCTGTAGGCCCTCCAGCAGTGTCTATAGTGCTGACAGCTGCAGCGACAAGCGAATCAACCTACTCGACCACAGCGGTGAATACCGATAGTTTGCACCACGCTTCTGCGTTGATCCACAAGTCAGACAGTCCAACCATGCCGTGCAACACACCGTCTCCCCACCCGACACCTGCGCTTCCCCCCCTCCCCCACCCCGCAGCGCACCTCAGCACCCCAACACGCCTCCGCTCGCCCCCAGAAGCCCAGAGCTGCCAAACCAGGATGCGCGTGGCAACTGGAGTTTAGATTACTATCTATATGCCGCGCAGCGCAACGCCTCCCATCTGCCGACCCCGCTTCAACCGCCAAACCGCGCCCTTGACGTCTCACAAGCTCTCGATACATGCTTCTCCAGCCAGCAGTCTCTCCGCTGTAGCTCCGACCGTTCGATAAGTGCGGACGCCCGTGTGCCACGGACACAGACCACATGTTCGTGGCACGGCCGTGCGACGCCGGGGCGGGTGCCGAGTGGCTCGCGGCGCAGGGTTGGGATGATGTTTGAGTGATGCGGCCGTAGATGACGATGGTTGGAGGGTCACGGCAGCGGTGATCAGCGGTGAGGCGCTGGCGTGTGAGCCGGGGGAGTGGATATTCTCCGACGCAGCCGTTGTGTGGAACGGGAGGTGATGTGGTGCTGTGCTGTTGGGACGAGGTCCAGTTCGCTGATCATGTGGATCGGTGTGGTTGTGTGGGCTTGGACGTTGGGAAGATGAATAAGGCTGGGCATTGGTGAGATGAGTTGATTCGAGAGATGACAGGTACGGTGCAGTCGGTGCGGCTAAAGCCATTTCGAGATTAAAATGCTCACGCGTTGCTTGCATAGTACCCAGGAACCGAGATGACATTGTTGCTGTTGCACTAGAATGGCGGTGAATCGACTTTGAGCTGCAGGGACCCGCTTTACCGTCTTTATAGGCGCACGCTCGTTTCGAATTCATTACCCTCCCATTGTGCTGGAGTTGGTGAGGTAACATGCCGCAGACAGAAAACATCACCTGAGTGAGACGGGACTGACGTTGCGTCGAACCAAAATGGGTATTGTTGTATGTTTCATACTGCCAGAACCACCAGCTCCCTCGCTATATGCAGGTATTGAGATCGAACAGAGTACTGCGAGACAGATGTGTATAATCCACAAGAAGGTAGCCAACATTGGCACAGCGAATGCAAAAGAAGAAGATCAGGGGGATATAACGACCGCGAAAGCGGTATGCATGCAACACCGTGAAACATTATTCCGACCTAGTGGTACAAATAAGCCTAAGAGACCACTGGCCCTCCAAGAGAGTCTTTTCTGGCGAACAGGCTCTTGTCCAGCAGGTAGTCCTCTGGGGCGTGGCTGAAACTGGGATAGGGAATATCGAATGAATCCAAGAACCCAGACTAAGGACTCCTGGCCACTGCCCATGAGAGCATAGCCATGTCACAGATTCGGGCTAGGACTTGCTGTGATCCCGCACGGCTTTCGTGGCTGATGAAAGACATAGCAACGTGAAGTTTACTTAGATCGCTGTCTTCATGTGGGTCCATTAGCTGCGGTAGCGCGTTCGGGAAGCCTCCTATCCGCGCGCCGTAGTGTCGAGCAACGGCTATCGAGTAGATGGCATCTCTTACTTCTTGTACGCGCAGTACCGTGCGCATCGTACCAAGAGCCATGTCAGCAGCGCCCTGTGGGGCACGCTCGTCGCCAGCATAGCGGACAAAGTCACCAAGATTGAGCCAGAAGTCAACCTCATGCCTCTTCTCTTCGTGAGTATCTTCCGGGTAGGTAAGGTTACGTAGAGGGTTTGTCTCGACGGTCGAGTTTGTCAACAAGGCTTCCAAAACATCGAACCGGGCACGGCATTCCCTGAGTGCCAGGTCCTCTGATTCTGCTGGGGCGCCGCCCTCCTCGACCTTGATACCGTTGGTAGCGGGGGAAGGAAGCTTGCACGATCCTAGCAGGCGCCAGATCAAGCGAGCCTCTTGGCTGAAAACGCTGGACATGTCCGCGGCGCTGTTCTGGTTCTTGATGGTTTCGGTAAAGAAGGCTGCTTCTTCGTGGAGGGCCTGGTTGGTGAAGACGCGGTGAATAGCATTGTTGTCCTTGGAATACCACGTTGTCTGCAACATGTAGTCAAGACCTTGGACGTAGTCGTTGACAAAGATCTGGGAGAACTGCTCGTCAATCTCAGGCGGTGGTGGTGCTGTCCGGGGTGGGACATCTGGTGGACTGTGGTTGCAGATGCCAAAGATGTCGGCAATGTTGAGCCGTTTGCCTCTGTGCGGCTCCGGCGGGGGCGGCGGTTGCGCGTAGCTTGAATGTCTCAAGTTGGGGTCCATTGGCAGGCCGTTGTATTGAGACTGGCTTGGGTGCATTCCAGGTGCAGCGGCGGCGGCGAGGGCGGGGTCAATGGCGTTGAAAGCTTGCGGGTCGTGAGCGGCACTTGGGGCAGCTGCGGCAGGCGCGTAGCCGGCAGAGGAGGCGGGCGCGTAGCCTTGGGGAACTTGACTTTGGTAGTTGGCGGGCACAGGTGGGGCTTGGGCGGGCACGGGCGGCGTCGAGGAATGCGGTGCTGGCGCAGAGTTGGGAGCTGGCTGTATCTGGGCCGGGCCAGGCTGCTGCTTGAAGATGGGATCGTAGCCCAAACACTCGCGCTTGCTCTTCTGACAGTTTCGGCAGGTGGGATGCGCTTCGTCGCACTGTGGAGGGTGAAGGTTAGCGCGTGTGCAGTGCAGTTGATGGTGCGCGGTCAGGTTAGAGGTGCCGATAGTTTGGCTCGCTCGCTTCATGGTGGCTCGGTTAGGAGCAACGACGGCGGCCTCTGCGAAGCGACACCTCGAACCTACGAACCTCACGCGTCACGACGCGCGATTGAAGTCGGTACTCACCTTGATCCTGCGCTTGCGACAGGTCAGGCACCCCGTCTTGGTGCGGCGCTTGATCTCCTTCTTGTGACGGCCGCCGGACAGCACGCGCTGGTCGGCCTGCGGGGGCAGCTGGTAGCGCATCGCATTGTACTGCGCAGGACCCATGTTCATGGGCTGGCCCGGGTGCGCGTAGCCCGGCGGCGGGTAGTGCTGCTGCATTGCGTGCTGCGGCGGGGGCAGCGGCGAGCCCATGGGCGGTTGTTGGTGCTGCTGGAGCTGCTGCGGGTGCTGCTGGAGCTGCTGGAGCTGCTGCGGGTGCTGCGGCGGTGGTTGCTGCTGGCCGTCCTGCAGGCGTATTGGCGGCAGGTTCAGCGGCGGCAGTGACATGTTCCCGGCCGACGGCGACCCGCGGTAGGGCTCGCCCTGGGGCTGCCCCGGCGGAGGGTAGCTGTAGGTGGGCTGCATCGAGGTGGGCGACGGGTACGAGTGAGGAGAGGCATAGGCACCCTGCGGCGGAGGTTGCTGCTGCTGCTGCTGCGGCTGCGGCTGCTGGGCGCGCGCCTGCTGCTGGCTCAGGTCGGCCATGCTGGACGGCGAAAAGTGCGATGGCGCGGGCGAGTAGGGCGCCGGGTTGGCCTGCGAGGGCACGCTGGAAAAATCGTGTGACATGGGCTAGCAATGGGCGATGCCACCCTCGGCGCAGCGCTGCCTGGGTTGGGACTGGGGACGAACTTGAGGGGAGCACGCAGCCGCAGCTCGCTTGAAAGCTTAAGGGTCGGATGCCAGCGAGCGAGAGATATGGCCAGGATCTGTTGGCGAGGCCGTGGCTTAGCCAGATGGGGCAGCTCTCGAGGCAAGAGGATCAGAGAGAAGGGACTAGGGACTAGACAGTAGGGACTAGGGACTGGAATCTAGGAACTAGAGACCAACGACTAGACAACTAGACGACTAGAGACTAGAGACTAGAGACTAGAGACTGCGACCGCCAGAGACTAGAGACTGCGACCGCCAGAGACCAGAGACTAGACGACTAGAAGAGTGGCCAGGGATGCTCTCGGCTGCGTCCTGGTGCGCCTGCAAGTGGCCTGCGCGTTCGACCTGCGTCGTGGGAGATTAGCACAGGCTGTGTCGCCGCGGCGTTCAAGTGCTGCCGGGTGTGCTGGCCACCTCAGAGACCGACCGACCCGCTGCTGTGGCGCGCTGCAGCGCTCGCGCAGGCGAGGCGGTGGCCGGGGCGGCGCAGAACAACACGGCACACGTCAAGAATGCGCGCCCACCGCGGAAGGGAGCAAGCACAGCGGGCTCGCCAATGTCGCCAGTCCCGTCCGCTAGCCGGCTCGAGCAGGCCACCATGGAGCGTGGCAGCGCGGCGCGAGCTGTGCTGTGCGCCGTGCTGTTGGACGGCGTGCTGGGGGACTTACAGATTGCAGATTGCTAGTTTCGGCTGGCCTTCGCCAAACCTTCGCTTGGGCCCTGGACTCCCGCTGCCACGCTGACTGGCCGCAACAGGCGTTCTGCAGGCTCGGTTAATAAGGGCGATGCTGGTAGCGAGGCGCGAACAGTGCAGCGCCGGCGATGACAAGAGGTGCGGTGGGTTGACAATCAACAATGCGCGCAGCGAGAAGAAAATAAAATAATCAAGGGCAGACGGCGCTAGAGCTTGGCGCTGGACACCTCTTCGCTGCACCCTTGAACAAGTTCATCCGTCAATCAATCAGCACCAGTGCGGCGCACCACCACCACCCGGCTTGGGCGACCCATTAATGATTGGGACTGCGCGCTTGCGCTGCTCAGGTACTTGGGCGGGCCAGGAATGCCCATCAGCACCCGCGCGCCCAGTATTGGCCTCTCTATAGTTGTGCAGCACCTGCAGCAAGGCGCGTCAACGTCGACGCGTTCCGCTCGCACAAGGCCCTCTGCGTCACCACTGCCTCTCCTTGTATCTGATTCGGCATAAGGCTGATTGCGGCGACTCTCTGAACGTCAATCAATACTGACGACAGTGCTCTACTTCGTACACGGACACTGGCTGATGTCCTTCTCGGGCCGGCGACCCTACTGACAGCGGTCGGCAGCACACTAGCTATCACAGACGTGTTGATCATATGGCCCGGCACATGCAGGGGCATCTCCCACGTCTTTAGCCGCTCAAGCCTCAGGCGACAGCCACTGCGACAACAGCACGATCAACACCATCGCGCTAGCAAACCATCTGACGATGACGCTAGCCTGAGTCTTTGTATTGGAAGTGACACCCTGTGCTACCGAGGGCTACCGGCGGATATCTTCCGCGTTCGCGCCGTTGAAGCCGTTGTTTGGCGGAGGCTGACGGTGACTGTGGTACCAATTTGGGAGAGCAGAGCCAACCAGACCATAGTGACCATCTAACACGGCTATATGCCAGACAATAACATGGGCGACTGCACGCGTGCCTGCAGAAACCAGCAATGATCAGCGAGTGCAGTCTTCTCTGCATTGCCTCAATTTGAGCATCGACTTGCTGCGATCAAGCATCTCGAGTTCCTGTCTTACAGTTGCACGAGCAAAGACCCTGAATGCACGGATGATGTCGATCCAGGTATGTGGAACCAGTATCTATATCCAGAGCTGAAAACTTGCCCAAGTCTGTCCTGCTCACTGCAGCGGACAAGTCAACATCTTTCAGAACTCGGCGGAGCCATCAGAAGATCTGTCATTCGCACAGTACTCACATCGAAGCCATCCTCGCCAGCAATACAAGGTCAAGGATGTAGCCCCAGCAGCACCTCGTTTACCGACAGCATGGAAGATTTCTCGAACACAGTTTGCGCCGCCAACCGAGCTCGCATGTGCATCATCCTTCAGCGGCGACCCCGCGCTCAGGAACCTCCGTCTAGAGGCGTGTTGACGTGTCTCCCACCCGTCGCGTCGGTCCACCGTAACCCAAGCGTCTCAGTTACAGACATCAATATTCGCAGCCGCAATTCCCGCGCTTCCAGGCTGCTGCTGCAACATCAGGTCGTGATACAAGGTGGCTGCTTCCGGCCCGACATGAGAGTGACACATGCTCGGCTGTCTGCAGGAAACAGCCTCGCACGCACGGTGCGGTCACCGTCGGCTGTTGACATGTCACATCATGGTCCTGGTGTTGATCAGGGTGACTGCAGGCCGAGTGCATGCGTCAGATCATACATGGATCACAACTGACACAACGTGAAGACTTGATAAGCTGACCTAGGCTCGATGCTACCACGAACTTTTCCAGGGTGCTGACTCCGTCCAGGTCTCAGGAGGGCAATTCGAAGCCTACAACACAAGCAGAATGTCGATGCGAGCTCAACGTCAGCACAGTGCCTTACACTCTCGTGGCACAAGCAACGAGCGCCACGATCTCAGCACTTGAATTCTTTGAAGCAAGCAGTCAGCAGGGGATGTTGTCAACTTGAATCCAACCCACGATGACACCTCGGCGCACAATCATGTTCTTCTCAGCCTGAATCGAGCAACGTAAATGATTGTTCGCGAATGCTGATGAAAGGCAGAATCTGGGGTCAAACTTCCGGGGTGCAGTGGACCTTGCGGGGAAAGGCCCACCAATCGCAGCCCGTCCAGTCACATCATCCAACATCTCAGTCTCCATGGCTATCACAAAAGCATCAACAGCCCAGCGGCCAGTTTCGATAACACCAGTGGTGTATATGCAATAAGGCTTCAAATTTACGCAAACTCGAGTCCACTGCAGGGACACCAAATGTTCCGCAAGCGTCATTGGACAACGCTCAGGATACCAGGTCTTTGCATCAGCAGCTCCCTTGGTCGACCTCCATCAACACGCGAGATTCTAAGGTCGCGTGGCGTTGTCCGGTTCTAGAGATGCAGGAGGTTCGGGGCCCGTGATCTCCGTTCCCCGGTGATCGAGGAATATCTTTGAACCATTACGACAATCGATGGGCATCGCAAAACTTGTCAATCTCGACGTTTCTATCAACTCATAAGGCCTTCAATTCAGGTGACCTTACTTATTGCCAGACCTACAGCCGAAGAATGGGTCTTGCAATACCTACTGCTCGATGCTAGCTATCTATAGACTACATGATGTCCACCATGCTGTCTCCACATTTTAGCATCGGTGATTATTTGCTAGCACCCCCGATCGCACAATCTACTTCACAAAGTATAAAGATGCTCCCTGATCAACACGGTGCCATTTGCATCAACAATCTCAGCCAGCGCATCATCATGGCCCCTCCCTCACACATCCTACAAGCGATTGGCGAGACCTTACATGGGCACTACTACCTTTACAGCTTTACAGCCCTATTGGTACTGGGTGTTGTCCGGTATCTATACCGGCCTCTAACATCCCCACTTCGAAATGTGCCTGGCCCTTTCTTAGCCCGCTTTACTAGACTCTGGGAGATTCAGGCTATCTGCAAGCATGAGACCGCAGCTCTAAATATTGCACTCCACGATAAATATGGTAACTAGCATCTGCTTGCCTGTTCCATGCGTTACTGACACACCGAGGTCCTGTGGTGCGTCTCGCTCCGAACCGTTACAGTATCAACGATGGCGAAGCCGCCAAGGTCATCTTGGGTCACCACAAGGCTATGGAAAAGTCTCGGTACTACTACCCGTTTGGACAGCCAGACGAGTACAACATGTTCTCCGAGCCATGCTTAGACGCCCATGCCAAACTCAGACGCCCGTTGGCTCAGCTGTACTCGCTGACAACTCTCCTTTCGTACGAGCCATTTGTTGACACGTGCAACTCAATCTTACTCAAGAGAATTGAAGAGTATGCCAAGGAGGGCAAGACCTTAAACGTTAGAGAGATGATGCAGTTCTACGCTTTCGATGTTATCGGTGAGATGACTTGTGGCTCTCGCTTCGGTCTCATGGAAGATGGCGGTGACAAGGTCGGCATCATCGCAGCCATCGACGAGAGCATGGAATACAGCGCCATCATCGGACTGGTACCAGGGTGGCACTGGTGGGTTGGCATGATAACAGACAAGCTGGGAATACAACCAGGCTTCAGAAAAGTCCTGAACTTCGTGAACTATCACATTGACAACAGGGCCTCAGGACGCACCAAATCACCCGGAGATCGCAGCGACTTTTTGGACAAGATGCTACCCATGGAGCAAGAAGGCAAGTCGACGCGCTTCCACACTCGACAGGCTGGCTCCCAGAATATCGCAGCTGGGTCAGACACGACTGCCATTTCCCTCTCCGCCGTCATCGCTTACCTCAACATATACCCAGACACACTCGCCACTCTTCGTCGCGAGTTGGATGAAGCCATCGCGGCCGGTACCCTGTCCGACCCAGCGACATTCCAAGAAGCCCAAAAGCTGCCATATCTTCAAGCCGTGATTATGGAAGCGCTCAGGGTGCATCCAGCCGTCGCAGCACCCATGACCCGCGTGGTCGGTCCTCAGGGGCTCCAAATTGCAGGCCAGTTCTTTCCACCGGGCACAGAAGTAGGCGTCAACGCATGGGTTATCCACAACAACAAATCCATCTTCGGCGCCGACGCTCACGTCTTCCGTCCTGAGCGCTGGCTCACACCCAACAAGGAGGAGCGCGCTGTTCTAGACAGGAACTTCTTGACTTTTGGCAACGGTCCAAGAACTTGCCTTGGCAAGAACATCAGTCTGCTGGAGATGAGCAAGGTCATCCCGCAGATTGTTAGGAAGTACGATTTTCAGATTGTGCCGAATGAGAAGGGTGAGAGGTACACGTGGAGGACGAGGTGGTTTGCAAAGCCGAGTTTGTTTGCAAAGGTTATGAGGAGGGTGCAGAAGGCTGAGTGAGTTGACAAGCTTGGATTCCTTCACTGTTACGTTGCCGCGTGTAGACTGGGCCAAGTCTTTCTGCATCTCGCATTTTGTCGCTCGAACAAGTAAGGCTTGCGAACATCAGCTCTTCAATGCAGTACACAGCAGCTAGAACAAGGGTTTATCATCTACAGAGTCACCAACGTTAATTTGCAAGCAACACGGCATACACAAATGCTCATCTGACCAGCTCTGCGCTCCAGTTGATCTGTCCGAAGGCAAACATTGGTCATGTCGGACCGAGATACCGCGACGATCATGCGACGCTTAGAGACACCAGTGTGTCGCCCGGCAATCAGCCGCGGAGCGAAGGGCAAGCGAACCCCAGTTTTTGCCAAATGCGGCAAGCACGAACTGCATGTGGGGGATCATTAATGACCGTGTTGGAAACCTCTTTGACAGCCGTGCTCACTAACACTCTCTTCGCACTGTTCTTATTACTTACTCACCTGAGTTGAAGTCGATTGGTAGCGAGGTTGCATTCAAAGGTGAGCATCAAGTGTAAGAGGAGCGTGATCGCATTTCGTCACGAAGGAGTTTCCTGCCCCTTCTCCGATTCTAAGGCTCAACGCTTCGAGTGATTTCTGAGCGAGCAGACGCTGACCTTAACAGCCTACCTACGAACTTGGTCTCCGGTCGATCGCTGCGTGTGTGATTACCTCAACAATCATGACGCTGCACCAAAATGGCGGCTCTTCAACATGCGTTGTTGAACCACCAATCGAACTACAAGATGTCTCGTCCTACCTCCAGAGACCACAAGACGCCAAAATAGCATCCAATCTCAAGATCTCAGACAGGAAAAGCCAAGGCGATGACCCAGTCGAGAGTTTACCCTCGCCTACGACCCAAGCAGCCGAGAAGCTCGAGCGATGGAACCAGTCTCAGACAAACGTATACCGCACCTTTGCCGCCTTTTGGTCTTTCGTTGTTATGGGTAGTAACGATGCCGCCTACGGTGCTTTAATCCCATATGTTTGTATCCCATCCAGCACTGCAGGGCTCACTGACCATCAATGTAGCTGCAAGAGTACTACCACCTCAAGTACCTCGTCGTGTCCCTTGTTTTCCTCTCCCCCCTGGTAGGCTACACCGCCTCCGCCCTGCTAAACAACACGATCCACCTGCGCTACGGACAACGCGGCGTCGGCGTGCTCGCGCCAATCTGCCACCTAATCCCGTACATAGTGATAGCAGTGCACCCTCCCTACCCCGTACTCATCGTCATCTTCATGATCGCCGGGTTCGGCAACGGTCTTGCAGATGCTGCGTGGAATGCCTGGATGGGTAATATGGCGAACCCGAACGAGATCCTCGGGTTCCTGCACGGCTTCTACGGCGTGGGCGCCGTGCTCGCGCCGCTGATTGCCACGACGATGATCACAAAGGGCAATCTACCGTGGTACACGTTCTACTACGTCATGATTAGCATGGCGGCCATTGAGTTCGCGTCCTCTGCGAGCGCGTTCTGGAAAGCAGATGGCGCTGTGTTCAGGGCGGCAAATCCGCGGACGGGAGACGGCAAGGACAATCGCATGAAAGAAGCGGTTATGAGACTCCCGTTCGCGAGGGTGACGTGGTGCTGTGCGATTTTCTTCCTGGGCTATGTGGGCATCGAGGTCGCGCTCGGAGGCTGGATTGTCAAGTTCATGCTCGAAGTGCGCAAGGGCGAGGAGTTCGCGAGTGGTATGACGGCGACAGGGTTCTGGATGGGGATTACAGTCGGACGACTTGTACTCGGTTTTGTGACGCCCAGGATCGGGGAGAAGATGGCTATCGCGGTGCGTTTATGCCTTTCCCTGCCTCTGCAAGATTCACAACACTGACGAACAACAGATCTACCTCCCGCTCACCATGGGCCTCGAGCTCATCTTCTGGCTGGTACCCCAATTCTATGTCTCCGCTGTAGCCGTCGCGCTGCAAGGCTTCTTCCTCGGACCACTCTTCCCTGCCGCTGTTGTTGCTGCGACGAAGCTACTGCCGCGACACTTGCACGTCAGCGCCATCGGCTTCGCAGCTGCAATCGGCGGGTCAGGCGGTGCCATCTTCCCCTTCGCGGTCGGTGCGATCGCACAAGCGAAGGGTGTGCAAGTCCTGCAGCCCATCATCCTCGCACTGCTGGGTTGCATTCTGGGAGTATGGCTCTGTCTGCCCCGGTTCCACAAGAAGCAGGAGTAAGATGAGAGTAAGTGTGAGAGACGCGATATGCAGGGGAAGCGTACTGTACATAAGTCGAATACAGAATACACAAGCCCAGAATCCACCGCAATCAATGCAAACCCCAACATTGCCCAATCCAGACACGGTACAATATCCGCCGTCGTGCCCGTAAGGCTGACACAACAAGGGCGAGGTCGCAACAGGCCTGGCCAGACGTCCGCGTAGCCCGACCCAGATAAATCGTACGACACCACCAAGGACACAGGAGGCTAGAACCCACCGCGATCAACGCACTTTGGCCCAAGTTGCCTGTTCGAGCAAACGCAGCTGCAGGACAGGGAAGTTGCGATTGCCCAGGGTGCAGTCCGCGCGGCGGAGATGCTGCGCGTGGATATGCAGGGTCTGGCCGCCCTGCGGAACGAGTGTTGCAGGCTTTCGGATCGCGATGCAGGCGGAGACGGGGAATGTGAAGTGCCTATCGCGGTACTATTTGCTACCGTGACGAAACGGCATGTTGCCGTGCTGGGTTGGGCGTACGCCACAGCTGCCCCAGGTGGGGTGCTGGTGAAGTGACATTGAAGGGTCCGAATGGGGCCTCGATCACTTCACGACCTGCTGCCGACGGTGAAGCACAGTCACGGCCCACGTGTGTAAGGTCAGTTGTGCCTTTGTACCAGACTCGCGCGATACATTAGCGCAACATGTTGTGAGGGGGCTTGACTTCTACCACACCTACAGACTCCACGCATACCTCATGGTAACGAGACAGTGCGTGTTAGGAAGTCGGGGGCGATGGGCGCAGATCGTGAAGACGTAAACCATTCATTCCTTGCCTCATGACCTTGCATGTACAAGTAGCATATACCATACAGTTCGTTCCGGCCAAAGCCCACAACGCCAGACACCGGGAGCAGTGGCTCGACTGGTGTCATGCAAGTCGCGAATCGCTAATCAGAAGTGTCGCGTACAGATGTAGTAGTCATCATGTAGCATGCATCCACCGCCAACGCCTCTGCCTTTCAAGCATCATGCTTCTGCGACGCCATACAAGCTTTTGCAGCATTGTCTGGCGCTCAGCATACCTCTTCTCACTCTCTTGAAATCCTGTGCGGTGTTCAAGACGAGCTGGTTTCGACGTCCTGTCTGTCAGTGCTGACAGCCTCGGCCTCGTTGGCTTCTGTAGGCTCGGTCGTGCCCTCCATAATCCTGAGCTCCTCGAGACTGATACCCATCTTCGCCGCCAACCTCTCCTCCTCTTTCCTCGCGCGCAGACGCTCCGTCTCGGCGCGCATAGTCTCCAAATTCCACTCGTTGCCGTCGCCCTCGTCGTCTGAATCTGCGTCGCTGCCTGCCCAGTCGCCCTTCTCGAACATCATACGTCCAGTGGCGTCCTTGCGTGCCTTGGCCTCCTCTTCGGCTGCCTTCTTGTCCAGACGCTCCTTCTTCCATTTCGCGAATGTTTCGACGGTGACGGGTGTTAGGGTGCCGGTCAGCTTGTGGCGCTCGGATTCGAGGAAGTCTTCGAGGGTGAGGGCGTTGCGGGGGTCGTTGAGGGCGAGCGCTTTTTCGGCGGCGCGCTGTTCGCGGGTCTTGATTACGAAGCTGGACAGCATTAGAATGGCAATTGATTGTACAGAGAGGGTGCATGGGAACGTACCCAGGTGGAAGCGAGTGCTTGTACATGCACTTGTCGCCGCCATTTGGACAAGACCAAAACCAACCATACTTCTGGTCCTCGATAGCTTGGATGAAGAACTTGCACACCTTGTCGGTTGTGGTCTTGGGGTTGCCGTGCTTACTGAGCACAACGTTTCGCAGCTTCTCTTCGTCCCAGTCGTCCATGTTGTCCTTCTTCTTTTGCTCCTCTTCCGCCTCCTTCTCCGCGTCTCTGCTGTCGGTGTACAAACTCCTCTTCTCAGTCTTGCGTTCGACGTTGAGGTCGTGTGAGAATTTGCACTTCTTGCCCTTCTCGCAGTTGCCCTTCTTGAAAAATTGGCAGAGGATGGTCTTGGGATCGACACCGAAGGGAACTTTCTGGACCTGTACAGGTTTGAAGAGGTCGGCCATTTCCTTTTGTGCTTGCTCGGCGGCCCTCTTCTCTTTTTCTTTTTGCGCCTTCTCGGCGGCCTTGCGCTTCTCATCGGGCGTTCCCCCAGAGGCAGCGGTGGCATGGATCTGCTTGATGGCCTTCTGCGCGGCCCCTCCCTTCTTGTTTTTCATACCAAAGGTCTTGTCGACAGCGACCTTCTTCACCTTGGGCTGCTCGCCCTTTCCTTTAGGAGGCATGATGGGTGGCTGTATAGTTCTTCAAAGACGAAAAGACTGTAAGGGCGTCCTCGTGGACTTTGGGGAATCGTGGGCAGCTTGGGCGGTACCTGAACAGTGAAGAGGCTTTTGGAACCTGCCTTGGTGGGTTAAAAGTGCAGAATGACGAACATCGATGTGTGGGGGCGCCCGGCCTTAGTCAGCCCGCGGCCAATCGAGTCCCAGAGCTCCTCGTGGCCTTCATTGAGCTGCGATCATTGAACCACGATACAACCCCGACATTGCCGTTTTCGCTTCCAAAAGACGTAGCATCATTGCACACAGCTTTAGTATGATTTGGAGCACTCATAGTCGTCGATTCCACTCTCTAACTCATCCGCAGCCAGCTACATCGCTCCTTCCACTGCCATCGAACGCGCGTCAACCGTGAAGATGATCACCGACGCCCAGCTTTACTCGCTGGCTATCTTCCTCGGAAGCGCCGCCATGCTCCTTATAGTCCTCTACCACTTCCTCGAGGTCAACTCGGAAGACCACGCCGTACAAGAGAAGCCCAAGGTCGCAGCCAACAAGGTCAAGGCATAGGAGCATACGTGTACTGCATTGAGAGGTGAACAAGGATGGAGGATGGATGTATGGGCAATATTGATACCACGGTCGAGGGCTGTTACGAGAACCAAAAGCGACCAATGAAGCATCACGGCGTTCGGGCGCATTACTACACGGGAAATCTGGCCATACAATGAGGCATTGAATCTATTCAACCTTGATATCTGTTGGAGAGGTTCATACTTCAGTCCTCTGCATCGACAAGTTCCTCTTCCGTAACGTCGCTATCGACGAGCCCTCTCCGGCGTTTGTCGTTGACGAGTGTGGCACCTCCGCGGTCCATGCCTGGTCCACCCATGCGCCGCTTTTGGGACACCAGACGATTCTGTAGTTCGCGAGCCTCTTGCTCCTGCACGTCTTTCGGCAGGCGGCCGCGTCCGCGCAGTGTAAATTCAGAAGGCTGCTGTAGTGAAATAGCAATCTCATAGTCCACAGGACTTGCTGTAATGCGTGGTGTAATACGACGACCTTGAGCATCGCGAAGATATGCTTCAGAATCATGTTCTATCCGGTCAGTCAAAGTTCCGGGTCTTGCATGGGAAACCGCTCAATCTTCCGTACCAGATAGCCCGCCAGCTGGTCCATCGCCCTGCTCCCATGCCAGAGGGTCGAAGTGCGTCCGTTGAATGTGCTGGCGCCACGCGTTCTCGGCCCCAAAAGCGTGAGTAGTGTGTCGCTCAATGCTCGTTTTAGATATGGGATCGAAGCTGGTAATCTCTTTGCCACAGTCGTCCCACAGACACTCCAGAGTGTTGCGCAAGGTCTCTTTGTTGTGGACCTTGAAGACGTGCTTCTGCAGGGTTTCGAGGTTGTGCAACTCCGCCTTGCAGTTCTGCCACTTGCATTTGAACGACTGGTACTGGGGAGCACGAGAGACGCTTGGTGAACGAGAATCAATATAGGTGGGCTCGTCGCCCGCTCTTACGTCGCGCAGCGTGCTGGGCTGTCGAGGCGCATGCTTTCCAGTATGGCCGTTCATACCAGGGCGCTCCTGTGCAGCACTCGAGCCGTGGATCGCTTTGCGCCAACCGACTGGCCTACCCTTCCTTTTAGGGAGTGGTTTGCCATCAGGGCCGAACTCAGTCGCAGAGCGGAACGCAGAGTATCCAACTCCAGCAACAGCGGATCGCGGAGCACTCGCGCTCATGTTCGCAGAGCTTGTTTGGCGACTTGGGGTTGACGGTGTCGTCGTGTTGGGGAGTGAGTGACGCGCAGGATCGCGTCGCTTCTCTTTGAACGGGTTGGTTGCTTCGGGAAGCGCTTGGACCATGTTTCTCGCACTTTCCCCACCAGTCGCGTATAGCGATCCCCGACGCGCCGTTTGGTGTCTCTCCTCGTCTTCAGAATCTTCCTCGTCGTCAGCATCTTCGGTCAAGGCCTGAACGCTGTCCTTGAAATATCCAGGCGGTGGGGTTCCAGGATCGATCAGACTCCACTTGATCGTACTAAGATCTGATTCGTACGATATCTGCGGGAGATTGACCTTCAACACTTCAAGATGTTGATTCAGTTGGCGTTCGGATGGATGCCTTCCACAAGCCAAAAGCACGTCTCGAGCGATCGTGGCAGGGTTATATGTGTTCCGTCGAAGAGCCTTCTTCTTGTCCAAAGGCTCGACAATCAACCTGAATCGTGTCTCGCTAGATGGCAAGGGGCGAGAAGGTGGTTCGGCCATCACAGGCACAGGAGTACTTGCCGTGGGGAAGTTGCTGACCGGCGCCGCACCAACCCCCGTAGCATCATTGATGTGTGGATACGATGAACCGTAGGCGTACATCGAACCTGCGTTCAGCCTCTTCCTGAGTGGCCCTATGTCGTCCTCATCATCCAGTTGCGTCAAGTCGACTAGGTCGCTCAAATTGCGCTTCCTTGCAGCCTCCTCTTTGTTGGCTGGCGGCTTAAGCTCCGGCTTAATGAGGATCATCTCGGCGACGGGGATTGGTGAAGGAGCTGCCATAGAATCATCATTAGGGAAAGGAGGGTAAGACGACCTATTATTGATCGGTGTCGCCGCAACAGGCGCATAACGTGGACCAGGGGCGACACCGGGAGTAGCAATGGGATTCTTCATAACCGCAAGAGGAGCGGGCTGCTTCATAACGGCAGGCGGTGCTGGAGCCCTCAATGCTGCAGCCGGAGGAACGGGCTGCAGAGCGGTTCTGCGAGACGCTGCATTTACATCCGGCACGGCTAGAAGCAGGCTCCTTGCAAATATCGAACGATCCAGTTTGAAGCCCATCTGCTCCAGCTGTTCACATAATTGGACGTAGGACGGGTTGCCGTTGAGCATCTGGAGGACCTCTCCAGTCTCTAATGGTTTTGCGGGGTTCTTAGTAGTGAGGTAATGCGCCGCAGCCTTTGCAAGCCCCAGCTTCTTCTCGGGCGGCCAGACGGTATTACCACCAGTCCGCACATGTGTTGCTGCTGGAACTCTCGATGGAAGAGGCCGAGCCTGAGCTGGTGTGGCCGGCTTTATGACCGGTGTGCTCAGAGACTCTCGAGGTTTAGCAATCTTCCTTTGATTTGCGACCGGAGGAGTGGGTACTATTATGGGCGGAACAATAGATGCCTGAGGTGCTGGTTTAGTTGTCAGAGTCGGTGATTTGTTAGGAGCTTTGGCCCGCCTCTCTTCTTCCCAGATCCGTGCAAGCAGCACAGGATCCTTGCCATTCAGCTCGCGTATTTTGGCCATCATGGCACGGATCTCTGCCTCTAGAACTGCACCAGCGGTTGACGGGTCTGGTGATTCAGCGGCAGCAGGTACCTGCTGCTTCTCAGCGTTCTTGGCTCTCGGCTTAGGCTGACTGGCAGCCATTTGCGCCTGCCGAGGCTCTTCTTCAGCTCCTTGTTGTTTGCACTCCTCTTCTTCTGCTCGCTCTTTTTCCATAAGAGCCTCCTCTTCTTTCTTCTCCCTCTCTCGACGCTCTGCATCCCTAATAGCTTGCTGTCTCTGAATCTCCGGCCACGGGTCGTATACCGCCGTGGGATCAACTGTGGTACTGGAACCGGAGTATGACTCGGGTATGCTCGAAGGGTGAGGCGGGACGATCGGCGCAGGTGGTCGAGCCGTGTACGAGGTCGCAGCCTGTAAAGATTGTGAAGATTGCGAGCTGTCTACATCAGGCAACTGGCGATTGTAGTTCGTGTGTTGCTGTGAGGTTCCCACTGCAGCCATAGCAACGTTCCTACTCGCTGCTGTCGCGCTATGTTGACCGTACTGAGTCTGGGCAGGGCTAGCTGTGCGCTGTTGTGCCTGTTGCTGGTGGTACTGTTGCTGCGGTCGCTGCAAAGGATAGCCTGCCGCTGTTGCAGGTGACGAAAGGCCTCTGCTCGTTGATGCTTGTGCCTGGTTGGTATTGACGCTATGCAGACGGGCTTGAGTCTGACTATACGTAGCATGGAAGGGTTGCGATGGCTGTGCTTGCACTTGCGGTGACCGTTCTGAGTATTGCGCGTTGGCGGCGTTCGTCGCGGTGAAGCCGGACTGGCTGGGCGTCGGTGTCGTGGCCGAGTAGCCTGTATTGCTCATATTGCGCAGAACTTTTGCAGCACGGCTGCCATTGTCCCTCGTCGTGCCATAGCTAGTGCTGTTATCACTCCAAGTGTCGTCCTGCGCGTTGCCATAGCCAGAGCTCGACGAGCCGTAAGATGGTCCAGGATACGACAGATAGTCTGCAGGTTGATTCGTCGATGTAGAGGGCGCCTGCTGGTACTGGCGCGACGATTGCGCATTCGTGTTCGAGGCCGGCGCGGTCTGATAGGAAGAGTACTGCTGCGCAGAGCTCTGCTGATGGTAGGGGTAATTGTACGAGTCGTAGTTGTTTGACGACATCGGGACAAAGATTTAGAAATCTAGAGCCTGCCTGAAAGCCAAAAATCGAATCGATGCTGATAATAATATGGAGTTCGTAAGACCGTCGCAGGCGGAGGTGAAGCTGGTCATTTGTGAGGCGCGCTTGGTGGCGATGACACGCTCAAGGGTGCGATAGATCCACACGACCCTTCTCCCCGAGATCCTCGAAGCCGCTGCACGCGCGGAGAAGAAGAGGGCGCGTTGAGGTCATGAAGTTGCGGGCATGGCGAGAGTAGCTCCGACGCACGCGTTGCGCTTGCCGAACATGTCGGGCCAAGGCCATAGCGCGAACATCACCGTCCGTGCGCTCTGGAAATGGGAAGGCGCATCTCGCTTCGTGCTGCTGGGCCACTCCAAAATTACCAGAACTTCCTCGACTACGACGTCTCAACTTTTCGTTCTACTAACCCCATCACCCGCCAATCCACAGCAGCAATGGCCAAGATCGTATCCAGCTCTCGCCGCAACTCGCGAAAGGCGCACTTCAGTGCGCCGAGTAGTGTGCGCCGGGTCATTATGAGCGTATGAGGAATTGCTTGAACATCTCAGATCATGTTCTAACAATCTTCAGGCGCCTCTGAGTAAGGAGCTTCGCGAAAAGTACGGTGTGCGCTCGATCCCCATCCGCAAGGATGTAAGTACCGCTGTATTCCGCGCACTGTCAAGGTTTGCTAACTTTTCGCAGGACGAGATCCAGGTCGTCCGTGGCTCCAACAAGGGCCGTGAGGGCAAGGTCAACTCCGTCTACCGATTGAAATTCGTTATCCACGTCAACGGCAGTACGTAGCCACCACGCCGACCGAGTCACACGACCGCTGCTAATCACACCCACAGTCGTTCGCGAGAAGTCCAACGGCCAGGCTGTTCCCGTCCCCATCGCTGCCTCCAAGGTTGTCATCACCAAGCTCAAGCTCGACAAGGACCGTGAGCAAATCCTTGAGCGCAAGGGCGCCGGCCGCGCCGCCAAGAAGGAGAAGAAGGACTCCGCATAAGCGTTTCACTACCCTTTTACTTGACGATACATTACGGTTGCGATGCCCCGGAGCAATGGCGCGGGGTCTCCCCTTCCTTTCGAGCGGACGGGATAAAAGTCGGTTCACTTTTGAGCTGCACAAGCATGGGCGTTATACCGGCTTCTAGCTCGAACAATGGATTCGCCGAACACTCGGCCCTGTCGAAGCTTTCTTCTGCAATGATACCACGAAGGATTTGGAGTACGACGACGACAAATAGAGAATTGTTGACCCAGCCTTCGGTCTCGTGACGTGATGCATTTATATCTCCTCTTGCACCGCTAGAATATCTGGTCATCAGCTCAAACATAATAGCTGCTTGTACTTATACGACTAGCGAAGAACAAACCCAAATGGCTTCGCCATTGCTCGCCTGCAGACCGCCTTCGAGATGGCAATGAAGGAGGTGGTTTGATGGTGACCGACATCTTTTACGACCAAATATTATCTTCTACCCATCAAGTTGATATCTACAAAGTCCTTACCTGGCTCACCCGTTATACATCGCCTCGTCACTTGTAATCCTTACATGCTCTATCCTTGCAACCGTACCTACGCAACAGCACTCTACGATTATAATAGCAAGAATAAACAATATCGTAAAATACAATACACAATGCTCTAATCATAAACAACTGCAATAGTGGAAAGTCTGCCAACCTGAGCTATACTAAAAGTAGACATCTCGATTAAATCAATAAGCAGCGACGGGCACACGGGCTCCATCTCCACCATGTATGTTTGCGCTCTTTAGCCACGCCTTGCATGCGTTGTAACGCTCCCAATCGGACTGTGCCTCGTTCAAGACATATGGTGCATCGTCAACTACAAGATCGCCGGCCTCGTCAGTGGTGTCGGAATCCTCGTCGATTCCGGGACCTGTATCATAACCCTGAATAGTAACTTGCCCGGTGAGACCAGGCTTAAAATCGTTGGCTGGTTCGACGCCCTCCCTATTGGTACTTCGAATGCCCTCCATGGCATGATCCTCTATCTCCTGCAACTCGATTCGCTTGATGGCTTTCGGCAGAACCTTCTCTTTCGTTGATAAGTTTTCATCCTGCTCTGAATCGAACTGAATCGCCACTGGCATGAACTGAGCAAACCAAACCTCCTCTTCTTTGACTGTGAAGTCGGCAGTACGACCAAACGAGTTTTTGTAAATTGCTCCGCTCTTGATGTTGAGAGTTCTAGGAGGTGCCTGAACAGCAAAGCTCATATCAGCGCCTGCTGTTCCGCCGATCTTCGTTGAAGTGCTGTCCTGAGTATGCATCTCGCCGCCGGTTACATACTGCAGTGCTGTTACCATCCACATCTGTGGCGCCTTCCACTGATTGATGCCATGTTTTCCCTTGCGTACTATTGAAGCATGCTCACGAATCCACTGATCGACTCCTGGTTGCTTCATCACTTCTTCCAGGAACAACTCTGGTCTGTATTCGGATCAGCATTAAACTCTAATGTCCAAAACCATAATCAGACCCACTTTCTTATCCTCACGCGTCTGCCTGATTGTCCATGGACCTGCATCAGACTGCTCTTATCACTTGTCGCGTCGAAGTTCAGCCATGCGCCAAACCCGCCGGTCAAGGATCTTGCCTTTGAACACTCAAACGACATGTTGTATGGGCTCTTGAAATCGCGACTCTTTCGTATCCACTTGCTTACTGCCTGGTCGTAGGCCTCTTGATTTTCATCTTCCATGAACTCCCATCGAGCCGCTGAAAGTCCGTCAAGTGGATTTAGCGGGTTTAGGTAGAGGCTACCAAGTCGAAGGTCTTCCACGGGTATACCTTGGAGGTAAGGCAAGAATGTGTTCTTCTGTTGTCCATTTCGAAGTATCGGTGCCGGTGCCATGATGTGCAGTGAAATAATATATACGGTAACAAGAACGATGCACCTTTCTGCGATTTCAAGCGATAGAATGCTATTTCTACTTATGCGTGCAGGCTGAAGGCGGCTGTCAGCCCCCAGTGGCTGTGTGCTCCTGTGACACTGCATCGCCACAGGGCATCAGGCAACTGAAATACTGCGTGCTCATCAGCTCGGCTGTGAAAAGCATATATGCATCCTTGGAGGCGTCCAATGAGCCTGTCATGTCGTTGCGCGCACGTCCTCCAGGTCAAGGGAAAGTGGTAGTCGCAAAGAACCCCGCAGCCTTTGGCCCCAGCTTTTCAAGCGAGCGAGTCCTCCGGGTGCGCAACGACATTACACCAGATAACTCTCTCATGCAATGCTACTCAAAAGAAGTCTTCACCAACGCTTCATTCATCGCTGCCGATAACATGTTGATGTCTCTGGTTGAGCTGCGCTGTGTCGACTGTCGCGATGGTCGAGTTGTGACGCAGAAGGATTCTCGTGGCTTGAAGCTGAGGTGCAGCCCACACCCTTCGAGGAGATCACACGGCCACAGCCGCCCGGCTTCGCGCCGCCTCAGGTTCCGGAAGCTTAATCGGTAACGCACAGCCAAATCTGGAGAGGATTTGGGGGCTTCGCCGGATCCTCATGTAGCAGCTCTCCAGCTATCGTATAGATGCCCCTGCCATCCGATATAACTCACACCGGAACTCGTATACCTAAGTAAGGCTTTTTTAGTGATACCTGCCTGGGCTTCCTCCTAGCCGTGATACCTTCTCCACGTTTCCTCGTCGTCACTTGCACGGCTAGGCCGCTTACTTGCCTTTGGCCGCGTAGCATATCTCAGCCTCGCCAGATTACTCTCCTACGCTGGCACGCACACAGCCCTTGACGCATACCAATCGAGTCAGCAAATTTTGACGACTCACGCACGGAAGCGGAGCTATGCATTAGGCAAGATGGCAAAATGTAGCATTCACCGGCCACAGGTCACAAAGATTGCCACGGAAGCCTCTTTGGACATACCTATTGTCGTCAAGGTTGACGATTCACACATCCAGGATGTTTACCTGAACAGTCCCATTCGAGGACCATGCGATTTTCGGGAGCTCTGGAATGCTGTCAGGGTCAAGGCAGGAGCTAGCAAAGAGACGACAGAACGGTCGACCCGGAACCTCAGCCTTCCAAGTATTGATTCGATCGGTGAATGCAAACCAAGAGCGTGGACCTGCGAGAAAGAGATCGAGACCACCACTACCAATCTGAGAGATGTTCGCACTGAAAAAGATTCTGGATCTTTGGACTGGTGTCTCACCAAGCAAATCGTCGGCAGCGCTCGGGATAAAGCGCAAGTCTGTATTAGACGCGGCGACACTGTGGGTGCTTGTAAAGCGTTTGAGGATGCCCTCGAGACTCTGGAACAACAATTCCAGAGATGTGGACGCAATGATCCTACCCCATGGCTGATCGCCAGAGTCGAGATTCTCATCGATCAGGGCCAGACACGAGAGGCAAGGGAGGCTCTGTCCGAACTACCGACTCACAGTCAGGAATCTACAGATGCAGAGCAGCACGACGAAAGGCTTACACAGCTGGGGAACATTGTGGAGATAACCCTCGATTTGTGCCGCAGAACAGAGGACTGGGCCAGAGCACATTTAACAGGCCGGGAACTGTTCCTTCTCTGTCCCGACTATTTCAAACTCGATGAGCAGGTCGATCGCTCCAAACAAATCCGTCGGATTTTAAACACAGGCATGCTTCAGGAAATCGATGCGAATGGAAACACCAACTCTGCAACGCATCTTGCAAGAGCACTCGATATCTACAATTATGGCTGCCACGCTTCTGAAGCCTATTATAGCCTCTCCAATACAGATAAGGCCATAATTTCGGACTTTGACCACCCTGACTGCGCCAATATCTTCTTTTCTGCGGCGCGGGTATGCCACTACCTCGATCGCACGGGATACGCAATCATGCCACGCTCGTTCCCCACTACAGGTCCACAGCTCACTTGTGTGGATTGGAAACACCAGGCTTTGCATTTCTTAGAGAGAGTACGAGCAAGAGCTTTGCTCGACACGATCGTCCGGAGTGTTGCCGAGGATGAATCTCGTCGGCTCGCCTCCTTATCGCTAGTGGCTTACGCTGCCCGAAGCCTACTTGTGAAGCGGGCCTCCGTAGAAGGTTCACTTAGGAGCTCCAGCACTCCCTCGCTCCCCGTCCGTGTTACATCGGACCACATGCCTTTGTCCAACGGCCTCGAACCTGCTTCACGAAGACACTCCCACGCGCTCTCTGATGGATTGGTTCGGCCAGATCTATCGGCTCTTCATACGTCTGGAGGTATTTCGGCGACGCTACAACCTTCAAATCTTTCGGACGCGGATTCTGTCTCGGTTCCTACCTCTCCAGCGGGTACTATAGCCCACGCATTAACCAAGAAGGAATATGCACAACTCAGGATACGAAGATACTGGAATATATCCTTGCTATGGGCTCTCACGAAAGTGAGAGTGAGCGCTGCGCTCGTTAATGTCCCAGCCGATACTGTTGTGGTGGAATATGCTCTTGCCTCAACCGCACCAAGCGGTATCATGATAGTTATCGCTGCGACAGACGCTGTGAAGTCAGTAGTATGGAAGACGACCGATACTGTTGCTATTCAGAACTGCATTCGCGACTTAAGATCCTCGATGGAGGCCATGGACGAGCAAGCCGATCCAGGACGTCACTCCGATTTTACCACTGAACAACGTGTCAGGCCCATCGGGCCAAAACCAAACAACTCTAATTTCGATCAAGTAAGGCTGAGGAATTTACTTCACGGTGCTATTGTTGCACCCGTACAACCATACTTGAAAGGAAAGAGAAAGCTTATCATTGTACCGTCCGGCGATCTTGCACATGTACCTTGGCGCATCTTCTTTGACCTACCAATTACTGTAGTTCCGAGTCTTGGGATCTGGGCACGTCTTAAGTACGAGGCAAACGCCAAAGCGGTCCGGCATCCCAAAGTTTCGGTTGTCAGCACTGCGCCAATCGACAGGGACAAGAAGGCGAAGAAGATGGCTAACTACATACGCGGTATACCGTTCTCTCGCATCGAGGCGCTCTACGTTGCACGACTCCATGGGGAAACACCATTCCTTGCTGATGGGCAGACTCATAAAGATCTGCAAAGTCGTACCGAAGATACACAAATTCTGCACATATGCGCCCACAGCAACTACGATCCTGCGGCGCCGATGAGTTCCTCCCTTCAGCTATTCAAAGAACCCCTTACGGTCGCGGATTGGCTGGGCCTATCCATTAAGGCTGAGTTGGTAGTTTTCAGCTCTTGCGTTTCCGGCATATCTCGAGCATACGACTCTGGTAGCACAATTGGATTTGCGCATACGCTCCTGGGAACTGGTACAAAAGCATTCATCGGCAGTCTCTGGAAAGTGAATGACTGTGCGACGCTCTTGCTGATGGCGATGTTCTATGAACAGTTGAAGAAACCCTTGCCACCTGTTGAGGCGTTGTATAAAGCGCAGAATCGTATGCGGGACCTGACGGACAACGATTTGCAAGACACAATCGATGACCTGGAGCACTATGGAAAGCTGTTGCGCGATGCAGCTACTACAATGTTTGTCATCAACCCAGATCTTCACCTTTTTTCTTTGAGGAATACAAAAGCGGGCAAATGGAGGGACGCGAAGTATTGGGCAGGCTTCGTGCTGACAGGTTATGGGTCAAAGAACATATACCCTATGGGCAGCAATGCGGATTCTTAGGGAAACGGGATAACCAGTAACTTTCTGGGTGTAATATGAGTACCACAGTAGGCAAACCACACGGTGTAGCTAGACATATAGAAACACCTTGAAGTGTAGTATTATCTCAACAAACTGTTGATGAGTACGTTACTCCGCTACCTTAATCGAAGAGAAGTACCTCTTCTTCACCATCTTCCTACTTGACTACCCATAATACTTTGTCATCTCTTCCTCCAGCTCAATCATCGATATATCTCCGATGCGTGGCTACGATCGGAACCACCGCTGTCCATCCTCTTTACTCGAACTCAATGTCATACACCTTGCTATACCACCTCTCCATGCCCTCGTCGAGATCCTCCTCCATTCCGGCCTTCAACTCGAGTCGTTGCTGAATCTCTTGCGAAAGCTTTTCCATCGCCAGCTCCGCCTTTGCCAGCTCGGGAGTCGTTTCGGCCTTGAATTTTTCCATCACTGCGGGTACCTTCTGCAGGAGAGCTTCAACCTCTGCCCATGGGTCGGAGGTCTCCAAGGGCTTCGTATCTATAGGCATATCGTAGGTGATCAGGATATTGAGGCCTGGATTGAAGGTGAGCGACGATCTGAGGCTGAGTCTGGACATTGCAATCTACGCTGCGTATCTTCGACGTTGTGTTCAGCAGGTATCAATGTCGCGGGGTATGCAAGCTTGGGCAGGAGAACTTGATTGGTATTCTGAGCGTCTGCCATTTTGGGGGTACTCAGTGGTACAGTGGCGGTGTTTGCGTGTGCTGTCATTTTGAAGAGGCCTTGGATGTGCGGACTGTATTTCAGAATTGAAGAGAAAAGTAAGGAGGGCGTGTGTATATGTATCTTTGCCAAAATTCGAACCTTGGTCCTCACTAAGAAAAAGGGTCGTGGGCCCTGAGACAGTTATTTTACCATAGTTTCAGATGCACACACTGACGATTACACCCTCCTCTTTCGATGCAAACGAACCAAAGCATCGTGAAAAATAGGGTAATGTAAATGGACCTACTGTGGTAAGAACAGACAATTTTGTCTGGTTTAGCACGACCCGTGTTTCCATAGCTATTTCTCGACGCCCACTGCAGACGAACGTCATACCATGTTCACCACATGTCTATTGTCCAAAAGGCTATTCCGACCCAAATCTGCACCACCCTCAGTCGCTATATCAAAGTTGCGGTTGTGCAGACACAGCGGCACCCTCGGCAGCAAATTTATCAACCGCATCTATGCTATATCAACAACTGGACAACACATGTGCAGGCGAACAGCATGGGAAAGCAGAAGGAAGAACACGCTTTCTACTGGTTGTTATGGCTGGGTCGACGCGGAAGGTGCTGCGGTTTGCTTTGAACGCCCAAAGATAACTCATCCGGGAGCGATTCGAGAGCAACGTCTGTGCGAGGTGACGGTGCCGCGAAAGTACTGATGTGTCTCAAAATACCAATTGGTTGTTATAGAGGACTGAGGACGTCGCTTGTCACCCTGACGTCACGACTCATGATCACTACTACCTGGGCACTACGAACAGAAGTGAATATCAACACACATAGCTTTACAACTCCTCACATTCCACCAACTCTTGAGCTTCTTCTATTTTCATGTTCGAAATGTCCGTCCCAGTCACAGGAAAATCCGGCAACGAGGAGCGCGCCACAAGATTGGAGAATGAGTTTGAGAAGCGCCCCGATCCGGTAGCTCTCACTCACAACCCAGATCCCTCGAAGAACTCATCCTCTGGCGTGGATTACGAACCGTACCCAGAGAAGTCCATCCCGCTTGAGCCAGAAAAAGAGAAGATCGTGCAAACGATATGCAACTTGTACTCAGGCAGCGCCAGCAAGGAGGACATGACTGTCTACGCCGAAGAATCAATCTACGATGACCCGTGGAGCTACTGCGACACGCGTTACAAGATTGCGGGCCAGTGGTATGGCATCCCGAAGATTATGAAGTCGAGCAGGACCATCAAGACTCAGGTCGTGTCGTCAAAGCCAGATGAGATCATCTTCAAGCTGCAACAAGAGTACACACCAAAGCCGATGCCCATTGCGAAGAAGGTGAACAGCTTGGTCACTTTGACTCTCGATCAAAATGGAAAAGTCAGGTACCACAAGGACATGTGGAACGAGAAAGACTACAGCCACGAAGGTCTTGGCAAGATCATGAAGGAGCTCAACGGGGATCATTTGACGAAAATTACGCAGCCACCGGAGGACTTGTAATTCGAGGGATGGAGCGAAAGTTTCTAGACCATAGAAAGCTGTATATTTAATACAAGACCGGCAATCGTCCTACATGACGATGGTCGACTGTTTCAATTAGCGTAGCACACTGCTTCAGAGAGGGGAAACTTATAAAAAAGATTGTGCCGTTCCAGCAAGGGAAACGGCTTTTGATACCACCCACGAACAACCTCTCGCCATATGCACCCTCGTCTACGCCATTTATCGCCAGAGTGACTGAGTCTGATGTCACACCAACCAAAGGCCCAAATTCCGACCAGGAGTACCGAGCACAAGTAGGCCAAAGTTCATCGTGCTCACAACAGCATGCAGCGTAAACAGAGAGGTGAAATGCAGCGGGCGACGATTGTGGACAGGCCTAAGCCTTGAGCCTCACTCTAGAGAGGTCCCACTTTCGAGGACGTGCTGGATGCAAATCGCACAGTCAAGTCTAGCCACGTACCGTTGATGTTGGCTTCGATGTAGCCACCTTGAGCGTCAAGTGCTCCCAAATAATGGTCATCGTTCAGAAGTCCAGTCAACGAAACTCAGACCCAGGCTCCAGCAAACAGCAACGCTTTCGAAGAAGCCGCCTCAACCTCGATGAGCACCATTCACTCCACCCGCAGCCCATAACTTTGACCATGTGACGCGACACCCTAGCTCAAACTGCACAAACCTCGCGCAGAAACCTCTCCTGTGACCGACATCTTGGGTGAAACCTCAAGAGCCTCTCTCCGTGTGTATTGGCATGACTCTCTGAGACTAGTTTTTGTTTCCTCTCCGGTCGGTGATGAGCCGGAGGGCAGATGCGTGCGGACAAAAGACATCCTCAAAAACCGCACTAATCCTCGTAGCAAGTATGACTTGCTCAAAGAGAGGGTGAACGCTCATCAGACAGTACATGATGGACATGTGAGTTGATGATTGACGCGACTGGTCGGGTATCACTTCGATGTGACGTGTGCCGGGTCGCAAAACCATGGTACGAACTCAACGGCTTTTCGGTGAGCGTGGCTGGGTGGCATTCTGGTTGGGACTTTCGTCGCTGTTGGAGAGACGCGCGGGTGGTAACGTCGAAGTCACTCTTACTGTTGTTGTGGTTGTCACAGGATGATAACACTGCTGACCGTGTCTCACGAAGACAGCGTACCTCGTACATACTCGAGCAAGCTCAAAACATCGGCTCCGGAGCGTGACGGAGTGCCATAGGAAGAAAACGCCAACCTGAGACGCATTGAGACCTCGCTGGGCTTGCGCCCTTCCGACGAGTGGATCTCTGCGACAGCCGAAGCCGAACAGGCCGGCGTGTCTGTGCGTAAGGCTCGTACAAGACATCCGTGCTCTGCGTCTGCCTTTGAGTTGCTTTGAGTAGTCGTGGGAACATGTCTTTGATGTGGGCACTCGGTATGGCAGCTCCTCTGTGAAAACCAGCAAGAACAAAAATGGAGCTTGGACGAGTTCGACTACCCAAAGACAATCCTCGAGTGAGGTGTCCGGCATCTCTCACCAGAATGCTCCAAGCCCCGTCAGCAAAGTAGCCTTAGAGCTACCCATCTTGACCAGAGTCTGTTGCACGGATGAGAGTGTCGACGTGGCTCTCAAAGAGAGCTTTAACGCCCCAACAGGCACATGACAAACCAATTTGAGCCGAAGCTCCCGTACCTCGAGCCTCCCTTTGGCACGAAGTCTCAAGACGTACACTCAAGGTGCGTTGCCAGGCGACTAGGGCTGATCGGAAAGGTCGGCGACATGACCGCGAAGCTTTCCACCGCAGAATCTGCGGTAAACACCAAGAGATGATTAGGGTTAAGATCCGAGCCTGCCCTCCTCACACACAAGCACGTTCCAACAAGCCATAAGCCGGGTTAGGAGCCTCTGACCAGCGTTGGACGTACAGAGCATGTGAGGCGCAGCGAACTGCATTCCAAAGGGAAGACAGACATCGGTAGCTGTAGGGAGAGTGATATGCATTCAAACTTGTAGTAAGCGAGAGAGTAGATGGTGCCAAGGAGGTCTTGCGCGAGTTCCCACAGTTGAGAGCATTGTCAGGTGGTGTTGTTCGTGGTCCGGAGCCGTGGGAGCGAGTTGGAGTAGTCTGAGCACAGAGCGAGTATGAAGCGTTTTGTGGCGATTGGTCGTTGGGGTAGTGTTGTGAGGCTGGCTCAACTGACGCGCCCTCCAAGGTGGACGCGCCGAGCTAGTACGCGATCACGTGAGTGTGACTAAGCAGCCCTTCCTTGCTTCCCTTCCACCTCTTTCGCAACACCCACGCCGACATCAACTTATACAGTATGGGAGCTGTCGAACAAGCAGTAGATTCTGCCGCAAACTTCATTGGCCCATTTGTAGACGCGGGCGCAAGACAAGCTGCTCAGCATAGTGGCGAAGAGAATCTCGACAACGCGGCACTGGTACGAGAAGCCATAGGGCACCTGCAAGCCATCAATACCGCAGATCTCGCCGCAGATCCAGATGCACCTTACGATGCGTCTCTTGCTGGGGTCGTATATGGGTTGCTGGATCTCACCACATCGCTTGGCATCCTTCCACACCTATCCTCTGGTGTTGCGTTCAGTCAGCGTCCGCGATCCGTTCTGATAGCAACATTCACAGTTTCGCGTCAAGACAAAGAACATCTGTCCGATGTTGTAACTCCTCTGCTTGAAATCTTGGGTCAAGGAGAAGGCACTGGACTGCAGCCGCTCATGGCGCAGCGGTCTCTGCCTGATTTTATCTCTGCGCTTGCAGAGCTTGCTTTCTCCCCACAGCAGACCGTGGGAACCCACTCTAGTTTCGAGCCCGCCTACAGTGATTTGCTCGCTCGGACACCCACCTCTCGTCTGTTGCCAATACTCACAACGTTCCTCCAGCAGCCACTCCCGGATTGGCTGAAGCCGCGGATGAGCAAAGAGCTTGCTACTGTACCTGTCCGGACCCACGGGGTCAGACATGTCATCGAGTTCCTTTCTTTGTCCTATCTCTCCAAGAATTCGCAGGTTCCACAAGACGCATCCGGTCCTCAGTCACGGATACCGATACCTTTAGAAGCCGTCACACAAGCATCCAAGCTATTGACCTCGCCTCCCAGCGGGACGAGTCAAGTTGAGTGGATTCAGAAGCTGGCGCCCCAGTTGTGGAATCTCCTTGACGGAAGTGAGGGTCGAGAACTTAGCAGAGCTGCAGGCCAAGTCATCGCGGGAGGCATTCTCAGCAAGAAAAGCACGGGTGCGCCTGGCGCAATCGGATGGCTGCTATTCGTCCTGCCGATAATGGAAGCGATCTATCCCAAGGATATGTCAGTCGCAGTAGTACGGAGCAGTACCAGAGACAAGGTGCTCAAGCAGGATCAAGAAGTACTTCTCGCTCTGCAGCGGCTGGCTGTCATCACAACTTCGTACTCCCACGCTGGGCTCATCAAAAGGCTCATTGGTCCTTTGCTACTACCCCTCTGGGCCCTGCTCAACTACGCCCGGTCCAAACGACCACTCGACAAAGCTTGGAGTGAGCTGCCACGCAGTGTCATTGCGAGATACGTGAGCACTGCCTGCGACCCGAAGCAGGTAGACACCCTTGCGACCAACCTGTTCTGGGACGGCCCTCGTGAGTGGACTCTGGGACCAGGGGCCAAGGGGGGCGTCGAGTATCGAATGCGTCGAACTGGTGGCCATTGTGATGAAGCGGGTATGGAGTCTATCCTTTCACGTATCAGCGACCTTACTGGGCGTATCGATCTTCTTGTTTCTCTACTTGCCAATGCCAAGGTATCGGATGATGTCGCAGGTCAGGTCTTCCTACAAGTGACCAAACGCTGGCTGAATCCCAACAATAACGCAAATGCCTCGCTGCTCATCGAATCCGACGACGATCCCCTTGCGGCTCTGACAGACGCTAAGCTCTCAGAAGCACTGGCGAACAAGTTCAAAGACAGCTTCGCAAGATCACCGCAACATATCATCGAGCTCATGGATCAGCTGCTCCAGAATTACGTATCTGACCATCGAGCGAAAGCCAAGCGTCAAGCAAGGTCTCAGAAACCCAGCAGAGCGAACTTGGGAAGCATAGTGGCATCCAAACCTAGGGACTATCAACAGCACGGTGAAAAAGACACAGCGGAGGATGACATTGCTTCTTTCGCAATCGGAGTCCTTAGCACGGTGGTCACGACCTCCGAGTTTCAGCGAACAACGGCAATCGATGATCTGCTTTTGCAAGTCACGACGCACCTTCAATATCTGGCCCACGGGCACCAGTTCCCGATCCCACCGGCCATCACGAACGCAGCCCACAACCTCCTCCAAGCCCTGGCACCCTCAGGCCTGACTTCAAAAGCGTCTGATGACGACCCTGTCGCGTCTCACCGAGCGACACTTCAAGCAGCGCTCCAAGACCTCACCTCCCCCGAAGCTCCAAACCGCACATGGGCGCTCCACACGCTGCACACGCTGATCAAAGATGCCTCCTCGCTGCCAGTCATCAACGTCCCATCAACGACCTACATGCTCCTCACCGCCTCCCTCGCAGACCCCGAGTCCTACGTGCACGGCGCCGCACTCCCCGTCCTCGTGTCCCTCGCCCTCGCCGCACCGCATCCCACCATCAGGATCCTCGTCGACGCCTTCCAGGACGTGGACGAGCGCAGCCTCTCGCATACCAAGGGCCGCACGACCGAAGAAACCGAGCGCGCGCTACAGGAGAGTGTCGACTACAGACTGCGGCTCGGCGAAGTGCTCTCCACAGTCCTCCTGTCCTCCGACTTCTGGCACGCCAACCCCGATCGCGACGTCAAGCACGCCGCCATCACACACATGGCCTCGGCCTGCCTGGCGCTCGCCTCGCGCCGCGGCCAGCGCACGCAGACGCACAAGCGCCGCCAGGCCGTCTCGCTGCACATGGCGGCCCAGCGAGAAGAAGCAGAAACGGCCTGGGGCGGCCCGATCCCCAACATCCTCGAGCCGGACGGCGCGGGCCCGGGCGCAGACCGAGACGAGTACGAAGCGCTGCGCGGGATTGTGGAGGGCTGGGAGAACACGGGGATCGAAGAGGACGTGCGCGTGCGCGCGTCGGCGCTCAGTCTGTTCGGCACGCTGCTGGAGAAGAGGGTCGAATTCGTGGGGCAGCGGACGGTGGACGCGGGACTGCAGATTGCGATGCTCGTGCTCACCATGGAAACGGGGGAGGCGTTCTTCATACTCCGGCGCGCGGCGGTGCTGGTCGTCATGGGGTTGCTGCGGGCGCTGGATCAGAGTCTGGAGGCTGCGGGCGCTGGGCCGGTGGACTTGGGCTTGCGGCAGCAGGGCGAGATTGAGCGGGTGCTGCGGTGGGTCAGGGATGAGGACGGGGACGAGCTCGTGCGGGACCACGCGGCGAGTGTGCTCGAGGGCGTGGACACGCTGCGGATGAAGAAGCTGTACAGGGTTAGAGACGAGGGGGTGAGGTTGGGCGCGGATCTGGGTCTCGCGGGTGGTCTGAGGGGGCTGAGCGTTGGGCCTGCAGGTGATGAGGGACGCGGGAAGCGTATGGTCGTCGAAGAGATGGAATAGCACAGCGCTACCTCTACAGCGCTCCTACAGCGCTCCTACAGCTCTCCAACCGACATCGTCTCGCTCAGCTCGTCCTCCGCATGCGCTGCGTCGCGCGCGTCACGTGGTGTGTGTATTTGCACCGAGCCAAACCACGCAGCCGCACCACGGCGCCGAATCAGCGCTTCGTGTCTCTCTCCCTGTGCTTTGCACAAACTTTTGATAACCCATATTCACCCTCCTCCAGCCGCGCCGCTCAACCGCTCATAGCCGTATCCCCCTTCTTGCTCTCGACGCCATCGGCGTGCCCAATCCACAGCACGTTGTTGCAGCGGATCAGCACCTGGCCCAGGGTGCCGGAGCTGACGCCGTTGACGAATTCCTCCGTGTTGGACAGCTGGATGTTCATGTACAGATCGACCGACACGAGTCTGCCCTTGTACTCGGTCTCGCCCCACTTGAGGCGCACGACAATGTCCTTGTCGACGCTGCGCAGATTAGCATCGGGGAATATGGGGTGGCGGTGCGCGTGCTGGGTCGTCATGGGGTAGGTAGGTGAGGTGCGGGACGTACAGGCTCTGGAGCAGCGGCCGGGGGTTGAAGGGAGCAACGGCCTGGAATCGATTAGCACGAGACGCTCGAGGACTGCGGGGGGGCACTTACAGCCATGTTTGCGACCGAGTTGTGAATGTCGAGAGAGCAGACGAAGCGCTCAGGTCGCGGTCGCGCCCAGCATCTGTTCTCGAAATCTCGCACGGGCCGCCGCAGGCAGAGAGCAGCCGCCGATTGGCCGCCGCGCGGGCGAAGCTCCTCCCCGCCCCCGCGACGAGCAGCAGCATCAGCAAAGAGCAGCAGCACCAGCAAAGCGCTCGAACATTTGCGATTCCCAAACCCCTCGAGTCAACATGGTGCTCGCCCTAGCCCTCAAAGCCGAGCTCGCGGGCGTCACGGACCTGCGCCCGCTGGACACGGAGGACGCGCCCTTTTACTACACGTTCAAGGTGCAGTGCACGTCGTGCCGCGAGACGCACCCGAACTGGGTGTCTGTGAGCCGGTTCGAGCAGAACGAGATCAGCGGCAGCAAGGGCGAGGCCAATTTTGTGTGGAAGTGCAAGAACTGCAAGGTCTCTCCCACCGCACCTCTGCACGACTATCTGTATCTGGGCGCGGGCTGATGGAACGGCAGAGAGAGCATTCGGCGAATATCAAGGCCGCGCCGGCGACGTACGAGAGGAGCGATCCGCCCAAGATGAAGAACGTCTTGGAGTTTGATTGCAGGGGGCTGGAGTTTGTCGAGTTCAAGGCTGATGCATGTGCGCCTGTGCGAGAGATGGGGACGTGGCGCTGACGAGGACAGGGCGAGTGGCTTGCCACGGGCGAGGAGTCTGGCACCAAGTTTGAGAACATCGAGCTGCACGAGGGCGAGTGGTTCGACTACGACGAGAAGGCGAGCGAGGAGGTCAGCATCACGAACCTGGTGTGGGAAGTGCGACGCGCATAGACGTCGAGTCTGGAGGAGGAGCCAGACGAGGCACACAACGGCGAAGAGACGACGCTGTTGGAAGTGACGAGGCACACACGGCGAAAGACGATGCTGTTGGAATTGACGAGGCACACACGGCGAAGAGACGACGCTGCTGGAATTGACGAGGCACACACGGCGAAGAGACGACGCTGCTAGAATTGACAAGGCACACACGGCGAAAGACGACGCTGCTGGAATTGACGAGGCACACACGGCGAAGAAACGACGCTGTTGGAATTGCAGAGTTGCTACCCGCCCGGAGCGCCCTGTACATGCCATTGTATCGTCCAGTAGTCACCTCTAACTATTTGGTGACGATGATCAGCAAAACCAATATGATGATCAACACCACAATAAGCGTCAGGCTCCAGTTCTCGCGCGCCTTCCTGCTGAAGCGGTCCAGCCGCCCCCTCGCTCGTCGAAACTGTGCGTCGTGTCTGTCCACGCCTTCCTCGACCTCGTCCAGCAGCATCACCTGTCCATCGAGTTCGTCCCCAATCTGCATGCTCAGCTCCCTCTGCCGCCCAATGGACGCGCTCAACGTGTCGAGCTGGTCGTCCTGCTCCCGTAGTACATGGCTGTGGTATTCGTGGATCTGCTGGTTGTCGAGATGCGACTGGTCTGGCGGTGCCTCTGCGTCGTGCGAGGGATCGTCGCGATACGGCTGGTTGAAGAGGGCCGCGCGGCTGGGATCGCTGTCGCCTTGCTCGTTGTCTGTGAAGCGCACGCTTTTCGACGCACGGCGCGACTTGGACTGGGCAGCTGCGAAGTCGTCTGCGAGAGCACGGTCGTTTGGCTGTGTGGTTGTGGGAGAGCTGGTGGACGCCGAGGAGGAGAACTGGGCGGAGAGCTCGTTGAGCTGGGTCCGCAGGCGCGGGAGCTGGCTTGTTATAGACCTGGCATGGCTAGAATCAGGCGTGTTGGCAGCAGACATGGCAGCTCATACTCATCGGATGTGTCCTCGACCTGCGACTCGAGCGACTCAATACCGGAGCGCAACTGCTCCAGTGAGCGCGAGATCTGGCTGTCCTGCCCGTGCGAGGGGAGGTTGAGGGAGACGGCCCGCTGGCGCTCCAGCAGCGAGAGCTTGATGTGGTCGGCGAGCAGGAACAGCTGCGGCGGGTTGGTCGCCATGGTGGTGGTCGCGGTGGGTGACGGGTCGTGACACGCCGTGACACTGCCGAGGTTGAGGCTGTGAGGGCGGCCGGAAGCAGCGTGCGCGTTGGTGGCTCAGGGCTGCAGGCACAGGTGACGCAGGCGGTGCTGCTGGCCGTGTACAATGGCTATTCGAAATGTGCGATCGGTGCCGCGTCCCGTGCAATGCGTGCGACGTGTGGCGTGCGCGAGTGCTGCGGGTGCCGTCGACGTCCCAGTGGTTTGCCAGCTGATCCGCGGCGATGCCCATCATCGCATCCCAGCGGACCTCGTCCCGACCACCATGTCTCTGCGCTGTACAACGCAGGCGCAACCCCGATGCTCCCCCCCCCCGGCTCCCTTTCGGTTTGGGACGCCGAAGCATGCTGCCTCCATTCCTGCCTGCCTGCTTACAACAGCCCTGAGCGGCCACCGCTCTCCTCGTCTCTCTGTCCCCCGCGTCCATCCGCACCGCCTTCTCCACACCCGCCATGTCGTCGCCGTCGCCGATCCCGCCGCCCAACGACCGGCGCAGCTCGCGGGCCTCCTCTGGCGCGGGCCTGGCCAACGGAACCGACGCGCTGTCCGAGCCGTCAGAATTGCGTGTGGTCGGTGGCCCTCCCAGCAGTCCCTCGCCTTTGGCGCTCCGCGCATCCAACTCACCATCGTCGAAGCGTCGCAAGAGCAAATGCCTCAAAGTGCCCCCCGAACTGTCTGCGCTCGAGTACACGACGGACCCTGACAGCAACCTCGTGTGTCTGATCTGCCACGCCCCCTTCGACAAGCCGGTCCAGCTGCCCTGCGAGCACTACTTCTGCCGCGAATGCCTCCAACACGCCTGGGCCCCGCAGTCCGCTCCCTGCAAGACATGTCCGACGTGCCGCCGCGTGGTGGAGAGCGAGAACGACACTCGCGCCGTGCCCAAGATCATCGAGACCATGCTCGACGAGCTGGTAGTCAAGTGCCCAAACACAAAGACTGGCTGTACGTGGGTCGACCACCGGGTCAACGTACACGATCACGTCATGCTGTACTGCGAGTACACGCCCATTGAATGCTCTGCAGCTGACTGCAGGTTACACACGACCCAGAAGGACTTTCACAAGGGCTGCCTGCACTACAGTGTCAGCTGCGAGGACTGCCATGCATCGCTCATGAAGAAGGATCTTGAGGTGAGCTGTATACTCCAGACGCGTCTAGCCCCTGCTCAACAAGCATTAGGAACACCAGCGAAATTTGTGTCCCAACAGGACCACTTCGTGCGCCCTTTGTGACGCCGTTCTGCTCCGTCTCGACCTCAAGACCCACATCAACAACGTGTGTCCGAAACATGTCATTTCCTGCCAGGGTGCAATCGTCGGCTGCAAGTTCCGATCTGAGCGCGCCGACGTGACACGGCATGAGATGGCATGCGCAATGGCAACAATGGCGCCCCACTTCCGGGAACAGCAAGCTCGTCTTGAGAGGCACGAAGCCCGTATGGAGCCGTTGGTCAGGAAGGTTGGCATTCTGGAGGATGGCCTTGGCAACATCACCAACATGCTGTATCCGGCCAACGCCAACGATGCGTCGTTTCCCGTTGCCGATCATCTGGATCCCAACGACGCAGCGGCTGAATTCCGCCTGCCCCCAGCTTCGTTCCAACACGGAGCTCAGAGCAACGACAATCGCTCAAGCGAGCCGCCTTTTGACTCGCAGGTCCACCATCTGCTCACACTGCACGAGAACCTGCGTGAGGAGGTATCTCGAATGTCCACTTCTTTGACCGAGGTCGAAGGCCGTGCCAACATGATGATTATCAACGAGAGCCAGCGCAACAAGGACGAGATGTTGCATACGAATGCTGCCATCAACAACATGCGCATGCAGTTGCATTGGCTGATGAGCGCAACCATCCAGCAACGAACCACCACTACGTCGTCGTCGCCGTCGTCGACAACGTCCAGACCCTCTGCAGGCACAAGCGCGGGCACTACAGACCGTAGCACGACGCAAGGGCCTAGCTCCAGGCCGGGTCCCAGCGGAGTGTTACCTGCGCCATACCGGAGGCTGAGCGACACAAACCGGCAAGACACGAAGCTTTGAACTGGTTCGCCCTCAGGACCATGCACGCTCGGGTAGCACAGTATGATTTACGAAAAGTGTTTTCATCGGCGTTAGTATACGGCAGGACTCGTCTGTCATCTTCTCAAGGGAGTTCATGACACAGGCATAGATGTAGATACCCTTTATCTCGCGCAATGGTTGTTAGATGGAGCAAGGTACGCGACACGATCGCAGAGCGAAAGGTGCTTCACCAGTCGAAGTATATATACCCCCGTAGCTCAATACCAGAACAATACCTTTATTGACTTTGGAGTCAGCAGATTAGCCAACGAGGTCAGCAGATTAGACAGCGAGGCCAGCAGAGTAGACAAGGCCAGCAGAGTAGACGGGGCCAGCAGAGTAGACGAGGCCAGCAGAGTAGACAACGATCGTCGCCGGAAGAGCTGTAAAGGATGCGCTCACGGGTAGGTAATCGACTAGCCTATCGGAGGCTGATCAACTACGTCACCGATTCGTCGCGTTCCAGCTCGCGTCAACAAGTTGATCGACCACATGCATAATTTGATTAGACCTCCACACCTTATATCGTTCATTTCCTAGATGTCTGGTAATACTAATAGCGATATTCTCATTGTAGGTCGCACTCGAATTCTGTTTTGGAAATTTGTGCTCTCAGATTTCCGTCTAATGAATGAGTTCAGGCTGGCGCAATTGCAGCCTTCACCGTAGATCTGCTTGTATACCCCCTCGACACCCTCAAGACACGATTCCAATCGCCAGACTATGCACGACTATACACGAACCAGGCGACGGGGAAGCCCAATCCTGCGCTGTTCCGGGGCATGTACCAGGGCATTGGCAGCGTGATCATTGCAACATTACCATCTTGTACGAGCACCCCCACCCAAAGCCAAAAAGAGCAGGGAACATCTACACATGACGACGGCGATTGGCTTCCTGCGCGACTAACGCCCAGCAGCAGGAGCCTTCTTCACGACCTACGAACGGACAAAAACCCTCTTCGCAGACCTCAACTCAACGACATCGCACCCTGATGGTTTACTCCCCACGCCCGTCATCCACGCAGCCGCCTCCTCTCTCGCCGAGCTGGTATCCTGCGCCATCCTAACCCCCGCAGAAGTCATCAAGCAGAACGCGCAAATGGTCTCCTCGGACCGCTCGAGCACAAACGCAACCATCCAGACGCTGCGCAGATTCCAATCAAACCCGCTGGCGCTATGGCGCGGCTACGCCTCCCTCGCAGGCCGCAATCTGCCCTTCACTGCCATGCAGTTCCCCATGTTTGAGCGCTTGAAGATGCGCATCAGGGCGTATAGGGATGAGAAGGGACTCACGAGGGGGACTATTGTCGAGAGCGGGATCATCACCGCGGTTAGTGCGGGGTCGGCTGGGGCTGTCGCGGCGGTTATCACGACGCCCGTGGATGTGCTCAAGACGAGGATCATGCTGAGTGCTGCCGAGGGAGAGGGAGCGTCGAGCAAGAGTGGGAAGGGTGCTGCGAATGTGAAGAATGCGCTGGTCGATGCGCTGGGCGAGAGCGTCAGGAAGAGTAGGAGCGGTCACAAGGGAACGTGGCAGATTACGCAGGAGATTGTGCGGGAGCAGGGGTATAAGGGGCTTTGGAGGGGTGGTGCGTTGAGAGCTGTTTGGACGTTTGTTGGCGCGGGGTTGTATCTCGGTGCGTATGAGAGCGGGAGAGTGTATCTGGCGGCGAGGAGAGGGGAGCATGTCGATGAGGCGGATCTCATGTGAGCCCACGGGAAGCCTGGCTATTGAAAGCTTACCATGCACCGTCGACTAGCACATGCACCTCTGCACAGAAGGAGTTCATCTTGGAGAAGGAGTTCATCTTGGAAAGGCTCTCCTGACGACTTCTTCGCGGGGATGCCGCAATACCGTTCGCTATCTTGTGGTCCATGGAGCTCAAAAATTCGCCTCCCAGGCTCTGACGACGGCCTTCGAAGCTCACTGTCATTGGGCAAGTGTGGTTATAACGATGGCGGTGGGGTGGTGTATGATTTCAACATGGCTTTCAGCGCGGCCAAAAGCAGCTATTACATGTACCATCTTCCGCAGGTGATGCAGTGTACTGTAGTGCCACTTTAGGAATGACATAGCACAATACCATGCATTTCTCGCACGTAGAAAGCCTTGGGCCCAGGAAAAACGTACAAGCAGTAAGAATGGCACGGGCGGAGTCTTTGCATGTCGATGTATTTGCAAATTTCTTCACTTCTTCATTTCTCGTGTCGCTTGAAGTCCCAATCGCCGCTGGGAACGCCACAGATGAATGCCTGGGCAGCAAAAGATGATTGACGATGCAGGGTGCTGCTCTACGAAGACACGGTTCAATCACAGCCTTGATATTATATCTCAGCACGGAGCCGTCAGGATTGATGGTTGTAGGTCAGAACAGGTCCAAGCTGATTTAGCCGTGGTATTTCTCCATCTCCTCTTGCGTGGTCTTGGCTGTACGAACGTGTCTCTGCAGCGTCACTGTTCACCAAGAAGATCAATACGATGTCAGCCACAAGGATGGGCATCAGGAATGTAGATGGTAGAAAGAAGTATGTATGTTGCTCCTACCGAGAGGGGTATTAGTAAGAGCTACTCACATGTTGTCGCGGTATATACTGAATAGTTCACAGAGTGAAGGATGTCCTTTGCTCCGACACATGTGCTGAAGGAAAACTGGGAACAAGGGCTCCAGCCGTAAAGCAACGGATCGCGAAACCCCAGAGTCCGAGAGAATACAGAGAGAGCAGCGACACTCTAGATCCCAGAGTCGGTCATGTTGTACGGGTGGTTCCCGGGGAACCAGTACCCGTCCCACTCATCGCAGCCCTGCTTGAAATCCGATGTGCTCCCAATCGCCCCGACGATCTCACCCTTGCGCTCCAGGAACTGCAAGGCAAGACCCTGACTGGCGTGCCAGGCGATGTGGCAGTGCATCTGGATTTGTGTTAGTAAAGCGCTCTTCTGGTGTACGTGTTCAGCACTTACCACCCAAGTCCCCGGGTTGTCCGCAGGGAAGGCGATTACCAGATACCCGCTCACAGGCATCGTTGTAGTGTCGCGACGCAGGGGGTTGTTCAGATTGAGACTGCTGACCGAGCCGTCCCACTGGCCCGCGCCCTCGCCGATGACGTAAAAGTCGTGACCGTGGAGATGAATAGGGTGCGGCAGCTGGAAGGCATCCGTCGACTCGATGTACCAGATGTACCAGTCGCTGGTTGGCATCTCACGGATATTGGCGTTCGGGTAGAAGTCGCTCCTGCCCGCAAGCGCCGTCTCGAGAGTTGGGTTGTTCCAGTCAACGACCAGAGATGTGCCGTCTAGGAGCCAGCGCACGACGTTGCCGTTCTGCAGCTTGAGGTCGATCTTGCCGGCGGTGCCTACTGCAGACGAGGGTACGGTGTTGGGGACGAAGGGAACGAGGCTGAAGCGGTCTTCGTCGACGCAGGTTGTTCGGAGCGCGACACCGGTGGTGGTGGGATTATTGCTGGATGCACCGGTATACGAGAGAATGGCACCTAGCTGGATGCCGGTGCCGAGGATGGAGTTTCCTCCGCAGGCAGTCCCGTAGCCGATGCGGAACCAGTAGTTGTCTACAGTCTGGTTGGCCTCGATCATCACATCGTAGCGTTGGCCGATGGCGAGGGTTAGCTGGGATGCGATATATGGCTTGATTGGGACGAAGTCAGCGGTCATCACTGTAAAGGGGTGACTATCGAGGGAGACGCTGAAGGTGCTGTCCACGGAGGTGTTGATAATCCTGATGCGGTACTTCTTCCCCTTGGTGACGGTCATCTTGGCGTAATTGCCGCCATTCGCGCTGACGTGAGTACCGTTGACAAGGATATTGTCGGGAAGCGGCGGACCTCTTTGTGAGTGCTGGGCAACTTCGTTGATTGTGAAGGCCTCGGTGTAGTAGTAATCTGTGATAGGAAGGACACCGAGATCCTCGTCGTAGTTGACTGAGGCCGGCCCATCGATGATCATCGTTCCAAGGACGCCGTCACCGTACTGTGCAGACCAGTGAGAGTGATACCACGTCGTCCCAAACTGCGTGGCCCTGAACCTGTACTGGCGGGACTTTCCGGGAGCAATGGGGCATTCTGTGATGCCGGGGACGCCGTCGTGCTGACAGCTGTTGAGTTGACGGATACCGTGCCAGTGAATTCCTGTGCCGTTGTCTTGCATGCTGTTCTTGACATTGACGACGATTGTGTCACCCCACTTTGCTCGAATAGTTGGGCCAGGGTATTGACCATTGATCAACTGGAACATTCGGCTTCCAGGTGATCCATCTAAGTGTGGTCTTGTTGTGTTCGTGACTTCCAGGTTGTACTACCAAATGTGAGCATGTGTACACGCGGTGAAGTCTGATGGATTTACAGTGACGGTTGTGCCTGCCGGAGGGGTCTTCGCATCGAAGTCTGTGGCGATACTGTAGCCATCACTCCAACATTGGCGTGTTCGAGCCGTGTTTGTGCAAGCACCGTCCTGCCTCTCGATAAGAGAGGCCGGAATAGCACTAGCGAGAGCGAGTGAGCCAGCTGACAGCCAGTAGGCGAACGATTGGAACAACATGGCGTCGTTGAGAGAGCTCGAGCAGATAGCTAGAGAATGAATATTGCTTCTGTATCGAATATCTTGACCAAGTTAAATGAGAACCTTGGTCGAATTGCTGAGTAGTGTACGAGTAAGGTCGAGGCCTCATTTATACCAGAAGATATTCTCGCTGAGCTGCCAGAGTGGTCGTGGCGAGATCTGACGGGCGCTAACCTCATTTACCTGGCGTGGTATGTTCAGGAGAATGTAGCATCCGCACAGCTACGCCAATCTTCGATGGCTTTGCCACGCCATCTGGGCGAGAAGAAGGCGTAGGGTACGGGCCGCGGAGCCAAGGCTGACAGTGAATGGCCTGACGTACGAAGATGGAGCAATAACTCGAATTACAAACAGCAAGACTGTCTCAAATTTCGCGGTCCATCTGTTTCGAGGCCAACTGCCGAGTAGCATAACATTTGATAGGCCAGATGAGATACCACGGGTCTGGACAGCATGGGTACGAGAATGCCGGCAGCTGTGACAACATCGGCGCTAGACGCTCGAAGCCAGCAAAGTATCGACACAGGGCACCAAGTTACCACTTCTGGGGATAATGCTAAGCAAGGTCCCGACCATCATGGGTAGCTTGGCCTGGTCAAGCTCAAGCAGCATCCGGAAGAATCCTCGCCTGACCCCGAGTAGTGGGTCTGCTGCAATCTCGCGTCAGACCATGCATGATCTATTGAATAATTGTCGTGAGAAACTCCATTGCGAAGAACTTTTCGAGATCATTTGATACGGGCAGGCTAGCGGCAGCGCCACTTCGCTTCTTCTCTGCGACGGCATGCAGAATCAGAGTGGAGGGCGTCTGGAATCTGTAAATATATGCACTAACATCAACGACGTGAGCAGGGATGAAAGCGTGCGGTTACAACAAGCTATGGGCCTTACAGCTTTGGAGATCTGATTGGGAGGCTCTCGCGAAGCGCTGGAAAGCTGGTGAGATGATAGACTAGGGTATGTCGGTGTTCGCCGCCAAGAAAGTACGAAGTAGTAACACTAAAGTTGTTCATAAAGTTTCTCCTTGGCCGCGGGTACCTGGTGGAGGGCCCACAACAAGGCTGACACGCCAGCCAGGGCCGTTCATTCCGTTGCTTACTTGGAGTTCTCTAAGCTGATTGACCATGTTCCTTGACACTAGCACCCCAGTTCTGTAAGGCTCAGCTGGCAGGGATTCCGGCGCCCGCATGACTGGGATTATTTTGTAACCCATGAACGTGGTGACTTGCTTTCGGGTCCTGCTGTGTAGCCGAACCTTGAAGACCCTGAAAAGAGTGATTAATAGACGCTAGCAATGGTTCGACTGACGAAACTCAAGTTTGATTAGGAATGTCGAATGCAAGAGCATTGAAGATTGCAAGTCTAGCTACGGTGCTATGAGTAAGGCGAGATCAATGGCGAGTCTTGGCGCGACAGAGGCCGGCATTTCGCAATGCTTGTCATACCATGAAAGCGTCGTGCTGTCCGGGTGAGATCGGCTGCGAGGCCATGCAGGTGGTTGTGGAGTTGGTGACGTCTAAAAAAGGACGGAGGAGTTGCACTCGCGCTAATCGTGCACGGGCTGTTCCCGCCCTCAATTGGAACAGGGTTCCGAGGAGAGGAGCCACTAGGTCGCATTCACCATGCTTGCTCCACCCGCAGACCTTTGACCTTACCAGACTCTGACTACGCAGAGACGGCAGCTATCTGGATGAGATGCACTTGCAGGCGGGCGGTACTGCCTATGAGCTGACCGTGGGTCACATCGGCGAATACCCATCCGCACTGCGCCCGCAGCGGCTCATGTATCGATTCCACCTGATCGCTAGGCAAGACACTTGCGGATGACTGTTTGCAGTTCACAGACCGTCTGAACAAGATTCTGCTCGGTCAAGATTCGTATCCAACACGCGGGTCATAAAACAAGGCAGTGGAGACATTCTCTAGCTTGTCCACTTGGTAAGGTACAAAAGATGACACTGCCCGCGCTCACTGAACCGAGTACAAACTGTCGATCTTCAATCACTCTTTGACTATCCAGCTCGCCATGTCTTTCTCTCGCCTTTATTTCCTGACAGCCTTTGCTGCTCTGCTCTCACTGGCCAAGTCAGACAACGACGATGGCACAGTATTCGACCCCGATTCCATCTGCTACTCTTACGGAGTTGACTTTGTAGATGAGGGCCACTACTTCATCAATTCTCAGTCTACTGAGCAATTCTCTGCTGTCAGCACGTTCCAGGGGTGCAATACGGGCGAAGCAGATATCCTGCTGGTCGACCCCAACAATACCGAGTATCTTTGTGATGACATTCCCACAACGCCAGACAACACGAAGCAGCTGTCCACATGCCCAATCCAAAAGAGCCAGATGTCTTCAGGCCACTGGATCTTGCTGATTCTGGGTAACAATGGTGAATATCCAGCTCAACCTTTCGCATGGCAGCGTGGTATGTATCGTCCGTCCAACCCAACCGCCTTCCAAGCTAATAATATCAGATCTTTACCTTACCATCGGTACACAAGTAACGAGCACATACACGCCAACAATTACCGCTACATTCTCCGTCATCTCAATCATCACAAAGACACAGACCACAACGTCTATACTCGTGACTCAGGTCGGCCCCTTCACAACCTCCACCATCCCCAGCGCCACAGCCAAGAAAACCAAGACGATCACACCCAAAGTTGTCACGACCACCTCCACAAAGACTTTAACCAAGACGTCATTGACAGCGACTCGAGTGTTCAGTACTACCACCCAGACAGCGACAGCGACTTGCAAATTGCCTGGCCAACCGCTACCCGATAAGCCATGTCGCTACACCCCAACTCGTCTTCACCCTGCTGCCTTGGCTACACCCACCACAATCTCCAAGCAGCGCTACATGCGCCGTACCGACCGACCTGTCGATTATGAATGGGCACGCGCCCGCATTGAGGCAGCCAAGCAGAGGCGCAATGAGAAGGCAAGAGGTCTTCAGCGCCGTGCCCCCGATTCCGCGACCACAACCATCACAGCCGCGACTCCTATCACTATGACCACTACTGTTACCGCTGAGGCGACCACTACTATCGAAACTGTTCTTATCACTTCGACCAGCACGTCTGAGCTACCACCTGCCACTGTTTACTTTGGAGTGTATACGTCTACAACCACCTTGCCGACACCTACACAGACCTATCTCAGGCTCGGCTGGGCTACTACTACGAGTACAATCACATGGGGAGCCACGTTCACGCGGTACACGACCGTCACTCCATCAGCTTCAGCCTCTGCTTGCAAGCAGGCTGGTGGCCACTTCTGAGCGGACATTCCTTCATTGATTGCTTCCTGACTTAGCGTTTGTTCTCTCGATCTATACCACAGGATTGCTTCTCATAGACACGTAGCACGTATTTACAACTAATTCCAACAACTCATCAGCTCCGCATCTGTATCCCAACTGTGCATCTGTCAAAATGTCACAAATATTTGAGCTCTATCGCGGTGTCATGGTGGTTCCGTTGCTCTGACATCAATACACCAAATCGCATGCACAAGGATGGCTTCATGTACATACGTCTGCTATGCAGAGACAGCGCTGTGGCGCAGGGCTCCGCAGGCTGCATGCGTCCGGCCTGACCCCTGCCGATACCCCTGTCGATATCCCTGTCGATACCCATGTTATGCTTAGTCTCACTCGCTTACTTAGCCGCAGCGAGCGGGGAAGCTCGCTGTTTAGATAGGATACGTTCTCTAGGCCACCGCGGCAGGAAAGAACACGAGGCTTCTGTTACACAGTTGGTAGCGTGGCGCTCCGCTGCAGGATCGCGGGACGAGGACGATAACTCAATCAAGCCGGCGCGAATTTGATTGCTACAGGGTATGGGTCTCCTCAATCGATGTCCGATGCTTCAGCTAGCGCTAGTACAACAGCAACGACGTCGAGATCAACGTATCCCCAACGGAGGCCGTGCCGCTGTGAGCACCCCCGTTGTTCAGGTCCACCTCCTGGATGACAGGTACTGTGGTGCTCGGAAGAATTACGAGCGGCGTCAGGGACGATTACATCGCCTGGCACAGTCAGCGCGGTACTTCTTGCCTTTCGGTGTGGATAATGAGATTGACTGAACTAGGACAGAATTGATTTCCCGCATCCTGAACCCAACAATCCATAGTCTGTATGTGTCTGAATCCATACATATTTCACGTGGAAAACTCCAGGCTTTCGCTACCGACTTCTAGAAGTTCGGACGCATCCTTGTCTTTGCACAGTGCTTACCGCACCCCCTTCACGTCTGCTTATTATCCGCTAAAGCCTAAGGCATGCAATCACCTGTCAAGGCAGGATGCATCATCAGTACATCCAGTAAGGCTACAGTCAGGCCTCGAAGGCGCAGTGGGAAACCCAGTTTTGTTGTTCGCGTTTGTGGATTTTATCGGATGCGGAGCGTTTACCCGACAACATCAACACGAGGGGTCAACTCAAGCTTTCTCATCTTTCCCATCACTGGTCGTCAACGCTATGGTATTCGTGCAAGCGCTACGAGGCTGACCATGTGACGATGCTTCGAAGTCACTGCGAGCTACTCCGAACTGTAGTTCTTTGCTGCTGCCGCACGGCGCGCTCACCGACACCGCACAATATTGAACGCGTACGCTCGATATACTCGCAGAGCGTTTTGGGAAGTCGCATACGTTTCCCACCAACAGCATGCAGACGTCGGGAGATAGCTGCTTTGCACAGCGACAGCCTTGTCCGCTTATCGCAGTCTCGCAGCATCGCGCAGCATTTTGCGAAGCTGACTTCTGGCGCATACCACGTCAGCGGACGGTTTGCAGCGTCCAGGCCCACGATGGTTCGGTCTTCCAGCAAATAGGATTAGGCGAACATCCTGCCCTGCAACACACAGCACCACTAAGTGTAAATTATCTTAACCCTGCCAAGTATCCACCACAGGTCGTCGGTTGAGAAGGCGGCCTTGCCAACAACTCCGCACGAACGAGGACAATGTAAACGATTTACGAAGTACAGCCCACTCATCAGCAGCATGTGAGCCTTGGCATCGTACGTCACTGAGTCGTCACGGGAAGTGATTCAACAATGCTTGAGCTATTGATAGTTGGCCTTGCTACCAGCATAAGCGATCGCCTGTGGAGCCAAGGTTGCCCCAAAAGGCTTCAGTGGATTAACTTTACCAACAACATGGGGAAAACTCCAAATGACATGCAACCAGCTTCAGCTAACGTACAAGTCTGACGGTGAGACTGCAAGGGTCGTCTAGCACAGTGCATACATCGGTTTCCTGGTCAGGACGGCCCCTGTCAGACGGCACTTGACAAGGCGTATACAGCAGTAGCAGCGAAGTGCTCGCCCTCATGCACACGCGACAGCTGTCTCCACCATTGCCTTGCCTCTGTTCCGGACGCAGTGATCAATCGGGATATGTCCACCCCCAGCCTCATTGGTCAGGCGGACTGTAGAGAGCTAAATCAAAGTACCACTCCACAAAAAGCAAACAATGACACTGAGTGCTCAGCCTCGTGCCCACCACCTCACCGGCTGCCAATATATTGGATCAGAATCCTACGTGAATTCGGTACCGCGATCAGACCGATACCCGGGCTCGCGGAAGCCCACAGTTGGATCTTCTCCACGTACCGGTAAAGCATGGTGGTGACAGCGAGGAGGCGCTCGAAGTCGACATGTCAGTGTCGTGTGCAAATATGTCGTGGTAGCTTTGCGCCGAATATTTGGAGCCGCCGGCAGACAACTGTCATAGTATGCAGGACGCCGCCAAACTTACACCAGAAATCAGGCCGGTCTAGCTAGCACCAACGTTACGTAAGATGAGGTACAGATATGGATAGATCATTCTAGCGCTCTTGACAACAGAGTGCGGATATCTGATCACAGACCACGTAATCTGATTGTATCCCAGGAACATCATCTACGCGCGCACCAAGCCGATCCTGACACAGGACCGAGGTACATATCAATTTCTCAGGTCACTACCAGTGCCTCTCACCGACACTATGACTGATCGCACATGGCGCGCGTAGCACCCAAGGGTAGTTCTCAAGCCGCCAGCTCATAAGGACGATCCCAAGCCCCCAGCCTATTCCAGAGGCTTTCGAGCAGCTCAGCTTTATTCGTTCGTGAAGTCTCAGGGGCCCGAAGACCATTTGCACTGCTTTCTTCCACCGTCTAGTTAGACTTCAGATGTATATAAAACCAAACTCTTGCAGCGTACCTGTAACTAATCAAAGGGAACTGGTTTACCTTGGATCATTCCTGGTCTAAAGCCTTAACTGAGAGCATTGCTACTCGGGGTAGAGCTAGTACCTTATAAAACCTAATTGTAGCGCGTCCCTAGTATGTACCCCTTGGGCGGTTGAGGGAACTGGGAGAAGCCCGGCTTCTACATGATGTTAATCAATTCATTCACTTATTCATTCATCTATTCATTCGAGCGCCTCAACAAGTCCAACGCCACCACACCCGTACAACGCATGTCCCCTCTCGTCTGTTATCTCTTCCACATCCTACTGCAGTACTCCTAATCTCGAGCGCCTTGCCAGACAAGCGCAGAGCCTCGGCATTCTCCTTCAGGAAGTGGCGGATGCCGATTTAAGCATTTGCCAGATAGCATGAGCAGGACATCACCTCCAGCTGCCCTAGTGCGCCTGTTGTGTCGAAGCACGTAAATGTGAAGAAAACTCTTACTAACGATCATTCCCTGGAGGCCTCCAGCCATGTTTTCAACACACCGGTGCATTCCCGCCATTGGTAGGGTGAACCTCGAGTCTCATCGCAACGAGGCTACGGTGAACGTAAAGGCAACCAGGACAGTCGCGGGGCCACCCCAACCTCGCACCCAAGGACTCTGCTGGACTCTCAAACGCACCGCCACTCGACAACGCACCGCGCGCCACCATGAACACAACCGACCAAGCCAACCTCTCAGCGAGCCTCGCGCTGATAACGCGCCTCGAAAGCCTCATCCTGTGTAAGTCTCCCTTCGCTCACCGGCCCAGCTAACGCAGCCCAGCCCAAGCAGCGACGACCTACGGCCCCGCGGACGGGCACGCGTACAGCGTCGCCATCTCCAAGATGCGGGCTCAGACGGGCGACGAGTGCGAGGCGCGCCTCGTTGTGTACGCGGGCGGCACGGGCAGCGAGTGGCGCGTGCTGCTGGCGAATCCGAGGCTGTGCGAGAGTCCTGTCGACGCTGTGGCGGATTTGCTGGAGAGGGTGTATGAGGAAGCGGGGAAGGCGGTGGGAGGGGCTGTGGAAGGCGCGCGGTACGGGTCCCGGGTGCAGTGTTGAGGGAGGGTGGTGGCGGGTGGATGAGCTCAGTACGTAGATAGCCCGAGCACGTCGAGATAGCCTCGCTCGGAAAACCTGGGTCGCGTGCCGCCACCTCTTTTGATGCCTCGTTCGAGTGCGCCGTCGTCCACTGACAGCGTTCCGCGCGCAGCCACCGCCAGACTACCAGATGCATGCACCAGCGTACTCACGACGGGCATCGTTTCCCCACCGACGTCGACGACCTCATCCGCCTCGACAGCGCCCTCCTTCGCATACGGATCCCGCCACACCCTGACCTTCCCATCCACCCCGCCGGCCCAGACCTCATGCGCAACGCCCTCGATGTCATAAGGACTGGGCCCCGCGTTCCAGACATCGAACCCGAGCTTCTGCTTGGTGTGCGCGCGCCTGCCCGCGCAGTACCCCAGCGCCATGCTGAAGCGCCTCGCGTCGTAGATGAGCAGGACGTCGCTGTCGCGCTCGGCGACGTACAAGTAGCGACCGCAGGGGCTCCATTTGAGGCTGCTCACGCCGGCGCCCACGAGGGGTGACGCAGCCTCGCTGGGCAGGGTGCGGCCATTCACGGTCCCGGGGAGCGAGAAGTGCGTCACCTCTGCGCCGCTGAGGGCGTCGTACAGACCGACGCAGCGCGTGCGCGAGCCTGCGGCCACGAGGCCTTCGGCGGATGCGGCTGTGGGCGGCGAGACGGCGAGGGCGCAAATGTGCCCTTTGAAGCCGCGGCCGCCGCCTTTGAGCTTGGTGCGCGCCGAGGGGATGGTGGGGATGCTGCTCACGGGGTCCGAGGTATGGGACAGGTCGAAGATGGAGATGCTGTTGTGCGAGCCGGCGAAGAAGTGGGTGCCTGAGTTGGAGTAGGCGAGGCTGAGCGGCGCGGTGACGGCTTCGGTCAGGTGATTGATGAGCTTGTAGGATGCGAGCGGGGTGTGGATGGAGACGGGCGAGGCGGGGACTGGAGGGGTGGCGGTTGGGTTGTTAATGTCCCAGAGCGCGTTATGGAGCGTCGTGTATCGGTCTCGCCGACTGACGAGGACGTGCGTGCTGTTGGAGTCTTGCAGGTTGAACAGCGGGTTGGCAGCGAATGCCCAGATGGGGTCTGCGGATCTGAACTGCGCGTACACTTTGAGGGGCTGTGTGGCAGTCGCCTCGAGCACGTCGGTGCTGATGGGGTAGACGGAGAATGCGCGGTCGTAGTCCGAGGTGAAGATGCATGTACCGTCTGGCGACAGCTGCGCTTCTTGTATGCAGCTTGTGTTTCGCTCGTCAACCGTGATAGAGCCGCTCTCTCTGCTGTCATTCAAGCTGCCTCCTCCTTCTTGCTTCTCTGCAGCATTGCCATTTCCATTGCCATTTTCATTTCCATCTCCATCTCCATTTCCATTTCCATTTCCATTTCCATTTCCATTGCCATTTCCATTGCCATTTTCATTTCCATCACCATCTCCATCTCCATCTCCATCTCCATCTCCATCTCCATTTCCATCTCCATCTCCATCTCCATCTTCATCTCCAGTTCGAGATGCGGCATCGTCTACGCCGTTTCGATCCGTCTCCTGCCGTGCCTCTGCCACTCCCGTGCTCGCCAGACAACGCACCGTCAGTCCAGACGCACTCATCATCCACCAGCGCGCAATCTGTCCATCTGCCTTTGCGCTCCGTCTCTCTCGAGTCTCGAAAGTCGTGTCGAGTTCCAAGCCGCGTTGAGGCTCAAGTCGCGTGCCAGCTGCTGGTTAACGCACAGACTCGTCTCGCCAAAAGTTCGCAAGTGACGTGAGCGCGCGCCGGAGCTCAAGCACGACGTCCACTCGGCACGATGAGCGTCCCGAAGCCCGCGCGCAGCCAGCCATGGGTTGAGTCGCCGTACGCGGTGTCGCTGTTGGTACGTGGTTTCACCCCTTTATCCTGTCTCTGCACACGTTCCCTGCTGCCGACTCAATTGGAGCATCTCACGCTGTCACGTCCGCTCCGAGGTCGCACGCGACAGCTTCACAGCTCTCCTCCACCCGCGCACAACGCCCACCACTCCCACCACTCCCCCACTCCCACCACTCCCCCACTCCCACCACTCCCACCACTCCCACCACTACCTCCCGCAATGTAAACTGACGTCCCCAGGCAGGTGGCCTCGCCGGCACCACAGTCGACATGACGCTCTTCCCCCTCGACACTTTGAAAACGCGGCTACAATCCTCATCCGGCTTCGTCGCCTCGGGGGGCTTCAGCGGGATGTACAAAGGCGTCGGCTCCGCATTCTGGGGCTCAGCACCAGGCGCAGCGCTCTTCTTCATAACGTACGACGGCATCAAGCGGGCCCTCTCCGCGCGCACAGCCACAGGGACCGAGACCGCAGGCGCAGCCGCGCACATGCTGGCCGCGAGCGTGGCCGAGGTGGCCGCCTGCGCGGTGCGGGTGCCGACCGAAGTCGTCAAGCAGCGCGCGCAGGCGGGCCAGCACCCGTCGTCGCTGGCGGCGCTGACGCACATTCTGCGCCAGCGATCCGCGCGCGGGCTGCCGCACGTGTGGCGCGAGCTGTACCGCGGGTGGAGCATCACGATTGCGCGCGAGATACCCTTCACGGTGATCCAGTTCCCGCTGTGGGAGGCGCTGAAGGCGCGGCGGCGGGCGCAGACGGGGCGGACGCACGTCAGCGGCTGGGAGGGTGGGGTGCTGGGCAGCGCGGCGGGGGCTGTGGCTGCTGCGTTTACGACGCCGCTCGATGTGCTGAAGACGCGGATGATGCTGGCCCGCGAGAAGCAGCCCATGTTCAGCATGCTGAGCCAGATACTGAGGGAGAGCGGGCCGCGCGCCTTCTTCGCGGGAATAGGGCCCAGGGTTGGCTGGATCAGCGTAGGCGGTGCGATATTCCTGGGGAGCTACCAGTGGGCGAGCAATCTGCTGGGAGGGGAGGGGGAGGCGTAGATGTATGTGGTACCAGAAGGAGAGTAGCATGGGAGATTATGTTGTAACGATAGACGGCTGTCGATGAGATATGACTACATACAAGAAACCACCTCCTAAGACTATGTACAGTCCAAGCCAGCCAAGGAACGTCGAGAAAAGATATCCAACCTCCACCCAACTCCCGCCAGCGCTCCGTGTCCAAGACAACTCCTTCAATCCCTTCAATCCCTTCAATCCCTTCAATCCCGTCAACCCCTTCAATCCCTTCAATCCCTCCAGTCCCTTCAATTCCTTCAATCCCTTTAATCCCTCCAACCCCTTCAATCCCTCCAATCCCTCCAATCCCTCCAATCCCTCCAATCCCTTCAGGGCCCAACCCCAGCACTCCTGTTCTCGCCCTGACTCGAGTGCTGGCTCCCGCCCGCCTCGCTGCTCGCCTTGCCCTCGCTCGCCGCGCTGCTGCCCAGCCCCGAGCTCAGCCCGCCCTGCTGCACCGCGAACGGCAAGCCCGGGTGCTGCGGGAGCGGCTTGAGCTCCTTCTTCCCGTTGGCCTTGTAGTGCAGCACCACGTCGCCGCCGCCGCGCCACACGTGCGCGCGCATGGACGCGAGCGTCATGCGCGGGTCGATGAGCTGGGGCGTGTTAGTGTGCGGCCGTGACGGCGAGGAACAAGAATAACAAGACGTACCTGGCCGTTGCAGTAGAGCTCGAGGTACTCGTGTGGCCGCAGATCTGTGCCGTCGGCTTCTGCCTGCTCTTGCTCTTCCTTGGTCGGGGGCGGCTCGATGCGCTCGGCTACGTACCCGAGGATCTTGCGGGCGCGGAGCATGCGGTTGGCGTTGAGGCGATTGTTGCTGGCGGCTGTCAGTTTCTGCAGATGGAAGGGAGCACTGTAGTGTCGAGACGCCTGCAGACAGAAGGGAGCACTGTAGTGTCGAGACGCCTGCAGGCAGAAGGGAGCACTGTAGTGTCGAGACGCCTGCAGGCAGAAGGGAGCACTGTAGTGTCGAGACGCCTGCAGGCAGAAGGGAGCACTGTAGTGTCGAGACGCCTGCAGGCAGAAGGGAGCACTGTAGTGTCGAGACGCCTGCAGACGGAAGGGAGCACTGTAGTGTCGAGACGCCTGCAGATGGAAGGGGGACTGACCCGTCTGTCGAGATGGCAGGTAGCGAGTTCTGGTATGGTTCCAGGACGAATGAAACCTTGACGACATCCTTGGCTGGCAATTGGTTCTGTAACGACGAGTCAGCGGAGCCCTCGGCAGACACGAAGCATGGTACGTACGCGCAGCAGCACCTCACCGAGCCACATGGGCGCGGCCTTTTCGATGAGGTCAGCCTGAAGACCCAACGTGCCGACCTTGCCCTCGAACAGATCCGCCACGCCACCCGACCCAGGGCGGTCCTCCTGGATGAGGATAGTAGTCATAGCTGGAGGCTTCAACACTGGTGTATCGTTGGGCAGGCTAGGCGCAATCGCCGAGACCAGGTCTGTGACGCCCGTGTTCAGCGTCTCCTCGTATCCGTGTCGTATCCGCTCAATCGAGCCAAAGAAGTTGTCTTCAAACGTCTTCTCGTTGGTCTTGTTCGACTGCGAGTCGCTGTCGTCCGTCTTCTCCTTGTCATCGACCACGGGCTTGTGCACCTCGGCGGCAATGGGCGTGCCTGTCGCGAATATGTTCTTGCTGAAGCCCATTTTGAACTTTTTGCCAAACATGCCCTTGCCCTTTTTGGATGGCGTGTCTTCCGCGGTCGGTGATGAGACGGTTTCCTCTTTGGGCTCGGTCGCACCTTCCGCGGGCTTGTCGTTGGCGGGGCCGCTCGAGGAAGCTGCGCCAAAGTAGTCTTGGCCGTCCTGGGTCGAGCTTCGCTGCGACTTGGTAGGCTCGAGCGGGTTGCCGTCCTCGTTGGTCGGCGTCAGGTACGCATTGCCGTGCGCCCCTCGTCCAGCGCTGGCGGGCGGTATTGTGGGAGTGGCAAGGCCAATGCCCATGCCGGGTGTGTGTGGGAAGTGGAACCCGTTCCCCCTGAGGGTGGAGCCAGACGCAGGCCCTGACGGATTCCAGCCGTTGAGAGTGGCGTTGGGCAGCTCAATGTTGGTTGGCCTGGATACAGCCTCTTGCTGCTTCTCCTGCAGGCGCTTGGCCCGGTACATCTCGTCGCGCTTGATTTCTTCGTCGATGAAATGGGAGAAGAGATATCGCAGGACCCACTTGCCCAGATTGATCCGGTGGTCTTCGCGGAAGTCAATCTGCTCTTCCAGCTGCAGCTCGTCGGCGTACATCTCGGCGTCGAAGCAGTGGTTTTCCTCGAGGACGCAGGTCAAGGTTCCTATTCTTGTGTCGACCGCACACCAATGCGCCACGCTCTCCCGAGTGTTCAACTCGGGCAGGACATCCTCCATGTGTCTCTTGCCAAACGACTTGATTGGGGCGCACTGGATCAGGTCCCACAGCATGCACTCTCCTGCCGTGTCCATGGTCAAGACCCTTCTGCGATCGTTGAGGAGATGGTGCTTCATGAGCCCGTTCTGTCCTTCGATGCAAAAGTCTGGCGCGTTTCGCACCGCCAGCGTGCCGTGGGCTTCTGCGGCGGTCTCGAGGGCCTCGGCTGGCTTTCGCGCGCTAGCGGGTGTGGATCCATCAGGGTCTTTGGTGAGCAGCTGCGGGTACGGCGCCGTGTTGGACATGCGCAGGATCGCTCGTCCGGGCATCTTCGCAGCGCCGCCGTTGGCGGGCGGGCTGGATGCAGGCGGCGAGGGATAGCGCGAGCGAGAGGTAGCCACGCTGTTCCTGTGCCACTTGTATGATTCTGGCAGCTCCACGTCGGCAGACGTGTCGACGTCCTTCCATCTGTTGATGCTGGAGCTCGACGTAGCCGTCCAGATGTAGTCGCCGGCGCTGACGACGCGGCCCACGCCCTCGTGCTCCTGGCAGACGGCCACGGAAAGCCCCTCGTCCCACTCGGCGCACTTTCTCACGTCCGTCTTGGCCACGGTGCCGGAGCGGTCGGACGAGTAGAAGACGGCGAGGGACGGGTCCTCGGAGAACAGCGACCACACGCTGTCGTTGTGCATGGTGAGCGTGTGCATGCAGCGGCCGGCGCTCATGGACCACACCTTGACCGTCTGGTCCGACGAGGCGGTCAGAATGGTCTCGCCGTCGCGGGCTACGAGGATGTCGCGCACATTGTCCGTGTGGCCGACAAACTTGGTGATGCGCTTGCCTGTGCGCGAGTCCCACACGCGCACGACGCTCTCGGGCCCGCCGCTGGCAATCATGGTGGGGGTGGCGGCCAGCGCGTAGACGGAACCCTTGGCCGACGCGTTGTCGTCCTCGCCGACATGGATCTCGAGGGTGCGCCCGCCGCCATTGAGGTCCCACAGGCTGATCTTGCGGTCGAGCCCGCCAGACGCGACCCAGTTCTCGGCCGGGCCCGGCGACGCCACGCGCTTCACGTAGTCCGTGTGCAGGCCGATGGTCGCGGGCGGGACGGCGTCGTGCGCGGCCGGGCGCCAGACCTTGACGGTAATATCCGACGACGCCGAGACGAGCGCGGCGCTGTGGTGGGCGAGGACGACGTCGTTGATCCAGTGCGTGTGAGCCTGCACCTGCGAACGGAAGCGCGTCGGCGGGGGCGCGTAGTCGGCGGCATGGCGGTCGGCGAAGGGGTCGTGCTCATCGTCGACGGCCTTGGTCAGGTCGAGCCCGAGGTCCCAGGCGCAGATGACGCCGTCGCGGCCGCCCGAGTAGCTGGGGCACGGGGTCAGCGGGGAGCGCGCAGGCACGACGGGCCGGATGGCGACCTACAGCGTCGAGCTCTGCGGGTCGACGGCGAGACCATTGACTCCGAGTCGGTGGCCGCCCGCCGAGTTGGCCAGCGGGAGCACGTAGCTGATGCGCTTCCGCGCGCTGCGTGCCATGCCCGGGGCTGGCAGTGGACAGCGGGAGACGGGTCTGGAGGCAGTCGGGGGGCAGTCTGGAGGCAGTCTGGAGGCAGTCTGGAGGCAATCTGGAGGCAATCTGGAGGCAGTCTGGAGGCAGTCTGGAGGCAACCTGGAGGCAGTCTGGGGGCAGTCTGGGGGCAGTCTGGGGACAGTCGCCGTTGAGATCGAGGGCCACTCCCTCGTCCGCAAGCACCTCCGCCGCCCGCTAACCGCAGTGGCAGGGGAACACGGCCTCGCTAAGAGATGGATGACATGGCGTGGGGACGCAGTAACGCACGCAGATCGTCAACGGCCGCTTGTCGTCGCTGCTGCTCCGTGTCATGCACGCTACGTCACCGTGAGCGATGCACCCCGGCGACACAGAACATGTGGGTTGCAGATTGCTTCTTCGACTGGGCAGTGGACTCGCACTTTGCCCGCCTCTCTGGCTCGCTGGCGGGGGTCGCAGCACGCAGCCCGCGGTACGTAGCACGCAGCCCGCAGCCCTCGAACGCGCCGGGTGCGCCAACATGGGGCCTAACCCGCTCATCTGGTTAGACCCTGCATCCGGCCTGAACGATGCGGCCGAGGTGGCTCCCGCTGAGACGCCTGCGCCAGATTGCAACTCAAGACTCGAATGCACGTTGAACAGAGACCAAATGGTTCCAAAGAGATGTCAATCGCACCGTGGAAACATGTCGTGAGATTTAAAAAAATAAAAAAATAAAAAAATAAAATAAAAATAAAAAAAGGCTCAAAGCCGGGTATCATGACGGTCTCGAAGCCGGGTATCATGACGGTCTCAAAGTTCCGTGCCAGGCTACCTCTTCCCTTCCAATCCCTTCAACACCATGTCGTGTTCCTGAAAGCGTAAAGATGGTAAGAACCCCCGTCTTCCCACACCGCCTCACACGCTCTCTCTTGGCTGCACAGGCCGACTCGTCACGACATCGATATGCTCAAAGCTCTCCCTCGGACTGGGAAACTCGTCGCCCACATCCCCGCTCTTGACCCTGCCAAGCTCCTTCTGCCTCAACTCCCAGCTCCCCACCCTCTCATGCCGCGCTCTAGGAGCCGCGGTATTCGTCGCGCCAAAGCCCGCGATGCCTGCGGGCAGCGCACCGCCCTTGGCCAAGTGCGCAACATCCGCATCAGACGCGAGCTTATCGCTGCCCTTGAAGCCGCCCAGCGCGGACGGCGAGCGGCGCTGCACACGGTGGACTCGCACACCGCCGACCAGCACCGCCAGCGCGAGCAGCAAGCACGCAGCAGCGAGCGTGACGGCTGCGCCAACGACCCCCGCAACGGCTGGCGACAGCCCGCGACGCTTGCCGCTGGATGACGACGTGGGGTTTACGGCAACAATCACTTGGCTGTCGACGCCCGTGCAGAACAGACTCGGCGCGTTGCAGCTCGAACACCACTCGGTGATGGTGTTCATCGCGATCCTGCCAAACAGCATATTGAAGGTGCGCCACGTCATGTCCGTGTGGCTGGGTCCGTTGTTGAACATGGGGAACGCAAGCAGCTGGCCGTTGAACATGGAGAACGCAAGCAGCCGGCCGTTGAAGTCCGTGGTGCCGTTGTGGTAGTAGAAGCGCACCCACAGGTCGTCCTCGGATGCGGGGAACGAGTCGGCCCCCGTGGAGAAGAGCTCAAAGATGATGGCTGAGGCGTAGGGCGGGATGGCCTGGAAGGTCTTGTCGCGCGCGTCCATGCGCATCAGGCTGATGAGGTTGATCATGGGGTCTGGTTCGCCGAAGAGGAGCGTGATGGGGTGCGAGGCGCCGACGGTGGACGTGCTGTGGTTCTTGCGGTCGGTGATGAGGGTTTGGAACTGGTGTAAGATTTCCGCGGCAAGGGTTTTGCCGCCAGTGGCTTGGTTGTCCGAGTCGCTGCTCGAGGCCCCGGTGTTGCCCCAGAAATTCCAGGCGTATTCGTCGGCGAGATGGCGCGTCGCGTTGTAGACGCCGCTGTACACTGGGCTGCCGGTGAGCCTCTCGTAGATGGTACGGTTGTGCGTGTACTGGTACTCGAGGTAGTCCCAGATCTCCAGAGCATGGTCGTAGTCCCTAGAAGCTGTCAGACGGGCGGGCTCGAGACAGACTCGAAGCTCCACCTACCTCTGGTCATCCAGCAAATTGCCCTGGAACCAGCTGGTCTGCAGCAGGCTATACGTCTCTTTGCTAGCAGCCTTTGTGTTCTTGAAGCTGTCCGACACAATGTACTGCGAAGACTCCAGCCTCGCCTCCGGGCAGTTTGAGTTTCCATCAATGTAGATGGAGTTGTACGCAAACTCGCTGAACGACTGGACAGTCGCGTACTGGTATCCATTCAACGGCGCCTGCACAACCCTTCCGTCCGCCAGCAAGCCCGTCGCATCCCCGAATCCAGTCGAATTGCCCGCCGCGTTGGGGGGGTACATGCCTTGCATAAAGGCCTGCGCCGAAGACACGAGATACTGCTTGTCCAACGTCTGAACAGAGATCTGGTCGTTGTTCAACATGTCGACCGACATGTTTGCAATGTTCTGGACACCGAGCCCTGCATTCTCGCCGCCATCGATCCACCTAGCCCTCAGATTCTGGCCCAGTTGGTACATCTGCTGCGCACCCAGCGCGGTCAGAACCTGGCTGTCGCCGGTGAGAAGCGGCGTGCGCTCTCCAGACCGAATGAAAGCGAACGCGCCGTGGGGGTGGTAAGCGTCGTCATCCTGGGCATTCGCAGTCCAAGCCGAGGACGCCAGGAGCATTAGCGAGAGCGCAAACATGGCGGATAGGCTGTGAAGGAAGAATCTGAAGAGCTTCGAAGCGCAACAGCAAGCTGAGGGGAATCCAGCACAAGGCTGAGAGCCAGGAGCGCGACGGCATGCGCCTACTTATCCATTCGGTATCCCACGAGCTCGCATGCAGCCATCTAGGCTTGCGGCTAGGAAGCTGACTGCCAGCACAAAGAGCACGCCTCGCGAGCTTGGCCCCATTCCGTATAATCTCATCGGCCTTGCAGCGCTAAGGGCTCACGCCCCCAAAGCCGTGTATGTTCTTGAAAGCGCACTCGTGAGGCCAGAAACGTGTTGTTGTCAGCCTGACTCGCTCATCTCCGAGTTACGTGCACGCTTTGCGCCCCATGCGGTTGTACAGAGCTTCACAAGCCCCCAGACCTCCAGGACGGCGGAGCAGCTCTCCGGCTGCAGCCCACCGTATCACGGGTTAGCCAGAGTTCACGCCATCCATCATCTTGCATGCAACATTGCGTCGCCAAAGCTTGAGCATCTGCGTCTTGGGTCGCACAACCTAGCCCTCTGTCTACGTCCAACAGCACAGTCGGCGCACAGCGCGCACAGCGGTGTCTTGATTTCGCCTTGCAGAGTTCCCCCGCGAATCGCGTTGTCGGGCTAGTCGTTATCCGCAAGCGAACGCTTCCATGTGCGTGGTTGGAGAACGGGAGCTGAACATCGCGCTCCGCAAATAGAAAGTCTGCATTCCTCACCCGCGCACGGCAGCTGCGTGCAACGCACATGGCATGCCTTCGCCCCCGTTGCGTCCCCTGCAGCACACAAATATCTCCAGACCATCTTCTCATCCGTGTTGAAGCATGGAATGCGGGGGGCTGTCGTCGGTCCTGCGACCGCCTCCAGTGCGAACACACAGCTAGCTTGTTGCGCTCTAGCTAATTAGCTTACCGGCACCTACACTGACAGCAGTGACTCCGATCAGCATACTCATCGGGCGCATTCCCGTCATCCGTCAAGTCATGACGTTCCGTGGCACAATTCGATAGCGCCTCATTAAAACATGCCAGGCACGCGAAGCAACGTGCAGTGTAACCCTTCCTGCGCCGGTGTACCTGCGTCTGAACGCGCACGACTTCGTTCAGGTGGTCTTGTGGAAGCCGAGTGCTGGGGCATGTCAAAAGTAAACTGATATAGCACAGCGATCGCACAAGCAGGTTGCACTCGAAATTGTGGCGAGAGATGGATTTCCTTCTATCTCTGCTGAGCATACACCACTTTACTTCTTGCTCGCCTTGATGGTGAAGTTGGAGACATCGACCTTGCTGCCATCGTCTTGGAGCTTGACTGGCGTTCCGTTTCCCGACACCGTGTACGTCTTCCCGTTGCCCGTGACGGTGACTACTACGTTCTCTTGCGTTTGGGAGACGCTGGTCGCAAGAACAGGCTTACCCCCGTTGGAGGCCAGACTCGCGACGCCGACGTCTTTGCTGTCGGTTTTGATGTCAACATTGATTGTTGTGGGTTCACCGGGTGCGCCAGAGGTCCTGTCGTTATTGAAGGTGACTCGGACAGACATTGTGGAGTTGGATGGGTGTGTTTGGAGAGAAATGTTGGAGTTGTGTGATTGAGCCTTTGCTTTAGAAGACGAGGGACCTGTGCAGACTACGGACGTCTAAAGCCATACGTTCCTTGTGCTTAAGTATCTCACTTACATACTTCATCTCTCTCATGGCACATTGTCAGCTGAGACGCTGGTAGGGTTAACTGTACAGCTTACGGGTATTCGAACTTTCAACCCTACTAGTGTATGCATCCCCCGCCCTGATACCGTCATACCGAGATTCCGCTCGCAGTCTACAGCTCTGGCTTTCTTTCGACGACTACATCGGTGTAGACATGGCTGTATCTTGCGTGAAGACGGCTCCAAGGCGTTTTGTGGCAAGCTGATCTAAGCATGACAACTAGGATCGACAGTCGCACATCGTTACGAGCAAGCGAGCGTGCATGCTGTTCAGATTCAAGCATAGAGGACAACAAGATCATGCCTTGCTTGTTAAACGTTGCACTCTACCTGATGGCAAACTATGCAAAACACACGAGCTTGTGGTGGAAGTATGTTGCTTCTCTGCTGCTATGTTCGTGGTGAAAGCGTGCCTCAGCTGTCAGCTTGACTGAGCCTTAGCTAGCCACACGCCGAGGGCAAGCAAAGCCTGGTTGAAGTGATCTCCCGACGTACATGCAGTGTCATATCCGTGCGGGGTTGCGGTCATGGTTGCGATATGGTAGTGATGTATGCAGAAGTGGCTTGGTGGTGCCGAGGAAAGTTGACCAAAGAAGAAGGAACAGTCGGCGAAGCAGCACCAACACCAACACCAGCGAATGGCAGTCTCACTCAAGGCTTCTAGCTTTCCACGAGCTGCAATGTAAGCTCCATAAAGCCATCCGCTGCTGCGCGCAGTCTTTCGATGGTGCGTCCAGGAGCTGAGCAGTCTGCGGGGTTCCTTCCACACGTTCAGCTCCACCTGACCGACACCGTGTCACGATCTGAACGTGTGGATAGCAGCTAGAGGGCGATGCACTTGTATGTAGCAGTCATTGTTGTTTGGGATCGTTTGGACCGAAGCGCGACTGCCGGGATCCCGCACGCTGGTGAGCGTCCGCGCACGTTCGAAATGCTTCCTCGAGACCTATACGATTCAGCAGAGCATCGTGAATAGTTGACTCACTTTCAAGCGGAAGACAAACGTGGTTCGTACGTGATAGTTGTCATATGGCATTAAAATATTGTATCTCCGCCCACAGCTAGCGGGTGTTGCTACAATCCCCACAATTCTGTGTAAAGAATTTGTCTAGCACGCTCAGAACGCCTGTCCGGGTCAAACATCAAGTGACCAGAACTGCATGTAACCTTCCTTTTTCCGTTCCGTGAATCTACAAGCTAACCTCGACACGACCCTCAGCACCTGGTGCACCACCCTGCAGGGAGGGCAGGAGGTAGGTGATATCGTCCCAGGGATGCCTGTAGAGACCGGTCCGCAGCCTCTTCTGGTCGAGGAAGTGGGCAATCAGACCGATCGAGCGACCAAGCACGAACAGACCGTTGAGAACACCCATCTTCAGGTAGTCCTCAGCCTCCTCGGTGGTGAAAGATCCACTGTTGCGGACGAGATCAACGAAGCAGACAGCAATGCAGCCGTCGACATTGAGAATGAGGTTGTCCTTCTTTGATGTTGTGACGGACTCGACGGCGAGGGCGTAATCGAGCAGCTTTGTGCTGGGGAAGTTCTTCTTGACGTACTCTTTGACGAGCTCGACACGGAGATCGGGGTTGTTGCGGGACTTGATCCTGTGGCCGATACCGGGGACTGCGGGGAAATTAGAAATTGGAGCAAAGTCAAGGATGCGAATGCTTACTTAGCTTGTTCTCCTTCCTCATGGTATCGACAAAGTCACGGGGACTGAGACCCTTGTCGAAAGCCTTGCTGAACTCCTCAGCGGCGCCGTCAAGAGCACCACCGAATCGCGAACCAATGGTCAACAGACCAGAGACAAGCGCGGAGATGAGGTCCTTGCCAGCACGAGTGGTGATGATGGTGTTCATGGCACCAGACACGGCGGGACCGTGGTCGGCAGTCAACATGAGCACCATCTCGAGGAAACGACTGGCATAGTTGGGCAGGCGGCGGCGGAACCACAGGAGGGACATGACACCACCAATGCCAATCTCTTCCCTAAAGACGTCGGAAATGGGCATACCGGCGTACAGAAGCTCCTGACCACGGTCATCGGAGATGGTGGAGATGAAAGCAGCGGGCTTTCGGATGAGGCCAAGCTCCTGAGCCCACGAGTAGTCGATGGGGATCTTGGGAACAACGGGCTCGGGCTTAGGGTTGATTGTGCCGTCCTTGAGAAGCTTCTGGTAGACCTGGGCAAGAGTTCCGGGCATCTCCTCGAAAGTCTCAGGGACGTAGATACCAGCCTCGCGCATGGACTTGTTCTTGGTGGTAGCGGTCTCGAGCTGAGAGTTGGCGAAGGAACCAGCATGGCCGAACTGGACCTCAGTCTTCAGCATGCCGGCAACGGTACCGATGGCCCATGCAACGATGGGCTTGGTAATCTGACCAGACTTGACAGCGTCAATGACGCGGTACTCCTCAACACCACCGACCTCGCCGAGAATGACGATGATCTTGCAGTCGGGGTCGGCCTGGTAGCGCAGAGCGTGGTCGATGAAAGTGGTACCGGGGTACCTGTCACCACCAATGGCAACACCCTCGAGCACACCGTCTGTGGTGTTGGCAATGATGTTGTTCAGCTCGTTGGACATACCTCCAGATTTGGAGACGTAGGAAACAGAGCCAGGGCGGTAGAGCTTGGAGGCAACGATGTTGTCCATCATGCCACCAGTGTTACCGATCTTGAACGCACCGGGCTTGATTCCACCGACGGTAGCGGGACCAATGATGGTGACGCCCTTCTTCTGGGCAACGTGCAGAATCTCACGAGCACGGCGTTCGGGGACACCCTCAGCAATGATGGCGATCGACTTGATCTGCGGGAACTCGAGCAGCTCCATGGTGGACTGGTAGACGGAGCGCGACGAAGCGAAGTTGACGACGGTGTCGACGTCGCTGTGCTTGGCCATAGCCTTCTCGACCGACTGGTAGACGGGCAGCAGCGTCTCGCTGGTTCCCCAGTACCTGCAGAGCTCAGTTAGCACTCCAATTGCACGCTGCGGGGCACTGGCTGGGCACGCACATTTTGCTGACGAACTGGCCGCCGAATGTGTAGATGATACCGGCTACAGAGGGCTGCTTGCGCTTGCAGATGAAGTCGAAGTCGAGCATGCCCTGCACGGCACGGGGCTGCAGGCCGCTGTGGGGTGTTAGTCGCGCTCGCTGCCGGTGGACTGGCAATTGCAGGCAATTGCAGGTGGGCTGCTTACTAGACGAAGCATCGTGTCTTGGGGTGGAACAGCGTGTGCGAGGGCGGGGGAGTCATGGCACGGCTGGGAGCTTCGAAACGACGGATGTTGTCGTTGGCAGACAGGCCCTCGCTGGTCGAGGTGCCCGCCTGATTGGGGACAGAGCCGTTGGCGGAAGGCATCGTGGCCGGTCGTGTGTCAATTGAGGTGAGGGGGGAGAGGTCTAGTGAGTGGCAGGCGTCAGTGATTGTGACGGGGCCGGCGCAAAGCAATAACGGCGGTGGATGTGCAGTGCTGCGTCTGACGGGAGGGCGGTGGTGTGGACGCCGAAAAAATAGCTGCGCACAGCAACAATGGCAGAATGTGAGGAGTCTTGGGGGAGGGAGAGCAGAAGCCGGACGCACCTTATGGGCGAGTGCCAGGGCGCGGGCACAGCAGCAGAGGGAGGCTTGTGATGAAAGAGGAAGAGGTTGCGAAGCTGGGCGAGCTGGCGAGAATTCCCGAAGAAATGATGGGCCCTCCTCTGTTTCTTTTCGGCGGTGTTGAGGACCCTGCTCGACTCTTGCGTTGTTGGGGCTAAGGCCGGGCGCGGCGCTATCGGGCGGTGAGGAGCCGTGTACCTGTATGACCACCTTCGCGCTCGGCAGCGGGGGAGACATCAGCAGCGCAGAGACGCCAATTGGAGGGCAAGGCTCCCGGCAGCTGCTGTTGATATCGGCGTCCAAGCTGCTCTGCTGTAGCGGAGGGGCAGCTGCAGTGCGTTGAGGCTGCCCGCCTTGTCTCGCAGCCCTCAACGCGTCCGTCCATGCCGGCGGCCCCCTGGGAGGCGTTGCGCGCTATGTGGGCCCGCAGCTTAGCGTGCAGTTGCTGCGCTGCGACCCCGAGCGACGCTCAACGCAAAAAAACATCAGACCGCTGCCCCAATTAGTAGGCCCAACCCCTCAGCAGCTGTCTGACGCCCCAATTCCCCGTCGCCCGTCTGCATTCCTCGTCCTGCTCTTTGCTGTGCTGTGCATCTTCCCCCCAACACCCAAAACCACACAATATAGGTACGTCGCAGCACCCGGGGCGCCGCTCCTGCCTGCTCTGCGGTCCCCCTCCACTCCACACCACTCTCCCGATCCTCGCCCCTCACAAGCTCCTGCCGTAGCGCCGTCGTCGTCTCGGGATTATCGTCGGGTGTCCACACCGCGTGTTTCTGAATCTTCGCGCCTGCCGCTGCTCTTCATCTTCTGCCCACTGTCTCTTCTCTCCGCGAACTGCCTACTCACGCCCGCTGCAGTCTGACGCCGCACACTTGACACACCTGCAACATGTCTGCCAAATCCATCCTCGAGGCCGACGGCAAGGCCATCCTCAACTACCACCTCACCCGCGCCCCTGTCATCAAGCCCACTCCTCTGCCCGCCTCGTCGACACACAACCCTCCGCCCAAGCTCGCGTCGCTGTACTTTGCAGCCGACGCCGACATCAAGGGTGTGCTCGACCAGGCCGAGGTCACATACCCGTGGCTGCTGGCTCCCGGCGCCAAGTTCGTTGCAAAGCCAGATCAGCTGATCAAAAGGCGAGGCAAGAGCGGTCTGCTGGCCCTGAACAAGCCCTGGGCGGAGGCTCGCGACTGGATCGAGGCGAGGGCAGGAAAGGCACAGAAGGTCGAGACAGTCGACGGCGTCCTGAGGCAGTTCCTGGTCGAGCCCTTCGTCCCCCACCCCCAGGACACCGAGTACTACATCAACATCAACTCCGTGCGCGAGGTACGTCTCTTTCTATTTATTTTCTCCGTATTCGTTCTCGTTTCCGTTTGCGGCCGACGTTAGGGCGTGTAGGGCTTGCAGGGCAAGACCCTTACGTTCGGCGGCTTCGGCTGCGCACAAGGCATGTTCGCACGCATGCGCTTCGGCGGAGAGCTGCAGCAAAAGTGGGAGCGGATGGCTGGCTCGAAAGCAGACGGGCGCACTGCCTGGTTTTGTTCGACGGCCGGCCGGACGAAGGGAACCAACACTGACCCACTCTTGCTTCATGCGATGCGCACGTTCCTTTCACATGTCAATTCTTCCTGCTTTCTTGCCCTTTTCGCTCATTCAAATTTGCTGAGCACTGGTGTTGCGGCTCATTTGACTTGCGGCTACTGCACGCTTGCACCAATCACATTGCATCCTTTACTGACGGTCCCGCTTTAGGGTGACTGGATCCTCTTCACCCACGAGGGTGGTGTCGATGTTGGTGATGTCGATGAGAAGGCTGAGAAGCTTCTCATCCCCGTCGACCTGACGGAATACCCTTCCAACGAGGAGATTGCTGCTACTCTCCTGAAGAAGGTGCCCCAAGGTGTTCACAATGTCCTCGTTGACTTCATCTCGAGGCTGTACGCTGTCTACGTCGACTGCCAATTCACGTAAGTACAACACGCTCCACCAAGCATGACTGTTGCTGACGTGCTGATCAGCTACCTCGAGATTAACCCTCTCGTCGTTATCCCCAACGAGGACAAGACCTCTGCTGAGGTTCACTTCCTTGACCTTGCTGCCAAGCTCGATCAGACTGCTGAGTTCGAGTGCGGTGCTAAGTGGGCTATTGCTCGCAGCGCAAAGGCTCTCGGCATCCCAGTTGCTCCCTCCAAGGACACCAAGACTACCATCGATGTCGGTCCCCCGATGGAGTTCCCTGCTCCCTTCGGTCGTGAGATGAGCAAGGAGGAGGCTTACATCGCTGAGATGGATGCTAAGACTGGTGCGTCCCTCAAGCTCACCATCCTCAACGCAACTGGCCGCGTCTGGACCCTCGTTGCCGGTGGTGGTGCTTCCGTCGTCTACGCCGATGCCATTGCCTCTGCTGGTTTCGCCGGTGAGCTCGCCAACTACGGTGAGTACTCTGGTGCTCCCACAGAGACACAGACTTTCCACTACGCACGAACAGTGCTTGACCTCATGCTCCGTGCTCCCCAGCACCCTGAGGGCAAGGTCTTGTTCATCGGTGGTGGTATTGCCAACTTCACCAACGTTGCCTCGACCTTCAAGGGTGTCATCCGCGCCCTGAGGGAAGTCGCTGGTTCCCTGAACGAGCACAAGGTCCAGATCTGGATCCGTCGTGCTGGTCCCAACTACCAGGAGGGTCTCAAGAACATCAAGAACGTCGGTCAGGAGCTCGGCCTCAACATGCACGTCTACGGCCCTGAGATGCACGTATCAGGTATCGTACCTTTGGCGCTCATCCCTGGAAAGACAACGGACATCAAGGAGTTCTCTGGTTAAGCGTGCAATTTGTAACATAGGAGCTTATGGATCACGGCTAGACAAAGAGTAACGTTTGGGGAGCGTGCATGGAGTATTTGTTTGGGCGAACTTGTTGCTGACGCCGAGACTTTGTCGAGCCTAGAGTAGGCGGGCAGCTCTGAAATATAAGATTTAATACTTCTCTCACACCGCGCTCATTGCTCACGCTCGTGCGGTCTGGTGCATTTAAAGATTGCAAGGCCTTTGCCGGGTTTGTATGAACTGTTGCTTCAGCCAAAGTATATCACGTCTTTGGTAGCCCAAGACGCGTCTTACTCGTGGTGCGAGGCCTTGAATTTGGCTAGTGTTCAAATGGTTGCTGCTTTTGATTGATGCGCATTGTACAAGACGCTTGTAAGCAGGCTTGTAGGCCAGAAGCCACGAGAGCAGGAGGCCGAGTGATAAGTTAAGAATTAGCGATAGGACAGCGTAAGAAGAATAGATCTACTAAGTTATTGTTGACCGATTCTGGTAATTGTGCTTCGGCATTGGTCTGTGCTCGACGCGGCTCCTTGTCGACAGCAAAAGTATCGATGTCGATCCTTCGCCACACCCTTGATCTCTGCAATGAACGCATCCACTCCGTCCATCGTGTTTTGAACTTCTCAAAAACCCTCACTCTATCTCGCGAGATTACGCACTTTGATGATTAGTGCGTTGTCGCCGTGAAACCCGGGGCTTCACTGGTTTTTCTAAACCAATCACATCAGACCGCCATTCACCTGGACGTAACAATGTCAACCCGCGCACGTTCGGTTTTTACTTAAAAAGCTGGAGACTTTCGGGAATTATGGTCCCTTCAAAGATGGTCAAGGCTGCAATTCCCTCAAAGCTGAGCATGGGGGCTAGGTGGGCGGACGTCTTACGAGGCAAGCCGGGTTCAGACAGTGGCAGTGGGCCATGGTGGCATCGAGTCTCTAACAAACGTATCCGATCAGCAAGCGCCCTTCAAAAGCGCAGGCAGGCGCGGCAGACGGCTTCCCAAAACAAGCCACCGGACCGGGCATGTATCAAACCAGCACGCGACACAGATCTGGCGGCTTCGGTTCAGCGCTCGTCAAATTGCCGCCACGACCTTCTTGTCGCAGTGGCCGAGTTAGGTGCTCTTGAGCAGCGTATTAGATACAGATTCAACGACAAGTTGTTGGGTGTCTCCGCTTTCAAGACCTCGGGTCCTGGCAATCTGGTCAACTTTGCAGACACGAATATACCAATGGAGGGCTACGAGCGACTTGCCTTGTTAGGAGATCGGGTCCTTGACCTGGCTCTGTGTCGCTCTTGGTACGACAGTGGACAAAGTCGATGTATGTGCCACTGCCTGAACGCTACTTTGAAAGAGGACCACGATACTGATATTTCGTTGAGTGCACTATGCTATGATGGAAAAACGACTAGTAACACGACAGGCTCTGGCTGAGAAGGGTCTTAAACTTCATCTCCAGCGAAACATCCTGACAGGAGCATCTATGCTTTCTCGCGATACACTGGGCGAGGCCTTCGAGGCTTTGATAGGCGCTATATATGTCGATTCAAAGTCCGATCTTGACACGGTTCAGAAGGTCTTGCGCAACATCGGTTTCGGAAATGCTCACACCACTTATGTTGCTAAAGCTGCCGCGACTAAGCAGCCGAAGATACACGAAGAGCTTTCTTCGCGGCCCGCATTAACTACGGCCGATGCTACCATTTCAATCGGAAACCAGGAGCCCAAACCTACGAGTGCAGGCCCAAAACCAAACACACGGACCCACCTGCATGCGAGGCACCTCAAGCAGATACCGCAAATATTCTCAGTCTATGTGATGTTAGCAGAGGTCTTGCAAGAAAGTTTGAAAGGATTTTCTTTTCGGAAGACTGAGAACGAACGGGACTTCAAAATTTTCGACACTCTGCGCAAGTACTACGAGGCATTCCCGGATATTATCGACTTGTGTTCATGGTTTCCTACCCTGCAGGCTCGGTATGAACGTCTCTACAATGTAGCTTTTGACAAAAGACACAAGTACGGCGTGCCTTTGTACAAAACAAGACGTGACGATCTTCTTAGTGGCTGTTTCACCACAAATGAAAGCGTTGGTAAGTCTGAGCCGCGGTTGAGAATGCTCTCGCAGTATTTGGATACAGAATATCGGGCGGTATCCAGTACGGACTTTAAAGGCGGCCTTAAGCTTGGAACTGTAATCGAAGGTGTGCGTCGTACGACTGACCTCAGCGAGTCCGATGCTTTCCTGTCAGCACTTCGTATCGAAGAGCAGGTACGGGATCGCATCAGACAGTACCTAGGTCTTCCTGATTGGTACGATCTGCCAGAGAATAAGGACAAGGTTCTTCCGCCATGGAGAGTTTTCCCGCCTGCAGCCCGCTCGCACGCCGAGACTATAATACCAGTGAAAATCCAGCCACAGAAAGAAGTCTTTGTACGACCACCACTACGGCTCGACAACGCTCGTCACCCAGAGTCTGAGCTGGATCCTCGGTCAAGTGGCGTCGACGAGTTCGTCGGAAGCACTTTTGTCGGTTTTACGTACCGAGATCATAGCGGACGTCATCTGTCGCCCGTGCCTCCACGCGCTCCTTTTGCTTCGACAAAGGTCTTCAATGTTTCCTCCGCCGGGAAGAGCGCAGATTCGACCCGGCCTGACCTCCAAGGGCCTCTGTACGCGTCAGACAGAATAGGACACCCGAGCTTTCGAAGACTGTCCGTGGACTCTTGGAAGAGGAGATGGATTGGAAAGGCGCTGAAGTACCTCTACATTGGGTCTCACAAGGGCAAAGCAGCCTTATTGGCAGGCTGCGAGGTCAAAGACCGAGTGGGAGTGGTCTCGCACTATCTGTATCGAGAACCTCGCTCTCCTCTGTTGGCCGGTGGTTGTATTGATGTCAGTGTCGACTGTCGCATCACAGGATCATTGGCTGGCGAACAGACAGATCGTAGCATCATCCACAAGCCAACAGATCAGACCCTGGAGCAGGACATTTCGGAGACCAGGAGCACGGAAGCCAAATCTGGCAAAGCCAGCGCGAGAGAGAGCATCCGCAGACCGAAGCGAGCGGCAGTCGTGCAAGCATCCCGCAAAGGACTCGAGAGGCGGTCTCGAGCAACATCCCTGGAGAAGAGCAGACACGCAAAGGTTTCTGCAAGAATCCAACGTGACGTCGCTCACGAAAGGAGGAGTAGCCCGCCAGGGCACGCAGGGCCCAATCGAACGACAACGAATCATATTCGCCAGAACGAAATCCCATCTGGCGATAGCAGCAAGACACCATCGCAATCCCGCACCCGTGTTCCCTTCAGAAAGCTCCGAAGCGACAGGCCTATCTGCATAACGCGCGGACGGGCCTTTTGGCAAGAGCGGCCTCCCGAAGACAACACAAAAGCAGCCAGCATGTCCCGGAACTCCGAGCTGCAGTACATCATGGATCTCGTTCGCCCCAGCACCCTCCCGGGCAGGGGACCGGCGTCTGCGTCCCCGGAACGCGCCGCTGGCAAAGATAACACCCCATCGACCGCCTCCCCAGCGCGTTTCGTCCGCACAACTGGCTCGACCCCCACATATTCAGCCTTTGGGAAATTCAGCGCCATCATGACCGGGAACAAAGTGTGGTTCCAAGACCAGGTGTCCAACGCCGCGCCGACTTTCACGTCATTCGACCCCATGAAGAGAGCCAAGGCGCTCGGGGAAAGTCACGGTGAGAAGAAGGGTACCGGGGCTGCGGACGAGTCTGTCAAGGAGGAAAGCAGGGCTGAAGGGAAATGACGGATAAGGGAGTCGAAGAATGCACGATTGCAAGGCACGATTTGCAGCACAGGAACGAAAGAGAGTGAAAAAGACAGTGTATTTCCAATGGCAGTTTTGAGAATTATCGTGCGATTGTAAGATATTGTAGGGGTATAACTACTTTGTGTAAGGAAATCGCGACTCGGTCCTTACGCAATACTCAGAGTTCCAGCTGACGCGTGAGCGCTCAACACCTTGTAGGTCATCAGGTCTATCCGTGCGGCTCGTACAGTTTGATTCGTGACCCACGGGCAGCCTGCTCCTTACGTAGCCCTTGCAAGTCACACTCCAATCACAATCCTATGTGTCCTCAAACGGTTCCTCCCACTGTCTTTCACTACCTCTTCAAATGGCACCATCCGCTTTACCAATCTGCCAGGTACATCAGGCATTTCAACATCTTCTGAGTCGCGTTGCTTGTCGAACGAAACATCGACGATCGATTGTTGTGGATTTGTTGCTCGTGACAGCTCGCTGAAGAATTTCTCATACCCTGTGACGATATTAGAGAATGGGTTTCAATCTTGTGAGCTTCTGCGGAGTCCTTTGGCCGTGTGTAGTTCCTGATCCAAGCATGTCGTGCGTGACGTGGATCATCGGATCGCTAGGAATTGCATTGAGTTCGAAATTGCTCCAACAATGCACTTGATTCGCCTTGGTAGACGCTAGAGCTCTGTAGTGATAGTAAATCGCAGATCGCGCAAGAGAGGCATCGGAGCCTGCTGTAGTGTTAGTTCACGGCTGTGCCGGAGATTGGAGATAACGAGAATGCGGGGAAGGGGGCTTGCGGGGAGGGAACGAGCGGCGAACAACCTCCATTCATTCGCTGACTCGGCCGCTGGCAACAACCTCGGCGCCAAAGCCACTCCGTTCGATGGCAGCAATATTGAACCGTCAGCCGGCTATCTGCAACTACTCTTTCAGGTATCTTTTAACATTTCAGAGCGATTTTGGTTGACGGAGCACTTTTGGCTACTTCAGGCAGCACGAAGAGGGCATATTTGTCCTAGAGCAGCATCACAGATGGCATGTAGGTCTAATCAAGCTCAAACTATTGACGAGAGCCGAGCTGAGAACGGGGTCCAGTGTTTGCTGCAGGAGCAGCCGGCACAGCAGCCCTCGCCGCATATCTCAACGCAAAGTTCCACATCGTATACGACCTGAACAATGCCCGCGGTGGTCTTGCGCCGTCAAAAGATGTCCTGGACTTCATGACCGAACAGGTGGTGAAGAAGCGAGTCCTTACATATCACGTACTGGAGGACCACGCTCTGCGCAATCGGCCGGATCACCCATTCTTGATCTTCGAGGGCAAGACATGGACATACAAGGAATTCTTTGAAGCAATCACCAGAGTGGGCAACTGGCTCATGAACGATATTGGTGTGCGAGTTGGAGAAATGGTCGCCATTGACGGAGGGAATAGCCCTGAGTATATGATGCTTTGGTTTGCATTGGATGCAATTGGCGCAAGTATAAGCTACATCAACTGGAACCTGACTGGAGGCGGACTTGTTCATTGCGCAAAGGTTTGCAGGAGCCATACGTGTGCAAGAACTGCAACTAACGTACTCTCCAGTTGTGCGAGGCAAAGCACCTCATTGCAGATGTCGATGTCAAGAGCAATGTCGAAGCCAGTCGCACTGAGCTTTGTGACCTCGGCGTTACGATTCACTACTACGATCCATCATTCATTGCCTCCCTATCCGACCGTACGCCAATCCCCGAGACACGCCGCGAGAGCGTTCCCATCGAGTCTGTCCGCGGTCTTATCTACACTTCTGGAACGACTGGTCTACCCAAAGGCGTAGTGATGAGTACGGGGCGTGAGCTGCTCGTGGGCTACACAACGGCCAAGTACCTGGGCTTGAAGCCGGAGGATAAGATGTACACATGCATGCCACTCTACCACGGCGCAGCACATGGCTTGTGTGTCACGCCGACAATACATGCGGGTGGCACGGTAGTTCTGGGAAGAAGGTTCTCGCACAAGACGTTTTGGCCCGAGGTGGCAGCATCAGGCGCGAATCACATCCAGTATGTTGGCGAGCTTTGCAGATACTTGCTCAACGGGCCACCTAATCCATACGAGTGCAAACACAACGTCCAGGTTGCATGGGGCAATGGCATGCGTCCAGATGTATGGGAGCCGTTCCGCGAGCGATTTAACATTCCCATCATCAATGAGCTTTACGCAGCCACCGATGGGCTCGGCGCTACCTTCAACCGTAACGCAGGGCCCTTCACCGCGCACACAATCGGACTCCGAGGCTTGATCTGGAGCTGGAGGTTCAACAACGAGGAGGTGAGAGTGAAGATGGACGTTGACACTGAGGACATCATGCGTGACGAGAACGGTTTTGCGATCAGATGCGGTACCAACGAACCTGGCCAGGTGTTGCACCGTCTGACACCGGAGACATTGCCGAGCGTTCCAGGGTACTATAACAACGATGGCGCCAGCGAGAATAGGAGGATAACAGATGTCTTCCAGAAGGGTGACATGTAGGTTTGAAGCGCAAAATAGTCAAGATCTAGGAACTGACAGAACTCAGGTGGTTCAAGTCGGGCGACATGATGCGACAAGACAGCGACGGCCGAGTATTCTTCGTGGACAGACTGGGCGATACATTCCGCTGGAAGTCAGAGAATGTCTCCACCAACGAGGTTGCGGATATGGTCGGCAAGTTCCCACAAATCGCTGAGACCAATGTCTACGGTGTGCAGGTACCAGGCTACGATGGGCGCGCAGGGGCTGCATCCGTAGTCATGACCGAAGGCGTGACAGAGTCTACGTTTGACTTCCAGGCCTTGGCCAAATATGCCAGGTCTGTCTTGCCTGGCTATGCTGTGCCGCTCTTTCTAAGGGTGACGCCTGCGCTGGAGTACACCGGGACCATGAAGATCCAGAAGGGCAGGCTAAAGAAGGAAGGTATCAATCTGGACAAAGTTACAGGTAACGACAAATTGTACTGGCTTCCGACGAACAGTGATCGGTATGAGCCGTATGGGAGGAAGGATTGGGAGGGCATCAAAGACAAGAGTATAAGGCTTACGTAGGAGCTACGTGGTAGTTGGGTGATGCCGGCACACCCTACTGAGTAGTACCAAGGACAGGCCTGCAGTCCATATCAATGAAACGAATGACAAGAATAATAGTTCAGCTCCCACGATTGAAGGCTTTGGCCTACCCACTGCGCCAGACCTTGCAAACCTTCAGAGTTGTCGCTGAACTATCGCAATTCACATTGAGGGAGAAAGGCACAAAAAGCCTTGTCCAAACTCCAGCCCACTAGTGTAGCAGCAGCATTAGTGGCAGCCGCAGGCTCTTCGCCGTCTCTATTCTTCTCTGTCGGTGTGGGTGGTTAAGGCATCTATCTGTACTAGCGTGGTGGCGTACCCAATCTCAGCCCTACAAACATTCAACATCCGCCCGCATTGCCATTGCCTCGCTTTCTCTCCTCACACTTTAAAGCAACGCCCACTACATACCTACCACACACCTCCGAACATCTCTAAATACCTTCGAACACTGAGCGTGCACCCACACTCGTCATGGGTAAAGCAGAAGTCGGAAGCTCGAAATGGATCGGCAACAAGATGAAGTCCAAGGGACTGCAGCGCCTGCGCTGGTGGTGCGAAATCTGCCAGAAGCAATGCCGCGACGCCAACGGCTTCAAGTGCCACGTACAATCCGAGTCGCACGTGCGCCAAATGCAGGTCGTTGGCGAAGATCCGCGCAAGTTCATCAACCAGTTCAGCACCGACTTCCAGCGCGACTTTGTCTCGCTCCTACGCACTGCCCACAACGAGAAGTGGATATCGTCGAATAAGTTCTACAACGAGTACATCCGCGACAAAGAACACGTACACATGAATGCGACCAAGTGGCCGAGCCTGTCGGAGTTCATCAAGCACCTGGGGCGCGAGGGCATCTGCCATGTCAAGGAGGACGAGAAGGACGGCCTGATGATTGCCTGGAGAGATACCAGTCTTGCAGCCATACAGCGCAAAGAGGAGATTGCTGAGCAAGAGGCTGCTGAAGCGCGAAGTGGTGCTGGCGAAGACAGGATGCTCAAGAAGATGGCCAAGCGCGCAGCCGAGGAAGCCGAGGCAAAGAAGGCTATTGAAATGAAGCGATCCGCTGCTGCTGCTGCGGCCAAGCAAGAACCCACACCGCCTGCTGAAGGTGATTCACCAGTCGAAGAAAAAGTCGCTTCGCCTGTTGTAGAAGAAAAAAAGGAGGGCGAAGAGCCTGCTGCTGCTACGCCAGTGAAATTGAGCTTCGGCTTGAAGGCTAAAGCCGTGCCACCAAATAAGGCTGGGCTTGGTCAAATGAAGAGTCAAAGCATCTTCAAGCGGAAGAAGGAGGGTGGTGAAGAGAGGGTGGTGAAGAAGGTAAAGTTGTAAAGAGACATCTTGATTACTTATTGTATGTTTAGCGTGGCGTTAAGGATGGCATACCACTGGTATTTTGGAATTGAATATCTCCTGGGGCAAAACTATGGAGTAAGATCAGTCGAGCAACTACCTGCAGACCTTTGAGATCGATATTTCATACATCTAGCGCGCTTTGACATTGCGGATACACTGACTACCTCCACGCTGACATTGACTATTACCTTGCTGATACATCGACTCCCTTCACACTAGTACACCGACATCCTCCCCGTAATACCGTGACTACCTCCATGCTTCTACGACACCATAGGTACATCACCAACCTCCTCAACTTTCGCCTCGTACTCCCTCACGGCAACCTCCGCATTCTCCTGCGCAATCTGTATCCCCGCGCCCGCCGCCGCCTTAAGTCCCTCCGCCATCGCAAACGCCACCTGCTTCATCACAACCATCGTATCGCCAGCCGCAAACACGCCCCTCACGCTCGTCTCATTGAACATGGGATTCGCAATCTTGATATGACCACCCAAGCTCGCATCCACCGTCTCAATACCCAACTGCTCAATAAGATGCTGTGCTCGATTCACTGTCGGCGGGCGATGCGCAATGAAACCCAGCGTTACCGGCTCGCCGGTCTCGAACTCGATCGTCGTGATTTTTAGTCTCTGGCGAGTAAAGTCTCCGGGAAAGTTTCCGTCAACATGCGACGCTCTCAAAAGTCACACGTAAGGCGTGGATCAATTGGGAATCCCACAGAAACCCATAATATTGATATCATAATTTGGTATTGGCGGAGTCTGGACACTATGCGAACTTCCGCAGCAGCTTTACCTACCAACATCCGACTCCCAATAGTTCACGCCCACTAACTGCGTTGCAATCGCACACAGAGTCTTGTCTACTCGAACATGTGCCTCGCACCTACGGACAATCCGCGACCAGATCTGGGTAGGAACCGTCGATGCTACCTGCATCTCCAAGAGACTTTGACTCCACGATGTCTTTGCGATGCGCAAATTCAGGGCTCGCTTCCAGATCAACAGAACCTGGGTCAAATTCATCGGCCTTCTGACTGCTGACCAGCGCTGGATTTCGATTAGCGATCACCCCTCATTGTTACCATTTCATACTTACCCTTTCTGGATAGTTTCTTTGCCTTCTTCTTGCGACCGATGACGGGCGACTGCACAACTTCTATATCGGACCCTGCACTCTTTTCAAACTCTGTGCGTAGCTCGAGAATGAAGCATTTCAAGCCTTGCCAAGGACAAGAGTGGCTGCAGACACTCTCTCTGACAACAAGCCATTCGCTTGTCGCATCAGTGTAGACAATTGCTCTGATTTTGTACAGTTCTGTGGGAGAGCTGGCTGATTTGGTCTGCGTCTCGATGATGGTCGGAAGGTTGCCAGGACGAGTCGTAGTGTCACTAATGATGTTGGGACAGTGAACGTGACCATTTGGCGTTACGATGGGGGTGCATATGTCGAAGCGATAGATAGGCAGATGGTCTTGCTTTGAGTAGGTCAGGCAGATGAGGTCTGTTCCGTGATCAGCAGGTTGGAGTATGTGGTTTTGGGCAGCTCACATACGAAGTGCTTCTTTGACCAGAAGTGCGTTGTACTGAGCGAGGGCCTCCTCATCCCATTTCTTAGCAGAACGAGTGACCTCAATATGGTCAAGTTGATGGGTGAAAGGTCGCCCATCGCTTATAGCAAGACAGCTAGTGGGCGGGAGTGGCGCGTCATGTGGAGAAGCCATGCTGACAGTTAGATGTGTTGCTGCGATATAGGTCGACAAGCGGATGTATGTGATAATGGAATGTGAATAGCCTGTCACTGGTAAGACTGAATTCAGAACGGGTGGAGGTGGAGTACGGCAGCACAAGAATGGTGCGATAAAACATTGGTGGCTCGGAATCTGCATGGCGGTTCTTGCCAGCAATTGTCGACACGTCGCTATTGCTGCTTGCTGGGAGCAACTGGCTTGCACTACCCTCGTAGACGAAAAGATCGTTCCTTCCATTACCTCGACCTCATCGCCATCCACCAACACGCCCTTCGTCCCACCTCTCTTTGCACTCTGCTCTGAGGTAGGCAACCTTGCGTCCTTCTCTTATTCGTCTCACAAAGTCGATCACTTCTCGTTCGCTGGCAACTGCATCATTACCACCGACACCCTCACCCTCCAGGAAGCTCTCCTCGAGACCTCGACAGAGAGCTTCTTGCTCTCCTACTGCAGCGTTCAAACGCTGGTACAGTGCTGGCGGACTGAACTCTCGCAATGCGTCATCTTGCTCGGCCTGCTTAGCTTTCCACTGGCGTTCCAGAGCTCGAAGAGCTAGTAGACGGGACTGTGTGCCATCGCGCTGATGCTGAACATGTGCCTCAAGTTGCTTCAGTGATTCTGCAAGTTCGACATTCTGGGCTAGAAGCGCTCGCAACGGTGCGGTAGATGCTTGGAGAGAGGCATGTGCCGTTTCTGGGTTGTGCACGATAGCGTGTTGCAATTTTGGTGTTTGTAAGATCTCATGTAGATCTTTTGTTCTGCTGGGACATGAGTAGCTGGCGTGTGTCGATCTAGAGACTAACATACGCTCTGTCCTTGACGGGCTCAGGTAACCAACCGTCAGTGGGAGGCTGAACGGATAATTGATATGGATCGGCGTAAGGATCATTGTGAGAGTAGACTGATTGTGACCCCTTGTAAGATTGTGATTGCCCGGGGGGCGGTGGCAGAGGTGGACCTTGTGACGGTGTTGTCGTGCAACTTGAATTGCTAGGCTTTGGTGGGGGAGGTGGAGGGGTAGAGGCATCGTGCTGGTAAAAGCTTTGAGAATGGCGAGGCGACTGGAAAGCCATTTTTGGAGTGATGAGATTAGCAATTATGTGATACTAAGACGCGGGCAATACGTGGTGCCTCGCAGTCGTCGTCATACGCTGACTTCATGCACGTGGTGATGATACTTGGGCGTGGCAATGTCGACGCCGATAACGAGCCAGCGATTGCGCGAGTCAGCAGCGTTGCACTTTCATCAAGAACCATTCAAGTGAGGTTGCGGTTCAGGGGCGCGTCGTTTTCGCAGAGATTGCGTGCGTCCAGAAGCGGAGACGTACCGGCCAGACAATCCGCATGTTCTCCGCAGCAAGCCTCATCTGTCATGGTTACGGAAGAGCCCCTGCCGCACGCCAGGGACGCACTTACCGCATCAAGGTCTCGGCCTCAGGCGCATGTGTTTTTTTCTCGCCACGACAGGAAAATTACTTGCGCCATCTGCGGTGCACAATACGGAGAGGCCAAGCACGCTACAGCCATCCGCTGGCTGGAGTCCGATTGCGTTTATGCACACATAATTGTGATTGACGGGACGGAGTTCTTTCACATGCAGGCTGGAGAAGGCTTGCGTGGTGCTGGTGTTCGAACTGGTGCTGAAACTGTTTCACCGTTGCCCTGCAGCGGACGCCGGTGGCTAAGGCACCAAGACTGATGTCAATTGTTGCTCGGAGTGCGCGAGGCGCAGCTATCTACTCGAGTTTGGTACTTTTGCGTATCCTCGAATCACCAGCAATACCCACCTCACAATCATTAGTTCCCACCGCTCGACTCGCTCTCATCTGTGTGTACCCGGAGGAGCGGCTCATTGGCGTGTTCCTGCAGTGGCGGCGAAGTACCCCTGGCGCGCGGCACGCTCCACTCACGCCGTGCGAACCACCCTCGGTCAAGACTGGCTGGGACTGGCTGACGGGGGCGTGGACAGCGACCAATTCCAGCATTGCGATCCGCACTGAGGCTTCCAAGTGCTCTTCGCCCTGTCCGCGCGGTCTGCTCGGCAGTCATAGTTCCCCCTTTACGAGCGCGTCCCCTAGCGGTCGCGATTCACAGTGCACACTCGGTCCTCACTCTAGACCCGCGATTTGTGCATAGTGATGATCTCTCCCAGGGCATAGAATCGACAATATGCAGAACGCCCAAGCGCCAGGCGAGGTCGCGCCTTCTACACAAGCTCAAGCCTCGCCGCCTCGCCAGAAGCCGTCGACACTGGCCTCCATTGCCATTCAGTCCTTCGCTGCCTTCCGCTCCCAGACATCGTCACAGCCTGTCCCTATCGCTGTCCAGTCGCCGGTTCGACGCAAGCCCCTACCAGCAGACTCTCCTGTCGCGGCTCGTTTCTCTCAGGCAAATCTACGCACCAACAGTATCACCAGTAAAGATAATCCGCCTAATAATTCAGTTCTTTCGCCGCCCTTGACAGATGAGGGCTTGTTTGTACCTAGAAACCTCGATAGGTGAGCACATCGTGTGCTATGCGCCCAACAACTACTGACAATGTTCATAGCAACCCTCACGGCAACTCTCCTCTCACAGGAACCGCGCCCAAGCCATTCGAAACTCGCAAGACCTCCTTCTCAGTCACAACGCTAAGCCCTACTGTATACTCTCCACGGCATGAGAGGTCGGTCAGCAACGGACAGTCACCGCGACCGACGAGAGTAGGAGACGTCAAGGCCCACGCCCGCTCCCCTACTATGCCCAACATGCCGTTATACGCTTCAGAATCACGGCCTAATCCAGACCTGAAGATCAAGCTGGACGGCGTTACCGAAGACTTTACGGACGACTATTACGGTGTTGAAGACGATGCACCACGAGACATTTCACAGCTGGGCAAACCCAAGACCCCGAGCGGCGGATTCACTTCCTTCTTTGGCTGGAATTCGTCGAAGCCTAACGGCGCCGAATCGCCGGCTACTACATTCTCATCGTCTCCGACCGATTCTCCACGTAATAAGCAAGGGAGCATGTCTGCCAAGAACAAACCCAACGGCCTAGACATTCCAGCTGCAAACTCATTGTCTTCATACTTCAATGTACCTGGAACACCACTACTCTCGTCGTCGCCTCAAATGAATGCTCACGTCGAAGAGCTCGAGCGCGAATTGCGCGAGGTGAGTTCAGAGCTCGCCGCCTCTATCAAGCGGGAGATGGACTTGGAAGACGAAGTCGAGCGCTGGAAAGCAGAAAGCGCCTCGGCTACATCACCAGATAACAGGAGAACGAGCGACTATTACTCGGACTCGGGCATCAGCTCGATTCGATTTCCCATCAGTGACCCCGAGGCCAAGCTGGAAGAGGTCGACACACAACGCCGAAAAGCCGAGCAGGAACGCGCATCACTGAAGGTGCGCATGGCTGAACGACTTCAAGAAGAGCTGCGGCGTCGACGAGATCTCGAAGAGCAAGTACAGCAACTAGAGGATCAGGTCAGCGATCAGTCCAGAGCAGTATCTGTGGTTGAGGATCCCCGATTGAAGGAGCTGTCAATGTCGTTAGAAGACGCTAAGAGACGTTTGGCTGAAGAAAGACAGGTCAAAGAGAACTTCGAAGATCTATTGACAGCCTTACGCGAGGAACTGGAGAAGCATCGCAACGAAGCCGACGCTCTCCGGGACCAAGTGGTGCCTCAGTTACGATCACGACTGGAGGTACTGGAAGTAGAGGCTGCTGATACCGAAAGACTTGTGTTCGAGACAAACCGCATGCAACAAGAGATACAGCAGCTCCGAAGCGAGAACCAGGCCCTGGCTGCCGCCCGCAAACTGCAGCAGGAAACGAATCAGCCACCACAGCCCAATCCCGGTTTCCAACCCATCGCAGAGGAGGAGTCTGATGGTCCGCCGTCAAAAATACGCGTTGGCTTAACACGTTCGAACTCGCTTGCTCGTAGTACTGGCTTCAACTCAAAGCGGGGTTCATTGTTGAGATCTAACTCCGTCAAGACCAGGTCAGGCGATATTTCTCCCGCGGATACACCAACTGTCAGCAATCCAGTAAAGGAACTCGAAGAGCAGCGTGATGCGCTGCACAAGGCTTTGAAGCACCTTCTGCACCGCCAGGAGATGCAGCAGAGAGAATTCCAGAAACGCATCAAGGAGCTTGAAGCTGAAAGAGATGCTGCACTCAACCTCACACCCCGTCGGACCGCATTCCATAGAGAGGTCGGTGATCTTAGGCAAGAGGTGGATGCGCTTCGACGCCGCGCCGACGATGCTTTAGAGCAAAAGTGGCAGTGCGAGAAGGGTTTGGGTGGATTGCGGATGGATCTTGACCGCGCACAACAGGAGACAAGCTCTCTCCGCGATCTGCTCCGCGAGCATGACATCACCGTTCCTGAGATCCGTCTGGAGAACGAGCCCATCTCCCTCGACAAGGCGTACAATGAGCTACAAACAACTCAGGCTCTCTCTCTCGCACGTATAACACAGCTTGAGTCCGGCAACGGCGAATCCTTAGGTGCCGCCGGTGCTGAAGCAGAAAGAACACTCGACCTCCTAAAGCGTAGCATTTCAGACGCTGAGGCGGAGCGTGACTTCGCTATGAGCGAGGCTGAGCAGTACCGCCAACAGGCGCGGCAATTGCAGAAGTCTGAGCTCGAACATCTTGGCAAGGAACAGAAGCTCAGCACCGAGCTGTTTGCTGCCGCAGGCCGCATGGATGAGCTATCGAACAGGATCCAGCAACAACTTGTGGCCAACAGCTCCTTGCGAGCTCGCCTCACTGATGCCATTTCTCGCGGAGAGCAGGAACAACAGAGGTCGACTGATCAGATCATCGAGCTAGAGCGACGTCTGAAGACGGCTGAGGACAAAGTCATGATGGCTCAGCAGTCGTCTGAAGAGGCCATTTCCAAGCATGAGACCGAGGTCCAAGCCCTCAAGGAGAGTCATGGCAGTCAGTTACGTCGTGTGAAGTCTGGCTTGTTGAGCCCATCAGCCTTCTCACCCAAGATGCCGTCATCACCAGTATTCTCCCAACGATCACCTCGTCTTGACATGACTACAAGCGGCCCTGCTATGACCATGGCCGAAGCAACCAAGACAGAGCTTCTCGAGACGCGTGTCGAAGAGCTTGAGAGAGCCCTCCGCGATGCCGATCGCGAAATGGAGGAGGTCGTTGGCCGTATGAACATTGCTCAGATCGAGGTTGCTGAGCTCCAATTCGAGAAGTCGGTCTACCCCAATTCATATGATGAGATGAGACTAATGATCATACAGGGACGAGGCCCTTCGCCAGACAAGAAGACTGCAAGCCGACATTCTCGCCGAACGTGAGAAGGTCAAGGCGCTCATGGCTTCCAACAAATAATTCACTACCCATACCACGCTTGCTGGACACGACGTTCCGAATATACATAATACTGGCCGATCGCATGCATCCATATCTGCATATCGATGAGCTCTCATGTCATTGCCATCGGCGTTCTCACAGAAACTGCATTTACCTTTGGCGCCACGACTCTACGCATATTACTCTTCACAGCCCACCCCCTTCTGTGTCTCTGGACATGTATCCGCGACCTTAATTGTGGCTAGTGTCTTGCTGGCTATCATTCTATACCCCACAGCGGTCACGACGCTATTGTTTTTTTGGTTGACCGCCGCTTTGCGAACATAGGTGCAGGTTTCTTCTCGAATGTTAGGGCTTCAAGCTCCTTTGGATACCTTGTCTACTCACGAGCATTCATCTGCGAATGTTGTACTATAGCGGTGTAATGTATCAATGTTGACGCGTATCTCGCGCGAGTTACTAGAACCAAAGCAATGTCACATCTGTCAAACGTACCTTTCCTCCTTCCCCGCACGTGTGGCACTGATGTGTGTTGCGCGACACAAGTTCGAGCCAGTGGCCTGGATCTTGAATCCCATGATAGCGGTAGCAATGAGGGCGGCTCGAGCATCCGAAAAAGGATGGAGTCTGACTAGCGGACCCTGGGACCGCAGCACGTTCTGTAACTGCATTGCACGGTCTGTGAATGCGCGCAAATTACACAGAGGGGCGGCTCCGCACCCAAGTGTTTGATTTCCAGTGAGAGGGTCAGAATATGAAAGCAACAGTTCACAACGCGAACCCGGTCCTGGGTTGGCCCGGCCCGTGGACTGGCTGCATGGCCCAACGCTGCGCTAACCCACTCCCTGACTTGAGCTCTCATCGAAACAGCCCCCCGTCCGCCTCCCCCTCTCGCCAGCTGTTCGCTGTGATTTGCCTCCCGGGGTTCGTTCGACGCTCTGTGCACTTTGAAAGAAAGTACGCTGCTATTTCCCTCTACCCACCCGCTCTCTCCCCGCGGCCACGCAGCACTCCCTCCACCCCTCTCCCTCGAAAACATTGCGAACTTCTCGAACCTCACCGCCTACGGCACACTTCGATCTACGGCACACTGAGGAGGCTCCTGCAGGCCACCTCGGCACCGCACTCGCTTCACAATGAACAACCAGCAGCAGGGCAACCGCCTGCAGCTCAACTTTGGCTTTGGTGGTGGGGGTGACCGCAACAACCAGTATGCCCAAGAGCAAGGCCGCGCGTTTCCCACGACGCCGTCGACATTCCCGCAGCCTGTGTACCCAAACCAGGCTGGCCAGCAGGAAGTTTGGGGTGCGCAGCAGCAGATGGGCGGCAATGGCTACGGAGGCTACTTCCAGAGCCCCTACCAGCAGGCCCAATACCAAGGGCAGCAGGGGAACCTGCAAGCTCCAGGTTCAGCTCGCGCCTTTGACCAGAGCCCTAACGGTCTAGCCCAGCAGCTATCACAGCAGCACCTCGGAGGGGGCAGCAACCGCTCTGGGAGCTCCTACGGCCGCCAGCCCTCGCCAAGCCAGCAGCGACCCCGTACTGCTGACAACCGCGGATATGGATACGGAAGCTATGGAGGCGGCTCTGCACCCCGCCAGCCGTCACAGTCATTGTACGAGGAGGAAGCGCCGGCCAGAAACCCTGAGAAGTACTCGAGCAACGTCGCCCAGCAAGCAACAATGTCGAAGGGTCTGATCAATACCTTCTTCAAGGATAGTGTTCAGCGAGCACGCGACCGCAACCAGAGGTACTGACAAACGGTCTCATGACTCTCAGCATGACTGACACGATGACAGAGCATTGGAACTTGAATCCATCATGAAGGAGCCTTCGATCTCCGACAACCGCAAAGCCCAGAAGGAGAACAACATGCGCGGTGCTGAGATTCAATACCTGCGATTCCTGCGAACAAAGGAGAAGCCCGACAACTTTTCGACACTGAAGGTCATTGGTAAGGGTGCGTTCGGAGAGGTCAAGCTTGTCCAACGCAAGAATGACGGCAAGATCTACGCGCTCAAGTCACTGGTCAAACAGGAGATGGTACGAACGAATACCGATCAAACAATACCTGAGGACTACACGTTAACACTGTGCAGTTCAAAAAGGATCAACTCGCCCACGTACGATCCGAACGTGATATCCTCGCCGAGTCGGACAGCCCCTGGGTTGTCAAGCTGCACACAACGTTCCAGGATAACACTTTCCTTTACATGCTCATGGAGTTTTTGCCTGGTGGCGATTTGATGACGATGCTCATCAAGTACGAGATCTTCACAGAAGACATCACGAGATTCTACATGGCGGAGATTGTCCTTGCCATAGAAGCTGTTCACAAGCTTGGCTTCATTCACCGGTGGGTGCAACTGCACCGGGGACATTTTTGTACATCAGCTGACACTTCCCAGTGATATCAAGCCTGACAACATTCTTTTGGACCGTGGAGGTCACATCAAGCTGACCGATTTTGGTCTGTCGACAGGTTTCCACAAGGAGCATGATGCCGGCTACTACAAAAAGTTGCTTGCTGGCGGCGCGCACAAGTCTAATCGTGACAACCGAAACTCGATGAACATGGATCAAATCCAATTGACAGTCAGCAACCGCACACAGATCAACACATGGAGGAAGTCGCGTCGCCAGCTGGCCTACTCCACTGTCGGTACACCCGACTACATTGCGCCCGAGATTTTCAGTGGCCAAGGATACGACTTTGGCTGCGATTGGTGGTCTGTTGGCACCATCATGTTCGAATGCCTTATCGGCTGGCCTCCGTTCTGCGCAGAGGAGCCCCATGATACCTACCGCAAGATCGTGGATTGGCCACGCAACTTGCACTTCCCACCGGACCAGCAGCTCGGCGCTGAGGCGGAGGACTTTGTGAGGCGGTGAGTACTCCCCTGCGTTGTCGTTCCTGACTCGTTTACTAACGCCTCTTTCTTAGCCTGATCTGTGATGCCGACCACCGTCTCGGCCGCATTGGCGGAGCCAGCGAGATCAAGCAACATCCATTCTTCCGCGGTGTCTCATGGGATGGCCTGCGACGCATCCGTGCACCTTTCGAGCCTAAGCTGCAGTCCAACGTTGATACACAATACTTCCCCATTGATGAGATTGACCAGAACGACAACAGCGCTGCCTACAGGGCACAAGCCGCGCAGTCTGGAGAGGACGAGTACGCCACCAGCCTTCCGTTTATCGGCTACACATACAAGCGTTTCGATGCTTTCCGAGGTGCATAGAGTGCTCGTCGACTGGTTACGACGATACACTGCATAATTGCATATCGTTTTTGCAGGCTTTGGCATCGTACTCAAGCATCGCCTAGGCGTTGGGCCTCGTTTCCCTTGGACTCATATCTTACGTTGTCATTCGGCACCTCATTAGAAGTATGGAGAGCCCGCGGTGCAGGAATCATGTGGGCGGCTTATGGTGTCACAAGTAGGCCTAAGCTGCAGTGGGCGGGTCTGTCCTTCGAGTGTCTGGTGACAGCATTTCGGTCACGGGTGTTTCTCGAGAAGCATCAGACTAGCTTTTGGGACAGGAGTTGAGAGGGAAATCAAACTGTGAAACTGCGCTTTGCGCTTATTGAGCTTTGTGATATTTTTGATGATCATAGTTCAATCCAGCCATCGCTCTGCGCACAGCTCGCGCATGTCGGTCTCTCACCACATGCAGTGTAAATGCAAATCTTTTCCCAAATCACCAGTTACTCCACGCTCGCGCGCAAGACTCAGGTCCGCCGAGCCCGTCTTCGCGTTTCCTCGATTTCAAAGCCTCTTGTCGCAGCTTGTTCTTCTCATCTGTCGTAGCCATAGTGGGCATACCAGGCTCAGCGTGCCTCGAACTGGACCATGCTGCACCAACGTCAGCACTCGTCTTTTACTTCCACTCGTGTCCCTCAATCTATGCATGTGCTTCATTCTTTCCCCACAGATTATACTTCCTCCCCAAGTCTCCCAAATCTTCCTTCCTTCGCTCAATAGCCGTCCGCAACCCGCTCTCTCCTCTGTGACAGCAAAAGTAAAGCACTCACCGGTTCGTCCTCTGCTTGTACAACACGCGGTGGCCACACTGTCTGCAGCGAATGGGCTCACCGCGCTTGAGCGGAACGTCCTGGTCGCAGTCGCCGCACTTGTAGTGGACTGTGCGGGCGTTGAGGTCGACCTGCTGTTGCGCCTCGGAGGTGTTGGCGTTGTAGCCGCCGTATTGTTGTGTGGACATTTCTGAATTGTGGAGGGGTCGTTACGGGTGTGTGGTGCGTGCGATCGAGTGCCGGTTGCGGTCTATGGGGCGGTGAGATGAGTTTGGTGTTGCTGGGCTCTGAGTCCAAGGTCGAGAAATGTTCGCGGAAGGCGCAAGAAGGCGCGCACGCGCGAGCAAGTGCACGTGCCTTATCGATTCAGGCAGGCGCGAGCCCTGGAGTGCGGGAGCGCGCTTTCACATGGCGCTTATACCAGGTCGGGCAAGCTAAGGGTCTCGTTGGAATTGTTGATGCTGAGATCCAGCGGAATGTTCAACATAGCATTCTCAATTTGGCCCGTCTGACTATTTGGATGTGTGTTGCTCTTGGTATCTTTGTCGCACGTCATTACGTCCAGCTGAACGGCACCCTGACATGGCTTGACTTTCGGCAAGCTGTCAGTCTCAGGTCGCAGTTGCAACCCCGAAATCTCGACCTCGCAGAGCCTCGCGGACCAGTCCATGACGTGCCTCCCTCGTTCCCCTACCACTGCTGCGCGGGCAAATAGACCACCATGTTTTCCAACGCGCTGAAGTCGTTCCAGTCCAACATCTCGGGCAACATCTACGGCAACTACACCCTCGAGCCCAAGCCCTCGTCTTACTCCGGCCCGTGGAAGATATACGATGCGAAGAAGAAGTCGACAGGCAAGGCCGTATCGGTCTTCGTCTTCGAGAAGAAGTCGCTGGAGCCTCCTGGTGGCGCCGGGCTCGGTGGCCGCTCAGGCGCATCGCAGCTGAAGCGCGCACATGAGGAGGTAATTGAGAGACTGAAGAAGGAAGCCAGCTCGCTAGCGCGGCTACGACATCCCAGTGTTCTTGAGCTGGCTGAGCCGGTCGAGGAGACTCGCGGTGGAGGCTTAATGTTTGCCACGGAGCCTGTGACTGCCTCCCTTGCCGGTCTGCTGCAGGAGAAGGACGAGCAAGAGAAGGCTGGAGGCGTGGGCGGTCGTCACAGCCGCTATGTTATTGAGGAGTCTGATGGTCAGAAGCGCAGACGAGAGCTGGAGATTGACGAGCTGGAGATACAGAAGGGACTGCTGCAGATCAGTAAAGGGCTGGAGTTTCTGCACGAAAGTGCTGGCTTGGTCCACGCCAATTTGACGCCGGAAGCTATCTTCATCAACGCCAAAGTAAGCGATACCAATTCGTTAACCTAAGTTCTCTCACTGATGGATGTAACAGTCGGATTGGAAGATCTCAGGTCTCGGGTTTTCAACTCCTCCCGGAAATTCGACGAAGCCAACCTCTGTGACGCCCATATCCCTTTCCGAGGCCCTAAACTACGACGCTCGACTGCCTAAATATGTTCAGCTCAATATGGATTACACATCCCCAGACTTCATCATGGATGGCAACGTAACGCCAGCGGCAGATATGTTCAGTCTCGGTCTCTTAATCATTGCTTTGTACAACTCGCCCCATCGAAGTCCACTCGAGTACAACGGCAGCACATCGTCCTACAAGCGAGCCTTTTCGTCATCGTCGTCGGTACCGAACAAGAACAACAATTTCATGAGCTCGCAACCACTACCTCGAGACGTCGCCAACGGCGTACTAGATCGACTCATCACACGGCGACCAGCGCAGCGCTTGGACGCGAAAGAGTTTCAGCAGGCACAGTACTTCGACAACATCCTCGTCTCGACGATACGATTCCTCGACTCCTTGCCTGCAAAGACACCAAACGAGAAGTCGCAGTTCATGCGCGGATTGCCACGGATCCTGAGCCAGTTTCCGAAATCGGTGCTAGAGAAGAAGATCCTGCCAGCGCTGCTCGAGGAGATGAAAGACCGCGAACTGCTGACGTTGATCTTGCAGAATGTTTTCAAGATCATCACCATGCTTCCGTCAGGCAAGCGGGCGTTTACTGAGAAGGTCATACCAAAGCTTCGCGAAACATTCTTGGCCGGGGTTGCTGCGACTGCAAATGCAAAGGGTGCGGCTCCAGAGCGTGACAGCATGAAAGAGGCAGGTCTGATGGTGCTACTCGAGAACATCCAAGTCGCAGCAGACAACACAGGTGGGAAGGATTTCAAAGACGATATACTGCCGGTCATCAATTACGCCTTAGAGTCGCCGACACATTCGCTGGTCGATGCAGCATTACGAACACTTCCCGTTGTTTTACCGATCCTCGACTTCTCAACGACTAAGAACGAGCTATTCCCTGTCATTGCAACGATCTTTGCAAAGACCAGCAGTATGGGCATTAAGATCCGTGGATTGGAAGCATTGAAGACGCTCTGCGGTGGTGGTAATGGCGACCAGAACGCCTACCAAGGCGATGGTCTGACTGGCATGGTCGAGGCACCGAAGGCGAAAAGCTCTAACGTGTCTATTTTGGATAAGTATACAATACAGGAGAAAGTTGTGCCGCTACTCAGGGGTATTAAGACAAAGGAGCCTGCGGTGATGGTACGTTTCGCGTCCCATAAGAGTGCCTCAGCTAACGGTGTGATATAGATGGCCGCGCATGATGTCTTCAAGGCAATCGCACCTCAAGTCGATTGTGACTTCCTGGCCATGGACATTCTTCCCATATTGTGGCAATTCAGCTTGGGTCCGTTACTCAACCTACCACAGTTCCAGGCCTACATGACACTGATCAAATCTACTTCGTCGCGCATCGAGCAAGAGCAGACAAGAAAGCTACAGGAACTTGGTGCCAACAACGCGACTGCGACCACACGCAACGAATTCATGAGCTTCGGTGGCCCGCCTGCATTGAATGGTTTCGACGCCACGAATGGTGGTGACGGCACAACTTTTGAACTTTTGGTGCGAGGCAACGCGGGCGCAACTGGCGGTTCAGATATGCTTGGGGGTGACCCATGGGTCAATGCCTCCGTGAACGCTTCTGCCTCTTCTTCTGCCATCTTGCCTTCACGGCCAGCGAACCGAGCCAATAGCGCTTCGCCTGCTCCTGCAACCTTCTCCTGGTCCACGCCGTCTGTCTCACCTCCACCACCAACGAGTTTGTCTGTATCTCAGGGCAACAACAGAGCTGTCACACCCGACGACACCTTCTCATCACTCAACTCCTCGTTTCCAGCCATGAGTCCCGCCAATCCAGGCATCGGCAGTCCAACCTTCTCACAACAGCAGAACAGACCTGCAATGGGCATGAGCAGCATGATATCGCAACCAACAGCAACACCCTCGTATTCTGCACCCAGCTCTAGCGGTGTCGACTGGAGCAAAGCCAACAACACTTCTGTATCAACATGGGGGAGCTCCTCGATGAGCAACACTATGTCCAGTGGTCTCTCGAACTTCTCAACCATAACGTCCTCTGCGCCTCAAGCTCAGCCTCAACGTCAAACGGCTGCCAGTCCGTACTCGGCATTCAGCATCGCGCCGCCGCCTGCGAAGCCTGTCAATACTGGGACCTTCAGCATTGCGCCGCCTACGAGCTTGGGGCAAAGTAGGAGCACGAGTGCGAATGGCGGGTTGAGCATGAACAGTATGGACAGCATGAAGGGTGGGAGTATGAATAATATGGCAGCGCTCAGAGCCCAGACGCAAAGTCAACAGAGTCAGAGACCACCCCAGAACCAGACGCAGCTGAACTGGGGAAATGGCGATAGTTTGATATAGACCGTAGCAGATACCAGTGTAAATTTGTGAAAGGCTGCCATGATGCCATTTAAGTTCAATTAGTTTACTACCATGCCATATGGACATGCGAGATCTGCTTACATCTGCGATCACGCAACACATCCTTGGAATCAGTGGCGCTTGATTCGGCCGACATCGCGATACAAGTCGTGGTGCTATGGTTCGAGGCCATCCAGCACCACACTTTCAGTGTCCGCGGGCCATACATGAATGTGCAACATTTATTCTTTCAGATGCGACATCACCCGCGCTACTGACAGCACAGGGGATTTGCACTGCGGCCAGTCACTCGCGTAAAACGTCCCGTCAGATCGTTGCAGCGTCACCCATAGTTGCACTTGAATATCGAAGATGTTACCCACAATCAGGAGACGAAGGCCTCAAAAACCTCTGGACAAGCAAACGGCAAGCATAAAGGATGCGCTTACATCACATTGGCAGAAGCTTGGTGTCGCAATCCTTGGGGTGGAATTACGTGCGAGAGGAACAGCCGAGCGGGGCCTACTTTCTTGTGTGCTTGGCCCTAATGCTTGCGTGCAGCTTGGGTGCGCTTGTGGCGCGAAACGTCATGGCGCAGTCAACCACGGTTTTTACGGTTCAAATACGCGCGGTGGACGGGTGGCAACCACCAGTGACCGGCATGCTTAGAACTGCCGGCTCGGAATGCAATGGGGCCAGACGGACTTCATGAGTATGATGTTGTGATGGGTCAGTGTGACGATTTGGCAAAACTTCACGTCAAGCTGCGAACTCGTTGCACGAGAGCCGGCAAGACATAATGCGGCCTAGAAATTCCCAAGGCATCCTGATCAGTCAGGAGCCTTTAGTCTACGTCACGGGTCAGCTGTGACGGCCCGGGAAAGGCTGGGATCACTGCCGTACGAGACGCAACCCGCGCGTTTGCCGAGATTCGAGAGGCCAACGAAAACCCAAACACGCAGATGGGAATTCGAATCATGGGCAATATTGAGCGACTGAGTAAGTGTTCTGTCGAGTCGTGGTGTAATTGCCCGGGCTGGACGTTCACGCTGTGCAATGTTTGATAGGTCGCTTGTATAGCAGGCACCTCGATACCTGGACGAGTCCCCACTAAACCCTGTTCGTTCTTGCACAATCCCAGGGTTCTTGCTTCCGGTCACAGCGACTTTCACCCCGCAGGATTCTCCTAGCGGCACTAGCATGGTTCGCTCGCGCCTCATCATCATCTCTAGCCACCGGTACTATAATCGCACGCCCCATCCTCTATTGAACTATCCCATCTCTCACGCTCTCTGTCTGTCATTCACCAACGCCCGTTCGCCTTCTCCAGATCGCGGATTTCCACGCAGCCGGGACCGTCTTGCCTGCGCCTACCTTGCAGAACTTGCATTTCTCATCGACAGCAAGTGGTTAATGCTACCGGAAACGAACATTCCCCGTCGTTTCAGTTACACTCCCTACAAGAGGACCCTCCGCTGTTTAAAATGGCGTTAGGACTGTTCAACAAGGCCAAAACGGCCGACCGCAATTCCTTTACCGACGAGAAGTTCCACTCCAAGGATGCCAGCCATGATCCCGCAAACATTGGCGCCGGGACTGACAGGCTCGCGGATCCTGGTGTGAACCGCGACCCCGAGAAGGGAGTGGATAGCGACAGCGAGGGCAGCATAATCGGCAAGCAGATGGCTATGGAAGCTGAGAACGCTATCAAGTATCGCACTTGCAGCTGGCAGAAGGTACGTGCTTCGTAGAAGGGGATTATTGCATATCACTAACTACTCAACTAGACCGCTGCTCTGCTCTTCTCAGAGTACATCTGCTTGGCCATCATGTCTTTCCCGTGGTCATACTCGATCCTTGGTCTTGTCCCCGGAGTGATCTTGACCGTTGTTATCGCCGCCTTGGTCCTGTACACATCTCTGACTACTTGGTAAGATTTGAGAAACCTCTGTCAGAGACGAGAGCTCGCTGATTAGACCCAGGCACTTCTGTATGCGCCACCCAGAAATTCGCGATGTGTGCGATCTGGGTCAGATGATCTTCTGGAACAAGAAGTGGGCATTCTACGTGACCGCGGTTATGTTCATTCTGAACAACACGTTCATCATGGGCCTGCACTGTCTTGTTGGCGCCAAGTGGTGGAACACCATCACTGGCCATGAACTCTGCACTATCGGTTTCGCTGCCATTACCGCGGTCATCTCGTTCATCGCCTCCCTCCCCAGGACGTTCTCTACCCTGGCCAAGATTGCGACATTCTCCGCTCTATTCACCTTCATCTCCGTCCTGTTGGCTGCCATCTTCTCTGGCATCGGCCAGAAGCCCACAGGCTATCCCGGCAAAGGCGAACTTGAGGTCTACGCAGTTGCGCCGTCGGGCACTACTTTTGTTGCTGGCATGAACGCGTTCATGAACATTAGCTACACGTTCATCGGTCAGATCACGCTCCCCAGTTTCATTGCCGAGATGAAGAATCCCAAGGACTTCCCCAAGGCCCTTTGGTGTGTCACAATCGCGGAGGTCATCGTGTTCAGCTGTGTTGGTGGCGTTGTTTATGCGTACACTGGTACACAGTACATGACCGCACCCGCTTTCGGCTCGATCGCGAACGAGGTGCACAAGAAGATTGCGTTTACTTTCATGGTACCGACCATCATCTTCTTGGGTGTTCTGTACGCCTCGGTGTCCGCGCGCTTCATCTTCTTCCGCATCTTCAACAACACGCGCCACATGGGCAACCACACGCTTGTTGGCTGGGGCGCTTGGGCGGGAATTCTTGCCATTCTGTGGACACTCGCCTTCATCATCGCAGAGGTTATTCCGTTCTTCTCGGATCTGCTTTCGCTGATGAGCTCGCTGTTCGACTCGTTCTTCGGATTCATTTTCTGGGGCGTTGCCTACTTCCGCATGAGGAAGGAGGACCATGGTCCCAAGTTTTGGGCAGTACGTGGAATCAGAGGATGGGCTGGTTTCATCTTCAACGTGGTTCTGTGCGGTATTGGCCTGCTGTTTTTGAGCGCGGGCACATACGCCACTGTTCAGTCCATCATCGACGGCTATGAGCAGTCGTCTTTCGGTGGTCCGTTCAGTTGTGCAAACAATGGCCTCTAGAGAGCGGCGTAGTGAAGTGCTTCCATTATTTTCTCTATTTCTGGGATGTGATCTTTATCATCTTTGATGGATGAACAATGACTTGCAATAATTATACACGGCGCAAACGGGCACAGGATTGGGTACTAGGGGTCGAAAAGCGTGTGGAATAAAATGACCCATGAGCGGGCAACAAGAGATCGCAACAAACACAGTCTGCAATAAACCTAAATTATTCAGCCGTTATGCGTCATGCACGTTGTGACTGCCGTGGCAAAGCGAGATTCCTTCTTTCGGCTTCGGCAAAGCTCGAAGCTATGACGTTCGCGTAGAGGCACATGTTAAACAAGCTGTCAACATCCCACCAGCCTTCTCGCTTACCTACCACTCTCCTTACTCCAAAGCTTCAGCATCCTCCTCTTGCAGCACCTTTCAACTCACTGCCGCCATCATGTTCGACAACGTTGACTTCACCCAACCTACTCTGTGGGGTGCGTCCCTACTCTCCAAGTAGCTACATTTTTGAGAAACTAACAGTACACAGTCTCGGCCGCTAGCATTGCGTTCAATCCTACATTTTGGAAGTAGGTTGCTGCCCCAGAACGCTTAGTCATCGTGCTCGAGCTGACTTGTCAATTAGCATTGCTGCGCAGTCAGGTACGACCCCGCCGTCCAACACCACCCCTCCTCCTGCTTTGAAGCGAGGGTAACCCAACACGCGTCTGATTCTTCGCAGAATATCACAACAAGGTCATCACCAAGCTGTTCGGCGGCAACAGTCGCTATGGATGCTACGCGCTTGCCGTGACCATTTTCTCGCTCGGCATCTTCAGAGATTACCTGTATGTCCTCTCCCGCCTCCCATTCTCGTGGACAGCGCAAGTTTAACACGCCTCTCAGCTACAACGAAGCTCTCGCCGACCAGCCTACCTCACCTCTCCTCCTCAACCCGCTCGTCAAATACTCCGCAATCCCTCTCTTCATAAGCGGCAACACGCTCGTTCTGACCTCGATGTGGGCGCTCGGCGTCACGGGCACATACCTGGGCGACTACTTCGGCATCCTGATGGACTCGCCGGTGACCTCGTTTCCGTTCAACGCGTCCGACGCGCCCATGTACCACGGCTCGACGCTCAGCTTCCTCGCGACTGCGTTGTGGTTCGGAAAGCCCGCCGGTCTTTTGCTGACCGGCGTTGTCGCTGTTGCGTACAGCATTGCTAGACAGTTCGAGGACCCGTTCACGGCTATGATTTACCGTAAAAGGGACGAGGAGCGTGCCAAGGGCAAGAAGGGCTTGTAAGCCTTCGTGTCCTGATGTCTTTTTGGTGAAGCAACGAGCAGCAATGCTGGTCATAGCTCCAGCAAGAGTACAGGCGCGTCACAGAGTGACAATACGAGATAACAAGGTGGAGTTCAACACGGCAGCTAAGCACAGCAGCGGTGTTCGATGGTGACGTCGGGGTTCAACAGTCGGCAGCAAAAGTAGATACAGCGTTTTGAGAACATATTGACACGTTTACGACAGCCCAAAGCCCAAAGCGACAACTCCCAAAGCGACACCTATATCTCTTGTATACCCGGGGTAAGACATCTTAGGGAACATCGTTCTTTCCTTTGCATGTCATGCCGGTTCCCATTATTTATTTTCTGTGACCGGGTCTTTGAGAGCGCCGAGAAAGGAAGGACTATGGCTACAATGTTGCGTACAAGTCTCGATGTGGTGATCGTGGGCCGTGTAGCCACAGGCTGTTGCATCGAGCTAGAGATGGCATATGCGCAGGAAGACCTTCAGATCAGGAAACATGTCAAATGCACTTGGTCGTTGAACATATCCAATTATAGAATCTTTTGTATTAACAAGAATCGCTCTGGCGCCAATGTGATCATGCTATAACCTCAGCTTGTCTTGACAGTGACAATAAGTGCTTCCGCCAACGACATGCCGGATACGCAGCGATGATGCCCAAGCAAGAAACAGAAGTTGACCAGATTCGACGTTTCGGCAGTGCTGAGCTAATTGTATAACTCTAGCAATCTGATAGCGTCGGAGCCTGGGAAGCCTACTCCTCGGCCTCGAGAGGAGCCTCCTCATCGTACTCCTCCTCGGCATCGGAGACGGAAGCCTCCTGGTACTGCTGGTACTCGGAAACCAAGTCGTTCATGTTGGACTCAGCCTCAGTGAACTCCATCTCGTCCATACCCTCACCAGTGTACCAATGCAAGAAAGCCTTGCGCCTGAACATGGCAGTGAACTGGTCACCAACACGCTTGAAGAGCTCCTGGATGGAGGTTGAGTTACCGACGAAGGTGGAGGACATCTTCAAACCGCGAGGGGGAACGGAGCAGAGAGCGGTCTGGACGTTGTTGGGAATCCACTCAACGAAGTAGGAGGAGTTCTTGTTCTGGACGTTGCGCATCTGGTCCTCGACCTCCTTCATGGAGACCTTACCGCGGAAGTAGGCGGAGCAGGTCAGGTAGCGACCATTACGGAAGTCAGACGCAGCCATCATGTTCTTGGGGTCGAACATCTGCTGGGTGAGCTCGGGAACGGTCACAGCGCGGAAAGAGTGAGCACCACGGCTGGTCAGAGGAGCAAATCCGACCATGAAGAAGTGGAGACGGGGGAAGGGAACCATGTTGACGGCCAACTTCCTCAGGTCAGAGTTCAGCTGACCAGGGAAACGCAGGCAGGTAGTGACACCAGACATGACAGCGGAGACGAGGTGGTTCAGGTCACCGTAGGAGGGGTTGTTGAGCTTGAGTGTCCTCATGCAGATGTCGTACAGAGCCTCGTTGTCAATACAGAAGGTCTCGTCGGAGTTCTCGACAAGCTGGTGAATGGAGAGGGTGGCGTTGTAGGGTTCGACAACAGTGTCGGAGACCTTGGGGGAAGGCACGACGGAGAAAGTGGCCATCATGCGGTCGGGGAACTCCTCACGGATCTTGGAGATGAGGAGAGTACCCATACCAGCACCGGTACCACCACCGAGAGAGTGGGTGATCTGGAAACCCTGGAGGCAGTCGCAGCCCTCAGCTTCGCGGCGGACGACATCGAGGACCTGGTCGACAAGCTCGGCACCCTCAGTGTAGTGACCCTTTGCCCAGTTGTTACCAGCACCAGACTGGCCGAAGACGAAATTGTCGGGACGGAAGAGCTGACCGAAGGGGCCAGCGCGGACAGCGTCCATTGTACCGGGCTCCAAATCGACGAGGACGGCACGGGGAACGAACTTGTTGCCGGACGCCTAGAAGAGGTCAGCACTCACAGCCCGTCTTAAGAAAGCGTGGCAATTCTAGTACCTCGTTGAAGTAGACGTTCATGCGCTCGAGCTGAAGGTCCGAGGTGCCATTGTAGACACCAGAGCCGTCGAGGCCATGCTCGCCGGAGATGGTCTGCCAGAAGGCGGCACCGATTTGGTTACCCTGTTAATGGTGAGCTGCTGGCGCCATGAGAGGTTAATAGTAGTATACTTACGCACTGACCGGTCTGGAGGTGAACCTGTTGGGCGAAGAGCATACGTTAGCTGGGGTTTCATTCTATGTTGTGCTGCCTCCAGGAGAACGCGGGGTTTTGTTGACGCTCAGGAGGCGCGCCAAAATCGCGACCTAGAGCGGAAGACGTACAATCTCACGCATGTTGGCGAATTGTGTGCGTAATGGGAGCTACTGGAGCTGAGGATGCGAGAAGCTGGGTAGAGGCTGGCGGTGGTGCGGGTGGAGAGCGAGGAGGGAGCAGAAGAGCGGTCAATCCTAGAAGTTGTTGTCGGTTAGCCTTAGCGTGGGTCTGTGCTGCTAGCGTGTTTACAGCGCGAAGGCAACCGCAAAACAGCATCACAACACAATGAAAGAGGGGAAGGAGGGGTCAGAACTCGAAAATGCGTGATTAGAACTCTATTCGTGCGTTCGAGTCATATTTTTGAGTGCCTTCAGTTCGTGTCAATCGCAGCAGTGCTGTCGACGGCGCGCCTCCCTACTTTTGGCGATAGCTCAGGAGTTCCTTCCTGCTGAGCCGCCCCACAGTAGCTTCCTCTGATGCACATCTCTGAGAAGCCCTACACCACGGCTACGTAGCATTGCATGTATACCGAAAGGCATAAGCCGATGCACAATTCTACAATGTCTTCTTTGCTGTCCCACTCGCAGACCTCTGCGCCTTCACAACCTCGGGCATGGTGAACCAATTTGGCCAATACAACTCGTACTCATCATGCCTGTAGTTGAGACAGTGTCTGAGCCAAATACCCCAGACGATGTAGAAGTAGGCTCCGGTGCCCGTCATCAGATGCCTGTCCTTGTCAGTCTTGGTGAGATCAGAGGCCCAAGGATATGCTTACCACCAGCCGTGGCCTTCCAGCAAGAAGCCCCAAGGAATGCCTATATGGTGCCTCCACTCCTTCACCTTGGAGCAGTGCTCATTATCAAGGTGCCACAACAAGAACCCACCTAGGAAAATGCTCAAACCAGAAACGATCATCTTCCACATCGTACGCAGGATCTCTTCATCTCTCTGGTCCTCATATCGTCGAGCAGTCTCCACAGCTCGATCGGGTCGTGGGTTCAGTGCTTTCCTCTCTTCAGACTTGAACCGCGGCCGGATAGCGACCTCCATCATGTACATAGCGCGGAACAAGACTATGGCTGTCAACAGCGCATACACGTTCTGGTGAAAGGCTGGGTCCTGGATGTGGTGATAGTACAGGGTGACGAACAAAGCCAGAGATATCAGGCCTATCGCGAGGAAAGTGGAATATCTCAAAGACCTGCCATATGAGAATGTCGCGAAGCACATCAGGCATGTTGTGTATATCATTGAGAGTTCATCCACAAGCTGCATGGGATCTGGACGTGTCAGCAGATACATTTACCGATAATGCTCCAGAGCTTACATTTCAGCGTTGCGTGGAAGAGGAAGCTGCCGGTTCCAACAAGGACGTAGCCTATGAAGGCAACCAGGAAGACCGTATCATGTCCATATTTCAGACAATTCCGTATGCCCTTGCTGGCAAGATACATAAACAGCAGGTTGGTGAGTGTGTTGATTATTTCTGCAGCGTAAGACGAGACAACATAATTCTACGCAGTCATCAGCAACTTTCACATCTCATATAACATCCCTCTTACCTCTTCACACCAGTCCAGTGTTGATGTAACAGGACTCCAGTAGCCATCCTGCTCTGGAGGGTACGGAAGACTTGGGAGCCAAGGAAGTAGCGCGATCATATTGCGGCAGTGTGTAAATCGCAAAGGTAGGCTCTGCTAGAATGTGTGAGACTTTTCCGCCCTACAAATCCTGTTTCTTGGGCCGGACGTCTCGGATGTCGGGTTGCTGAGCCTGCCGTTGATGAGAGGTCACCATGCTTAATCGATAGGCTAGTAGCAGGGCAGCCGAATGTGCCACGAGCGGCAGTTGGGTTGAATGAGTGAAAGACTGGCAGGTGTTGCGAAGTCACTCGTCGGGCTGGTGGGAATCTGTCAAATTGTCACTGAACGATAGCAGATTTGTGAAGAGGAAGGAATTCTGTTGTCTGCTCGAGCCATGGCTAGGGGCGCCTGCCAATCAGAGGAATGACAGGGATGTCGAACCGAGAAGCTTGATCCTTGCACTGGCGTTGCCTCCGGAGCGCCCACTCACCATCGACAAGTTCCAAATCAAGCAATCAAGTCAATATGTCGGGTCAAAATGAAGCGCTGCAGAAGGTGTGTACCTGCCGTATTTATATCCTAATTACATTTGCTAATCAACCTAGATGCTGCAGGAGATCAGCCAGAAAAAGGCTTTCGCTGAGCAGCAACTCCTGATCGTTCGCCAGCAGAAGGCAGCGCGTACACGAGAGGGGCGCATGCTGGAGCTGACATCGGCTGAGGTTTCTTCGCTGCCATCGGAGACAAAAGTCTATGAGGGTGTTGGAAAGATGTATGTTCAAACAAGTCGAAATGACCGCTGAACGACCCCGCTTTGACAGAGTAAACAAGTCTGATCGTTACAGGTTCGTTTGCACACCAATTCCGGATGTGCAAAAGCGTCTTGAGGCGGAAGAGAAAGCAAGAAAGGCTGAGATGATCAATTTGGCTAAGAAGGAGGACTACCTGGAGATGACCTACAAGAATAGCAGTAACGCGATCGAGGAGGCACTCAAGAGGCAGGGCTGAAGCGGGGTAACTCAATCAGAGGGACTTTGAGTAGCGATGTCAAAAGCATGCAGAAGAAGTAGGTGGACTGTGTAATGGCTCGATTTCAGAGTGGAGCACTTCATCAGCGACAGTATCACCTCAAGTTAGCCCAGTTGGGATTTTGGAGAGGCTCGCATCACCAAGAGCGCCAGGCATTATGGCTGGGCCCACCGCAATTCATGATACGCATAGTAGAGCCAGGAGGTGGTTGAGTATACCAAAATAAGAATTTCCGGAATTCTGCAGAGATCCTGTCTTAACAAGCAGTCCACATTGCGCTGTCACAGAACGGACCGCCGCGCCGTAATGGTAGCTCATGATGAATGGTGAACGCTGTTCTATTCTGATCGTCTACCTCATCATCTCAATGTTACCAACATGTTTTCAACGCCTTCTATCGACTTCCTTACTTCTTCCGCCGCCCTAGCAACATATGCACCATCAATCACCCGATGATCTGCGCTCCAACTGAACACACACTCCTCCCTCTTTACCAGCTCTCCATTTTCGCCGAATGCGGGTATCACCTTTGCTCGGCCAATGCCTAAGATACCCACTTGAGGAGTGACAATGACAGGGGCAACAGCCGAGCCGCCAATACTCCCAATGTTGCTGAGTGTGAACGTGGCGCCTGACAGATCCGCAGATGTAAGCTTGCCGGCGCGAGCAAGGTCAGCAAGACGCGTTATCTCTTGTGACAATGATCTGATGCTGTGGTTCTGAACATTCTTGATGACAGGCACCAGTAGACCAGATGGTGAGTCGACGGCTACACCAATGTTGTGACCGCCCTTGATTGACAGTTGTGGCTTAGCCGGGTTTGTCGTAGTATCGAGATGTGCATTGAGGAGCGGAAACTGTTGCAGAGCCAACGACACCGCCTTGATGATGATTGGCAGTGGTGTTATGCGCTCGGCCTTATCACGGTTAACGTTGTACTTCCTACGTAGTTGCGTCAGGGAGCTGAAGTCGATGCTGTCGGTGAAAAGGAAATGAGGTATGGACAGTGACTTGGTCATCTGTTTGAACATCCCTGACTGGACCGGCGTCAGGGCGTGAACACGGTCTTCGACTTGTTGCGAAGCCACTGCCGCCACCGTTGTTGGGGCTGATGTAGAGCTCGACGCTTGCTTCGCAGCCTGTGCGTGCCTCTGAATATCCTCCTTCAGGACGCGTCCTTCCTTGCCAGTTCCTTCGATGTCTTCAATATTCAGCCTCAGGTCTTTCAGCATGCCTCGGACCGCAGGCGTTGCCAACGATGCATGCTTTCCTGACTGCCGTTGTGGTTTCGGCTGCTCGGTCAAAGGCTCGGGTCGCAGGGACATTGATTGCTCGGACGAAGACACATTTTCGGCTGCAGCCTTCGTGTCGTTCCTTCCGACCTCCAATTCCTGCGCCTGTGGCTGAGCTGGCTTCGAGGCCTCTTCCGCAGCCCGCTTGTCTGAGCTCCCGTTGAGCAATGCCTCGTCGGCCGCTGATATTTCGCTCTGGATGTCGATGTCGACTAATGGCTACGAGAGTCAGTAAAAGTCCCTGGCTCCCGTCGTTGCACTTCGTACCTTGCCGACCTTAGCCATATCGTCCGGCTCATAGTACAGCTTCTTGATGACACCATCGAACCGAGATGTGATCTGTATGGATCAGTCTGTGTCATCTTGCAGATTTGAGGATACGCACTTCTACTGAAGCTTTGTCTGATTGCACCTCGCAGATCGGGTCGAACTGCTCGACCCGCGCACCTGGTTTTACGAACCATTGTATGACCTGACATTCGGTGATACCTGGTACGAGTGTAAGCCTAAATCTCCAACATGTACATTGCAAGTGCATACCCTCTCCAATATCCGCCAAAAGGTATGGCTTGACCGCCAATCGCGCTGTAGAACCGGCAAACCCTCTCCTTTGCCCTTGTGCCCATGTTGTTGTGTAAGCTGCAATTGGTGCTCTTTGTGCAGTGCTAGACCGGGAGAACAAGCGGGGAGCTTCTCTGTATGCGAAAGATTTCATGGTGGACGAGGTTTGTGTAGTATTTTCGACCGTAGCAGGATCATAATAAAAGTACTGTGGCCGCCGCGGTACGAGAGGTCTTGGGTGAATTGTTAAGCCGACGCGCCCTAAAGCCGAGATGAAGCGCAATAGGAAGCGGCCGCCTCGGTCTAACATCAGGAAGGTACGCGGGGACTAGCGCCACGCTAACGTCCCCCCATACGTAGCGAGAAACCCGGTGTGCCGAGAAAACGGACTATATTCATGCTTTTAAAGACGCTGCATTAACGTCAACGGTGAAATAAACCCATTACCGCGTTGAAACACATACCCCTTTTGTTGTGCTTAGTTTGAAGGGGGACGTTGTGTGAGAAGATCTGCAATCCCTGCGATCTCATTGGTTGATTTCGGTACACAGGGTTTCTCGCCTCGTAGGGGGAGAGGTTAGCTAGAAGTGCGGGTTAGCTTGCGACGGAATTGTAAAAGCTCAAGGCAGGATGTATGAAATACACGGCTTGTTGATCACATCTACTGAGAAATCCAAAGAGTCTTCTGGCTATCTTATAGACTAGTAAGGATCCATGTACTTGCTTTCGTGATCTTCATAGAGAGGGCTTGTAGCTCTGTTCCTCACCAACTGGGCCTGTTTGGGGAGACCATTGGTGCGGCCAAAAACTGCAACAGTGCAGAAGTTTCTCTCTTCGGCGGCCGCATTTCATCCTCAATACCGTTCTCACTCCAAAAGCAATGCCCTCTTGACCGCACCATACGGCGGCTGCTCCGGCTTCGATCTCGCTCGTGCACATACCGGCCATGCCGTTCATGAGGCGTTACAGATCTCAAAGAAAGAACGCCTGCGGCGCAGCTGTGAGTCCGAACTGTGCCTTACTGCTCTGCACTAGATGTTACCAGTTGCGCCTTCCAGCCTCTGTATATACAATGGTGCGAAGCACAATAATCGTGCGCTTATGTTCGCGTGTTGGGTCGAATACAGATCGGCAGACAAGAATCACAAATCCATGAAGGCTTGACTACCAGGCGGTATACCCTACACAGATGTACTCTTTCCAACATCAACTGGGCCGAAAGAACTCGCCGAGGTGAATTCATCCAGCAGCACCTCTTTTAATACGCGCTGGATGCGCAGCTCTTCCAGTCGATTCATCATCGTGCCATCATGTCTGTCTATGGCCAGGCGTCCTCCGCGGGCGGAGTCATGAGGATGGGAGGAATAAGTGCTGCTCGAAGACAGGTGGAGCTGCTGCAGTTAGCGCGGCTGCGTGCCTGCTGCTTTCTCTCCTTCACCACGCAGCATCTTCGAGAACCGGATCGATGCTCTCTGACTGCCGATTTTCTTAGAATGTCTTCGACAATACGATCCACCCTCCATTGCCGCCGTCGTTCATGCCATCCGGTGTGGCATGCTGATCCCCAAGCCCCTTTATGACCCAGGCATGCATGTCTTTGCTGAGCCCTCTTAGTCACCAAACATCCTTATGTTGTAGTAAAACGGCGTAATACGCCAAAGTTATCAAAATCAAGGGATGACATCGCTGCATGAGTAGCAGGAATCCATCACTGAGACCGTGCAAGAACAAGAAGGTCGCACTCAAGTATGTTGGCCATGTGTGAGAGCCAGGACTTGACGTAGCTGAGTCCGGACCTGATGTGCCGAATAGTGCGCGCGAAAAGGTCCGCTCACTGGTGAGTCGTGATCTGATGGCGAAGGAGCCTGTGGCGTACATACCCCCTCTGTATCTGTCCGAAAGTTCATCCAGAGATAAGTCTTGCGCGGCGAGTTGAGTGCTTTCTTCTAGAGCACTTTTTGCGTCTGCGGAGATACTTGTGATGGCTGTTCTGGAGACAATCAATCTTTCGTCCACATTTGCGCTCCACAGACTCTCCGGCCTCGCCAGGATCTTGTTTCGTTGCGCCTGTGACTTCGTCTCTGGGTCCCTGTGCATGGTTCAGAGCTCAGAAGCCATGCATGATCCGATATCTGTATCTTTCAAAATGAACGCAACTCAAGGCCTACGGCTATCATACCACGTGTTACAAGACGAAGCTAGGACACAAGGTCGAACGAGGGAGTATCAAACTCGTGCTCGAAAAGTTCAGGTCATCAATGAAAAGGGCTCATGTCATTGCGTAACTTTGCAAGTACTTACACTGTCAACAGCGAGGACAGCATCGACAGAGCTGTACATGCCACTTGGGTCACTCTACGCAAGGCAAAGCAATATGCGGGGAGGGCGTCGTTCATATGACTGGCAGCTAAAGTAGCATATTCGATCGTTGAATCCTGTTACTGACTCCACAGATGATCAAGAGTTAATGCAGCCAGCGCACTGAGCGCAGGGAAGGCTCGAAGCACGAAGTCAAATCACAAGGTAATACTTGGATGTGCGAAGAGATCGCCATATAGTCTGAGGCCGATCGAAGAGGCCAACGCGGCATTCGCGTTGATACAGTAATGGTGCAGTAATTCCGAATCTGACGCGCGGTACGCTCGAGCGTCACTTATAATATCGATGAGCATCCCCAGGACTGTTCACGTCTTACGACGCTCTCATATACGCAGCTCAGGCCTCAAGCTGAGAATGTGATGCGTTGTGGTCGTGATTCGTCACACTAAAGAGACACTGTGACATGAGAATGTATTCAACCTGGTGGACAGGCAAGACAGGGGCGATTAGAAGGACGCACCTTGACACGTCGAATTTTCCAGGTGAGGTAACCTGATCATTACTGCTCGATGACATCGTATCGCAACGAATTAGGCGTGTTTTGCGACGTCTAGATTTTTGAAAGAGTGACGGGAGAAGTTCATCTTCAAACTTCCGCTAGTCGTCACACACGCAGGGACCTTCCCAAGTCTCGACAGGTACACCGCGGACATTTGGCACGATTCCCATATTCAAACTTGTCTGTCTGCTCAGAGAGCTCGGGACGCATTAAGTTACGCGTATTACGCCCGTACACTAAAGAGGGATACTCAGATCCCTGCTCACTGTTCAGATTTTGTCGTACTCCTTGGTCAAATGCCATGGACATCTAAAAGCGACAAGTCTGCGTTCGGATAGTGGTGAAATAGCGTAGACTCGACTGTGGTGGCACAAAGCTTTGTGTCTTGCAAGATGGAAGACTGAATGTAACTACACGAGTGAGAGCGAGACCGTCAAGCTCTGCTGAACCTGAAACTGTACTCATATCTGCCTTATTGGACTAGACCGAGAGCTATCCGCAACTTAGTGCACAATAGCCTCGCAACACACTGTACCGATGTGCTCGACCAAGCAGCCGGTAAACACCTACATGTTCCTACAGTCCACCGTAGTCAAAGGAGGCTCCAAGGACGCTATGGAACCAGTCACACACTTCCTAAAAGTATAAAGTACGGTCCTTCAGCCGCGGTGTCTTTCTTTGCGATTCACTGCAAGTTGAACGGAGAAGCAAGGCACAAGTTTTGCCAAGAAGGTGGGATACCTATAGCAGAGCAGCACCGCTTGGCTCGATATCTTCGTAGTAGCAACAAGCAAAAGGCAGCATTCTGTCACTGTATACTGGTGCTAGTCAGATGGAAGTTCTCCGTCATTACGCAGTGATCAACAGGTACATTGTCCGCGTCCAGGGCTCGCATTGGTTTGATATCGTGGTGCAAGGTTGTCGCAGATAATTTTCGGTAACGAGAACCTCTTATATCTGACTAACGTGGCGCTGGGTTACATTATGTGGATATAAGTGGCGAGAAGATGCAGACATCAAGATGGAGAAGGATGCACCATTGGCTATCCTAATTGGGAACAACAGAAAGTTGAACATGAAAACCTTTTGAGTTTGCACCAGCCACTCCTACATTGTGAATATAGAAAGGAATTACTCAGAGCTAAATCTCACTTACGTTGCGCTCTACATTCTGCAGAGATTGATGAGCGTAAATGTGCTTGACTGCCTGATCGAAGCAGCTGCGTTTGACGCAACATTTTGGCCAAAGGGCACGGCGAATCGCTAAGTGATCTTGAAACCGCGATAAAAACCCACAACTCGCCGTCAAGGGTCCAAAGCGCATGGAGCTGCTGGCTGAAGAATCCCGCGCTGGCGACCAACACCCATTGCTGGGCCCGCAAGCACGTCATTGTGACTGAGTATGCTCGCCAATGTCTCCAATCATTCTGACCACCACTTCTACGCCTGATGGAGTGCAGACCAAGCGACTCACATGAAGTTGTGATGAGGGCGAGGTGAATACCAAATCGACTGCTGTTCAGTTAGGGAGCCGCGAAGTTTTTTTGAGTTGAAATGTTGAAAGGCAATTCATGTCCCGCGATTATTCGCTTCGGCAGTGACGCCAGACCCATGGCAACCACCAAATTCAGCCTCCCACTTATGAGCTCGTATCTTTGTTGTCATACCCTTCCGGCCCCAAAGCAAAGGCCGATAAGCCACCAGGTATCGCAACCGCAGTAACTTGGTGTCCTCCGACAACTCTGCGATATAGCGTGTGATGGCTTGTTGTAGCATCTGACAGCTCATACCGACTCGTGATGGTAGCGCATCTCCGGCTGCAATCTCAACAAGCTGAAACGATGCGATCGAACGGGCCTGCAGTGTCTGAATGTCGCACAGCAGCGGATGTGCTCTGCATGCTTGCCGGTGCAGCATGCAGCCAGGCTATGAAACGAACAGCACAACGTGCATTCACCGCTACCAACAATAGCCTTACGAGACCCGACATATTGGTTTGTTGAGTATGACTCCAAGAAACAACAAAGGTGTCGCGGGCAAGTATCACTGGTTTCCTATCTTGCTTGGTCATGGGAGAAGCTGTGTCTACTCGCCTTGATTTGTGAGGGTTGGAGAAGGCTGACTGCAACCCAATAAAAGTCAAAGTTAGGCAGCGCGGGGTCGCATCTCCAGCACTGAGGCTGTGAGTCAGCTCGAATCGTTTATCGCTGGCCTCAATAATGTTGCACGATTGGCCAGCTGTCAGGTTGCCGTTGCAGGTTGCCCTCGCACCGGGGGATCGTAACTCGCAGCTCGCACCGACAATCGGACGTCTGTCCTGCAGCAAACCGCGGAATCAATACAGCCACCGATAATTCTTCAGCAGATGCTCCGGAGACCGCAACAGCTCGCACGCAATACGATGTGAGCAACCCCGCGTTCCACTCGGGCCAGCTCCTCCACACCTCGAAGGTGTGGACGGACTTTCTCAGTTCACGCCTCAGACAAAGGCGGAGGAATATCCACCGAAGAAATGGGCAATCCCGCGCCTAGACCCCGCGGTCAGCATCCCATGAGGGAGAGGTTCTGGAAGGCGATCGCTTGTCACTACACGGTCCGGCGCCTAAACAAGTGATGATCCCAGGGTTTATAAGCCACACACTGGCGGGTGTACTTCTCCATTAGGAAAGTCAAATGTACCTCTGTGCGTTCTAGAAGTAGGTACCAATGTACCTCCAAGACGAAAGAAGGGAAGATGATATGTCTGCTGGTGCGGCATCGTAGTCAAACACCTTCCTTTACTTTGCTCCTTGCTTGCAAGCGGAGTTCCTTGCTTTTGCGTTGAGTGCGGAATTGCACCTCCACATCGAGTCGGCCGGGAAGGTAAAGCGGAGCAAATTTCTACGCAGAAACTTCGTGTCTATCTCTCCAGCCACGTTATGATGTCCCTAACATAATCTCTCTGAAAGGTTTTCTCCACAAAGTCTCATCAATGGATGCTGCCGACCCACGTGTGTGGAACTTCGAAACCTGTGGCTGATGTCATGGTGGATATACGATGCTACAAAGATACCTAATGGAGTATGTTCGGTGGCAGGAGTGGTGGGCCCGCGAACAAACCGGAGCTGAAAAGCTTCTCTGCGATGGAAAGTGGGTACACAATGTAACTCTTGATGCACGACGTTGACGATGACGATTATTCACATGGTTTGATGGAGTGAAGACGTTGAGGCATGGATATTATTGCTGGTGAAGCACCGGAACGGTCAAAGTCTGCCCATGCCTGTCGCCGGATGGGACGCATTCCTGAAGTTTGTTGACGGACCGCGCAATGTTCGGCACATAGCGTGTCTACCACCGGATGCTCCCTTCATGGCTATTGTCGAAACGTCTTGTTGCGGTGTGCGTAGTTGCCCTGCATTAGGTGCAACCTTCTACGCCACCACCGTTCACTGAAACAGAAACACTGAGCTTCCTCAAGGGCAGGTACGCCGCGGTTGGCCGGATAGCTTTATGCAGGGTCAACTAGGGACGCCTTGGAGCGAGGCATACAAATTCGAAAGCGAGGAAGGTTTCCAAACACGCGAAACTACCGAAGACCGCGAGAGAAACCTTGCATGCATTTGTCAAAGTCAAATTGTAATTCGAAATCAAAGAGCATAGACTTGAAACGATCCCCGGATTTGCTTTGTCTTTGCATTGCCGCATGCGGAAGGTCGTGTGAAACAGAAATGACAGAAACGTGGATTGCTAGAAATAGTAAGAACAGCGTCTCAAGACTGCATATGCATTAGACTCTGGATCCAGTCCGTGCTTGAGCGAGTGTGCTGACTACGTAGCATGGCCATTATTGAGCTCTACTCAGCCATGCGGAGTGCTGCCATCAGCATGAACCGCATTCGGCATTCGATGTTGCAAGGCTGAGGTCCTGGTTCGCAATACCGTTTGACTCCGAGATGTGCCGTCTGCCGAGGCTTCGTGTGGTCATAGGTACGAGGTTTGTGCAACGTAGCTGTACTCCATCTAAACCCAACATCGAAGGGGCAACGGTGGCTTCACATGCTGTCTACCTATCGAAGGTTCTGAGCTCACAACGGTTCTTGAACCGGCCGTGAGGAATGCTCGGGAAGACCTCCGACATAATATCTAGCCTCCGATACCAAGGTGGAGCGGAGGGTCTTAGTCCATATGGACCCTGAGATTGAGATCTTCTCACGTTGCATGTGAATCGGGCTAATGTACCCCATACTCCGCGGTTGAATCTTGTTTCTTTCGACTCGAGGACAAGAGACAGCCGGAAGAATCCCGCGGCAAGACATCTGACAAGTCGCGGGGTGTCAGGCAGCAGTAAAGTTCCCGACGTGTTTCGTCGCGGCCACATGCTCACCCCTTTGTCCAGCGCCGCCTCGTTGGTGACAGCGCAGCGCATGCTACTGGCCATAACGGCACAGAGTCAGGCAAATGAGACAGAACTGGTTGTGTTGAGCGTCGTTCGCAGTGACGGCTCCTCGCACCATCTGCAAACCGCCGCGAGCACATGGCGCGGAGCTGCAGCTTTGGGCACCGCAAAAGGAAATGCAAACGTCCGGCTGAAGTGCACGGGATGAAGGGAGGCATGGGTATCAGGATTGCCCTCTCCCGATCCCCGAGTTGATCAACAACGTGAACTTGTCTGTTTTAAGCAACTGACTGTGCTTATCCGGCAAAGTTTTTTCGCGGAAGCGGCCGTGGCGTAGCAGTGAGTCGTGGGGGATGGCGGCCGTGTTGTGACTGTGACATTCCTGTCTGTGTGCTTTTTCAGGGTTACGAAGGGAGAAAGCAAGTTTAGCACAGGGGGCGAACAGAGCAACAGTACGGTATCATCAGGCTGTGAGCTGTCGCGTACCTATTGGGGACTTTGAGGTGGCCAGCTGTCGCCCAGGCGACTGGTGATTGTGCCCTGCGGACGACTCATCGCTGCCAGGTTCATGTGCGCGAGATGACAGGGCTAACGTCGGGCGCGATCTCGCAGAGGAAAGGCGGTCTTGAGTCCCGGGTGCCGGGGTCGTCCTCCAGTTGCAGCGGAGCAGACGGGGCTGACGGACGGCCAGTGGCAGATGTGGACGCCGCATTGGTAAACAGCGGTGAATTGCGACGCCCAATAGCAATATTCTTCCGCCCCCTTCGCAGCACACGCCGCATGCAACGCATTCAGGCGGTGACCCACCGCCATTTGGTGCCATTTGCGCGCACTGTATCTCGCGGAGGCGGAAGATATAACGCGAGCTGCCACCTCGGTGCGCAGCCCAAGAAGTCCCACGCCGTCCAGACCATCTGATCTCCTTCGAGACACAAGACTAACAAGTTGCACTTTGCTTCTGACTCGGACTCCTGCCTCCGGAAAACTTCCCCAAACACCATTAAAGGCACGCACCCCCGTGGGTCTTGTTTCCACAAATCTCGATAATCTGCAGTCGGCGACCCTCGACGCGAACCTCTACCCAATACGGATCTAAACCGCATAACCCTGTTTTCACCCACCCGACATCCCACCGTCATACATCACCGGCCGTTTTCGCCTCGGTGTACTTGCCGCGACGCTAAACTAACGCGAACACCACGATCCGAGCAAAACTGTTCACGGCCGACAAAGCCCGACAGCTGCGTATATACATACACTGACCCACCCCATACGCTACTTGCATTTCCAAAATGCACTTTGAAACATCACCAGGCTCGTCGCCATCCAAATCAATCCCCATCAGCATCTCACCAAGAAACATGGCCTCGCCCACCGGATCTCTCTACAGCAACTACTCCATGGAGTCCAATTCTCGCCGCGGCTCTTCCTGTGCCTATCCTTCCTGGCCTACTGGTCCTTCTCTGGAATACCGCAACCCATCATCGTATATCAGCGACGAGGACCTCTTCGGCGAAGATTTCGAGGACGAGTACTGCCCCATTCTGAAGAAGGCACCAGCACCACCGCGAGCTCCTCCCATGGCGCAGGCCTTTCCAGTGCTGCCTCCTCTCTACGCTCAGAAGAAACCCAAGACTCAGTGCAGGCGCAGCAGCGGCAAGCAGCGGCGCACTTCCCAGCCGATGACTCCTATCAGCGAGTCGCCTGAACAGCAAGAGTGAACAACGACAGTGACCATCGTCGACACAACGTAAGTCTACTTTTAGCACCGACCCAATCGCAATGCTTGATTAACATCAAGATACAGTCATTTGTCACCTGCGTCACTGTGGTGCGCGCCTTGTGGCCGCGCTTCTTTCACATGTCGGTGACCGAGAGCATTAGCCACACTCCGCCACGCACAGCCACAGACGGCTCGGCGTTTCCCTTTTGGGACTGCCAACAAAGCTGAAGCCTAATTGGCTTTCTCCAGGCCACTGTGATAGCCTCATCTGTAAGGCTTCCAGCGCACAGCATGGCGAGCATGAGACCTCATCCCTTCAGTCTGACTCAGCCAACACCCTCAACGCTTGTCAGTGTCTTGTGTTAGCTTTATCACGCGCCATCATCAGCATGTGTGAAAAGCTCAGGGCCTCGTCGTTGCGATATGCATGCAACGGCGTCGCGACACGCTTCGAGCCTGCGCGCAACTGCGCAAGGCTCTTATGGGACGAAGCCTTCTGCGAGGGCATTGTCCAGACCCGATGATCTGCGGGTACGGGACTGCAGTAGCATTCCGCACATGGAACCGATCAGTCGCCAGTCGGGGATGGAAGTCTCTCGTCATTGGAGGAAAGTATTGTGATGACCTTCGAGCATTTGCAGGCGTTTTGCATTTTCGCACCGGCATCGATTACCCCCGCTCCGCTGCCTTTGACGGAAAGGCTGGAGCGAATGGCATTTCATGCACAGCAATGTGATTGCATTTAGCGAGGCTTGCGAGGCTTGCCGGTGGCTTGCCTCACCTTACCATTTATGATACCCACATTTTAGATACCCAACACCTTATCGATACTTTACATCAAAATTGTCCCCTGCTCCCTTGTGATGTTTCGTGATGGTGGTGCTGACCTTGGAGCTAACAGGTCCATCACACATCGTCACACTTGACGTGATTGTTGAGATGTGTGGCGCGCTCCTTTAGACGGTGAAGTAGATGAACGTTCTTCTTTAGCACATTCATCGCATTGACACGCTTGGATGGCACGACCTAGTATCAATGACGGTAGCATCTCATTGTCGGGACATTGGAGCGGTAAATGACGGTCAGAATGAGGATCTAGATACGTTGCTCAAGCAAAGTATTTCCAGATAGAGCTTCAACACAACGCTCCGCAGTATCTTCCTTCGAACCAGTGTCTGAAGAAACTTTCTCAGTTACTAATTCGGGCAGAATGGCGACAGTTAAAAATAAGCCTCGAAGTCTGATTCTGATAAGCGAACGGAAGCGGGGGTCTATCCCGTACAGGCCTGCACTTGCATGGTGAGCTCACGCATCTGGTATGCACAGCAGATTCTGTGATACTGTTGGTCTGAATTGCGGTCTGGTAATGATGAATCTGTCTCATGTTGAGGACCAGCGAAAACTTCGAACCACGCGATTAACACACTTCTCTCATCCCTCGCGTTGATTCAACATGGCAATCGTGGGGACGGTCGCAGTGAGGGAGCTTGGTGGTTGGCGCTGGGACAGAGGTGAGGCCCGACAGGGATGCCGCTCCTTAGTGCCAGCGCTTGCAGTGAACATTGTGAAAGACACGCAGATTTCTGTGTGCTGGGCTCTTATGCATTTCTGCTGTTCTCGTGACGATATTGGCGTGGGATTGACAGCAGGAGACACGTCAAGGCATTGATCAGATAAGGACATACTGCCAAATTGCGCTGTATGAGGAACCAGGTAAGTTCGCAGTACATCCTGGTCAGTGATGTCGTGTACCATGTACCTGAAAATGAAATGCGGCGCATCTGGTAGATCGACAAAGCTTTGACTACCGCAGCTGCCAGTGCGGGAAGACAGCGTGCGGAGAAGAGACTCATGTGCGCCCTTCATGTGGCATGAGGGAGCAGCCATCACACCTGTGAATCGTTCGACAGGTGGTTCCTGGAGCTAGGTACGGGACATGTGTGTGTGCCGACAGAGTCATCGTTGAGGGGCTGCCATACGTTGCGATACATGCCCTCGGGTGCAGTGTGAGGTCGGGTTGTCCGGTCAGTGGGTACCAGGACATGAGGACGTTATGCTGTATCGGTGTGCCATGGACAGGGCTGATCCGTGGCATTGCATCAAACCGAACAACCGTTGCTCAAAGACACGATGGTGGTGCCACAAACTCACAAGGCCGTCTTCCGAGCGGGATGGGAATCGTTCCGAAGCGGTGAATAGTGCCCGTTGCCGTCGTCACATTGGGCTGCAAGCTACTAGCAGAGCGTGATGGGCGATGCCATCGCGCAACCATCACTAGAGACTGGAGCAGAGATATCGCGCTCCTTTTTGAACAATGAGTCTGATATGGGACGAGTCGCTGGTGTTGCAGTTGTGCGCATAGTTCGGGTCAAGCGTGTTTGATCCTTGCCAACGGGCCGTAGCTTCAATGCCGCTGCGCGCCACGATTGGGTCGCTGTGGGCGTCCAAGGTGTGATTCGGCTTGCACCGTCACTTTAGTGCATCCAATTAGCAGCCTCCATCATCTGTTCCTCCTCACTGTGGTCTTCCGCGACCTCGTTCCCTGCGTCAAGAAGCGTTTTGAGAGGCTACGCTCCACGTCCATGCAGGCACCGCTGTTTTTGCGGCGCGAAACTGGACCACTGACGTGCTGTGTCACTTCGAAAGGCCAACTTGGCGACCAGCATAACTCACCATGCAGTATGACTCTTCTCGGTGCGTCGAGTTCCAGGTCCATTGCGAGCCTTCACAACGGGCAGCAAATGAACAGGCTTGTTGACAGCCATTAGACGCCTCACACTCCCCTGCCATGCTGTCGTCAAGCATCGCTGGCTCGACGATTCTAACCGTGCTCTACGTCCTATTCTGAGCAAGATCAATCCGTCCTGCGCTCTTAAGCGCCGAACCTTGATAGGCCCCAAGCACCCACGCGCAACTCCTCACATCTCGTCCGCGCTTCTCCTGCTTTTCTCCTTCTCTTTCATTCCTGCTCTGACAGTCTGTCTTTTCAGCTGCATGTACTCGTTGTACCGCTTACACAATTTCCGAAAAGGTCGAATGCAGTGCTTGTCTAACCGCCAGCTTCGATCCTTGTAAGACGTGAGGGGCTAGAGTATACCTCGAGACGCCGTGGAGCAAGTGTGAGAAGCGCACTGCTCTTTAGCGCGCACTTTGCAGTGAGTTCGAAGCCCCTGGCAAATCCTGCAGTCTCATCTCCGTCATCTTGGAAGTTCCGGTTGTCCTTAATCGATAGTATTCCCTCCGTGATGCGCCTCGCGTGTGTGCTTGGATCCAACATCGACTGACCGCAATCGCCTCGCAGGCCACCTACGATGTCTTCAGGCCATGCCCGCCAGCGTTCGAACTCGGCGAAGGGCTCCTCAATTCGATCAGACGTCAAGTTTCAGATACCCACACCGAGCATCACTCCGCAGAATGACGAATTCGCGTTCCAGCCATGCGCCGCAACCGGGTCGTTCCTACTGTACGCGCAGCATAATGTTATTTACTGCCTCCATCATGATACTCTGGCGATAGAGAGACGATTCGAGAGACATAGAGAAGATGTTTCGTGGATCTCAACGGACAACGTCAGTGAGCGCGGAGCTGGTCGATTAGTGTTGAGCTACGACACAGGCTCAACGGCGATAGTATGGGATTTATTGACTGGAGACGAGGTCGCGCGATTTGCGTCATATGAGCAGATAAGAGTAGCGACGTGGATGAGGAACGGGAATGTTGCGTTTGGTGAGTACCAACGCGCCGGTCCGCGGCAGGCCAAACTTGAGCTGATAGTGCAACAGGCAATGCGCAGGGCAACATCATTCTGTTCGAGCCTTCCACTTCCGAGCACCTCTCCGCAAGAACCATTTTCGACCCAATTACCGCACTCGCACCCGCTTCAGACTGCCGCACATTTGCAATCGGGTATGTATAGCTTTCAGATCGTACCGAGTCTGCTAACGGCGCGCAGCTACCACAATGGCTCAATTCTCATTGCAACATTGCAGCCCTCGTTCACCATTCTCCATACTCTCACAACCCCCAGAATCCCCTCTCCTATTGCGGAGCTAGCTTGGCATGGGTCTTCTTCGAAGCAGAAGTCGGAAATGCTGGCTGCGCAGGCTTCGGATGGTGATCTTAGAGTATGGAGTGTTCCGAAAAGCTCGCACGGTGGTGACGCACCCTGCGTAATCCGCGTACTTAACAAGTCTGATCAAAGAGAGCCCGGCCCTTGCTGGTTCTCCTGGTCGAAGAATGGACGCATTGTGCAATACACTGAGGGGTATGTATAGCTCAACTCCTGATGCCCGACTTCCCATGCTAATTGTGTTCACCAGTCAAACGTGCGCGTGGGATGTTCGCACGAAGCGGGTCACGTACGAGACTGTTCCCACAATCCAGGACGTTGCAGCAATCTGCAGCTATGGTGCTACCGCAACTCTATTCACACTGGGCCACAACTATAGCGTTCAACAGTACGATCTCAACCCCAGTGGCCAGCCGATCATGGTCGCCAACGTCCAGCATGCGCCCGCAAACACTCCTCCGTCGCCACCGGTCTCATTGGACGAGCAAAGACAATTACCGCTGCAGTTGGAAGAAGAGCCAGTGACCGCGCACCCCATCACAGCGCACCCCATGAAATCCGCACCCCATGAAATCCGCACCCCAGATGCTTCTTGCCTCAGAAGCCAGCGAGGATGAAGACGCTGTTATGTCCCCACTGCAGAAGATTGCAAATGAACTGGTAGAACTAGAGGATGAGCGTCGAGACCGAGTTGGTCCTTTGAGCCCAGTATCAAGCCGTGCGTCACAGAGCTCCCGCTCTTCTGGTGGCAGCGGACGTCAACCTCGATACCGATATGACAGGCCTACGTGGGGCACGGCTCGCTCGTCAAGGAGCACAGCTTCTGGTGTTTCCGGCGCCTCGGGCACATCAGGCACAGTATTCTCATCTGGAGAGTCGTCATATGCGGCAGGCGCTTCGCAGGCCAGCGTATCCATCCGCTCTGGTACCTCAGCTGGAGCCTCGCGCTACGGCTCTTCAGCCCTTCGCAAAGAGGTGACGCGCAGCCCCGATGAGTCGAAGAAGACCCAGAAGATGGATCTATTTCCCTTCACCAAAGCCAGACTAGCGGACGTTCCCTTTCGACCTGCGGAGCTTGGTCCTGAGCGTACATCAAATGACCTGAGAAAGAACCTGTTAAAGGTTGTGTTTGGGTGGGAAAATGATATTGACGAACTCATCCGTGACGAGCTTGCTCGTCACCCTACTGGGTCAGCTGCCGCTGTTCTGCTTTCCAAGTGGCTCGGTGACCTTGGAGCTGACTTCATGGCATCTATGGTAGGGTCTGAGTCCATGACCTCTTCGGACTGGATGTTGCTCGCTCTGAGTAACATGGGCCAAGGATCACAGAAGAAGGTGGGAGAGGCTTTCGTTCAGCGACTGCTCGAAAAGGGTGACATTCATCCTGCGGTTGCAATCCTTCTTGGATTGGGTGAGCAGAACGATGCCATCGAGGTCTACGTCTCACAGAAGCACTACATGGAGGCTGTTCTACTGACGTGTCTGATCTTCCCGACTGATTGGCAAAGGCAATCCTTCCTGGTTCGGAAATGGGGAGAAGCTGCTGTTGCGAAAGGCAAGGCTGAACTTGCAGTCAGGTGCTTCTCGTGCATGGGTCTTGAAACCACTGAGCCGTGGTTCTCTCCGCGCGCTCAAGACGCAGTTTTCTCCGCGCAAAAGCAAGCCCTATTGGGTTCACAACTCAGTCCCCCATTGTCGCCTCCTAGTGTGGGAAGCAGCAGAGTCGCCGCTCGCATGGCGTCGCTCAAGCTCGTCACCGACTTTTCTCGCGGACCTCAACCTAGGCAAATCGTCCGTGGGGAGAACGATGCCCGCACTCCCATGATTGCTGGTACCACACCCATCGCAGAGTCGGCCACGACCCCAGCTGTCGGCAACCACGGCTGGATTGGTCGCAGCAGCACTCGAGACCGGTCTCTGGAGCCATCCTCTGCACGGACTGCGACGCCTGGAGCATATGGGTCCAGGAAGAGAATACCATCACGGTCAGATGCTGGTCGTTCTACGACAACCAACGGAAGCCTTGCATCTCTTGCCATTCCTGATCGCGGACAGCGAGAGCCTTCTAAGCCGAGGACTGCTATTGACAATATTGGCCGCGAAGCTGAGACTCTCCCATTCTCGACCAGACGCGCGACTTCGGCAGGTAACGCCGGCGATCTTATGCTCTCAGCCGCTATGTTCGCTCCTACCAAGACTGACGACCACCTCCCTTCACCTGCAGTCGGTGTGTTCGATGCATTCAAGGAAAGGAAGACTGTCTCTCGCACAAGCTCCCGTAGTCGAAACCAAAGAGACCTGCATCTGGCCATGGACACCACCGTTGTAGAGGCGGGCCCAGACACGCACTACACAAACAACCTCAGCCCACCACTGACCGATGCGAGTCTAAAGAGTGCTAAAGCCCGCAGCATCGATGAGTTCATCAGCAGCCTCGATGAAGCCAACCACTTTGCTCGTGGTACTGATCCCAGGCCTGAAGAAAGGCCCGCCTCGCGCACAGCCAGAACGCGTAGTCGTACTCGTGAAGAGTCTCAAGGTCGTGGACGATCCGATGTCCGTTACATTCGACCTGCCAAACGCTCGCCCTCATCACCTGTGCCTATGTCACATGAGGGTGCGAGCACGACCAGCAGAAAGGAGGCTTCGACAAATACGGAGGCATTCGATGACGAGCGTTACTACAGGGAGCTTACTTCTCCGGTCGCGACCGAGTCGGTGACAAGCACCCGCAGGGCACGCAGTCGTGCGCGATACGGTACCAGCAAGACCAGGACCTCATCTCGAACTGCACAGCGCACTGAGTCCCCTGAGGCTGCTGTGCGTACACACAGCAGAGGTGCTAGCCGAGCTTCCAGTCGTCGTCCCACCGCCGACCGTGGTCGCAGTGGCATGCGTGGTGATCGCTCTCCTGAGTCACCCCAGTCAATGAGGGCCGAAGACTTCGGTGGCAGCAGCACAGATACCAGCTCGGCTCGTCCACGCCAGCGCAGTACCAGCCGTGTACCTCGAGATCGGTCAATCAGTAGAAGACCTACGCCTGCGGTCCGCGGTCCCAGCCTGACCCGTAACCAAGCACGCGCTGGCTCGCCCGATTCAATCTCCTCAAGCCTTCATGGCGCCCCTCGATCACGCCCACTTACTCGTACAAGGAAGGAGCTGGCGGCCAAGGAATTGGAAGCGCGTAGGCTGTCATTGGCTCGACGACCTTCTGCCCCGTCCATTCCTCATCCTGAGGAGCTGAGGTTCAGGCCACTCTCTGGTGGCCGTTCCAACACGGACGATTTGTTGGGCTCAATCGCGATGTACCATGACCCCATTCAGCGAAGTCAAACAGCGGATCCCATCAATAAGCCGGTCAACAGGTTCTTGGCTAAGGGAACCTCGACACCTTCTGTGCCTATTGGGCTTCCAGCCAACCCTCGAGCTATGAGGCATCCAAGGTACATGTCTGCCGAGCCAGAAGCAGAAGACATCCCTGATGTGCCCGCCATTCCACAAGGTATCTACGCGCAGCCTCCACAAGAGGAAAGAGAGGACGACATTGGTCCTCTCCTTCCTGCGACAACGTTCTTGCCATCAACCACGTTTGGCCAGCCAGCGAACCTTCCACGTTCGGCATCAGCACCTCCCCAGGAGATACTCTTGCCGAACGCTTTCCATGATGTAGGAAGGCGTCCATCCCTGAACGGACCTCGCGGTCACACGCGCATGAACTCACCGCCAGAGATACTGCCGCCTTCAAACTACAAGCGCATCAGCCCACCTCCATTCAGGAACAGCATTGACGGCGCCAATGAGACTCAAGTCATCATCATCGAGGAGGAAGATGCTGCCCCACCCGTGCTATCTCAGCTTCAACATCTGGGTGCTCCACCACCCCCTCCACCGCCGCCCCCGCCACCATTCGTTATTGGTACCAGCAGTACCCCTAGCAACATCAGTATCGTGAACGTTGGCATTGATGAAGAGCCACAGCGCGTCTCTCCAACAAACGCCACTGCAACTGGGTCACCTCACGCTCATCGCCGAGGTCGCGGCAGCGTCAGCGAGAACCTCGGCTCGACATTCCGACGTGTCACGGATCGAATGCGTAGTACCAGCAGATCAGGCCATAGGTCCCCACCAGCTCTACGCGCAGATGGTGTCGCCCCTTACGAGAGTGTTCCAGACTACTCATACCCTCGCAACACGAACACACGCTCACCAGGCGAGGGCAACAACATCGACTCGTACTTCAACAATATGCCGTACCCTCCACCACCGCCTCCGGTCCAGCCCTGGGAGCAAATCATTCCTCCTAGGGAGGAACAATCCTACTACAAGCACCCAAAGGAGATTCGCGCCAATATGCCACCAGAGACACTTCAGGCTGGCGTCTACAAATCTAGTGCCTACAAACCTGAGGCTACGCCCATGATCTGAACCTCAGGTTCTCCACCTACCAGGCAACACCTAATTCTTGCATCACCAAATATTGAAACGACCTCACGACCAATGTATCTTCGGCACAATCTCCATACCCGTTCATTGAGCATTACTATCATCAAGCGCAGCATCATTATTATCCCAGATCCCAGTAGCATTAGCGGCCTTTATTGTCTCCGGATTAAGACTTGGATTGGAGGTTCGTCCCTCCAAGCGCTTCGCGGCGGAAATTGTCGATACCCTTGCTTTCTTCCTTTCTTCCTTTCTTCCTGTCCGGACAGACCTCGGTCTGAGTCAGACGTTTCGTGCTATTCACTTGCTTATGCGCTACGACCGGGGAGAGTATGGAACATGATACAGGATACAGGGGCGTGGGCCATAGGAGGATTAAGAGCCGGAGACTTTCACGCTATTCTAATGTACATTCTTGCCGACTGTCTCTGTTGTTTGCTGGATGCTGTGAAGGATTTTGTGTGGCTTGTCGCTCTTGCTTGCTGCTTCCTTCTGATGCGTGTTGCTCATACTTGATCAGTTTTTGCCCAAAGCAACATGACGACATCGATCGACACAGAAGAAGACGGACGGCCTCACGGCCAAAAGTGCTTTGCCTTTTGCTTCTTGACTATCCTTAACTATCTTGGCTTCTTAGATTGCGACCTGCGCTGCATTGGTCAGACAGTCAATGAACATAACGTCAAGGCTCCTTGGATTTGACTCATAGCCCTTTACGTGCATGGCCCCTCATGCCAACAAGATATTCTAATTCTTTAGCCAGCTACACTGGACTACTTTTTTAACCTCGCCATACATGATAGTATGCCACGCTCGAGACGTTACAATTCCTCGAACTTCTCGTCCCGGATCAACAACACGCCACAGAGCAATAGGAACATTGCCACAGTCAAGTACGGCAACAGCGTCGCCTTTGTCGACATCCCTCCTTGTGAGCAGAAATAAACCATCCGCCGTGGTCGCGAACATACACCGTCTCGGTGATTATGGCAATTGCCTAAGCCTTGATTTCGTTTCGCCTTCTCTCCGTTCAGGTTTTGGCTTCCAACAAATGCGATGGCTCCCGCACGGGCGCTTATCATAGAGGTGAGCTGAGACGGCGTTCGAGATTGCAGCCGCATAGCACATTGTTAGCAGACTTCCGGCGCGTATTCTTCTAGTGATGATCCTGTCTCATTCTGATATATCGTCTGTCGCTGGGCAGCGCATCTTAAGTCCCTACGGAGGCTGTTTAGTCTTTCGTCATGCAGCGCCAGAAGGCTTGGATAGAGTTTGATTGATATCGCATCAACCTAAAGCGTCTGCGCTACGTCATGCTGAAGACTCGATACAATCGTGGTCATGGTAGTGTGCATGCATCTGCGGATGGCGACTACCCTACGGAATACTCCTCGGCCTCTACGCTTACCTGCGCCCTTTCGGAAGCCGTTTCTTGCGCGTGCCTGGTATGTACGTGCATACATCAGCTTGGTAACTACTAACAACACTTGCACAATGTGGAACGGCATGTATCGTCGTACAGCTTTCTTGTGATATTCATCCTCGGAGCTTTTGCTCCAGAGTGTATAAAGACGCCGCCCACGCAGGTATGCTTTTCCATGTCCATACGCGCCAACACAACACCGCTATGCTGAAGGGCATCGGCGCCCTGCAAACGCCAGCAAAGCACATGCGCTGAGAATCGCTCTACTTCTTGAACACTGAAGCGTCGCACCACTTGCTCGATGCCTTGCTCCTGTAATCATCCTGAATCTTCTCGTCGCTCTTCCACTCGCCTAGCAGCGCGAGACCATGCTGTGCCTGCTCGGGTGTAATGCTTGAAAGATCGAGTGTCTTGACAAGGTCTGTTTCGTTTTGGCTCTTTGTGCTGTTTTCGAGGGCGTAACGAGCGCTATATCCGGCTTGGAGGTGTGATGCGCTCTCCGAGTGGTTCTTGATGAACTCATCGTTATAGGTCTTCAGATCAGCGTCGGCGGCAGGTGTGGTAAAAGTCTCCTTCATGACCTGGGCTACTTCGGCTGGGAGATCTGAAGCTTTGCTGACTACGATCTGTTAGTCTGGTAATCCTACATTCTATGCGCAGATGACTTACGAGCTTGACGTAGGCGCACGCTCTGCTCATGGGCCTTGGGGTTATCAGAGTCCAGCTCCCGTGCAGCCTGCAAACATTTAAGAGCAAGCAGGTATTTCTGTCTTCTGAGGTAGACCTCGAATCCAACGTTCTGTGCCTCAACGATCTTAGTGCTGAGCTCAAGCATGGGCACCAAGAACCTCTGAGCAGCCTCCAACGGCTCCTTGGTCTGCAACAGCTTCTCGCCTGTAGGATCTGTGTCTTCCTTCTTCTTATCCTCATCATCTGCCTTAGCCGTCGCCTTAGCGGCAGCGGCCGCTTTTCTATCAGCCTCCTCCTTCTCTTTCCTCTCACGCTCCTTCTTTGCCTTCTTCTCGGCTTTCTTTCGTTCTGTGGGGTCAAGCTTACTGAGGTCCTCCTGGTTGGGGTTTGCCAACTTGGGGTCGTCCGCGAGCTTGAGGTAGATCTTTATTGCGTTGATGGCTGCTCTCGTGAAGAAGGGGTGGTCGCGGAGGTGGTCTTCCCATCTGATCATGTCAATATAAGCGCGGATCTGTCCCTTTCGTAATGAGAAGCTGTGGAAGTCGAATTGGTCTTCATGCCAAACGTCAAAGATGTCTGCTATCGCGGTAAAGCGCTTCAAAGCCAAGCCATAGTTCTGCTGGCGCGCATACGCCTCTCCATCCTCCAGCAGGAACCACATGCACTGCATGTCGTGCAAATCACCGAGCGGACCACCGGCTGCCTCATTTCTTGTGAATTTGCTCATGGTTGTTAACGCCTTCTCGTTCTCGTTGGCACGAAGCTGGTACTTGGCGCATTTTGTGTTGATGTAACGGTCGCGCTCGTCGAGCTCGCGTGCGTAGTTGATCGTCTCGGCAGCCGTTTTGACGTTACCGGTGTGCTTCTGAATGCGCGCCTTCGTCTGGTGGTAGTCAACGGACTTAGGGTCGAGTTCAATGAGTCGGTCAATGTACTCGTTGGCCTTCTTGAGGTCGCGACTCAGGACGTAATTGTAGTGCTGCGCCAAGAAGTAGAGTACAGACTGCTCAAAACGGCCTGAGTTGTCGCCATTGGTCTCCTCCTTGGCAGATCCGCTCGCCCTCTTCTCCGACTCGTACCCAAGAACCAAACCTTCGATGATGGCCTTTTTCTCAGCATCGGCATACAGCGACTTGATGTTAGGAAAGGTGGATGGGACACCCTTGTTCAACTTCCAGCGAAGGTATGCGTCTGCGGCAGTCTTGAACGCATCGCCGGACAAGAATTCCAGGGGCACGCGTCTGCTCGCATCATTGCGGTTGTTCTTTTGGGCGTACGATTGGTAAAGTTCCGCGAGCTTCTCAATATCTGCTTCGTTGTCGCGGCTGAGACGAAGCGACTTCTCGAGTCCATCGAAATAAGCCCGGTACTCACAGTTTCTTTCCAGCAACTTGCGATATGCCTCCTCAGCCTCCTCCGTGCGCCCAAGGTCCAAGAGGTACTTCGCGCGCAGCTCGTAGGCAGATGTGCGATCCAAGTTGCTTTTGATGACCTCATTTAGATGCTTCAGCGCGCGCTCGATATCACCTTGCTCGGCAATAATCGTGTTTTTGTAGAGAACGGCTTCGGAGTGTTCGATATCGCCCTTCGGCGGTGTTTGCTTCAGCGTCTCCTCGTAGGTCTTAAGGATGTTCTCTGCCTCGGTCAGATTGCCTGCTAAGTGGAAGGCTACAGCCAAAGCGGTCCAGTTCTGGCGCAATTGAGGGCGTTCCTGCATCATCTTCCGCCGGCTCTCGATGTAGCCCTCGTAATCGCGAATCTGGCATTGGAGGAGGGCGAGATCGCGCAGGATGTTCAGCGAGCCCGGTTCTATCCGCAGTGCGAACTTGTAAGCCTTGATCGCCTCTTCGTAGTTTTTGACTGAACGCCATAGCAGACCGTAGACGTGCCAGCAGATGTGCGACCTCATGTCGTTCTTGAGGGCGGCCTTGCAGAGTGCGAATGCCTCCTCGCCATGTCCCTGCGAGTTGAGAATGAGCGCCTTCATGGCTTGTGTATCGCCGTGGTTCGGGTGCTTCTTGAGGATCTGGTCGGCGGCTTTGAGGCCTGGCGGAGTCAGCAGTGCATGCTGGCGCTGTTGCAGGGCGACGCACCCTTCTTGTATTGTTTGCCCTCATAGTATTTGACGACAGAGCGAAAGAGCGTCTGCTCCTTGCTGGGCAAAGGCTGCGGCATCGTGGCTGTGTGTTGAGGGGTGGAGGGATGTATAGTTCGAGAGCTTCCACACACGAACGTCTCGTTCGAAATCAGATCGGGTCGGCGGCGACTGGGGGTGGAGGTGAGGGCGAATGAGGAAGCGTTGCAATATCAACAACAAATCATTGCGCCACCGAAATAATACAGAGTGGAAGTGACTGTCTAGAGTCGTGAAGTGCGTTACGTCGGCCGATGTGGGGACCTCATAATTCAAAGCCGGCACCGCAGTACCTAGCGCCCGCGACAGATCACGTGCTTTCGACATTCACCCCGCCATAAGCACGAACATACTTCACAATAGTAGGCTGGAGGGTAAAAACTGAATATTGATAGCTTCAGACTCACCAAAGATAGCTTATAGAATTTATGTAGTGAGGAGAAGATTGCGTCAACATACAAAGTGGAAAAGCAGTGCCTTGGTGGACAATCCTTCAAGAGGTTTTGAGGTGTACACGGTGCTATGCGATATAAAGCGACATGTCCCTACCTTACGTTACGGCCTGATCGCCGCCTCGCACTCATATCTTCCTCGGACTCTGTCCTCTTGCCCTTCTTTGACGCTGCACCGACTGACTTCTTGGGCTTAGAAGCCGCTGGAGCCTCCTTAGTCTCAGCTTGTTCTCCAGGCTCCTGCTCGAGAATTTCCTCAACCACTCCATTGGTCTTCTTCGGTGCAGCCTTCTTCTGTGTTGCCTTCTTGGGTGTGATGCCTGTCTTCTGCTTCTTTGGGGCAGGTGTTTCCTCTTCTCCTTCCTCAGACTCATCTTTGACCTCGTAGTCGACCTGTTTCCATTCTCGCTTTGGCCGATTTGCTGCTGTGGCTGCCTCGACTGGCTCAACATCCTCCTTCGCCTTGGGCTTTCTCTTTGCACTTTTCTTTGGCTTGACTTCTGTCTCGCCCTCGCCCTCTTCTTCAGCACTCTCTGACACATCCCCCGCAAAGGCGGCTGTCTTCTTTTGCACACTGGGTACGACAGCAGATGTACGACCACCAACTGTCAGGAATGTGATCTTTGCGCCGTTTGGTAGCTTGCCGCCGTTCTTCTTTCCTTTATCCCAGCGATACCTCATCAACCAATCCTTTGGAAATTTGTCTGACTCGGCAAGTGTGTCGACTGCTGTGCCACAGACATACACAATTGCGTCATGCAGCCTCTTGATCTGCTCGTCGCTGAACGTGTTGCTGTACTGCTCCGGATGTAGCTTTGCCTGGTACATTGTCTCATCTGCAACCCAGTTCCCTATCCCTGAGATATTCGCTTGATCCAACAGTAGTGCCTTTACGGGTACCTTCTTTCTTCTCAGTAAAGCGGTGAGCCACTTCACGGTGAAGATGTCTTTGTCTATGACTGGGTCAGGCCCGTTCTCCTTCAGCGGTGACGTCTTTCTCATCTCATTCGCCTCGACGTCGATCAATCTGCATCTTCCCAACCTCCGTGGATCGACGAATGCGACCTCACACTTGGGGTCGCCCTTCAAGTCCAAGACGAACTTCGAGAATCTCGGTGGCCAGTCCGTCTCCTCTTTCTTTGGTTTGTAGTACGCACTTGTATCGTCAGTGCTAAACTTGATCCACCCAGTCATACCCAGATGCATGAGTGGATGTGGTCTTGATTCCATAATCAGCCAGAAGTATTTTCCTTGCTGACGGGCATCGAGCACCTTCTTGCCGGTCATAGCGGTCTTGAAGGCGCTTGCTGATGTGCCAACCTTGCCGAAGAGAAGGTCATCTTCTTCTGCGCGGACAGACAAAATTGTGCGACCGACGAGGTGCTTTTTGAGGTAATGTACTATGCGTGCTACCTCTGCGATCTGTCGGTGTTAGCACTACATTCGTAAGCCAACGACAGTTCTTGTGGGCTCACCTCAGGCATGATGACGGCCTGATGAATTGAACAGAAGTCTGTAGGTTGAACAATTAGATGCACGACACGCTAAACCCCAGGGACTGTAAGGAGCACTCGTAAAATTGTGGATTTGTTGATTGTTGTTCAAGACAGGAGCAATGACGACTTGACTCGAAGTCCAAGCTCCCGCGACGCGTCCCCTCAGCGCGTCTTCACAAGATTTAGCCGCACGACGTCATTGGCTAGTTCCACAACCACACCCATCAGTCCATCAACGATGGCGTCTCGAACTCGACATGTTCTCATCACAGGGGGGAGCCGGGGGATCGGTCTTGCTATCGCGCAGGCATTCGCGAGACGATCCTACCGCTGCACACTAATCTCGCGCTCTGAAGAAACCCTCAAAGCCGCAATATCAACATTGGAAGCTTCAGCACCTCCACATCACTACATATCCGGCTCCATAACCTCGCCCGACTTCTGGAGCACCACTCATTTCAAAGCCGCTGGCCTGACCAAGAGCGAAGTCACCTCAAAAGTCGACGTCCTCGTAAACTGCGCCGGGATAACGCAATCACGTCTCTTCACCACCACGCCCGCAGAAGACATCCAAGAGATCGTGGACACAAATCTCACGGCTTTGATGCTGGGCACAAGATTTTTGTTGCGGAACAAGTATCTGAATTCAACAACAAAGTCACGTGCAGATGCTGGGCTGGATTCTACTCCCTCAATCATCAATGTGTCGAGTCTGCTGGGGGTGAGTGGTGGCCATGGTGCTGTCGCATATGCGGCGAGTAAGGCGGGGATATTGGGATTTACGAGGGCGTTGGCTGCGGAGTATGTGCAGCATGGTGTTAGGGTGAACGTGATTGTGCCGGGGTATGTGGAGAGTGATATGACGAAAGGTATACACTTGCGATTCTGTCGACTCATGGGATCGGAGCTGACAAGGACAGATTTGAACACATCACAGCTCAAAGACCGAATCCCTTTGAGGCGGTTCGGTCAGTCAAAGGAGATAGCACACGCGGCGTTGTTCCTTGCAGAGAATCAGTATGCGCATAACTGCGTATTGAATCTAGACGGAGGGCTATCTGCAGTACAAATTACGCAGTGATGAGGCCCACAGCCGAATCAGTGGGACGCTAGTGGCATCCTGACTTCTATACGTGAAAGTCAAAGCAGAAGGTATACCCATTTCCAAACGCCGCCAAAGTCGCGCCATGCTGATATAATACAGAGGACTTCCAGTTGGATGAGCACATCGATGCGTTGTAGGTTGTGAAGGGCTGGGAACTGTCGCCACGGAGGGACGGTCAAATCGTATAGGTAGTGTGAGCTGCGAGAGGTAGGCAAGGCAGAACATCTTGCATGAGCTCAGTCGAGCTCGATCACACCGTCGTCTTTCTCGTCCTCGATGACCAAAATATCATCAGCGTTCATGACTTGCTTCTCTTTTATGACCTTGCCTTTCTTCCTGACAATGTCGTCTTCAAGGCTGGCCTCATCGGCGGTTCGCTTGACACCACTAATTGTGCCGTTAGAAGTACCGTTCGTGTTTGCGTGACCATGGCCGTTGGTAGATGGCGCTGCGACAGGGATAGCTGCCTTGGGCCTGGTTGCGATCTTCAAGTCTCTGAGCATGGAGATCGGCTTGTCCGCAGACGGTAGATTTTTGGCATCAATACTGAACTGGACATTGACCTTACAATCCTCATCGGCGTCATCGATGACAGTGACTGAGCTGCCTGTGATGAGTCCAAGCTCACTGAATGTCTTGTCTAGGTGAGCGTCCTCATCAGCGTCGTAGAGCAGATCACCATCCTTAGTGACGTTAAACTCCTCACCGTAATCAAGCTGACTCTTGAGTACGTCCTCCACCAAGTCGCTGAGCTTCGCGCGCGCAGTGTCAACTGTCAGTGTAATCTGCGTCACACTGCAGGTCGGGCATTCGGGGTTCGGTGGCTGTACCAAGTCTGCCGCAAGATTTCGCTCAGTCGTCCTTGTCAGGAAAACGACCTGCGCATGCCGCTTCAGCTGTTCTGGGTCGGTGTAGCGTAATATCTTGAAAGCTTGGAGGACGCAAAGTCCAGCAGTCATGGCGTTGGTTGTTGCGATTGCAGGAATGATATTGCCGGCCATCTCTGTACGACGTGTTAGCCGAGAGAGCTCTACTTTTCCTAACAATACTTACGCTTGATATCGAATTTTGACCGAGGCTCAATTCCAAAGATGGCTGCACGCAGGTTAGCGCTCGCGACAACAAAGTCCAGAGTGTCCGCATCGTCCTTGTCGAAGCTTAGAACGACAGCTGATTTGCCGACTTCTTTTTGCGCACGCTCAGTCTCCAGACGCTGGCCCAATCTAAGGATACTATCCACAAATATCGCGAAGTTCTCCTCTGTGCTCCATGTCCTCTGATCGTCCTGCAAGAGTGTGGCTGCAGGGACCGTGCTCTCCTCTGACAACTGGTCGAAGTCCAGCGCAACGGGTGCCCTCTTGCCCTTCCACATATCTTCCATGCTCAAAAGTCGCTCGATATCCTCCCTGAACACCATCTCGAAAACAGCACGGGGGAAGTTTTGCGAGCCCATCTGCTCTCGTACGCGCTTCAGTTTTGTTGCCTCCTGGCGCAGCTTGGCGATTTCATCCGCATTGTTGCCCTCCTTGTCCAAGCTCTGATCTAGCTCGGGTGCATCGTCCTCTGAGATACCAAATAGCTCGGCGAACAAGTATGACTTGCCCCATACTATGCAGTGGATGAGCTGCGAGGGTGTGCTTCGAATCGTGCAAGTAGCGAACGTTTTCGGCGTGGGTTTCGGGACGCAGTCATAGCATTCGGTGTCGCCCTTTTTGATGACCTGCACATTGCCGTTGAAGCCAGTAGTACCACTCTCGATAAGCGGTACGTTGCTAGCCAAGCACATCTTGTTGACATGGCGGCGCGCATCGAGGTTGTCTAGGGCGTTGAAGACGAGGTTGAATTGCTGGAACCACGCGGCGTTGAATTGCGAGTCCTTGATGTTCTCATGGTACGCTTCGATCTTGACGTTGGGATTGAACTTTTGCGCCGCTTCTTTGGCAACCTGCTGTGGTGTCAGCGCATGCCCTCATACCCTTCCAAGGGATCATATCTCTCCGTACCAATGCTTTTGACTTCTTGATGTGCTCGTTGCGGAACAGAAATTGACGATTGAGGTTGCTCAGGTCGATGGTGTCGAGGTCGACGATGTGAATTTCGCCGAAGCCGGTGAGAACGAGGTTCTTGAGCAGCTCGCAGCCGATGCCGCCAGCTCCTACCATGAGTACGCGCGACTGCCGCCTGTTAGTAAATCCAATGTCTTGTGTTCGGTGTCTCGGTCGCACCTTCTTGACCATGCCGTGCAGGGTGCCGCCCAGGCTCTGCTGAGCAAACTTGTCGCGTGACATTGCGGGTGAGGAGGTGGTTGGCGAGTGTGGTGGAGGAGGCTCGGTCGTCACGGCATGCGCGAATGGGTGGAGGCCGCCGGCGCGCGGATAATTAGAGACCTCAAGGTGAGAGAGGCTGCGACGTCAGTGCTGCGATTCTTAGCGCTGATCCACCGGCTGCAGCCTCAAAGCGCCTCGCGTAGGTCGCTAGCGCGGCGCTCTAACGCGTGGGATGTACAACTCACGCTCACCAAGTCACATGTTCGACATCAAAATCCAGGGTCACCATGAATTTCCAGGGTTGAGCGTTTTTCATTGAGAGCACGGACAGAGATTCCAAGGACTTGCACCTGGGTCGTCTTTCCTTCACCACGGACCTTATCTGGCTAGCGCGGACGTGCCTTCCCCCCAGCCGAACAAGCAGCTTCAATCCTCACAATGTCAGACGACGAAGTTGATCATGAGCTTCTGGATCTACTGCGGAGGCGATTTGGCATTGGTGTGAGAGATGAAGGTCCTCCGGAAACCAAAGTTCTTCAGGCTGCCGAGTTCATCTATGACAACAGTATCGATGTGGCCTTGGACATGCGCTCGACCAAAGTTGCCGCCCAACTAGTCCTGGAAGAAATGGAGAAGAGAGATTACAGCACTAGGACATGGTCGTCCCATGAGCTGCATCCCAAAGCTAAGGATGAGAGCACCGTCAACTTCATCTTTACTATGGACCTATTGAACTTCAGCTTCTGGAGTGAGAGGGCAGAGGAGGAACGATTTGCTGTTCAGTACAAAGAGAAGAAATGGACGGGATATTGTGGCTTGGTGGCTGTGCTGCAAAGAGCGATAGACGAAGACATTCCCATCACCTCACCTGAGTTCTGGATCGATGAGAAGTGCACAGATGAGGTGCTCAAGAGGGTGTTTCGATCAGTGAATGATGAGGAGCCGCCAATGTTCGGAGAGCGAATACGGTGTTTGAGAGAAGCTGGACGAGTGCTAGACGAAGAGTTCGACGGCAGCATTGTCTCGCTGATCGAAGATGCTAAGTACTCAGCAGCCGGCCTTGTGAACCTCCTTGCCGAGAAGTTCACCTGTTTCGCAGACGAAGGTACTTTCGAGCGCAAGAAGGTACGCTTCCTCAAGCGTGCACAGATTTTCGTCGCCGACCTGTGGGCTGCGTTCGACGGTGAAAGCTATGGGGAATTCAACGACATTGACAAGATCACCATGTTTGCAGACTATCGGGTCCCGCAGATACTGCATTCTCTCGGTGTATTGTGGTTCTGTCCTTCATTGGAGGCCAAGATCAGACGTCTGGAGATCATAGAGAGTGGGCACACTTGGGAGATGCAAATCAGAGGTAAGCCAAGAACGCCTGCGTGCACAACCCTGACGTCTGATGTATCTCATAGGCTGCAGTATATGGGCTGTCGAGCTTCTCCGCCGTGAAATTTTGCTATTCAAGCCGGAGGCGAAGGTCAATGCGATTCTTATCGACTTCTTCCTCTACGACTTGGCGAAGGAAAGGGAGAAGGAAGGCGTCGAAACTATACCACACCATAGAACACGGAGCATTTGGTATTGATTAGAAATCTTCCTGTCTCACGTATTGCGAACTACAGATATGACAAGATCTACTTAGAGACTCAGAGACTACAAACCATGGAGAAGACGAACAGTGATGAATACATCGGCTATGCTAGAGCCTAGAGCCTCAGGTGACACCGTCAATGGTAGGGGTGGCGAGTTAATATGTATCATTGCATTTGATCTAGACTGTTACCAGGATAAATCACGGGATGCCAACCACATGTCTCCTATACAAGTAGTGCCAATTTGTCGCAGCACCTGCTTTTCTGTATATCTACCACATATTTTAGGGAGGCAGAAAAAATGCCTTTTACTCCTCTGTCACAACAGAATCGAATCATGAAGGAAGGACCATCCAGATTCTGGACGTGGTAAGTGACATTCCAAGGGACCAACAGAGCGGAATAGAAATCTAAAGGCGCGTCTCAAGTAAGAATTCCGAGGTAGAATCTGGCATCTGCGTGATAATGCCAAAACCAAGGGTCTCAACTAAGGTATGTAGTCTTGATCTAGATGATCCGTCTGCCGTAAATCTATGGTACCAGATTATGCGGCGTGTTCGGCTTTATCTCTCAATACAGCCTTCGATCACGCCAAGCCGCAATGTTTTCCAGTTCCCTCTCAGTATTCGACATGACTCTTTTCCACACAATAACTCCAGTAGTATTGGTCACCGCATAGTTTTCTCTTCAAATATCCCAGCTGTCGATTATTTCTATGTTGATTCGCCAATACAGCTTTGTACGCATGCTTTGTACTGCAGATATATATGCCAAAATTTGATCCTATCACTCGTCTGTCTTCCTTGGTGGCTCGAGAAGCCTATCCAGGGTTTCTGGATCTTAGAACTCGCACCTGGACATGGAGGGGCCATAATTGTAATGACGAGGACCAGTGAAGCTCGGATGAATAAGTTTTGAATATCTTGAGATGGCCAGGGTGATTGGGTGGGATACACGAGTTTCGTGGTCGCCGTTGTCATTGCCGATATCATTGCCATCGCCGTCGTCGCTGTAGTAAGGTTAGTACGTGGAAAGTGTCATGTCGAGACTGAATTTGAGACGTGTTAACACGTGCGTGGCAATCTGTTCGTAATGCTGTCTAATGCTCTGATAAATCTTCCAGCACGGCTCATCGTCAGGAACTTTCGACAAGCTCCTAGGGAGAACAGTGCTCGGTGTAGCGCCTGATCATTACCGGGAAGGTAAGCGATCCATCTCCTGCATACTTGTTGGCAGCGAATGAGATCGAATAAGGGAAGATAGCGCCAGATCGACTAGAGTATCTCTGGTGGTAGGTCATCGACTGCGATCACTGTGTCCAACGTTGCCAACTGGACGTAGTACTGGAATATATGGCTACAGTATACTGCAGTAGGCAACAGTAAGCAGCGGCAATTATATTAAGCCGTAGCCGCACAGGAACTCGCCGTAGATTAAGGTGTAGTATGACAGTACGACGCTAAAATTTAAGAAATACCCCTATATTAGTGATAATAACGTTAGTTTGTTCTTCTATAAGTTTAAAGTACACAGAACGCTATTTCAATCTTTGATTTTTAGCATGTGCCACGTGGACAGCAATATTGCAGTACTACGCTAATTACAGCAATCTACGCCTACTGTCCGTATGCCACAACCCCTACGTAGGTTTTGGGACGATATGGTTGCCTACAATTGCCGTAGGTTACAGCAATTGACCCTCACCGTAGCTGTATACGTCCCGTTGGCAACGCTGATTGTGTCGAGTGCCATGTTGCTCAATTGAAGTGCGTAGTACTGGCGGCCGATGAGCACGAAAGAAAATTGGGGCTCGCAGGTTCGTGTGGGGCAAAATCAAAGCGAAGGTAAGTAAGCTTGCTTCTCAACGGCACCGGGCGATCTAGTGAGTCGCGCCTTCACTTTCACCCCTGTTGCTCACACGCGCATCGCAGCCATCAACAACACTAACCTATTTGCTCTAGATCAATACGTTTGCACTTTCAGTAGAGCTCTGAACTCTAGCCTGCGACCCTGGCTGTCGTCATCGACAGCGTCCCCGATGGATCTGTTTGATGGCAGTGGCTCTGCTATGCTACAACATCGAACAAGAACTCAACTGTGATCATTCAATACTTCTTGCAACAGTCCCACGACCTTCATTATAGGGTTTAAAACGACCTCTGGAAGGAAGTACCTGTGAACCCCGCCAACTTGAGGCGCTTTTGCTGCAGAGATCGGGTCGACTGCGAAGGCATTTATGGGGCCCAAAGGAACGGGTAGACTGGCAGTAGCTGTCACTACACCTAATGACGATATGACGATATCTTTCCTGTTCCGTTTCTTAAGGCCAGTGAGCTATTCGTACTCAGGTGATGAACATGGTCTCATGTGATACATGTTCCATTCAGTGATTCTTTCGAGACAGTTGATGTATGCCGAAGACAGTGTTTAACCAAGGTACAATGGGTGAGGCATGACAATACTATACTCCTCTAAAGAGACGTGGTGTCCGAAAGTTTCCGAAGTTACACGTACGCAATCTTTGATTGGTTTTCAGTGTGAACAACTGATTGATATCCAAAGAATATGGTTCAATCCCCTGATCAAGCGCAGCAACTGCATTCTCGATGATGCCTTCATCCGAATAAAACGCCGCAGAAGGGCGAGGCCCATCCAGTCATTCGGCAAAGCTGAATTATCCGCATCGATAGACGCACGTTTTATGTCTACAGGCTTAATTCAAGCTTAGTATTCGCGTTGAGTATGTCACTCCCAGCGAGTCGTCGCAGCGACAAACTCAAGAGTGAATGTGTGGCAGCGGTTTAGCCGAAGTCCGTTCCGTGGAACGCCAGACCCCCTATTCCGTAAACGCCAAGTGACTTCGACCACGGTCATCATTCGCTGAACCAGCATCCATGAGCCAGCATATTAAATTTGGCGCTTACAGCAGCCGTTACATGAAGAAGTACTTTACACAGTAGAATGCAAACTTATTTCTTGGAAACCCACAGACCTTTATCTTATTCTAAGTCCTGCGATGCACGAAAACCCAAGCTTCCCGTCACAGCAGACATACGAGTACTTTCTGATAAGGATAATTTACTCTAACCAGTTAGTGGGTCACGAAAAAGTAATACCAAGACATGTGAACGGCTAATTTTGTTGGATACCTGTTCCTCCATTCTCCACACATGTTGGGTAGGGCTCTCTTCTACGTTGACCCTTGGTCCGTTCATCGCAGCTGACTTCGCGCAGGGTATTTAAGATTACTCTCGTCAACTTCCGGCTTTAACATGTCTTACTAATTCTTCAATGAACTTACCGATCTTACACGTTATTCCTCACTCGCAGGAAGATGAGCCCATCGAGGACTCGGACACAGAACAAGAACAATACTTTCCTCAGCCTACCACCAGAGCTCCGCATTATGATCTTCGCCTGGTCACTGATGTTCACGCCATCTATTTCAGCTCACTGGATGGACATACCCATATGGCTTCACCTTATTGGTATCGCGCAGAATGATGCGAGACATTGCAAAGGCCTTCCACGTTTACTTTCTACAAACAAAAACTTCTTCTACGAGGGCCGAAAATTGTTGAACTCAATGTTTGAGGTCGTTATTGGCATCCATGGACCATTAATAGGACACCCTAAGAACCCAGCCCTCCAGGTGCTACAGCCTTCCCTGAAAGAAACGCTAACAATCTGGACGGGAAATCTTCTCGCTTCGGACTATCCTCATGGAGCATACTTCAGACTCAGCGCAAAGGGAGCGAGTACGATCGAATACATCATTACACATATTGTCGGAGAGAATGAGCATGGACGGTGTCAGCCAAAGCTTCGTAGTGTGAGTGTTCAGGCGGCATTCATCAACGTCTGCACCCTATGTCAGTGGCATAAATACAAGCTGCCAGTCAAAGAAAGGTTCGAAGTGAATTTGGGAAATTGGGGAGACTTCGGAATCAACCTTGATGCCTTCAGACTCGACGTCGGGAATATCGGGACAATGACTGCACAGGATGGCTACGACCACCACACAAACTGTTGGGCTCAAGTCGAACAGGTCTTTGGAGCGGAGGTGATACGCGCTGGGAAGGTACTCACGGGAGACGATCATGGCATACTTTCAGTAGCAAGAGAACAGTCTACTGCTGTAACCTTCCTTTTCCAACGCCGAACATAGTTGGCCCTTTGCGAGAAAGACGTCAGGGCTGGTCCAAAGCTAGCAAAATCTCAAAAGCTGAGAGCTAGCGAGATTTTGAACAGGGAGGCATGGTTAGGGATGGTCGGCCTCGGGGCCTGGTTGTCTTCATAGCAATGGCTGAGTTGAGAGTGGAAGGGGTAGTCGAACTTTTTCGTGCCATTGGATCTGATTTGTTTCATAGGAAGGCTTGAAGCTCGGAGGAGCTTGCGATGGGCGGTGTCTGTCAAAACCCTATAGTATTTAAAATAAAATATGGACTTAGTAAATACCATTGTTCAAATACTTTCCCTGATTTGGATTGAGAACAGACGAATTTATTTGGATACTCCATTAACTAGAATGAAATTGAGAAAATTAGACTTCGATTTCTTCTAAATAATAGGTATTAAGCATGAGATCTTCTATTGTCGGTCATTGATGATTTCATTCCGTAGTTGACGAACGATGTGACGATGTGAGTACTGAATAGAGGCTCTGTAACAGGAGAGTGGGATACCTGATTAGTTGGAATAACACCATTACAAAATCCCTCGCGTGTCGGTGCAGGAAATCGTAGGTGCTCAGGATAAGATCGAGCCTAAAGAAAGCAGTAGCCACAAGAGGTAACTCTAACGAGCAGCCACAAAGATCAACCACAATATCCAGTAGGGAATGTATGATATGAGGCTACTTGAAATGCACACTAGAAGCAGGGAAAAGGTTCTATTCTAAGACGATGATAGTGAACGGAACGTGAAGGTGTAGATAAAGGTCAAGCTTTTGGCACCTCAAAAGGTTGCGCATAGGCAGCTTTCTGAAGATTAGTTGCAAAGTCTTGTGAGGAACCATCATACAGCGACTCAACCAGCTAGTTTTCCAAGCAAACTTCATCCAACTTCCAATCTTCACTACCAAAATCCTTGAAATGCGGTTTTCTGTCGAACCCGCTGATTGGCGACTGACAAGGTGTGATCTCCTCTTGTACAGTGAACTCTGTATGCACAGTAATGACCCCGGCAGTCAACAGCTCACCGCGCTTTCTGCCACTCGAACTTGCGCTTGCGTAATTTGAGACCGTGCCTTCCGGTGTCCAGAGAGCCTCGAAAGTATCTGCCTCGCCCGAGGGCGTGTTGTGCAGGTCGCCGGAGAGGTCCTCAAGGGAGTACGTGTGGATGGAGCGTTGCGATGCACGGTGATTGCTTTCCCGCCCATGGACACGTGGTGGTATAGTGCGGTGTTCGGAAGGGTAAGAGGTGGCGAAGACATTGGGAAAGAGCATGGAAAGGACAGGTTTGATGCCAAAAAGGCAACTGCAGACTACGCCGAGATTCATCTCGGTCATCATTAAGGCCCAGATGATGCTTGCATCCCCTTTCATCCACTTTCAGTTTTATTCACGTAGTTTGCTTGGTATCGACTTACATAGCTCGTCAACAGAATTGTAAAATACTTCCACGTAGTAGAGGCGAAGAAGTCCAGCTGTACATGGGAGCAAGCTCACAGCAAGAAGAGATACCAGTCCGTACCGCTGTCTGGTTGGCATCTTCCTAACTAATAATGGGTTTATAGGTCGCCTGTGGACTGTCAGACGCATCAAGAGCCTCTCCTGTCTTACTCACAGGTAGATCACAAGGTCGCTAAAGCTGTTTATTGCGGCTACTACGGCGAGTGTAGCGCGCGTATTTATGCATTCCAAGCCGGTCTCTGGGTTCCAATGGGCCCGTATAGGACGGCACTGTAGCAGGGCTATGAAGATGCAAACGAAAGTGTAGGTTGTAATGAAAGTGATCATCATATTACAGAAGATCTCGTTCGAGCGTCCGGGGAAGAGTCGCAAGTAAGAAAGGCACTGCGAGGCCTTGGTGAACGAGCACGCTATCGGAAACAGTATGTCGGACGCGAAGCCTAGCTGCAGATGTTCAGTACCGTGCGACTAGTTTCAAATGATCTGGATACGCACCTTTGCGTAGCTGATGGCCCACTCCGGCTTCTGATCCCATACGTGTATACCTAGACCGAGATTGAGACATACGAGAGGGAAGACTGACACAGGCACAGCTACAGTCTGGAAGAAGAACTTAGCGTGGACCTCAGAATTCCACGCCCTCCATCTTACCATTGCAGCAAGCATCAGGTAGTCGTCTGCTTCGAGTGTTTGCCGCAACAATTTCTTGCTTAAGATTCGCGTGCACAAGACTAGTTCAACACAAATCAGCCGACTAAAGATGACGAATGTGAAGAGAAATGTCTACTTACACAGAAGGGCCATGAGAAAAGTAGCTACAGTCACTCCAATGACTGGTGCGTGAAGATTGTCTGGGTTATCGAAGTTTGGAGCGGCCCAAAGTGCTTGCTCGTCAGGTGTGGGCTTCCTCATGGCGATGAAAGCGTTGCACATAACCACCCTGGAATCGCGTTCCTTAATAGACAGCTGAGTAATCTCGGCCTCAAACTTAGCAGCTGTCTTGAAATAGAGTGACGGGGCGCTCATCATCGTTGCGACTACCTTCATTCTTGGGGTACAACCGAGAAGGATTTGGGATTTGGCGTCGTCATGATTAGTAGGCAGAGCTAGTGGCGATGCTACTTGCCTTTACCCTGCTGGTCGTCATCGCCGTAACAAACATGCAGAGCTGTAGCCTTTCAACGGTGAGTAGTGCAAGACATCAGAACCCGTTCCCCGTTCGCAGGGCCATGTAAGAGCGGTATCATGTCAGGTCGAGGGTTACAGACTAAGTACGTGAGCCACCATTAGAGCCCCGCGTGGCTTCGGCATAAGAGGCGTTCATGTTTCTGCTCATCTCTTATAAGATTTGCAACATCATGTTCGCTTTCGTCGGTTCTATGTGAAGCAGATCGACCTGGTCGGCCCGATTCGGTCGGCGTAGTGGATAGAATATTCGCTCGCTCGCCATAATTGTCCGCTGGGTGAAGCCTAAGGATGTAAGTAAGAAGAGCAATGGACGAGATGAAAATAATTTCCGGTAGGGACAGGTAGTGATTGATGCAGGAGCGCATCTTGTTGCGGCTGCACCACAGCTCATCATGGCCCTGAAAGACAAGGGGAGGCCGCTCATTCTTCCTACTAACAACATTAGTCCTTTCCGCGGAGCGCGATGTCATGCGTAAATGGAAGTCGGGCTCACTGACTTGGTGGGCTTCCAGCAAGGAGCTTGTAATGGTTGTAGTCCGTCGTGCTGGTGCTGACCGCAATATCCTTAAATAATGTCTCAGACGCAACCGTTAATCCACGCGACATGATCACCGGTACCCGGTATGCCAGTTTGATAATTGTCAGCGCAGAGACATAGCATTTGAGAATGCTGGAGCTCTGCGACTAGGGCAATCATATTGCTGATTCGAAGATTCAATGCATGCGTCAAGCACGTGTACCTCTCGCACCGATCCTGCTAACTTGTTACTGCGTCCTCCTACAGCATCTTGCCCCGCTTCTTTCGGTGCGACCACCAGCCCTTGCTGATATCAACGACTATCCTGCTCCAGCTCGTTTTGATGATGTTTCCGTCCAGGGTGCCACTGAAGAAGCTGAACAAGAACAGCATTAGGATTGAAAGGCCAAGAATGATGCCAAACGCCCACCAGTAGCTCTTGACCTCGAACTCCGTATTCTTGAATTGGATGCTGAAGTACCCAGTCATGAGCATGACAGGTGTGAAGAGGATCGTAATCTGCGCAAGAACAAGCGTGACCCAAGTCAGTCGTTCCACGCTAAAGGACTCCTTGATGGCGATGAGATTGAAGTTCATCATGACCAACGAGTCCTTCTGATCAATGCACTCCTGAATCTCGCTCAGAGCGTAGAGAGCGATGCGGTCTTTGAGTCGTTCGAAACGCACTCTAGCAGCCGAGCTAAGTGATACACCGAGTGAGCTGGCAAGCTCCGGGATCAGTGGGTTTGGAGAGTCGGTGCCGTGCGCTGACGCAATCATTGACTCTGCGGCGGAGATGACGCGGGAGTTCTTCAGTGATGCAATCGTGGCTTCCCTTCTCTCCAGTACGCGCTCGACGAGCAGAGAGTAGCTATGGTAGACACGTTTTAGCACAGCGAGTTGACACCCGATATGGTGCAGCTGATCAACATGGGTCAAGTCAGCTTTGACCAACATCTCTTTACGCTATCATACGTTAGCTCCGAGTGCATTTCAGTATTGACGAAAGTGTACTTACAAGACGGTCTAACTCTGCAGCATAGCCTTCTTCGCTACGTGATATGAGACTGAAAGTGGTGCCCCAATCTTCGAACAGGTAGTAGAAAAGCAGACCAGGGGTGTCGGTTGGGCGATGGGCCGTCTCCTCTTCACTGTGGCCGATACGGTGACGGATCGGCAGCTGGGTCAGAGCAGCGTCTGATAGAGGTGTTGGCGCCTTGGTCAGTTGCCGGAATACGTTGACTAAATTGCGCCGAACAGTGTACAGTAACCGCAGGTCCCATCCGTGTACCTCGCCGTTGTGGAAAGGAAACGGATCTTCAGATATCGAGATGACCGTCTTGTCTTCGCACAAAAGCAGCCAATTCCACACTCGCTTTCCATGTGGTATGTCCTGATCTCGGTCGAGTCGTTGTGCGTTATGATGGTGTTGCGTCTGCTTACTGTGTACGTTATGAAGCGTGTTGTAGCCGAGACACAGGTCTTTGGATCGTCAGTAGGGTGCATCAGAAGCTTAGTAGGTCGAACTCACATCGACGGCCCCAGTCTACCGTAGACCAATGCCACACATCTTCGACAATCTGATAGTGGGTGAGGTCGCGCACCATCTCCAATTGTGTCGAGTGCATCAGCTCTGTCATTCCGACGCTCTCCTCTGAGTCAATGGTGTCCTTGTTTGAAGGTGATCTTGACTTCTCGCTGCTCGACTTCGAGTGCTTGGAACGGTGAGAAAGTCGTGAACGGAGTGTCGAGACGCTCTTCTCCAAGCTTGAGGACGCAGAACGACGAGGCACAGGATCACTACACATCATCCCCAATAGGCGTGGTGAGAAATCGTAGTGCTGGCCGATCAGGCGAAGGGTGTCTTTCTGGTTGTACGGCTGCCAGATGTTGATCCATCGCGTATGTAGGTGAGCAGGCCGTGGGGTCTCCAGGAGACGCGAGTATGAGAATGAAGCAAGATCGAAGGCGCAGAACGCCTCATCCTCACCAAAGTCCAAGCAAAAGTTGCAGCTCTTTGGGTTCCGAGTCTGCCGATCAAACAAGTCGAAGTTCTTCTCGAGATCGAAATCACGGAAACAGTTTGTGATATCATTGTCGCCCAGCTCTTGGTAGTACTGTGGCAGATCCTCTGCAGGAGACTCCGGGCGGAGTGGAGTGGCCATGTTGTAACGAGCCAGATATGGCTTCAGCCTGGCAGTATATCATCAGAAACTGAGCCATGATTGCCAAGATCCGCAATTAGTAAGCCCTGCGGAAGCATCTGTGACGTGAACTCGTGCTCCATGTTCTCAAGTAGGTGTCGCGTGGAGCTCAGGTGGTTGGTCACGCGTCGCCCTTCCAGGCAGGCAAGTCTCACATAGCGCGAGCACCAACGACCACTGCGCAATAACGCGCAACGCAGCAAGTAATGGTTCACGCGTGATAAAAAAGTGTTACTCTATCGCAATACTAGGGAAGTGGTTGGGACGTGCAGACGCGTAGGATCATGAACCTGGGGAAAGGCGGGTCACACTAGGCTCGTTCCTGCATGAAACTAGGCTCTACTCAGGGACCAAACAACACCTCCTCGCCCTGCAAAATATGAGGATTCAAATTCATGTAAGGCTCACTTCGCTCCCTTCGCTCAGTGGAACAGCGCTGATCAATCGCTTGATGTTGGCGCCGCGCTCGTACAAGGCAATGCTGCGAGATGTGATCTCAAGGCGTCCATGGCAAGACTGAGCATAAGTTTCATAAGTAACCACTACCTACGATGAGCTTCCGAGCTACTACCAAACCTGCAGATCCTGAGTCAGCACGATTTCCAGCGTAAGATCAAGTTGCGTGCTTCTTTGTTCTGCCTCGTGTACCTCCTGTTGATCACCAATGTAGCGGCTCTTCCTTCTGGCGTAATCGAAGAATTACCGCAACAAACTCTTCTGCGCATCTACAAGAGTGAGCTCTCAACATTCGTGGTCGTGGCTTGCTTATGAAATGTTGGATGGAGTGAAGATACAGAATAGAGAAGAATCCCGCTGACTTGCTGGACAGATCAGCCCTGCCAGGATGAGTTCTGCACCCAATTGTCAGATATCTTGCAGTTTACTCCTTCACGTCCATCACTCTGATAACAATTTTGGTATCAGCATGGTGATTGAAGTCCATCCACCAGGGACGATTGCATCTGACGGCCCCTGACAAGAGGCGGCGCTCTGGCTCTGACATCATGGTGCCAAGGCACTTCGTACCGGCCGAAGTCATCGCATTCGCACTTATTACATCCATTCTCACGAAATTCGAGGACAGTTACAATCTTGAAGCATTTGAGAATTTCGAAATCTGAAGAAATTGACGGGGTTCGGAAAGCAGCAGAGCACAGCACAACATCATGCCGCCCTTCCTTGAGACCTACAACCCCTCCGTCCTCTCCATCCCAGGCTACTTCGTCCTTGCCATGATACCCCACGACTGGGCCATAAATGTCGCCTCACAAGGCAGAATAAGCACATGGGACAATCGCAATCCGCGCAATACCGACATGAAAGCCAAGCTCAAAGCCCGCCTGCCGGCAGAGTCCTACGCCAAGTACGAGCGCCTGGAGGCCTGCCACGCAAACAGCATTGAGAGCTTCCCTCTGTTCTCAGCAGTCACTATGCTGGCAACGTTGCGGGGCTGAGGAAAGAGGACTTGATGAGCTTTGCGGGGTGGTTTTTGGCGACGAGGATAGCGTATATGCCTGTGTATGCGAGCCATGGACGCAGGAGCCGACGGCGCTGAGGACGGGGATCTGGTATGTGGGTGTTGGGCTGTGCTTATAGACGATTGTTCAGGCTGCGAAGGCTCTGGGAGGACGTGCATAGTTCCGTCACAGGTTTTAGTGATAGGAGTGTGTAAGATCAGTCGTCATATTTGAATTCGAAAGAGAATATCTGAGCACGAAGACAAGAGATTGCAGTGACCAAGCCGCTTCTCTTACTTTCGGAATAGACTGTTAGAGCTGCCAATCAATGGATTCGGCTGGAACTCCATATCGTTGTTCGCAAACAGCGGTGCAGTATCATCGTCAACCCTGCTCGGTGGCATTCTGGTCTCACCTCTGACGACCTCAATAGTACTGATGATTGGCATCACCAGTAGCAAGAGGGGAAGGAGCTGTCCATAGCTCCAAGATTTCTCGCTTGGACCCTGAAGATTCAGCGCTTTCGGCGGGCTGCCAAACGCCTGCGACTCCATGATTACACGGACCGTGGCACCGACACCCATGACCAGGAGCGCGACCAGACCTACGACTTGAACGGACTTGAGCCATGCAGGGTTGGCGCGGTTGTGCAAGTACCAGGTCGACAAGATAAAGACGATAACCTGGGCAGCAATGATGGCGATGGTTCCGGCGATACTAAGCGCAGCATTGGACGAGTGGCCACGACTCCCCACTTCCCAGACGCAGGCGATCGGAAGTCGAGGCTCCAAGTTCTTCATAACAGATTGGAGGATGAAGATTCCGGACAGAATGCCGAGGAACAAGTTGACGAGCATGAAGAACTGTCTAAGCCATCGCAGCACCCAGTCACGCTTGAAGTCGTTCACAAGGGCGAGGAGCGTTGCGAGGTTCGTTGCAGTGGAGAGAAGCGATAGGAGCCAGATGATGAAGAAGTGGTAGGGTACCATGTACCGCATCTTTGCGAGACCGATCGACTGGATGCCAATACCGGTGACGATCTGCTGATCCGAGAATGACTGTAGTAGCTTGCGGCATACTGGCGCTGACGTTGACTTGCGCAGACCTAAGAGAATGATGATAGCGCTGAGGAACAAGGAGATGAAGTTGGTGATTATGAACGAGAGCAAGGTCTGGGGGGCTGTTAGCATGTCATTTTGCACTCAATTAAAGTTGGCTTACGCCTGCACCCGCGACTCCCGCATCAGTCTGCACATGATCCGGAATGTCCGAGCAGTTGGTCGCAACGTCGAACATTGTTCACTCAAGCGTTGTGAGATCGCATGCGAAGAAAGGAATGCAGTTCAAGTGTATCGTGGGTGGAAGGAGTGTTGCGGTCGCAGACGTGGCAAAGACGATGAAAGGGTGATTGTGAGTGAATGTGAAAGGAAGGAGTGTTGCGGTCGCAGACGTGGCAAAGACGATGAAAGGGTGATTGTGAGTGAATGTGAAAGGAAGGAGTGCACAGCCTCTCTATGAAGTCATCGGCAAAGACCTCACATCTAATTTAAGGCGTGTGCATTGCTCGCCATATCCTGCAAGGCAAGGATCGTGCAAGTTGTCACGCAAAACAAGGGGGTGAATTGCTGATCAATAGATCGGCATTGGCCAGCAGTAGTGGACCCTGAAGTGTTGCCGACAACCGTAGGCGCAGCGCGTCAATCTGCAACACAGCGAAACGCGCTACCTACCCACTTAGAGAGCGAAGACGCTGTCTTGTGTCAATAGTCAAGAATTCTTTAAGATGCGCAAACCTCTTTGTGTGCTGTGCTGTCCTCTGTCGAGTGATTAGCCGGTCTCTTCAGCAGTCGTTACCACGAGCAAGGATCGTCTTTCACAGTGAAGGATGCTGCGCAGAGCACATGGATGATGTTTGAATGCAATCGTTACGATATTACACATTATCAATCTTCTGTACAATAATATCGAGCACTCGCCGAGGGAATAGTGATATCGTGCTTTTCGGCTGGCAAAGTTCCAATCTTGCAACGATCGACTACTATTGGAGCAACCTAAATGGCGTGCGAATCCTGAGCACGCACATCTCCAACATGAGGCACATATATGGGCTCATCTGATGTTGTGGCATCATTCTGCCTCATACCATCCTGCCTCTCCATCTCAATAATGCCATCCTGGCTAGTTGCCTCTCCTGCATAGCCCTGGTGATGTCCACCCTTCATGCCTGCAACATTACTTTGCGTCTCGCTCTTTCCCTGGCGACTCCATCCTTCGGTGCCGACATAACTGCCAACACCAACACCAATGCCCCAGGCGCGACCATAGCTCCTTGGTCCCCAGGCCCAGCCGGCTCCGCGTGTGACGGGAAGGTGGTACCAGCGGAACGAGAACCATGCGGTCGTGATACCGATGAAGCTGCCAAAGAGCAAGTCGAAACCAAAGTGCCTGAAATCTGTGAAGCGAGTGCTCGCGACGTAGATTGCGGTTCCAACTGGTGTCAAGATTAGAACGAGAGTATAGACAGGTGGCGCGGCCGATTGATAGCGGATAGGTACTACGTTATCGTTCTCATTGTAATCGGGAGCTGAGAGTGGTGCCTCATGCTTGTGAACCGGAAGGAGTGATCGACTAGTCGAGGCGCGCTTCCTGAGGTTCGACGGTGTGACAGCGGAGGTGTATGCTGGGTTCGTGGAGAAGGGCCGCGGTGCAAGGAACGGAATCGCGATGGAGAACTTGGACGCAAGGAACAAGGTCAAGTAGAGCAGACCTGCCCAGGAGACTTGGGCAACATTAGCGAGCGCAAAAGAAGTGCGAGAAGACCATGAACGTACAGCTGGCGTGACCGCTGGGGAACGACTTGAATCCATCTTTCATGATGGCCTCATCCGTGTTGGTACATATAGCATCCGTGACCATGACCCACGCCGGGTTGAAGTCAACCGCGGTGTCTTGGCCTACGTAGTTGGTGATGGCTGCGGTTCCGAGTCGGCTCAAATTTGGTTTGCAGCGGGAGAGGAGGTCAGGCCGCGGCTTTCCGAACAACAACTTCATGCCCTGGGTGACCAGAAAGGCCGTCGCGAGCGACAGCGCAAGACCCATCCAGCCTGTGTTCCATTCCCAAAGCTTCCTCCTCCAAACGAGCGACTTCGGTGTGCCGCGGCTGGCTGTTGGGCCTGGGACAAAAATAATGCAGACTAGGAAGATGATGGCGGCTGGGATAACGAGAGCGATCACGACCAAGAGCCATGTTGGGATGGTCTCATGGTTCTCGAAGGGGTACGATATGTCGAGGTTGACAAGGGAAAATGGTCGCTTGTAGGGTGTCAAAAACTCCCATCCTGCACCAACGGCGGCGATAGCTCTGCGCAAATGTCAGTCACGGTCCCCGAAAACTCAACATTTGTGCATGCGCATCTGCTCCGTGGCTTTGTGGCGGTGTGATCAAGGATATAGCGTGCGACAAAACATGTGCATGCGACAGTTGACGTACATGATGCATATCCAATCGAAGATGTATGACAATACCAACCGTACTGACGGTACACTGAGACCTCTGAAGTTCGGCATGACAGCAGAGTGTGCTGTGCAACGGTAGGTAACAAAGAAAGCGTCGAAGGACAGGAACGAGATGAGCGCGTAAAGGGTCCCAAGACACTTAAAGAGATGAGCGCATAGGGCTTGACCAAGCGCAACAAGCCTTAAAGGGCCGACCCGGTATTACGCTTTGTGGTAGACACTTGGGACGGTTATCGAAGTCGCGCAGCGAGATTGATCGCCTGCCAGATCAAGAAGTGGTATTACAAAGACGGTAATTTCGAAGTCTGGCTTTGTCCAGGGTGGCAATACGGCGAGGTGTCAGCGACTGATGAAGGCCACACGACCACCGCCAAGCACGCATATTACGCCCGGCTGAGGCTGTGTGCCTAGAAGACCCGTGTGGTGATGGGCGCCGCTGGGCACGTCTCAGCTGCTAGCCCGCCCCGATGGCGTTGCACAGGCGCAACAAGAGCTGAGCGCTGCGTCGTGAGGCGTGGATGCTGCGCAACTTTTGGACACTTTCTGAAGCCGAGGGAGGTGTAGATATCCGCAGCGCATGTCCATCTTCTTCATGGTGAACAAGACGGGGTGATCGACGATCGGCCCCGGGAAGCGATGGCGGGGCTGGGCGCTGCAGGACGCAGGCCATTATTGGGCGCTTTCGCGACGTCATTTTCAAAAAGTTGAGCGCGGGCTTGTGAATGTGCGACGCACCCGCAGCAGCAAGCAATACGGAGACCGAGTGCGAATACGCCATACTAAATTCTACCTACAACATACGCAATATGGCGCTCCCTACACCAACTATCGATCTCCTGCTGAATCTCATCGACACGCGGCCACAATCCATCCTGCAGACCCTTGAGCAGCACCCTCAGCTTGCCTCAGCCCGCGATGCACACGGCTACTCGCTCGTCCACGCTGCCGCCTCCTACAATCAGCTGAATGTCCTGCGCCAGCTGGTCCAAAAGTACTCTGTTGACGTCGACATCCTCGATGAGGATGGCGAGACCGCACTGTTTGCGACAGAAAACGCCGAAGTCGCAAAATGTCTGGTCGAGGAGCTGAGTGCCAGTGTGAACACAAGGAATAGCGAGGGCAAGACAGCAGAGGAGAAGATCGGTGAGGAGGAGGGCGAGGGCCACGAGGTATATCAGTATTTGAGGAGTCGAAGGACAGGTGGTGAGCCTGTGGCCGCTGGTGTTGTTGAGACAGACGGTGTGCACCCTCCTCCGCCGCTGCCCAACGGCGTGCAGATCAACATGGGCACAATGGCAGAAGATGCTGTTGGAGAGGCACCAGACCCAGAGATTCGGAGGAGGATTGATGAGCTGGCGGCCAGAGAGGACTTTCAGACTCCGGAGGTGCAGCAGCAGTTGAGGGAGCTTATTCAAGAGGTCGTTGGGGGGATGGGAGCGGACCAGGGAGAGCGAAATGTCAGGCAGAGGACCAATTGAAAGCGGTGCAAATCGTTGCACGCATCAAGGACAACGCTTGCCAATCACGCTGGCGATATGGAAGACAGAAGAAGCCCTTGCATGGCTGGGCGGCTGGCTTTCAGGTAGCAAGAAGAGTTGGCTGCAGGCATATTTCTGAAAATGTGGGCGGTGATCGGTGATCGCCTGATGAGCCTTCTGGTGGCTACAGCAATTCTGATATTGTAGTCAACTTTTTATGATACTCGACAGGCTGGTGGGTTCCAAACATTACCAGCTTGCTGCCATGGGAACACAACTTTTTACTGGAAGTCTGGAACTGTGCATAGCCAGTCGTTGCGGAACGAGGACCTGAGCTCTAGTTCGAGCTTGATGCGATGCTACGACTAAACACTTATGACGGTTTCGAGAAAGCAACGAGGCATGTTGGGACGGAGAATTAGAGGGTATCATAAATTGATGCTTTTGACCTGCCAACAACTCCACTAATGCCAAATGCCTGACATCTACAACTTCTCGAGCAGAATTCTCGCACCAGCATTCCCCCTTGGCGCGTCATCCTTCTTGACGCCCTTCTTGCCCTTCTTCGCTTTAGCGTCGTCCTTGCTCTTTGCTGGCCCGGCAGCGGCCTCAAGCTTCTTCTTGTCCTTCTTCAGCGCCTTCAACACCTCGCTCTTCTTCTCGAAGCCCTCGGCCTCGGTCAGAGCGACGACAACGAATGAACCCTCGCCTGTCGCCCAGTCGATGACGCTGCCCTTGATCTCCGCCCACAACATGTCTGCAAATCCGAGCGCGGGTGTGACGGGCACAACCTTCTTAGTCACGGGATCGTACTTGCCTCCTTGCACAAGCGTCTTCAGCATATTCTTGCCATGACTTGTGGCCTTGTTATCTCCCGCGCTCGCAGGCAAAGAAGCATCGAGAATCGATTGCGAAAGGCGCGCAACCTCCGCGAGCGCCTCTTTGCGCGTCGCAGGCTCAATCTCAGGTGCGCCGACGAGGATCTCGCCCATAAATTGCAGACCGAATGTGAAGGATGCGAAGTCTGCGGCGCGCGCGGTGATGGCGTTGAGCAGGGGCGCTTCGATGCTCTTTGTGACTTCCTGCAGACGAGTGTTGGGGTCCTTCTTCGAGGTCTTTTGGCGGATGGTGTAAATTTCCGTCAGGCGCTCGCGAGTGTTGTCGTCAAGGAACCATTTGGCGTCAGCGGCGAAGGGGTACAGGAGCACGGTGCGGGCGCGGGCGTCGTTGCAAAGGTTGAGAACCTTCTCGGGGAGGGCGTCATTGCCGGGCAGCAACTCGCTGTATATCGACTTCGAGGACAGCTTGGTGTCATCGGTGACGGCCAGGGCGGCGAGGAGAACGTGGTGGGCGTGCTGATCGAATGCCATAACCTCGATTGTGTCCTTGTACGGTCGCAGAAAGAGCTTGCGGTCCTTCGCTGTACCGTATGCGAAGCAGAGCGATACCAGTCGCGAGCCAGACTTTGTAAATGCCAAGTTCTTCATCAAATCCACGTTGTCAGCCTCCTCTCCCTCCTTGAGTGTCGGGTCGGGCTTGAGATGCTCGAGGAAATCGTTCGCTTGCTCTGTGCCAGGTTCGCAAACCAGGAAGTACTGCAGCATCGCGTCGTGCAGCATGGTGAAGCCATTGAGCTTCTTCTGGATGAGCGAGTTGATCTGGTTTTCCAGGTAGTCCATGATAGGTTTCCTCTTCTCTGGTGATTCCTCAAGAATGGTTACGAGATCTGCGCTCTGTGTGCCTTCTGGTCCAAGGCCTTTGATGGAGAATTCTGCACCATACCATTCACGAAGAAGTCGATTCTTCTGCTCTGGTGTTGCGACTGCTCTGTAGATATCGTCCAGGATCCACGCTGCCTCAGGATGGTTGATCATACGCTTGACGTGGCCGTAGAACTCGGTGATGATAAGGTCGCGGATCTCCGGGTCACTGTACCTTTGTCAGTCTGCATCTTAAACCAGTTCCAGCATGCTTACCCCTTCTCGACCAGCTTGGCGATCAAAAACTTCGAGTATTTGCCCTCAGACAGCACCTTGAACTCGCCCTTCAGCTCGCGCGCAATCATCCTTCTCTGTTCCATTGTCGAGTACTTGATCGCAGTCTGGACGACACGCACGGAGTCGTGCTTGAAGACGAAGTCCTTAACGCGGCCTGTGATGATCTCAAACAGCTCCTTGACAAGCTCTTTTCTCTCATCTTTCTCGATGTGTGACTTCAGCCGCAGCTTCTCCCACAGCTTCTTGGATCGCTCAATAACGTCGGCATTAGGCTTGGCGTTCTTGCGCTCCTTTGCGAGAGCCTTCTGTTTCTGGTGTGCTTCGCGAGAGTTGCTGGCTAGAGACTTGTCAGTCGAGGCCCAGTCATATATAGCGACTGTAGGTTCTTACCATGCATGTCGGCAAGCTTGGAAGAAATTTCCTTTGGTGTCTCATACTTGGACTTCTTCTTCTTCTCTGTGGGCTCGTCCTCCGCCTTGCGCTTCGAAGTCTTTGCCTTAGGCTGTTCTTCGGAATCGCTGTCGGCCATCTCGACGTCTGGGTTCGCGGAGAAACCGTTGTAGCCGTTTCCCTGTTCGCTGGTGTCCGACTCTGGGAGGTTGTCGGCGACCTTCTTGCTCTTCTTTGCAGGCTTCGCGGACTTCACAGCATGCTTCATGTCGCTCTTCGAGGATTTCTTCTCCGGCTTGTCCTTTTTCGTTTTCACCGGCGCATCAGCTGCCGCGGACTTAGTCTTGATTCCAGCCATTGTGCTGCGTTATCGTAGTTTCGCGGTTGCAAAGCTCACACTCCAAGCATCGAACTTTTCCAGCCCGACTAGCGACTTTTCTGCCCATGACCTTCACCGCTTGCCTCTTTCGGCTGCACTAGTGCGCGCGTCATGGGTTCCCATCTGCCAACCACCATCAACCTCTAGCCCTCCGTTTGGTTTTCCTCTTCTTAGAACATTAGGTAACATAGTCTTTAGGTACACTTACTTGTGTTTTAGGTACGGTCGTCCCAAAATCGGGTGCCTGCCCTACTTCGCCGCAAGACCTAGCTTTAGCCTTGCATGGTCGATATCTAGCAGCAAGCCTCATCAACATCATCCGCCAAGCGACAATGGAGAACGTACCGCGTACCCCTCTTGATTGCCAGAGTCCCGAGCTCATAGCTCATCGAAAGTCCTCAATCTGTGGAACGAGACGGTGACAATGGACTGACAGCGCCGACTCACCAACGTCCAGCTACGCGGTTGCCAACGATATTCCATTACACCAACGACCGGGGAAGACGCTGAGATCGGGCGTCGTGTCGTCCGCTTCAAGACGCGATGGACTTTCTCCCCGAGAAGACATTGCATTTCACAGTCCATACCGGTGTTCCACGAATGATAATCTCGCTTGAGGACACACCTGTCATTAAGGCTTCCCTTCAACTGACTGGAATGTCCGCTGACTTGATCTGTGAGAATCGCGTCCTATTGTATAGAACTGTTGCTTGGAGAATATGCTAATTTGATGATTGGTCTAGGATCAGCTCCAGCAAGTTCTCAGCGCTCCTTCGTCATAAGGCTGCACAATGACCCTGAATTACAATAACAGTTTGAACTTCGGCTCAGTCCCTCAGCTCCGGCTTCGAAACCTGCTGCGAGAAAGTCAACGCCTGCTGGCGGTCACTCCACACTCGCTGCAAGTAAGTCCTACCTGCCGGTGGTGGCTCTACTCCCGCAGTGGGGATTGGTTCACCAGCTGGTGGTAATCCCACGCCAGCTGCTAGCAAATCCACACCTGCAGCTGGACAGTCTCCTGGAAAAGGCCCTCGCAAAATCATTTTCAAAGCACATCACTGATTCACTCGACAGATACCCACTTGTATCCCTCCCAACACCGGGCCAGTTTTCGGCCGGCAGCTCTTTCAGGATTTCAATATCTCAACCCGCACTACGTCCCCTGCAAGACAAGCTAATGTTGCGGGAAACACCTCTGCTTCCGCATATGATGGACAGGGAAGTAGAAAGCCATCTGCTTCTAGCGGTGTCATATCGGCAAGCTCCAGCCTAATAGTCAAGGACGAATGTCGGTATGACAGCAACAAGATTGGTCAGAAAGGTCACGGCAGGAGCCAAGGTGGTCGTTACAGACAAGGTGGTCGTCACGGACAAAATGCTGGTCACGAGTAAGGTGGAAACAACCAGGGTGGAGTTCAGTAGCAGACCTCAGACTCCAGTGACCAGAAATCTCAGGGTGACTCCAGCTCGAAGGGCTCTGAGTTGGAGATGCGCTTAACATTCAAGCAGTTGCGGTTTCTACTTGATACAAAGGACACGTTGGGATGCCAGCGGGCTGCTATAAAAGACGGCGAGCCATTTCTTTGGTCTACACGACTTCTGTAGTCAATCTCAAACCCCCCAGCGTAACTAGCTGCTTGTTGTATCATTTTGGCAGCTTATAATTCGTTTCTTACTTCCCACTTCATTGACTTCCTTTGTGGTTAACTCGGCTAATTGTGCTTCCATCCTTTCTTAGTCACCTGACCTGTTCGAGTGTCTTCGATGAGTGTGGGCAAATGGGCATGATGCACCAGTCTTCAGGTCTCTTTGTTCAGACATGCAGGACTCGTACCCTGGTCAAAATCAATCCCCGTAGGAGGTCACCAGTATGATCAAACGCGACATCTTACTACATACTAGCAATGATCGTTCCAATCGATTCAATCTACATCCAGGAAATGGTGCCAACATTCTTGGGATGACGGGTCAATTGCTGTTGCAATCTTTTCAGACTATTCGTGGGCCCAATACCAGATCTCGCATACCCTGGTCCATGGTCTCGCTTGCACGCAAATTATCATCATCCTTACCATGCCCACAGGTGTCTATACTCCCTCATTGTTGTCTTTCTCGTCATCGGCATACTGGACGAGAATGCACAGCGATTGCCTGCGTGATCTCATCGAACTGAGCGCGATCTCCTCGGACTGCAGTCACGATACGCTTGCGTGACATGATAAAGATGATGAAGTACTGGTAATCGACCCACTTGCACCTGCTATGCAGGCCTACTCGCCCTGACCCTCGACGCAATGCAGATGCAAGCATGACAGTACCTTCTCAACAAACCCTGCCTCACCTTGAACCTCAGCACCTCGCTTCGATGATGCATGTACCCCGCTTTTGCCTCTTCCATGCTCAAGATGCGCAGGCTGTGCAGGCATAGATGCTACCTTGCTCGAATAGTTACAGAGACGCAAGCCTCGTTGGCGCAGGGCGTGCCAGAGGCCTTGCTTGTCGTGATGAGATCATGCCAATGTCGGATTGTGCACTTGCCCCCATTGACTACACGTCGGTACATGTCTTTGTACAAGGTTCTACGTATGCATGCATACGACATCCAGGCCTTAACACAGACTGTAAAGGATCGCACTGTCTGCGCAAGATTGAGCAAGGCCCAGCTTACTCGCCACTTCTAGACATGAAATTGTCTCTGTTGTGGACCAAGAAATACATGCCCAGCTTCCTCCTCGTACCGAAGATCATATGTACACAGTCGGTAGTGATACATGCATCGGTGAGCAAGGCTGCACCCCAGCTCGCTGACGGCTCTCTTTGGATAGAAGCCCTCGCTTCAGATCCAAGCAGGCTTCGCCTCACACAAGCAAAAACGGGTGTAAGCACGCGGACGCCCAGACTGCCACAAAACCTAGTCGACCTTACTATGTACACTTGCCGCACGTGTGTTGTGTAGAACCCTGCTGACGCCTGCAGTCTGGATGCTTCGCCAAGCGGCCTCGTCCTCGATGATTTGCTTCAATCCAATCTCCACGCTAAACGCGCCGCGTCTGGGCAGCAAACCATCGATAGTGAGTAGGAAAGGCCTGGAGGACTGGCGCCACAGGGTCTGATCACAGTCCGCATTAAGGATGCATGCGGCAGAGAAAAATAATTCCAGAAGCAGAGCGCTAGGCGAACGTGTGTATCGATTGTTGATGTGGCCTGAGAAACAGTCAGTCTTGGCCGCAAGTGTGGAGATGTTGAGATTGAGTCGCGGTCGTGGCCCAGCGACTTGTGCCTCGCGTGCCTTGCCGTGGCTTCCACAGCATGCCGCCTGTGCCTTGCTTCGAAAGCGGCCTTTCCTTCCCGTGTCAGGAACGGGATCACGCCTCAGCCTCCTCTTCGCTGTTCGCCGGAGTGCGAGCTTCGCACGTCAATCTGCTAGCAAAGCACGGCAGTAACGCAGTCATGTTGCACCCTCAGGCTGTGCACTCCCCCATGCGATCAACGAATGGAAAAGTATGCAACATCTTTCTTCCCCAATAGCGTGCCCTATAGCTTCCTGTAAGCACCGCTGGCTAAAGAGCGATTGACGCCTCCAGGAACGCGCACGTCCTCATCAACTTTAAGTGGCCGAAAAGTCTGGCGTGTGCGATTGATTCGTGGCAAGCCCACACCGTCGACGGCTCAGTAGCAGTTTTCACAAGTGCTGACTTGACCCATGGAACCGCTCTGACACCGGTCAGATTCTAACAGGCCCTGTCACCAATGAGCGCAGAACCTTATTTCTGCTTCGCTACTTGGTAATTTTGCCGACATCAACACACAGAAGTGCGAGTGCGGAAACAACGAGTACCAAGTGGGTTCATGTTAGCTTGTCCGTGGCACTGTGAGTGTGTTTTCAGGTACAATAGGAGAACTTAAAATTCTGTTTTCAGGTTTGTGCACGACATTGCAGGTCACTGTTAATGTGAAATCTGGTGTTGCATATTGGAGGCTGGCAAGTTCGCACTTGCAGTGGGAGAGCGGTGTAGGCAGGCAGATATGTGATGTTCATTCTTGAGTGCCGATGATGGGACGGCTATGTACTCATCATTATATCATCAATTAAACCATTGTATGCTCTAAAACGCCGTAGATGATGGGTGGAAGCAGCCTCTGTGCTCCTTTTGTGCAGCAGTCCAGTGCGCGGTCGTTGGCATTGATGGCCTTGCCAACATACATGCAATCAGTCAGAAGTCCCCAAGATACAGTTGGTACACGATGAAAGACGCTCAGAAATTCCTATGCAGCGATAGGTGCCAACGCGTTCTGAGGTCTAGCGCATAATGTCGATCCGTGAAGGTGATACAGGCCAGTAAGGAAGACCCAAGACGGCGGTCGCGACGTGTTCGCGATGATCCAACGCCATGGGATGTGCCAAGATAGAAGCGTTTCGTCAACGCAAGGGATTTAGACCTGCTCGGTGAAAGCAGACTTCCTTGATTCTCCAGACGAGCGGCGTTTCTTCTGGAGCTTCCTTCCTGTGGACTGTCTCCTCTCGCCCTTGTCGGTCATCTCCATCTCTTCGGGGGCTGGGGGGGCAAATGTGCCTGGCTTCAGCACTTGAAAGCCAGAGTTGACGCTGCGGAGTACCTGAGAATCGGGGCGCTGGTTGTTTTGCATTGTCTGAACTTCGTACGGGACCTCGTCGTAGGATGGCTGGTGCTGGGGACCGCGGACTTGGTATGTGTCGGGGTAGTAGGGAGCGTTCGGTGCATACGACTCCTGAAGGGGGACACCCTGTTGGCTAATCCGGTACTGATTCTGTTCCTGAGGTTGCGAGGCGGGGACATGGCTGGATGCGTAGCCGGCGGCTTCTTCTTGCGGGTCGACGATAGGAGGCAGAGGAGGAGAAGGAGTCTTCTGAGGCATGAAATAGTTAACACCATTGTGCGTAGCAACCTGGTTGTCCGCAACGCTGGCCCACTCGCCGCTATTACCTGGTTTGCGGACTCGCGGTGTGAGCTGTCCAGTCTCAGCGACGTGGGACATGCGGTGGGTCTGGAGGAGGTCGAGGTCGGTGCGGGGGTCAATGGGACTCAGGCCGGATGAAGGCCTCATGTATGCTGTCTCGTATGCTCGCACGTCTTGACCAACGGCCATGTAATCAGACTCGTCGCTGGTGCGGCGGCTGGACTTCTTCGAAGAGCCGCTGGACTCGCCGAATTGGCCATTGCGGGCTGTGAGAACGTTAGTGTGAGGTCGAGCGACACATCAGTTGCAAATCTTACGAGAAGGAGGTCCTGAGCGGCCTTGCTCGAGGTTCGCCGGAGTGGTAGAGTTGCGGCCAAAGTTAGACTGGCTGTAGCGAGAAGACGAAGGTCCAGGGCGAGTCTGGTGACCCTGGTTGGGCGGCGATCCTGAGCGGGAGTCGTTGGTGGGCAGTCTCTCAGCAGAAACGGCGCGGTCGAATGAGCTGGGTGCGGCGGAGCTACCACGACTCGAGGCGTACGACATCTGAGGGAGTTCAAGAGCTGAGTTGTTAAAGCTGCGAGGTAGCCTGTTCTCGGAGACGATCGAAGCACGGCTGCTGCCAACGGGTGTGTTGGAGCGCGAAATCCAGACACCGTCAATCTCAATTCCGCTCTCAATGGCGCGGACACCGAATGGGATCTCGTCCTTCATCTCGTCTGCTTGAACCAGCTGCACGGGCTGCGACTCGAGCATCTCCGGCGTCGCGGCCTGCTTGCCCTTGTCGACCTTGCTGTACTTGCGAATCTTGCTGCGGTCGTACCAAAGCTTGAGGAGACCCAGGAATATTGTGACCACGATTCCGCAAGCAAGTACCTGGATGATGTCAGCGATTGGTCGCTTTGTCGCTTGCTAGCGCAGCCACTCACAAAGGTCATTTTCTGCCACAATGCCCAAGAATTGAAGAACTCATTATTGTCTGATTGTCCGAAAGCCATATCGGCGGTTGTAGTAATGGGAGATTAGGTGTTCAGGGTAAGAATAGCGGGTGGTCGCACTTGTAAACAAGATCTGCGAGATCCAGGAAGGTGCAACGACACGTTGATGCTCGGCAGGAACAACACTAGTAACAAAGCACCAAACAAGGGAAGATGCGAGACAACGATGGCCCAGTTGGAATGGTGATGAGGCTGGCAGATTCCTCAATCGAAGTTGGCGACAAACGTCAAAGAGTCTTGGTTCGTGACGGTGCGGGTGGGTCGAGAGATGTCCAACCTGGTCCTACGGGGCCGGATCTAAACAATGTCCAGGCAGCGAGGGAAGAGGATCCAGGAGAGCGAGCGTGGGAGGACGGATGAGGTTGTTCAGGCCACGCTGGGTTACAACGCGGGGTTTTGAGGTCGACCCTTGGGAAAGCAGCGGTAGTGGAAACGAGTGTGGAACGTCCAGTCGGCGAGCGAGGGAACGGGTGTCACTAGTGAATCATACAGGATGTACAAACAACCAGGTAGCAGCACGCAGAGACCTCGTGCACGTCTTGTGGCTCGTGAGTGGTGACTTCCAAGAGCAGTTCCGGGGGTCGTCGGTGAGGGTTGGGATGGAGGTCGGTCACAGCGAGCGCGAGAGTATGGGGAGCAGTGAGTTATATTGCGCGCAGGCTGGTGCAGCAGAGCAGGAGATCCGCGCCTAACTAGGACCCACCGCCGGTGCGCAGGAAACGACGGAACTTTGCTGTGGAGGGAAAGATTCTGCCATCCTTGCGCTCCCAAGGCGCGCTCCTTCGTGCCATGCCTGCATCCCGTCTGCTGGCTTCGCGCCACCGCCAGAGCGGCAGGGGCTTGTGCTTGTGACAGGGGTAAATGCATGCATTGGTGACGGCGAGACGGCAAAACTCGCACCCCGAAATAGAAAGTGACGATGGCGCGTGTGTTTGGAACGTCTAAAGACTGTGGATCGGCGCGGTGGGCGTCGAGGAATACGGGCCCAAGTCGCAGTGCGTGGGGCAATGACTGGCCAGTAATGTGACCCCAGCCGAGCAGCAATGTTGGCCTCGCGAGCGCCGTGTGACACGCATTCTCAGCGCGTGTACTGCCGTCACGACCGCGACAACTGCGTTTTGCTGGAGGCTGATGGCAGCCGAAGCAATGAACACGTCCCGAGCAGCCCCTGGCCACCGCCCAGCCGTAGCGAACGCCTCTGCCTTGTCTTTAGACGGGGAGCGTTAGACCAGCACCCGCGCAGGGGCCCCCCAAGATGCTAATTAGCCTGCACCGATAACGCTTTCACCACGCAGAAAAGAATCACCGAGATATTCACTGTCGTAGGAGGTCTTCCGGCAACAGGGTGTCTCGTGACCGTGTGCACTGCTGCTAAATGCTTTCTGGCAGCCGTCACAGAATGCTTCGTATTCTTGGAGTGCCCTGGCTAGGTATTGCTATCTCTATATTTACTGCGAGCCACGGACATGCGAAGATTCTCACTATTGAGACGACGGCTAGGCAGGGTTATACGATGTTATGCTCTGTGCCGTGCCTAATGACGCAAAGGTGGTGCTCCGTGGTGTCCGTGAAGGAAGAAACCCTCAGCGGCCACTACGGCTCAGCGTTACCCTCAACAGTCAGGCGTGCAATCTCCCGCCCCGTCACCAACATCTCCCCAAGCGAAAGCTCCAAGACACCTCCGCATCCACATGGTTCAATGCGTGGAGAGAAACCGCTGGGCCGTTGCTGTTTCTCGCAGAAGGTTCTTGTAACTCTTACCTAAGACACAGAGAGTCATGTACATCAGGCTGCAGAATGGTTTGCCGGTTACGATCCCGCCCGTGTCCTGACAATCCCGCTCTGCCATCGCGATGCAAGTGTCAGGTCTTGCAGCCTTCTCCACTATGATGGAAGCCCAGCGTGACGGCCTGGTCGTCCATGCTACGGCTTATCACAGTGGAAGCGGACCACGCTCGAGTCCTTGCTGCTTGCACTCGGCATTGGCGCAAAGGAAGCACCGCATGGGAACCGATATTGATGCCACCAAGTACAACATTTGTGTAACTGCTACGAACCCAGCACACACCGCTTCGGCTGCACCAACCCGCGAGAGGCAATGCACTACCCACGAATTCGGTTCTCTGGGGACAGTTGCGACAGTGATTGAGTATCCGTATTTCCAATCCTAGCGGCAGCTCCCAAAAATGGTATCGATTGGACAACGCATCTAGCAAAGTCAGACTTTCGATCCAGCTAGTGGACGCCTTGTAGCACCGTGAACAATCCCAGTGTGCATCGGCTTCTGCGGAGTACCTAACAGAATCTTCCATGCGGTCTTTCGCTTGCCAGGCGCCAGGGCTGTTGTGCCGGACCGTAGACACCGAGCTCTGACGACGTGATGACTTGACTCTGGTGTCTGGTCTTCAGCCTCGGACCCGGGCAGGCGACTAGGAATTGGGCAGTAAGCAGACGATAATTGACTCAACAGGTCAGACCGAGCCGCATGCACACATGAAGCGAGCCTGTCACATCTGACTTTGATTTGGATCTTCATGTTCCAAACAGATGACGTTCGATCAGCTCGACCGGCGTCAACTGATGCACAGTTCGTGCCATAAGACATCCCGCTTGCGTGCAGCCAATCTACGGACACGACTAATGGGGTGAGCATGCTCCGTAGCCCCCATGAGTTGGTAGAGTAGGCTGTGTCGTCCCCGTGGGCAGGTATTGGGAACCGACGATCAGAAGTTGCCACTCGTTGTCGCTAGACACTTGTGAATTGTAACGCACCCTGCAGTTGTTCACAGCCGCGGCCAAAAGATCATCGACCAGGGCCCACGTGCGACCAGTAAGCACGTTCAAGGTATGTATTTGCCCAAGGCTAGGTGTTCAGCTCGGCTATCAAATATTGATTGCTCTCGACAAGCCGAGACGAACACGCTCACTCGTGGGACTCCCATCACCGGTTGTAAGCACGAGATGGCACAGCATCGGAGCATTCCAATCTTCCAGCTCAAATGGCCTTGGATCTGAGTAGTCCGTACACGTGCGTTAGCAAGGCTTCACGGCATATATCGTATTCGGAAGTCAGGTTTAGATTCCACCGAAATTCTCGCGGCCCGTACATCAGATTGCTGTAATCTGGTAGGACCAGCGCTTGGTGCGCAGCATGATCAAACCACCACGTGAAGTGGTGTGCCTGAGAAAACGTTGCGAAGTGCAACTTGCTTTTCGAAATCACGTCGTACGTCCCTCGAGATTGCAATTCGGTGTTACTGACAAGCAAGGGCGTCAGGGTTCATCCTTAACGGACACTTGCTTGTGCGAGTACCCGATTGACATGAGCCTATTGACAGATCCTGAGATCGAACCGCAGACTGTTGAAGTTGCAAGTTTTGACCAGCACACTCGACGCTCCCCGATGCTTTGCGCTTAGGCAGAAGAGGGGCCTGTTGCAGATAGGTAGATGCTGCATGCATCTGATCAGGCTCGGAATCGCGAGATCGTCAGGTCAAGCCAGGATCCCAATCTACTTGCTGCAGGTGCGCACGAATTTGATGAAGCAGCTACGGTCTGGGGCGCCGAGCCTCGCGATAATTGACAAAGAATGTCTGTTTTTAGCATGCTGCTCTGGCTGGTTGCTGAGGCGCCTGGGTACCATGTTGCACGTTTGGGTGCTTGTCTCCATGCTTGTCTCCAGATCTCGCTGACGCAGGGACTTTGCCAGTACCTGGGGTCACCGTTTCCGGCGTCTTCCTTACGGCTCTTCGATCACAGTCCATGGCTCAACCCCGATCTGTCGCTGAGGTGACTGGAATTTTGCGATGCCAAATAAACACACCTGATGGTGGACAGACATTTGCTCTCGCAACAGTTACTCTCGGCAGATGATGTTGCCGAGTCCCCTGTTCTTGTTACCGGCGTGGCTTCCCAACCGGTCGTTCAATGACATCTTCGCTGGCGCCCGACCAGTCCGACCACCACTACCACCGACTGTGTACTCTTGTCTTTGTCTTACAACAGCAACACCATTGTCCTGAAACCGAAACACCCCACGTTATACCCGTATCACCTTATTTTGCCTTAGTACCTGATCGCCATGCCTATCCGCAATCCATTTCGTCGTGCGCCTGGCGCCGAAGCCGCCGATGAGGCGCAACGCAATGGCGCCGATAATGACTTCAAGAACACAGCAGTCTCTGGCGCCAAACCACTAGAGATCAAGGATACGACTGAATATAAATTGAGTGGTAAGATAATCCGCGGACATCCCTGAACGCGCTCGCCAGATGCGCTTGATACGGACAGGCGCTTACTGCTGCTCTAGAAATCAACGATAGCGGAGTCTACCTGCCTGTAAGACGCGCCCTTTGGATCTGAACAGTTGCGATTGCAATGCGACTGCGAGCCTATCCTTCTTTTGAGACTGGTATTGACACTTGCGCCAGCCATCCCCGCAGCAGGACAAGCCCACCTTCTGGCATTCCAAATCCAATGTCTCCACTACGTCCTCGAACCACCGAAGCCTGTTGGCTGAGACTGAGCCATTCAACATCTCGCGCGAGAGCTTCGACTCGTACAGGCGATCCTTCGTACGCCGACAATACATTAACTCCAAGCCGAGTACCCCGCTTACAAGTGCAGGATATCTCCGCGCGATCGCCCATCACAGATATAACCGCCGAAACATACCCTCGGCAGTCACTCGACGCACGACGATCAATCGATACGAGGCGCTCTCTCGATGTACGCCGTTCCCGAGCAACACCTCGCTCATCTATGCAGCAAGGACGTCCAAGCGAAAGCACAGACCGGGTGCCAGAAGAGGGGTTCGAGGACGTGGGATTGAACGACGAGCCAAAGCCAGCGCCCAAGAAGCGTGGGATTTTTTCACGATTCGGCGACAACAACAACAACGCAGACAACAAACCGGAAGAAAGGCCCTCGCCCGGTCACCACTTTTCGTTAACCGGACGAAAGCGCGCCGAAAGTGGAAAAGGCGAAGAGCTGAAGCCCATGGGACGGCTGTCAAGTGACGCGCCTGTCGAGACACGGTAGATTTGAATGCAGGACGTTTGATCGGCATAGAGAGGAGAGCATCAGGGCATTTGAAAGAATCGGGTACCAAGGCGTAGAGGAGTTGGTCTGGCAGCATCACCCATACTGCTTTGGGCAAAGCATTGGCTGCATCACGATCGCTACATTCAACTGACCAAGGGCAGTATGATCACGACAACATAATAATGAATTCTAATCTTCAACTCCCCCAGCTTCAGAGCAACCTAAGCCCAAGCATGTTCAGCAACACGGCAGCTGCCCTCACATCTAGTACCACAACTCGCATTGTTCCCCTGCCAACCGCAAAAGCAGCACTGCACTTCCCGACACCGGCGCGAACAGCTTTCCTGATTGAAAGCAGGCCGAGCGTCTCGAGCCGAACGGATGAGTGCAATGTGCGCAGTGGCGCGTGGCTGGTTCGGTGTCGTCATTCGGCAGTCGTGGCTGGGTGGTGCAATGCAGCCTATCAGTGCTGGAGCTGCAGCATGTGGCGCTACGGCGCGGTTGGCCACGGTGGAGTTCAATGACAGTGTTGCGCAGCAGCTGGAGTCACAATTGTGGAGTGCTGTTGAAGGTCAAGGTAGGTGCTTGCTGAGAGGGTTGAGGATGGGTATTATGATTGTTGCAGGTGTGTTGTTGCTGTGTCTGGGAGATGCTTGGTTTGCAAAACGCAGCCCGCAAGCATGTCGAGAAATCCACCTTAGAACCAACTGCTGCAGGCTCGGGGTAACGTGGAAGGTGCGAGCATGACGTTTGGGCGGTTCTTTCCACGGTTGTTGATGGTAAAACCAAGGAGCGGCAATGTTTGTTCTTTTCGCTTGCGTTTGATGCTGGAAACCGCAAACGAAAAGAGCACGACCGACAACTGACGAGACGGTGAACACTTAGGCGACTGAAACCGGAGTCTTAGGACACTGGAAACGATGATGTTGTGAGTTTGGACACCGGGCCACAAACCGAGGACCAGTCACTTGACCAATGCCCAGCGACGCTGGACCTTGCCTTGACACATTCCGACAAAGACGAAAGAGCTTGTCAAACTATGCTCCAGCAGGCCGGAGCCTGCTGCGTGATCTCGTATGCAGTATGACTGTACTCATCTGCGCTGCAGGGGCGCTTTACAGTGAAGGCGGGCGTCTGCTTGCAGTACTTACCTGGCGCTATCTGGCGCAACAACACACGAAAGCCTTTCTCTCGCTCATCTGAAGCTTTCTGTCGTCTTTTGGACCGATTTGCTTCTCCTCCACGACACATTTTACCACCTTGCCTTTCGCCGCTTTCGTTGTTTCGAGCCACTCACGTACCGAAGACCGCACTGAGGCCGGATTCAAGAAAGGTATGTCTCCGCACATAGTGCACATGTATCAACTTACGAACGGCTGTCTAGTCATCTACTCACAGTTCCTTGAACCAGCGGGACAATGGCAGGCCCTAGCCGACAGCGCCCACCATCCCCTGCGACAGCGTATCTCTTTCATCACGTCGCACTTCCTCCGAAGCTTCCTCAAGCTTCCGATCACGATGCTGCGTTCGAGAAATATCTTATTGATATAGCTCTAGAGGCACTACGCGACCTCAAAGCTTCCACCACGACCCAGCACAAGTACACGGTCAATATCGCCATCGCCACTGTCACAAATCTGAGGGAAGCACATGATAGTCTTGGTCAAGTCAGTGAAGCTCAGTTGCGACCGTTGCTGAGCCGCCTACTGGACGGCACATGCACTGGCTCCATACCTCTTGAGATAAAAGCTCAGAATTCTGGAATCCTGATCAGCCGGAAGGATAACTACATCACTTTCGAATGTTTCGAGCTATCACCCACGAATAATAACGCTATGCTCAACGGTCGCCTGCTACGCAGCTTCCCTGGTCTTGCTGCCAGAATTGCAATACCCAAGCTGCAAGAGCCTGGTTTGGTTCACATGCTTTCCGAAACGTTAGCCAAGATGAGTACACAAGTCGCGCCAGGCTTCCAACCTCAAGTCCGAAAGGCTGGTCAGAATCACGACGAGGTTCGCGATACAACTCATCCCGGAATGGTGACTGATTATCTCTTAAACGTCATCACTTCCCTTGGCGAGAAGACGGACGTGGCCTGCATCACCAAACACACTCGAGAGGAAATCTTGTGGGACAATGCTCTCCAACCATGGCGTCGATCCCCAATGTGGCTCCTCATTCGTGTGGTTCTGCAGCTACACTTCGCCAGGTCACAGTCAACGCTCTCTATCGGTGACAGCTTGTACAAGGCTTTCGGGATCCAAATGCTTGTCCGCATCCTCGGGTCTGCCAGGAGCCATTGGTCATCCTTTGGTAATGATCACCTTCATGTGCTCAACGCCAAGATCCTTCGTCGTGTACGTAAGCTCGAAATGCTATCGAAGTTTCAATGCTTGAAAGCTTCTTGGATCTGCGATATACGATCCCTCCTGGTCGATACATTCACCTTCATGGACAAGAAGTGGAGAACACTCACCGACGATACCAGCACGAACCTCAGCATTTCTACAATTGAGTCTCTGCGACCTGAGACGTCTCTTGATATGCACTTGCCTGGATTGGACAAGTTCATCCTCGATGTCCGCTCCAGACAATCGACACAAGCTTGCGCAGAATTCGACCCAGTGCTTCCGTATCCCACTTTTGCGAGCGAAACTCTGCCAAAGAAGTTTTCTGCGTCTGGCGATTACCGACACTTCCAGCTTGCTGCATTGGAGTCATGGGTTGAGAACTATCTCCAAGAGTGGATTGAGAATCATCAAAATGACAACGACACTTGCACTGAACTCCTCATCCTGATCCGGGCTTATCACAGCTGCGCCGTTTCCGCATACTCAGATCTTCCAGTAAGCTTGTCCGTCATGTATCTGACCGTTCTCGAACTGTGGGTCGCCTGCGACAGGGCAGCATGTGACGACGTCCCTTTGCTATCGACCTACAGTCCAGAAATCGAATTGGCTGAGCTTCAGTGTCTGGTCCTTCCTCTCCGCACCCAGATGAAGCGCTTGGACATCGTTGAGAAGTATGTTCGATCGCGAAATGTAGCCGCCATAAACAAAGTTTCGCTGTATCGCGACTTTGGCAAAGCTCAGTCGTTTGCTGTCAAATACTTCGACCAGACCTCCCGCCTCCAAGATCTCCGGTCGAAGATTGAGGAAGATGCAGACACCAAACGCAAGCATAAGTGCGAGGAGCTGGCACAACTCAAAACAAGATATGAGAGCCTTATGAGCCGTTACAGCGCCGGTAAATGCGAGTACGTCACGGTGGTCACCAACCATCACCACAATTACACCACCACTGTGCACAATGGCAGCTGCTCAAGATGCTCACTGAAGCAAGAAGCTGAATCTCTCAACATCAGCATCTACGAGTGGCCTCTATCTCCGCAGAACCTGTCTGCAAAGGCTACTGTTTTCGAGCTGGCGATTCCCGAGACATTCAGCGCTTGGCGAGATGCTTCAGCGTACATCATTCATGATTTACTTGGGTTCAAGGCCGAGTCTATGCAGAAACCTCGGAACTCTTACCGACTTGACAACCATCGCGACTTGTCTCACATGCTCGACCGGAGCCATCATTCACGGCGCATAATACCGCTATCATCCGTGAAGCCTCACTCAGGCACTCATCGCAATCTCAAGACAGCTGTCTCTACCCTCAAAGACGAAGATGTCTGTCTACCGAATGCGTTGCAATATCTATACTATGATACCTGTCAAGCCATTTGGACGTCGCCCCAGATCTCTTCCGGCCAGGTCCACCAGAAGTGTATGCACCGGATGCCAGGTCGTTCAAGGGGCCTTGAGCGCTTTTTGAGTAAGCCGACGTCTTCTCCCGACGGCCTCACACCTAATGAGGTGGTGGCCAGTCAGTCAGATTGTCCACCGCATTTCTCTATCGAAGAGTACAAGGCTTTTGGAGCACTCCCGCTCGGTCGAAACATCTTCTACTCGAACATACTTACACAACTCGCAGCGCCAACGCTTGATTTCTCCAAAGTTGAGACACAGTGCTTGATATTGCAGACTGTAACTCAGGTGGGCGTTCCAGACGGTCGCGTCGAGCGCGCAAGCCACCACGTCCTCACAGACCCGGCCTTTGGCACTACAATGATGGAGCATTTGGAAACTGCTCTGCAGCGTACAGCAGAGAATTGGGAATCTTGGAGGGCGGTTGCAACGCTCGTTCGTCTTGCTTGCCGCATACTCAGTCTGACACCTGCATCAGACGTCCGCCAGCGCAGTCTGGATTTTCTCAGCGGAGCTCGCCAGGTCGCCGTCAAATGGCACCACCGCCTCAAGAGCCGAGCAGCTGCGTCAACTGATGACAGTCAGCGTACAGAATTGTTCGCTAGAGCTGCAGAGATCGCTCTACTCGGGACCAGTACCTTCGATGTCGAATACGAATTTCTCCGCACCGTCCTGCAACAGCAAGGTGCGGTCTCGTCCCTCTTGCAATGCTCAATATCGGTACAAGAGAATCTGCATCTGATATTGGGCTCGGAGAATTTGCAGGACTGCGCCCTTCAAGCATGGCGCTCATTGATGTATCGCATGTTTCCAGAGTTACTCAGGACGATCATGCATGATTGTTCCGGCCTAAACGAAGCAGTGTCTACGAGCTGGGCGTCTTTTCAATCAACAGAGGCTACTCCTTGGAAATCTCTGAACAAGCCTAAGCATCATTGGTTATACATCTTCTCGGGCAAGCTTCCAGTCCACGTCAATCTGCTGACGGGAGAGCTCCTGGTCAATGGCCTGCCACTGACCCGCCTTCCATCGGAATACTTAGTCCATCCGATGTACACGCCCTTGTTCTCTGCTTCAGCCTTAGAAGTTGTTCCCACTGATGAGGTCGGGATGAGGTTCTCCGCTAAAACCACTTACCACGGCCATGAGCTCCATTTTGGGATGGCCAATGGAGACATGCTTGTGGTCGCAATCTGTGTTGAGAAGAAGTAAGTTAACATTCCACATTTTACCAGCCGCGAAAACAAGTTGATATTCTATAGACTAGACCTGACACCGGCACAAGTGTTCGAGGGTCGATTGCCACACGCCTTTGTAGCTCACTACATCCATTGGTATGATCACAGGACCAGCACAGTCATCTTTCGACCACGCGAGAATCCTTGGCACTCCTCAAGTGCTGATGAATGGCACCTTCGACGTCACGGATCTCATTGGCGCCTCTCGAAAGGCCCACACACGCTGGTGAATGTTTGTAGCAGCAATGCCCGCACGCTCTCAGCGCTGCTCAAACTTGTAGAGGATGAGCTGCATATCCACATTATACACGATACCTCGTCTCGATCGACCGAGATACAGCTCCCTCGACTGCAACTTGACTTCCAAGTCACCGATGGCGATGATCAGATTCGCTCACGTCAGTATCGAGGCATGATTGTGGACGAAGACCAGAGAGTAGGCACCCTTGTTGGTCTAACCAGCAAAATCGTTCTGCGCAACACTATGTCTACGAATGACAGATTGGTGTTGATCCCTGAGGGTCCTGTTCGCTTTAGCAAAACTCGAGATCACCACGTGTCAGTGACGATTGGCCGGCAGGACGATACGAAAGTCCACGCATACCAGGTTGACACGACACTCGGACGGATTTTAGACAATGGTGCACTACAGAGCAAGCTCATGCTATGCTACTTGCATGCACTCACATCACATTGTCTGCGCGATCCTCTCACAGGCAACACTGGGACTGAAGCAGCACTGAAAATTCTGAGGTCTTCAGCTGTCCGCTCTTTCGACATACTTACGCTCGATAACATCAGATTGCTGAAAAAGATCGCTGTGCTCTCGCCATCCCGATCGTTCTATCCAGCCAACGAGCATGTCATGCAACAGATTGAATGGAAGACGGACCTGTCCTGTCTCTCGCAGCATGGTGATTTCCACTTTCTGGTCAAAGAGATTCTGAAACATGAGGAGAAGATGTCGTTGTTCCGCTCGAGCAATTTGCTCGCTGGACTTGACCCGGACGAGCTGGCCTGGATGTCATCCGTAAATTTTGGTCTTCATCAACGAGCTTCAGCACGTGACTCCGTGTTTCGGGTTTCCGGATTTGGAGCCGAGCTGTTCACAACAAAGATGGATAGTACTTATCAGGCGCGAGATCGACCGCTAAACTCTGACCGAGGTCAGAGAGCTTTTACTGTCGCCAAAATGACTGTCCGAGAACCCGCTACACTCGACTCGTCCGTCCCCAATCTTGCTACTATTCGGCAACATTTCAGACGAACGAGAGCTTACGGCGCCAAAGACAAGGACAGCACACTGGCTTTGTGCTATGATTCGAAGTGGTTGGACGACCCGTCAACTATAATGGAGGGGCTTTGGTGCACCCTCCATCATAACCTGGCGTCCTCTCGTGCGAGCTACAATAAGTTTGACATCATGATCTGGTTGTCAGCCATGGCATTTGCATCTGAGGTGGATATGAACATTATCAGAGCTCTGCTCGCATTCTACCGGATGCCGGAACTGGCCACCGTTCAGGTGCCACGAACAACTTGCTTCGAATTGACGCAAGGAAACACCTTCAAGCTCCAGGAGATTCGTGCGGCTGCTCAAAAGGCTGCACGATCTTACAAGGGCTCCCAAGAAGCCAAAATGCCGAAGCAAGGCTCCGAGACCAAAGATCAACACTTACACAGGATAGAAAACTTGTTCCGGGTCCGATCACGGGCAGCAATCGATAATTTCGTCAACAACCTGCAGGAACAATGGCCATGTGAGGATCCTTCGACACCGAGCGGTGGTAGCATCAATACGTTCATCGATTGCGGTGTCGGAATGGATGTTGTCAGGCGTGCGTTCAAGTTGTGGTACGACAACCGTAGCTTCGAGAGATATATGGATGCTACCTCAGACATCATCCAACGCTTCCAGGCACTCCGCATAGTCGTTCCTCGCTTTATTGTAATGTCCACATTACCGAAGATTTCTGCTCAGGAAGTTGATCGACACTGCAACTCTATTGCTATCTTTGGAAATTCTCCACCGACTGTATCCACCTACCAATCGGATGGTAATCCAGACACACTCATTACGCCGAGCCAGCCAAGTCTGCCCTTGTCACAGTCGAAGAGCGTCTCCATCGTCTCCGAGACACGTGCTCGAGTCGATGACTTCTGCTCGACTTTGAACTCATGTGTACGATCGGCATGTGAGCAAAGATATGTCGATGACCTGCGATCCAGCTGCGATTCTTTTCATGAACAAGAGCGCGTCAAGAAGGCGGATGATTGCCTTATCAATGATCACGCTCAAACCCTCTTGCGAGCCCATCTGATCGCTTGCGAAGATTACGTCGAGAAGTTCAATATTAGGCTTACGGAAGTTCTCGAGCTCGGGATTTTTCAGAGCACCGCGCTTGCATCGCAGATTGGAATGTCCCCCCGTACATCACCGATGTTCTGGCTGAGCCTACTGAATCGTGATCGATATGACCGTCTTCCGAAACGATGGCAGGCTGCCATTATTCAATACGGCCTGGCTATCACCAATCTACATCGAGCGCAGAGGTTGGTCGCTCTATGTGACAAACCCGTCGAACTGAATGAAGAGCTTCGCCACAGAGGTAATGTCAACTGGAATCCAGCCGATTACCCTGAGACTCTGCTTCTCGAAGCTGAGAGTGGTATCATGGTTCGGGAAGTCCAAGCCCAGATCGCTGAGCATATGATGCACCCAGAGGGCAACCATAATACTGTCATGCAGCTGAATATGGGCGAGGGTAAGTCGTCTACGATTGTTCCCATTGTTGCTGCCTCTTTGGCGGACAGAGAGAGGTGAGTTCGAAAATATGCACTCCACTGTCAAAATGAGTAGATTGCTAACATCACGTCAACAGGCTTGTCAGGGTCATAGTAGCCAAGCCTCAGAGTAGCCAGATGCTGCAGATGCTTATTGCAAAACTGGGCGGCCTCATCGACCGCCAAATTTACCACATGCCCTTTTCCCGGGATCTCCGGCTAGACGAAAATGATGCTCGGGCCATACGTACGATGTATGAAGATTGTATGGCCAATCGAGGGATCCTCTTGATTCAGCCCGAACACATACTGTCATTCAAGCTTATGGGTATCGAGTCCCTGCTCACAGAGAAACCTGCGACAGCAAGACTTCTTCTCGACACCGTGCAATGGTTCGATCAAGTCTCTCGTGACATTGTTGACGAGAGTGATGAAAACTTCAGTGTCAAGTTTGAGCTCATCTACACAATGGGATCTCAGCGAGCCATTGGATTTGCACCAGACAGATGGCTACTCATACAAGAAGTTCTCGGCTTGATTCCAAGGCTGGCGACACAAGTTCAGGCTACCCTACCACTTTCGATCGAAGCCCAAGACGGTAGCGATGGCCGATTTCCGCGAGTGAGAATTCTTCGTGATGATGGAGCCGAGGCCCTGCTTGCTCTCCTTACGGAGCACATCATCAAAACTGGTCTGACAGGACTCCCGATCTGTGGTCAGCCCAGGAGAGTCCAAGAATCTGTCATGGACTACATCTCTATGGCAGATTTAACCCTGGAACAGGTTCATGCGGTAGAGCAGAGCAGATTCTGGACTTCTGCCACCAAAGAACCATTGCTTCTCATCAGGGGTCTCCTCGCTGGCGGTGTCTTACGGTTTGCACTGACCCAGAAGCGTTGGCGTGTCAACTACGGCCTCGATTCTACTCGCGTCCCGCACATTCAGCTTGCAGTTCCATATAAAGCCAAAGACTCACCGTCACCGAGATCGGAGTTCTCTCATCCCGATGTTGTCATTCTTCTGACACTTCTCAGCTACTACTACGGCGGTCTGAAAGATCAAGAACTCTTCGATTCATTCGCACATTTACTGAAATCTGATCATTCCAACATCCACTACAATGAGTGGGTACGCACGGCAGCTCCTGGTCTTCCCGTCGCATTCCGTCAGCTGTCTGGGGTGAGCATCAAGGACCGTGTCATGTGTATTCAGCAAATCTTCCCGCATTTGCGTTACGCTCGCGCCGCAATCAATTACTACCTCAGATTTCTGGTATTTCCGAAGGCGATGAAAGAGTTCCCTTCCAAGCTCTCGGCTTCAGGATGGGATCTGGGCGCCAAAAAGGAGCATCCTACAACCGGCTTCAGTGGTACCAACGACACTATGCACGTGTTACCTCTTGCAGTCAAACACCTGGACTTGCTGAGTCAGAGTCACACCAACGCTCTGGTTCTTAGTTACATTCTACAGCCCGAGACGTCGGTTGAGCAACTATCACCTCGGTCTAACGGCACAGACGCGGAGCATTTGCTTACTGTTATTAATGGCCTACAGCCAGAAGTTCGTGTCGTACTCGACGTCGGCGCATTGATACTTGAGATGGACAACACTCAGGTTGCTCAGTGTTGGTTATCCATGCGAAGAGACGATCGGACAGAAGCAGTAGTGTTCTTCAAGGGCGAAGAACTGACTGTACTTGATGTCAGTGGACGCATCGATTCGTTCCAGACATCGCCATTTGCAAAGCAACTTGACCGGTGTCTGGTATATCTTGACGAGGCGCACACTCGAGGCACGGATCTGAAGCTCCCAAGAGACTACAGGGCAGCAGTGACACTGGGTGCGAACTTGACCAAAGATCGTCTGGTTCAGGGTGAGTGATTTTACTTGCACATGTTGTTGATATACTGACAATTCCTCAGCTTGCATGCGTCTTCGGAAACTTGGGAAGGGTCAGTCGGTAGTATTCATGGCCCCGCAAGAGATCTGCATGAAGATTCGGGAGCGAAGGCAAGCAAAGGTCGACACTGCAGTCACAGTCACCGATGTCTTGTGTTGGAGCATCGGCGAGACCTGGCTCGATCTGTCACGGAGCATGCCCCTCTGGGCTGTTCAAGGCCACCGCTACAAAACGCACAAGCATCTTCTGAACGGCGCTACCACGACATTAGCGCAGGCTGAAGCTTTTTTGGAGGACGAGGCTCAGAGTATCGAGGACCGATACAAGCCAATATTGCGGAGCACTAGTCAATTCTCCGGATGGGATGCGACTAACCCGAGCATCAAGCAGATCCAGTCTCGCTGTCGGGAGTTCGAGGCTATGGGCTTCAACTCAGCTACGCTCCAGGAAGAACAGGAGGTAAATCAAGAGAATGACAGTCTGAACATACGAGGCTAACATGTTACAGCGTGAACTCAGCCCTGAGATTGAAGAAGAACGCCAGATCGAGCGACCACTCAGGATGACGGCTGAGAAGCACACTATTCATCCAGATCTAGTGCAATTATCACATACTGGGCAGCTTCCTAGGTCTTCACCCGCCTTCCAGCCCGCTTTCCAGGCTCTCAATTCGACCTGTGCCGCCCGGGATTTCGACCTTGTTCAATTCCCGAAGGACCTGCTAGTCACTGCAGACTTCATACGAACAGTACAGATTCCTGCTGGCTCGAAACAGGCAGATTTTGTGTCCGATTCCTACCTGAGGCCAGTCCAGTGGATCCTTTCGGTCACTAACGCGACTCATCCGGACACAATCCAACAGCTGATCATCCTAAGCCCTTTCGAGGCAAACTCACTGCGTTCTACGATCGAAGAACATAAAAAGGTGACCCTGCACCTGTTCGCGCCGCGCTTCAACGTTAGTCTCGCTCCACTTGACGAGCTCAAGCTGTTCAACGTTGGTCGCAACTTCGATGGCAGCCGAGTACCGCAGTCGCTTACGGTGCAGCTCAATATCTTCGCTGGCAGTCTTTATCTTCGCTCATTCGCTGAGTACCAGGCGGTCTGCGACTTTTTGGGTCTGCTGCGAGGCACACTCGGGCCTGATCAGCAAGCCTACGCTGACGGCTTCATCGACCCGCCTAGCGGAGGGTGGGGGTTGAGGACTTCTCCAGTTCAATTCCTCCGTGCTCTGCTCATGAAGATCAGGAAAGAGGGTGAGGGCGTCGAGAAGACACACATGGGTAGGTTGTTGGGCGGTGTTCGTCTGGAGGAGTCTGATTTCGATACTGGGGCTCCTCCATCTCAGGGAGGAGCAGGATCTGGTGCTCCTGGTCATTCACTTCTGCGATGATTGTGTGCAGATGATGGTGGCAAGACCTATGGGGATTCTGCGATCCGACAGTCTTGTTTTGGCTCATCCGAAGGCCTTAGATTCGGAGGTTGGTGTGGCTGGATAGAAGGAGGTCTATGATAGACGCAACTAGGATACTTGAGAAGGAAAGGAGGGAAATTGCAATAGATCACAAGAAGTCACACCACGATCATCCAGCCACACAGGTTTACAAGAAGAGCTTTCCATCATTGCTATGTACTCATGCATAGTCTCATCAAAAGTGTTTACAAGAACAGAACGACGCGCCAGCGCTATGATATCCAAACACCAACTTTTGCTTTCCATGAGCGAAGCACCTATGCGCTTAAAGTCCAAAGCGAATCGCTTAGCAGGAAGCGAGAGGAGCAGTGAACTTGCAGGTGCCGGAAGAACCAGTGGAGACGGTCTTGGGCTCGCTGCCGTCCGTAACACCCTCGAATTCCTCGCAGATCTGCTTGACGCCGGAAGCGCAGGTAGCGCTGTCGATGGTGGCGGTGTCGCCGAAGTTGGGGTTGATGCCGACGAGCAGCTTGCCAGAGGAGGCCTTGACGTTCTTAATCACAACGTGGCGTTCCGAACGCTGCTTGCAGTTTCCACACGAGCGGTAGAGCTTGCCGAAGTCGGCAACCTGGAAGCCGTTGATGGTGACGGTTCCGGCGCCGTTGTGCTGGATGACCTTGTCCGCGGCGCCAGTGGCACCGCCGCCGGTGATGGTCGCGTCACCGTCCTTCTTCAGGGTAAGAGCATCTGCGTAACTGTTAGAATGTGTGGAGTGTGGAAAGGAGTGGAGTGATGCGTACCCTCGCAGACTGCAGCCCACCAGACGTTCTCGAGAGTACAGGAACCCTGGCAGTGGATTCCCTCGATTTGATCAGCTCCGATAATCACGTTCTTCAAGGTCCCTTTATCGGCAATCGAGAAGACGGCATCAGAGTCACCGCCCTCAGCCTGACCAGTGCAGCTGACACCACGGCCGTAGGTCTTGAGGCCACCGTCGAAGGTGTCAGTAACCACCTTGGGCGCGCTGAAGGTCTCAGTACCTTTGGAGGAGGGGATGGAGATGGTGGCGCGCTTGTTAAGGCTGGAGAAAGAAGCGGGAGCCTGGTAGGAGGGGCTGGCAATGGCAGCAGCGGCGAAAGCCAAGATGGAAGCAGCCATGGAGGCCTTCATGTTGATGGTTGTTGAGTTGGAAGTTGGTGATGAAATCCAAAGGATTCAAAGAGTGTTGGTTTTAGCGAGTGCTGGTTTGAGTAACGAAAGGATGCGTCGAGCAACTGTAGAGAGAAGAAGTGAAGAGACTGTTGATGGCTCGATGAGGAGTGCAGAAACTGTAGGGTGTGGCTGCTGCTCCCTCTTATACTCACAAAGTCCATCTCAAGCGGAATACAACCTTCGCCTTCGCGAATGCTGTCAAAGCGATGCCGGCGGGGACCAGGATCTGCGCATGGACCTCAGTTAGAGTAGCATTGGACACAACCGCGTTTCCGCGATGCAAGTGCGAATCGGTGTTTATCAACCGGACACGCTGAGGTAGCGCGAACCTCGCGCCTGCATTGCGTTTCAGATAATCACCCCACAGTTTGTTCCAATGAAGAGGCGTTATGGATCATGATGGACCGGCTGGGGCTGACAATGTGTCAAACACTCTTGTCGCACGACAAGCATTAATGTAGGCGGCGGTGATGCTGTCGCAGCGTCTGACAACCGGTACCCATGACAGTGCCAGACTGTGGATTGGCAGACAGTTTGAACCACCTTCAGCATGGACATTGAGCAGATGGCATGAACATAGTCGTTCAAGTATAGCGTCTCTGCAATACTTTGGTGTTCTCGGAGCCTCGGACTCGGACTTGAGCAGCTCGAAACCGCCAAGCAAGGTGTTTCGATGGTGGACGAAGCGATCGCAGGATCGACTGATTCAATGTACAGGGAGGTTCATCGGATAGACCACCGTCATCAAGCTGTGCTAGTACCGGGGATGGTGCCCCAGCGGGCCAAGACAGCCAAGTCGAACTCTTGTTTACGACACAAAGCATAGGCGAATCCCATGCTCTATATCAGCAAACAATGCGAGGCCACTGCAGGGTCAAAGCACCGTTTCGAGTAGGCTGATAAAAAGGTTGTCGTGCAACAAGTCGCTCAGGAGAACGAAGTGTGGAGAATGTACGTCGCGAAGCCAAAGTGCCAAGGCTTGGCTTTCTCCACTGTTGACGGTGCCATTGCGCCGAAGAAGGGTTGTGGTCTTCTGTCCTAATATTTACTACAATTCTGACTCAATGACGGTCGCGCCTGATCGGTTTGTTTCATTTCGCATGTTGGCTGCTCTTCGCGGTCTCATCTCTTGTGTGGGGTCGAATGCTGCCTTGACGGAAGAAGCCGGAAAATCAGATACCATGGTATTGGGAGTGAATGGGAGGACTCTAAATCTATCTTGAAATGTCCTGATGACGCAGACTCGTCTGAAGATGTGCAAGGCTATTGCCACTGCACGAGTCGCTGCGGGAAGAGCGATCAGCGAGGTCGTTGTTGCCTTCACCGTCACGGCAGGAGAAGGCAAGAAGTAGTTAGTGACATCCTGAACCTTCAACACCGTGACTCGAGCGACGAAACTCTAACGACAACGATCTGATTCGGTACGGTGGTGTGTGCTGAAGTCTCGACCTTTCTGAGACGTGAAACTTTACAATGCGTGGTAGCGGTGGCTGAAGGGTGGCTCAGTGACAATAAGCCACTCTGGCTGACGGCAATCGGGGTCGAACATCTCTTGCACACCAACACCACATCTTGAATGGGGCTTTTCTGCTTTAAAGGATTCAGCTTGCGGGCCCTGGGTCCCTCCTCTGTATTTGTCCATCTCTTTTCCATCTCTCTCGTTGCTTTGATAGCCACCATTCCTTGCTTGACAAGTGCTGTCATTTAGGTCTGGCAGCCATGCAGAAGCGGATTGATGCCATGGCTGGTGTGCCTGTCTTATTGTGAGTTGAGAAGAGGTTTACGTGCTGTCGACGAGTGAAGGACTTGATGTCTGCAACAACTAGTTATCGGGTACAAACGTGGCATGTTCGTCGTGGAACAATAACGAGTCTGGAATGACCGAAGATGCCTTGCAGATTGACGACCGTTGACGTTCTTTTAGAGCTGCCGACCGAGCCGTCACCATCAAAGCGAAGCATACGCAGACGAATCGCGGATGTTGATACAGGCCTGCAGAGACAACCGTAAGGCACGCAGGCTGGCAAGGGTTCAAAAGGCATGGTTAAACCTGTGGAGCGCTCATCAAGAGCACATCTGGATATCGATCCATCATCTCTAAAGACTAATCGGCGGCGCAATGCTCGAGACGGATCGATCTGCGCAGCTGCACGGAAGCGTCCATGGAGGGTGAGGTAGCGTGACGACATTGAGGCTGTTCTAGGTGCGAAACGCTGCTTGGTAACCTGTGGAGAATCGTCAAAGGCACTTTAGCCTGGTCATTGTTACGACTTGGCGAGCTGGTGGAGCGTGCGTCCACGCAAGACAGCAGGTGCAGCAGGGTACAATTGTCTCTCAATGGTGGAAGGAAAGAACTCCAGACAGGTCATGGCAAGGCAGTAACGACCACATCTGCTTCGGAGTCGTCGAGTGTACACGACGTGCAAGAGCTTGAGATGGTATATTGCGCTAGACGTTCACTGTCAGCTCTGAGAGCCATCACGATATGTCCGTGACTTTTGAGCGCACGCTCAAGATGTCATTGTCAGTGATAAGGGTGCAAATGCAGTTATAAACTTCATCTGCAGAGCAACACAACGGTTCATGGCAGCACCGCCTTATCGATAGTGAATCAGCCCTAGTTACCGGTATGCACGCGAGTCATAGCTCCAAAGTTCGCGATGTTCAATTCTCCACGACCGAAACACCCACACCGTCACACACTCACCATGGCTGACGCAGATGAAGACGTCTCGCACCTGGGAGCGCAGAATGAGGTGGAGCATGATCCCACCGAAGAGGCGCAGGACTTCCGCTTCCTCGACAAGCTCATGTACGCTCGAAAACAGCTCTGATCACCGCACGGAAGCTGACGATGAATCGATAGAGGGGGGCATGATGTAGCGCACCTGACTCTCCCGAAGCGTGGAGAGAAAGACTTTGAATCGCACTCGACCAACTTGCAACTCGACACGCTCGAAGCCTCGCGGCGGGCCATGCACGGCGTCCTCTCGTGGCAGCGGACACACACACAGAAGAACCACATCCTAGCGCAGTACCGCCCCGACACAAACACGGTCTGTGTTGAGAAAGTCAAGTCGCAGCATTTTCAGACGATTGGGCGCTCCAAGGGCGGGAAGGAATGGCTGCTGCCCGAAGAAGCGCTGTTCATGATCGAGCGAGGCAGTCTGGACTGCAGATGGCCCGTGAAGAAAGACGACGGCGACGAGCAGAAATACAGGACAGAGGACGGCGCGCCCATGAGCCTGCAGGCGGCCTATGCTGCCTTCATCGGGTACGAAGAAGGCGTGGGCGGGAAGCTGACACTCGAGATGTACAATGTATACGCCGGCCTGAAGAGATCTGGATACGTCGTGTTCCGCACTGGCACCTGGGACGAAGACCGAGGCGAACTGCTGGCACACGACGCAAACGCGCAGGATGCACGCAAAACAGGCCCGGGCATCTTCACCCGCTTCTTCTCCGAGATCTGGCGCCGCATCAGCCAGCCCACCTACACAGTCGCGCCCGAGAGCCTCGCCTTCGGCCCCCTCATCAAGCCCGGGCTATATCGCAGCTACGCCGACATATTCCGGCTGACGCACCTGATCCGCGCCCACGACCGCAGCGCGCCACCGACCTTCACGCTCCCCCCCGCAGCCTCGAACCCCTTCCGGGTGCACTTCGACGTGTACCGCACAACAAGCGGGTTTCGCAAGACGCAGCGCGGCCCACCCGACTTCCGCATCTGCGTGATCAACGCGCGCGAGACGTCGATTCCGACGGGCGCGCAGCTGAACGATCTATTCGCGCAGCTACCCGACGACGCACCCAAGGCGGGCGCGAACCACTTCCAGAAGCTGAAGCACGGGCGCCGCAACGTCGTGCTGGCTGTTGTCGACAACGGGATTCCTAGCTATCTCCGCGTCGCGGACGCGGCGTTTGACGAGATCAAGATCTACGAGCGCACGGGCACCGGGGCGCGGGGCAAGGGCGGCAGGGGGAGAGGCGGAGGTAGGGGAAGGGGAAGGGGGAGGGGACGCGGCTGAAGAATATGGTGGATTGGCTGAGGAATATGGTGGATTGGCTGAGGAATATGGTGGATTGGCTGAAGAATATGGTGGATTGGCTGAGGAATATGGTGGATTGGCTGAGGAACATGTTGGATGGAAGGCGATGGCTTTACCACACGTGTGGATGAGACCGGAAGGATCCACATTGAGAAGAGCAACGCGTCAACTCGACAAACTAGCAGCGCTTGCCCAGAGAGCAAGCAAGCAGCAGATATAGCAAGACAACCCACGGCAACGCTCCGCGGAAGCACTGCACATGCCTAGTACCAAACCGGGGACGCAGGCCACTCAAGCAGAGTCCAAATGGCACACTGGACAGCATAATGAAACGCGACTTGAAGTTGACGGGCTACATTTTATTCGGATCTCTGACTCGTTTCGACGAGATGGTGCTGATGACGGGGACGTGTATTGATGTTTCGTATATCTACGATCCTGCCATCCCCCATCGACCTCGCGCAGTGCGACATGTTGTCCCGAGTCCCATGTCCACTACATACCAAGGTCGTGTATCTTTCCCCCATGCTCTCACGCGGCCCATTCATTGTTCCAAATCCAGTCAAAACAAAACGCGCCAGCTCACAACCCTCCCCCGCTCCCCGCGCAAGCACACTCACACTGGCACTCACTCGAAGTCGGTGTGCAGAGCGCGGATCTTGTCTGGAGATTGAGGGAGCCTGATGACCATTGAGGGAGATGACCATCGAAGTCCACTTCAGTGCGTACACGATTCCACACTGTCCCGCTCCAACAGACGTGAATGTTTGTGTAGCTTCGTCATCTTGCGCCCTGTGGATGATCTCTGCCAGAGCAGATTCGAGTGAGAGGGCGGATTTTGTAGAGCGTGCGGCCGAGGATGTATTCTGGCTTCGCTGTCTGGAGCTCAGCGGCGCTCAGAAGATGGGTGTCCTCGTTCCGAGTGTCGATCAGAAGGCCACGTAGAGAGTCTGTGACAGGAGTCGCAGACGCAGCGGGATCATCTGTTCGGTCTTGCTTGCGGCCGTCAGATATGATGCTGGAGCTGAAGGATTGCTGCAGTAGATTTGGCTGTGGTCGTGGATGAGAGTAGTGTGAAGTCGACAGAAACGAGCTACTGGAGTGTTGTGTAGGTGACGGGGAATGTTCTGCCATGTTCATTGTTGCCGCCTGGGGAAGATGTGGTCCTCGACTGAAGGTGGGACCCGTGGGTTCAACAAGAGCGAACCAAACATTGAATCTTGCAGAACACATTGAGTCTTGCAGAACACATTGAATCCTGCAGAACACATTGAATCTCGCAGAACACATTGAATCTCGCAGAACGCATTGAATCTTGCAGAACACAGTGTCCACTCACAGGTACGGTATATCCAGACGTCGAGTAGTTGCACCCACAGGTACGGTATACCCAGACGTCGAGTAGTTGCAACAGCATGGCTCAAGACCACGGACAGCTGTAGATGTTGGCTGGCACTTCTTTGAACGGCACCCGGCGCACTTGCATGCCTCGGTGCTTTGCAGGCACTGCGGATCGTCGGCTTCGGGATCCTCGCATGGCAATGTGGGCGTGGCACATGGTCAGCCCGTGGGGACGGCAAAGGCGCGTGATAGTACGCCGAGTCGGAAGATGTTGTGCATGTCGAGTCCTCTCACCCCTCGACTTCCCAGACCAGCGTCTCGCGGTTCGCGAACTGCATGAGCGACCAGCCGTTGTTCCCGCCAAACGCCTGCGCACTCATCGAGAACCACGCGTCGGCGTGATCAGCGGGGCCTGCAGTCGCGGCTCGCGGGCCCTTGGCCGCGGCCCAGACGTGCAGAAAGACATCCTTGATGAACGCGGGCGTGATGAAGCCGCGCCAGCGCACGCGCACGAGGTCGCGCGTCTCCACGCCGCGGCCAAAGTCGGGCACGTCGTAGCGACACAGATGGCCGTCCACCTCGGCGCTGCCGGCCCTGACGCGCGCGGACCCGAGGCTCAGCAGATCCAGCCACTCGAGCAGCGCGAGCGCCTCGCCCTGGCCGTAGAGCGCCTCGCCCTGGCCGTGGAGCGCAGACGGCGCGTCCAGCCTCGGCACGACAACGCCACGCAGGGCGGCGACATTGGGCTGCAGCCGCACAAGGCGCGGGGCGTGAAGACTCAGGACCTCGCGGCCGTCGCGCACGCTCTCGGCAAACCCGGGATTCGCACTGCAGAACACGACGGCCAGGCTGTCGGTGAGGACCTCGCGGGCCGCCCAGCGCAGGCGCTCGAACCCCTTGTTGCCCGCGCGCATGCTCGCGAGCTTCAAGTCGCACTCGACGCGCCACCGCGCGCTGGCGTGCTTCTTTCCCCCGTCGGCGAGCGGCACGCCCACGAGACCCGCGCGCTCGTACGCAGACCGGTGCATGTCGATCCGCAGCACGCCGTCGTCGACCTGGAACCGCATGTTGGCGTCGGCGCGGCCCTCGCTCAGCAAGCTCGTGCGCCCGGTGCGTGCGTACGCGTCGGCAAACGGCTCGTCGAGGACATTGGCGAGCGTCATGCAGGCGCGGGCGTACACGGCGTCGCGCGCGGCGAGGTGGGCCTCGACCAGCTCCCAGAGCTCGGCGGGCAGGACGAGATCCAGCGTGTGGCTGTGCGGGTGCGCGAGGAACGTGGCAAAGGGCTTTTTCTTCGCCGAGGTGTGCAGCGCATCAATGTAGGCGGGGAGCGCGGAGTGGGAGAAGTACGTCTTGGTGTCGGTCGAGGGCGGGGGTTTGTGCAGGTCGAGCATGGCGGGTGGCTGGGGTTGGAGTGTGGACGGGTAGGGGGGAGTTGAGTATAGGCGGGCGGCTGAGTATAGGCGGGCGGGCGGCTGAGTGTAGGTGGGCGTGGCTTGCGGATCGCGAGGTGGACATGGACATGATGAGCTTCCCGGAAATGTTGGCTAGCGCGGCGCGGTCCGCGTGGGGCTCGCGCGGCCAGGACGCACGGTCACATGACTCGGATATGCTCCAACCGCGTTGAAAACGAACATGGTGGATAGAAGCAGTCTATGAAAGCACGCAACACGCAAGTGCAGCCAAAGTCTCTGGTATCACTCGACGCCCCCCGAACCCGTCCGTCCGGCTCGGTCCGCCTCGCATGCATATCCGAGTTTTCCCAGCGCCGATGATGGTCTATCGAGCCGCACTTATTCGGCCTGTGAAACTTCAGCCTGTGAGACTTTGGCCTGTGAGACTTTGGGCTTGGACGCGACTCTCGCGGCCGGGTCCGTGTCGTGTGCGGGCCCGTGGAGCGTTTCGAGCTCGACGTCTGCCTGCGGCTCGACGACGGGCTGCGCGTTGCGCAGCTTGACGCTGTACTCGTGCTCCTCCTCGTTGAGCGGCTCGACGTCGACCGTCTGGTCGTCGGGCAGCATGTCGTGGCGCAGCTGCCAGCCTGCGCGGCGGGCGAGCTCGGCGACGATGACGTCGCAGTCGCCGAGCAGCTGAATGTCAAAGTTGATGTGGTGGATGGGCTGTGCGCGTTAGCAGGGTCGCGGCGGCAGCAGAGGACCGACTTGCATCGCGCGATATGAAGATCTGCGGGACGTGGCGCGGCAGGAAGTTGGGTATCTCCGACACGGGCGCGACCTTCATGCTCGTGCCCATGACGATGACCAGGTCGACCTTGTCCTTGTCGACGTCCTTGAGGCGGTCGAAGAAGTCGTTGGGCAGGGCCTCGCCGAAAAAGGTGATGTCGGGCTTCATGATGCCCGGCTGCGGCAGGTCAAAGGCGCCGTCCGACTCCGAGTCGGCGTCGCTCGCGCGCTTCTTGCGCGCGCCGTGCCCGTTGGAGGAGCGCTTGCGCTTCAGCCCGGGCTTCTGCGCCGCCAGGGCGGCGACGCAGCGCGTGCACTCGGCGGGCTTCATGGCCCGCACCGCGTCGAAGATGTGCTCGCCGGGCACGTTGTGGCTGCACTTGCGGCACGTAGCCGTGGCCCACGAGCCGTGGCACTGGATGAGCCGGTCGCGGCGGATGCCGGCGTTGGCCTCGACGTTGTCAATGTTCTGCGTGTAGTTGGTCAGCAGCTTGCCGTGGTCCTGCAGCAGGCGGATGAAGGCGTGCGTCGGCGACCACTGCTTGAGGTCCGGCACAATGTCGCCCGCCAGCTGGTAGAAGATGCGCGGGTCGTCGTCGAAGTTGTGAATGTCAAACACCTGCTCGGGCTCGTCGTAGCCCATGGCCCGCAGCCGCGAGTAGAAGCCCGTGTTCTTGGACCGGAAGTCGGGGATGCCCAGGCTGGTGCTGATCCCGGCGCCCGTGATGACCAGGACGTGGCGCCGCTCGCGCAGCAGCCGCGCCGCGTCGTCAATGGTGCGGTGCTGCGCGAGCCGCGGCCGCTTGTTGAGCTCGCGGTTGATGGCCAGCCCGAGCAGCTGGTAGAAGCTCTCGTCGGGCGCCTCGTCGAGGAAGCGGGGGATGCGCACGTTGAACGCCGTGCACAGCTTGCGCGCCGTCATCTTGTCCGACGTGATGTTCTCCATGACAAACTGCGACGCCCCGACGGCATGCAGCCGCTGCCGCAGCTGCCGCGCCTCGTCGGGCGCGCATGTCGTGGCCGGGTCTGCGAGCGTGTGAGCGTGGACGGGCGGGTGCAGCGAGCGTCTCTCTAACCACGGCTGCCCGAGTGCTCCTCCAGCGCGGCCACGTCGTCGAGTATCTCCTCGAACAGACTGGCCGTCTCCCACCCGGCGCCGTCGCGATCGCCCTCGTCGTCGTCGTCGTCGTCGTCGTCGGCGGCGGCGGCGGCCGTCCTGACGAGCGCAGGCTGGCCAGCCGTCTCCGTCTCGCCCACGGCGCCCACGGCGCCCGCGTCGCCCGCGTCGCCCGCTGCGGTGGGGGCCTGAGCTGCCATGTCTCTGCGCGGCGGTCTGCGCGGCGGTGCGCGGCGGTCTGCAGCGCAAGAAGACGCGAAGACGCGATGCCTAGAGGCCCAGTCCGGCACGTCGGGTGCTCGGGGGGAGAGGGGGGGGCCAGCGCCGTCCGCGATTGGTGGCGCTCTTCTCCGCCGCTTGCTTGCGAGTCGCGACGACAGGTCGCCCCGTGGACCGCGTCGTGCAGCGCCAGCTCTTCGTTCGCTAATCTGCACTGCTGCTGCGTGATCTGGCATGCGCCTGTTCCCGCTGCTATGCCGCAAGCAGCGCCCCCGAGCATGTCCTCGCCCGCTTGGCCAGTCCGCAGTGGCTCGCCCGCCTCGTCCGCCTCGTCCGCGAGCCGTTCGGCATCCCGAAGCCTGGCGTCCTGAACGCTGTGCCTTGTCGTTTTCTCGCTCGCTGCGTTCAGCGGGTGCTCCACCGCGCGCTGGCCCAGTATAAGGAGGACGTGCCCCGGGCGTCTGCATACAGGTCTGGCTGTCTCTTCGCCTGGCTGTCTCTTCGCCTGGCTGCCGTCTTGCCTGCCGTCCGCCCGTCTGCCCGCCGTCTGCCCGCCGTCTGCCCGCCGTCTGCCCGTCGTGTGCCCGTCGTGTGCCCGTCGTCTGCCCCCATGGCCGCCGTGCTCGACTCGTCGATCCCCCAGACTGCCGCCGGGCTGGCCCGCGCGAACGACGGCCTGAGCCCGCTCGAGGCCCTGCCCACCGAGATCGTCAACCACATCCTCGCGCACCTCGTGCACCCGCGCTCGCGCCTGCCCGGCCTCACAGAAGCACAGAGCGCCCACGACTTCCCGCGGTCCACCAAGCTCGAGATCAAGAACCGCGAGGACCTGACCACGCTGCCCGACGCCCAGCGGTGGGCGGCCGACATCTTCGACTTCCAAGCGCTGCAGCACCCCTTCCACGTCCTCGCCCGCACCTCGAAGCGCCTCCATGCCTTTGTCGAGAGCTACTGCGCCCACCTCGTGCGCACCTGCAACATGTTCAACCTGCCCTTTGCCCACTACGACCGCCACGGCAGCGCCTACCCGGACCTGAGCCACATTGTCTACCGTCGCCTGTGGCTGCAGCACGCCCCGCGACTGTGCATCTACTGCCACGTCGCCCTCGACTGCTACCCGTTCCCCCTCGTGAAGCGCCTGGTGGCCGCCTGCGAGGACTGCTTCTACCGCCAGACTCTGGTACGCCCCTGCACCACACCGCGCCCCCTGCACTACACCACGCCCCCTGCACTGCACCGCGCCCCCCGCACTACACCGCGCCCCCCGCACTACACCGCGCCCCCCGCACTACACCACGCCCCCTGCCCCAGACTGACACTGACCGCGTCCAGACTGTCGACGAGGTCGAGCGCCAGTACCACATCTCCATGCCGACCATGGCCTCGTCGCCCTCGATCCGCGGCCCCGGCCCCGCCTCGCCGTGGGTCCTGCGCGTCGACGTCGAGGCCATGGCCTTCCGTCTCTACGGCACCCGCGCCTTCCACGCCGCCCACGTCGACCAGCTCGGCAAGCCCTGCTCCATCTGCGCCATCACCCGCTTCGGGCACCACCTGCCCCCCGCCGCCGCCGCCGCCGCCGCCGCCCGCACAGACCGCGGCCTCAAGCGCGGCACCACCCGTCCTGTGCGCGTGGCGCTGAAGAGGAAGGCGAGGAGGAGTAGGTCGTGAAGAGATAAATGTACCCGGCCACATGAATATTTTCTTTGGTTGATTCTTGCATGGATTCTTGCATTGGTGTTGCATGGATTCTTGCATGGATTCTTGCATTGGTATTGCATGGATTCTTGCATTGGTGTTGCATGGATTCTTGCATTGGTATTGCATGGATTCTTGCATTGGTGTTGCATAGATTCTTGCATAGATTCTTGCATTGGTGTTGCATGGCAGTACACGGGGGATGCATCTTCTTCAAAGGTACATGGCTGGTGGTGTTCTGGATCTCATCGAGGCGTTTCTTGATCTTCTGCATCTCGTAGACTCGGGCTGGCGTTCTTTCACTGGCGTACCCTCTTGCTCGGCGTTGGCGGCTCGACCTGCTCGTCTTGCGTTTCTGCTTCCGTGATACCTCGCTGGCGCTGGCGTCACTGCATAGTCTGGATCAATATCGTATATCTTGCCTGCTCTCTCTGCTTCTGCTCTACTCTGAGTTACTGACGTCGTACTGCCGCTGTACTGACACTGTACTGACTTGACAGCAAGGCGCTAATTATACCACATCTACTGTCCTACTGCCACTGTACTG